TTAATAGGCCTATTAATACTACTATTAATTGCTTAAGGCCCCTATAAGGGGTAATAAATATTATTTTTTAATAATTAGATAATTGCACCGACTACTAAAAGAATCCCTTAATAATATTAAGTAATAAAAATATAGTGGCGCCCTTATATTTAGTAAGAATATTATCTTGTTTTAGTAATAGGTATATATTTAAAATAAGTTTTTTATTAATATGCCGCAGGTCAATAACTATCTATAGCTTATTCTTATTTTATATAATAAACACTAATAATGCAGCTGGCGCCTTCTATATTAAAGGGATATATTCTACCTACCCTTCAGTAACTAATAGATTAAGAATAAAGTCTATAGCTTTATAGTCTCTTAAGGAGAGGCAAAATAACACTTATTTTAACCCTTTAATGTTATTTTTATTACAGAAATATACTAGCATATTAACCCTATTATTAAATATACCAAGGCCTTTATAAAAAAGATTAGTATATTTATTTAAAATACTGTGTACCTGTAATTTATATTCTTTATCCTATGCTAATAATATATCTGCTTATTCTACTATAGTATTAGTATTATTTATATTAGTTACCCTAGTATCTACCGCTATTAGCATAGGATAATTAATATTGCCTATTAATTGTATTATACCTGTTATTAGGATAAGTACCTAAGGTAAGAATATATAACTAAGGAATTAACTAGTCCTTATTTATATAGGATAATCTCCTATATTTATATATAGTAATCTTATCCTATTATAGCAGATTAAGGCCGCCAATAAACTACCCTATATACTTAAATTATTATTTCTCTATAGAACAGGTATTATCTAGTATAAATATATCTCTAGTATAGGACGCTAGCAGATATTAATTATATATCTTTAAACAGGCTAAACTATAACCGTCTTTATTATATAGATCGCTTGCTTCCTCTATAATAGTTATTTATAAGGTCTGTTTTATAAGGACCTTACTAGTATTTAATATCCGCTAATAATAGCTTGCTGTCTAAATAGGTTAAGGATTATTTTATTTTTAATAAGGATACTAGTATTTATTATTATACTATAGGCTAAGATAGGAATAATATAATAGCATTTAGTAAATAAAGTTATTTTACTATTATTAGCAAGCAATATAATTATAATATTAAGTTAATAAATAGAATTTACCCCCTAGTTGCTAATTCTTTTTAAAACCTTCGCGTATGCTACTAAGGTAATATTTAAAAAATATTTGTTATAATAGGCTTATAAAATATATAAAGTATTTAACCCTATATTTAAGCATATAGTTAATTTCTCCCTATTATAGATAAAGTCGGCTTATAGATATTTATACTGCTCCTAGGCCTATATAGGGGCTAAAGGCTATTCTTCTATAGATTATAATGCCTCTTTATCCCTAATCCTTTTTAATTTTCCTTATTAATAAAAGTAGCTTTAAGAGTCTCTAAGGTTTCTAGATCCTTAATATCTATATTACTATCTAATGCTATAGCTATATAAACGTGAGTATCTTTTTATATAGAATAATTATTATCCTAATGCTAAGCTTTATAATAATAATATAAATATAATAATAATTATTTTTTGCAGGGTTATCGCAGCAAATATAATAATTAAGTATTTTTACCCCTATCTTTAAATACTGCTAGTAATATTGCCCTGCCAGTAGCTATAACTAGCTCTTATATCTATATTAATGTTTGCACCTTTTAATAGCGCTAAAAAAGCCTATCTATATACTCTTATATAAGCAGTATTAATAATAGCCTATTATATATATATTAAGATTTCTCCTATTCTTAACGCGCGCTTATCTTAATATATTATATTTAATGGCAAAATTGCTCTATAGGCTTACCTAGCTTAATATAAATTAGTATTGCTAGCTTTAGATTTAACCCTTTCTATAACTTGCTCTTAATAGCCTTATTATCTATTATACCTACTTTTTTTAATAATATAATCTTCTATATAAGATAATTATTTAGCAGAAATTTATCTGCTATAGTAAATAAGAAGGTTAAGTTTTATACCTATTAATAAGCCTTAATTAGGTTATAATAGAACTCCTCTTCTAGCAATTAACACTATTTATCTAAAGAATAAGCCAATTTATTGTATATCTCTTCAGGTAGGTTTATATATTATACTAATACTCTGCCCTTTAGGTAAAAGGGTAAGATATTTAATACTGCGCGTGCTCCTTTATAAGAAGCTATAATCCTAATTCTCTTAATAAAAAATTAAATATTCTTATCTATTAGGTTAAAAATTATAATATCTTCTGATTTTAACCGCTGTTAATATTATTTATTTTTATACTAAGATTTAGTATTATAAGGCTTCTCCTTTTTATATATTGGTCTCTGTAATCTGCTGCTTTATATATATTATTTATATAATAAGCAGTTATATAGTTAGCATTAGCCTAATCTAAAGCTTAGTTAGCGTTGGCCCAATTTAAAGCTTAATTAATATTAGCCCAATCTAAAGCTTCTGGCTAATTATCCTCGCATTAATTGCCTTAATTCTAATTTTCTAATCACTATATTTAACTGCTTCTCTAACTCTTTGATATAATTTTTTAAATAATATTCTTGCTCTAAAAAACGCTCTAAGAAATATTGTTAATAACTTAGTTGCCCTATTATTAGTAGTAATAATACTTACTCTATAGATTAAATACAGTAATCTAGTCCTATATAAAACGCCTGCGCCTATTTAAATAGGGATGCTATTAGAGTATTATAACCTATATCTTGCTATATTTAGTATTTCTATATCTTTATATAAAGGTCCTCTACCCTCTTTAATAATATTATAATTAAGATACTACTTACTTATATTAGATTAGTTTATATTAGATAGTCATTAACTAATTTATAGAGATTATCTGTCAGTTTATTATAATATGCAAATAGCCTATTAATTAATACTATATAAAATTTAAACTGCTTTATAGTATATTATATAAATGCCTTTTTATTTTTTCTTAACTTATCTATATCCGCGCTTTCTTCTTATATTAGTTCTTATTGATTGCTATATAGATCTAATATTATATTAAATATTATATTAGTAATACCTGCGGTAGGTATATATAATCTTATTCTTTAATTCTTATAAAAAAAGATATATTATCTAAGTATTATATATAAAATTGGGATTATATATAAATAATAACAGCAACTAAATTAAATATAAGATTAACTAAGATTAAAAATAAGATAATATAGAGTTTTATATTATTAGCTGCAGTATTATTCTCTATTAAGATTTCTCTTAACAGTGTAAAATCCTAGCCAGATTTATTATTAGGATATACTATTACTTTACTGTGCAAATAGGGGGAAAGAGTAATATTAAGAAGTCTAGATTCCTCTAATGCTAAAGATGTCGCTATATACATAAGGTCATATGACCTACATCATGTGCCTCTACACCAGATCTGGCGTAGCAGGGAGTTGGCCAGTCCAGATGGGAATCATGTGCCGCAGCCGGGAACTTCCTCAGGCGTCAGAGAGAGCAGAGCCTGCACTTCTTCCCATCCAGCATCCCCTTCTCCTTCACCATCACCATCACAACAAGTCAACGACAGACGTGCAAGGAGATCTGCAAGGCAGGCCCATCAATTTCTACTGACGGTATTTTCTCGGGTGGCCCGGTCCTTATTTTTGCCCAGCTGATAACGAACCATGACACCATGAGACCGGTGGGACTAGGCGTTTCGAACATTCAGAGACCCAGGTACTCGCTCATCAATGGCCCGGCGATTTTATCTGTTTCCTAGCACTTACCACAGTACCCAGATGCCATGCGAGATGAGATCCACTCCTGGCCTTTAGAACGGCGATCTAACGTCAGAAGAGCGGTGTTTCAGTAGGTCTGCGGTTTACCCCGACGGTCTCCCCTAGCTGTTTCTCTGGTTCGGCTGCCCCGGGTCTCCCGTGGCGCAGCCACCAGTGAAAATTGATGTCCAGTGTCTATCGATCTGATCTAGTCCAGACGTCCACAATAATGATTAATGTAATAATATGCACAAGGTGATACCCGAGACTCACTTGCCACCGGGATCCATAGCGGGTACAGGTACTCTATGCAGAGGCATGGGTTGGAGTACTCGTACTCGCGCTGGCAGATCTAAAGAAGCACATTGAAGGGCAAAAGGCCGGACGGACATACAGGGATCCGGACCCTCTCGGATATTGACCGTCAAGGTAGGTAGCTGACGAGTCCAATACGGTTTGCTGGGAGGTGACTCCCCTTTTGGCACTGTGGGAGGGATAGCCGGTCACGGAATGGATTGTGACGGATCTTCCACGCTTCGTCGGGCACCCAATTTTATCTAATCCCGAGTAGCTGTGTGGAGGCGAGGCGGCGTGGGATCTGAATATTCAGCTGTCGTTCCGGCTTACGGATATCCATCTACAGGGCTCCAGGCCACGTTCACGGCCTTATGGTCATGACCAAAACCCCCGTAATATATACCGGTCTAACGAGCACGAAGCGACCCAAGCGACTGGAGACAATGTTCTCCGCACCAAGAAATGGTGCGACCGCAGGGCAACCCTTGGACGAACCCCATGAACAAGGCGTTGACCGCTTCTCTGCATTCTCTACGGAGTATGTGATTTCACCGTAAAGGGTGCAACTATTGGAGCTTTGGAGGCAACGAATTGACTCAGGACCACGCCATAGAGTAGCCTTGGAAGGAGTGGACAACTCCCTGCACCGATCAGTCGCCGCTGACGATTCAACTCCCCGATAACTAGTGGTGGATACCCGAACGGTCCTTGAAGCCAAAAGGCTACCACCGGCCCAGCGGGTAAAGATTGACAGCCCGGCAGCAACTAGTCAGCTCACTATCACGGCCCCCGAGTACGGTTAACCTGGCTCCTGGGAGCGAAGACCCAGAGGTTCGGGACTGGACGATCGCTCTTACTACTACCATATGTGCCACTCTGGCTGTGGCCTCCGTTGTACTCCGTGCCCGTACAAACGCTAGTAGGTTAAAAGCTACGAGGGGCCATAGCCCCTCGGAAGCCGTCCAGGGCGTGGCAACGCCGGAGACTGAAGCTATAGGCTTGCATGCTTATTCCTGCTCAGCGGTTAGTCCCCGTCCAGAATCTTGGATCTGTATGCCCTGCTTCCACAACTCCCAGGCTCCGACTGCCCTGTCCCAAATTGCTTCTTCGTGGATCTCTAGGGCTGCAGTCATACTCTACTACTGTATGGTGGAAGACAGGTAACATTATTCAATGCCGAGAGAGCATTCCGTATGACCCCACGTTATCGTTTCTGGCTATAGGCGATTTGTGGACGATCTGGTTGTCGATTTGCTGCAATGACTACCCCTGCTGGCTACGCAAATGGTCCGTTCGAACCATCGTCTGAGTCTGGTCTGACTCCCTCCTCTCTCCATGTGCATGACAGTTATTCTCTTGCACAGAGAGTACTCTTCTCAAACGGAGTTTCCGGTGATACTCTCGACAAAGGTAGAAGTGGGATGATGTCTGAACAGCAAATGAATTTCCCCTCTCTCTTTCAGCCTGCTGCAGAACGACCCGGATTATTCGTACCTTACAGATGGTGGGAGGATGAAGCGACGACCGTCCTTTGGACATTCGATGTCCAAGATATTGGCCGTGTCATCAGATATGGCCTTTTCCATGATCCCAATTTCCCTAGGAGTGTCTTGCAAAACCGTAACTCAAACACCATTGACGACTTCCTGATAGCACTTCTCGAACCAGAAGACATCCCATTCATCGTCAACCTTTCGCACATCCAGAAGGTCGAAGAAATCCTGCGTCGATTCAAAGCAAGCAAACCTGCCCTGGCTCCCTGGGGCTGGTTCCCTGTGCAAGCAATACATGAAGCCAACGCATCTTCAATCGCTACGGATATTGATGCTGAGAGTCACTTACTCTTCAAGACTATCTCGTTCGAAGAGTGGGTACGGTATTCTCTAGGCTACAGTGCTCCTTCTGTGGAGTGGTTCCTTCTTCAACATACAGCTTTTTTCATCCATCTCTCAAATCATCTCCATGCCTATCCAGAAGAGATTGAGAAGTATAAGGACGTCGAGAAGGTCAGTAATATAAAGTCTTGCAGCAGAAAGTTGCAGTTTTGCTGATGGTTTTCAGCATCTTCGTACACGAAGTCCCTTTGCACACAGAGCGTTGGTCCAGTGCCTGCTCAACTTTCACGAAGCAGATCAGTCGAATATATCGTTCGTGGACGGCCCTGCCTTTGAGTTCATTGCCGGGCCCATCCAAAGGATCTTCAAAGACCATCCTCCAAGTCTCACGTCAATCTTGAAGATGCTTTCAGTCTTGGCAGTGCGCTTCCAGCGAACCTATATTCACACTTCGAAGATGAACTGGATGCAGAATTTTGACGTATCCGTTCCTTTTGTGGAAGATGTGTTTGGCTCTATCTCTCCTGCTGACTTGGCACGGACATTGACAACTTCGGATGAGCTAGACTTCGCGCGTCTTTCTCGGGGTGATATCATCAATGAAGGGCCTACTCTCAAACATCTCGTTGCAAGGTGGCATGCGCTCGCCACTGCTGTGTGGGAATGCTGCCTTGCATTACCGGATCTGTCAAGCTACATTCAAGACTGTATACAGGTAAGCCACTGGTTCTTTGGATCTCAATACTCACTCACCTTTTCCGTAAATTTACTTTCTTTTTTGGCGCCATTTTTCGACAGCAATATCGAGTAACTTACATTGAAGACTACTCTCTGGTCCTCGATATCATGGTGTCCTATTTCTGACATTTGTTAATCAGGTCCTCGACACCTTGCGAAATTACAACTCTGCTACCGCCCTCATTAAGGGTCTGCGGGACTACAAGATAGCTGGGTTACAAAGTTCCGATGTCAATCTTGCCCTTGACATTGTCTTATTTGAACAGTCACTTTCGCCTAGCCTTTCGTATCTGCTGGATGCTTCTGATAACTTTGCTGCTTACAGGCGGCGGGTGCAGGAAGCTCCTGGAATTCCTTTTCTACTACCTCATGTCAGAGAGTCCAGGCGGCGTGGTGAAAGTGCCTTGGATGAGCTATCTCAAGGACTGCAAGAGATAAGCTAACTGGCCTGAGTGAGCCACAGTATTTATATCCACTCAATATGGGCTGAACAGCCCTTGAAACAGAGAAAGCGCCAGGATCTCTCGTCATGATGTCTTGGCATCCTGGACAGTTTCCATGATGCTTGATTCCTTCCTCTGACCTTCTTTTTTGCAGTTCGCTTTCATGGTCTAGCTAACGCCGTAATGCACGAGTGCTGAACTATTCCGATGCTGGTATGCCGGGGAAGGATGTTTGCATTGATTATTCTTGAAGATTGGCGTTAGGGGGGGTTTTCTCTTACGAGTGCGGTCCTTCTGCCGCACCCAGAATGCAAATGTGCGCTGTTGTGGCGTTGGAGGTCCAGCATTGTCTTTTGGCCTGATTTACCTGTTCGACGAGTCTTTTGTCCTTCTACTTTCCTGCAAGGAGACGTTTTATAATACCCCTTCAACATAAACCGATAGGAATGAGCACCAACGAATCACTTTGCTTATCAACTTACCATGCAATTGTCTGTTCTTTTTTTCCGATGCAGATCGACGTCACCGTCCATGTGCTGCGTATAGCCGTTACATGAGGCTTACCCAACATAGGTGATGAAACCCGCAGCATACTATCTTGTCTTCCACTTTCCCGCAAGTCATGTATATAGCCCAATATATTGCTTCAAACTAGCTTCTTATATCCCACATTGGCAGGAACCAACGACGACCCTCCACACAAAGTGGATACGCCTTACCCCCTTCCAAAAGACCCTTCTCTACCTAGGTAAGGCCTACCATCTCCGAAATCGACCACAGTCTCTCTTGACTTCCATCTTCCCCCTTTCGGACCTCCTCAGCCTGTCAGGCGACGTTCCCACTATACCCGTAGACTCGGTACTAGCGAGAAATCACTTATGCATGCCGCCCGATTCGGAAACCCACCCCCTGATCTGGTCACCCAACGGCGCTGTCACTTATTTTAAGTAGAGTGGGAAAACCCGCCACAGTTAAATCTGATCTTCACTAATCGTGCATTGGGCAATATTATTAAACCAACTAAACTACTAATAATATTAACTTGCATCATGTGTGGCTGAGGCTGGGTAGAAATGGTGGGGGAAAAAAGAATGGAGTCGTAGCCACGTGTATGTGCTGTTAGTTAGGTATCTGATTTTTAACTTACGTGTTTTATGTACATAGTTAGTTAGTGAGGCTTCTGCTTACTCAGGGTAAGGCGTTAGTTAGTTACATATGCGTAGGAATTGAGAGTCTAGAATCTGGCTATATGCTTGCTTGCTCGTATATCAGGGATAGTATACTGAGTGTTGTTTGTTGCTTGTTGAGGGATTTAATATGGATGATATACATAGATGTTTTTCGTCTACATATACATACATGTGCATGAGCATATGTATGTAATGTATGTATGTATGTACAAATGGTCTGATGTAAGAGGATTGGGGAGGGTTTGTTCATGTAGGAAATATGCGAGTGTTGTTTGTTTTGTCCGTATGTGGTATGATGTGGTTCATACGTGGATTCGCATGGGATTGTGGTTTTGTTTTGTTATGGTAGCGCGGTAGGACTAACTGACTAATTGGACAGTATGATTGAGAATACGGATTGCTGTGTAGGAAATGACAACTATCTATTACTTGGTGGGTGGTTCTTCTATGGTTGCTGATACTGGGAGACAGAATCTGGGGTGGGCTAAGGAGTAGGATATTACGAGATATGTGCTGACGGGGTTTCAACATCATGAAGAATCAGAAAAGGTATCATATCATGAACTATGGAGACAAATATCCCATCCCGGGCTGTTTGCTTGCTATGTCTGGATTTCTACTCGAATAGAAGATAGAGCGAATCCCTATGCTACGCGCCATTTTCCCTCGCGAATCCTAGGCTGTTGTCCTCACACAGCTGCAAGTCAAGACAAGACGCCGTCTCTCATAAAAAATATTTTTACTTTTTGGTTTGAGTGTTACGCTTGTTTGGAACCTACCGGACCAATTTACTGGCCAGCAATAGCGTAAGCACGGCGGCGGTCACGCTCCTCAGCGATGGAGAGCTGTGGGATAATGTTAGCCTCTTGCCCAAGACTCCAATACTCTGTGGTGGGCATAAAAAACATACCTTGACACCCTTGCCCTTGGGCAGAGAGATCCAGGGCTTCTCGCGTCCAATGACGAAGACGTTGGACTCACGAGTGGCGAAGGTGTTGTCAATGGCATCCTTGATGTGGACGATGTTGAAACCACCATCGTGACGCTCACGGTGGGTGATGACACCAACACGACCCATGTTACGACCACCAGTGACCATAACGACAACACCAGTGTCGAAGCGAACGAAGTCGGTGATCTTGCCGGTGGCAAGGTCGATCTTCACGGTGTCGTTGACACGGATGGAGGGGTCGGGGTAGCGGATGCTGTAGAAAGCAACTGTCAGCACAAAAATGTCCACGCACAATGCGATCTTACTGTCTCCAGTAGGAAAGGAATTCCTCGTCCTCCGCCGATCAACCAAAGCTTGGTCCAACGACTGAATGACGCGGAACTTGTGGAGAGCATAAACTCACGTTCTCGCATCGTGCGTAACCAAGAATGGGATCCCGCCCTTGCCGAGCTGAACGCGCTTGACGCGGCCCAGCTTGTACTCAGCCTCCTCAGCCTGGATACGGTGGACGGTGAAACGGCCCTTGGTGTCGTAGACGAGACGGAAGTGCTCGCCGGTCTTCTCGATGGTGATGACGTCCATGAAACCGGCAGGGTAGGTCGAGTCAGTGCGGACCTTGCCGTCGACCTTGACGAGACGCTGCATCAGGATGGCGGTAACCTCGCGGCCGTTAAGAGCGTACTTCAGGCTACAGAAGAAGATATCTTGTCAGTTCCCCGATCCCTCGACCGAATTCGCTGTATGTAAATTGGCATGTCGTACCGGTTACGGATGAAGACGATCAGAGGCAGGCAGTCCCGGAGCTTGTGAGGACCAGGAGAGGCCTTGGGAGCATAGGTTCCGGACATTTTGTCCAGGAGCCAGTGCGAGGGCGCACTAAGGCGCTTCTGGTGCTTCTTTCTGTATAGCAAAACTCATCAGTTTCGATGTTCCAATCCATGATCACGATGGTCGCAGCGACGAAAGAACAGAGCCTCTGTCGAGAGAGGATCTGCTGAGAGACAATCTGCGATGTGAATGTAATTCAATGGATTCACTTACGGTCCACGGCCCATTTTGACTGCTCTGTCGACTCAAACCGTTAAAGTTGTCGAGGGTGTCGCGAAGGAAGAATCCCGTCAAGTCGAGAAGTTGAGATATCCACTCGCAAAATTCGCTTAGCGGACGGCCTGTGGGTTCGAGCCCTAGTACTAGTCCTAATCTGATTCTAATTGACCTGACCGCCTTGGCGGGTTGAGCCCTCTATGGTGTTATGTAATCGACTATGAATGCAAACACGACAAACCTATGTTTTTGGAGAATTATTTCTGAATTGAAAGCGCTATGTATGTACTAGATCTTTACTTTTTTGGTCTAATTTAGATAAGTCCCTTGATGACAGCAGCCTCAGCGTTGAGGATGGATGAGCCTGCGGCGCCAATGACTGTGTTGTGGGAAAGACAGGCGAAACGGAGATCGAAGTAACCACCGGCAGGTGCTTCACGGACGCGTCCAACGCTGACGGCGTATCCATTCGACAGGTTGCGGTCAAGTCTTGGTTGTGGTCGATCGGGCTCGTCGAAAACCACGATAGCTTGCTCTGGTGCGGAATGACATCCTAGCTTCTGGGCCTCGGACTTGTATTCTCTCAGTGCCTGCTTAACCTGTTCCGCCGTAGGCGCCGGGTGGTTCTTGAAGCGCAGAGAAACGTATGCCATGTGGCCGTCCGTAACACCAACACGGGTGCAGGTGGCACCGACCTTGAGGTCAGACTGCTCTTCAAAAGCAGTGGCATCAGCATTCATAGAGCCCAGAATCTTCTGAGCCTCGTTCTCGAGCTTGTCCTCTTCGCCGCTAATGAAGGGAATGACATTATCCATAATGTCCATGCTGGGAACACCAGGATAACCAGCGCCAGATACTGCCTGCTCCGTGAAGACTTCCACGTACTCGACAGGACCGAACTTGGCCTGGAGAGCGGCAAACGGAATGACGATACCAATAACGGCGCAGTTCGAGTTGCAGACAAGGAATCCCTTCTTCATGCCGAGCTGCTTCCTCTGGTGATGGATCAGGTCCAGATGCTGCAGGTTGACCGTGGGCACCACTAGAGGAACGATTGGGTTCTTTCTGTGGTTCTTAGCATTGGAGAAGACGGGGATATCGGCCTTAATGAACTCCATCTCTGCAAGACATCAGTAAGGGAGCTTCACATCAGGGGAATTGGCATTGGTTTGAACATACCAACTTCGCCTGCAACGTCGCTGTCAAGCCCAGAAAAGACGATGTCGCAGTCCTTGAAGTTGTCCGCAGTACATTCCCGAACGACGAGTTCGCCCAGCTGCTTAGACATGGGCATAGACTGCTTCCACTTCACTGCATCCTTGTATGCCTTTCCAGCAGACCGGCTGGATGCACCAACAGCATGGAGCACAAGGAAGGGGTGGTCGGCGAGCAACAGGATGAACCGTTGACCCACAGAGCCTGTGGCACCCAAGACACCTAATAAATGTTAGAACCAGTCAAAAGAAGTCTTTCAGAGTTGATCAATAACATACCGCACTTCTTCTTTGCAACTGGCGACGACATTATTCCAATATGGCCTGTGAGTTAAGAACTTTGAGCGTCAGCTTGTAAGTATGCCTTGAATGAAGCAAAAACTGCCGAATGACTGCATAACATATAATGAGCCCAATTAAACCAACGCCATGCCATATGCATTTACAGGACAGGCGTAACAAGAGCTCATTTAATCTTTGTATCAGGCCGAGAATTGAGCTTGCGATTTCTCGGCCAGGTGTCTGAATGACTCAAAAACTTCAAGCTCGCGACGGAGAACCATTGCATGTAATATGTTCATACGAATGGTGCAAATGAGAATATGCGAATAAAGATATAGGATTCAACACTGAAATAGACCAGAGAAAGCATACACTTACCTCTTCACTTGCTCAAACTTGATATGTGAAAATGCGATGCTGTGGCAATGGTAACTGCGATATCGCTCCTCCATTTTTGGCGGGGAAGAGGGGCAGCCAATGACGGCGGGACCGTGCTTAGTCATCAATAAAACAATTTCAACCACCAGAGATGGAGTTTACAGCGTACACATCCTCAGTAACATGGAATATTCATGCAAAATATATATATTCTATCATTGAAAATGCAAAACCCGTAATTCCTAGTCGATACCTTATGACTTATCGCCTCGCTTAGCTCCAGTCAGTCTGGCAGACTCGACTTCGGAAGTGTCTAACGGTTTCACTTCGCGTGTTGAATCAAAGATCTTGCCAGGATTCATGATCCACTGGGGATCCAGAGACCGCTTAATGCTGCGCATTATATCGATCGTATCCACGCCGAGTTCCTTGAGCAGTGATTCTTTCTTTCCCAGACCAATACCGTGCTCTCCCTGGTATCACAGTTAGGATGATCCATAGTTATCGGTTACGCGTTCCTGATGCAGCCATGGACTTACCGTGCAAGAACCTTCCATTTCAAGAGCGCGGTCGACCATATCATGTACACATTTTTCCACGCGTTCCTTCTCCACAGGATCGTGTCGGTTGTACATAATGCTCTCATGAAAGTTACCGTCACCGATGTGACCGAGAATGCTGGCGAAGATACCCAGGTCATCCATTTCCTTCTTCGATACTTCTGCACGTACGGATTAGAAGATGGTCTCAGAACGCGGAAAGACACATACCGATAATGTCAGGTAGTCGAGAAATCGGTACTGCGACATCTGTGGACCAGACCTCGGAGCCTTCTTTTCGCAAAGCCAACATACTCCACAGCGACTGCTTACGGGCTGACCATAGGTCATGAGCTTCTCGATCATCCTTGGCAAAGTCGAAGGACTGGGCCTTGTTCTGCTTCGCTATCGTCTTCACTAGATTAATGCTGTCATCTACCCCTGCAGAAGTTCCGGAGAATTTGAAGAAGAGCGTTGGTAACTTCTTCCACGTTCGACTCGTTCCACCTGCACGATTGATGACATCCATTTGAACGTCGTCGAGTATCTCCATCGACTGTACTATGACCCCTTTCCGGATCACTTGCATCGCAGTGGATGCAGCATCTCGTATGGATGGGAATGAGACGACACCGACTCGCGTTTTCTCTGGAGTGGCAGCCAGCTTCAGGGTGATCTCTGTAACGATCCCAAGTGTGCCCTCCGATCCGACAAACAACCCCGTCAGGTTGTAGCCAGCAGATGTTTTGCGTGGACGTCTCCGTGTCTTGATCACGCGACCGTCCGCGAGCACGACGGTCAAATTAATAACCCAGTCTTTCATCGTGCCATATCGGACCGCGTTCGTGCCGCTGCAATTTGTCCCAACCATGCCACCTATCTTGGCCGAAGGGCCAGGGTCAACGGGGAAGAAGAGGCCGGTGTGTTTGAGTTGTTCGTTAAGTTCCATCCACTGTATGGCAGGCTGGACGACTACATCCATATCCTCTTCGTGCAGCGCGAGGATCCGATCCATAAAAGCGAAGTCGATCGTCATGCCTCCATAAGGAGCTGAAAAGTTGGCTTCGAGACTTGAGCCTCCAGAGTAAGGTACCATGGGCATACGGTACTTGGAACAAACTCCGGCAATCTCTGATACGTCTTCCGTCGACTTGGGATAAGCAATGGCCACCGGTAATCGGTCCGCGTTGACAGTAGACCACTCTGAATATCCGTGATCTTGCAAATCGTCCTCATCTGTACTGACCGCGTTGTCACCTAGCTTGGTGCGCAGCTCCGCAATGGCCTGCAAAAATGAGCATTGGCAAAATACGGGCACCCAGGGGTACTGAGAAGATCATAGTGTAGAACGCGTACCTTTTCCATGTCCTGTAATGACCCATATTGAGGTTCTCGAGTACTGTCCGCAGTTACAGATCCAGCACCGGAGCTCGCATAGGCGTAAGCGGCACCACTGGCCAGTGCAGAAACCAGAAGGACACGTCCTGTTGTCCAGAACGTAGCTTGCGAGGCAGCTCGAATAGAGCTTGATTCCGGTGTAGCATTCACGCCTGCGCTTCTACTGTTCCATCTGCGCCCTAGGGGAGAGCGATGAGCGGTCTGGGGACGTAGTAGAGGGCGAAGATTGCGGGGAAGCTTTGCGGGACAGCCCCGGAAAAGAGACGACTGCATTGCTGCACAGTAAACTCGAGACTCATGAAAAGTCATACAATACTCCAGAAGAGGGAGAATTGCTTTTCAAAGCCATTGGAACAGAAAATAGAAAGGAGGAGAGAAATGAAATGTACACCAAGGCAGCTTATGTGCGTCCCAGGTAGGCGCCTGTCCGCTGACCTTTTGTTCCTGAATGACCGCCATTGCGTGACAGTTTTCAGCCTGAATTTCAGCCAAGATCGCATGATGAGCCGAGACAGCCGGTAGAGATCAATTCCATCTGCCTCAACAACTGCGAGTCTTCCATTTTGATTCGATCTCAGCTCCAGAATCTCCCCGGACGTGGGGGTTGAACGCGGGGAAAGACTAAACCGACCGGCAAATCCTCGGTGCAACGCCGAAGCTCCGCAATGAGTATTTATAGTGTAGCCGGTTGTTGATACCCACTCATGGGCCTCTGTGGACAATAATTGCTAAATTATACATGGGGTAGGTTAGCCATATACTGTTCCCAGACAAAACAATCCCATATCTAGTTGTATAGTGTACAATGTAGAGTGGTAGCTTGATCGCTTTCCGTATCGGTTCCGTTGATGGGGCAACCGGCGGAGGGTCCAGCCTGAAGACTTCAGGATCCCGCATTTACGACTTCATCGAGATAATAGATCTCGAAACGCGTGCTGCTGGGGATCAAAATATATCGAGGTAGTGAAATTATGGCGGACAGACTGCCCCATCTTATTCGTGAAATTGAATATGTTGTCACAGCGCCGTATATCCCGGTACTGCAGGTTTGTTTGTGTCGCGATGCATGAAAAAGACAACTACTGATCCATGAGTAGGACCTTCAAGAGCTCGTGTCAGATTGCCCGCTGAATGTGTTGCAAGTATGGGCGAGTTGCAAACCCTGCCAGGTGGCTCTCCTGGCCCAGAAACTCTTGGAAGCTATTCCTTGTTCATCTGCATCACTGCCGCTGATATGCGCGTTTGGTGAGCAATTCCGCGATACGCTTACGCCCTGTGCCTGACGTCTGACAATGACTAGCACAAGTCCAAGAGTTTTGTGAGATCTTGGTACAAAAACAACCGGCCTTATTGGACCAGTTCCTACAAAAGGCAATCGACGATAGAGATTCCCAAGTGAGTCTAGCAATGGTGCTCCCCAAAAATTAATAGCCAACAGCCTTGGCGCATGTTGTGGTTGAGATAGCGACCTAGTTGCTGACCACGGTAGTCCTTCCAAACATGCATTTCAATGCTGTCCCACCCGCTACCAAGCGGGATTGTGCTTCCTGCACGTGTATCGACTTTCGTCGAGAGACTGGTTCAGAAAATGGTGGATAGACCATCCGCAGAGACAATTTACCCTTTGTATCAGGTTATCGGTAGCATGCATGGAAGCTCAAGCCTACTCGCGGCATTTTCTGAGGAGACTATGGTCAACTTCCAGACAGAGTGTACGAAAATCTTGCGAAACTTAGACGACCATATGGGAAATCTACTATGCCTTGCAACGTTTGCTCGCATAGCTGCCGCCCGAATCTCGAAGAACTATACCAGTCAAGGAAATGACGGCTTTCCCAATTGGCTTCAGAATATCCGACAGTTCTTCGGACCTAAAAGGTCTTCCAAAACCCTAGATCTCGTTGTTCTGAGGGTTATTCTGGCATGCTCTGCCAATTTCAGCATGTCTTCTAATGAGGCGATACAAAGCGTTCGCCTGGCAATGGAAATATGCGACGCAGTCGATTCAGACCAGAGGCGAGCATGGATCGAGAAGAACTCTGCTAGGATCACTAAACTGCGCGAGAAACTTGGAAGAGAGGGCATTGACAGGAAGCTGCAAGTCATGGTAAACGCACTACATTACCATTGGTTGGAAGCACGCTGACATGTTTAGGGCCTTGCATTTCTCGTGTCATTGCTATCCAATGGTCAGCTATCGGAAGATCACCGGGCAGCCTGCAAAGAGATACTACTGTCTCATGAGGGCAGACGCGCCTTACAGGAACTACCTGATAACGCTTTCCGGACTTTCGTTTCACAAGCCATGGTGAGTTTCATCACACCCAATAGGAAACGGGATACTGACACCGCTAGACTTATCTGGATGATGCTGCTGTATCTGATATACTCCAATACGCTTTTTCTCTTATCAAAGAGGACGAATTTATGAGCAGTGATGCTCTTCTCTCAATACAGATCATGTTACGCATATTGTCCGCCATGCGACAATCGAACCTGGGCCTTCTTGCCCATTCAACATCCCGGTTTATATCTTCTGATATTGGAACTGAACTACTGAGCAGTCGCATGAAAAGCTTCCCCATGTCATGCCAAGCATGCTGCGAAGGAGTCGATATATGCCGGCCTGCGTTTGTTTCTATACAGAACTCACTTTTCGTTGACCTCGTGTTTCTCTCCTGCACGTCAACTCTCTCAGACAACTCTAGCTCTACATCGCCCTCCACTTTTCCAATGCTAGCTTCCTGTTTCTCTATGGTCAAGGAAAGCATATCCGAAAAGTGCCATTGTTCGTTCTCGAGCTCCAACCGCTCCATTCCGATCAGCATGCCTCCCAATACAACATCTGCAGTCCGTTTCGAAGTCGGCGCAAGCAAGGACTGGAGAGCTAAAATGGGAGAAAGTCTCATGGAGAATGCTTACAGCTCTCATGAAAGCATTATACAAAAAGTTGGAGAGATATGTCGCGACTTAGAATATCGCTGCCATAATGTTGAAGCTCCGTTGAGAGACGTGACAGACCAGCGCGACCAGTTAACGTCGGAAGTCGAAGCGCTGAAAAGGCACAACAGAGAATTAGGGATCCGCGTTGAACAATCATCTCATGCAGCTCTTGCGCTCCAGCAGGAAATGACACGGCTGAAAGAAGAGGCCGACAGTGCAACCGCTCGCTCACAGTATTTGGCAACTCAGCTTGCTGCTGCGCAGAAAGAACTCGAAGATGAAAAGCGAGACTCGCAGGAAACTGCTGTCTCTGAGCGAGAAAAGGCTAGGTCTAGAGAACTAGACCTCATAGCAACCCTCACTGAAAAGGAAGATAGAGTCGAGGAGTTGCATAATGAGCTCAACCATAGGTCAGCGGAGAATGAAAGGCTCCGGGAGACTATCGAAACTCTTTCCGAAAAGAACTCGTCCGGTTCTGAGATGATTGCATCGCTTAGACAGGAAGTCGATGAGCTCCAACAGTCCGTGGAGAATAAAACAAGCGATAACAACCGAATGGATTCTGAGATTAAGGCACTGGTATCTGACAGAGACAGACTACGTTCTGAGAGGGATGACTTACAGCATAAGGTAAGTAGTAAGTCATATGCTGTCTACTACATTATTCTAACGTATATGATACTACAGCTGGAAATCGAGGTTTCCGAATCTAATAGATTGCGCATCGCTATGCGGGAAGAAGAGGAATCCCACGAGTCTAAGGTCGCAATGCTCGAACAGCAATACCAGTCAGAACTATCTAGAGTAACTGCACAGGTAAGTCCTGTCATTTATTTACTCATTGTCCTATACTGACTACTCAACCAGGCACTACAGGAAACATCCCGGCTTACGGAAGAAATTAATCTCCTTCGAATAGCCTTGCAAGCGGCTGAGACCAAAGTATCTTCTGAGCGCAAAGAAAGCAGCAGAAAGATCAATAAACTACAACAAAAAGTAGGTTTCCCGACTGAGCCTTGAAACCTTATGTATGTATACTGACTCAGTCATAGATTGAGGCCCTCCGAAATGAGCGTGCTGCAAAAGCCCGCGAATTCTCCGAAGCCCAGGAACATATCAGTCGCCTTATGGGTGTGATGGGCTTCAAGAATGACCGAAAAGACACAACAAAGCCAACTAGTAGAGAGGAACGGTCAAAGCCTGCTTTGAAGGCATCCAATTTCCGAGAATCGCTGAACCTAGCTCAAGACAGCGTAAACGATACATCGTTCCAGGAAAATACTCAGCTGGGGGCCTCCTTTGAGTCCACAGCTTCTAGCAACTATGCACCAACCCCCAAACGATCAAAAGGCTCCCGCGGGTCACGGGCTTTGTCTCATGCGTCCTTTGATGATGGCTACGATGACAGACAAAGCCGAAAGTTCCATTCCTCTGGCTCTCATTCAGGCACCACACGAAAAGAACGACATAGAAAGCCTCTCGGAGAATGCGATCGAAATAGCCCCGCGAAATCCTCACAGAGCACCACCTCCAAAGGATCCCCAGATGAAGAAGTATCCACGCAATTAGAGAGTCAAATCTGTACGCAGGTCGAAGAACAGCAACTTGAAAACGCTAGCCTGGGGTTCTCAGACGAAGATATATTCACGAGCATGGCGGCTAGGCTAACGCATTGAATTGGTCTTTCAGATTGCTGCATGAAGTCCTCCTAGATCTTTTTGGATAAAGAAACAGATCCCTGTGAAATATGCTGAGAGACTCCAGGATCCTGATGCATACACTAAGCAGAAAACATGAAGCAAAAATACAGAAATGTTATCTCCTACTCAAACTCTCTCTGTAAGCTGCCGCTATTCCCCACGCATTAGGTATTCCCATAGTAGCAGATATTCCCGGCCCCCTTCATCTTGAGTAACGAACTATCCACATTCACAACCCCTTGTTCAAGACATTCATTCATCAGATAGAGGAAACTTGCCATCTGAGTAAATCAATTCATTGCTACCTCATGGCTATGAAATAACTGAGGGGTTCCAGGGAGGGGTATAAATACCCGCTTCTTTTCTTTCTTGGTTTCAATCCGGTCTCCATATTACATATAGCGCTTGCATAGGAAGCTCCTATATAACTTTGAACCCTCTCTACACCTTCAAGACATATATACATCATCTTGTATTCCTTCAAGGAGAATAAATTTATAGCCGCTGTCAAGTTGAAGATACACCACTGGTACCCAAGGTGCTCGTCCCATCTAGTTGGGCAGATGTGATGGACGAAGAGGAAGTTAAGTCAAAAGACTGTCAGTGAGTAAGAAACTTTCTTTGATGAGTTTTCAGAATACATGTCGACGAGGGCCTGTTTCGTGATGATGGTATCTAACTTGGAACTAAGAGATGAAGCGGTCTCGAACAGATCGAGACTTTGAACCAAAGTCTCCGGAATCACTGGAGAGCGTTTAAAGAAGCCCGAAAATATAAAAGACTCTATTGCATTCCTGTCCTTGTTCTTTCTCGGCCTCTCTGTTTAATATTTCAACTATACTTCTATGGGAACCGATTCGGTCAGCATGAACTTGCTCCCATCCTCAGCTCGCTCTTCGATCGTCTTGCTCGACTTCTCTCTTCGTTTGACTGCTTCGGACGGTCCGATAATGTGCATCGATCCCGCTCCTCAGCCCGCCCGATCACCCCATCGTTGCTTCAGACGAGCATTCTGGCAGAGTTCAGGGACCGGACCGTGATTGTAAGTCGGCATCGGACGAGACTTTTCAGATTAGTCGCTAACCGGATACAGGAGCAAATCAGGATGCCATGGATGGCATGGGGAAATGCCATGGAACAGACCATGGTCCGGGAGAACCCCGAGCTTCAACGCTTGGGACCTCTCCTGGTTATGTCGGGGGGAACGCAATTTAAACTTGAGAATCCTCCCCTCAAGCAGCAGACTGCGGAGCTAGCGTTCCAACTCGCAGCGTGTCGGACTAGTAAGTCCGCGTTTCTAGACCAGTTTGACGCGGACACGATCAAGATTATCCTACATAATCATCGTCCTTATCGATAGGAACCACACCTGAGGCGAGAACAAGTGAGTGACGCAGGCTCCTCGCGCATTAAGGCGCAATCTTCAATACGTGGTACATGTACTGGTATCTGAAGAGTCTCTGGATTGAAGACCAGAATCGTGTCAAAGTCGCCGCCACCACGCCCCGGGCCAATCACTCCATCCTCAGCGATGTACGTATCGGAGCTCTGTCCCCTGTCCCCTTGAATCCCCGTTATCTACTGATGCCCCATCCAGCAGCAACGGGACGAAGTGGAGTCATCTCTACATCAGTACGCGGAGTACATATATACCTTTCTTGATTTCTTGTATAATGTCAGATCCAGGGTGACTGAGTGACGATTTCTTTTTTGGTCGAGCGGTACAGAGTTCCAGCAAAGAACACTTCGATACTTCGCCGTATCCCTGTGCGTATAGGTTGATGAAATTGATCATTGACGACCTTGAGAAGCACTCTAAAGACCTAGAATGCAAAGACATCGTAGCCAGTCGGCTTCCTGTTTGTACGATAACTATGAGCTAGGTGTGTCTGTGATCAGGGGCATGGCGTGTATACTCCTTGGGTCTACCAGACGCACTAGGGATTTTGTCGATAAGACTTACAGATAATATGTGCATTAACTCCAGATTATACTTATACGAAGCTAGCCTTAGGAGATCCACTACTGGGTAATGCACCCAGAGGTGAAGGAGTTGGGAATACCAGGTACCACCAACTGCAGATAAACCGTATTCGTTACAAGGTTCCGAACTGGTAGATCGGAATCTACGACCTCGTGAAACCTGGTAGGCAGCCCAGATACAACGGGTTGCTCGATTGCTAGAACATCTGGCCAAGCAGGGTCTGATCACAGATGTGGTCAATGTGGAAATGGCCGATCAAGCACTGGCTTGACCGCCAAGAAGACGTCGTGGTGCCCCTGGCAGACAGGTTCTGTCTGTTATAAGGAATTAGGAAGCTAATCGACAGAATATGGCAGAATTCATGGAAGCCGTTGTTCGCATCTCGAGGAAAGAGGTCTACACTGGAAGACCCCAGGCTTCCCCTCCATGTAGTATGTACTGTACTTGTGGAGATCCTGGAAGATCGTCCACACGAACCTGCCAAGGTATGCACCGTTAGTCGACGGGAGTACAACCGTTTATATGAGGGTTGCCGCCGGCAAAATCACCAATGCTACGAAGATTTTCCTACGTGGATGAGAAGGGTTCTATGGTCTCAGATAACCACGTCGTCCTCGCAGACTACGCCCATGACGAGTCAGAATCATATGTTAGCAAGTTATCACATACCTGGATTGAGCAGATGGTTAAGAATGGCCTTGTTAGTATGATGGAGTTTGTTCCTGGAAACTACTGCACGTTCAAAAAGAGCGAGCTGATAAATGCATTTTCTTATCGGCTCGTCCAACTTGAGAGAACTAGTCCCGAAGTTTACGAGGTACTTCCTATATTTGTGACAAACGGAATACTATAAATATCGTTGCGGTCCCATAAGTGCGCTTAGGAGTCGAAGGAGCTCGATGCCGCACATTGGGGGGTCACAAGGACGACAATAGACCCGACTAAGGAAATGTGACTGATTCCAGAGGTTCCACTTAAACAGAGATCAGCACTCCTGCTATCTCTCAATCTACTCCGTAGACCTGATTATCCTAACATTCGGCTGTAGTTATCTAGTGTCGCGGTCGTCAAGAATAGTGCATTGGCTTCTCCGTGTTTACTGCAGACTTGCCAAAAAAGAAAGCTATTAACTACGGCAGCTAACTTTTTTCCTCGCATGAGCTCTATATCCGCTAAAGCTCTTTCGGAGAGCTATCCTCTTTAGCTAGTGGCCTAGTCTTATAATAGTCACTCAACTGAGCCGTCTTCCCTCTTCGCTAGAGGAAAATCTAGGAATACAAATGGCATAGTTCTCCTCCGCAGCTACTATCATATATTTTGCAATTCAAAACTTTTCACGAGAGACTTTGATGGCCTCGTAGAACCGGGGAGAGGCTACAGCGCATTCTGATAATATAACGGAGAAATAAAATAGTTATTGCCTGCAAAATGAATGGCTTGCATTGCAGGCCATCTCTCCGCGTTCGATGTGAACGGTCCCTAGTGGCGATGGCAGTCGTTCACGCAGTTGACTGTGCGCCATCAAGCGGTGAGGTCAATTGAGTTTAAGAACGCCAATCGTAACAACGAGGCCAATAAGCTTGTGTAAGAGGACAGTGTGTTTCCCAAACAAACACGAAATATGATCTCGGGGACCGACTTGAGAACCATGACTCCCGTTCTGCAAGTGTTGAACGTATACATACAATAGCTCCAAACCTACCTTGTGCGCAATTCCGCCGCAGCCTCTTCGTTTGAGGACCTTAGCTGTGAATAGACTGCTAACAGGTCGTCTGTAGAATCTTAACACGGCATCAATCAAGCAAGATGAGCTATGATCGAGCCTCATATAAATGAAACACGGTCCTTGGGATGCTCGGGGTACATATAGGAGCTGAGAATTTTTGCCGAGATAAAAATCAATGGATTTCTGGCTTGTAAATTTTGCAACATTGGACGTTTGTTTAGCTTAGCTTGGTGGTCTAGATAGCTCTCTGCGGTTGGCGCCTCAGGTCAGACTAACGGTTAGCTGCGGTGATCCGCGTCCTTGACCGCTAACTACCCCTCCAGGTCAAGAGAACTCGCTCCTCCCAACCTCCCCGTTAACTGTTATTTGATCCCATATCGGCCACTTAAACCCCGACGGTTTGTGGATACACTCCTCTCAGATACATACGGAGTACTACGGAGTATAGCAAAACACTTTCTTATAAGCGCGACAAGCCTCTTTTACCAAATGAAGCCAGTGCTCCGTGCTTTTAGGAGAACTGATAGGAAAGAACTAGAATTCCCGCCTGATAAGTGTACTCTGTAGCTCTTCATCGTCAGTCCACTAATCCTGCCGGGCGCAAGTAGGATCTTCTCTGCGGTTCGTCATTGCGCGACTGTCACTATCAATTGCTTCATGGTTTGGAATATTGCGAGGCGCGGCCCATTTTTGTCCGAGTGATGTGGACCTTCGCTATGGCACCAGCTTCAGAATCGGCAAACCCCGTCAGTCAAGTGGCATACATAGTGCGAGGGAAGTTGAAGCTAAACATGGAAATTGCAGCTGCCAGCGCTAGGTAAATACTTAGCAGTATGCTTTATCCTGCGGGAGGAAAGGTCACCAAGACAGAGATAAGGCAACAGCGTAATACCCTCACTTTTTAGTGAGGGGGATGAGACGCGCATTGTATGAGCAGAGGGGCTGGGTGATGGGGCGCTACTATGCTAAATCAGCGTCTACTGTTATCGCCTCCAAGAGTCTCCATAGCCAGCATGATATCAGTTTAGAGCATTTAGTGCCCAAGAAAAAAAAGACCAGGCTGGCTATGACAGCCAATCAGCAGGTTGTTTCAAGCTATTTGATGGCGGTGATCCTTATCCACGTGTTCCTGCATGGGTGATGTGTTTTGCCATCTCACAGTTTTTATGTATACTAACAACAATATTCATGCGTGTCAGTGTGTTTTAGGGCACTCCATTCTCTTAGTCCGGAGACGCCTCCTCTGTATGTTGCGATAGCAAGGCCGGGATGTGGAGTCAGAGAGCCTTATAAAACCATCCAACTAGGTGCCAATTCTGTTCAGTGCTGCTAATCAAAAATCACAATCCACGAAGGCTACATCCATCCCGCCCTGCGTTGAGAAACAGCTGGGCAGTGACGCTGTCTGTTGTTGGTGCTGTTGTCGTCTATGTGTGCTGTTAAGTCTGAAACAACATTCAGCATCACTTCCTCCTCTCATAACCCTTCTGCTACTTTATCTTCTCTCAACTCCAACCGTCAAGATGATGCGAGTATCAAGTTTCTCAAAGTCTGTACGCTCATTGACGTCTTCGAAAATGGGGAATATACTGTAAGTGTGCTTACTGTCCGTACAAAACGAATATTTCTATCATATCAAGATCTAACACGTCCCAATGATTATAGGACAACGCCCGATAAATCTCCTTCATCGGCCCCTGTCATCCTTGCCCTTTTGGGATTCGAAGGACCAGAGCGAGACCTTTTCATCAAAGAAGTTACCGGTACCGACCTCGTTCGTGACCAAAATACACAGAATGGAGCCAAGGCTTCTATCTTCAAGGGGGTCCTTGCAAACAGAAATATCTGGCTTGTGGACTGCCCCTCTCTCTCGGTGACGGATAAAGAGTTCCTAGATGCTGTCAAGACTACCATCCTCAAGGACTACACCGGCTCGAAGGGTGCTGTGGATGGCATCGTCTATTTTCACGACATCACAGACACAAATGTCAAGGAACAGGCCTCCAGAAACCAAGCTTTGTTTACAAAACTCCAAAGGCCGGGCCAGGACAATGTCATGATCGTGACCACACAGTGGGACCGCAATCAAGCAAGCGAAGAAGGGGAGCGCACCGAGAACGACCTCAAAGAAGCTTACGGTTATGCATCGCCATTGGAAGCATCAAACGTGCGTCAGAGTCACGAGTCGAGCGGAGAAGAAAGCAACTATGTTGCAATCGCTCGGGAGCTTATCGCCACAACGACCATTTCAGCTCGCATCGGCAACGACCAGCTCGCCAAGATGTCTCTCCAAGATCTGATCGCCATTATCACGAGTAAGGAGAACGAACTCATCGAGTTGAGGTCCAAGCTTCGAACTGCCTTGACGTCACACGCCCAAGAAATAGAGACAACAGGGGCAGCGAGACAAGCTATTGACGATGAACTGAAACAAGCTCAAATCACCATCAGCACCCTTCAAGAAGACCTTCAGCGACAGCAGGAAGAATTTTCCTCGGAAAAGCAGTCAATGGTAGAGGCACTTGAGAATGCCCAGACAACGGTCAACCATCTCAGGGTGGATCTGGAGAGAAATCACGATGAGACCACCTCCGAGATCACCCGGCTTCAGCACCGGTTCAGCGCCGACAAAAAGACTCTTGAAGACAAGATCCATCAGCTCGAGGGGAAAATCTCGAATATAGTATTAACCGGTAGGGTTTACACTCCAGATGAGACCCTGTCAATCTCCTCGGCCAGCAAGCTGAATGTGCTCGATTCTAGGGGCGAATTTCCGCTCTATAAAGCCGCCGCAGGCGGACATAGCGGTGATGTGAAGCAGATGCTAGAGCAGGGAGCAAACCCCTCACTGAGAACTTGGTACAAATGGACAGCGCTGCACTGGGCTGTTAACAATGGCCACAGTGATGTTGTCAAGCTTCTGCTCTCCTACGGCGCTGATGTTAATGCTGTGTCGGATACAGGAAAGACACCACTTAGCATGGCTCACGACGATGATATACGACAGTTGCTCATCCAGCAAGGGGCAGCAGCATAACAGTGACGATCGAGAGTGGATACTCTTATTTAACGGCTTATGAGATGAGATGATGGAAGGAATGTTTTACATTGCAAATATTCTGCAGATGACGGCGTTACTCGGTTATGCTTTTTGATTTCATTCTCTTCTTTCCCTTTTGTCTTTTTACTTTTTCTTTTCTATGTTCTCATACTAAACTTCGAGTCCCGCATATTTGTATTATTTCCCTTGATGAAAGGACTCGCCTTTTTGGCATTTATTCCCAGAAGATATTGTGAATATTGATTCCACTTGGTCTCGAGACGCTCAGTCTTTTACCATTTGATCTTTTCCCTTTTCGCTATTCATAGATTTTCGATGCGGAGATATTGCAGCGAGTCCTTAGAGCTTCTCCCGCAACCCCTGAGATCGACACCGATGTGCAGCTTGGCTTCTTCCAACTTTTCAGTCGAATCTAATTTGGTCACTATGAATCTCCAGTCGTTCTGTATGTGAATTATAGCGCATACTGTGTCCATATCTCCCTCCATGCATTGCGATATGTTGGTTTTACTCGAAGATCTCCTGCCCGCGAGGAAGCTACTAGAGCGTCTGGCTTTTACCGATGGAAGGATTTGTGTTCTAATTGTGCATATATTCCCATATCTGTTTCGCTCTCTGGGTACGGTATCCGTCGAGTCCTGCAATAACTATTCTCTTCTAGTCAGCAATATCAAGGACAAGATAAAGGAGTGTACAGCAAGAGCTACCCTGGATGGTTCGGTGTTTCTGTTTCTTAGTATGTGCCTGGTCTTAGCATTATTATCTCACAGCATATAACGGAGAGGGACGTCTACCATTGTCAAAGAAATTCAGAAAGAAATCGATAACTAGATCACGATATTGCCATGTTTTACCGACTGCGCCATCTGTCCAAAGTACCTTAAACAAAGACTGTTCAGCATCACGTGTGTATTCTTCCGCACTGAAAAACTCCCTTCATGCATATACGCTGGCTCCTACAACCTTGTGATTACAGATTTGTTGGGGTATCCCGAGACTACTCTATGTGTTCAATTATAACTGAGAACTGTGCAAAAACCAGTTGATTTATATCGATCGCTTGCTTGTCGGTATATACACAGAGGGTTGCTGCTTTACATGAGAGACAGAGCTCAGCACCCCTGCTAATATTCTTTGCTTTTTTCTAGACCTGATGGTCCTGACAATATACTATCCCAAGTCTGATAAACAGCAGACATGGATGCCGACCAAGTAAGTCTTATCCATGTGCAGGCTTCTTACGTTGTGGTGTCTATTTGTTATACCCGACTTGTCACGTCTATCTGGATAGCTGCAGTAGGGCTGCAGCTGTTATGCATCGCCAATGCCCTTCTCGTGTAACAGGGGACATGCAATGCAAACGGAGGCCTTGAAAGCTTTACATAGCATGGAACATGACGCAGTCTCTTCTATTTGATTAAGTCTTTCTGTTTGTCCGTCTTCGCGGCGCTGCTGCTCATCTCCTAACAAGATTCGTCTTCCAAGAAGGAGCACTGCTATAGCATCTCACTTTTACTGATCATCCATGTGCTATATTACTAGAGCACCGCGAGTGGCACTCAAGAACAGAGACGCCCTCGCCAGCGAGGAAGTCGTGGTCGTGGAGACCATCGCAACAGGCGCATGCGCGAGGAGCGCGTGCGGAAGGCGCTAGACAGACAAGAACTGAAGAGGCAGGAGGTCCTTTCTAGGACACCTTCTCCTCCTCTCACTCAAGCAGGTGAGGACATCAGACAGACTTGCTCCTTTGTAGGCTCTAGGCAGAGTCGATCTCCCATCTTCATCGAAGAATCGAATCTGCACAACGTTTATCAGCATCAGGATGTCATCTGCTCCAATTTGATGCTATCAACAAAAGGAAGACCTCACGTGGCAACACCTGTCTCCTCCACCTTGTGTTCTGTTTCTTGTCTTCTTCCAGATTTTAACCTCACTCATCCTGCCTTACTTCACTCCCACTCCTCTCATTCACGGGTCCAAACTTGATCTTCTACTCTATCAATATCATCCTGCCCTTTCAGACTACTCCTCTCAGCATGCCTCCTCGCAGGAAAGACTCAAGACCTCGTCCACAGCCAACAGCCTCGCCTTTCATCTTCCCATCACCACTGACTCACATAAATCTAGCACCAGGACCCAGTATGGGGGTTGGCCGGGTTCAAGGCACCGGTGGCAGGGGTGGTAACTCCCTCCTGCCACCGCCACGTCTGAACCCAGGCACGCAGATGCCTCCACAACGCGGTGCATCTCAGGCTGCTGCTCATATACCGGTGGCTGTTCCGTCACCACAGCCCCAAATGATGCCCCTAGCATTGATCCGTGCTCCTTGGAAGTCGTGGGAAACCCTCGCTGTGAGCCTCTCAAACGTCCCACCTGAGGCCAATACGTTTGTCCTCTGGCAGGCCTTCAAAAATGAAGGCCATATCTTTTCAATTGACCTCTTTGAGGATGCTCGCGGTCGACGAGAACACCGCGGAAAGATCCGTTTCAAGTTTGTCTTCACCTCATTTCATCTTCACTATCAAGGAAAACTGACATGGAACAGACCACCTCCGCACTCAGACTTCTGGAGAAAAGGCACGTATACTATCACGCTTTCTGGCGGACGGCTGGCAACCATATATGTCCATCTGGACACAGAACGCAAGAACAGTGAGAATCCAAGCCCAGTGAGACCTGATGTCTCCTATCCGGCCGAGATCGTAGGTTCTGCTCCTCCGTCCTACTTGATATTATTTGACTAATATTGTTCGTTTTCCAGAATCTGCCAATTCATACGATGGACATCGGTGTATTGTGGGATAATGATAAGATGTTACCCATGCGGACCGTTGGAGCTGGTTCTCAGGAGCATGCCAGTCTCATTGTGGATGTCAGGAGACGTGCTATAACTGTCAGCTTCCAGCTACCGATATTCAACGCACGTCAGAAGGACCTTTCGAACGGGCGCCTTCATGACTATCGTCTCAAAATCCCTTTTTCGCAGTTGACTCGCATCTCTCAGATCCAAGATTCCCCTTCAGATCCCATATCCCATGCCTTCACCCTTGACACTCCGCCTGTCTACCACCGCAAGATTAGAAACATTGGATCATCATTTGTGGACGCTGATAACAGTTGGAGGGATGCCGATACATGGTACCGCCAGACAGACATTGTCCGTACCCCAGAAGAATTGGCGCCTCTTCCAGTCTGTCTGCGCAAAGCAAAGCCATTGATCGATATCGGTAAGTACGGATCCGGGTGGATGCTGACTGCCATGGCTTATTTGTACTGTTTAGGTAAATGGACCACGTTCCGGATCACGTATCCCAGAGATGTCGATGACAAGGGCCAGTTCACAATGCTCTGCGATATGCTAAGAGATTTCAATGTTATTATCGAGTCCGACAGTAACTTTTCTCTTCAGCGTCCCGAGACAGCAGCAATCGTCCGCATATGGAAATGGATCGATCCGCCTGATAACCGTCAATCAAAGCAGTCATCTTCGTTAGAATACTTGGTCGAAGATGACTATGTCCCTCTTCCTTTTTCGGTGAGATACCAGTTGGAAGTCTGCCTTTCTCACGGCTACATCAGCGAATTCAGAGCCAAGAAGGAGTTCATCGACAAACTTGCAGCTATGGACGAGGCTAAGGCGAGACGACTACTGGAGCATGTGTCGACAGAGAAAATAGTGTATCATGACCCGATGGAAATATTCAATATAAAGTTTGTGAAAGGTGTTACGAAAACTAGGCTCCCTTCCTACTGCTGTTACATGCGCTCTGCCAAGGTGACCCCTAGCACGGTCTACTACAACACTCCCTCTGTCGATATCACAAATCGTGTTATACGTCACTATATTGAACATGCCGATCGATTCCTCCGGGTCCGATTCACGGATGAGAAACTGCAAGGAAGGATCAACTCTACGGAGAATAACACGATGGACGAGGTGTTTACCAGGATCAAGAGAACGATGGCGAACGGCATCACTATAGGTGATCGGCACTACGAATTCCTTGCATTTGGCAATTCACAGTTTCGTGAACATGGTGCTTACTTCTTCGCTCCTTTGCCCAACTTAACAGCCTCGAATATCCGTGCTTGGATGGGTAGTTTCGGCAACATCAGAAATATCGCCAAGCACGCTGCCAGGCTGGGACAATGCTTCTCCACAACTCGGGCTGTGACGGGTTGTTCCGTTCAAGTATGCGAGATTGAAGACATCGTCCGGAATGGATATACTTTCTCTGACGGAGTCGGCCGGATATCCAAATTCCTTGCTGAGATGGCAAAGACCGAGTTGAAAATAAAGACCCCTTCTGGGGACCCTCCTTCGGTATTCCAATTCCGCCTCGGAGGCTGTAAGGGTATCTTGACCGTCTCCCCAGAAGCGCAGAGACAGGAAATCCACATTCGCAAGAGCCAATACAAATTCGCTGCCATCCATAACGGCTTGGAGATCATTCGCTGGTCTCAGTTCTGTATGGCTACTTTGAACCGTCAATTGATTATCGTTCTATCAACACTTGGAATACAAGATCAAGTCTTTCTTGAAAAGATGCGTGCCATGCTTGGAAGCCTTGATGAAGCTATGACTAGCGAGTCCCACGCCATTCGCCTACTACAGAAATATGTCGATCCGAATCAGATGAGTTTGGTCGTCGGTAAGATGGTTGAAGACGGTTTCCAGCAGGCTAAGGAACCTTTCGTCATGTCACTTCTTGAGTTGTGGCGTGCCTGGCAGATCAAATATCTCAAAGAAAAAGCGAAAATTGCGATCGATAAGGGAGCCTGCTTGTTTGGATGCATGGATGATCTCGGTATTCTGAAAGGCCACTTTGAGAAGGATATGCCAGACAAAGATGCTTCATACGAAGAGAAGCTAGCTGCACTTCCTGAAATATTTGTACAGGTATCGCGTCCAGACCAAGGTGGGAGCTATCAAGTCATAGAGGGACCATGTATCCTTGCCCGCAATCCCTCACTTCACCCCGGCGATATTCGTGTTGTCAAAGCTGTCAACGTGCCCCAATTGAGAGAGCACAGGGACGTCATTGTCATGCCGCAGACTGGAGACCGCGATATATCAAGTATGTGCTCTGGCGGTGATTTAGATGGTGACGACTATCTCGTGATCTGGGATCCAGATCTACTTCCAGAGGATTGGTTTCGTGCACCTATGGATTATACAGCCACCAAAGCTGATGATTTGGATCGTGATGTCACCGTTAATGATATCACTTCGTTCTTCGTCACATACATGAAGAACGATCATCTGCCACGTATCGCACAAGCTCATCTTGCCTTTGCAGATCGCCTTGAGGGAGGTGTGAACGAAGAGAAGTGCATACGTCTCGCGCAGTTGCACTCAGATGCCGTAGATTACAACAAAACTGGAGCGCCCGCTAGGATGACTCGTAATCTGACACCGAAAATGTGGCCTCACTTTATGGAGAAGAAGCATCAGCCGAAGGAGAAGATCTATACCTCCAGGAAGATCCTCGGTCAACTCTACGACAATGTTGATCGGGTCAATTTCGTTCCTCATCTGGAAATGTCCTTTGACCAACGGATCCTTGACTGTGATATTGAGCCTAGCGACGATCTCAAACAGTTCGCCAAAGACCTTAAAGATGAATACGATGCATCCATGCGCAGAATTATGGCGCAACACGAAATCAAAACTGAATTCGAGGTGTGGTCCACTTTTGTTCTCAGTCATGCGAACATGAGTAAAGACTACAAATTCCACGAAGAGCTAGGTGCATTGTCTTCTTCTCTCCGAGAACGTTTCCGAAACGCATGCTACGAAAAGGTTGGCGGACGGACATTCGAGCTGCTAAGCCCCTTAGCAGTAGCAATGTATAAAGTTACACACGATGATATGGTCACTGCGTTGAATAAATATCGTGAGAAGGATGTGCACGATGGATTGCAATTTCACCGAGAAGTTCCAGAACTGAATAAGCTTCCCTTTATCAGCTTCCCATGGGTACTTTCAACCATCTTGGGTAAGATTGCAATGGGTGATTATGAGCAAACTATCAACCGCGAGCACGACATCCATGGGAAAGGGCCTGTATCCCAGAAATATCGTGGTCGCGCTACTGGAATTCTAATTGATGACAGCATACGGACCGATGTTGAAACTGTGCAGGGTATTCAGCCTTCAGGTCAGCTCTTGGAATTATTCCAGCATGATCCGTTCTCGAACAACATTACACACGACGTTCACTCCGCGCGTCAAGATATGACAGAGAATAGCAGTAGTATCGACTCACTGGACGACCTGCTTGACTTCGGCCTGTCGGAGTCGTCCCACGCGAGGTTCATTTCTTCTGCGTCTACTGCGCCTGTGTGCCTTGAAGCCGACTTCGACTTGCTCGATCTCGACGATAAACCTGAGAAGAAATCACTTGACGAAAGTCATCCCGCGTACCATGACGTGAACGAGAACTCAATTGGACAGCTGTCGGTGCACGAATCGGCCAATAGCACTATGGAAGAAGACAATGTGGAGGAAGTCTTCGACATTGTTGAACAAGATGGTGATGTGAAACCGAGCCCATTGGATATTCTCAACCAGCTTCTAAATGGGTCGGTGGATAACTGAGGCGGATTTCAAACGCTTGACACTATCTTTTATTAGTTTTTCTCTCTTTGTGACCTAGGGCTTTCTTCCTGTCCCCTTGCAGACAAGGGATTAGTTAACTCGTCCATAGAAGTCAATTGCAGCAATTCTAATGGGGCAGGTATTAGATGTGATTACAACATCACGCTTGAATAAACATGGATGCAAAGTAGAATCTTATTGAAGGGCCGGCGTTGGTCGCAGCGACTTGAGAATTAGCCATCAATTTTCATATGTCCATTCTATGTAGACTTGAATCTTCCAGAGCTGAATTAACTTTGTACAATAGGTATAACGCAGTTTTGAAAGAGTAAGAGCACATGGTTACAGTAAAGTATCGTACTTTGCATATTAACAACAATTCCGGTGATATCTAGAGAATCTCAATCAATAGCGACTAACAATGCGGATATTTGCTCTAGGTATTGCAGATAAGTTCGTCGATTGTAGCCCAAACCCCCTCGACCTTTAACAACGCATACTATGATTAGACAGGAGCTCCGTTTTCTCCCAGGGAAAATGCCTCTTTCCTTGACGCCTGCCATCCCATCCAAACCGTCTAATGATGCATGTTCGTCAAAGGCTTCATCAATACCGGACAGAACGTAACTCATAATAATATTCGTCCCTTCCATGCCCTACCAATCTAATTCGTTACCTCTCTCTTCAAGGAGTTTCGCTACCGGCTCTAATACCGCGGTCTTATTATTCCAATTCGCCACATGCCTGACCCTCGAATAGAAAACTGGACAGTCTTTGCTATCGCATGTGACATCGTCTCCGAAAGGAACACCCATGCACGAGCGACAGATTCTGTGTAGGTCGATAGTACGCTTCTCGGCGCGCTGAAGACGTGATCTCAATCGCAGAAGGGAAATATGGGGCTGAGCTAGACAGGCGCTGCATACAGGGAGGTCTGTGTTGTCGAGTTTCTCTCTGCATAAAACACAAGCTGAAGATCTCATGTAGGATTCGAGTGTCTTTTTTGAGTCCTTGGCGGCCGTGCCTTCGACACGGCGCATGCGTTGGAATTTGGGCATCTCGTCATACCATTGCCGGACATTTGCACCGACGAGATTGAAGATTCGTTCCAATGGTGGAATGATGTTTTTAGTGATATAATATTCAGCGTCTAGCTCCAGTTGCGCATCGTGAAGGAGCACTTCTGGTGCTACGCAACGGTCGATGAGTCTAGATCCTGGGGCTCCAGTGATGACCACGTACGGCACGCGTTCTCCGTACTGGGGTTCCAGACGTGGATCTTGGAGCATGCGTTTGACACTGATCAGAGCTCCTGGAGGAGGTAAGCCTTTTTCGCTGTATGTCCCGAGACGGACCTCTCTGGCGAAGCAAAAGTCTTGGATGGAAACACGACCCTGCATGATCTTTGCGCACTGATTTTGAAAGTATCTCTTTACCTGGCTCAAGTCTGCTGTTTTAAACAAGATTTTGAGAGCCTTTTCCTCGATTTTTTGCTCTGCTGGAGTACCGTCCCGCCGTACTGTCTCTATGCCTTTGGCATCGAATTCCGGCTCGACCTGGTCTCTGCGTTCATATTTGAACCCGACATAGCGCTTCTTTGCCAGGAGAACACACGGATGGTAGACTTTCTCGAACTTGAGCTTGATTGGCCGAGGGTTCATTTCGGTCACGGTTTTGGCGATCTCTTCTCCGATGTCAAATGCTTGCTCGCGCGAACGTCCTTTAAGGTAGACAAACAAACTGTCTGTGTCACCATAGACAACCTCAGCACCCCACCGTTCGACAGAGTGTATCAGCGCGATTGCTTTTTCAAGCGTCTCCCGCCCAGTTTGTACGATGCTGTCTGCGATTTCAGAACATGGCATTCTCCCCGAAAATGACGCTGATGTATAACCATAGGTCACGTTGGCAATCAATTTCAAAGCGAGCTGTCTGTTATTCAGCAGGCGTTGCAATGTCTTGTCCTCTTTGTCAACTTTCATTCCACTCTTAACCATCACTCGAGTCTCCAGAATCTCAGTGAGCATTTTAGCCAGGAGCGACTTGCGTATTTCAGGCTTCGCGTATATCATTCCATTTGGCGCAATATTAATGTCGTCCTTGAGGAGCTCCAGAATACGCGGTTGCCTCTTGTAGTCCGTGAATCCCATTTTATTCCGACCTCTCCAGTTGACCGCCCTTCCCAGGAAAGTCGAATAGCAATAATTGTATGCTATCACGACACTTGGATACAAGGACTGAAAGTCTAAGACCAGAAGAGGACTGGTGTAGAAGTCGCTCTGAGGCTCCATAACAAGAGGTATACACTCAAGCGCGTTCTGTTGGCCAACTTGCTTTTTGCTTGGGGATACCAGCATAAGGTTCTCGGGCTTTGCGATTCGAAACATCAATGATTCAACCTTGAATTGGGAACCTCGACTAATCACCGAGAAGAAGTCGATACCTAGAAGTCTCGCTTGTTCGCTGATCCGCGGGATAAGCTCGTTTGCATCTAAAATCTCAATGTTTATCTGTACCCTGGAAACGAAATAGTCGATGATCTTCATAAGATCACGGGGTTTTCCGCTTTTATACCAAGCAGTCAAATCCTTAAATGGATAGTGCGGGATTCTCCTGTGCAGCAGGTGGAATGTAACGTTCTCGATAGTATACTGAAGCAAGTTCAGCTCACTTCTCATGGCCCGTCCGATATTGATCATGTGTCGACCTGTTATTCTAATGCTGGAAGAGGTGTTGAAGCCCCAGAGGTCGTTTTCTTTGCCGAATCTTCCGTGCGCCTGTGACTTCACGCGCGATAACTCGTCACATAGATCATAGTCATACTTGCATCGAGCACGCTGGATCAAATAGCCCCAAGAGCTATTGTGCACTTCGTAACCAGTAATGATATCTGGGTCATGAAGCCTCACAATATCAACCAATCTAGTGATTAAATCCAATTCTGTATTCTCCTGTGCGACTTCGATTGTCAGAGCTTTAGACAGCTTCTGAGCTAATCTTTCATCCTCCCCTTGAGCGAGAATTCCGACGTGCACATTCTCCAACTGCGTGTTGACATCGAGGTCTTGATCGTCAGACTTGAGACACCAGAAAACACACGAGATCTCGTCTTCTTCCGGATTTGGAGCTAATGAACCACGGGTATTCACATGAACTTCGAGACTCATTACGCTCATGTAGTGCACTTGGTGTTCTACACTCGTCGACTCCTGCTTTTGAGAGTACTTGAAACCATGTGCGTTTTGTTGGGTGGCTCCCTCGATCTGAGACAATACATTTAGTTTCGTTTCGGGGGGAGGAAGGTCCATGTTTTCGTTCTTCTTCATGGTTTCCTCGAACCATTCGACAACTTCAGCCCGGGTAGGCGGCACAGGTGCAAATTCCCAGACCCTGCAAGATGAAGCTTCCCGAAGCCTCTGATCTTGCTGTTCTTGCAACATGCGATCGACGGTAACGGGAGCTCGCTCTCCAAACATGGCTGCTGATCTTCCAGTAGGATCGAACTCAGGCAAATACTGCAGGGTATCACTTTCCAAGCGGAATTCGCGACCGGCATATTCACGTTGGCGCTCAGGAACATCGCTTTCGTCACTATAGTATGCTTTCTGGTATACGACAGACGGATGCCCATCATCGTTCATGGTGGAACAAACCTCACTAGGGGTAGGGCCTGAAGTATAGTAACAAAGAATACGTCGGCTTGATGGAATGTTGAAGGCATGATGCATCGTCGAGCATACAGCAACGATATGAGGGTCGATCCATGTTGACGTGGATAGACTAGAGAAGGAGTGGGATTGCGATGAAGGGGGCTGGTATTGTTTTGACGGACTTGAGGTCTCCTCTTGTTCGTGCGAGAGTTGTGTAATCTTCTGAGACGAGTCCAGAGTAAGCTTTGAGCAAGCACTTCGCTGGCTAAACCGCAGTATCGTCGCAGGATCGTTCGGATCTTTGACTACAGGAAATTGAATGCGCTGGTTTTGACCTTCCCCAAGAGCTCGTAGAGTCTTTTGCGAGGATGATGGCTTTGACGGAGAAGACGGCGTACCACTTGGCGTTCCTGTCCTGCCGCTGAAGGTGGGTTCCCTCACTCCTCCGTTGACAGAGTTCGGGCTCTCAGTAGAAATGTCGAGTGTATCACTTCGAGCACGGGTTTTGGTGTCTGGATTTTCCGCAGAATAGCCCAGACGTCGGTGTCTTTTCCGTGCAGGTTCATGGGCGACTGATTCCTCTTGGGCACGCTTCAAAGACCGTCGGGTGTTATCAGTTGCATCGCCCGAAGCATCCGACTCAATCAGGGCATTTCTGCATGTTTCTTCAGCTTTGTGAAGATCTGCAGATGGCAAGAAAGGGTCCCCCGCGCAGTTATTGTAGATAGAATCATTTAGAGTTCGAATGTTGACTTCGGAGCTGGCTTCGTAGAGTTGTTCAGCGGCTTCACCTCCAACTTCGGGGTTGCAGTTGAGGGGATCTGGTGAAGCCTGGTCACTTTCCTCAGCAACAAGGTACGGTTGGTCGGAATACTCGTCATCGGAATAGAAAAAATTGTCTCCGTCTCTGAATGACAAGACAGTATCCTCGTCCACCTGGATTTCTGCAGTCGGTATCTCTCCTGCATGCTGAGTTCCTGTCCTTTGCAAAGTGGACTGCTGGAACTGCTGAGGAAACAATTCTTCCACGCTCTGTAAGACGGTCTGGATTTCACTTTCAAACGGTTTCCTCGAGACGAAGTTATCAAATGATAAACCATCGTCGCCACCGTCACGCTTTTCCTCGGCAGCAATCTCAAGGACTTTCTGGCGGTAATCATCTTCATGAATCCAGCCACCTTTTTCTTGGTTTCTTGAATCTGCAGACATAGAAACCAGCTCTTCCGGACCGAACGGTGTGCTTTCCGGGTCTGTCAGGCCCATTCTCTTTTTACGCCTGCGAGTTTCATCCTGCCATAGCCCTGCCATGCTGGGGACCAGTTTCAAATCAGAAGCCAATGGTTGCAGCCTCTCTATGAAATCGTGGTGCAACGGTCTTTCTTTGATCTCCAATCGATTAACGATATCCTGGACGCAGATATCGACTTCCAAGGGACAATGGCTCTGTTTCGGCAGGATCGAGTCATCTGAAATAAGGTCCCCTGGTATAGACCGATTATGCCATTGGTGCGAAAGGTCATTGAGCTCGAGATACTCAGGAACTGGCGCTCGGAATTTGACTTTTCTACAATTCATATCTGCACACCCGTACAAGTTGTAGTCACACATCCATTGCGGTATGTATTGGAGGTGGCTTTCATATGGTTGTAATTGGCGTTTCATTACAGCGCCTTGTCGCAAGAGATCCGCAAGTCGTGTTATGTGGAATGGGTTTAACAGATAGATTTTGAAATAGAACCTGTATCCCACGTAATACCCATAGAAGGGCGTCCCTTTCACGAGCGAGACATGAGCAACATACGCCGTCTTGCCGTCGTAGGCATTCCGCTGGTAGCTGACCGCCAAGGCATGGTCGATTGAAACGTGAAGGGTACGAATAGCTGAGTTTACTGCGCGGCACTTTAGCTATATCGATCCAGTATAGAAGAAACTTTACCAACCTTCATCCGGTTCCAGGCTCCCGTCGTATTCGACATAGAGATATGGAAACGCGCCATGGATATGAGCGCAGACCTTCTGACCTGTCTCCGTCGCGCCAAAAACGCGAATTACTGGGACTTTCAGCCTACCCTTCCTTCGTTCGCGGGGTTCATAGTCATATGGAACAGGAGGATCAAATTCCGAAGGTTCTGCTTGATAGTGGTCAATACAGTTCAGACGGACTTTGAAAAGATCCATCTGTCGTTCAATAGTGAGACACAAAGGTCGATATCAACATATTGAATGCATAACGAGGAACTGAGGAACCTCGACTCCAAAACCTATCCAAGAGAATAAGAGTCGCGTCACGGTTCTCGTCTCAACCTGAACCTATGTACATCCCTGTTGAGAATCGCGTCTTGAAGAATGCGGAGAATGACGTGCATAACACTACTTACTTAAGCGCGAAGAGGAACGCCTGATCACGTGGTAAGTGTGGGTCCCAGAGCTATCTCCGATCTCCAGACTCCGCGAGAGCTCATATCTTTTCTCTTTCGAGGCAGTTATCTTGCCAACTTCCCATATTTACAACACTCTTTCTGGTTCAATAATAATCGCAAATAAGACAGGATTATATCAGCATTTTCCCGACAGTTGCAGCCAGGATGTCGCGCAAACCCACCGATGTGGCGTCCAAGGAGCGCAACGAGTACATCCCGTCCTTCATCTCGAAGAAACCGTTCTATATCGATGATGACGCCACAGCAAACGACTATCTAGAGCATCAGCGCTTACAAAAATCGACTGCTGATCAGTCCAAGTGGTACGAAAGAGGCAAGCGTGCTGGTCCCGCTGCCACTAAGTACCGGAAAGGAGCATGCGAGAACTGCGGTGCTATGACCCACAAGACTAAGGAGTGCCTCAGTCGGCCACGAAAGCATGGAGCGAAATGGACAGGGAAGGATATCCAGGCAGACGAAATCGTGCAAGATGTGGAACTAGGCTGGGATGCGAAGCGGGATCGATGGAATGGTTATGATCCAAGGGAATATCGCAGCGTGATTGAGGAATATGAGGAGCTTGAGAAATTGAAGCGAAAAGCTAAAGAAGAAAGCGAAAAGAAACAGCTTGACGGCGAGGACGATGAGGATGGAGGTCACGATGAAGAAGCACGGTATGCGGAAGAATCAGACATGGGAAGACAACAGAGCACAGCAACCAGGAACCTGCGAATCCGAGAAGACACAGCAAAGTATTTGCTCAACCTTGACCTTGACTCCGCAAAATATGATCCCAAGACGCGATCAATGGTAGATATGGGAGCGCAGGCGGACCAGGCATCAGCTCTTGTTGCAGAAGAAAATTTCGTGCGTGCATCGGGAGATGCTGCAGAGTTCGAGAAAGCGCAGCGTTATGCTTGGGAATCACAAGAACGCGGAGGCAAGGACAAGATACATCTCCAGGCCAACCCTACGTCTGGAGAGGTCCTTAGGAAGAAGCATGAGCAAGAATCCGAGGCCAAACGTCAAGCTAAGCGCAAAGCACTCCTTGAGAAGTATGGTGGCGAGGAGTATCTGCAGCCCTCTCCTCTGAAGGACGCTGCGGTTGTTGAAAATGAGCGGTTCGTTGAGTATGATGAGACCGGTGCTATCAAGGGAGCGCCAAAGAAAGTGGCAAAATCGAAATACGCGGAAGACATTCTCATCAACAACCACACATCAGTATGGGGAAGTTGGTGGCACAATTTCGAATGGGGATATGCATGCTGTCATTCTACTGTCAAAAACAGTTACTGTACTGGCGAGGAAGGGAAACGGGCGTTCGAAGAGGCAGGCAATATGCTCTTACCGCCAGAGGGAGACAGCGAAGAGACCACTGCCAAAGAAAATGACGAGGCGGATTCGGCAGAGCCGAGGACAGGCGGTAGCGATCAAAATCAGAAAGATGCGGCAGATACCAACTCCAAGAAGCGATCGCTTATGGAGGTGCAGCAAGGCGTCAGCGAAGAGGAATTGGAGTCATACAAGCGAAGTCGCCTTGCTGCGGAGGATCCTATGAGTCGTTTTATTGGGAAAGATGAGCTTGTATAATGATTCTGTTTCATCTATTTATGATATCTACGTGGGCGTCTGATTCTCTTCCTGTAAATGCAAAACATGCTGGCCATGAAATTATCCTTGAGTTGAATCAAATGCGAACGAGATGGGTGATAAATTCACTATAGAAACGAGGAGCAATGCCTCGATTTGTTTATTCCTTCTGAGAGTCTGTTTCAATGAGATGTCAGAGAGTATTCTCCTGTCTAGGTATCTCTTTTCTTCGCCCACGAAATAGCTATTTTCATTGCCGTAAGGACTAAACATATGCTTTAATTGATCCACGCTCGTAGCTGATTTATACAGATACAGCTATGCAATAATGTATGAAGCCACTGTGTGAGCCATGTAGAATTTAGCGTCCAGGACGCAATCTTGATCGAAACGTTGAAGTTTAGCCACGAGTCCACGACTATGAGTATGAGAAATGGAGATGGGTCTGAACTTCGGTCTAGTCTAAGCTCCACGCGGAAGCAAATGTGGGTCTGCCTCTCAAGTCATGTGACGGTTGGAAGCCGGGCTGAAAGGATCACGGGACCAGGGTTCAAGCCCTGAAACCACAATTCGCTTAGCGACGCCCAGTTGAACTCTCAGCGAACTTCCGATACGCCCAGCGACGACGACAACGACAACCCGCCCTTCAACGGAATCACCAGGTGAGAGGAGACTCCTTTCGCGTCTCGTTTGCTACATGCTATAGGGAAATAATTTTGCTAACGATTGACGTGGTACAGTCCCTCTGATTCAAGATGAGTACGTTGCCCGCTCGATTCGATCTCCGCAACACGCCGATACTGTCGAGAAAAGCCTTGAAGACTGACGATGGATTATAGCGAAGGGTACCTCCAGCTTCGGAAAGCGCCACAACAAGTCGCACACTCTGTGCAGACGCTGCGGTCAGTACAATCCGACACCCTGTGCACGAAAAAGAAGAGTCTCGTGATGGAAATCTTCGGGAGGGGATATAAGGAAGACAGCTGACATTGATTTTGTGGATATTCAGGTCGCCGCTCCCTGCACATCCAGAAGCACACCTGTGCTAACTGCGGTTACCCCGCTGCTAAGACTCGCAAGTGTACGGATCCCTGAATCATCTTTCCCAGCTGAGACGTGGAGATTGTACCGCGGAGGTTTTAAGAAAGGACATGCGAGGCTTACATGGATTTGAATATACAGACAACTGGGGCGAGAAGGCCAAGCGGAGAAAGACCACCGGCACTGGTCGCACCAGGTACCTGAAGACCGTCGACCGCAGATTCCACAACGGATTCCAGACCGGCGTCCCCAAGGGCTCCCGTGGCCCCGAGAAGGCTTAAATGTCTTCTTACGTCGGATTTTGTCGGAAGCTGGAGGTTTGAAATGATGCGGCAGTCGTCTTATAAAAACAGCGGCTTTGGGCGTGATGATTCCAGGGGATGCTGAAGGGGCCTTTTCTGCCGCCAGGGTCCAACGAAAACATAACGGAAGACCAAAAAAGTCATGGGTTTTCGGTGGAAGAAAAGGGAAGGCGTGTGCATGAATTTCCTTTTTGTTAATCGCTGGCGAATATCCCATGTCAATGGCAGACACGGTATCTGGGAGATCTTCTCCAATACATGAACCTGTCTTACTGAATTCGAGCATTCTACGAAAAGGCTACCTTATTCCCAAATCCACAAAATAAAAAAAACACTTGTCTCCCTATTACTCTCACCCAATTCAATCCCAGGACAGGTCTGATTGAGATAACTCCTAAACGCCGCTGTTCGAGGAGGTTTCACAGAAACTCTCGATTCATTCGCCCCGTCCGAAGACCCTTACGCCTCCATCGCGCTGAACGAAGTACAAGACTTCTTTCTCCTCCCATGCGCCCTCGCCGGTTTCCTGATCCGGCCCTCCACCTTTGCTGATTCTCAGCACTCCGCTGACATCCTTAGCGGCTCCTGTGTCCAGATTCCGAAGCTGCATCACCATCGAAGCCCTATGCGCAAGACCAACAACAAATGCTGCATGCTCTGTTTCCAGTGGTGTCGCTTGCTGCTGCTGGGCGAAAGCAGATGCATTGTGTATCAATGGTGAATCTGCGGCTAATGTAACAACTGTCGAGTAGACGTGCTATCAGCTGTTAGCATACTCATCCCTTTCCCGGCCTTATTCAAAAGGCTCGACGTACCTGTTGTAGTCCCATTATCCATTCTCCCATATCCGTAGCAGAAATCCCATGACTCAGTCCCGTTGCAGCTAGTAGTAGGTCTGGCTGGTCAATAACTAGCAATATCTCACTTTCGTCATCATTTCCGGGCCCCTTCTTTCCCCTCAGCCCGTTAATCACGGCGACGATGTCCTTCTCTAACGTATCAAGTGCAGCCTGGCCGCGCCCAGAGAGATGCAGCCTCTTTACCGGTTCTGAGCCGGATGGAGCTTTGCCAACTGCTGGAGCCGGTTGCGCTGGTTGCGCCGGTGTCCGAAGAGCACCAGGTGCAGAGCGGACTGGGAGTGTCCCTCTCGAAGGTACAGCAGCTGGTTGTGCTGTGAATGGTGATGGAGCTACTGCGGGTGTAGGAGTGGATGAATGAAATAGTTCTGAGAGTCCGTCGATGAAAGCGAACCGTCCTTGTTCTGACAGACGGCCTATATCAAGGCCCTGGTAGAGGATATTAGTTATGTTGGTTTCCAATAGAGGAGGAGTAAAAAGAAAAGAATGAAAAATAGAGTGGTATCTTGGAAATTTGCTCTTGCAATGTTTAGTCTCATCTCTCCGGGAATAGACTTGGAATAGAGAGCAGGAATTATCATCATCATCATCAGAAAATAGAGGGGTATTAGATACAACCCTGGTTAGATCGAACGGATATAGTGTAGACTTCACATAAAAGGAAGGGCGAAAAAAGATCGGGCATAATAACAAGGGCACAGAATAATTGTAAGTCTTGCCAAATGAATGAAACATAGCAGAATATGAATATCTTAATGTCTTCCCAGACATGATGAAAACTAGCAGGGCAATGCGAATCCTCAATAAACACGCAGAGAATTTTTAAGAGTGTACTCACCAATCTCTTCGCCTCTGATTTCCAAAAATCCCACCCCCGCAAAAAGCTCAACAGCACAACTTTCTTCCTACTCCCACCAAACTCCCCAACACCATCACCACTCTGGAGCCCGATTCCCGGGGTAACGCCATTCCGGCCAGTACCCAGGGCCGCGAACAGTATTCTCAAGACCAGCCAATTGCCCGTTGCGCTCAGCACGGATGTGACCAGGGAGAGTGATGAGCGGGGCGGGGTGACATATGGCGTGAGCAGATGTGGGATGGGTGGTTGAGAAGGCATGATAAAAATAAGCTTGACCTTTTTCTGTGTCTATATCTGCCACATTTGGATTGTAATCTGTTGTGTGTACTTTAGATCGCAGCACAGTACTATTCTTTCCACGGTGACGTTTGTATAAAAAATGTTCTCGTGCAGAACCCCATTGGTTGGAGGGGCCGTAGGGCGCCAAGCCCGTATCTCGTCTTCTCCTCAAGACATTACTCTAGACTCTAGTCAGGCATCGTACAACCAAATGTTTCTAGTGGCGATTACAAATTTATAGCATAGTGATTAAAAGACTGCTCAATCTGCTATAGTAATCTTACAGCCAGACTATTCTGTATTTCCGTGTTGTTCGAGCCAATCTTCTGCTCTTTTTTGCATATCTCTCATGTTCTTGATAGATCGCTCATGCTGCTGAATATCGTTTTCGACCATCTCCCTTGCTTTCTTTGCATCATCAGGAAGTCGAGCTGCCCATTCTCTGAGGTCCTGCACGCCTTGTTGCAGCGAGACGACTGCATCCTTATGGAATTGTATGCTGGTCACTGTGTCCTGCCGCCCCAGTGACTTAATCCCTGTGGCTGATTGGAAGGTCTTTCCGGGGCACATTCGTTCAGCATCAGCTTTAGCCGCTTCATATGCCATCCGGTAGATGTTGGCGCTCTTCTCTCTTTGGCGGAGTTGAACACGGAATTGTCGCACCTGTTCCGGGTCAGACTCGAGATCTTCTGCCCCATCTCCGTTGGATTCGATGCTTTCCTGCTTCCATTTGTATTCATGGCGTAGCATTTCCAATTCCCACAACGGAGGGTCTTCTTTTCTCTGGCATACACCACCAGGACACAGTCTGCCAACTTCTTCTTCTGCCTTCTTAAGGTCATCTTCATTACGTTTTCTCAGCCGTTCCGCTTTCCAGAGATCAAAGCGCGCACACCATTCCTCATCCTTCGTCTTCGCAGTATCAAGTTTCTCTTGGTTAGTTCGGACCTGTCTGTCCAAGTACTTGAACCAATCTTTGTATTTCTCCACCGCTCTCAATGGCTCCTCTGCGAAATACTTGGCTCGGGAAGCGGCATATGCGCGTGCTTGGGCGGCCTGAAATGCGTCGCCATCAAAATTATCCGGCCATCCGTTTTCCCGATACAATCCTTTGAGATCCAAATCCCAATCACTCCATTCACCACCGCTATTGTCACCCCCTCCTGGTATTTCTTCAAGTGTCAAGTACCAGCGATTAATATCCCGCAGCACATCCCCAGCTGGTCGACTAGGGATATGCTCGAAACTGTTAGAATTCGCACACCTCACTTCACCATTAGGTACATCACTCAATGCTTGATCTGTGCTAGACCATCCTTCCTGATCAATAATCCAGATTTGGTGCTCTCGTGCATCATAGATGATAACACTCTGGTGATTACCGAGCTGAGACAAAGGCGTAACCCAAGGGCGAATGTAAGGACCATCCTCAGCCTCAAAGTCATCTCCTTGGGGATCGCCGTAGAAGGGATCGCGACCCTGTTCCACATGCTCAGGATCGCGGAAGTCAGCAAATTCCCCACCATGGAAGAAGTCGCGATTGCCAGCGAGATCGGTATCGATGTATGGTAAAATGCTGTAGAGATAGATGATGGACGGGTCCAGGCCATGCTCTTCGTACAATGGGAGTAGGTCCTTGATGTCATGGGGCCCTTTTTGAATACCTTCTGGATCGATGAAGCGCATCCTTGCCAGAGTCTGGTATATCTCGAGTAAGGAATCAGCGACTTCGTGGAGTCGGGCCTTCTGATCGGGTGGTAGTTGGTCCATCGTTGTAGGTAATACTACTGATGGGCCACGAAGCCATTTTATACTGGTCTGGCAAAGAAGAACGGTAAAAGATACGACCAGAGTAAGTAAAAGCTGCTGAGGTATGGAAATATGCATTTATTTTGGTATAGATGAATACCAACACTGCTCCCATATGGCTCGGGATATTTTAAGCTCTTCGCGCCATATGTTCCAGGCAGCAATGTGGTACGTGCACGTAGGCTGCCAAACTCAATTTCTATTAACTATCCATCATCCAATACAGGGAAATCCACTCGATTCCTATCCACATCTAGGCAGCCTTGGTGCTAGAGATTTCTTGATACGGATTAATTGACTGAGGCAAAATATGCGGGATTCTAGAAACGTGTGGGTTGCCGAAATTGACATGGAACCAAGACAACTTTAGGAATTCGAAGCTTCTGCGGACTGGATCAGCAAAGGGCGGAAAAGAGAAGAAGTTTGTCCATTGAATTCTATCCTTTGTTTTCAATGTGTAAGCTCATGGACACAGTAAACATGGTCGCGCATATCGAATTACTGTATCACCTACGGAATCTGTCCGGCAGGAAGGATTGTCGGAACTATATATAACGTCTCCCTGAGTGCTGTCATCCATCTGACCACGCATCTACTAGCTTACCAAGGATTGAACAATAACAATAAAGCCAAAACCCCCAAGCATTCCAAGCTTTGATTCTACAAGCCAGAGCGAGCGTGGGGGCAGATCCGGAGAAACCCCGACTTCCAACCCCGTGGGGAAGAGGGGGGACCCCCACGCGCGGTCTTTATGCCGTCCCAATTATATCAGGTATACCATAAGAAGTCCTGATCCACTGCTCCAGAATCCGCTCAGGAAGTTGGCCGAACATGATGAGAGATAGACGTTGTATGATGCGGGGGTGGAGCATACCCCAGATTATGCTGCTGAAGATGTTGTGCTTCCCCTTCGACCCGGGGATGCTTCTTCTCTCTTGATCCCATTTCCCTTATCCTGAAGATTTCAATACTTCTGGCAAGACATTGCACTCATAGGTCAGTGTATATCGCAAGATGGCGCCGTACTTTGGCCTTCGGGGAATGCCCCTGGTGATGGCCATCACATTGGCGTGCTCGATGGGTTTCCTTCTCTTTGGTAAGTAGAGGTTACTTTCTCATCCTAACTAGCCCATACTCATGCTCCGCTGCAGGGTACGATAACGGTGTGTTCTCGGGTCTCACCACAGACCCCTTATTCCTGGAGACCATGGGCAATCCAAATGCCTCTCTACTGGGATTCATTGTGGCCGTCTATGAGCTAGGCTGTCTGGGCGGAGCATTACTCTCCGCAGTCTGGGGTGAAAACCTGGGTCGTCGGAAGCTGAATGCCGTTGGCTGCGTTGTTCTTATTATCGGAACAGTCATTCAGTGTACCTCGTACGGTCAGGCCCAGATGATAGTCGGAAGAATCGTCACGGGCTTTGGTATGGGAGGCATCACCAGTGCAGTCCCTGTTTGGCAATGTGAGATCTCTCCAGCGCATATACGTGGACGAACGATTGCGATGGAGCTGTCGTCCCTTATCGTCGGTATTGTCATCGCATATTGGATAGACTATGGCTGCAGTGGCTACACCAATAGCTTCCAGTGGCGCTTCCCTATTGCATTCCAGATCGTCTTTGCGATTTTCCTAATAATTATGTGCTGTTTTCTTCCCGGTAAGTCAACCAGAAAAAATTGTAGTAGGCAGTAAGGATGCTGATATAGAGACAGAAAGTCCACGTTGGCTTGCCAGTCATCACAGACAGCAGGAGGCGCTGGACGTACTCTGCATGCTGCGAGACGGAAATCCCGAAGATGAAAATGTCAATGTTGAGTTCACCGAGATTAAAGATGCTATTGCCTTAGAGGAAGCCGAATCTGGTGGCTGGAAGGATTGCTTTACAGATGGTGGGATTATGGGCTGGCAACGAGTTGCCATCGCCTGTTCTGCACAAGCACTCCAAGAGTTTACAGGGACGAATATAATCACGTATTATGCCCCTTATGTCATGGTCCACAGCGTTGGGTTGAACTCTCATCAATCCCTGCTGCTCTCGGGTGGCCTGCAGCTATGGTTCCTCGTTGCCTCGTTCATTCCATGGTACGATATTCCCTTTCTCTAGTTTCCATCTCAATGCTGACCCCCTTTTTTCAGGTTCATTCTCGATAAAGTGGGTCGTCGGACCTTATTTATTTTTGGCAGTTTCGGTATGGGTTGCTGCATGCTGATATCTGGCCTTACTATCATGGCTGGAGGTCGCAATAATGGAATTGCTGCAGTCTGTATGCTATATATGTTCCAGGTGCGCGACTCCGCCTGATGTAGAGTGCATTGATGATAGCTAACTGTAATATAGGCTTTCTTCACGTGGGGATGGATGTCTAACATGTGGGCCTATCCGTCTGAAGTACTCCCACTTCGCATCCGTCAGCGCGGCAGTGCATTATCTGTTGTCTGGCAATGGCTCATTACCTTCTTGGTTGTGGAGATCACCCCAGTTGGCATCCAAAATATCGGCTGGAAACTATACATCGTGTTCTGTATTCTCAACTGGGCCAGTATTATTGTAGTCTGGTTCTGGTATCCAGAGACATCAGGCAGGACGCTGGAGAGTATCGATTTCCTGTTTGCCAGCCAGAACAGTCTTACCCAGGTTGTAAAACTGAGCAAGCGGAAAGATATAGATGGAATGGCTATTGCCCATGAGCTACAGGCACAGATACACGAAGACAAAGATGAAGAAAGGAGGCTCGAATACCAAGAAAGTAAGGTCCAGGTGGCATGAAACAGAAGGGCGATGAAATATCAACTCTCGTCCATGGTTGATCTATACCGTTGTGACACGCATTGCGGGGTATGGGGCTGTCAGCTTCCCATGATGATCTGCGACGAACTTGGAACGATTTTGTTGGCCCTGCGTAATACGCGCAATGGACTGGTATCTTGGCGTTATGGCTTGATTTAGGAGAGGAGACACTGGATCAGCGCTCTTGGAATCTCACGATGATATCAACTGTAAGAGACAATCAGAATAACTAGCAATTACATGTGTGCCAGCCGGGTTATCACATCTCAAACACTTTCCAAGTAAGGAAACTGTTGTATTTGCCTAAACGCCGAGACGTCGAACGGACCCCAGGACCCACAGCATGGGAATACGGAGCTGTGGAGTCAGGAACTAGTAGTTACTCCAGGTAACCGACATGGTAAAATCACATACTAGCGATGAGAATCACCCCAGGTTATGTTGTTCATATGCCGCTGGTCTATATCATGCCAGCAGAAGAACTCGCGCGAGAACAGCCATACCCCTGGGCGGAAAGGAGCACGTGGTGATGCTTATTAAGGTTGTTCCTGATCCCTGTAGACGTCTCGTCACGTGCGATACCGATCAAAGTCCTCAGGCATCAAGGAACCGCGAGCTTCAACGGTCATAACACAGCAGATAAAGCAAATTCTCTAGGCCAATCTATTGATTTAGCGACTCAAGCTATTTATAATCATTCTTCCTTACACTCCACAGTATCCGGGAGCACATTTGCTGTCAAAATCTACCTCCAGCCCCTGCTGTCTAAGAAATTTTCCGTTCCGCAATCACCTGACTGCATTGTTCCCCACCACCATCAGCGATCTCTCCTCAAGTCAGTCAGTCTGGCTCCTCAAGTCGACGACATGTCTTGAAACTTACAGGATCTCTTCCTTAGCATGTGGATGTACGATCTATCATCATTTTGAACGACCGTGAATCTCCAAGGCTGGTGTTCCTTGCTAACCGTAAGTATTCTGAGCAACTTTTTTCTTCGTACCCCCGCGAAAAAGCTTCTAGCCCGCGCCATCTCATACTGTAACCCTGATATTCTTCGAAACCTGACGACGGTTGCATTTTTACATGTATCTTGCCTCCTTCTTGGAGTTTGCGTCTCATATCTCCTATTTGTGCAACCGTGTCTTGAGAACCCTTGTAATCTCCGATTTTAGCGCTTGGTTTCACGAACCCAGATTGGATGTCGATAATCCGTCCCTACGAAGGCGTTTTGATTCACGTACCCCGCGCTCATCAGCCATACCATATACTGACCAAAGACAGATGGTTCCAGCTTGGCGTCAGCGGCTAGGCATTATTAAACTTCAATTTTGCATGTTCGATTCCAGCTAAAACCAAAGAAACGATGGCGAGCACTCGGGATTCACATTCATACGCTGTACAGTGTCCTACCTACTACTTTTTAGTAAGATGGATCAGTCATACTAATCAGCTACTGCTAGTGCGATGAATGCCGAGTTCGAAAGTCAAAAGTAAGTATTGGCTTCTCTTTAAGACATCTGTTTTTTTTTTTGGTTTAGTCCCCCGTCTGACTTTTCACAGTGTTCGAAAGAACGACCAACTTGTGCACAGTGCAGACAGCTGCAGAAAGAATGCAATTATAGCCCTAAAGTATCTAGGAGTCCTCTTACAAGACAGTAAGTGTTCTATTATGTCCTGTCCCATTTCGAATGGAATGCTGTCCGCTCTCCATGTTGGTATGTTCAAATTTGGTAACTCTTTTGCTCTAGGCATCTCACATACGTTGAAGATCGTCTTCATGCTTTTGAAAAGGCTCTCGGAAATCTCTTTCCTGGGACTGATCTAGATGGTCTCGTGAATTCTCTCCTGCAGGATCAGGAGAGCCGGCCTAAGGCCGAGGCATCTCCTTCGGACTCGTCCTCCAGACAGTCTCCCTACATTAAGTCTGAAGTCGAGCGGGAAGAGCCTGCTCCAGAGACGTTGCCACAGCAAGCAGATGGATTTGATTGGGCAGAGAAAGAGATAGCCCTTGGCGACTTGACCGATGGCATGGCCGCCCTGTCTATCAAGCCGGAAGGAGCTGGATATTTCGGTTGGTTTTCCCAGGTCTTCTAAATTTCAAGTACTTGCTGACTTAGTTTCCCATGATAAAAGGCGCCTCTTCAAGTGTGGTGCCGCTTCGAGCCCTCAGAGACCACGGGTTCGATTTGAATATTCCCCGTAGCTCCAAGTCAATCTCTGCTCATCGAGTTCCGCGGAAAGCACAGCTGCTAAGCTCTGCACCTTCGGGCCTTATCGAGCAAGCCTTCATGGATGCTTATTTCATGAACTACCACACCAGTTATCCCTTCGTCCACGAGGCAACTTTTAGGGCGCAATTTTACGAACAGATCCCACGTCCACATGGTCCGGCATGGCACATCCTCTTGAACACTATTCTAGCTCTCGGGGCTTGGAGCATTGGCGACGACACATCCGACTTGGATATAACATTCTATCAGGAAGCGAGAAGCCAGCTGCAGCAGATGTCTGTCTTTGAGGCTGGCAACTTGACACTCGTCCAGGCCTTATTGCTTTTGAGCAACTATGCCCAGAAACGTGATAAGCCTAACACCGGTTGGAATTTTCTGGGGCTTGCAGTCCGGATGGCCATGAGTCTAGGTCTTCACAAGGAGTTCCGCGAGTGGAAGATCAGCCTCCTGCAGCGGGAAATCCGCAGAAGGCTATGGTGGGGAGTTTACATTTTCGACAGTGGAGCTGCAAAGACATTTGGGCGCCCAATACTGCTCCCCGAAGAGCACATAATGGATGCTAAGCAAGTGCTCAATATCCCCGACGAGGTACGAGACAGACCTAGAACCATGGAGGACAACACCATACTAACATTTATCGGAAAGGCCCTTATTCCGTCCACTACCACTGTTCCACCGGAATCCGATGGCCCAACCATATATTCAGGAATGATCGCCCAAGCCCAATTCCACCTTCTCACGAACAGTGTCTACCAACGTCTCATTTCAACCCCAAGTGTCACCCCAGAGGAGACCCTGGCTTTACAGAAACCCATGGATGATTGGTATAATAACCTTCCGCCTTACCTTCAACGACCCTGCTCAAACCCAGAACCCGACTGGCTCGCCCTCAGTCGGAACCGGCTTATGTGGCGCCAGTGGAACCTACGAACACTGCTCTTCCGTCCTATCGTACTCCGCTGGGCATCGAGGAGATGGACTCCTAATGTTCCTACGGAACCTGAGGATCCTGCAGAGAGGGAGTGCAGGATGTATTGTCTGCAGCATGCCAGATCTACCATCCTTTCGATTAGCGATTATATGGAAAATAACATGTGCACAAGGCTAGGCGTGTGGTATATTCTGTACGTTCTCCTTGCCCCATCCGTTCCACTGTCCCGCCAACTGATCGCTCTAGATATTTCCTTTTCCAAGCTGGGGTCATCCCAATCATCTTCCTTATGACAGATCCCACGAACGCGGACGCTCCTTCCTGGCTCCAGGATATTGACACCACGAGAAGGCTTCTCTCCCACCCGACCCTGAGTACTAACGTTCTTGCCGGCCGTTGCTTGGACGTTATAAATCGCCTCTGCTCTCCTATCGTAACCACAACCACGGGTGCAGAGCAGTACGCACAGCAACAACTCATGATGCACTCACCAGGCCACTTGTTCAACGATAACCCATTCAGCAATCTCTTCCCACCTGATTTCCATGGCGGTGCTGTGGATTTCTCCGAATGGGTCAATTTCCCTACTCAGGGTGACTTCACTTGAATCATCGCTAGTCCATTCGGTTATAACACAGACCCTATAATGGATCTACAATGGCGACCGATTCCTGTCCCTTGTATCCATCCGTGATGGATACTGAACCAGAGAGACGGACTAGGCTACCAACACCAGGAAAGAAACCCAGCAGTCGCTGAGGTTCCACAAAGAAATGACTGTGTCCAGACCCTGCTGACAGGACCGCTCACTCGCTGTGATCATGCGCTACCCGACCCTTTAAACGGCTCTTGGCCAGGAAAATGAACACGGCTAGGGAACACTCTCAGCATGGAGCTGGAGGGATCTGATTTCGAGACTCGCTTCAAGGGAGTCGACTGGAAGAAGCCAGTGCAAAACTCTCTAAAATACCGCGCACATGCACACATAGCCGACAAAGAATGAAAGAATAACAACGGCTAGATGGAACAGAAGAAATGACATAGACTAACTTAAGAGAATAGAATGCAATGGGAAGAGATTTTTTTTTTACCATGCCCCTTCTATGTAATTGATTCCTGCTTACGTAGTATTTTTTGATCTCCCAATTCCCGAATTCTGTCTGAACATTCCGTCCACACCTTAACTTTCACTCCGTAATCATCATCTCAAGTTTCATTTTACTTCATCATACCCCCCGTTTTCATCTAATTCTATACACGTATCACGTAACCGAATTATTAGGTATAAATACAGTACAACTTTTCAAATTTCATGAAGAACTGAAAATACCCTGGAGAATATATATTCTCCATGACAATAAATAATGCCGCTCACTCACTCCGCTTTACCAGCACCCTCACTGAACTGGACGCCCCAAATCTTCCATCTTGCATCTTCAATAATGTCCTTCCGCAGCCAGAGCCCATTTCTAGTCGCGGGATCTTCATCGTTATTGTCTTGTCCTTCGTGACGCTCACAGTAATCCACCCAAGAGAAGAGAAGTCGTAATTGCCAGAGACGATCTTTGATTTCATCCGACGACCAGCTGGTGCCGGAGGCTGTTCGGATAATGCTCTTGACTGTGTTCTGAAGGGTGAGCTTGGTGTCGACAGCGGAAGGGCGCAGCCAGGGCGGAGAAGAGACTGTTCTTCCGTCTCTGGCGTATTGAGAGCGAGACTGGAATGGGAGAGAATGCATAACGAGGGCTCGTTCCTCCAAGCCCAATTCTCGCAGCGAGGGGAGAGAGAATATCCAATCCCACAAGTCTCTGGATGATGGCCGCACGATGCTCGTACTAGGCGAAGCGGTAGTGCCCTGTGTGATCGCTCCCTTGATGCCACCTGCTGCTGTAGTTGAGGGTAAAATATCTTGCATTTCGCTGAGGCCCAGTAGTGTGGAAGCGAAGACGGAGGACCCGGATAGATTAAACGATGTTCTTCTTCTTAGGTACACGGACTGGTCACCTTGGTAAAACTTCTCACGAAGCCCACTGTTGCGTTCGAGATCTAGTACGATAGGCCAGTGGTTGGGGCTCTGTAGTTTGATAACGGTGATCTCCTTCAAGTCAGGAAGAAGGCATGGGGCGGTCAGTGTTCTCGTCAAGCCACTCTTCATGGTCAATGAGATAGGCGTTGATACAGGACGTCCCATGTCGAGATCTCTTGGAACGAGACAGCGAGATTCTGTGGCTAGAACCCACATGTGACGGAATGCTTGAAGGTGGCATTTGTTATCGAGCACAGTTGTGGGGAAGATTGGGTAGAAGGCACACAGTAAAGATGCAATTGCAAGATCAGATGTTCCCAGGGTGTAGGTTCCTCCGGCTAAGAACAGCATGCCAATAGCCATATGAGCCGCCATATGGCTTCCGTAGGGGGTATCAGGGTCGACAAGACCATGAAGAGAACGGAGTCGCCTGAATACGGCCAGATCCCCCGTTCCAGCCATGACTGCAGCCACGGAAAGTGCAACGATATCCTGACAGTTACGAACTGAATTTCGTGCTAGCTTTCCGTCATAGTTAACAGCGGGAAGTCTGCATATCCTCATAAATTGGTCAAGATACGAGATCAGAAGATCTCTCGCCTGAGGCAGAGCTGAGCCTGCATAACGCAAACCGATCGTGAAGCAGAGTCCAGCAATGATGTTAAAGAACGGCATATCATCACTGCTTAGACGACGAATACTCGCGAGTCGATTCCGTCGCCGGTAGATCTGCGGAAGACTCTCAAGGAGCCATTCATGAGAAGCGCGGATATTATCCCACATAATTAAATGCCTGGCCACAGTTCGGAGAAGAAATATGTCAGGCCGGACGTAATCAAACTGCGTAGTTGTGTCGGGAATATCTATCTTCTGAGCGAGCGCCTTGTCATTTGTCTTCATGAAAATGATCATGAGAGCAATGGTAGCTCCCGCAGTAGCTCTGTCAAGAATGTGAACAAGATCAACATTCTTCGTACCAACGGCGATTGCCAGCAACCTCTCAACGACGTTCATATCTCGTAGACCCCTCAGGTCTTTACCCTTACCGAGATTGATAAAACCCAGGGCAAAACCAGCTGCTAGACGATAACCTTCGTCCCTTAAGTCTTCTTGAGAGATTGTGCTTTCCTCGCGGGACACATTTTCGAGTTCTGACAGCATAACCTCACTCATTCTCCTGTGCTGAGAATTGCAATAGAGAAGGCCTATGCCCATTATTCCAGCGGTTTGTGTCAGGGGCGACAGATTCAGTTCCGCAGCACCAGGAGGAAGCATCCTAGTGACATGCACAGACAGTAGCCTTGTGATGAGAGTATCCATTGTACCGAGATAGGACGCGGAAAGACCGAGAAGAAGACCAATTGATGTCATTGTGTGTTTCGGTGTCAGATATTTGAATGCGACCCATTTTGCCAGAGTTTTCAGGTGCCCATTCAAGCCAAGGGCAAATAAGAATCCGGCGTGTCTATTTGTTAGCTCTTGAGGTTTGTTGAAAAGTATCCATGACGTGTCAATGCCCTTGGAAGACTTTGAGATGGCAAGGCCTGTCGAGACACCATTATGGAAAAAGGCCCAGCACACCTTCTCCTCGCTAAATGAAGCTCTGTCGGCACTAATGGTCACATTTGAAGGTTTCATCACACATTGCAACGAGAAAGAAGGGATAGGAAGTTTCTCGGTCAGAAGGGGTGATCGACTACTGAACATGAACATGGAACGCCCTGCAGGTATGGAAAGGGTCCTGAGGGTCACAAGTTGCACAAGCTCCTTCTGCGCCTCTAATAAGTCAGAATCAGACCATTCTGGCTCTGGTAAACATTCGGCCACGGGTGCTTTGGACTGGTTCAGAAGCTTCGCTGCCTCCACAAAACGTCTGTCTTCATTGAAGATGAGCTTAGTAATAGACGATTTATCGGCCTCTGCGGACGCCTCGAATGAGTTTATCGCATCAATATCCAGGGCGGATGAACCTATGTGATGGAAATCGCGCACTGCATCGTGCGCTAGAACAGGTTGGGGTCTTGAAACCGAGACAACAGAGCGGTTATTATTCATCGAGATGTAAAGGTCATCTCTATCGATCAGCTCAAGAAGCGTAGATGTCCACGACGCTGGAGGGTTCACTTGGCAACGAGTGATTGCTTCGAAGAGTGGAGCGCTGACACCATCCGGGAAAGTCTCAATCACATTGCGTGTTAGACCCCAGCGGAGTAAGAGTTCGACTTTTTCTAATGTCGATGGTGAAGAGCGAGCTTCGGAGAGATAGCCACGAAGGGCCAGGGTCCTTGGAGTAAGACTGAAAGCTTCTTCCCATAGTCTCCCTTCAGTTTGCGTCCGATCATGTTCTGAAACAACTTCCAGGAGAGTGAGGAACGAGCCTGGTTGTTCACGCCAAATACTCTCTATGGAAGAGAATACTGAAGGGGGCGGAAATGGCTCCGGTGGAATATTCAGTTTTGAGATTTGGGAATCTTCGAACGACCAACAGTCTATGCTAGCCATTTCGCTTCCATAGTAGCTGTCTTGCTTCCAGGTCCAAGAACCCCAGCCTAGCCACCGGCCAATCTGGGCTAAAACAGGGGCCAACATACCCATCTTTCTATAGGAGGACTCGCTTTCATAAGTAAAAAGCTTCTGCTCTTCTCGTAAAAAATGCAAGCAGATCAGGATACTGCACAAAGCAGTTCGGCGTGTTGCCTCACTTTGTGACGATGCAGTAGGAAGATAGCCTGCTGCACCAGAAGCAGATTGACCGATAGGATTGCGGAGAAATTCTCTGGCCAGAGAAGCACATTGAGTGACATATGGATTCTTCTTGTGAGATAACCGAGGGGATTTGTCGAAAATGCTTCGTTGCTCCGTCGTTGCTGTTCGTCTGGGGCGAGGAGGATCATCAGATGCGTTAAGGGATTCTGCCTGTGTGATCCAACTCCAGGAGGGATTCATCATCCAAGACGGAGCAAAGCCAGATGGGCCAGCCTCCTGATCCAACATCGCCTCCCAGTTTTGAAGGTCAACGTAGCTCCCACTGCTTGACCGAGGGAGTGCTCTCCTTCTCCGAGTCTTTTCAGCTTTGGTCTCGCTGCTTGCGATGAAATCAACCGCCATAGTAAACAGAAGGACCACCATCGCTGTCCACTCTAGGTCGTAGCCAGCATCATTCCTAGACCGTAGCCAATTCAAAACTTGCCACCATCCGACAAGTATTCCCTCGCCAGCTTTCCCGAAGTCTCTCAGAGCGAACTTGCATACTGCAATGACTTTTCTCACCAGAGCATTCCTCGGTTCCATGCGTACTTGAAGCCTATGCCTCCTCCCATGGGAATCTACTGCATCAAACCTGCCCCTCGTGGACGGATTATCCAGCCCGACCAACTTTAGCGGTAGGTCGATCAAAGACTTTTTGGCCCCTGGCTCTGCTGACTTATGGGCAGCTCTAGACAGCGACATATCACGCGGTTGATTCAAGCTCAGGGATGGTAATTCAATCTCCATCGGAACGCTCCATGGTGACTGCAGGGCTAATCGGTTCTGTCCATCCGCAGTCACTCCCAAGGTCAGGATTCGAGACACTTGTCCATCGACCACTCGGCAGGCGCCCAGTATGTCAGAGCCATGTTGTATCCCTGTTACTTTAACAGCAAAGAAGTTCTGATACGGGGTATTTCCAGTTTCAGTTTTTGGTTTCGACCCGCTCAATGTCCCCTTCTTTGGGATGACAGCCCGCTCGGCTTTCAGAGAAACCAGGGTAAGCGATTTCGAGGAAGCATCGGAAATACAGACGGCGACAGAAGCCGAATCCCTGTTGTGTGTGTCCTCGCCATCGCGCGCGCGTAAAGTGAATATCTTTGGCTTCGTCGATGCGGTCGAATCAGTAGCAGTATCAAAGGATAGGGAAACATTGCCGGGAAAGCTTTCGATTTTACTAAGCATCAATTCTTTCGACAGACCGGCGTTTGATTCCCTCAGGTCCATGTCTTCAAAGCCGTCCAAGCTTCCGCCATTGTTAAGTTCCTGCAGTAGTTTATTGACGCGGAAATCTAGAGGGCCACCGTTGTGGTGCACGGAATCTCCAACATGTGGTATAGACGCTCGAGGGTTGAAATCAATGCTTTCTCGAGGATTGAATCCTCCTAGAGACTGTCTAGAAAGACTAAAGTTATTAGAGTAGCTCTGGTTCCCGGTAGCAAGGTCAGAGAAAGTAGCTCTGTCCTGGTTGGTTGCAAGATCTGCTCGCGCAAGCATTGAGCTGAGGCGTCTTGACGTCTTCGAGGGACCAGTGATATCTCCAAATTCTTGTCCTAGTTGTGTAGCAAAGTCATCTATGTCATCTCCTCTTCCTTCTGACGGATGACCCTGCAGATTGGACATTCCCGAAATACTGCGTCCGAGGTTAATGCTACCAAAGCTTTCTCTCACCCCGGAGGGACGCGCCGCAGGGGTTGTTGTGCCCGTAGTCATTCCGAAATGAGAACTCCTCCTCTTAGAACGAGTACCTGTAGCTTCAGATTTTCGTTTGCCTTGGTGAAGCAGTCGATCGGTCTCTTCATGTCTATATCGGCCAGTCCATAGTGTATACATTCCAGTATTGGAGTTAAGAGTCACGACGAGGATGAGTGGGAAATTGGATGCATTGCTGATATGAGAGAGCTCGTCTTTTTGAGACATGTATATTATCTCTTCCGCTGAGTCCAGCATATGGAAATCGCCTGCTCTGTGGCTTCCGTAGACAGAACGAGAATAGCTGGCCACGACCAGTCCCATCTCAGCGTGAGGATCCATGAGAGAAAAGACTCTAGGAAGACTTGTGTTCTCTTTGGGTTTCTGCTTCCATGTTGAAGCTCGAGGAGTCGAGATGGTCTGCGATGGCCGCGCATGCTTACGGGCAGAACCCATAGAAAGCTCATGAGCACTTAGTCTCGTCTCTGTAGTCTTGACCGACATAAAAGAATTTGGAGGGGCCGTTGGAAACGGTACAGGGCCACCCTGAGGCCCCTTCCGTTGGAATAGAAGGCCCCGCGGAGTAGGAAATACTGTCTCGACTTCGAAAGGCAAAGGTACAACGTGACTATTGCCAGTCAAGAAGAAAATATGCGCTTGAGACTTCAGCACGACGACAAGTGCCCGCGAAAGCTCATTTCCGCTACTATCATCGCCATTTACACGGCTGTTCTCTCTCTTGTCTAGCGATATCCGCGGGATTTCGATATCCTGTTTCTTTCTCTTTGTGGTGGAATGCGCTTCGCGATCTGAAGATGAGGTCCTCGAACTCTGGAACAGCCCTTTTCCGGATGCCTGAGAACTTCGTTCATTTGTTCCAATCTTCTCTGTCGGGAAATGTGTGAATAGGACATGGCGTATCTCTTCCTTCTCGACATCCAGCCTAAAGACCCTCTTCAAGACACCGCAGCGAGACCAGACCACGCAGGTCTTTGTGTAAACAACCTCCTCGTCAACAGGTCCATCCGGTCCATCTTCTGCCTGTATTGTTTGCCACACATAATCATTCGTAGACGGTTCTGGTGGGAGTAGGTGTTCGGCGACCAGAAATGGAATCGCGGGGGGTTCATGGAGGCCCAGTGACCGGACTGACGCCATTGTCAGACAGGCGTTTGTTCAACGCCTTCAATAGGACCAGCCGGAGAAGCGATCAGTTCGGTCATGCTCATCCTTGGGGCCACAAGACGTTGAGCGGGCTGGAGAGTGGCCGATGCCCTTGTCGACTGTGAAGAGCGGTGCGAGTGCTTGTCCGAAGGTAAATACGTGACGCGCTGCGCGCCCACTCGATTTTCGGCCACTTCCAGACACCAACCGAAAGGGAGCTACATCCAAGCTTGCGACGGTCTTTTGCTGCAACTCAGTCGCTATTACGCTGCTGTAGCTCTGGGAGGAGAAGGCTTAGGGCATTTGCAAAGCATTCTACTCTAAGGATCAGATCGTGCTGCTTCTTTTGCGCTATGCGCAACTGATCTTGTCCGTGCCTTCGTCCCTTCATCAACCCAAATACATACGCCACCTTTTCTTCTCGGCGAGATGCCCGGCCTCCCTTTGGCAAAGCCATTGGTAAGGCAAACAGATGGCCGACTACAGCTAAGGTGAGTTGTATTCTGGATTCGTGTGTCCCTCGTGGAAGCTTTGCTAATCGCCACTGCACTACAGCTATCAGCTACCTCACCGTGTCTACAGCGCCAAAGCCTACCCTACGCTGTCGCCTAACGGCTCGTCCATAATAATTTACGGCTACGAAAATGGCTTGAAGATCATATGGAGAGGAGGAAAACACTTCAAACTTGTCCAGGATGCTTCTTCCACGGAGCAAGACAAGAAGCCTGATGGTCCAGCCAAGGACGACGCTGTCATGATCATCGACTCAGACGAGGAAGAGACACCTGAACCCCCGCGGGACGAATCCGCGAAGGTTGCTTTTGAAGAGACGGAGGCAGAAATCGATCCTTCACGTCCTTTCAAAGAGATTCTCCGTCACGTCGACATCCCTCTGGGGTCTGCAGTGCTCAGTTTAGCGGTTCCTCGTTGCCTCCCGGAGGGTGCGCGCTCGCCGCTGGATCCTTTGCCACCAGTGCTATCGAAGAGGATCGTAGTAGCCGCCACATGTGCTGATATGTCTACACGGATCATCACTCTTCCTCTAGTTCCTCCTCACGTATCTAACACAGATCCGTCGACATGGGGTCTCCAGATACTTTCTATCAGCGGTCTTTCATCTCATCAGGAAATACCCCGTGGGGTTGCCCTGACATTTACTTGCCAGGAAGACGGAGAAAGCCAGAGTGATAGCAGCTCTAGCAACCCGAGAACTTCTTCGAGGCGCGAGTCCGCGTCAGGATCTGGGGGCAGATGGGACCTGTTGTTGGCTACTCATTCAGCGGAGGCCTCCGGTACACTCCTAGTGTATCGAATTCCGGTCGTTGAACAGTCAAATCAGGCAGAGAAGGATTATTTGCTGTCTGAGTCCCATCTTCATCCTGTCCAGAGACGCTACTTGCCGGCGCCTGCTAAAAGCATTTCTTTCAACCCCTCTCCCTATCCATCACAGCGTCATGCCAACCTCCTAATCTCGCTAGACAACGGTTCAGTAAAGATCTATTCATATCTTGCCACAAGCTCAACATCTCCAGGCGGGCGCCGAGGCTCAAACGATGATCTGGACTTCACAGATCCAGAAGGGAGGTGGTTAATGACCCTGTACCCTGGTTTTGAGCCGTCATCCACGGGCTTTACTTCTCGAAAGACCATCCTCGATGCGCAATGGGTTCTTCGTGGAAGAGCCGTCATGGTACTTTTAGCCAACGGGGAATGGGGTGTATGGGATATCGAAGGAGCTGGTCCAGGTAGTCAGCAAGGCCCTCTGCGCTATCAATCCAGCGTGCAGGGAGTGACAGGCGGCTCACTCACACTTTTCGCTGTGAGTGGCCGAGTCGTCGCTACACCAGAAGGGAATAAATCCCCTGCTAGTCGTTCAGTCTCCGAGCAACGAAGCAAGTTTGCGCCTATGACGCCTTCCACGAAGAGACTTCGGGAAGATACGTTGTTCAAAGGGTCCTCGAGTCCCTCGCAGCCTTCTCTGTACGGTGGAATATCCGTTATCCAGACGAGCCCCTCAAGGGACACTGCTCCCGACGAATCGATCCTCATCCAGCACGGCAATAACAGCGCTATCATTCCCAACCTGTTGGCTTTGTGGCGGAATCACGTGAAGACCACTGGGACGTTCGACTCTTTGGAGCGTTGCAAGATGACTCCTGTGAGCGGTGTGAACCTTTTGGGTGAGAAGTTGAACTCCGTGGATCACCTCCCCACATCTCACAGCGCACGAGAAACAGGACGAAGGGAATTCGACATCCTGATGGCAGCAGAGCATCAGATTATCATAGTCGCACAGGAACTGAAGGAGCCGAACGGCAAGCTGGAGCCGAAACACTCCCATGCAGACTCGAGGTCTTCTATCGAAGCTGACAGGCTTATGCTCGACAAGGGCGAGCTTGGCGTGGAGGGCATGGATCGTATCCTGACGGGTATGGCGAACAGGGGCAGTCCTCTGAAGAGAGCACGCCTGTTTACCTGAGAGAGAAAGTCTGTTCTCCCAACATTTCCCCTCCTGTCACGGTTGTCGAGGCTTTTCTTTCCTCCAAAAAAAGCCTTTTCAATGAAATACGAATACCCATATTTAATCTTACACCCTGTTTTTTCATCTGATAGCTACAGAAAGCACACATATACATATATTCCTCCCATCTAGCAAAACATCCCCCGAACCCCTATCACCCAAGGGAAATAACTCATCACTTTCTCATTTTCGCGACGCAAGGTGGAGCGCAAGGCGAGGACCGTGCCTTGAAATTCCTTCCCCCCAAAGGAAGGAATAAGCTCTGTATTCGACGCGATACATCAAATCAAACCCATTCCCTACAAAAAAAAAAAGACAACTTCCCACCACCCAACGTGACTCTAACCAGTTACGGCTCCTCTTTGACCTGTCGATTTCTCTATCTCTCCGCCCTCCTTTCATGACCGATCTGTTATCGTATTCGTGACATAAGATAAAGATTGAATATAGTGGACGGGTTACCCATCATTCACTCATTCACTGGTTCAATTAGTCTTATGTCACAGATAACATACCACCTCCACATCGGTCATGAATGGGGACAGGAACAGGGAAGTATTATTCGACTTGTAGAGAGGACTGATTTCAAATCAGGGGAGGTTGTCTTCATATATATATACATATGGGAATGGGACATTTCATTCGTAGGACGTAGATTGATTGTAGTTGTGAAACTAAGTTATGCATGGATCTAAATCAGTTTTCTTTACTGGATAATAATGCCAACGGCATTCGATTTTCCTGGGTTATTCTCTCCTACAATGTAAAATACACACTTAGTCACAAGCAAGGTGAGTTGTTTCAATTTTCAATCAATATTTAGCATTTCTTTCTTGATATGTTTAATTTGAGAGTTATGTAACTATCCACCACATATTCTATACAGACTCCAATGGATGTCTGCCATCATGTCTCAAGATGCAAGTAGGGTAGGGTCTGCGGAAATGCGAATCCACACGATCCCGAACAAAACGTCTTCGGGTCCAAAGCTCGACATAGATGCATGCTCCTTTATCTCTCCAGAAAGAATAATTCTCCCCAGAAGAGAGGACGAAATGCAACTCTTGCAAGCAAACAAACCACGCGCTAGCTTAAGACTCCCAACATATTGTGCCCATATACACTCCAGCTCGACTTGTGGACACTGCAACTGATGCAGCTCAACCGTTGTATCCAAGCGATTCCAGCTCCTTGCGGACTGAATCCTCTGTGCGGATCTTCTTCATCTGAGTATCCTCGAGCTTCTCGCCCCCAGCCAGACGCATCTTCAGATCGTCGATAGCGCGGATCTTCTTCAGAAGACCGCGAATCTTCTTCTCCTGGGGAGTGCCATTGCCGCCCCCTGGCGTCGTGGGAGATTCTGCCTCCGCCGGAGGAGCAGGAGCAGGCGCTGCAGCACCGTTAGCCTTAGCATTCTGCTTAGACGGTCCTGTTGGCGCACCGTTAACAGTGCTGTTCTTGCGGTCACGACCTTTAGCATTGGAACGGCTACGTGAGTGGCTCCGGCGATCAGGACTGACGGACGCATGCTGGCCATTGGGTGGCGCGAGCTGCTCCGTCGCGCCTTCGGCCTCCTCCTTCAACTTCTTGGCTTCGCGCTTCTTCTTGTTCTTAGCAGCAGTCTTCGAAAGAGGCTTCTCCTCAGCACCGGGGGGCAGAGTCACACCACCGCCTGGAGCGGCTCCGGGCGGCAGGAACTCGACCGGCTCAGCGCCGGGCACCTCCCGTCTGCGAGGCTTGCCAAACCCATTGGCGCCAACACCACCAAAGGTGGGCGCACCGTCTCGCACGTAGGCAGCTCCACCCTCGTCCTCTCTCTTGAATGCCAGAGGAGTACCCTGGCCACGGGCTCCCGGAGGACGATAGGCACCAGCAGGCTTGGTGGGAGCCTTTCTGGTGCTGAGGTATGCCAAAGCAGATGCGTGAGGCGTAGGAACGGGGTTGAGAGGATCACCAACCAGCGGGTGCTGGATGGTAGACTGCGGCCTCCAGCAGACCTCGTAAAGCTCATTCATGTCCTCATTGTACATCAAACCACCACCGACGTGCCAGATCCGTACTCCGTTGTCGACTCTCAGACGTGGGCTGGTAGTGGCCGTAAGGATGTACTTTCCATCGGGAGACCATTCGCACACACTGGCGTTCGAGGCCTCAATAGTCGCGACCTTTCGGTAATCCTTCTCCACGTCATAGATATCCGTCTGTCCAGCCAAGTTACCAAAACCGGCAACGAGGACAAAGCGGCCATGAGGAGAAAACAGGATGGTGTTTCGAGGGGCGAGAGGGAAGTTCTGGACAGGCTTTCCACGGAAGTTGAAAATCGTCGTCTTCGCAGGCATGTAACCATAGACCACACCAAACTCTTTCGAGTTGGGGGACCAGGCGACATCGTGAATAGGGCCTTCCTTGTCTGATAACCAGTCAGTTTCTGGGTCCTCATACCGGAAGAAAGAAGAATAAGAAGCTTCTTACCAAGATCGACCCTCGAGTCAAAGGCGCCAGTGGCACTAAGCAGATAGAGAGTAGTTTCGCCGTAGTAACTCTTGCCGGTCTTGTCGACCTCGGTCTGCGCAAGAACAATCAAAGTTGTACCTGAGTTGTTCCACTTCAGCTGCACCTTGTCGCCCTTGAAGAAGTTCTTCTGGGACACGGGAGCACCGAACTGAGGGACACTGAACACCTTAACCGCAGCGGGTTGACCCTATAACGAGCACGTCAGTTATACGCTCAACTCTACACCCTCAGCCATAGATAGGAGAAGCATCGCGTACCTTGCGTTCAGGCACAAACACAGCAATCGAGTGGCTCTTTCCAGGCGACAATGCGAAATCCACTACACCCTCCACCCGCAACTTATTCCACACATTCGAAAGATCGTTGCTCTGGAAGAACTGGATCTCGTTGGTGACGACACGGGCGCAAAACTTCTCATCAGCCGTGTACTGCAGATTCCAGCCCGTCTGCGACTTCTGGACAAAGCGACCCACGATCGCATGCTCGTCACTCTCCGGAGATCCTTCAATGACGCGCCACACCTTGAGGTTCTTGACAGCGTCACCATTCTCGTCCTTGCCGGGACGCTGCCAGGTGATGGCGTATGTCCCAAGAGGCGAAAAGCCCAGCTCGTATACGTTTTCTGCAGGAAGAGTCGTGATGACGTGGCCGACGGATGGATCCACGATAGTGACTCTGCGACTAACGTCAGTATCTACATCCACATACAGAGACGGGGAGTATCAACATACCGTTCCGGGGACGCCCAGGCGAAGTATCGACCGCATGGTGAATAAGAGCAGCAGCGGAGGTTCCCCTCAGGTCTAGAAAAGCCATATTAGCATAATCCTGGAACTGTCATGACAAACGACCAAAATGGACCTACCTCGTAAACCCTGGCAAAGGCTCGTAGACAGGAGCAGCGTCGACAATTCCAATTCCCTTCAGCGTACGGACTATATGTGACAAGTCAGTATCAGCGATCACAGACGAAACGCCAGTCGGGTCGCCCCACGAGAGAGAAGCTATCGCTCTCTCTCCAAGGCCACCGGAGGCGAATGTTATAGGCAAGAACACATACAGGCAAACTGCGTTGGAGCGGCCATGACTATCGAAAGCCACAGCAAGTGACACGAGATCTCCGAACGATTTAAACGCTAAGGTGACACAGTTCGCCGCACCTTGTGGGAGTGACGGGGAAAAAAAGGGCGGTAAGAGATCGCGTGTGAAGAGAAACAAGATTAGATTGTTTTGCTTTCGCACGCGTGATCTGTCGTCGTCTCGGGACCGAGCAGAAATCGCTTATGTTTCTTTTTTTCGTTTCTTTTCCAAGGCGCAGAGAGAGAGAAGTTGTTCTCTATCCTGCTTTGTTTGGTCTGGTCGCGAAGCGCGTACACACAAAGGGAGGCGAGGGAGTCAGCTGCTGTCGAAGAGAGGCTCTTTGCTTGATTTGATCGGGTCCTTGTTCGGGCAGTCCTGCGATCTCCCGTGCTTGACAAGTCAATGCCAGCGATGAAAAGTGGACGGGAAGAACTGTACGAGAACTGGGATGGGAGGGGGGAGAGAGAGGACAAGAAGGCGGAAGAGTGAGTAAAGGGCGGGATAAGAGGCGCGGGTTTGGGGGGGGTGGGAGGAGGCGGGCAGGCGGGAAGAGGAAAATTTCGGTGGTTGCGGAGCGTTGGAGAAGCACCGGACGCTGGGCGCTCCGGGGCGAAACACGGCGCTTTGGACAGGTTACTTAACTAGTTACGAACGAAGCTCTCTTGTTCTCGACCTCTGCCCTTGTTATCCTATTCGACTCTGGCCCAGAGCTTCATCCTCATCCAGTCTCGTCTCCGGGAGTTGGTTTCCAGTGCCACCCAGAACATACTAGGAGGACGGCGGATGATGTCATGTAGAGAGCTTGTTCTTCCAGGGTGATTTGTTTTAATTAATTCATTGAATTACCTGTCACGATACATTATTTATTGACTGATTGATTAGCATGGTCAATGTGCCACTTTTCTAATAACATGAAGATCCATATGGAATTCGCTCGAGCTACAGTTACTCCGATCACAAGAGCAGTCACCTAATCCTCATAAAAAACAATAAAAAATGTGGACAGAAGGACCTCACAGGATCCGTACATACAAATGCGACATCTAGAAGAGAAGAAAAAAGGGAACTCAATCAGGTATCATCACTAAAAGAAGGGAGGAGCTTGAATTATCAGCCTGGATGATTGTGCCCCCACTGATCCATAAAATAAAATAGCAGCATGTGGTCCAGCCCATTATTGAAGTCATCTCAACCTTATCTCTCCCAAGCGGACAAGATCCTTAACGGCCTGCGTCAAGACGGCACTGGCTCTCTACCTCCCGCTATCCCATGCCGCCCGTGGCCGCTGAGGGCCCTGGCCCGACAGATCTGAGCCCGCAGCACTGGTGGTTCTGCTGTGAGGAGACACCAGTTGCGGAGTGCGAACGGTCGTGTCAACTACGTCCGGATCGTAAGTCATCCCGTCGACCATGCGCGCGTCCGCAGAGGCCTCCGGCGTGTTGGATCCGGTGACGGATGGAGACGAAGGGACCACGCCGCTCAAGGGACTGGCGCTGCCGTGCAAATAAGAAGCCATCAAGCTGGACCGGGCGGCCGTTGGACTGCCCAGCGAATTGGGCCGTCCGCCAGAGGACATCCTGCTCAGGGCAGCGTTCGAGACAGGTCCACTAATAGTGCTGCTTGCGCCTTCTCCAAAGCCGACCAGGCTGGCATTGCATTCATCACTCATACCACCGACGCTTGAGACGCCATCATCGGGGTCCTCGCTCATCTTGTCCGGGTCAAACGCATCGCTACCGCTGGCCCAGGTTGTACGTCCGCCCACACTGCCCGTTGCGCTGGCACTACCGACAGTGCTTCTCTCCTTGATGTGAGGATAGTTGTCAAAGTACCCTTGAAGGTGCGCAGGGAACGGCGTGTTGACATTCATGCCGCTGCCCTGAACAGCGCCAGCGCGAGCAGCAGCCACGCGCTCCAGCCCAGCCAGTCGGGAGATGCGATCAGCGCGTTCCGCATCTAGAGTGGTGGTCGATGTTCCAGACGCAGACGATGAATGATGAGCGTGGTGACTGTGCGGATGGATCTGGCCCTGATGGCCATCTTTTATGGCGGTGGTTGACAGCGCCGACAGTGACGTGGTACCTGAATTTGGAGTGCCCCTATAATGCCCAGACACCGTCAGCAGCCTGTTCCCCGATTCTCTCCAATGTAAGCAAGGAACAAGGATCTCTTACGGTCCCATTTCCGACGGCGTGACCGGATCGGATGGCGGGGGAGGAAGGTTGATGAGAGTGGGAGTCGACATCGTTCGCGTATTAGTCCTGGGGTTTAGTAGCTGTGAAATGAGAAAATCTCTTCAACGAGATGGACAGTTATCAAAAGAGAAGAGCTGGCGCTCGTTGCTCAGAAAGCGAGTCCGGAGGGAGTTTTCGGCGTCCCGGCCCCGTTTGAAGAGAAGTGAATGATCCACTGGTCACCAGACAATCAGCGTTAACCAGGCTAGATCTGCTGTTTTTTTTTTTTTTTTTTTTCTGCAAGTGTATTGGTGAATCTGGAAGAAAAGAAGCGCCTGGGTGAATCGATGTGCAACGCGCGGCTAAATTTCCGCAAGATCCAAAGCTAGTAGTAAATTGTATGTGAGTACTGGAGGATTAAGTAGAACATATGGAGATTGAAGCGGGACAAGGGAAAGAGAAGCGATTGGATTACGCCCCAGGATGCTGCCCTTTTTTATGGTTGCCCTATAATAGTCTGGAGCTTGTTGGTGTCTAAATAATAAGAATAATAAGAGGATGGAGCTTCTCCGCGCAAGTGAGGCGAGGCAGCGGGATGGGGGGGTTGGTTCACTTGCTCTGCGATGCTATAAAGCGATAGGGGGCGGTCTGAAGACGTCATGGGCGGTACGGCGGAGCTGGGAGGATCGCGGGATGCACCGTCGATCCGCACTCTGCAGTACCATATCATATATCATTGCTACCGTTGCTTATGGTTAATCGCTATTAACTTATGATTCTTTAACCCCCTTGCAGACAACGCATACTCAAGGCAAGAATCAGTCAGGCAATCCTGTATTTTATTCTACGTGCAGAAACTACCGTCGTTGTGTACAGTACAAAGTACAATATATAGTCAGTGAGACTGGACATCGCGACCGTAAACACAGGTATCTTATAATGTTTCTACCACGCTGTGGAATCGAGAACATGTTCACGTGAGAAGTTATCCGTACCCATCAGAGCCCGTGAAATGGATGGTTTGGGTGGTTCCAGTCAAGCCGCATATGTATGTATGGAATTGGTAGGAGGTCAGCTGAGAATGTAAAAAAGGGCAAAGCCCATAACTACATTCCATAACTCGTGCGGAAGGTGTTCCTATTGTCAGTGACTGGGCTTGCGGCTCTCATATTGTCCCCGAAGAGCATCCACTTCTTGTTGTAACCGCGTAAGATCAGCCAGGATGCTGTCAGCATTCGATGGCTCCGCCACGGGCACTGTGGGTTCATTCTCTTTCTCCAGATGAAAAGACCGAGGACGAGAGCTATCAGTACTGCCGCGACTAGGACTTCGTGCCCTCCTCGGGGGCGGGGGAGGAGGCGGCATATTCGACGGAGACGAACCAAGTGGTTGTGATACGCGCCTTGCGGATCTGATGGAGGGCGTCCTGGACGATGCAGGAGATGCTCCCCTCTCACTCTCCTCCCCACCAGGCGGACCGCTCGACGTCGAGGACGTTCTCTGAGGAAATGGAAATGCAGGAGGGGAAGAACCGTCGGATAGCTGTGCACTGATCGCCCTGCCGTGACGTCGGGATGGAGGAGGGGGCGGGTTCTTGATGCCAGGACTTGGTGTAGTAGGGTATTTCGACTCGACGGACGCCTCTGCAATTATGATCTGACTTGGTTTGCTCACTGAAGCACTTGATTTGACATGCTTCATCTGACTCCGCCGTCTAGCAAGCGGTGGTGTTGGCGGTCTCTTGGACTGCGATGGTTTGCGGTCGGGGGAGTCTCCCGGACGGGATGTTTGGTCTCCGAATGTGGTTGTAAAGTAGTCCGTTGCTGAAGGAGAGGTAACAGTTTTGCTGGTACCGGGAGAAGAGGTATTTATACTCTGTGGCTGTGATATATATGAACTAGGCGTGTTTGGTTGAAAATGAGATGTGGTAGGCTGCGGGGTTGGTTGCTGATTGCCGTCCGATTTGATCAACTTTCCATGACGTGCCTTAGGGGGAGGAGGTTTCTGCTTCCTCTCAGACCCTTGGCGGTTGATTTGCACTTTGTACCCAGCCTCAGCTTCCGCAGATGACATTTCGTGCGACGTTCGTGGTGTATCGGCGCCAACGGACGGGCAATACTCGGAGGCGGACTGTCGAGATATAGATACAGCATCTGCGCTGCTGCGACTCTCATTCGAAATATCGGGAGCAGTTCTTGGCCTATTCGAAGCGTTTGGGCTGTCCTTCATCGACGATGTCCGCTCTGTCCCAGCATCTCCCGTCAGAAGAAGTCTGGTGAAAGCATCTACATCCATAGTAGCCCTTTTGCTTCCATTGCTGCCTGGTCCTGGCGTTGTCTCTCGCGGAATTACCGGACTCTCAGAAACAGGACGTTGTCGCCCCAGAGGCTGCAAAGTTTCATGATGTGATGACCGCGCAGATCCGCCATAGTCGTCATCAGAGGAATCAGTCATGGTAGGATCCCATCTGGCGTTGTGCCGGGACTGTTGCTCTGGATCGTCATCGTCAGTGGTAAGTTGGTCTGCCTCGAACGGATCGGTCGAGGCTCGGTCTTCTTGGGAATCAGAGGTGGAATCATCATATTGTCTCGTATATGAGCGGTGATGAAGGCCTGAATGATCAGGAAATGGTGCATTGGCTGGTGATGTCGTAGAAGCAGGCACGGGAGGAGAAGCGATGCGCACAATTTTTGAACGCAGTGCTGTATGGTCTGTGAAATCTACGAGGGACAGTCAATATCTCATCCCTCCGGAGAAGGGTCTATGATCTCAACCAGACAGATGAATATACATACCCTCTGCGCGAGCAACTGGAGCTATGGCTGTCGTGTGTGTTATCGCACCGCTCTTCGGATGCGGCGGGGAAACCCCACTCTCTCGTTCCCTACGGCGGAAAGGATTTGATCCAGACATCGTAGAGAAGATGCGCTGGGTCAAGCATGGGAACAGGCGATAACTGGGCGGGGATGTAAGGAAAAAAGAAGAGAGAGAATCAACGCCGCCGAGCGAAGAGGTAAGCTTCGAGCATCGCTGCTGTCATGCACCGCTTCCCGAGCACGTTAAATAAGGTTCCCAAGACCCAAGAAAACTGCCGGTTGGGTTTACCCCATCAATGGCATCGCCCCGATCTATTCAGCTGTGATATTGTTCCACGGAAATGGGTTGGATGCAGCCCTTTTCTTCTTGAATTCTCCATAATTTGCGACCTGCGTCGTGGTCACTCCTATCATTCAAAGTCAACTATAGTTAATGATGTAGCTAGCTTATACACTAAAGAAAAGAAGAAAAGAAAAAGAAAAAGATGGCAGCAGAGATTACAGGCAATATCTAGATCAAGCTTCCCGATTGAATGTAAACCGCTGAAAACAATAGTAATCCTTCGAGGGTAACTCCCTTTTTCCCCCCTCCTTTGTCGCTTGAGAAAACAATCAGCCCACCCATCGCTATCCGTTTATACCATAAATGAAAGTCTCGGGCCATCACCGGCCTGTTTAGTTTTTTGTTTTCGCAGTGAAGAGACATCTCTCGCTGTTCTTCTCAGCTTTCATTGTACACGTACCACTGCTCTCCGGGCCCGAAGAAAGCTTCGGCGAGTCTGCATCCGCTCTCTGTTGGCTGGCTGAAGGCAATTTGGTCCTTGGGTATATCCAACCCATAAATGAAGTTGCTCACCACACAATCCAGAAGATCCATGGCGATTCCCTTTCGTCGGGAAGAGCCCGATGTCCAGATGCGCGAGATGCCCACAATGGCTGGATGACGCTCCTCTCCAACAGTAACTGAGGAACTATTCGTCTGGTTACTGCCTGAAGCATCCCCGCGTACACCCTTCACCGGTCGCGACTCCCAGATGCGTTCTGTAAGACACATGCCAACGCATCTACTGTCCTTCATATGCAGAAAGACGCGGTATCGGTCCATCTCTTCTTTAGCTCCATTTTTCTCGTGCTCCTTTGGAGGTCGCGTCTGACTCCAGAGAACGGACTCTTCGATCTCGGGAGAAGACAGCTCCTTGCTGACAACTTCCAGCACTTTCTTGGCCTGGTTCTTCGCGGCGGGTGAACTCTTCCGGTCCACGATCACCACGTATCCTTCATCAAATCGCGCCGCCTCATACACCCAACGAGATGCGTTGGCCTTGACAAATGCTTTACCCAGGTCGACTCCGGTGGCATTCATGTCATGGTACTTCTTGTGCAAGGCGGCATCTTCGCCATTGGATGGGATATACTCCATCCCGCAAGAGGAACACGTCCGACGAACCTCCGTCCCCAGATCTAGCTGCATCTGCTTCAAGACGGAAGGCTGCTGGCGCGGCTTCTTCCGAGGCGGATCCACGGAGGACCGCACACTATTCGAGTTGACCTCCGTCAACGGAGACGAGTTGCCACTCTCCTTGATTTGCGATCGCTTGCGCTTCAGAAACGCAAAGGTCGGCTTTCGTATGTTGACTGGCGGAGGGGTGAGTTGGGGTGGCGGGGACGATGGTGGCGTTGACAGATCATCGTCCGGCGTCTCTTCCGAGAAGATGACTGAATTGCGACGAGACGGACTGGACATGATAGCGGCGGAGGATTCCCGGATGGCATATTGCAGGTTGTGTTCTGCTTCATCCGAGTCGTCTCCAGAGGTTACCCGTCTCTTTTTTGCGGCCGGGCGCAAGTCATCGTCAAAGACGCGCCGTATGGGTCTTCCGTAAGTTTTCATGAGGCCGCTAGAGTAGGTCAGCACGCGTTCCCGCGAAGAGGTCACCGTTGAGGCCCGAAACCATACCGTTTAAATGAGTTTGTCACCGTCCAAGGCATCTCCTTAGAATTGACTGGACATCAGGGTCAGCATGGAGCAGGGGAGGATGCGGATGTTCTGGTAGAGAGAAAGGAATGTTTACTTTCGAGACACGGGCGGATTCACTGGATAAGCTGATCAGCGACGGGAACGCGCCGGAGGCCCTAGTCCTTATTCGGTCATATTGCTCTAACCATCACCAACCGCCCACTTCCGTGTAGCAGGTATTTGTTAGTCGATTATTATTCCTCTCGTGTCTTCGATCTCTCCTGGTCCCGTCGGAGGGTTTGTGTGGTGTGAACTTCAGGTGACAATCGAACGGTTCGCAATAATATGGTACTGTAGTGTACGGTGGATGACTTGGCGAGGATAGCTCACCAAAGTTGTTGAGCGTAGGTGATGATAACCAACTGGTGGGATAACTAACACAGAGCAGGAAATAGTAGTAGTAGTCCTAGGCAGTCAGTGGTCTTCTCGTATGTTCTCTCATCCAAGTTGGATACTTGCAGTACCAGACTGGCCATGGGCGCCCCCAAGACTCTAAGTAGTTACTCGTACTCCTTGATCATCACAGTAGATGTCCGTTCAGTGTCGAAACTTGACGCAACTGTTGGCACTCCCTGTTGGCCGGCCTCGACGTGGGACTGACAATACGGAGGCGCATTGGACGCCTTGGCTAGGTTGGCTGAACCGGAGTGGCGATCATCGATCTGAATGGCCGCCGTTGCGTCTGCATCGACCATCTGGAGACATGCCAGATCAAGGCTGTCCTGTCCCCTTTGGCTGGGCGGTTAAGATCTGCCTAACGGTTAAGCCATCGTCGTGTTCATATTCCCCTTGATGATGGCGTTAATGGCTTCGTTTCCGAGACCCCCAGCTGAGCCATGTCACTGGGTGGAGCGCCATCCGGCTTCAAGAACATCATTCCCCCGTGGATGACTAGGTATCATTTCAACGCAAGCTGCCTGTCTTGGGGGAAATCAACAGCGAGGGGGATTGGAAAACTGTGTGGCGTGCATTATTGTTATGCTCTGTGTGTAACACAAGTTTATACGAGTTCTTTCTTGCGGCGTCGATTCGTACCTACAGCCTAGCACATGACAGTTTGCCCATTTGCATGAGGATGCCTACGACACACCAACGTTACAAGACACCGGGTCTAGATACCACCACGGGAGCTAATTTCTAGTATCTACTCCTGACTCCTGAGTCTTGAGTCTTGACACTGTTCGCTGCCTGCCATGGCCCCTGTTTGCTAGCTATTGGGAATTTAGGACCCAGCCTTGTGTCAGAACAGCTCGTAGTGGGCATTTTTCTGGGTTCTGCAGGTATGAGACCCTGTCAGTGGGGGGTTTAAGGCTGCCTAGAAGAGTGTTGGAAACTGGGTCTCAACGGTAAACTATTGAAGACTTTGCCCGCTGAGGAGAATATTATACGAGGCTCGTGCTAGCTGAACAACGGAGGCCTTGGAGAATAATGACTGTATGTTTACTGTCGTACGTACTACGGAATAGTTACTCCGTAGTTATATCCGGTCCCAGGGAGTGTATGATAGAATGAGCAGGCGTGACTATCCGAAGAATCCTGAGGATGTATGTAATTGCTGACAGGAATGGAGCCGTTGTCAAGAATGTTTGTGGTTCTTGGGCTCTCTATGGTAGATCGGAAAATAAATATATATATAAGGACTCCTTAGCGGTTTAACCTCTCGACACACGACCCTCACCTACCCTTTATGAAGCATCAAATAGAAAGCATGCCTGGCCTACGAAGTAGAAGACGCCTTAAAACGATATCCAGGATCTATGTATGTACAAAACCACTGCGCTCTAATAATCCCCGAACCCCAGGATAGCGCCAGGAAGACCATCCTAAACACCCCCCATACTGGTGACGGAGTCCCGATAAATTGGGTGTAACGTCGATCCTTCAGGGTCACACAAATGACTCGCTGGGCAGTATCATCGCCATCAAGCAAGATCCAGTACTAGCAATTTGTTCAGGCCATAGGATGTTTGTCTACAGCTTCTTGTGATGCTCTGGAACCCGAGGCCCGCAAGAAGAGCATGCTGCGGATACCCAGGTAGGCTAGAACATCCTCGCTACCTAGAAAAAAAAATCCCGCCCCAACCAACACGAACACTTTTCCCGCCCCATCTTATCCCACCTCAGCAAACTGCCTCTCGAGTTCGAACAGTCAGAAAATATTCCTCCCCTCTTTATCCTCCTTTGCGGCCCTGATCCATCTCATCTCCACGGGATTGGCCTCTTTCTATCTATCCCTCTCGTTCTCTCATATTAGTGGCTGCGGAAAGGATTGAAATCAGCCGTCTTTTTCTCTTAGAAAACCCACATTGGGATTCTGGGAGATCTTGTCACTCTCTTTCACTTGAATTTCGGGGAACAATTGTTTCAGTACTCACACATCATGGCCAACGACCCTCAAGGTGCAGGAAAGAGGAAGAGACCGAGTAAGTCTAATCCGTATTCCCCGCGTGGACTAAGCACGTGGAGGGAGTGTTAGCCTCACTTTCTACACAAAGAACTTTTTGGCCCCTCAGACCTCAACAACTTAAGCAGTTCTCCGTCTTGACTCCAAGCTTGATTCATTATCTACCCGGCACTCGATACTTCCATGTCCAGTTTGACTGACAGTCTCTTTCTAGGGACCCAGTCGTGCCCTCCTCCAGAGCTACCGCAGCTCGTCGCTGAACAGCATGTTCCGATAGCAGCCAATGACAAGGACACCAAGCGTCTCATTGTGGTCTTGTCAAATGCCAGCTTGGAGACTTACCGCTCCTCTCATGGCGGCCGCAGTGGTAGCGGCCGGGAGGAGAAGTATTCGCTTCTTAACAGCGACGAGCACATCGGTATCATGCGGAAGATGAACAGAGATATCAGTGACGCTCGACCAGATATCACCCACCAGGTCTGATCTCCCCGTAGCTGAGATGGTCGTGTGTACTAGTCTGGATTACTTATCATTGGATGTCTACAGTGTCTCCTTACACTTCTCGACTCACCCATCAACAAGGCTGGAAAACTCCAGATCTACATCCATACCGCAAAGGGCGTTCTCATCGAAGTTAGCCCCACCGTTCGCATTCCTCGAACCTTCAAGCGATTCGCTGGTCTCATGGTCCAGCTGCTGCACCGACTTTCTATTCGCTCCACAAACTCACAAGAAAAGCTGCTGAAAGTGATCAAGAACCCGATCACTGATCACCTACCGCCCAACTGTCGCAAGGTCACGCTGAGTTTCGACGCTCCTGTGGTGCGTGTCCGGGATTATGTCGAGTCCCTCGGCCCGAAGGAGAGCATCTGCGTGTTCGTCGGAGCCATGGCCAAGGGTCGTGATGATTTCGCAGACAGCTTCAAGGATGACACGATCAGTATCAGCAACTACAGTTTGAGTGCTAGTGTTGCATGCAGCAAGTTCACCCACGCCGCCGAGGAAGCGTGGGACATTGTATGATGGACCGCGCCCGCGCAAAAAAACTGTTCAGATGCACGCTTGACGAGGTAAAAGTTCCCTGACACCGTCTTCCACTAACGACAGGCCCTGCGCAGAAGTGCTTTCCCAAAGAAAAAAAGAATGACAAAAAAAGAGCGTATGTGATTGCTTCAGCGACCAGCTTCCGGATCAGCGGTCCCTACGGTTTTCTACGGCTTGTTGACATTACGGATTCGCGGGAAGGGCCTGCATTCGGAGGCTGCGATCACAACATCCATGCCTTTCGGGTGCGGACCCCTTGCCGGGAAGCACCCATGCGAGGGTGATGTCGTTGCGTTGAGGATTTCGCTTGGATCTGGTTCAGTTTTCACAACAAGACGTGCAGGTTCAACAGCCTCAAGGCGGGTTTCTGTTTTATTTCTCATACCCATGTACGACCCGTACTTGCTTTATTGTGGCAGCACTTCAACTTGCTCCACGCTCCCGAAGGATATATATAACCAGGAGGTGGAGGAGAGCGCAGATGGCGACGGCAATGCTGCAGTTCCAGCCTGCTAAAAGTTCTCTTGTAATATGATGCAGATAGCCATTCACGAACACATTACTTGGTGTCCCTCTCTAGGAGGGTTGACTGACTCATTTGATGGACTGTCCATCAAGAGAAATAGACTCGGCAGCTTTTTTTTCTCTCTCTCGAACATGTTTCTAGTTTTCTCTAGTCTTCTTCTGCCATCCAATGGCTTCTGATTAGAATACCAGACTGGACATTAAAGCGTCGGACAGTGGTAGCGTGGTAGACGTGTGTCAGTCCACGGAGAGCTCTGAGAGGATTGCGCGTCTGTACGGCATCTACAGGTGTCTGCCAGGTCATCAATGTGCCTTAGGGTAAAAGAGATAACTCGTTAGCTACTGTAGTTCTTGATCATCTTGTTTCTAGACTAGAACACCTACCTACTGTGTTCGGATCGATGCGTGCTTGGTTCCGTGCTTGGGGTAATTATTAGACCACTTGCAGGAATGAGCAAGTCCTCTCTGGCCGCAAAATCAGCTTTGTTCGCCCCTGCAGGTGTTGGTCTTCTTCTTACACTTCGAGGTTGAAACCGGGCTTCGTGAATGCAGGCGAATCTGTGGGTTGTTTGAATCTCGTGGGGCTCTCTTCAACGACGTGGCGAGCGTGAGTTCCAGCACTGCGGTGGAGTAGTTGCTCGCTTCACTACTCAGAGTCCTCGAAGCTCTCAGAGAGTACGACCGATGGTATTTTTGTAAAGTTACTGCTAACCTAGAGTAGATTATCTCTCTATGGTATTATTATTATTCCTCAAGCATGCAATAATGCCGCTTGGAGCGGTCTCCCCAGCCACCTCGGACGGAAAACTGACCCTCCTCGCTTCCTATCCGTCCAAGTTACCTATCTAGTGAGTCGGTCAGGCTGTTCCGTCTTACGATCCAGAAAGATGATCCATCGAGGGCAAAGTCATTCAGTTGGTCTGGCGGTCAGGCACCGCCAGAACATAGCACGTCCGTCTGGCTTCTCAGCAGCAGCAGAAGTGCCCAAAACAGGAACGGAGACCCGAACGTCTTGGTGAGCGATTCTGCTGTATCGAGGGGGCGAAGAAAAGAATCCAAACTGGCGCGATATTCGCCTGGAGTGGAGGGCACTATGATACATACAGCATTACAAAACCTACCCTAATCGGTCGAATTGCCTCGCAAATGCTTTGTATCTATCTTGTAACGCCGCCGGCCTCGTCCAATCGCCCACGCTGTAATGAGCGCAGTGCTTACCCGCATCTTTTCCCCTTCTGTGTCTCGCCTTGTCATGCTTTGACTGTATCTTGCCTCGTGTTTCCTGTTGGGCTTTGATCCGATCTTGTTTGCTTTTTGGCTGTATCGCCCGCGAATGATCGAGGGGTATCTGCCCCGCGTTCGAGCACAAACTGAGACGGCCGGGCGAAGTAAGTACATAACTAGACTAAAAGATTATTATTATTGACTGAACCTGACAAAACCTGGACAAAAGGGCATCACACGGAAACTCCGCAGCCAGAAGGAAGGCCGCCTATCATATCATGCAGTGCTCTCGCGGACGATGACCTGGCTGCCACGGGCCGCCATCTGGGCTGTCCTGTTGCCGATTGTTTCTCTAGACGGGGTCCCAACGGCGGTCTTCGCTCGCTATGTCAGGTTTGTGGTCTATTCCCCTGACAAAGGGGGGCTTAAGATAGAACGAAAGATGGGTCTCAGGGTCTCGATCCCGATAGGGTTCATCCCAAGAAGAGGGAATCCATCTTCTGGAATCCCCGGTTGGTGCCCCGTGGTTCTGAGTCGAGCTTTTTGGGAGCATCCTGCGGCCCTTGCAAGTTGGCGCGATATTCGGCCTGCGGGGCATTCATGTCTGACGTGAAATACTTAGTGACTCGAACAAGTCGTTAAATAACCTGATGGCCCTTTGTTCGTCTGGAGAGTTCTCTTGAAGAAGGCATAATTGAATCACATTGTCCACTGTACCATTCTGTGTTCACTTGTTCAAGTCTGTTTTGGGTCTTTGTTGCATCCAGCGTACAAGCTGGCAAACAGGACTGAACACCAGCCCTGCTTTTCTTGACTCCTACTTGGGCGTCTCTGAGTTAATAAGCTCTCTCCATTGTATATTCAGATCATTCATTTACCCTTCCTTCCTCTCAGTTCAGTCAATTGTCAGCTCTCTCCCTGCTGCAGGAATTGACTGCTTACCCTGGATCTACTGTCTCGATAATTACATACTACCCCCCTCATTATTGCCAAAATGCCTCTCTCACATCTCACCTTGACCGTGTCACAACTCCCGCAGTCAACCTCCTTCTTCCTCTCTTGCCTGCAGCCGCTGGGATACCATTTCATCGGCCGTCATGAAGACTACATTGGCTTCGGATCCCAGCCCGGGGAACCCGCCGACTTCTGGATCACTGAGGAGAAGCCTGGGTGAGTCGACCCATACCTACACGCTTCCATATTTTCTTATGTTCCAGAAACAGCAGCTAATACTGTGCTCATAGCGTTCCCGCTGGCGCAGCACATGTCGCTTTCCCCGCTCCCTCAAAGGATGCCGTGGGTTCATTCTTCATCCAGGCGCTCAAGGCCGGTGGTAAGATCCACGGGGAGCCGAAAGTGCGCGATGCGGACTCTGGCTACTTCAGCGCGGCCGTGATTGACTTTGACGGTAACAGCATCGAGGCTGTCTACCGGCCCGGCTGCTCGTCGAGTAGGTCGGCAGCTGGTGGACGGGCCTTGACTGTTGTCAAGGGCGGATCAGTCGTCAACGGCGGCTCCGTCGTGTCCAGAGCAAAGTCGACCAGATCAGAAAGCGTCTATTCTTCTAGCAGGTCGGACTTCAACAAGCTGACCGCGCCTCCTGCTCAGTCTGTCGTGGACATTGATCGAGCGGCACCGTCAACCGTCTCGTACTCGATGTACCAGCCGCAGCAAGCATATCAGCCCCAACAGCAGAAATCAGATGATGGCAGCAAGACGGCCAAAACCATCATCGGCACCCTTCTTGGAGCCACCGCCGGTGCGGCCATTGCATATGCCATCACCAGAGAGGCGACGAGCTCGTCTCCATCCATGCCAGAACCGCAATACACCATCTCCGCTGCCCCAGCTCCTGCACCTGCTCAATCCCGAGCGTCAGAGTACCAGGGCACGCGAGCGATTGAGGCTGGCCCAGCTCATAGCTTCTATTCTGACGAGGACGCATCTACGGTGTACTCCCGCAGCAAAGCTCCGTCTAAAGCTCCATCCAAGATCGCACGAGCCAGCACCATTTACGAAGGCTCTGAATATTACCCCGTCGACGACCGTGCAGAGAGCGTGTACTCGGAGCAATCAGGCATCCAACGAACGGCCAATGGCAGCGTCTACGCAACCAAAGAACTGCCCATTCGAGCAATTGACTTCCCACCGCAGGGAGATCGAAGATCGTCTGTCCCCGGAACCGCCAGCTCTTTCATCAGCAGCTTCGTCGACAAGTCCTTCCACGGCGGTGATAACGGAAGCGTCTGCTCCTCCTCGACCATCAAGCCTACTCGCAGAGCCTCTGCTGACGACAGCGCCTCGCACTATTCCTCCCGCTCCTCCTCCTCTTCTCACCAATCTTCTGCCACCAGCATGCGTGAATACGCTGCATCCGTGAAATCATCATCCAAGGGCCCTGGCTCGACCTACTCCACGCGCACTGCCCGCGAGGTCCCTCTCCCAGAAGGCAGCGTCGCCTCTTTCAAAAGCGACGCGAAGAGCATGCGCTCCGCCAAGGACATCCCCCTCCCTGCTCGATCGACCGTGAGCACCTCCTCCTACCGCAGCGACGCAAAGAGCATGCGTTCAGCCAAAGACATCCCCCTCCCCGCGGGCTCTACCATCAGCGCCTCTTCCTACCGAAGCCACCGCTCCGCAAAGGACGTCCCTCTCCCTGATAGCGCCAGTACCGTATATCACGACACTTGCGACATCGACTCACACGTCACCCCCGACGACTCCATCAGCCAAGTCGGCGATTCTCGACGCTCGACAACCCGCTCCCACGCTTCGCATCGCTCCAAGTCCCACTCGCACGTCTCGCATGCCTCCAAGCGCTCGAGCAAGTTCGATGAGCCCGTCAAACCGAGCGATAGTGTCAGTCAGGTCTCGACGAATGTCTCGCGAGCATCTCAGCGGACTGTCAAGGCGGACGATACCAGGTCGAAAGCTAGTAGTAGACGCGAGTGAAAGGGTGAACTGGTTAGTTAGTTAGTTAGTTCAATCACTAACCAGCATAACGTTTTGCTATGTTATGTTATTATCAGATATGTTGTGATGTTGAGACGTTGTGATGTTATATGTTATTATCATATGACCACCAGTGACCCTGCCACTCATCTCATGGCCATGAACGAATATGCATGATAGGTGCAAAGAACTTCCCTTTGTTTCTTTTTTATATATGGAACAGGACAGGCAGTTCTCATGGAGGGGCGTTTTTTTTCTTTTGCATCTTTTTTTATTTTTTTTTTTTTTTTACTTTGAAACTCTACTTCTTGGAAAGTTACGAATGTAGAGATTCAATCTAACATCTACTTCACAAAAACATACACTGAAAAAAAAAGAAACACACTTAATCGGTACGTTTACTTAAGTTAGCTTCTTCTTCCTTCCTTAAGTAATAAGTACCTATAGCCTGATCTATCTAGTTCAGTATAGGTATAATGTTTTTTCAGAGTTGATACAAAAGCTAGCTGGCTACAGTGGGCACACCACATTAACCTGGTAGGTTAACATGTACTTTTACATACATATATGAGAGCGGTATGAAGGAACGAAATATGATGACATTCGATAATGAGTAGAAAACAGCTTGAGAAGAATACTCTACTGGTTCACTCAATTTTCCACGAAGCCAGATAGAGACAGTTGGATATGTCCGCTGTCCTAACAGGTGAACGCTACGACGCTTCCAATACCACAAAACAGCGAGAAAGTCCGGGTCCAACTTGACTATCCATAATTACAGCAATGACTATCAAGATATGTTCTAGAGAAGCGTTACTTGAATCAAATTAAAGGACTGATCGCAGGAAGAAAAGGTCGTTCGCTCTGCAGCGTCTTGGGATCCGGAAGATTATTGGTTTTGGTCTTCGTTTCGCTATCGACAAAGGTAATTTAAAGAGTTCCGCTGGTTCCCCAATTTCCCTTTCCCGTTGCCTTGATGTCCCGGGGCTACGCCGGCCCATCACTGCAGCGATCCAAGGTCGCCAGAGACGAGGGCCCTTGCGACCATCCAAGCACCAACAACCGTCGTTCGCCCGCGTTCGCCATCCCGACCAACTAGGGCCGTCTATCCATCCGTTCGTCCGTCCGAATTCATTGCCAGATAGATGCCATTGCATGCATGATAAAAGAGAATTGGTCATGATGACTATTGATAAAAAAGGTACCGCCAATCGAGGTTAAACACGCAAAAAGTTCACGTAGAAAATGAGCAAAAGAACCCCCACGACCACGGTAGGCCAATCTTCAGATCCGATCTAATGGCGTAACAGGAGATGCGGAGGCCCGGTGGAAAGGCTTCGGCGGTCGTGTGGTGGATGCAGCGTTCATTAGATCGCGTACTTGCGGGTCCATTCCCGGGCGGTGGCTTCGTATCGAGGCCGGTCCGTCTTGTAGACGTGAGCGATCTCAGGCACCAGAGGGTCGTCAGGGTTGGGGTCAGTCAGCATAGAGCATATGGACAGAAGGACTGTAGCAGCCAAGTTAGTCGAACAGAGCAACACCGTTGTAGATTCACACATAGAGAGTCGACCAACCTTTGGAGAGTGTGAGAGCAGGACTCCACTGGTCTCTCAAAATATCCAGACAGATGCTACCGTTGGAGTTGATGTTGGGGTGGTAGATGCGAGTGGTGAAGTGGACCTTGGGGGGCTTGAATGGGTAGTCGGTAGGGAAGTGAATCTCGAGGAAGAAGACACCGCCAGAGTAAGGAGAGTCGGACTGTCAAGTTAGCTGTTAGCAGACAGCTCCAGAGAAGGGGTCGAATGGCATGACGCCTGGATTGGATCGTCGACCGCGAAGCGGATCCTGGTTGCGATCGGCCAAGCGGGTGTAACCACGAAGCGGTGTACTTACGGGACCCATGATGGTAGCTTGCCAGCGGAACTATAGTGTCACGACGTTAGCAACGGATTTCTGTTGATTTCGACTGCCGTCTGCGGAGCCATCTGTGATGCTCGTGCATGCAGCAGGAAGAGAGAAGAGAAGAACGTACCATGTCGACCTGGTCCTTGTCGTTGGGGTTGGGGAGAGGGCCTGCAGAGCAGGAGGAGGGGGGGTCCCTAGCAGCATCGTCAGTATGTGGTGTCCCAGTCCGATTCTGTGTCGAGGATGTGTATGCTCGACTCGTGGCACCGCAGGTTGGTACCCCGCAGTGTGGATGATCACCCTGAACGGCAAGGCATGACGCCCGATGGAGGGGCAACAGGAACAGACAACTTACCGCTCCATGTCCTTCAGCTCCTTTCCGATTCTCTTGAGAGCCATGGCGACGATGTGTGAAGATGTGTTGTAGTGGTTGAGTTCAGGAGTCGTAACGATCCCTCGAGAAGTGTTTTAAGACGTGGTCGTCTCGAAAAAGGTTGAGTTCTGGTGGCTCTGCGAAAAGACGCCGGGCGGCGGGAGTCAGTCGGGAACGTTCCCAGCAAAAGAACCTGACGGGAGTCGCCGGGACGGGAGACACGAGGACTGCTCACCTTTGCGAAATGTGATAACAGAGTCGAGGTGACAGGGAGACTCGCGAAAGGCGTGCGAAAGGGAGATGGTTGATGGATGGGGGTTTGATGGGATTGATGGAGGAGGGGAAGAGAAAGGGAGAGAAAAGAGGAAGAGGACGGACGAGGTGGTGGGGGAGCGCAGGTTTGGCTTCTGGTTCTCTCTGGCTGCCCTGAGAGTCACTCAGAGTCACTCCTGGCGCACTGGAGCCACGGTATTATTATTACTAGTTGCTACTACTACTTAGTTCACTAACTACATCATCAATCAGCGATGCTATGATAGTTAATGAACTATTAACTAATTATTATTTATTATTTATTATTCTTGAGACGATCTAATAGTTGTCTTGTTCATCCTCTCGCGATGCCTCGTCGCTGCATCACCACTCGGTACCAGACCGAATCCGAGTGCGTCCAACTTTGTTTCGATCCACCAGCACCGGTTATTAACTGAATACTGACTGCTTTTTCTTGCCACTCCCACTGATGGTAGTGAATATTAATAACTGACTTGGCTTATTATTAACCTCTGCTCCGTGGCTGACGGTGGATGACCTAAATGGTGGCGGGTCCCGAACAAAGTGCCCGAGTCGAATTCCCGTATCGTCCCGCTGTCCCAGGGTACTACTTAGTACTTCCTGTACTCTACTTGGCCTGCCAGGAGAACACGGGGGATCGAGATGTGCGTTATCTACATTTGTCTACATTTGATTACATGCTTACATGCTTACGGTCCCTGAAAAACAGTGTTATGAGCGCGAAAACCCTCAGAAAAACCTTTTTTTCACGGTGCAATGTGGAGCACGTGACATGATGATGAACCGAACAGTGGTGCTTTCTGCAAGGACGATGACCCTAATCCGATGCTCTGAGACGATAAAGAAAGCCAGAGGTCTCCATTTTCTTTTTTCCATAATCGATGCATATGTTACATGGACAGGGTCCCTTAGACAAATGCCTGAACGCCCGTGATGGCCCGACCAAGGATCAGAGCTGTCATCGAATCAGTCATCATTCGAGACAAAAACAAAAGCAACAAGGTATTACTTACAGTGGATATCACTCTGTCCCTCATATGTTTGGGCTACGAACAGATTGGCGACGTGTCGTCCAATATGGTACTCGTCACTTGCGGCGTTACCGCCAAAGATCTCCTGGAGCCTAAAGTCGCACCCGTCAGCATCTCACCAGAAACCTTCCTAATCGCAGGGACACCTACACTCGAGCATTCACCAGCGCCCGGTCACAGTTCTGTCGCTTGACCATCGAGATCATCTCTGGCACTGCCTTGCCCTCATCCTTCAGCCGGGCCACCTGCGTCGCTGCCAGAGTACCATAGGCGGCATCCGTGGCCGCATCGGCCAGCTTCTTCTGGATCAGCTGGTACTTGGCCAGAGGGTTGCCCTTGAACTGCTTCCTTTCCAGGGCATACGTCCGCGCACGCGCAAGACAGTCCTCCAGCGCGCCCATGGTGCCGAAAGCGATACCCAAACGGGCGCTGCTGAGACACGTAAAGGGCCCCTTGAGACCTTCGATGTTGGGGAGCATGTTCTCCGCCGGCACGGGGCAGTCGTCCATCTGGATCATCCCCGTGATCGATGCCCGCAGAGCCGTCTTGTTCTTGATCGCTGGAGTCTCGAGAGTGCCAGGAGGACACTGGTCCCGCTCGATCAGGAACCCGCGGATCTTGCCGGTGCTCTCCAGTCGCGCCCACACCAGAAGCACATCGGAGATGGGGGAGTTGGTGATCCACGTCTTCGTTCCAGAAAGCGAGTAGTACCCCTTCTTAGTGGGATGTTCTCTGGCGACAGACTCCATAGAGCCTGGATCCGACCCATGATTCGGCTCCGTCAGACCAAAGCAGCCCAGGATCTTACCCTTAGCAAGCCCCGGCAGGAACTTGTCCTTCTGCTCCTGCGATCCAAACTCGTAGATACCCGTCATCGCGAGAGAGCTCTGCACCGACATTCCCGACCGGAACCCGGAATCCACGCGCTCAACTTCCTTAGTGATCAGTCCAGACGCGACAGTGCTGACTCCAGCACAACCATAGCCCTCAATAGACGCTCCCAGGAGTCCCAGCTCCCCCATCTCCTCCAGGATCTTGCGGTCGTAGTTCTCATTACGGTAGGCCTCTACATTCAACGGCACATAATCAGTCAGTCACAGTCACAGTCACAGTCACAGTCACAGTCACAGTCACTCCATCCATCCATCCATCCATCCCGTGGATTCCGTATAGTCGACCAAACTCCCCCAAGACAACATCTCATCAATAATAATAACCCACCTAGAACCCTCGGAAACAACCTCTCCTGACAATACTGCCTAGCCGTATCCTGAATAGCCAATTCCTCCTCTGTATACAATTCCTTCGCAGCAAGGGGATCCTCCCAATCGAACGTCGCCGACGACGACGAGGCCTGTCGTCTCGTCACGGACGGCCGGACAGAAGCCCGAATCTGCCGCGTCGCGGCGCGGAAAGCGGATCGGTTAATCATTGAGGAATAATAAACCGAAAAAAAAAAAAAAAAAACAAGTAATCTCCAACCCTTGGAAGATGTATAAAAAATAAAAATCGAAAAACCAGACCGTAGACAGACAGACAGTGATACTTATATAGTATTAGTATCAATGTCTAGTCTCACTTTAGTAAAATAAAGAGTTGAAGAAGAAGAAGGGAAAGGGAGGAACAAGAAAATGCGGGGAATGGGAATGGATGAACGGTTCTCCGCGCGGCGGGTTGTTTTTCTTTTTGCCTAGGTAAAGTTAACTCTTAACCACCGCTCGCGCGGCTCCGACGCATTATTGAATTAAGTAGTATTTCGGCTGTTGGAATAATAACAGAAGGATTAAATTTGATTCACATACTCTGTAACTACCTAGTACCGAATAAGCAAGGGGTCAATTCCGAGGTACGATCAGTTATTTTTAACTATTGTACGTAGTCCATTCAGCGCTGTTTGCAAGTTACTAACTGAATTCCCTGGTTCGGAACCTAATTAGCTGGACTGACATGGTTGTAAGTAGCGGGTTTATGGAATCAGATTAGTTATATCATTTTCTGGTATTATGACTTGCATGTTATTATACCTTGTTGTAGTTATACGCGAACAGTGTCCCAGTGACTTGGTTCCATATTTATCAAATATCCTGTATACAAATAGTAATAATGTAAAAAACAGAGGCTGTAAGGAGAATCCATGCATGGATTATACATAGATATGACTAGCAACGTTGTTAAGTCAAAAAGAAAATTTTCGATTCACGACTCGATCTGTAAAATCCTCGGGAGGGTTCTTCCATTCCTGCTGTGGGAATACGAAAGGAAAAATAACATGCTTGCTTGCTTGACTTCTTTCTTCTTCTCCTTCTCCTTCAGGGGTATCGCTTAGAAATTCTCCTTACCCCAGACGAAACTGAAGCCGGGCTCGGAATACATGTTACATTTGATGTGCAGTTGACTGCCCAGACCCTTGGGACCACAGAAGAAAACACCTGCTTCGGCGGGGGCGTGAATCTTGCGGATACCGCGGAAGACCATGTCCCAGTTGGGACGGCCGAAGTTGGTCGGGGACCGTAAGCCGGTGATGGCGTCCTGGTCGGCGTTGGCGTCGTTGATCATGATGTTGGTTGCGTCGCCCGCTTGGATCTTGGCGGTTAGGTACTGTAGACAATCATCAGTAATTCAATCCGTGGGTTCCTATTTTTGAAGGACGGTGAAGGGTTAGCCTTACAGTGTGAATCTCAATGCGGTTCTCAAGATCCTGCGCTTCAATAGCAGACAGCAGCGAACGGAACCACTCCAAGGACCCGAAGTCACGGCAGACCCAGAAGAAGTACACCTTGCGGAGGCGAGTTCGTTGCTGGGGGAAGTTCATCCGGTACCATATACTCTTCAGAATGGATGCAAAGGGAGTGACACCAATACCAGCTCCCACCAGGAGGGCAACCTCATACTTGAATACATCTTCCGATGCACTCCCAAACGGACCATCGACGTAGATACGGGGCAGCACTTTTCGGATCGAAGGGTCAATGTCTCCACCACTGGTGGACTTGTCGACGGACACAACGGCCGAGTTGCCCTTGGTGTCCTTGGGTTTGTCGAAATCGCAGCCAAGAGCTTTGGCAAGGGCCGTAGTGAAGTTCCCGACAACACGGATGTGAACCGAAATATAGTCTTCCTCGGGAGCACTGGTCAAGGTGAACGGATGGTATTGCCAGATCGATATCTCGGGGCAACAGATCCAAATATACTACAGCAAGTCAGTTTTGCACTCGACATACCAAAAACTCAGAGACACCTACCTGTCCCGCTCTGGTCTTCGTCTTTTCTTTCTTGATCTGGATCTCCACAACCTTGCTCGGATGCTGGATAACCTTGGAAATAAAGGTCTTGTGACGGCCGCGGATCTCTCTCATCAGACGCTCGAGTAGATAGATAGCACCACCCCAAATGAAGTACAGGTAGAAGACACCGTTACCGAAAAAGTAGGGCTTATTGTCCGTCGGGATCATACCCCAGAGGCCGTGTATCGACCAGAAGAAGAAGAAAATAATGAACAGGTGGTGCGTGTACCAGAATCGTTCATAGTTTGCTCTGCGTGGCTTCTCGATAGAAGTGAACACCATGGCCATGAGAGCAACTGTCATGATCCATCCCGTCCAGGTCGGTCCGAGGAGAAAGCCTATGTGCAGGAATCCCTTGAAACCCAGGTTGTTTTTAGCAGCAAGTTGGGCGGCATTGTTCAAGTGGGCAATCGTGTGGACCCATGTGAAAAAGACAATGGACCAAGCGACGACTACAGGATAATTAGTTTCACTGTCAGCGGCAGTCGATCTCTAGAGACTTACGCTTGTGGAAGGTGATGTTCTTGTCTAGATTGTATGTTAGCGATTCCATATACCCAGCAGTCCGGCTCGACTTACCAAATTGGATAATTCCATTCAAAGGCGTCTGTCGAAGCAGAGAAATTAAAGTACGGCAGACAGCTGTAATCGTTATGTCAATTCGATTCTGGCCAGAGGATTTTGGTAACATACGGAACAGGATAAGGGAGACGTCGAAGTGTAGCACTAAAGCAGCCGATCTTGCAACCATATATGTCCATGTATAAGTAGCACGGGCATCGCTCAAGTTGTCCTACAAGTCTTTTCAGCATGGAGTCTCCCCCACTGCAGTCTTATTCCACTGACCTTTAGTGTGTAGTTCAAAAATGCCATCGAAAACACCAGGGCATGAGAAAGCATGAACAGAAACACAGTACTTCAGTTCGGTCAGTAAACCACCGCCGGGTAATTAGTCACGAACGGTATATACATACAATCTTCTCCATCCTTCGTTGATCATCCTGTGCTACTCATCAGTTCCGCTCAATTAAAAAGGCACGGGTCCGACCAGACTTACCACCTGTCGAACTTCTCCTTCATGGTCAGCTCCCTGGGAGGCTCACCACTGAGCTCGCCGGACATGAGCATCCTCGTCAATGGGGGCCATCGCGACCGCTCCGATTTGCTGGTCCAACCGGAATCAGCCATCATTTGCTTCTCCATCGTTCCCGTCGTTCAATTAATCAATGCCGTGTAGTCGGAATATTAAGAATATGGCCACAAGATCGCAGCGCTATTTGGCTTCGTGAAGAATAATCAAACGAGTCTCAAAGCCAGCTTGAGGCTCGACATGAACAAAAAGAAGATAAATTAAAGAAGTTGGTGACTAGGACTGTATCCCCGTCGATCAGCCTGAGAATCCCTTAGCAATCTGCACGGCGCTACCTACCAACTTGGTGCCAGCACAATATCCGAAGAGGAATACAAGAAACGAAAAAAAGGGCCCCGGCCGACAAAAGTAACGATAGAAAGGGCTGGGTAAAAGAAAAATCGAAAAAGCTAGCCGCAAATCAAGCGGTTGAAACTACAGGACACGGAGAAGGGAGGGCAAAAGAAAGGATCATTACTCGGGCATTGATGTCTTAAGGATCTGGAGCCGTTTTCTCAGAAACGAAAAAGCCCCAAGCCCAGACAAAACAGGGGTCGAGTTAGTCGCGCCACGAACGGCGCACCCAGTGCTCGTCCAAGGAGATTCCTCTCCGTGCTAAGCTTTTGCATGGGATCAGTGCTAGTTAGTTGGTCGACATGCTGAGACTGCCATTGCTGCCGAATCCACCGATACGACCCTTGTTCGGCGCGTAAAAGTGGGCTGGACTTTTCCTTGAAACTAAACAGGTCGCCTCGTCTCACAATATTTAGTTTTCTTAAAGGTTGATCTTGATCGTGATTATAATTCCGTAGCAAAATCTGGGATTGTTTTCTCTTTTTGCGTTGAGTGACGCTCTGGCAGAGCATCGCGGAGTAGAGCATAACGAGCTTATCATGGTGGCTTCCGCCATAACAGTCTGGTCGCGAGAATAATGACGCCCTCTGAATGAGTGATGAGTTGCACATCGTAACAGAATACCCAAACAGGCTTCCAGTCTTTGTAGGTCGGAATAATCGGATTTAATCCACCGATAACTCGTGCGCATTGACCGAGGAACTCGCACAGGACTGCATCGCATCTGCCGTAGCATCATAGAGCTTAAACACCGGACAGTCAAGCGATCCCTGCCATTGCGGCGAAAAGAGAACTCGAGTCGAGCTGCAAAGGGGCAAGCCAAGATGGTGGAGGTTGGAGTGAGCCTCAGTGTCTGGCGAGTGCTTCAGGTCGCAGTAGTCAAGCGTCGTCAGGGGCGCTAGAGGTTTCCGGGTTTGGTATTCCCCCTTTGTCAACGATCATGCCAAGTTCATAATAATCACTAATAGCTTCAGTGACTGTCTGAAAAGGCGAACTGCTGAAACAGGGAGTGACAGAGGCCAAAACACCTAATCCCTCGGGGTATCAGACGGACTGCGGTGGATTGCACTCAGCGTCGAAAGTTCGGTCTTAAGAAGGCTAAGCTTTGCGGGTGACCTACGGGGGGAACTCTACGCCACGCGCTGCACAACTTGAAGGTGTCTCGAGATGCCAGATTCTACTAGACTGTCCTCGAGTTTGAGATCCAGCTAAAATTGCCGATGCATGCGGTCGGAGTGACTATTCTGATCGGCGAAACGATTCAATCATCAAATGCAAGATTGTCGTAAACGGAAGATGATGAGAATTATTCATTCCTTGTTTATACCTCCCTAGAATCCCGACTAGCGGGGATACTGGGGATTTGAGTTCTCCTAGAGAGCTGTCTATTTTCACAAAATGCAGTTATTGCCGGAAAGCTCTCTGGCAGTCAGGGAGAACCAGTGCCAAAGCAGCATTCGAAGGGCCTGCGATTCGGTAAGTTGTAGATACTGTATAGTATCGTGAAGATGACAGCAGCCACTCTTAGATCTATCATCAGCATACAAAGGTTCCTTCGGATCTGTTCCGTCAATAGCGACATATGTGAGAAACACATGATGCAGATCTGTGCGACAGACCCATCGAGGTCCGTGCCTAACGGGGAGGACCTTTGCGGACGATTCGAGTTGAGTCCGTAATCCAATTGCCGCAGGTTGATCGGATAGATAATCGAGTTGTTCGATATGCTCCAGCATACGCGTCCTTCTCTCGATTAGTTACGTTCGTCCAGCCCTGCGTTGAAACAATGCTAACTCTGCATGCATACCTTCTACATTTCAGACGAAAAGAGAGGATTTCAGCACTGTTGCGTGAGCTCAATGTGCAATGGAATCCACAGAACCATGATATATATATATATTATTTGAGTCGGTGTTGTTCACGGTAGTTAGGTGAGGAGACGTTTGATGCCTCATGCGGGCATCTGCGACTGTAGGAAATCAAACACCCCGGTGGGGAAGTATTCTTCGTCGAATCCCCAGAGGTCAGCCATCATGGGATCTTGAGAGCCCTCGGATAGACCACCTTGGTGGCCACCCAACGGAGCTGTTTGAGAGCCATTGGTTCGTTCGGCCGAAAGAGGAGCAACTCCCAATAGTGGCGAGGGATGGGTAAGGATGGTTCCACGTTCTCCAAGTGTCTGGATCTCAGGTATAGCCACTGGTTTGAAAAGCGACGGTGATTCCTGAGACCAGGACAGCTGTTTGCGCTGCCGGTGACCGGGGTCCCGTTTATCCCATTCCCGGAATCCAGAGAGCATCTTCCCCAACCCTCGGGCTATATGGTGACTAACATGGCGCTCGCTTGCACGTTCACTGCAGGATATCATCATGTTCACGGTCCGCTCAACAAGGCTCTCAACGTATGGGACATCGATGAGCAGGCCAGCAGACGCAATGGAGTTCTGCTGGCCAGGACACCCAGGGATGCTGGCTGAACAGCCTTTGACAGCGATCTTCAAGAGGAAAACAGCAGCAAATGTGATCATACTATGCAAATATAGAGGAACGCCGACTAGAGATCTCTGAATGTCCGGCTCATCCAGAACAACGTTGAGCGTTGATATTGCAGAGCTGATGGCAATGTTTGCGTGCTTCTTACGTTCTGAGGACATCCTCCGTGTGGATGTCGAAGCTTGGTAAGTGCGCAAGGCGAGCGAATTCAATGTAAGACGGGAGAAATGGTAGTGCAAGTATACAGCCTTGTGGGGATATGCACCAACATATGGACTGTCGCCTATTGCTGAATTAGAACATATCCAATCCAAATAGATGACTGAACGTACCGAGACGTGGCAGCCATGTTGCTCGCCAGTTCTCCAAGTCAGCATCGAATTTCTCGATTTTTGGCAGGTCTTCCTCCGCAACCTCGAGTTCAACGTCAGGGCCAAATGCATGATATATTCGAGTTAGTACAATAAACAGGGCAACCTGGCTATGCAGGCGCATATCAGACTGGGTAGCTGTCGGGGAACGGGTAAATGTATCATGGTTAGTGATGGTAGAATCTTCATGTATAATCGGTGGCCGTCCGTAAGCAATTGAAAAGTGATGCTCGAGAACCTGGTACGAATCAGCATCCATGGTACCGCACATCATGATAGCTTTCCCACAATCCTTACATAGAGAAGATACCACAGACCGGCCTGTTCTCGGTGTTCTGGAGATCCTTGCACTGCCTTGCGGTAGCACTGATGCAAGTTGCGCTCTGTAGCAATCCGCACAGCGTAGCCGGAGAGTTTCCAGCTGACGTCTGATAGCCAAAATGCTCCAATGCACAATGCGCGAAGGTCGTCAAATGTATGATGCCTGCTAAGCATCGAATCCGATGCCAACTTCGCAAACTCGGTGTAGCATGTGTCAAAGGTTCGTTCTTTGTTGGGGATATGGAGAGCTGTGACTGTGAGGATGGCAGCTGAGAGCAATGACGAAGATCTTCGGGCCGAGGTAAGGTCTTTGTGAGGCATAGCGATGCCATCCCACAGATAGTGATTCAATAACCTATCGAAATAGTAAAACAGCTCCTCAGCTTCTGCCAGATCAACCACTCCACGCGATATGAAATCTGTAACGAGTGCGCGGTCCGGCGCATATTGACATCCCGGGGAGTTCGCCCGAGGACGGCTCAACTGGGTTACTTCAAAAAGGCTCCCCATAGGTGCAGTTACTAGCGATGATGCTCCTGTTTCTTCCCGATCGGGGGAGTATCGCGGCTGTCCTCGTGAACTTGAGAAACCTTGCTGCTGGGCTTCATCCACACTTGTGCCAACAGAGTCGGTCCCCTCGTGGGTCGGGTAGGACGCTCCACCATCTCTAGGCGATACTGTTGATAACTTCCGGTCTCTCGACCTGGAGGGATCCTGCGTGGTCCCTCCACCGGCCTGATAGTATGATAATTCTGGTAATTGCGCTTTCCTCAGCAGATCTGTCATGGCCAGTTCGATCATCGTCTTCCACCTGCACCAAGCAATATACGTCAGATAACATTCGTCCAATCGGCTATATATCACTCCAACAAGGTCCAGCCGACTTACTCTGCCTCATCATCGAGAAGCGTCTGTAGACTCTTATTGACCACGCATTCTAGCCCCATGCGCTGACATCTCTGGCATATGGCATCATTGGCTTTCATGTCACATCGAACTTTATGGCGTTTACATTCCGTACAGGCACGAATCTTGCGCGAAATCTTCGGAACATGTACCGACATTGAACGAGAGGTACCATTCGTAGGAGAGGCGGACGAGGTATCTCCTCCATTGTGCTCGAACTGGATGCGACTGCGCTTCATGATGGTCAAGAGCTCGTCCCCCGCTGCTGCAGGGCCACAATCCACATCGGTTTGCACTGCAAGAGAGGAGCGGGGTCGTGACCAGCCCGGAGAGGCTCAAGAGAGCAGACTCATATTGTCCCGACCAGAGAGCCAGACCTGAAGCTTAGCGGCATGGAGCGGGGTGAAGCCGCAGCCTTGGCAAGCCGGCTCTAAAATAATATGGAGTAGAAATATGTTAGTTAGTCTAGTCTACTGTCTAGCTGCTCGCGGAGAACATCACGTGTTGATCGCGTCTGGCGCTAGTCCGCTTCGGGTTTAATAGACGCTGCCTGGATGCGCGCGACGACGTGAGGTCTCGAGCTGGGAGCGCGTCTCGACCAACCCATCCTCATCTGTTCCGTCCACATTGGGTCTTCTACAACCTAGACTGAGCAATCGTGGGATTCTTCCAGGTTGGGCAAGATGGGTATCAAACGTATGAACTCTCTCTCTCTCTCTTCACCGCAAGCATCATTCCACCTGAGTCGCAAACCACCACTGGTTTGCTGATGAGGTCAGAAGACGCTAACACGAGCCGCCAGATCTTTACCAAGTCATCGCGGAGAACGCGCCAGATGCCATCAAGGCAGGTGAAATCAAGAATCATTTCGGCCGGAAGGTCGCAATTGTAAGTTATGTCTTTTGAAGCTTTGTTGGGTAAATATCTGGCTAACAGATCCGCGACTCGTAGGATGCGTATGTGTTAAACGACCGGAAACAACTCACAATTGGCATCCTATATACTAACTGGGAGCAGGTCGATGAGTATCTACAGTTTCCTCATCGCTGTCCGCTCAGATGGCCAGCAGCTCATGAGCGATACCGGCGAGACGACGTCGCATCTGATGGGCATGTTCTACCGCACTCTCCGGATGGTCGATAATGGCATCAAGCCACTTTATGTCTTCGATGGCGCGCCGCCCAAACTCAAGTCGGGAGAACTGGCGAAGCGCACCGCGCGCAAGGCCGAAGCCACGGAAGCCCATGAAGAAGCCAAAGAAACCGGTACGGCTGAGGATATCGAGAAGTTCTCGAGACGGACAGTCCGTGTCACGAGGGAGCACAATGCAGAGTGCAAAAAGCTATTGAAGCTCATGGGTGTCCCTTACATCGATGCTCCGACTGAAGCAGAGGCGCAATGTGCGGTCCTAGCGCGAGCGGGAAAGGTCTACGCGGCTGCATCTGAGGATATGGATACTCTGTGCTTTGAAGCGCCAATCTTACTGCGACATCTTACTTTCAGTGAACAGAGAAAGGAGCCCATCCAGGAGATCCATCTATCGCGCGTGCTCGAGGGCATGGATATGTCCCGGGAGCAGGTAAGCTTTGCGTTACGCAGCCGTAATCCGCAGGCGCTGACGTTGTTTGCACAGTTCGTCGATCTCTGTATCTTGCTCGGTTGTGATTATTTGGAACCTATCCCGAAAGTAGGGCCAAACACGGCGCTGAAGTTGATTCGGGAGCATGGCAGCCTAGAGAAGGTCCTCGAGAGTTTCGAGAAGGACCCCAAGAAGAAGTATGTCGTTCCCGAGCACTGGCCTTATCAGGACGCGCGGGAACTCTTCCTTCACCCGGACGTGCGGCCCGCCGATCATCCAGACTGCGATTTCAAATGGGAAAACCCGGATGTTGAGGGTCTGGTCGACTTCCTAGTGAAGGACAAGGGCTTCAGCGAAGACCGGGTCCGCAACGCCGCCGCTAAGCTGCAGAAGAATCTGAAGACGGCACAACAGTCACGTCTGGAGGGTTTCTTTAAGCCCGTTGCTCGAACAGATGAGGAAAAGGCAAACCTGAAGCGCAAACACGAGGAAAAGCTCGAGGAGCAGAAGAAGCGCAAGAAGGAAGAAGCCAAGGCTAAGAGGGAGGCCAAGGCCAAGCCTCGAGGCACAGCTTAAGCTGTTGGCAAGATTTCCAACTACAAAAGACCAAAGATGATACCAACGGGGCGATAAAAGCCAAACCAAAAAAAAAAATACGATGGCCAAAATTTGCCATATAGGTTTGATGCATAGCGGTTGGGACTGGCGTTCTGTTTAATTGCGTGCGGTCGGATGATTTTCGTTTGAGCTAGAGAACGACGCTTGCGGATCGGATCCGACAGCTGCGCGTCGTAGTGGACATGCAGAGCATGTGCAACTTATTCTCTACACGATGGAAAATGTACACAGAGTCGATATTTAATTCATCCTATACTGTTCAAATGAGCCCTCCTGCAAAAAATTAAAGGCCCCGGACTTGATTTGCGTCTAGGATCAGCAACCATATTCGGCACTAATCAGCAACTCGAGGCGTGATCTTATAGCACATAAAGAATTATACCTCATGTAATCCCCTTTACGAAATTCTCCAGTATCGATTTCATCAGGAAATAGGCTTCATGCTGCCCTCGATCGTGGTGGAGTATCCATATTCAAAAGTGGCAGCAACCGAACCTGTCATGCATCGAAAGCATCCATATACTTCCCTTCCCCAATGAAGTCTCCACAGAAATTCTAGAACTACGGATCACGAAATGAAATACATATTAGGAGATCCAAATCGATCTAAGATAATACAAACATATCGTAATGGACTCGATATTCGTGTCTGGGACATAATATGCAACCCAAGGGCGTGGAAATCAGCGATGATTTACTAGATCGATGATGTGATGCTTGATTTGAGGATTCGGAGGGAAGCACGATCAGATCAGATCAGATCACCTTTTCTGCACCAGAAGCGGTCCAGCCCCCCGGAGCTGCTCTTCGCCCCAAGCTAAAATCAAGTCTCTAGTTAGTTATCGCCCAGTTACGTTATCGATAAATCAAATTGTTTAAAGGTCAAAGAAATCGACTCGATAGAAGGGAGGTGATTACTTACACGCTACCAAATCAGCGCGCTCAGCCCTCTTAAGTATGCGTTGGCGGTTGATGTTGAAATAGCTAGCACCATCTAACTACTGAGTAATTCATACTCTATTTTACTTCACTGCTGATATACCTCTCTGCCCTTCTCACTTTTTCACGAGTCACGAGTCACGACGCGCAGCACGCAACATAGCTGGCTGGCTCCGCTTATTTACCTAGAGTAGCTCCTTTCCTTGTCATTTAAGTCCATCCAACTCTGCAGGTATAAATGCTTTTAATCCTGCATGAAACAAGCAAGTAAAGCACAGACTTGGAATTGTAACTCTACGATGTATGTAATAGTTACTACGTACTCGGTAAGTAGGGAAGAGAGATAAGTAGCCAAGCATTCCTCCCAGACTCCCAGAGGCACTTAGCTTGATTATTATTATCCCTCAGTTGACCTGTCAATTTCTCATTCTAGCTCATTATCTTTTTCCCTTTCTGTCCAATGAGGATTGTTTCCGCGTGTAATGGGAAATGGGAGCGAAGTTGCTCCAGAGTTGAGTAAAAGTAGATAGGAGTAGTTAAATAAATATATATAGCCTGCCACATGACACGACAACGATCATGAAAGCTCCACACAGCCACCCGAACGAATAAATATACTTACTTATCTACTTACTCATGATCTTCTGGATCCAGAAGAATAATAAAGTACAAAGTTAAGCGAAGATCGAATCAGCTGCTTTCTTTTCGAAATACTACGGGATGGGGGGTCACGCGGATATGTATCTATGGATCCATGGATGGGGAAAAAGATAGAAAACCAGGCAGTGATCCAAATCCTTCCCTCTCGTCCTCCGTAGGCATACACACACGGAAAAAAAAAGAGAAAAATGGACGTCTGCCTCTGGAAAGATGAAACTGGATTTTTTTAGACTCCGTTTCGAAGGGGGAATGGCAACTAAAGTGCTGGCCCCCTGATGAGTTGGCAGAGTGAGAAAGATGGGCTGGCTTCGGATGGGCTGTTGACAAGGTTGAAACTGTACGCTGCGCGGTGAAGATTGAGTATGATTCGTGGTATTAGATAAATGGTAGGTTAATCTGCCAATGGATTAATTGTGAAGAATATTATAATCAATGGGAATGTGGACGGATGGTGTGTGTTGGATGGCTCGAGGCGGGAGCATGGACTAAGTAGAGGAGCTATAGCTCACAGCGTAGGTTAAGAGGAACGCGTAACTGGATAGCAGTTGCGAATACGGAAAAGGAAAAACAGAACGTGAACCAGGGGAAGAAGCACGGACAATATCATTCATTCCCATTTTCTGTCTAATCTAACGAGCCACGACCGAACTGTTGAGGGGGGCCCCGGGGTCCGGCGCGTGCTCTGTTGGAAACTGACGGGTGTGAGTGATCCTGTGTCAACACCCGCTGCCCTATAAATCGCGCTGCCCCGCGGTCCTGGCCCTCCCCTTCCGTCTTCAGACTGACCTTTTGCTTCTGCCATCCAACAACTCCACCGATCCTCTTCGATCTCGACATCTGTTATCGATCTTCAACAGTCGCTCTTCTTATCTATTAACCCCAGCTCAAATCTAATTCACAATGCCGCCCAAGAAGGCTTCCACCGGCGCGTCCAAGAAGACGTCGGGCGCCACCCACTCTTCCTACAGAGGTACGTATCTCCTGATCTTTCTGCATCACAACGTCGCGTCGCGGCGATGCTGGTATCGTTTCGATCGCGAATCAGCGCTGATTCGATCCATATAGATATGATCAAGGATGCTATCCTCAGCGTAAGTTAATCAGCTTCGCGCCTAAGCGACTTCTCACGGTCGGCGCCGGGTACTAGCTCAAGCTCGACTCCCGGAATGGGACATGCCCTGCTTCAGAGTCTATCCAGCGTCGTGCCGTTGGTCGCGTCATCTTGTCGCTTCTCTTGGCTAATTTTTTTTTTTCTTTGATTCAGCTCAAAGAGCGCAACGGTAGCAGGTAAGATTTCTCTCCGTATCTGGTGTGCCGGTCGCGAGTCCCGTCCAATCCGTTCATCATCCGGACGCGCGCTTTTTTGTGTCGATTTTCGAGACTAACGTCACGTCTTGTTTTGCTTGATAGCCGTCAATCTATCAAGAAGTATGTGCAGAACAACAACAAGATCAACATCACGTCGCAGGCCGCGTTCGACGCCCAGTTCAACAAGGCCATCAAGGTCGGTGTTGAGAAGGGCGAGTTCACCCAGCCCAAGGGTACGTATCTCGCTTTCTTCGTCTTTTTTTTTCGCGCCATCTGAGGCATCTCAATGTCCTTGCAACTGTATTCTTCAGTGCGCCATTACGCGTCTCCCCTGCGATTCGCATTCTTCATTCCGATCCACGATGCTGATGCGACCACCCGCAGGTCCCTCTGGCCCCGTGAAGCTGGCCAAGAAGGAGCCCGCCAAGCCTGCTCCTAAGCCTGCTGCCAAGGTGAGTTACTTCTTCTCTATTCTCAGTATTTGAACATTTGCTCATGCATGGCCAGAAGGCGACTGCCGCCAAGCCTGCTGCTAAGAAGGCCAGCACCAAGAAGACTGAGAAGACCGAGAAGACTGAGAAGGCCGAGAAGCCTGCCAAGTCGACGACCAAGAAGGCCGGTGCACCGAAGAAGGCTGCCGCGAAGCCCAAGGCCAACACTGCTAAGCCTCGCAAGGCTTCTACCGCGGTATGTTGCCATTGCGATACCCACGCCGTTTTGGATCACTAACTGACATCGAAGTAGGCTCCCGCCGTTGTTGAGCAGCCCAAGGTGCTTGGCAAGACCAAGTCCGGCCGCGTCACGAAGACGACTGCTAAGCCCGCGGCTCAGAAGGCTGCGCCCAGGAAGAAGGCCGCATCGACCGAGAAGAAGGAGGCATGAAGATGCCACCGTCGTTCATGATGTGTCTTTGATTTGACTTGGTTTTAATGTCTCGTCCGCGGCGTGTTTTGCTGCTGTCTCCTTCGGCTTGTAACTTTTTTTTTGGTCCTTGTTCTTTTTCTTTTTTTTTCTCTCGTGCTTATTATAATGCTGCGGCTACTTCTGGGATGTCAGTGTGATTAGTTTGTGTTTTTTGACAAAGTTGGTATGGGCGGCGTCATGTGGTGGGTCTTGCAACGGGACATGTCTATTGTGTTGGTCAGCTTGGTACTCTCTCTGGAGCAGAAGCTGTAGGATGCGAAATGGGAATTCTCTCTTTTTTCCGTTCAATTTTGTTCTCTTCTTAAGTTCCAGTAGAGTGTTTTTTTTTTTTTTGATTCAGTAGTGAGTATCGAGAATTGCAGGTAAGTATGACTATCAACCCAGAAATAGTAGGGGGTTGGTGTAGTGTAGATCTCGTCGTTGGTGGAGGCCGAACTTTGGCCGTTCCCGTGAGTTCATGTATCTGAATAATGGCTGAGGGTGTTTGTACTGTACCATAACTCTGTACTTGTCAGTTACGGGTTACTTTATCGTCGTCGCTGCGCAGTTCTGGGTGGTCTAGTTTATCTTCCACTACGATCAGATAGAGGGCCTCCGACCTTCTAACCAGGTCGAGGCAGGTATGACGTGACCAGGAAATTGCCGCATTGATCAGCAGGGTATGGTTCGTGAGTATAAAGGATTAGCGATTGTATAAGATGGGGGGAGAATGGAAGGGTGTTGCCCTGTCAGGAAGTTCGCATAATGATATACATTTGGTCTCCACTACTCCGGGGTGTGTGTGTTAACTATTTATATATCCCTGGGATGTGGAGTGTCAATTATTATTACCAGGTCGCGACAGCAACACTGCATAATTCGAGTAGATACTCTAGTTGCGTTAATGGTTATCAACTAATAAACTGCACCAGATAAATTATTCTAGCAGCACTTGAATTCTCCTGGAATATAATTACTCAACGCTGGTTATATTTCTGATGATGTTCTGGTATTGACCCTGATGACCCATCCTCCACGTGACGGGGGGCGCAACACGTAACGCACCCAGCTTGTATCCCGCCGTGCCTGGAGTCTGGACTGACTAGATTCAACTAGACTAACCAGATAGAACTGAACGGACCCATAATCAGCTAGAGGAGAACAGATCGAAGACTACTCCGTACAAGACGCCCGGAAGGCCCAGAAGCCGGTCCCGGAGGGCAACGGGCTCGTAATGGAGGATGGAGGATTACTATTCCAGTAGAGTACATAGTTATTAGTTATAACTAGCTAGTTAGTCGAGTATGGTATAGCAGTGACTACTACTGACTACCTAGGTAGTCAACAGTATGGTACTCTAGCAGTAGTACTGTAAATCGATTTTAGTTATTATATTCATGATAATGTAGCTGAGATATTAGGATTAGAGTTCGATGCTCAATCTGATATCGCTCTAGATATTCCACTTGTCCAACCGTCCGCCATATCAAGATAATAATAATAATAAAATATGAATATATGAAACAGTTAACTTAGTTAAGCATCTGCCCCTGGTTCTGACACTTCGTCCATTATTCCCGACGGGCTCTGCGGACAAATCAACAATCAACAGGGGAACCGGATACGTCACAGTCACCAGAACCACGAACCAGCCAAGAACAAAAAGACTCCAATTAATTCATATTATTAACCACTGCCAAATAAGCCCATCCAGACGGACAATCAACCGGGTTGCCAATCCGTTGTGTTGTACGGCTGGTGGAGCGAAGGCGTGAGCGACCGGGGCCGCCTGCTTGGCGCAAGTTTACTCCAACCTTTTGCCAGAATTATTGTTCCCCCCATCAATAATCGGGCCCTGAGCGAGACGGAGTCTTTTCTCTCTTCTCTCTCTCTTCTACTCTCTCTCTCTCCCTCTCTGTGTGTGTTGTGCTGTGCCCTGCCCTGCCTTGTCTGGTCTGGTCTGGTCTGGTCTGGTCTGGTCTGATCTGATCTGGTCTTTGTCTTTGTCTTCCCCTGCCCGCCTCTCTTAACCCCCCCCATCGTGGAAACGGTCAGGAAATTGATTCAACTTTCCCCCTTTCAGCCTGATACCCCGACGACAACGACGATCACAGACAGCCTCTCGATCTGCTTGTTGGCCGTTCATCTGCTGTCGTTCCTACTTGGCAGTCCCAGTCAACTCTAACATGCTTATCGGTCGCTGAACCGCTTTGCCAGGCCCTCCCGGCTCGGTGCTTCCAACTCGATCCCCGACCACGCCGCATCTCCTCTCTCCAACCCCCTTCTTTCGTTTGGGACAACCTCCCTCCCCCAGATTCTTGGGATACTTTTGTGGTTGCTTGTTTCCATCGTCTCGTTTGTGGCGTCTGCTCGAGAGAGGTTCTGAGGTCCCTGAGACTGGAGGTCCCACGCAGGCCTCACGTCACTCACTGACCCTGGTTCGTCGTCCGAGTCACCATGCCATCTTTCGCCGCGAGTGAGAGTCAATACCCGACCGCGACGACAAATCCCCCCCATCCGTTCGATCAGCAGCATCGCAAATCCCACGACAAGGCCCCCGTCGGGAATACCTTCCTGTACACCCCCAATGGTGATTCGGGCCACTTCGACCCCAATCAATCCGATCCCCATCCGATTTTCAGCAATCTGAAGAATGGCAGCGCATATTCGCTGAACGGTCCCCGATCCAGTATCGGGTCCCATAATCGCGACCTGCTCCAGTCGAAGGATAGCAGTACGCACTCCTTGGCGGGTGGTGCGGTGCGCGAGAGCAAGGAGACGAGAAGGGGGTCAACAACGCTGGATGGACAGACCACGAGGAGATCGACGGACATGCCGAATGGCACCGCTTCAACGTCAAAACAGCTGCCAGCCACGCCGCAGGTGAATGGAGAATCGTCCAGTTATCGATCGGCCGGTTCCAAACCGACTGCTAATGGCGACTACTACCACCGATATTCTGAGGAGATCGACCCCAAGAGTACGGCCATCCCCGTGTCGACTTCTGCCCCGGACCCTGGGCGCTCATCATTTGAGCCTGACAGACTGGCCCCGGGAAGTCGAGCGGGAACGGCCCATCGATATTCGTCACCGCCGGCACCGTCGCTCTCAGACAATAGCCAAGCAGCCCCGAATCAAGGGCTCGCATATCGACATACCCTTCAGGTTCCCCGAACGAGTACTGGCCGCAGGAACAGCAGGGAAGTGTCTGAGGACACGGCTACCACCAGCGGTCGCTTTTCTCCCACGGCAGGTATGCGAAGGACGTCGATGAGCCTGGCCAGGCGGACGACGAGATCACTCCAGTCGGATCTCCCCGCCGAGGAAGTGCCCCCAGACGAGGATGCTGCGCGATGGGCGGAAGCTATCAAGCAGAAGAGAGCGAAGAAGAAGCGTCGCGAGGAGGAAGATGACGATCGGGTGATTGTGGGCACGAAAGTGGACCAGAACCATGTGAACTGGGTGACTGCGTACAACATGTTGACGGGAATCCGGTTCACCGTGTCGCGGATAAATGCAAAGATGGACCGGGAGTTGACAGATGCGGATTTTGAAGCGAAGCAGAAGTTTTCCTTCGATATGTAAGTTGCAGTCCTTTTGTGAGCATTTTGGGTCGCGAGTCTAACCCAAGCAGAACTGGCAACGAGTTGACACCGTCTGCCAAATACGATTTCAAATTCAAAGACTATGCACCTTGGGTGTTTAGGCGGCTACGAGCTCAGTTCAAGCTCGACCCTGCTGACTATCTCATGTCCCTCACGAGTAAATACATTCTTTCGGAATTGGGTTCCCCCGGCAAGAGTGGGAGCTTCTTCTACTTCTCCAGAGACTACAAGTACATCATCAAGACGATACACCACTCCGAGCACAAGTTGCTACGGAGAATCCTCCGCGACTATTACCACCACATCATGAACAACCCTAATACCTTAATCTCTCAGTTCTACGGCTTGCATCGGGTCAAGATGGCCTACGGTCGAAAGATCCATTTCGTCGTCATGAACAACCTCTTCCCGCCACATCGAGATATCCATCAGATGTACGATTTGAAGGGCTCGACCATCGGTCGTGATTTGCGCGAGGAGGATCTGGAGAAGAATCCGAGGGCGACAATGAAGGACCTCAACTGGCTCCGGAGAAATCGACATCTTGAGTGCGGCCCGATGAAGAAGGAAATCTTCATCGCCCAGTTGAAGAGAGATGTGCGCTTACTACAGAGACTCAAGATCATGGATTACTCGCTATTAGTGGGGATTCATGACCTGCAGAAGGGGAACGAGGAGAAACTCCGTGATAAGACATTACAGGTTTTCCAACCTGGCGGCGACCGCGATGATGATGAGAGCCATAGCATGTTGACGCGGACACCATCCAAGCTCGAGAGCGCGCGAAAAGCTCGAGAGCTGAGGATGACACTCCAGCGGGAACGACCTGTACCGTTAGAACAGACTGCAGCGCGGATGCCGGATGAGATTCTCGACGAGAGGAAGAATCTCGTTTTCTACTCCGACGACGGTGGTTTCAGAGCCACCCACGAGAATGGCCAGCCGGGGGATGAGATCTATTATCTTGGAATTATAGACTGTCTGACTCACGTAAGTTGCAGATTAGACCCCTAGATACCTGTGCAGCAGACTGACTCCATGTAGTACGGGATGGTGAAGAAGGCAGAGAATTTCTGGAAAGGTCTCTCGCATAACAGGACGCAAATATCGCCCGTTCCACCGGAGAGTTATGGAGAGCGTTTCATCAACTTCATCACGGGCATTACCATGTCCAAGGAAGAAGCGGAACGGCAAAGCGTGGCTCGCGCATCGGGCGAACCTAACGTGGATCCAGCACGAGGCCAAGGCTTCCATGAGCCGGCCGTTGAAAGGACGATGCGAGCAGCGGAGAAACAGGCGGTTAAAGATGGGCCAGAGCCGCAAACACGAACTCTGACCACCATGCGAGATCCCACGGACGCATCGAGTACCGGCGGGCCATCGACGTTGCCCGTTGTCCAGGAAGACGGCGAAGCGGGCGCCGGCCAGCATGAGCATGAGCGCAGCCAAGTGGATGTTCCCCCGCCCGTGCCAGAAAAAGATGGGCAAGGCCAAGCAAATGGCTTCCTACCGCGTGGACGGCGAGGCACTTTGACTGAAAAGGGCGACGGGGCTGACTATGCCAATGGTCGACTCCAAGCGGAACGATGAGTTCCCTCATAATGACCTGTTTGACTCGATCATTTCGCGCCATTGAATCATTGCTCGACAAAGCTTTCCTGGGCAATAAAGCTTATTCCTTCATCAAAAGACCATTTCCGCTTTGGCTCATGTCATATCCAGATGTGGCATATCCTAATTCGCTCTGCTGTGTTAGCCGTGCAGTTGCACTGCGTTCGCAACGTTCAGCAGGCTTAGGCGTCGGGTTGATGTTGTCACGATCGGCGCTCCTTGTCTGCATGCCTTATACTCTCTGGCTCTCTGGCATCTGTTGTATCTCTTTACTCCTACTTATCGTCTTTCATTTACAAAGTGTGACCGGTCATCAAGAGATTTTCGAGCTTGGCCAGCGCCCAGTTGCGCATTTGAGCGGCCTGTTAATCATTCTTTTAAGGCTCGTTTGAATGTCCGGATCGAGACCACATACCCGTCCGCCGGTTGCAATCTACGGCGTACAGCAAAATATTCCCTTTTTCTTTTCTTCTCTTTTCCTGTTTTTTTTCCCACGATTCTCGTCTACTCCAGTTTGGGTATGAGATCCCTACCCGATCACGTTATAGACCGGCTTGGAAAGCCCCTGCTAGCAGTCTTTTTCCTTTCAATCTCTTTTCTTTTTTCCTACTGTATCACATAACAAGTTCTACATATTGCATCGCGGAGTCTCTCATGTAATTCCATCTCGCTTTTCCTTGTCTTTTCTTGGTATTGTCTTTTTTTTTTTTTTTTTTTTTTCGTCTGTGGATTCCATCATCGGGTTGTTTTGCGTCTCCTTTGTTCGAATCTGAAGCGTTCGCGAGACGTGCCTTATTGGGTGTCCCTTTTCAGCGCAAACCATTCAGTCGAAAGAAAATAGAACATAGCAAGGTCAGCTAACTAAAATGATACCAATATTATGCGATTCGATTATGCAGCTTGTCCTGGTAGAGGTGTAGAGTTGACTAGAAGGAAGGATCTGTAGATATGATTGATATGGAAGTATAATGTTGGATATCTCAAGATACGTATATACCTTGCATGCTCAGTCCCGTGAATCTAGATAATACAACTACCCTCATCCCGACAGTAAAAGTTAAGTCCAACATCCGAGTCATGAGCGAGTAGAGAGAAGTATCTTGCCGAAACTGCTCCTCCTAAAACAAAGGTACGACATAAAGCAGAAATTGGATATACGCTCACGAAAACGAGGAATGAGAATGAAGATAAGAATCAGTTACTCATAATAGAACTCCATCCAATATCTAACTTCGATGTTGTGGGAGATTTCTTATTCCGAAAGAGAAGACGAGTTGACGAGTGAAACATAATACGGGTTATGGAAATTTGGGAACTTGAGTTTAATAGTGAGTGAAATCTGAGATGAGGATTTTGTTTTATGTGTGTTGTGTTGTGCTGAGTTGAGTTGGGTGCGGTAGTGGGATGTATTACGTACGATATGGTGAGCTTCAAATGAAGAGTGTGTTTTTGGTTTATTTACCGGGAGACATGAGGAGATTTGAAAGGATCATGATGGGAAGTTAGGGTTGATGGTGGTGTGGTTAGAGATAATATCTTTGTAGAAAAGAGTTGGCGATGTAGAGGGTGATAAGCTACCATTATCTTGATATTATCATTTACAAGAGAAAGGCAAGTGAGAAAGTATTGTAGCAAGATTGGACTGAGAATTATTTATTTTCGCTGTTTGAACATCCTCGTCCTGATACTACTCCCATAATGAGCGCCATCTTCCCACCACAACAGAAACTCCAAGGACTAAGCACAACATAGCCGTCTGACGCCACATAAAGACAAGACTCCATGCTGTAACCCTTTCGGATGATCCTCCCTGAGAACGCCAATGATACAGGTTGTTTTTGTTTTGTTTTTTTCGTGAAAACCACAAGTGTGGACCGCTGTGCGGAGGCAGATGTCGAGGCTTGTCGATACCGCATGGAACAAATCACTCGACCTTGCCCTGGGTGACCTTGGCGGCTTGGACAGCGGACATCTTTTGCATCCATCCCTGGGACGGTTGCGGCTTCTTCACGGTGCGCAGGTCGTCAGTCGAGAAACCAGAGATGCGCATGTTGTAGTTGCGCTCGAGCACCAGTTGGATGTCGCGAATCTCCAGGGTGGAGGAGGGACGAAGCTTGGCCAAGCGACAAGCAGCGGTGATCACGTCGTCAACAAAGTCGTCCGCCATTTGAAGAACGAACTAGGGTGAGTTAGTTAAAGATACAAGGAAAAAAAAAATATGATGTCCTCGCTAATATCCACAGCGCATCAGGGGGATATCAAATTCTTACCTCTTCAGCGTCAGGAGTGAGTCCTTCACCTTCACCACCGCCAGTGACCTGACGAACCAGGGTATCGAGCATCTTCTTGCTCAGAACGCGCTGACCCTCGCCCTCAAGAACGTATCCCGGGTGCTTCTGGATGGCGGGCTGGCCCATCATGCCCATCGCGCCGTGGCTGGGTCCACCGGACAAGGTAGGGCGAGCAGGACCCATAGAGACAGGCTCTGGTGGAGGGACATTCAGATTCTTCGGAATAGCCATGTTGACGTTGCGAGTGTTGGTCTCAGGAGGCCGGTTATTAATGTACTGAGGATGCGCGTGGGTGTTGGCAGCTGGCTGAGCAACGTTTTGTTGTTGTTGCTGCTGGTTGTTATAGTTGGTGTAGTTTTGAGCGGCTTGTGCCATGGCGGCTTTATGTGACAATGGACGGGGCGGGCCTTGCTGGGTTGGAGGTTGCTGAGGAACGCCCCCAGGTGTCGGTGTGTTCTCCGCCGGCTGACTTGGTGTTTGGTGAAATCCAGCTTGCGCGCCCATCTGCCCTGGCTGAGGTGTCGCCGTCTGCGCCTGGCCTTGCGATGTCGGTGTCTGCCCAGGCTGGGAAGTCGAAGGCGACATCGCCGCCTGCCCGGCCTGATGGCGGGCGGCAGTTACAGCAGAGTTGATTGTGTGCGCCGCTGGAGGCTGAGCCTGACCTGGATGCATCTGAGCAGGAGCATTCGCTGGACGAGCTTGAGCTTGAGCTGCCTGAGCTTGAGCCTGTGCCTGCGCCTGCGCCTGTGCTTGTGCTTGGGCTTGGGCTTGAGCTTGGGCTTGAGCCTGTGCTTGCGCCTGAGCCTGCGCCTGGGCTTGAGCTTCAGCAGCAGCAGCAGCTTGAGCCTGGTCAGGGCCAGCCTGCTGTGGCTGTCCCTGAGTTGGCGCATTTGGCACTGTAGGCCGGTTGAGGGTTTGAGTTTGATTCTGTTGCTGAGTCTTGAAGCTTTCCTGCTGTTCCTTGAACTTGTTGAGGAAGTCACTCCCTTCACGAAAGAGTTTCTCCGCCGCCACCTGTCGATTCTTGAACTCCTGCATTTCCTCCTGCGTCACGTTTCCCGCGCTCTGTCGCTGCGCAAACTGCTGTCGCAGCTCATTCATACGCGCCCTTCCGATCTCCTGCTTCTGCAGCGCGATTCCATATCTCAACCTCGCCTCCGGCAGCCATGTCTGCGTCTGCTCCTTGCTGATGTTCGGGGGAAGAAAGAAGTGTAAGGTGTTGACCTTCTGCTGGATCTGAGGCAGAAGCTGGTTGAACGACTGGGGATTCGCAGCTTGCGGGCGTTGAACTGGCTGGCCCTGCTGAGCTGCAGCGGCGGCTTGGGCCTGCTGCTGCTGCAGGGCCTGCTGTTGGCGGTTCTGCTGAAAGAGCCGCATGCCTTTCATCAGATTCTGCGATAGCTGCGTGAGCTTCAGCTGCGCATTTTGATACTCTGGACTCTGCGGGTCACGGCTGTTGAGTATCTCCCAGAGGTTGCGGACCAGCTGCGCATGCTGGGCCTTCTGCTGATCGTTGAGATGCGGCAGCTTCTGCACTTGATCAGTCCGAATCAGCTGTGCCTGCTGCTGAGGGGGAACAATGGGCTGGCCCGTAGCAGCGCCAGAGCCGTCCATGGTGTGGACGGCTTTGTAAAAAGCTGTTGGTTCTCGCGATGGGTTGGTCTCCTGTTCTTATCGGATAAAGACGCCGCCGGACGATTGACCGATTCAGCGCCGTCGAGTCTCGAGAAAGGATGAAAGAAGCGTATCAACTAGGAACAGACGATGGAGCAGCAGAAAGTTGCACGGCCCGACGTGACGGAGGCGAAGGCGCTGAGGCTGCGGCGGGATGGTGTTGGATATCGATCCGCGGAGGTTCGACGTCGGGAGGAGTCTTGGCGCGACCTCAGGCTCCAAAAGGGGGTCTGCAGGTCAGCGTTTGATAACACTCTATACCTGGCGGTTTTTTGGAGGCTATTCTACTAATGTACGTGTCGTAGGTGTCCTTCAATAAGTTGCGTTCGGTGAATAACCGGCGGTGACAAGGCAGATGTGCACAGTAACCGCTGTGCTGGATTATAGAACAAAGAACTACGATCAATAGATTGGGTATCGTCAATACAGACACTACTATCAAGGTTGACATGATTTTAACCCTGATCTTCACGGGTATTAATCTTGCTCTATTATCTATAGAAGCGAGCAAGATATTCTGAGGGGAGCTACGCTGGACAGTTACTGGTTACCTAAGCTGTAAGCAGATCAGAAGTAGAGAATCTCGCATTGAATTGAATAGGCGTTAATGAAAATCTCTATTGTCCCCAATAATAGTACGGTATAAATAGTATCCGCGTTGTACACTTTAACTGTAATGGCATCCCTAGCTGGACATGATTTCACTAAAGGGTGAAAGTATGTTTGAGAAATAACCACATGGGCACCATCTAATCGGCAAGCAGAACAGATCATCGGGGTTATTTGGTCAATTTTCCGGTTGCTGAAACTGACTTGACAACAGAACAGCCAGTGGATTTCCAGAAACGGGAGCAGGGAGATTGCTGCCCTTGAGGGATCGCTACCGTGGGATATTCTCCGTGATCGAAGTCGGGAATAACTTGTGGAACAAGAAGATGCATGCTGTTCCCTGTCTGCTTTGCTCTTTGCTGATGATAGAGGATAGTCCCACTGGAGAGATATGCATGGAGAGCAATATCTCTCCGGACGATAGGTAACTGCATTATATACTCACACAGCGCTTTCTAGATAGGTGGCCATGAAGGCGGTGAACCTATCGGATATATGCTGCTGTGCACGTAGTAACTATAATGCACGTTCAAAGAGCCTTCATTCCGGAAACTGGCCATCTGTCCCATGTGGCCGAAATGGTGCCCTCTGACTGCAGAGAAGTATTTGCAAGTTCCACGCCTGGTGCTCTGAACAGTATAGACCTGCCGATCGCAGTCAAGCGGTGCTGATACGGTGGAAGTAATTCCCGTATCTGGTTTCGTCTGATTATCATGGAGAATGGTGCGTTTCGAGAAATAGTTTGTTCGCACAGTCCACGCTGAATCCGATAAGTAGAATACTCATCGCATGAGGCCGCCCAGATCTCTTTCCATGCCGCTGACACGGTCCTCCAGCTTCCTCTTCCGCCGTTCTAGTTCCCTGATCTCCTCAAGTTCGCGTTGGATATCTTCATCTGAGACGTCCGGCACTTCTGGTTGGCTCTCGACCGCCTCAGCATGGTTGTAGTAGTCCCCGTCATCGCGGCTCATCTGCTCCAGCTGTGCCGAATTGTCGGCCACCCGGTCTTCGAGCTGGGCGATTGATGCATTGATCTGGTCGTGACGGTATCGAAGGGTCGAGATCTTGTCAAAGGCACCAGGAATGGGGTACACATTGCACAAGATCTCAGCACCCCGCAGGAGCACCTCTACGTTGACCTCACCACGAGGAGCTCGCGTAGATGTCCCGGTCGATCTCTTGATCTCCTCCATCATATCCGTACCCAGTACCCTCGCGACAGCAGACTGATTCCTGTTGTTTCTTGCAGCATAGATGCGACTCGCCATGGACTCCCCCTCGCCCTCCCCAGGGAACATCGTCCCCCTTCGTGTCATTCGTCGCTGACCCGACTTGAGGGGCTTTGCGGCGGGGTCGATGGAAAAGAGGGCCCGTTCATGAGCCTCTGTGTCACGGATGAGAGCGGTGATCTCGTGGGGACTGAGCAAAGCAGTTGTGAACATCCTGGGGGGAGGGAAACTACAATACAATGTTCTGTCAGCATCGCGTCCTGTCGAGTATACGAGCCATGGCGGGGAATTCGCACGGTAGCTCCGCGATGGCAGCGGAAGAGAGAGCTATCTGCTCTATATGGTTCTCGAGGAGAGACATGGCTGCAATTGACTGAGAGGCTGTGTTGGAGTAGAAGGAGATTTAACCATGCGCACGTCGCCAGTAAATGAAATGCGGCCAGATAGTCTTCAAGTTGAAGAGAGTATAAATTAAATATCACGAAGTGCTTCTGTCAACAAAGACAGCGCCAAGCTATCCGCGTGCAGCTGTTTCTGCCTCAGGAACCAAGAGCTCCCTGGCACGAGATTGCAGTCACCAGCGGTCGTGGACCATTCTGATCTGCTCCAGCACCAAAATTAAAAAAAAGAACTAGAGTAGACCATCTGGGCCTCTAAGCAACAACTCTCCCTGCTGGCCCTGCTGGATAGCGCGGGGTCGTGCTGCGTTGGAGCTGTGCTGTGCTGTCGCAAGCAGCAGGCAGCGAAGCGCTGAGTAAGCCCGCCCCTTCAACCTGAGCTGACGGGAACCTCTCGACCTCTGCCTTGACATCACCTCACCATCAACCTCCTCCCATCGACTCTGTCTTCACCTCAACAAGCGCATCTATTTTATCATTTTTCCTTTTTCAGCCGCCCTTCGGATCAGAGGCTTCTTGGCTTGTTCCTGGAAGCTTTTCGTTCCGTCTTGGACCTCGGTCTTCCCCTTCCTCGCTGGTGCTGTTGGACCCCGTCGTGTGAACTGAGCTCCCAGCTGGAAAGATGCCGGCCGAGAGACGTTCTCTAAGGTCAAACAGCAAGGCCGACCCTTCGTCGTCGGCCAACGGTGAGAAAACACGCTCCGGATCCCAGAGTTCGAGCTCCAAGGACAAGGCCACCCCGACAACCCGATCTGCGGCGAACAAGGCCAAAGCGGCCCCAGCCAAGAAGGGCGCGAAGAGCAACGCAAACTCCGAGATGAGTGGGAACGAGCAGCCGCATGCCAATGGCTCTGAGCGTGTAGAGAATGGCGTGAACGGTTCGGAAGACGTGGTTATGGAAGAGGATACGGCAGGTGGGCCTACATCGTCAAGCTCCAACAGCACGAATCGCGATGGTGACGAGAAGATGACTGTTGTAGTGCCCCCCTCGAAGGGTTCTAGATTATCCGGACAACCGGGCCAGGACAAGGAAGAAGACGTCGCGATGGAAGGCGCTGAGGAGGAGGAGGCGAAAGAGCCTGAAGTCGATCCATACGAGAAGACGGTGCAAGGTAGGCCTGCGCAGATCCTCTGCGATACCTGATGGACTAGATCATGCTAATGCTATCTCCTTTCACTCACAGATATCAAGACCAACTTCGTTCTCCTGGAGCGTGCGGTGACCCACTTTGACCCCAGATTTACCCTCCGGGTCTTGCGGTCGATCTCTTCGATGCGGAAATACCTCACCCCGGATGTGCTGGCAGAGGTTGTGGTGGACACATATCCTAGCTCGAGTTCGACAGCCTCGTTTCTGCTGGAGGCCATCGGCAAGGCGGACGCCTACAAGTATGCTGTGCCCACCTCGAAGATGGAGCTCGATTCCGACAAGCCAAAGCCGGCCATTCGAGAAATCCTCCCAGAAGTTGATGTCTATCTCTCCATCCTCGTCCAGATTTCTCTCTACGACAAGAAAGAGGTTCAGGCTGGCGCCCGATTCTCGCAGGGCCTGGTCGAGCGACTGCGGACGCTGAACCGGAGGACCTTGGACTCCCTTGCAGCTCGCGTGTATTTCTACTACTTCCTCTTCTTCGAACAACTGTCGCCTCTTCCTCCGTCACCAGCAGCTGCCGTCATCTCGATCCGCCCTACCCTGCTCGCAGCGCTCCGAACAGCGGTTCTCCGAAAAGATGTCGACACTCAGGCTAGTGTGACGACGCTGCTCCTCCGCAATTACCTGTCAACGTCTCATATCTCCCAAGCCGATCTACTCATCTCTCACAACCAATTCCCCGCCACTGCCTCGAATAACCAGATCGCACGTTATCTGTACTACCTGGGCAGACTTCGCGCCATCCAACTGCAGTACACGGACGCTCATGGACATCTTGTTGGAGCCACGCGTAAGTCGCCGACCACTCCCACTGCCGGCGGCTTCTACCAGGCCTCCACCAAGCTCCTTGTCGTCGTTGAGCTCCTGATGGGTGATATCCCCGACCGTTCGCTCTTCCGTCAGCCAGCCCTTGAGCGTGCACTGCACCCTTACTTCCTGCTTGTGCAGGCCGTGAGCGCGGGTGACCTCGATGGATTCCTGGATATTGTAAACAACTACAGCGAGGTGTTCCGGAAGGACAACACATACACCTTGATCCTGCGTCTTCGCCAGAACGTGATCAAGACGGGTATTCGGATGATGTCGCTGTCGTACTCCCGAATCTCTCTGCGTGACATCTGTGTCCGTCTGGGCTTGGAGAGTGAGGAGTCTGCCGAGTACATTGTTGCCAAGGCCATTCGGGACGGTGTCATTGAGGCAACCCTTGACCATGAGCAGGGCTTCATGAAGAGCAAGGATGTCGGCGACATCTACGCCACCCGAGAACCCGGTGAAGTCTTCCACGAGCGAATCCGTGCTTGTCTGGCTCTCCACGATGAAAACGTCAAGGTATGTTACTCGAGCGCAAAACTTGCTTGCAGCATTAGATACTGATTGAAACTTTTTTTTGTAGGCTATGAGATTCCCCATGAACCAACATCGTCTGGAGCTGAAGAACGCGCAGGAGGCTCGTGAAAGGGAGAGGGAGCTGGTCAAGGAGATCCAGGAAGGAGATATAGATGATGATGACGCGGGTGGTGACTTTGATGGAATCTAATGGTTGGGATTATATGAATTTGCTGCTCTGTCCCCGTCACCGGCTTTCTCATGTATGATGCGGGCTGGAACGAGGAGAGATGCATATGTTTACTATTCTGTCATCCCGCTACACACGGTACAATGTTGATGGAATTGGCTTTGCGTTATGTCTCATCATGGCTTCTTCTTTTTCAATGGTTCGCTTTTTCTCCCGGGTGGATGGGATGGTTTGGGTGTGTCTGTACAGTCCAGCAGGGTTGCCTTCTGGCCGAGCGACTTGTAATCTTCCATGCATTAGACAAAAAGCCACCAGCTTTTCTCTTTGGTCTCTGTAACGTTCGCATCCATGGGTGAAATTGCCCTGTAGAGTTCCGCGTGGCCGTGGGTTTGTTGCGGACTGGGCCGTGCCAGAGTTGTTCCGGCCCGAGTTGGGAGCTCGTCGAGATCTCCGGCTGTACCTGGCAAGCAAATTCAACGACTCGACCAACCCACAACGTCCGCCCTGGGCCACTTTATCCAGGTCCTGACCTCGCAGGCTTTGGAGTCACGTCCTATTCGATTATTCTACATGCTCAGACTCTGATTCAACACCCTCGAAGTCTCGAGCATGCGAGCTCGACCCGTCCGAGCCTCCGGGCTGATACTTTCGTCACGAGCTCCATCTTCCAGCTCGACATGCTCACAATCCATACCTCATAATATTTTCCCGCCCCGGATACAGTTCAATGCGCGTGGATATCGTCCTTCCCGGCGAAAGGAGATCTCTCCGCTGGGTGCAGCCGTCACTGCGGCGCAGAATATCATCTCCAAGGGCCTGCCGAAAGCTCCACCGGGCATCTCAGTTGACCCATTGCGAATCGTGGGCAAGGAATTGAAATTCCTCACCAAGAACATTCGACAGCTTGTGGGTTCAGGACATCCTATGCTGGATAAGGTCGCCAAGTACTACACCAGAAGTGAAGGGAAGCAAATACGGCCGCTACTCGTGCTGCTCATGTCCCAGGCCACTGCATTGGCACCAAGAAATCCCAAGCCCCCTGCTGTGAATCCCGATACAGTCAGTGATCCGATCAGCTCGCCGCTGGTTCTAGCAGACTCCAACCCCGATACGAGTCCTCTCACCGCTCCGTCGAAATATGACCTAGCGGACGATGCCAACGTCCTTCCTTCTCAGAGACGACTTGCTGAGATCACCGAGCTGATCCACACGGCCTCCTTGCTTCACGACGATGTCATCGACAATGCTGTCACCCGCCGCTCTTTTACGTCTGCGAATCTGGAGTTTGGTAACAAGATGGCTGTCCTCGCTGGTGATTTCATGCTGGGACGGGCGTCCGTGGCCCTGGCGCGTCTGCGGGACCCGGAGGTGATCGAGCTGCTGTCCACTGTGATTGCCAACTTGGTTGAAGGAGAGTTCATGCAGTTGAAAAACACTGCCCAGGACGACTCCAACCCGGCGTTTACTGAGGATACGATTTCCTACTACCTGCAGAAGACGTACCTGAAATCCGCCAGTCTGATCAGCAAATCTTGCCGTGGAGCTGCTCTTCTTGGAAACAGCGCCCCAGAGGTTGTGGAAGCTGCCTACTCGTACGGACGTAACCTGGGACTGGCATTCCAGCTGGTCGATGACATGCTGGATTACACTGTGAGCGGTGCCGAATTGGGTAAGCCCGCGGGAGCGGATTTGGAACTTGGACTCGCGACGGCGCCATTGCTGTTTGCATGGAAGGAAGACCCCGAACTGGGAGCCCTTGTTGGTCGCAAGTTCTCACGCGAGGGCGATGTAGAGAGGGTGAGTTTACTTTTCCTTTGGCTGAGAACGAGTCAATATGCGATCGAGGATGAATGCTGACAGATCCCACGCAGGCCCGTGAGCTGGTTGCTCGCTATGATGGTGTCGAGAAGACGCGTGCCCTGGCCCAAGACTTCGCCGACAAGGCGGTCGATGCCATCAAGGACTTCCCCGAGAGCGAAGCCAAGGCCGGCCTCGTCGAAATGTGCCAAAAGACGATGAACCGCAGGAGATAGACGACGCCAGGCATATAGAATTTCCAAGATGTGTATGTATTAGTGGTCGGGGAAAAAGACAACAGGAACAGAACGGATGAAGATCACGTTGTTCCAGGTTGCTCTTTTTCTTTTTCTAGGCTACCGCATGTCGAAACAGATCCGCAACGACAGAGCAGCCACCGACAACTCCCCTCTTTTGTCCTACATTGCATCCTTCCTCATTGTCTTACTACTCTGATCCATACCAATCCTTTCTGCCAGATGGTAGCTGCACTATATACGGGGATGAACTCCTGCGATTACTTGACGTCGGCCCTGTGCTGTGTGAGTACTGGTACGAGAAGCGGCATCATATCGTCCTTGCTGTATAATGGGATTATCCATGTGGAATTCCTCTCTTGCCTCGTTTCCCCCTCCCTCGTGTGCGATGTCTCATCCTGCGCCATGTAGAATATGTGTTTTTCTAAAGAGTTGCTCCATCTCTTTTTTTGCCTATTGTTTTTTGTACGGTAGATGAGAAAAAAGAAAGCGGAAAAAGAAAAGAAGCAACGGGATAAATAAAATACGCGAATATCTCCTAAAGTAATAGCAGAGTACGGAGTATTATTAATGCCCCGAATCGAAGTGAGAAAGAGAAACAGCAGTGACTTAGATGGCTCGACTGCTCCTCTGCGGTTTTTCCTAGGGCTTTCCTTTAACGTCAAAACAATGTATAATTTGATTTCCTTATTAGGAAAAACGTCTTTTCGGGACGAATTGGAGCTTAAACTAAGTAACTATACTATTCCCATTATACAGCAGCCCCCTCGTATAATCTGAGTCTAGGGGTTAATTTTCCGCAAGAAGGAAGCACTTACGAATCAAAGGTTGGGGGCCAAGGGTTGGGGGCCAAGGGCTGCCCAAGGGTCTTGAGATACCTAGTTTGGCACTTATATTATATTGCGAGTCAGTAACTTCCACAAGCCAGCAACTACAAAAGGGCGGTGGATTCCAAGTTTGTTTTCAGCTTCGAGGCCGAATAAAACAGTTAATCTATCACACTCTATACTGATCTTTTCTGACCATGGGAACCACCTGGTCCCAGTTCTTCCCTCCTAAACCCACCCTGACTGAGAACAACCTACCCAGTCAACGGGGCAAAGTCTTCATCGTCACAGGAGGCTATTCGGGCGTCGGACTGGAGCTGTGCAAATTGCTCTATCAGGCGGGTGGAAAGGTCTATCTTGCAGGACGCTCTGAAGAGAAAGCGCGAAACGCAATCGCTACGATCGAGGCTCTGCCCGGTAATGCAGGCGGAGAAGTTATCTTCCTGCCACTGTCCCTCGATGACCTGACGACCATCAAGCCAGCAGTGGAAAAGTTCACAGCAGCCGAATCACGACTTGATGTCTTGTTCAACAACGCTGGCGTCTCTAATCCGCCGAGAGGCTCTATCTCCCCACAAGGCCACGAGCTACAGATGGCAACGAACTGTCTGGGTCCGCACCTTCTAACCCAATTATTACTCCCGATCCTTCAACAGACAGCACAGGAAGCACCATCTGCTAGTGTTCGCGTTATCTGGACATCCTCGATCGTCGTCGATCTCACCACGCCGCGAGACGTACCCTCGTTTCTGGATGAAGTCGAGCACCCACCACCCGACCAGCAGCGGAGTTATCTCAATACCAAGCTGGGAAATTGGTTTCTGGCTCACGAGCTAGCAGTCCAAGCCGGCAGCTCAGATCGCGGTATCCTAAGCCTGGTGCAGAATCCAGGGAATTTAAAGACTAATCTAATCCGTCATTTCCCTGCCATTCTCCCTTTGGTTGTGGCGCCGCTGCTGCATCATGCTCGGTATGGTGCGTATACTGCCCTCTGGGCAGGATTATCGAATGAGCTGACCTTGGAGGATGGTGGGAAGTATGTCCTGCCGTGGGGACGATTGCATCCAAGTCCGCGGGGAGACCTGCTAGGAGCGATGAAGACGAAGGAAGAGGGGGGGTCTGGAGTAGCGGATGGATTTGTGAGGTATTGTAATAAGTATATTATGGATTATATGTAGAATATTCCTCCATTAGGTAGGTAGTTAGTTACATGGGTGGTCTTGTGGTCAGATGATTTCAGAATATTCTCCTTAATGATAATAATATAATACAATCTACAGTTATTCGAAGACATTTACTTCTACTCGAAAAGAAACTTGAATAGATAATTTCTAAACTTAAAACTATATATACATCTTTATTACAATATCTCTTACAGCAAGATAATGGTCTAATTATCTGAATTTGTGCTTTGAAATTGGAGACTTTATAACTAGAGTCCCAGAAGCTTTACTAGGTTAATCTCTTGTACTTATAGAAATAATAACCCTCGACCGAGTCATGACTGGACAAGTTCCAAGCAGAAGATAACGACCTGTTAAAAGACTTTCTAAAGAGTAAGTGCGTACATCTCTAACCAGGACATTCCTAAAGAAAAAATGTAAGCTGCTAGAATGTATTGAGCTGCAATTATAGAAGTGGAAATTCACTGAAGATACTGCACTGTACATACGACCATATACTAAGTAGTCCTGTCGAAGATAAATTAATTATTAATGAAACCCCAAATAACTAGATCACTTTATTACAAACACACCGGGACAAATAAACTAACTAGAACTAAAGAGTTACTCTTAACACTCCAACTCCTAGGAGTCTATTGACATTTCTAAGTTCTAATTATATACAGAATGGAAAACCCATGCATGCAATACCAAAGACAAAAATTTGAACCGTCGCTGAAAACATGTATGACAAAAATAAGGGAAGAGAGAAAAAAAAAAGACAGAAAGCAAAATATAGAACTGAATTCAAAAATACAACTCCTGCAGATGCGATGCTTGATAGATGTTGAGACGCCAGGGGGCTTGTGCTGTAAGTCCGATCTATATAATTCAGCAAGAAAAGAAATAGACGCCAGGGGGAAGAAAGCGGGGGATGGCTATCGAACAGGGACAGACAGCTTTGGCTGCCTTTTTCTTGTCCTGTGAATGTGTGCGTATATATATATCCTTTTCTCACTCGTCATCTTCAGTAACGAGTCTGATACCCGGGAACGTCTGTGTAGAAGTCTTCGGCACAGCACCATTTATAACCGGTTTCGCGACCGGGACATGTTGACGCGGTTCTTCTTCTTCTTCCTCATCGTCGTTGTCATCATCATCGTCCTCTTCTTCATCATCATCATCTTCTTTTCTTTCTCCTTCCTCTCCAGATACTTCGTCCTCAATCTCATCTTCCTCTCTCCACACAATCAAATTCTTATAATACTGCGCTGCTTGCCCCGAAATGGAGTAATCGAGCGGCGTATAACTCGCCTTGTTCAGCGCCAACGGCTGCGCTCCGGATGCCAAAAGCACCCTTACGGCTTTCAAGTTCCCCCACGCACTCGCATGATGCAGGGCTGTGTTCCCGGCAAAATCAACACATGTCACAGACGCGCGATGCGAGAGTAACACGCTCAGCGTGGATGTGTCTTCAGCGGCCGACGCAGACGAAGCAGCGCGGGCCCGCGATGAGCGTGGCTCGATGAGCGATGGGTCGTGCGGAATGATATTTGCGGGATTCGAGCTCTGCGCGGCTAGCATCAGCGGAGTCATGCCGTTTCGGTCGGGCCAGTCAATTGCGTGTGGGAAGGCATGGCAGAGGTAATGGACGCAGGCAGGGTGGGCGTTGGCGGCGGCGAGATGGAGAGGTGTTTCGGAGTCGGTGTTTAGGCTGATTCCTGGAGCGGAGTCGTCGCCTGTTTTGAGGAGGATGGGGGTGCAGGAGTCGTGACCGAGGGCGATGAGGAGTCTCTAAATCATAGTGTATATTAATTTTTTGTTATCTATAAGCAAGGGTTCTCTCCATCTGGAGAGAGCAGCAGTGAAGAAAAGAAAGAAAAGAAAAAGGGGAAGTACAAGGAAAAGGGCAACAACATACAACGATATCAACATGTCCATGAAGGGCCGCGAGATGCAACGAGGTATTGCTCTTATCGGCGAAATCCGGATTATACAAATAAGCCAAATTGTTCCTGATTATGCGCTTGACCAGCAAGACATCGTTGAGGACAATTGCCCGTCGAAGACGCACTGGCACTGGCAGTTCGACCCTGGAGATTGTTTACACCCGGATTAGCGGAGAGCAGAGCCAGCACATTACGCAGCAGCAGTAACACAGACGAATGCAAAAATAGGAAAGGCAAGGGAAGAAGGGCGAACAAAACATACATTCCGTCATCATACTTTCGATAATGGTCACAACTGCTGGGTGGACGAAGGTGGTTGTGCAATCTAGGATGGAAGGGCCAGCATGGTGGCTGATGATCGCTGGCAGGTCTGAGTCTCAGGGGAGAGAAATCTGGGGTAAACAGGAATGAAATTATTACTGTAATTGACACTATCGATAACTTACTACTCCTTATTACGCTTCACTGAACTAAACCAACTAATTAGTAAAACTATTTTAATTAGTTAGTTAAATAGCTTAGTTAACTTATAATTAATGTAGGTAGTAATAATAATTATTATTATTATCCATCCATGGACGTATAATTACCTTAACTAACTTAAGCTTCGTTGCCGCCCGGAGATACACGCGCCACGGTTATCTCCGGTAATTATCAGTATGTATCTGCGCGAGTTGCTTCTCCTTCATCCTATCTTGCTAGAATGTCAACTAGCTCGAGCTATCGTAGCGGCTACTATGATGTTACTGACTAGAATGAACATATCGAAAGGTAATGGATGACATTCATTGAAAATTAAGCCCAAGGAACCAGTATCATAGTATGGTCGTTAGGTAAAGATTCGTACGAGCATCTCAAACCGCCATCTGGCAGGGAAGAAACCAAAGACAACCGCCTGATCAACGAACTGGCTAGAGGGTAGTAATAAATCAACCCGGAAAAGTAAACCACACCACACAGTGAAGATGGTACACCCGAAGAAAGAAAAAGAAAAAGGGGGATTCCAATTGAAAGTCCCGGGCAAGATGCAACGCCCAGCGAGCTAGCTACATAGAAACGCCATGCATTGACAGTCGCTGAAACATCGACAAGAGAAGAAGATATCAAAATGTCGTAGAAGGGACGTTCGTTCACAAGCAGTCATAAAGAGGGTGTTTGGAGTAAGCGAGGGCGCATTGACGCTGACAACAGTCCCAGCGTCCGGTAAAGTTCATCATTCTGTCTAGGGGGCTTTTTGGGAGACATTCGTGTTTCGTCGTGGAATTTAGTTGAGGCATTTGTGGTGGAGCGGCCGTTCTGCCTCGAAACGGTCACCGCTGTATAAAGGTTTCATTTACGGTGTTCACTTGGCTCCCAGTGTATCGGTTCGAAGTCCGAGTTCTGGAAGTGAGCTTGATTGTACGGTGAACTAGAACTTAGCAGTCAGCAAAAGATGGATCCAGCTCTCCACCAAGAAACAACCTACTTCTTGAACGGGGTCGTCACAGGAAGCGAATGGCTCAAGTTGGGCTTCATCACAAGCGGGTTCAGTCTTATCTGCGGTCCATCAGATGATCGGCTCACCACGGGCAGACCGGGTGGCGGAGAGGATGGCATCACAGGAGGTGGCAGAGGTGGAGGCGGTGGTTGGGCGGAGACAGGTGGAGGATAGAAATTGTTCGGTGGAGATACGACATATGGACTTGGAGGTGCTGGCGGCATCGTGTTCGCTCCAAAGGCGAAGGAAGGATCCATCATCAGATTCGGCACTGCCATCAGATGAGGGTTGACGTCGAAGGACAGGGCCCCTTGGTCCCACGGAGAATAATTGGTCGTCATCCCATATTGAAAGTTGACTATAGGAGCCATGTTGACCGTCGGTTCGGCTCGGTAGATGAGATCGTAGTGGCCCCTGAAGAAGATCGGTTAATTGGGATAATAATCCAGAATTACTGGATAGCAAGCACTCACGGTCGGTATAGGAGCCTGATTGTGGCAGGACTAGGTCTGTTCGGAGTTAGGACATGGGGCGTGACCGCATCTCCTTCGCTTCGATCAAGATACAAAATCTCGACTGCGAATCCCGAGCCTTCGATGACTCCGTCCACGAGTGCCTGGAGACCGACTTCATCAATCTCCGTCTTGACAGTTTCGACCCTGGTAGCACAGTACGAGTCGAGAGGCATGGAGAGGAATGCTTGATATCGGTGGGGATTTAATTTCATCCATGCGCTAGTCAGCAACTGCACGATAGAAAGATGTCAGCTTCGATAGAACATGAACGGAGTTGTAGATGGAAGGAACAGCAGTACGGGGCGGGGGGAAGGTATCTAGAGTATCCTACTGACCCTGAAATGGGTGATTATGGCGCTCGACTCATACTCATTGTTAAATGCCTCTAACAGGAAAGATTCGTCAAAGGAATTACTCTGAATGCCTTTATGGATCTCGCTTATCAAGTTCGTCAGAAGAGACTCCGTAGCATCAACAAATATCTCGTAGAGGTGTTCCGATTGTCCCACTTGATCAAGCAGCCGGCTTAGGCTCTTGATCCGCAACAGTTCCTGCTCGACACGCACCGTGTCGCGAAGGGCAAAGAGATTTTCGAAATAGCCAAATGCGACAGCTAGAGATTATAAGTCAATTGATCGTATCATGTGTGTAGTATAGACGTCCGAACCATACCTCTCCAACCACAGTTGCCGTCCCCTTTCATAGTCCGGGAGTAAGGATGTGTGATGGCAAGGGCCTGTCGACGTCAGATATCTCAGAGGAACAGAAAAAAAAGTGTCACATGTCCTACAACGTACTCTGGTTTTCGTAGCAAGGGTAGGATCAGCGTTAGCATATTCGAGGGTGATATTCTGGCTTTGCTGTTTCTGCGAGACAAGAGGTCCCTAATTGTCCCAAGGCCTGTGAGTGCGTGGTCCGATAGACAAAACGGAACTCCTCACCTGTATGTCCGGTTCATATTCATTTGAGAGCTTCTGAAAACGCTCCATCTCCTCTGGCGAGAGCTCCATGATGGCGGGATTGAGGTTCCCCCGCGAGAGAAGAGTGGTGAATTGAGAAAGTTGCAGGGCGAGTGGGGCGGCGTCGGAATAGTAGCTTTGAGGAACAGAGTGCGGGGAGAGAGGATCACCGTGAGATGGGTGACTGTACGGTCCAAAGTTGCTCCACGAGATATCTGATAATGACATGACACGACGAACAGTCAGCGGACTTCGCGATGCGATTGGAATTGCATTCGTCTGGGCAACTGAAGACACAATCAAACGGACATCAGCACGGAGACTTCGGGCGGACGACTTGCGCGAGAGAGAAATGGCAGTCAGTCTTACGCACGTTCAATGGTATTTTCCCTTATTCCCTTTGTGTCTTATCTGTCTCGAATGTGATATAGCTTGGTTCGGAGACCGTAGCGTGTGATTTGATTCCAGATCGAGAGGCCAAAACAAGACACTTTCCACCGCCACATCCAGCGTTGGCACCCGAAAGATGATGTCGAATATTCGTGTGAGTGATTATTTCCACCTCTCTTGCTTAAAGGTATACTGTTGCGGTAACCGAGAACTCGTCGTCTTCTCCGACCTGTCAGAGGAGCGACTCCGAGAACGACGCGAAGCTCGAGAACGGGCCTGCGCCAGAGATAACGGGACACCTTTGGACACTTTTTCCTGTTGATAGAACAAGCGTAAACGTTAGGCGTTTATACACGCGAAAGAGTCTGGATTGACGTAGACACGACTTAATGGTGCGGAAGCTTCTGGAGAGAACAGTACAGGATGATATTGGGGCAGGCTTCGGCTCATGGACCTTACAAAGTGGAAAACTCAACCAAAACCCGGCCAATTCTCAATTGTGCGCAAGGTCGAGAAGAGAGAGAGAGAAAAAAAGGCAGTCAGAAAAGAAATAAAAAAAATAAATAAAACTAGATTGTCCTACTCGAGGACCATGCGCCCCAGTTCGGGTCGACAGACCGACTGCTAAACAAGCAAAGCTCGGGAAGCTTAGCAACCCCAACCGACAGATCAGCGGTCAAGTTCTACACCACCAGCAGTGCCACAACTGATGAAGAGATGTAAGTCAAAAAAAGGAATATATCTTCCACTGGACGCGACTGATAGGCATAGTTGGATAAAATAGACCAGGATGGGCAGAAGCCCGAAGAGAAAGATGGAAGTCTAAGATCGGGAGAGTGCGGGGTCGCTTGTGATGACAATCCACACGATAGCAGATGACCGGGGGAGCAATAATAATACCTTTTTCTCTCTGGCAAAGTGTGAGACGAAAGCCACTGGCCCAGAACGTGATAAACTGGGAGAGAAAGTGCCAGGCCCCCGGTTAAGGCGAGCGGGATAGCTGCGAGTGTATCTCGGTCCCCAGGGACACCGACGATGTGAATTCGCTTTCAAGATTCTCAGCAGGCCGTTGGTGTTTCGCTCCGCGCTCTGTACTTAGGGCGCAGGGATCGCAACTCGGCCGAAGAGTCGTTGAATCCCCGCCTGGTGGATCAGAGCTAAGTACTCTAGATTCCCGTCTAGAGAACGGAGACACGACGATGAGATAGGAAGTCGGTGATGGTGAGCGCATCGGGGGGGTTTTCTCCAGGGAATCAGGCTGATTATTACCGGGCAAGATGGTCATTCCTCGCGCATCATCTTGGCCGCTTGCTTACGCCCCCGAATTCGTCGCCGTCTCTGCACAAGGCTCGCCGAGACGAGGCCTAGCAGCTTGCGTCTCCAGCTAAGAATAACTAACTAACCAGTACGGAGTACCGTTATCTCTCTACGTCCGCGGCATAACTATTTCCATCGGGGCTGGCATTCTACTGGCCTACCTTGTCCATGAAAGCGCCGAGGTCGAACCGGCCAAGCTCTTCGCTATCGTACTCCTATCGGATCAAGGAGAAACGGCCACAATGTCGTACGGGGGGAAGCAGGAAAAGAAACGGATTTATTTTGCTGACTCTCTCTCTGCACTCTGCACGCACCGAACTCCCCCGGAAGACGGATAGTCTCGATGTGATCTGGGACCCGTCCCCCGGTTGATGACCCATTGCTAGATGCACTGGGGGCCGGCCACATGTTCTCCAACTTCCAACTCATTGCTAGTGACCGAAAGCTCCCTGCAATATCCCGTTCATGCCGCCCAATTGCCAATAACGCCCGCAACAGATGACATTATTGGAGCGACGTTGTGTCCACAGCATTGCTAGTTTTGCTCGCTTTCAAAATTTTTTTGCACCTCTAGACCGATCCCTACCTGATTTATGATGGTTAACGCGAGATAGGGGACTCGTTGCAAGGAACATCTATTTAATAATTACTAACTACATCAATTAACTACTACCGGTACATCTATCTATCCAGGCAAAAAGACCCAAACTGCGCTCTTAGAGTTTCCTTTCCGCTGTTAGACGTCCTGCCTAGCGCCGGCCGCTCCCGCTGTGATTTGTGGCCTTGCGAGAGTACGGTACTAATGGTCATGGTTCGTGGTTAATGGTTATACTTATGGATGACATGGGCACTGGCCTTCTCAGCTCCCCGGAGATCGTTGGAGCCTATCTCGATCTCGCCCTGCACTAACTGTTAATTACTCGAACTAGGGTATTCGATGCTTCACCATCCTTGAGTACAAAGTGCTAAGCTAGCTTAGCTGAACAGAGACTTGGAGGACGGACCGACTGCCCTGGTTAACTTTGTCGCTTACGGGGGCACTCCGATTCGTTTGAAGGACAATTACAAAAGGGACATGCAATTGACTCGAGGAGACTGTGATGCAACTTCCCGGTCTTTTGACGAAACCACCTCGCCCCTCTAGTATCTGGCATTGCCGCCGGCAGATAGTCGTCCTAGTCTGGGCGGGTATTTTTTCGATTCGAGGCCCGCAGCTCAGCTACGTTGCTAGTCATGGGCGGGCAAAGCAAAAGCACAAATTGCTGGCCAGACAAAAGAACAATGTCTGCATGAAATATTCCAGTGTAAATTACCCACGTATCTATCTAGACAGGCCGCTGCATCATCGTAAGCTAGAAAAAGAAATTCATGTTTCTCCTGAGAAGACCGTTCAAAATGCTTTTCCCATGCTGGATTTCCCCTTCCATCCACTCCGGAGCTTGGCGCTGGCTGCGTGCAAGCTGTCCGTCGTGTCTGAAGGTAGCATCGCGCTAGGAGGTGCACCAAGGATCTGGGAGCTGTCTTCCGCCTTGAACCCTTCGCCGTCTTTGAGCACCGTACGCCACAGGGCTTCCAGGGATGATGACCATTCCTGGAGGGATCGGAGCCGCTCCACGTCGCTTAGACTCTCCACTACCACTGTTCCATTCTCCTGGTCGATCTTTGCATTCAGTTTCCGGTCCATGATGAGGAAGCTTAAAATCTCCTGCACTTCAGACACGGAGATCTTGATCTGCTTGGAGATGAACACCATGTTGAACCGTGTGTATGGAGCGATGAGTTTAAGAACAGCCTTAGTGCGCATATTCCGACTGACTTCGTCGATGTTTTCAGCAATGAACGGATCCGCGAGCAGATCCTGGTTCTTGCTCAGGATTGCTTCGTACGTGTGGATATCGTCCCTTTGAAAGGCATCAACGAGGTCGGTCATGGCTGAAATGCGGGGGTCGTTCCGGTATGGCTTCGTCTCCTGCGAATCGAACGGGTTGATATCGGATTTCATCAACATGGTGGTCAAGACAAGGTACTTCAGCACCTGGATGCGCTGCATCGAACCAGCCTCGTCATAGTTGCGGAATGACTCGAAGAAGTCGCTCTGTGCCTGCTCCCAGTTCTCCTCGCTCATATGCATCTTGCCGCCACATTCGCGGATGATACCCATGATCTTGGGATGTGGTACAGCAGATCGGACCCGCAGAGCTCGCTGATATAGCGCCTTAAGTCGCTTATTGTTCTTTGTCTCTGCATACATCTGTATCTCCAGCGCATAAACCTCGAGGGAATAGGTACCCTTGCTAGGATCATCGGTCCCATCCTCCCGCTGGCATGCACGATGTAGCTCCCGGAGCTTCTTGCTTAACTGACCGTACTCCTTGCGGTCCAACCAAAGTCGGGCCAGTTTGATATTTGTCTTCAGCCACAGCCGTTCGTTATTTGTGCTTTGAAAGGAGTTCAGGGTGAGTCGGTAGAATTCTTCCATGCAGTGGTAGGCTTTCTCATCGTCGGAGCCCTTCTCAATGTAGTCTAGCATGTTGTTGATCGATTTCTCAGAGTAGTTTCGTGTCACAGCGGACTTGACGTAGGTGAGGAGCTCCCGGTAGTGTTCGATGGCCTTGGAACAAGTCAGATATGAGCGTAGCGAATAGACGTCTCTTAACTTACATCACTATATCTCCCGAGCTTGAATTCTAGTTTTATAGCCTGTTTTAACCCTTTGAATCCCCTGTCAAGTCACGTCAGGTGTCCGTTATTCCAACGTGTAAGCTAGGAAGCTAACCATTCTCCTTTCTCTTCCTCGAGAGCTGGCACCCCCAGGAACTCATCGATGGCCTCTTCTGGGTTGTCTGCCTTCATCTGCTTGGCATTGTAGTATTTGTTCTCGATACCGACATCCGCAGATTCATCGTCGTCGGCATCCTCGTATTCGAAGTCATAGCTATGGCCCTGGTTAACGTAGATCCACGGAGCACGATATCTGGGAAGACGTACTCCTCGTCACCGGACTCTTGCATGAAATCATCGTCGTCCGACATCGTGGTGATAGTGCGAACCGCAGAAAGAGCTCTTCACAACAAGCTTAATGTAGATTTCGATGTCGATGGGAAGTTGTTTCGTGAACGCGTCAAGGTAAATCGATTCAAGTTTGCTTGTAACTGCGGTGTTGTCTTTGGCCCAGTATTTCAGCCTGGAGCTCCGCAGGCATCGGGATCTGGGGCACTTAAGGCGTTCCCCGCGCTAGTGGCTGGTTTAGCCGCTAGTGCACCGCCTACAACAATTGCCGCCCGTTACAATAATAGCTGGTCGCGGACATCCAACTCTCTCGCAGACATCGCCAACCTGCACACAACCAACCTCTGGTCCATTATCGAGCCTAACCCAGCAGCTTTCGATTAGCTGCGCATAATACTAGCCCAAAATGGGTGGTGGTGACCTGGTAAGTTGGAAATCTTCAATATTCCTAGCTGAGATAGAAGCTAACCATGGTGAATGAAATAGAACCTCAAGAAAAGTTGGCATCCCGTTCTCCAGAAGAACCAGGAGAAGCGATGGCTGGCAGAAAAGAAGGCGCTCGAGGAGCGCAAGCGCATCGACCAGATGATGAGGGAACGCCAGGAAGAGAGACAGATACAGGAACTTCAGGAGTTACAAGAAGCTGCTGGTGGCAAAAAGCGTCAGAACAGAGTCGACTGGATGTATAGTGGGCCAACAGATGGACAACTTGGAACTACGGAAGAAATGGAAGGCTATCTCTTGGGAAAGAGACGCATTGACGCATTGATCAAAGGAACAGACAACCAAAAGCTGGAGAAGTCGGCCAAGGAGGAGTCTTTCCTGACGGCGCAGAATGCGAACACCCTGAGAGATACGGCTGCGAAAATCCGTGAAGATCCAATGCTTGCTATCAAGAAACAGGAACAAGCAGCATACGAAGCGATGATGAACGACCCTGTTCGAAGGAGACAGCTGCTTAAGGCCGCGGGAGCCGATGACAAGTCAGAGAGGGAACACAAGCATCGCAGACACCGCCACCACCATAGGGATGATGAGAGCCGGCGTTCGCGACATAGGAGCAGCCGGTACGATGAAGAGGATGATCGCCGATCTAGTCATCGTCGTCGACACCGTTCCCGAAGTGCTGCCCGGTCCCGGTCACGTTCGCCTGATTACGAGAGATCCAGCAGACGCTCTGATGAGCGAAGACATCGATCACGAAGATCTCCGTCCCCGTATAAAGAGAGAACAACCCGCGATCCGTCTCCATATTCTCGAAACCGACCTTATGAGCGACGGTCCCGGTCCAGATCGCGCTCACCGTACCGCAAGCCAGCGGAGTCACCCCGCCAACGAAACTATGGCAGACGTTCTCCGGACAGATATAGGGATTCCGACAGGGGTTCTGGCAGGGCTCCTGCACCTGCAGCTTCTGCTTCTGCTTCTGCCAATGCTGATGCCGAGAGAGCAGCTCGATTGGCGGCCATGCAGCAGGATGCAAATGAGCTCGACCGGCAGCGCTTGGAAAGACTAGCAGCCGCGGAAGAACGAGAGAAGGCCGAAAGGGAAGCGGAAGAAGCAGCTCGTGCTCAATCCAGCAAACTCGGAGGCAAGGGTGCTTTCGTCGGCGACCTCAATCGCCGCGCGGGCAACCTGGATCTTTCGGAGAGACTACGCAGAGGCCGGGGGAACATCGAAAGGGAACAGGCAGCCTTCTAAATGGATGGCAAATGATTGCTATATTATATTTGGTGTTTACAAATTTTCCTCGCATGGTTTATTATGGATCGATGGGACAGCACTATTATCGATATGGCGTTAGGTTTAGGGAACTCCTGAGGAATTGAACTTTTATTCTGATCACAGTATACAGCTTCACATTTGCCCTTCAATTCTTCTGTAGACACATAACTAGTGCAATAGCTGAGGGTTCTCCAAGGCAGTATACCAGCATCTGTGTGGCCTGCGCCGAACACGATCTCGATGGACGGCACTCTAAAACTGGGCACTACTATACAAGAAATCTGATAGACTTAACGGGGGACAGTATCAATGTCTCAGCTAGGTAACACTGTTTAAGCCTACAGTGAGATTTTCACTGTTATCTAAGCGGCTGCACATTATAACTGAGCAGTGTTGAGTTCCACCGTCGACTTCCTCCAGGCGCATTTTTCAATCGACTAGATATCCGTCTCTCTGGCCATGGAACTGCTTCTAGAACCAATGATTTATGAATTAGATATTTCCCCAACGATATTAGTCTGCGAATTGCCCCATATGAATACTTGAAATATTGGCGTCGTTATGTCGAATTTGCGCGCTACTTCGATAATTATCTGGCCTTCATCCCTGATGCATTTTGGCCTTAGTTTCTATAGCGGAGCTCCATTCGACCCTGTTTTGCCTTGCAATATAGTCGGGGTCGACATGGAAGATCCTACAATACTGTAGCATAGGCTATTAAGTTCTTGACTATGTAGCGATGTCTACGCGTCCATGCTACCAGTGAAGGTACTGCACATTCCCTGTACTGACTCTATCGGAAAGGTGACCGTTTGAGACCTAATGTCGGATTTCTGGCATCGCAATCCTATGGTACTTAATTGCCTCGCGTCTTTCTAAGAATTCAAAGAAAGGACTACATATTCTAACAAAAGCAACGCGAAAATAGACAACCCTGAAGATATTTCTCGGATCAGGAAAGGATAGCGGTGCTGGTTTGCAGATCTTCATTGCTAGCTTCCATCGGCGCAGCATAGCTCAAGTTCCAGAATAGTAAAGTCAGATATTCGATCCATGAATAATGATTACCATGAGACATCAGCAATGCCATAGGCTCTTCGCCGCGCGTCAACGTAATTAAGAATGCCACTGTCTCACAGAACCCCTGGCAATGTTGACTCGCCGTTAAGATATGGAATTATAGGTGGCTGGCGAAAAGGAGAAGCGCAGGATGCAATCATCTGAGAAAAAGTAACAATATCTGACCTCCAGCCACGCTTTTTTTGAACAAGGACATTCGTTACCTGTCAGAATCACGCGGGCGATCAATAGTAATAACGGCAAGGAAAATAGTTACGAGATTGGGTTCGACGATAAGCTTTGATGTGCTGTCCAGCAAGTCTGCGGCTCGGCTGTCCAGCCCGTGCTTCATTACACGTTGTAGATCGCTAGGTCCCTGAGATCGCTTATTCGCCGAGAACGCCCAGCTGCTCAATGCCATCGACCTGGACATCATCAAGGAACTGATCTTCGCCTTCGTTCACTGACAGGCTGCCAGAGTGATTCTGAACAACGACCCCAGAACCTGCGACACACGAGACCTCGCCCGATCAATTGACTAGCTCCCCTCCCTCGCGACTATACTACGCTCCCAGTCTCCGCTTTCGCGTCACTAAAGCCGACAATGGTCTCGCTGGCTCTGTGCGGACGACAGAAGGTCGTCCAGCGCAAGATGGTGCTTCTGTCAGTCTCATGCGATCTGGCTGGATATATTGTGCATTTCTAACCTGAGAGATAGAGGAGATGGTGCCTGTGGAAAGACATCAGCGCTGAACGTCTTCACGAGGGGGTGAGTATGCGCTCCTGCCGTCGCTTTCGAGCCTGCTAACGGATCGTATTCAGTTTCTTCCCAACTGTCTAGTAAGATGAACCTGTCCAGATAGATCGCATTGTTGAGCAGTGTTAACCGTCCTTCTATCGCGTCTCAACAGCGAACCTACTGTTTTCGGTACGGAATCAAGCCCCTGAAACCTATTGTCGCATGTCACAGGCTAACACTCTCGACCTTCCCAGAGAACTATGTACACGGTAAATATCGCAGCCCTTATTTGAATACGTGCAGATGCTTATCGACCGGCAAGATATCTTCGTCGACAACGTACACATGGAATTATCTCTGTGGGATACGGCAGGTCAGGAAGAATTCGACCGGTTACGCGCCCTTTCCTACGAAGACACGCACGTCATAATGCTTTGTTTCAGCGTGCGTACAGTCTACTGAAAAACGCCCCCCTGGTGGCAGTCGCGGCTAATATATGCATCCAAATATAGATTGATAACAAAGATTCGTTCGAGAACGTGTCGTCAAAATGGATGGCCGAGATCCAAGAAAACTGCCCCGGAGTGAAGATTGTCCTGACTGCGCTCAAGTGTGATCTGCGAAAGGACGAAGAGCAGAATGAGAACCCGAACGCGATAAGCTTCGAGGAGGGACTGAGCAAGGCAAAGGAGATTGGCGCTGTCAAGTATCTCGGTACGGTTGCGATCTTTTGGCACGATACCAGTCTAGCTAACTGCTCACAGAGTGCTCTGCCGTTCAAAACCGGGGGATTCGAGAGAGCTTCTACGAAGCGGCCAAGGTTGCGCTCGAGGTCAAGGCTTCGGGATCGAAAGGAGGCGGCTCGCAATGCATTATTCAGTAAGAGTCTAGATGTCGGCCCTCTGTCCGGAGATCTCGTTAGTTCGACCGTACCATCTCCACCGCCATCTGCATGCTCTATTTGATCTCATGATTTTTCTTCCCCGCCCCAATGCGTCTCGACGGAGGCTTGGGTCTGATCGTGTCCTCGCGGCCACTTTTTTTTTTTTCTTATTCCCTGGTGTGATCCACTGGAGATCCCTCTGATTTTGCACGACATTTGATGACGACAAATTTGGGATTTTCACTGTCCTCTTATGATATCCGGAAAGCACAGGCGAAAGATTTCAGGAAAATCTTTTTTTCTTTATCGTCTTTTATACATACCTTTGGACTTCGTCTTGCCGGGACCCCGCATCCTCTTTGGAGAGACTTCGCGAAAAATGCTCACATGCTACGGTGATAGGTGAGAGACTGTTGGTTCTGGCAAGTGAGGGTGCGAGATGTACCCTATTCATTTCATCAATTCCTTTTCTAGTGTTTGGATCACCGGGCACTTTTTATTATTACTACTTTTATTACTTTTATACCTAGTCTTTCTTGAAAAATCAATACTATCTAATGATTCGGGGAGAAAGATATCTTTCCATTAATTGGAAAGCTCCATGTGGAGCAGCAGTGTTGTATCCTATAATTCATGGATGGCATTCCTTTTAGGAAAGGAGCAGCTGTAGCTATTATTTCCCCAGCTAATAGATATAATCCCCGTAGCTTTTCCTGAGATAGATCCAGACATCCCACAACTACCCCCCCTAATCTAATCTAACAACTCATCCTCCCGAACCGTATAGACCTCCTCAATCTTCTCCCCATGACTCCCCGTCCCACAATAATCTTTATTATGCCTATTCACAAACGCAGCAACAAACCGCCTCGCGACATCCTCCATCGTCACGTCCCGAACACCCAATCCTTCCAAACTGGTCGCCTCCCTCCCTTCCAATCCACACGCAACGATCTGTTTAAAGAACCACATCGGCTCCTCCGTCACATTCAACCCGATTCCATAACTGCTTATATTCCTCCGCAGATGCACTCCGACCGCAGTAATCTTCTTCGGCAGGGCATTCCCCCCATCAGAAACCCACACCCCCGGATCCTCCGTCGTGAAACCCTTCACTCCAAACCCATCCAACACATCAATGACGCTATTTTCCAACAACCGAATATGACACCTTGGCGTGAGTCCCATCCGTCGTAGATCGAGGACCGTATATCCGACCAACTGCCCGGGACCATGATACGTCGTCTGTCCCCCGCGAAGCGTAGGATGATATTCAGCTATGGGCGCCGAACCATCTTTGGCGGACGTGAGGAGGGATCGAATTGGTTCCAGGGGCGGAGGGAGGGATAGTGGACCGTCTTCTTTTTCGGGATATGTGTTGGATGGAGGAAGGTCGCGGCGTCCGGTCGTGTAGACGGGATTGGGACTGAATGTGATTATGGTTGGGTCGGGAGGTGTAGGTGTAGTTGTGGAATCTTGACTTGTTGCTGTCGAAGTGGCAGGGGGAGAAGATGCTTTTTTATAAGCTAATAATCGCGCAGCGAGGGTTTGTTGGAGATGCGAAACGCGCGAAAAGGGCGTGATGTTCGGGAAGTGGATGTGTGCGAGTCTCATTGTGTGTGAGAGGTGTCTATTTTTTATTTATTTTCTTTTCGTGATTGCGAGTGGTTCGAGGGTATCAGGATTCGATTCGAATAGATAGACACAGAGAGAGAATGAGAGAGCAATTATTTAGAGAGTTCGTTGATTTCCCAAACAAAGAACCCTTTCCGGAAGAAACGCAAATCCAAGGAAGAAATAACTTATTGCACCGCAAAGCAATCAATTGCTATATCAGTAGCACAATACTTCGTGCAATGTGGATAGCTATGAGCTTGGATGGAGACTCGAACTTGGAAAGCTGGACAAGTCTCCGCAAACAAGACCGGCGGAAATGTTCATTACAGATGCGGAGTTACGCGGATATAAAATGTCACGTGATCAAATACAGGGTCGATACGATGGATGCGTTATTACACTTTTGCGGGTACTGGCAGGATTCAATTGCTAGTTATTACTTTGTTCTTACGAGTTAGATCCGTAGAAGATGAATGTAGGTTTTATTGTGTGCTAGAGGATAGATTATGGATTCTATATGAACATGGTCTGTATTTCTGTTTCTCTATTTCGACCGTCATTTGAATGGATTTATTGTATCCGATTTTTAGATACGTGGAGATTTTCATACTTAGTCCAAGTCACTAGACGCCATAGCCCTGAAAACTCCAGACTCTGCAAGCTGTGTACGGAATGACATATTTGGAAGATAGCGACATCAGGACCGATTTCCATGTTCGTCCGTTTCCCAGAGGAACCAATCTAGATCAGCGACTGGAAGTCCAAGTTCGTATGAACTTGATAATAGCAAGTCAGAACTTATCGTCCTCTGCTCTGAACGCTATCATGATGCAGCCGACGGAGATACTCCGTTGACTAACCCGTGCTGCTCCTCTCCTTCCGCGACGACCTTCCAATCGCGCACCCCACCTTTCCAGTCTGCTATGCGGCCCTCCTTTATAGGCACCACGACCACCCGCACCGACTCATCCATCACGGTGGCAGGGTCCATCTGCGGCTCGCCCTGCTGCTGCCCGAAGAGTGCGGTCTCCTCACCGGACGCAAAGGTGTTGTTCTCCAGATGGCGTTCCTTGGCCCAACGTTCCTCCTCGGAGCCAGGCTCGAGGAAACGTGCAGTGCCCGTGATGGTAGTAGAGATACTGGAGAGAGCGCTCGTGTTGATGCTCAGCAGTAGACTGGCCAGAGAGGAGCGGGTGGCCGCAGGCGGCGGGGAGCCGTCACGGGCACCGGCGGGATTTGGACCGCGAGTGGGCGGGCGATGGGAGACCCAGTCATGGACCAGGAGGGAGACTCGTGGATTCGAGAGCAGATGCAGAGTTTTACGGGACGACGGGTTGGTGGTCATGATAATCGTGGGCTCAGAGGAGAATGGCGTCGAGGGAAGATAGGTGTAGGACATGAGAGAGATATGAGGGGTGAGGTCGTCGCATGTTGCGAGATGGAGCTGCAGAACAGTTCACACGTCAGTGAGATGCCCGGTGGATGAAGTCAATGTCAGTATAATGCGTCCAGAACATACGAAGCGCGCATTCTTCAGGCATGAGACCACTTCAGACGGGAGAGAAGTCGCGATGTGTGGGTGGGTGGTGGTTGCGGACGCCTCGTAGGTGAGGGGCGGATTGCGCGTGTCTGCCATGGTTGCGATATAGAGAGAGAGAGAGAGAGAGGGAGAGAGATGTAGTTGTGCTAGTGAATTACTCAAGAAGAGCTGTCAGCAGTGATCGATCACCAGCAGACGAGGGAGGGCAGTGTGATAGATGGCAGGTGAAGCAGTTGAGCTCTTGAGGTTCTGGTTCTGGTTCTTTTTTGGCGGGGTCCAGCCAAGAACGGAAGCACTGGAAGCTTTAGTTACCCAGCTAACTTACTTGGTATTTAGTTACTCTCCTCTGTAAGTTAAATCACCCAAGACTTGCAAGTAATAATCATACATACTCGTATGATAACTAACTAACTAAACTACTCCAGCTGCTAGCGGTAAATCGCACGCCGTCTGAGCTCCACTGACTCCTCGCAACAATAATAATCGACGTCATGCTATGGAGATCAGAAAGCTGGATGCAACGGGCCAAGGGAGAGCAAAGGAAGAGGTATTTAAGATCGAAATATGACCTATTCGAGCTATGCTGGACTCCATAAGTAGACGCTCTTTTGTCTCTGTGCGACAAACAACACGACTCAATAAATCCCGAGACAACCAACGCCACAGATCAATCTAGCTTCTCCCCCCGCGTTTCCGTGCTTTCCCCAGCTTTCGCTCTCGGTCCGCATGCGTCGCAACCCAACCGGATCGTCTTGTTCGCTCTCGACTCTCCTTCCCCTCGCGCTGCTACCCATCTCTCCTCCCTTGGCTCTCTCTTCCAACTACTAGCAAGCACGATTACTTGCAACTAGCACGGTCACTGCATCCCTGGGGGAATTATACACACTCGTGCTCCCCCGGTTACTGCAAGTCGACCAGCTACCGATCTGCGAAGACTACTACTACCATCGACAGCGATTGCAGCCAATTCCCGCTCTACCATTTCCAAGCCCCCCCAATCAACTCTCTCGCCCAGTCTTCGAGTCTCACAGTCAGTCTTCACGCAGACCCCCAAGACGGCACCCTCCAGGCTTCTCCTCACGATCGTCGTCTCGTGGCACGCGAATCCTCCGAGTCTTAGCTAGACCCCAAAGGACAGGACCCAGGATATCTATCTCGAGGGAGACTCTTATCGTGCCCGAGGAGAGCCAACATTTACTATTCCCCGGAGATCGCAACACACACGGCCACTGTGAGGCCGGCACCGCGTTGCCTGCTTGCTTTGTTTGCTTGCCTGGATCGGTTCATCTTGTCATCCATATCCCACCATGCTGTCAACACGTGCTCTCCGCCTCCCGCGCTTGAGCGTATCCCTGCGGTCCTTCTCGACCTCTTCCATCCAGCAGCGTGCCCCCTCGATCAGGGACCTCACGCCCGATTCTGCTGATCAGTTCAATGCCCGACAGAGAGAGTTTCGAGAGAATCTCGAGGCAGCTCGTCAGAGAAAGTTGCAGCAAGAGAGTCAGTTGGCCGATGCTTCTGCTTCTGCTTCTTTTTCTTCTTCCCCTAGCACTTACCCCCGTGATCGTCTTGAAGAAACCACCGAGCCTCCCACTGCTCCGAGCGTGAGCAATGCGAGCGGTGATGTTTCTTCTGTTCCTGACGCAGCTGAATCCCTCGATCATCATGCCTTGGGCTCACTGGCCACCCATCGTATTGTAGGAGAACAGCACACTGAACAAGCCTCCAAGCGAGGCCCCCTCTCGTCGCTTCTCTACGGCACCAAGGAGGGCCAGCAGCTCGACAAGGAGATCGAGCGCTCCTTCTCCCAGGTGCTTGCGCGCGGAAAATACGTGCACTCGATCGTCTTCCATGAGGTCAAACCCGAGAAGGTGGACGAGTATGTAGACCTCGTGGGGAACTGGTATCCGAAAATCGCGGGCATGAAAGAGAACAAGGTCAATCTGGTTGGCAGCTGGCGGACAGAAGTCGGTGACAACGACACATTCGGTAGGAGCGACATCTGGGCCCTTCATAACCTTGGGTGGTCATTGTCTGATAACTAACTTATTTGACAGTGCACATTTGGGAATACCAACGCTACAGCGGCTACCATGGCTCTCTAAACGCCATTTCTCAGCTGCCCGGATACGACGAGTTCGACAGCAAGCTGAGAACTATGATTAAGAGCAAGAGTACCTCGCTCATGCAGGAGTTTTCCTTCTGGCCAACGACCCCTCCGCGCCGCCTCGGAGGCGTCTTCGAGCTGCGATCGTATACTCTTCACCCCGGAAACCTGTTGGAGTGGGAGACTCATTGGCGCCGTGGCCTCAAGGCGCGCCGGGAAGTCATGGAAGGGGTTGGCGCGTGGTTCGTCCAAATCGGCGATCTGAACACTGTGCATCATCTGTGGCAGTTTGCGAACCTGGAGGAACGCAAAGTTCGCCGTGAGCAGTCCTGGAATGTCGAAGGCTGGGCGGAGACCGTCCACAAGACCGTCCCGCTCATTCAGAACATGAAGAGCAGAGTCCTGATCGCCCTGCCATGGAGTCCTGTCGGCTAAATGCCTAGCTCGTTCACAGAAGCTTGACCGCCCCCTTCGCACCTGACACTCAACATGGACATTGGACAGAGCCTGCACCGTGGACACCTCTCCAGACCGGACTGGGTATGAGGGATATTAGCAGAGACGCCTCGGTTGCGGCCATCTATCTAACCCACGGATTGCATGTGATGGACGAGTCGATTTTGCAGCCGACATTCGTGTCATCTTTTCATGTCTCGGAAGCATATGTGAATAGCATAGCATAGCATGCCGTCATCATAGTCAGAATGAATCGGTAGTATTTATCAATCATGGGTGAAATAGTAGCGCCGTCCTTGAGTATGAATCGAGATTTTCCACAGGAAACAGTGCCTTGCTTCTTGCGGTTCTATTGAGCCTAGAACTTGGGGATTCGACGCGTTCCTGGTACTAGTTAAGACGTTGAGATTAACGTTCTTCGCTATCCAAACGTGATCATCCTTGAGGCCGTTCAGCTATCATATTCCAGTTGATAACTCAATGACACGCGTCGACTCGTGAGCATAACAGTCATTGTTCTGACCCTGACATTGGAATCTACTTCTAAGTTCTAAGACATCCAAATCCGCCTGCGAAGGTTATTACCCGAACGGGAATAAGGGAGAACTAAGACATGCGGGCTGGAGAACAGCTAGGCCATAAGCAGCAGCGATAGGCGTTGTTGAGTTCTCGAAACATCAACAATAATACGGAGTAGTTAATAGTTCATCGTGACAAAGGTGCAGTCACTCGTTGCCAAATTGATGATATGATAAAATGAAGAGAATGGTGGATAAATATCGATAGTCCCACTGGAAAGATGCAGTCGATCAACAACGACGCTCTGGATGTTTCTGAAGCCTTCCGCGCGCACGTGCAGCAGCCAATAGGATACGAAAGCCCATCGACCCGGCCCAGGAACCGATGACGTCCCGCCGTCTCGTGCTTGGCTCTCCGCCGGGCAGAAAAAGAACACCCCGGCAAAAAAATAGTCTACAAAAAAAAGATCTCGTTGCGAGTGACCAGGTGTCCCATTGATCTCCCAGCGCATCTGGTCTTCTGGCGACGACAGCGGAGTTCTGCCGCTCCAGGTCCATTCTGTTTCTTGGAATTCTTTCCTACAGGGTCCTCGTCTCGGGTTGAAGACAGATCCCGCCCGGATCCTCCGCTCCTGTCTTGACCGGAAACTCTCCAACGCGCCAGGAAGTGGACGCGAATCACGCAGAAAATGGTTTATATTCGCCAATATCAATTGTCCGCGCTGCGGGAGTATAAATATGCTGGTGTCGACCATTCCCTCGTCAGTCGGTATATACTCAAACCGTTCTACTCGAACTTTGTGATAAAATGTTTTCCCATGAGTATGGCGTATGTAGATCTCCTATCCCCTGATCAAAAAGCTCCCCCCCTGGTCTGGAGATTTATGATAGAGAGAGGAACTTGTTTGCTGATGGAAGTGGACGATTCCTTCGCGTAGACCCAACGCCGTAAGTCCTTCCACCCTGACGCGCCTTTTCGTCTCGTCTCCCCGTCGAGTGCATTATGATATGCCCACCTGCAGTCAACATAGATAGTAATCCGATCCAATGGCTTTCTAGATCACTCTTACGGGCTTTATGTTCGTCGTCGCCAACTTCTTGACCATGCTCTGGTATAATCCGACTCTGGATCAGGATTGTCCCCCGTGGGTCTATGCCAGCTGGGCCCTGGGCCTGTGGTTGTATCAGACCTTTGATGCGGTGGATGGGATGCAAGCGTAAGCGGTCATCTGGACTGGTATTGGTGTTTGGTATGCCGGTCTTGCTGATTTGGTTTCAATAGCCGGAGAACGAAGCAGAGTGGTCCGCTGGGCGAGCTTTTCGATCATGGTAGGTTTGCGATGTGGTCGTGTATGACGCGCAGGACGTAGGTTGACGATTGTTTGTAGGTGTGGATGCCTGCAATACCGCCTTGGGTGTTCTGATCTTCAGCGCCGCGATGAATCTCGGCCAGACATGGGCTACCGTGTTGACATTGTTTGGATGTATGTCTCTCCCTCCAGGAAGTGGTTCCATGTTGCTGACCGCCTGCAGCTACCATGACGTTCTACGTCCAGACCTGGGACGAGTACTACACGCATGTCCTGACGCTGGGTATCGTCTCGGGGCCCGTTGAGGGTGTCTTGACCCTTTGCATTGTCTTCGCCTTTACGGCCTACCAAGGTGGTGCTAGCTTCTGGCACCGCTCCATGTTCGAGACCATAGGTGTCTCCAAGACGGATATCATTCCGGAGCAGATTTACAACATGCCTTTCACCCAGTGGTACATCATTTATGGCGCTGTGATGCTCTTCTTCGCAACGGGGTCTAGCATTGTGCATGTTATCAACAGTCGCCGGGCACGCGGTCTGGATCCGTACCAGCCTCTCCTCGGTCTGTTGCCTCTTGTTGCTACATGGACCCTGGTGCCGGGATATCTGTACCTCCAACCGACGATACTGGAGAACCATCTGATTCCGTTTGTCCTGTACGTGGGTCTCATCAACGCCTATTCGGTGGGTAGGATGATCGTTGCGCACCTGGTCAAGACCGACTTCCCGTACTTCAACATCCTCCTGCTGCCTCTTGCGGTTGGTGTCCTCGACAGCCTTGCGCCCCGTTTCGGTCTGTGGCCCAGCATTCTCGGTGATGGACCCTACCAGGTTCCCTTCGTGTTCCTCTGCCTGGGTCTTGCGCTGGGCGTGTACGGTAGCTTTGTGGTATGTCCTCCCAGCAAACAACTAGTTCTAGGATGCGGCTGACTCTATCTAGCACGATGTCATTACCACGATCTGCGACTACATTGACATCTGGTGCCTGACCATCAAGCACCCGCATGTTGAAGAGAAGCAGATCCAGGTCGGCCACGCCGAGGCCGTCACAAAGAAGACGAAATGATCGACGAGCAATGTTTCGTCTGTCACGACGTGAGCAACGGTTGGATCCCTATATTATTACCGGCAACACTTCATTACATGACCACGAAAAGATGTCGAGATGCCGCATTACCATCGAGAAGTGGAGGGCGAATTGTACAGACTAAGAACGCGTGGTAAGCGTATTAGACTATAGAGGGTCTGGCAGGGCCGAGACAGAGTATGATGTCCATTTGATGAGCAGACCCGATTAACTTATCGTCATATAGACCAACTTGTATACTTCATGTGATCTATCTATTCTGAATTGTTTTAATGAGAAGCTTGTTTCATTTCTTGGAAGCTCTTCGCAGTGATCATAATTGGTTCAACTGGACGTAGGATCTCTCGTTAGTTAAACTGTTAATGAAACTGTATGATTTGTATTTGTATCTGTAGAGGCCAGTTCGAAGGCCTAGAAGGTCCTCATCAGCTGCGGCGCGGGTGGCAACGCGGGTCGCTGGAAAAAGTCAACTAAGCGAGGGCACAAACCCTATGCGCGCTCACTTTGGGCGTGCTGAGCGGCTCCACTGACTGATTTCGACTTCTCGATCTCCATCACCACGAGACCACCTCTTCCGTTCCCTACCCTCACCAGGCCATCTGCATCAGCGCCATTATCAACTCTCCTCGCTGATAATAATCAAGTCTTGCCAAGATGGTAGGTGCTGTCCGGCCTCGTTGACCCTTGACCATACCAGGTTCGATGGTTGCGCCCCTGCTAGGGCCTCTACCAGCCGACCGTGGCGATGTGGCCACCATCATGAAATATTGCATCCAGGAGGAATTTGTGACTGACAGGTTTTGCTTCCATCTACAGGTTCTCGCGGTCGATCTCCTCAACCCCAACCCTCAGACTGAGGCCCGCAAGCACAAGCTCAAGGTGCGATCTACCCGATAGTTTCGATCCAAAGACACGACTCAAAGACAGAACGGCTGGCTGACATGGAAATAATTTCTCCTCAACAGACTCTTGTGCCTGCTCCTCGCTCCTTCTTCATGGACGTCAAGTGCCCCGGTTGCTTCACCATCACCACCGTCTTCTCGCACGCCCAGACCGTCGTCATCTGCGCTGGATGCTCGACCGTCCTGTGCCAGCCCACCGGTGGCAAGGCCAGACTCACTGAGGGATGCTCTTTCCGGAGGAAGTAAACTGTTTTGCAAATGTTACGGACCCCCTGCGATGAAAAGCAACCATGGCGTTAAAACACAGTTTTTCCTTCCTCGATGATTGATTTGCGTGTTCCTTGATGTCTGTGTCACCGAATCCAGATAGAAGATGGAATCATCGCCCCAAAGCTTCACCCGAGAAAACGAAAGCAAAACTTTTTTCCTCCCAAAATACCAAATACTTTATCGGATGAATCATGAAAGAAAAAAATGTTAAAACTGTTTCTCACGGAGAAAGAGAGAATGAAGGTTCCGGATATCTGGCGAGTCAACCGGGTTCAATCTAATATCGACTTGCGTGTTTTCCTTTTTTTACCCCCAATATCTTGCCCAGATCTTTTTTTCTCTCATGCGCTCTTGCAGCCGTTGTACGTCTGTTCCCTTTCTCGTTCTGCCAGTGTCTGATACACCGGGGGACGGATCTTCCGCGGTATTGGATAAGGAAGAGAGGATGGCGTATGGCTTTCGGAGGCCGCAGAGGAATCCTTCGGCGGTGCAAGTGGACAGACAACCATTGGCAAAAGACATTTTGTAGTGGAGATGGGCGTCCATCAAGGATACATGTTTTTCTGCCATTGGGTCCGTCTGTCCGTTTCAGCAAGGATGTATCTGTACGCTAGTTAGGTATTGTTCGATGGGATGAATCAAGCGACCTGTCCTCTGTCGTCTTGTCTGTAGTCTCCCGATGCCTGCCGTTGTAAGAGTAGATAGCGTAAATTGTTTCGACCCAGGCCTGACCCATCTACCATGATGTAATTAATGCTGTAGCATTGCCCGTATGCACAGTCCTCCCTATGCCCAGATATGGTATGTATAGACATGCTAGAATGGATTGGGATAAGCTAGACCCCTCCGACAGACACAGCAGAGCCCACTTCCCCGCCAAAATAAAGAACTACGGACCTGCCATCTCCATTTTGATACGCATCACCCCGAGCATATAATTCAGCTCATGCAGAACCTATACCTCGACTTAACTGGGCTTATCTTGTATAATAAGACATGGATCTAACTATGGATATAGTTATAGTTATAGATATCTATATGTATCTGGATCAAACTGAGAAACGCATACTTACGGATCATGCTACATGAGTGAGTATAATCCATGGGGAGTCTAACCCAACACCCGGTCGGGGAGGAGGCGAGATCAGAATGGATATTCCTTAGGAATGAAGGACTGGCCTGAGTATCGATCGATACTGCATGACAAGATGAAAGGCATTTTAGACGTAGACGAAAACTGATAGTTTATGTATCTACATTGTCTGGCTCTGAGCAGCCCGCTCTTCCTGGACTTGTTCGTGGTAACTACTATAGTATGATATATCGTTTGGCTAGCGCTCAGCGATTATCAAAAAGAAGCTTCTTCTTCTTCCTTTGCTTCTGTTCTGCTTCTGTCAATCCACGACCTGAAGATCCATTTTCAGTCGGAAGCATGACATGACATAACATGACAATACAAGCATATACTGGGGAGGATTGTCTGTCTTCATCTTTCCCCCCCTCCCCCAATCTTTTTTGGTCCGTTCTGCATAAATCGAATATAACAATACTTCATTCAAACCTGCAACAAAGCCTGCGCCTTCGCCTTAATATCCGGACCCAAATCGACCGGATTCCTCGGATCATCACCCGTCATCATGGCCAACTTGCCCGTCTTATCATTAATCAATTCATTCGCGAACCGATTCCGCGCCAACACCTCAGTCACCTGCTGGCGCGCGGTCGTGTCTCCCGCACGGACGCTTTCCAAATCGATCGTCTTCAGCTGTCGGTGGGTGTTGCGGACGAAGTCGAAGAGGAAGAAGATGGTTGGGTTTACGTTTGGTGGTTGCATGCGTGGGTGGGATTCGAAGGAGCTGTTGGTGTTCAATAATACCCGTTAAAACGCTCCCCCGGGCCCCGATCCCTGGTGCCTACCCTGGGAAGGGGGGAGGGGGAGTGTTTTGGGGGTGAGTTGGTTAGCTGGCTGGCTATTGTTTTTAAGGGTTTTCTGTTAGGGATGTTTTATTGGGGGGAGGGGGGTTTTGAAGACAAAAAGAAAGAAAGAGCTGTTTATGAGTGGTATGTTCAATAGGTATGTTGTGTGAGTGAAAAGGAAGTATACTGAATGGCATGGAAAGTATGACATAGTCCCCCATCCATCCATCCATCCAGCATTGAAGAGGGGAAGAAGAGGGGGGAAGGGGAATAAAACAAGAAAAAAACATACTCTAACAAGTCTGCCATTTGGCGATCCACGCGCTCTGCGTTAAAGTCAAGAAGTTCCTCGCTCATGGTGTTTTTCTTTTCTTTTCTTTTTTTATGTATGTGGACAGATAAGAAATAAACAAGAACAGAGAGAATGTGGAATGAAAGGAGAAAAAAAGGAAGAGAACCAAAGATGGCGATGACGACGGTTGAAACTTATGACGCTATTTTCAACTTTCTCGTTCTCTCTTTCTCGTTGGGAGATGGAGGGAGTCTTATCTTATCGGGGTTAGTTAGTTGGTTAGTTCAGTTGGTTGAACTAGTTAAAACTCCCAGCGGGAATTATTATTAACTAATTTAACTAGTTATTGCATTGGTACGACTTGACTATTTCTCTCCTATAGCTGGCTGTTTCGACAACTAACTACACGTTCATTCGTTTCAAGGCATTCTTTTAGAATACACGAGAGGGTTATCTTTATTTCATTTATATACAGAACTATCCTAAACTCGATCCTCAAATCATCACCACTCACCATGACACCCCCCAAACCACCTCTCAAGATCCTCATGCTCCACGGCTACACCCAATCCGGGACATTATTCTACAACAAAACCCGCGCTCTCACCAAACATCTCCAGAAATCCTTCCCCTTACACGACGTCTCCTTCTCCTACCCCACTGGTCCTCGCCGTCTCAACCCCGACGACATCCCCGGCTACGACAGCACCAACAACAACAACGACCAGAACCAAGAGCAAGAGCAAGACAAACCCGAAGCGTACAGCTGGTGGCGGATCTCGCGGGCCTCCAATCCACCCGAATACATCGGTCTAGAAAACGGCCTAGAGACTGTCGCCAAAGTGCTTCGGACAGAAGGGCCGTTTGATGGCGTGATTGGCTTTTCGCAAGGCGCAGCTTTAGCTGCCATGGTGGCGAGTCTGCTGGAACCCGGGAGAAAAGAGGCATTTGAGTATTTTACTGATGCGAAGATCGCGTCTGATGGGTTGGGGTTACAGGAGAATGTGGCTGGGATTCCGTTTCCAGAGTCCTTTGTGTCGGAGAACGTGTCGCATCCGCCGTTGAAGTTTGCGCTGTGTTATAGTGGGTTTCGCGCGCCGGGGCCGAGGTATCGTGGGTTTTATGAACGTCCGGCTATTCAGACGCCGGTGTTGCATGTGTTGGGTTCGTTGGATAGTGTCGTGGATGAGGGTCGGAGTAGGTCGCTGATCGAGGCGTGTGCGGGAGAGCCGGAGAAGGAAGGGAAGGTTGTTTGGCATCCTGGTGGTCATTTTCTGCCGAGTCAGAGGACGTATCTGGACGCCGCGGTGTTGTTTATTCGGAAGTCTCTGGAGGGACAGACGGAGAAGGGCCCGCAGGCGGAGGAGAGGGTCGAGGATATGGATGTTCCCTTTTAGTATCCATCCATAACTACTGTTTGTTACGGTTACGGGGTGATGCTTAGATGGCACACCATACAGAATCGAATAGACATTGGAATTCATCATAAAATTTGTCGCATGGTCTTACTTTAATAGCGTCTGGCTACAACCCCCTGACTGCCCGACAATGCGATTATTTTACATGCCCGCATTCCGCCCTCATCCATTCATCAAAAGCCCTAGTGAGCCCGCGCCTTCTCACTTCGAGTCGGTAAAATCCGCGCCATCATCTCCTCCTTGGTGATCAAGTGGTCGATGCGCTCCAGAAGATCCAGCAGGTTCTTCATGTCGCTGCTCCATTCGTTCAGCACATCATCCGCATCACGGGGCTTGGCAAAGTTGATCACTCGTGCAGGACGGTCGATCTTGGCGTATATTGTCTTGGAGGTAACCAGGTCGCTGATGTACTTCTCCGTCTCGTCCTCGTTCAGATCCAGAAGCTCCGTCAGACGACCCATCTGGATGCGAGTGTAATACTTGGCCACTACACGCACGTTGTGCTCGATCACGCGTTTCCGCAGGTCCTGCCATCTCGTGTAGGCCTGGTCATCGGAAGTGCCACTCGGCTGGGCGCTGAAGACGTCGGTGCTGGTCAGGTGGGGACCAAACTGTTCAGCAACCATGGGCCAGCGCATCAGCTCAGAAATGGTGAACAGCTTGATCAGACGGGCTTCGACCGGTACCGCAGAGATGCGGCTATCTTGTTGGATACGGTGCAGCAGATCGGACTGCTCGTTATCGTAGGGAGACAGCACAATGTAGTAGATGATTCTCGCAAGAACCTGTGGTCCATGGTTAGCGGAGAGAAAGTCACCCCAAGAGTGCGGGAAATCTTACGGCACGGAGCTGCTCCGGGTTGTTCTCGACAGACTCGGTGTCCAGAACCTCCCGGTAGTGCTTGCAAACCTCCAGGTACTTGTGGTCGTGGTTGGCAAGGATAATCTGCTGCTCATAGTAACGCAGCTTCAGATCCGTTACATCCTCGTCAACCTCTGCTGGCGGCTCATCAGGCTCGCGAGTCTTTTCCTTTTCCTCAGCCTCCTTCTTTTCCTTCTCGAGCTGCTCGGGAGACTTCTTGGGTTTGCGGGCAAAATATTTCTTGTTGTTGATCTTGCGACTCAGGATTCCAGCCTGTGTCCAATCTCCTCGCTCAATGCAAAGTGACACTTGCTCTAGGATGAACTCCGTCTTTTCTCTCCTGCTCATGGACCCGAAGGTCTCCACCTGCAGCTCGCAAAGGATATCCGCAGCGGCATTCAAATCGCCTTGAGCCTTCTTAATGTCGGACAAGATACGCGTAACTCGAGCTCTCTCGACCTCAACGAAAATCTATCATCCTTGTTAGCGACATGAGATCTTTCGCCGATCCGCAGCTGTAAACCAACCTTTCCTTCCGTCACCGTCCGCAAGGTTTCAATCACGGACAATTTCACTTCCATATTAGGTGTCTCATCCAGGAAGCTCATCACTTTCTGCACCATCTTCGTGATGGCCTGCTTGAGTTGTCCATGCTTCTTGGACAGCAAGAGAACCTGGTCGTTTAATAAGCCCCAGTCGCCCGAGTCCTTGCTTAGCGTAACAATGGTGAGGAGGATTCTAGAGGTAGTCGCAAGATCCGAAGCCTGTCGTGTCGCATAGTCAGCCACTGTTCTACAGTTTATACCAGCTCTCAGAGAGCCTACCTGTCTTGCCTGCTTCTCCAACACCAAGAGCTTGTCGATGGCTGCTTGCACGTCCGTCTGCCGATCATGGCTGGTCAGTATGGGGACGACTTCGAAGCTGAAGAAGCTTTTCACACCTTTGCAAGCGCCTCCGCCTCTGGAATGAGCTTGTCGGCATCCTTGGAGAAGTCCTTCTCCGGCTTGAAGAGAGGGCCTTCCGACATGGTGACGAGAGTCGATACGTCACCTGTTCAGTCGAGATCACTTGCAGCTTGGGGTGATAGAGGTATCTAATATTGATGAGGGCCGTGTATCCCAACTGCGATGATGGTGTGAGATTTGGCGGTTGCCTGCTTGTGGAGGGGTTGCAATTCGAGAGCTCGAAGGGAGGTTTACGGCGTCTGTTCAGGTACGTCGGCAGCACTGCCTGCTGGGTAAGCTCCAGCTGGCGGGCGGCAACAGTCCAGGGCGGTAAGCGCGTATGATCACGTGATCTTCTGGGAGTCTACTACTCTACCATCAGGTATTGGAATCTCATTTGATCTGAGGCGTATTTATTCGCAGAATTAAGTGGAGTTCTTATTGCTACAATGTCAGTTAATGAATTGAGATGTCATGCAAGGCGCCCACTGAATTGTCAGCTCGGGTTATCTGGCGCCATACCAGTAGTTGTAACTACCTACCTAATGCTCATTATGAACTCTGTGTAATGTCAATGGCACATCACCCCGGTATTACATCAGATATAGCTGCAAGATTGTAATCTTTCCTCCTACGAGGTCATCTCCTAATTCAGAGAAAATAACACTATCAAGAAATCCGGCCCTGCAGCTCTTGGTACTGAAATAAAACAGACTAACCCAAATAGGCTTGGCCTTTGATGATGCCTTAACAAAGAGGGTCCGCCGCTGGCCAGGCTCCTGCATCGCCTTCCCCAGATAACGCCCAAGACACATCCTAACAGGATACTCTTCATCTCTTTACCAAATCAACATAGATAGTCTTCGCGACGATGTCGACCCCCGGAAAACCCGGAAAACCCTACATCTCCAACGGACAAGTCCTAGAAAGGTACGGACTCCCCGCTGGCTTTCCTCGGGATCGTCGCCTAGAAACCGCATCTAAGCGCGGTCCCATCGCAGAGAATAGTAGGACAGTTTACAGCTAACGATATACTGCGCAGTCCTCCGCTCACTACTCGCATTATCCGTTGGATCGATGATGTCTACTTCTTCTTCGGACTGTATTTCGTGACGTTGTTTTCGGTAAGTTTGATATCCGGTGGTGAATTCCGAGCGACATACCTGTCGTGTCTTGTCTTATAGTTATGTCCGGGATAATGATTAGCTGACGCTTTGTTTTGTTTGGTGTTAGCTTGATCCCCTGAAAGCAGCAGAGGAGTCGAAATTCAATATTCGAAGATCAGGCAATTCCTACAATAACAGACCGCGATGGGGTGGTAGTTCTGGAGGAGGCGGTCCCGGCGGTCCTGGTGGTGGCGGTGGTGGTCCCAGGAGAATTGGAAGAGTTGATGATATCAGAGGCCCTGAGTGCAAGAGCTGTGGATAAGAGGGAAATGCAACTATTATGTGGCATGTTGGGGATACTGCGGGGGTTTGATCTTTCCATGCGAAAGGCTACGTTACGGATACCATGCGTTTAGTTATTATAAATTGTCCTATTTGATTCTTTCTACTTTGCAGACCGAAAGTACTGACTATGGAAGTGAGTGAACCAGCGAGTAAGCCATGAGAGAACTTTTCTGCATCCTGTTTCCTTGTCTTCGTTTGTTTTATCTAGATTAAAAGCTCGGATTTACCTAGTCTCAACGATGTAACCCAAGAGCTACTGGAAGGAGCACCGTTGATATAATACAACATCCTGTAATAGATATGTTAGGATGTTTGTTTGTCTTGCGGTAGTTACTCAATGCATGGGTCAAGATCAGATGCTTTGTAAAAATACGAAACTGTAGTTGTCCAAATGATATCTTCCCCTCGAGCTTGGCATATGTAACAGTCACAAGAAAAACCGACGGCCTTGGTCTTCTGTTTCTGCATCGCATCACAGAGTGTTTTCTGAGGTAGCATAAAATAAGATACAGGGAAGATAAGTCGGCGGTGTGCTGATATCATGAAATATGGTTCGATAGTATTGTAGGCACCTCTCTGACAGAATAAAAGCAACGCTGAATATCAGCACTCCAGTCTGATAACACAGTCTATAAGTAATAACCGAGGCACATCTGTGATGCGCCCGCACCCTAGTTAACTAGTGCCGAGTTCAATAGCGCAAAGAAAACCATTGCTATGGTATACTCTCGCGCGTTGTTACATTAAAATAAACACTATCATATAATCTGGTGGACTACTACCGACGAGTCATTATCCTTGAAGCGAGGTACATACATCCAACATACAACATACATACATTTCGAAATAATGGAGAGATTAGACGCGACATTGGATAAATTTACAAACCCCACGACTGGTTCGCTTCACGCAGCGGTGTTTATAGCCGTGGATCATTCTGGTAACCCTTTCCCCTTCTTCCTAAAACATAAGGCTTCGACTGTGGTCTTCAGTTCTTACTGAATAGTAGGCTATCATATGCTTAACGGCTAATCATAAACAGGAAAGATCATATACCGCCGCGCCGCTGGAAAGTCAAAGCTCGATCCTAAAAATGACACCCCAGTACATCCAACGTCACTATGTTGGATAGCATCTCTGACGAAACTTGTCACTGCGGTCGCGATGATGCAATTGGTTGAAAAGGGTCTTGCTAGTTTAGATGAAAATGTCTGCGATACGCTTCCTGAGTTGAGGGACATCGACATCTTGCTTTATGACCAGGACACCTCTAGTGGATCTGCCCCTGAGGGCTCCGATGGGGTCCCATCATCCAGATCCAATGGAGGAGGGAAGCCATATCCTGGCTTCAGGACGGAGAAAGCCAAGACGGAAATAACAATCAAGTAATTAGACCATGGAGATGAGAAGCTACATGCATATGTTTCCAAGTGAATGGCTTAGCATGAGCTAATAATGTTACCGGTCGTATATAGGGATTTACTCTGCCACACTTCAGGCCTTTGTTATGATCACTCAAGCCCTCTTTTGCAACAATGGTCTAAGTCGAACAAACGGAAATCTCACACATTCTGCGGAAGCATGGTATGTCTTCCCTCATTCTCCTACTGTGACTTATTCAGCTCTTGTCATGACAAGTCATTCTGGATCTAGGACGGTTATTACCATCCTCTTATTTTCGAACCGGGGACATCTTGGGCATATGGAGGTGGATTGGACTGGGCAGGAGTGATTGTTAGTATACCATGCACTTATCATTTACATAATTGCACTCAACTAATCTTATCAGATCGAACGGAAGACAAATACCACTCTTGAAGAGTACATGAAGGCGAATATATGGTCTAAAATAGGTGCTACGTGCACCACATTCCACCCCGAAAAGAACCGTCATAAACTACCTCCCCAACTCGAAATGGGAGCGCGGATCCGTACAGAGAGTGGCGACAGTTACATTGGCCCAGGTCGGGTTACGCTCGAGTATCCACGGAAGAACGACCTAGGTGGTATTGGCCTTTTCGGCACAGCAGACGACTACATCAAACTCTTGACCATACTGCTCCAAGGAGGGAAGGGACTTCTTACTGAACGCAGTGTGCACGTATTATTTCAACCTCAATTGACACGCGTTATTCGCTCATCTATGCTTGTGGGCGCTGGGAGACAAATGAGGCGAGTTCTTGGAGCGAGGGGTACAGATGATGTTGACCAGGCGGATCACTGCTTAGCTGGGACCGTTACCCTGCGAGATATCCCAGGTCGAAGGAGAAAAGGGACAGTCAGCTGGGCTGGATTGCCAAATCTTCATTGGGTTAGTATAACCTTTCACTGCCTTCGTCGCAAATCATATATGTAGGCCATGATGTTATTCTAACGATTGCTTGTGCGCAGTGGATTGACCGTGAAAGTGGCATAGCCGCTACTTTATTCACACAACTCCTGCCAACTATGGATGCGATTGTGGTGGATCTACTAATCGAGCTGGAAGAAGGGTTGTATGAATTTGTTTTGGGGAGGGGATCCCGAAACAGCAGGGCCCAAAAGATATAGTCGCCAGTTGTGTCGACTAGGTTTGCCTTGTATCTAAGAGTCATTTGATACAGAGATTATACAGACAGTAACGGCAGACACAATAGTCATATCGATACCATCTATCATAAATTTCATTAAGGTATTTACTAGGAACGTAATCGCTTATCATTGCGATTTCATCTATAGCACAAAAATATAGAGGCAGTCTGATCTGGCGTATATATAGACCGAGATTCTCAGGAACCGGGGAGAAAGTGTGGGGCACGCAGACAACCTTCGCGCGGGACAAACTGGACTCGAAGACGCGAACCAAAACCAAACAGGACGGAACAACACCGCAGAGCAAGAAGCATAATTCGAATGAATAGAGGAACTAGCCATCAGGGCACTTTTCTCGGAAGACTTTAGGTTCGTAAGTCCTCTCAGTTGGGTCTTCACAACGTTCTGTACATGGATTGTTGGTCTAGGTTGTCGGTTCCCCGCAATTTTTGATGCTGTTGACACAGTTCTTATTGTACCATTCTTTTCTTTTGTCGTATATATATGACATCCTGCTATGTTTATATTCAATGTTATGCATGTATAATTGATCGCCTATTTCCTGCCGTGGCCATTGGTCTTACACGGGCCCCTTGTGATTCAATGCAGTCTTGCCTAGCTACCGCTTGAACCTCTATATCCTTTTCCAACTTCTGACATAATTCAGTATAACACCGCGAAGAAATGTCGATTCCCACGACAAATGCAGAGTGGGCTGCCACGATTTCATCTATCAAGGACTCCCTCCCAGCAACATTCACCAACCGACCTGCTCCTTCTCCATCTTCCATCCCTGGGACTATTGACCACACGCTCCTAGGCCTGTCAGCAACAGAGTCTGAAATAGATACTCTTTGCGAAGAGGCAAAAGAATACAAATTCGCTTCTGTTTGCGTCCGCGTCAACCATGTCCGCCGCGCCGTAGAGAACCTCAAAGACACGCCCGAGGTGTGCGTCGCGGCAGTTGTCGGTTTCCATGAGGGGACATACAGGACAGCAGAGAAAGTGGACGAGGCCCTCGAGGCTGTGAGACAGGGAGCTTCAGAACTAGACATGGTACTCAACTATCCGCTTCTCAAGGAAGGGAAGTTTGTCGATGTCTATGAAGACATCCTCGCTGTACGCAAGGCGGCTCCTTCGCCTATCAGGCTCAAGGTCATCCTCGAAACGTCCCAGCTGGACAGAGATCAGATCATAGCTGGATCGGTGATTAGTTGTCTTGCCGGTGCAGATTTTGTCAAAACGAGCACTGGATTTAATGGCTCTGGAGCTAGCGTTGAGAATGTGTCTCTCATGCGAGCTACGGTGGATGCACTTGGAAAGGGCTGCAAGGTCAAAGCTAGTGGAGGAGTGCGTACGGCAGAGGACTGTGTACGGATGCTTCAAGCCGGTGCGGATAGGATCGGAGCTAGTGCCGGAGTAAAGATCGCAAAGCAACTGGCGGGAGAGACAAGCATCGAGGGATCGACTGCCGTTGGGGCATATTAAGACCAAGCTGGAGTATATCCATAAGTATCTGGCCACTCTTGTTATAAACAGCAAGCGAATTCTTGAAACGCATTTCTAGAGATCTCTAGTAAGGTGTTAAAGTTAAATATATCCTCGACACAAGACTTACATATTCCAAACCTATCTTCGATCTCAGTTCATCCGACTTATACGATGTAGATGTAAATATTCTATGCTTGAAGATTCATCCAGACCCTTTGCACCAGATTTGTCTGCTCAACAGCCCGCAAATGTCATATAGTTGAAAGCTCAATAAGACTAGCACCTGCAGGTCTAGATTTAAACCTGAAGAGCACATTACCTAGACTGTTCTCCATCGCTAGACCACCGACATAAACTGACAGATTACAATAACCATTGATCATTATGATTGAGGTGACTGTAGCGGTCACGATGACACTAATAAAACGCCTCTTAAGCCACTCCCGCGAGCGAACCGTGGGGGCCGCCGCTAAGGGTGGAGAGGGTGGAGCTTTTAACGGCCTTTCTAGTTAAAGGTTTTGTTAAAGAATTTACAGTCGATCAACTACCGCATATTATTACCAGTTTTTACCCATGGCTATTCCGAAAACGAAGGTATGCGAACAGCTAGAGGATATTATCTTCGAGTCAATTGCTAATATTATTGTGTTCTTTTCATAGCGTCGCAAGACCTCCATTGATTCGGGCAATGGGGATCTTCACACCGCGAAGCCGACCGCGCTCTTTGTCCCTACCGGCGGAAGGAAGCATACGCTGAGCGTCGCGATACCAGGCAGCATTATCGCCAAGTGAGTTGGATATATAGATTTAGAGTTGGATTTCTATATAATCCCGTTTGGATACGAGCTGTTTCTAATGAGTTGAATAGTGCGAAATCCCAGGAGACGAAGACACACCTGGCGGGTATGATAGCACGTGCCCTCGCAGTCTTCTGTGTCGACGAAGTTATTGTCTTTGACGACGACCCGAAAGCTTTCAAGACTCGTGTCGATGATCTCCATACAGAGCAATTCACGGCCTTTACGGACCCGTCCCATTTTCTCTCCCACATTCTCGCCTATCTCGAGACTCCACCCTACCTTCGCAAACACCTCTTTCCAATGCATCCGAACCTGAAACTGGCTGGTGTGCTTCCTAGTTTGGATATGCCGCATCACCTGCGTGCCAATGAGTGGTGCGAATATCGTGAAGGTGTCGTTGTACCAGAAAGTGACGACGATGGGGGAGGAGGAGGAGGAAGTCCCGAACCGGGAGGGGGAGGGCGTGAAATAGATGGTGTATCCAAACCAACCATCATCGAGACAGGACTCTCTCAGCCCGTTGTTCTGCACGAGATGGAAATTCCAGAGCTGGCACGCGTGACTGTCAAGTTTCCATCGAAAGATACCCCCGAGGACGCTGAGCCCGTCGACCCGAACGCACCGCGAGAGGAGGCCGGATACTACTGGGGCTACAGCGTTCGACGAACACACACACTCTCTGGAGTCTTCACGGAGTGTCCGTTCGATGGAGGTTATGACCTCTCGTTCGGAACCTCCGAGCGCGGTGCATCCATCGCAGATGTCCTGGCGGAGCCGTCCTTAGCGAAATACGAACATCTCCTCGTACTATTCGGCGGCGTAGCAGGCATCGAAGAGGCAGTTCGAGCCGACAAAGAGCTCCTAGACAAAGGAATCATGCCCGCGGACGCTGAGAAATTGTTCGATTACTGGATCAACATCCTCCCAGGCCAGGGCAGTCGCACCATCCGCACGGAGGAAGCCCTCTGGCTAGGCTTGATGGGTCTACGACCGTTTGTTGTCAACAACGGACAGCGTTAGAAAACCCTATTCCCCAGCTCTTCACTCTAGGCATTTTACTCCGTACATTGGATGCAAATGACAGCGGGAGACGCGGTAGCTTTCTTTGCTTCCATTCCAAGGGAGCGAGGCATTATTCCCGACATTCCAGCCAGGGGGGTTCGGTATGCTTCACCTGTCCTCGCGTGGAAAAGCAACAAAATGTCACTTTGTCTATCGCGTGGCACGACTTGATTTTTTTTTTCTTTGCCACTCAACGTTCCTCGCGCCTCTGCCGGCAAAAATTGTCTCTTCTTTTTCTTCCAAGAAGGGAGGAAGGCGTGTTAACGTTTTCCCACATGCCGAAAAAGTTTCTTTTTATATATGCTTGCTTGCTTGCTATATCAGATTCCCCCCCTCGCGTAACAGTCTCCACTGGCCATTGGACCATCGTCTCGAAATTTCCATTTTGTGAAATAAATTAGCTTTTCAGGAATTGAAACGAGTCTAAACAGTAAGGTTTGAAACTTGCTCGCTTGCTCGACCTGTTTGTGAAATTTATTAAGCGTTGAAGTTGTGAAATGTGAAACAAGGCGGAATGGGCATTAAGTAGTGTTGGTATAATGACATTGTTTCTTCCGTCTGGTATTATTGTTTGGATGGGAGGATCTGCGATGCTAAAAGTATGGACTAGCAAATTGCTCAAAGATAAGATACCATGAAGCTGTTGTTCTGATTGGATTGGGAGATTGCTTGACAGATCATTAATCTATTGAGGTATGAGGGCCGCGAGATCTATACACTTGGTATATCTATACAAAAGTGGAAATAAGATTTGAATAAAACGAGAAAAATGAAACAAAATGGAAAACTCCAACAGCACCAACTTTTCCAGAATCCGTAGCCGCCTTTCATTTTTCTCCTCTTTCTCAGTGTCTAGTGCATAACAAAGCCAAAGTAATGTAGATCTCGAAACTGACACCAATGTGATGATCATATGCGTTTTGTAGAACCAGGAACGACCATGCCCTAATCAGAGCTGCAGCTCAAACTAAATGAGATTATCATTTCAATCATTCATTCTCACTGCTCAGGTCTCCCGTGTCACTGGTCTCTGCGCCGTTATCTATCTCCGTCTTTCGCATTGCTCGATCGCCGTTTTTACCATTCTTCTCCGCCGCGAACCATGCCTCGCGGCGTTCCCGCTCCCGCTCTTCTTTCCGCGCTCGCCGCGCTAATTTATTTTTCTCGCTCCGTTCCTGTCTTTGCTGTAGCGCACTGCTGTGATCTTTCAAGCGCGTGAGGTCGGATTGCAACTGAAGGAGCTCAGACGATGTGGAGCGACGGGCAGTTTCACTAGTGAGAAGCTTCTGTTTTACTGCAGCAAGTTCGGATTCCAGAGACTGGATACGGGAAGATTGAGCGGCATCGCTAACGGTGGAGGTGCCTTCAGCGGAAACAGAGGAGGTATAGTTCTGTGGCTGAGAAGTGTTGCTGCCGGCTTTCTCGAAAAAGGAGAGCTCTGCCAGGCCCTCTTCTATCAAAGACGCGGGAAAAGAGGGATGTGTGAGGGCTTCAGAGAAGAGGTCCAGCTGTGTGGTTTTGTCGCCCGCACTAGATATTATTGATGGTGAAGACGAAGATAAGATGTGTGTGTTGAACGTATAGTCTGCTGGGACTATGCCGGCTGTCGATGTGGAATCAGCCAGGCTAGGGTCATACCGGGGTTTGACGATGTTATGAGTCGCAACCTTCGGTTCTGTGGAGGCGCCCTGCAGACCACTTGGTGGAAGCATAAGCAGGTTCGTCACTGGGTGCGTCAGGTCCGTGACCGTTGAAGCATATTTCCCCTTGGCGATATTCCAGGACAGGACCTTTCCACTACGGTGTCCGGACAGGAGAGTCATCCCGTCGTAGGAAAGAGTCAGACATTCCGCGGCGCCAGAATCCCCTGAGGGTGGCAGCCATCGCTCTTCAGCTGATAGCTGCGCGGGTGTCGACTGGAGGCTTGCATCATGCAGGGGATGCTGTATGGATGCATTCTTGTAGAAATCGATTATCTGAATACTGCCATCCTCGTAACCGGCGTAGAAGGCGCGGTCCGCGGGATCAACTGCCAGAGATTGAGCTACAGACGGCAGAAGGAATGTCCTCAATGTCTGTCCAGTCTGGTAATCCCATACTATGGCAGTATTATCCTTGGCAGCAGAGATGGCAATGCTAGCTCTACCGCTGCCGTGACCAACTGCGAGAGAGGTGATGGGGGCGCGGTGGTTCAAAAAGGTTCGGAAAGGACCATTGGCCGGCTGTTTGCTTCGGCCTGTGGCAGAAGGTTTAGAAAAGGAGAGAAGCCGCGATATGGACCAGACATGGATATTGGCGTCTGAGGAACCCGACAGGATAAAGTTGGACGTTGCATCTACAACTAGAGCCGTGACCGGTTGGAGATGCGATGCGGAGGTTGATACTTGGCGTCCCGTGCAAGTCTACTGCTCAGTCAGATTTTTCACCCCGATCATGATCTATCAAGTTGGTGTCTTATCTTACCTCCCACAAGATCAGCCGTCCTCCCTCCGTTCCCAAGATCAGTACTTCCCTTCCCTGCGCTCCTGCAATCGCGAGACTGCGTATCCGCTCCGGAAATGCAATGGTAGCTTCCTGACCACCACGCTCCCTACTGTAGACATGCACCACGGCCTTCTCCGCCTGCGCAGCAAACACGTGTGATGGGCTCACAGCCAGGCAATTGGGCGAAGAGGAGCTTTTCTTGAAGCCGGAGCGGAAGGCGGGCGACGGCTGGAGCTCATGGATTGAGACCCCCACATCTTTGAGTGTCGATGAGCCTGGCGTCTTGGAGGACGCCAAGGTCGCCGCGAAGAAGCTCTCAGATAGCATCGAGGGCTCCTGTAGCGCGTGGCGGCTCTCGAAAGGACGTGAATAATATCTCCCAGTTCGTCGGGAATTTTTTAGCGGAGACGATAATGCGATGCTGCGATAAGGCGGTGTTTGCAATGTTTGCTCGCGCGGTGATAGATCGCAAGCTTCAGAGACCACTAAGTGTAGTATACATCACCGAACCATTGACAGCGGAGAATAAGTTTGAACCAGCCTGCGATCTACTGCAGAGATCGAACTCTATGTTGGATGTATGGAGGGGTTCGACGGTCCCTGGTTGTGTGTCGTTTCTCCAGCTGCTCAGCCCTAACTACCTAACTAACTAACTAGGAGCTCTCTATAGAGCTTAGTCATCCCGGTGAGATTGTCGACATCTCAAACATACCATCTGCCTCCAGTAAACACTCAACTGCCACGAGCAGCCAGAAAGCATCTCAGAGTCTCACTGTGAATCTGACGAGCCGCATGGACCTTCTGCCATCACGTTGGAATCGACGCGGGAACGCCCGTTTGAGAGATCGGGCGCGTGGATGGACGCGCTGCCCCCTCCGAGTATGATGGCGGCAGGAAGCAAGGGGTGTCTCTAGTGATATCAGCTCATCTTGCATCGGATCGTTTGACTAGGCAGCGTGACACTCAGCACGCCCTTACTCTGGCCCGTCTCTGCGTCACTCGAGGAGGTGTGCCAGCAACCGAGACGAACCGTCGAAGATGGAATAGTCAACTATCGACATAGTTGTGCCCCCCTCCGGGCAGTGCTTCAGCCTGGCCTGGCCAATGGCTCGGTACACCTGGCCGTGACACTCCTCCAGGAATGCAAGGACATGCGTTTTAGCTTGCCAAGATGGTCCCCTTCCCTCATTGCTGAAGTATATGGATTCGCTACCAAAGGGATACCATGTACGTCCAGATCGTCCGCCCTTGACAAGGCCAGGGGCTCGTGGAACGCGTGTATAAGGGTGTTTTATCCCCCTTAGGTAGCCACCTGAACTTACACTTCTTGCTTGCCTTGTCCATACTGCATCTTTGCTTCTTTTCTGTTGTCGTTTGTACGATATACCGTCCATAGACGTTGAGAACCATACTCGAATGCAAGATTCGATTCGTCCCAGCACTTCCCACGTGAATCTAACCCAGCCATGCTAGACAGCCACACAATCCACCATGGCGCACGATAGCAGTCCGACATATTCAATATCTTCCACTTACTCACGGCGGAGTAAACAATCACAAGGCTCACTCTCGTTTCTCCCTTCAACAGTGTACCGCTCAGAACAACGAGAATATCCCAGCTCACAGGTCAGGCACCCATCATATCGAGGAAACATCTGGGTATCTCCATTTCGTTCAGTGCGGAAAATGAAGGAACCATTCCAGCTGGTCCTGCCGACTTCTCCGTCTCTCGAAAGCACCCGGTGCAGTAGGAAAGGGAGCAGGAAAGAGAGCCCCCCGAACAGGTTTCCGACCCTGCGCGCATGTCATTCAGATCAGCATCTGGTAGTGGGAGCTCTCGAGTCATTTGGTCTACTTCCGAGTCCTAGTCTGTCAGACTCACGGATGCTGGGTCCGTCGTCGCCGGTCGAGCGTTCAGAATTCGAGTTTGATGTAAAGAGTGACCGAAGTTCTCCCATAATTATCCAGAGCTATTCGAGTGATGGAAAGAGCTGCGTCGGCAGTGCTGATAGCACTTACGAACCAAAACAAGAACAGCTAGCAACAAGCAAGGCAGTATCGGACGTGGAAATGGAAATGGAAACACCAACCGTTGTGGAGCATCAGCAGTCTGATATCAAGCGAGAGGATGGAAATGAGATGACCGATGACATTGCACCGGAAGTGACTGCCAAAGTAGCCTCTCCGCCTGCTGAGTCCACTGAATATGACACTTCTCCTGGGACCTCCGGTGATACCAAGACACGAACTCGGAACGATACTTTCTCGAGTGAAGCAAGCTGGGTTCCAGCCAATCTATCTTACTGTGAAACTTGGCTCCAAGGCGTACCACTATCGACACCAGATCGTCTTGATGGGAAGACCAAGGAAATGAATCGGCGCAAGTGTCAAATAGTGCAGCAGGGTCGCAAGCCTGTTAACCTACGGATTGACACTCAGATTGCTAACCAGCAACCGGTGGTACGTTATTCTTCTCTTCCGCTTTTCAGATTGGTGCTCACATGATGATAGAGATACGCTACTCTTGCCAGCAAGACGAAACCAAAATTAGTAGACATCTCCAGGCGCTCCTCCTCCGCCACAAGTTATTCAGTGCCAATTCACATGGCATTATCTGCCCGGAGACCGTCGACTCCCAACCAGCGGCCTTACGAGATATCCGCTTTCAGCCCGGATACACCGCCTGAGATTCCTGATAGCGGATACATCATTCAATCGAATCGCTCGTCTGAAAATAGTCGTGCCACCGAGGACGACGATGCATTGAGCGATATCGCAGAGACCGACATAATCGGTACTTTTGACCTTGATCTAAATACACAGTCGCCCACTGCTATCACGAAACCATGGGCAGTAAAAGCCCCGGCCACTTCATCCTATGATAACTACCCTCGCTCCCCGGCTGAGGACCAGAGCCCGAAGCCCCCAAGTCCCAAACTTCAAAGCCCTCCGCTTATATCAACCCACCAGGATCTGTGCGATCAGGAAACACTCGAAAAGTGGTGGGACTACGAATGGACACTCGACCAGCTTGAGCTGTCGGTGAAGAATTTCCCCGCCTCTCCATTGACTCTCACCTCACCGGTGATTATCCTCCTGAGACAAAACGACGAGAAAGCGTTGCTCAGACCTTTCCGAAAGATCTTTCCGGGAATTAAGGAACCTCTCCTTGGGTCTCTTTGTGCTACCTTGATCGCACGGAACTATCTTGTATCTATGGCTGGCTCACATCGCCGCAACAGCTCTCTGTCCGCGGGAACCACTACACTATCCCGCCTAGATAGTGTGCCGGAAAAGGCGCGAGCTACCCTGGGACTCCAATTCCAAAACCCCTCTCACGGGCGCTTCTCTGGACGGCTCATAAGCTCGCGCAGCATCGAGGTTCGTAAGGGCCTCGATCGTATTATTGATCACTTGTTCTTGAAGATCTGCGGCCGGTCCGACGAGACTTTGAAGACATCCGTTACTGTCCTAACGCAGGTCCTCGAAACGAAGGCATGATTCCTTTTGACAGTTCTCTTTAGCCTGTACTAGTCCATGACCGTCGTGTCTGGCCTTCTTTCGCATTTTATTGCCTACTGTTGTCTCTTCTTCTGACTTTAGTGATTTTCTTGAGCGATACTCTTTTCATTCGCTGCCTGGCGCACACAGTCGTTGCACGTCCATATCTCTCATCTCTTTTCGGTGTTCTTTCTTAAAATACCTCCACTGCGCATATTCTTAGACGTGGTCTTCTCAAAACCAGTTTCTTCTTTGGCTTTGTTGTATGTCGTTGTCATGTATTTTTACTGCCTTGAAGGCGGGTCTAACGATTTTACTTAACTTATATCTTGTGTCTGATTAATCTACACTATTGACGCATAAATTTCTCTTTTCGTAAGGCTACAAGTTTACTGGATTTCATATATGGTACACTGCATGCATTCTTGATCGGATGATCTCTCCAGAAGTAGCTAGGAAACAGCAAGGGTACTATGAATAATAATAGTATGTTAGTCTGATCTGATGTACTCCGTAGATCATAAACAGGTTAAACCGTCCGATTTAGATAAGCCAGTTGCGCCATTGGCCGGACTATCGATGTTCCGCCGGTGAGGGTTCGCCGCGGGAAGTGTAAGCGCCGGAGAGAGAGATCGCTTTATCGAGTTTCCCGACATCATCTCTGGTGACTCTCTTGTCACAACCAGACCACAATGGCAGCCTCTACACAGAGTTTCAGATGCCTGCAGGCTTCCTCATCAAGGAAGATATCTCAATCTCTGTTCTCCATCCCCCTTACATCCCGACACTATGCCACAACTTCATCAGACTCCGCAACCTCGAATATATCCGACAAGTCCCGATCACCTACTCGCAGACCTACCACCACCTTCCGAGATAAACTGAACGCCGGACCCTCGTTTGCGGATTTCGTTTCTGGAGGGGCGAAGGACAAGGAGCCTCTTACCCCGGAAGATGCATATGCTCTCAAGACAGCTCTTGTCGGTCCCGCTGGCCGCAAGAAGGAGATGACGCGCTTGCCCTCGTGGTTGAAGACGCCAATTCCTGAAGGCGAGAATTTCAAGCGCATCAAGAAGGATCTGCGTGGTCTGAATCTTCACACCGTCTGTGAAGAGGCCCGATGTCCTAATATCTCGGACTGCTGGGGCGGTAGCTCCAAGTCGGCGGCCACGGCGACGATCATGCTGATGGGTGATACCTGCACGAGAGGATGCCGTTTCTGCAGTGTTAAAACGTCGCGAGCTCCGCCTCCGCTTGACCCGCACGAGCCAGAAAAGACTGCGGAGGCCCTGAAGCGGTGGGGTCTTGGATACGTCGTATTGACTAGTGTCGACCGCGATGACCTGGCGGATGGTGGTGCTAGACATTTTGCCGAAACGGTTATCAAGATCAAGCAGAGAGCTCCTAGTATTCTGGTGGAATGCTTGACGGGTGACTATGCAGGAGATCTGGACATGGTGGCGCTGGTCGCCCGCTCCGGCTTGGATGTATACGCTCACAATGTCGAGACGGTCGAAGCCCTGACGCCCCAGGTTCGAGACCGCCGTGCCAACTTCCAGCAATCACTCCGCGTTCTTCAGGCTGCCAAGAAGACTAGGCCAGAACTGATTACCAAGACCTCTATCATGCTGGGTCTCGGTGAGACCGATGAACAGCTCTGGGATGCTCTGCGCCAACTGCGATCCGTCGATGTCGACGTCGTCACCTTTGGCCAATACATGCGTCCCACGAAACGACACATGGCCGTACACGAGTACGTCACTCCGGACCGATTCGAGCTCTGGCGCCAGCGCGCTCTCGATATGGGCTTCTTATACTGCGCTTCAGGACCCTTGGTCCGAAGCAGCTACAAGGCCGGAGAGGCGTTCATCGAGAACGTACTGAAGAAAAGGCGCGGTGGCGCTGGCAAGGCGGACGAACAAACCGTTGGAGTCGAGAATGTGATCGCAGACGGAGCTGCAGCTTGATTGGGGCCCTCTGAAATCTGGTCCTGTCTCTTCTGCTCCGACCTTCCCACCTCATGGGAGGTCTTCTCCTTTCCGTCTCATCACTCTGTATGCATATAAATGTTGTATTCGGCGTTATTTATCACTTGGATTTCTAGCATGGCTCTCGACCGACGGAAATTGAGACTGTATCTGTCATTTCCTAGATCCGTTTTTTTCTATCTTTCATTCTTCATCGGGAAAAAAAAAACCCCGTTCTTTATAGAAAACAATGTTCCGTGGTACTAACTCTACAGAGTACGCGCGGAGATCGGAGTGAACCTCACGAATCCTGAATCTAGTCTGTGCAGCAGAGGGCTTCTTAGCTGACGCCAAAGAAACAGAAGGAATATACACACAATTAATGATCTTTCATATCATTTCCAAAACTACATATCACCCACGCTGCGTCGCTTGAATTCTATTCAATCCAATGAGCTGAAGAATGAAGGTAGGGAGGGAACTAGGAAAGGATTTTGAAAGACCATTATAGTATCCAATTCCTATACATCCTATTCCAATACAACGTGAACAATACATGATCAGCACAACGGACGTTACCGTTACGCCGAGCTTTCCCCCTCAAGGCAATATGCATGAGCTCCTGAGCTCCGTCAAAAAAAGGACACCACACGCAGACATATACCACATATACTTCAGGTCGTGCACTATTCTATCTGTGGTAACTGGGACTATTTTGGTCCCACTGCCAACAAACAAATACACCTGACTCCTGTAACTATAACCCGGTCCAAACATCCCGGGGCTAACGTAGGTGCTTCTTTCGGGCCGTCCCGCGCCACTTGTGCATACATCGATCGTCGCCGGGGGTCTTTTTTTTGTTTTACTATTTTCTTACCAGGCAGTACTGACTACTGAGAACCTCAGTAGAGTGGCTTAGTGCTACTCGGTCGTGAGAGCAGGGGTACATACAGACCTTTCTGGCCAGAATGGTCCTACTGAGTCAATTCTCTAACGTCATCCTGGCTCAGACCGAGGAGGTACAGCAGATCGGTCATTGTTTCGCCGTTGAGACGCGTGGGTGCCTCGAGCTGCACCTTGCTCTTGGCGCGCCAAGCGACTCCCAGGCCGGCGGCCTTGAGCATGAGAAGATCGTTAGCGCCGTCGCCAACCGACATCGTCTGGGCGATCGGGATCGAGTTCTCCTTGGCGATTGACTGGAGAAGAGAGCGCTTCTGGGCCGCGTCGATGATGGGGAATGAGGGGACCAGGTTTCCGGTCAGAGTCTGGGTGGCAGGGTCGACCTCGAGCTATTTTAAGTAAGAAAATGATCAGCTTTCCCTGACTTGTCGCCCTGTTTGCAAACGCTAGACGGGGGCGCGATAGATGACATGCAGCCGCCACTAGGCATACTTACATGGTTTGCATGCGCATAATCGATGCCAAGTTCGCCAGCAAGCCACTCTGCAAGAGGCTGGAAACCACCGCTCAGAACAGCCATCTTGAAACCCAGCGCTTTCAGCGCCTTGCAAAGTTCGCGGGCGCCAGGGGAGATGGTCAATATGGACTTCAGCTTCTCGAAAACGTCAGCGGGCACGCCTTTCAGCAGAGCAACACGCGCTTTTAGAGATGCGGAGAAGTCGAGTTCGCCGTTCATAGCACGTTCGGTGATTTCCTAGCAGAGATTAGCACTGCGCCCTTACCAATGGGACAACCTTGAAGACGTACAGAGACTTCCTTTTCCACACCGATGAACTTGGCGATTTCGTCAATAACTTCGTTCTGGATCAATGTGCTATCCATATCGAACACCGCCAGCCGCTTATGCCGTCGGAAAACACTTTCCTTCTGCAGAACCACCTCGACGTTCCACTCGCGCTCGAAGCGCCAGATGCTTTCATGTTTCCGCAGATCATCAAACGACAGATATTCCGGGTTTGGTGGCGGGGAGAAGGTGACCTCTACGACTTGCGGTTGGTCCTCCCGGTCGAGGCATCGGTGGGAGGTATTCATCCGCTGGTATGGGGTTTGCAGACTTTCCATGATCTGGAGGAAGTTGGTCAGGCACAATTGAGAGACATATGGGCCGTAGAGGTGATCCAATGGCTGCGGCTCCGGCACAGGGGGCTCGCGCGGTAGCTTCTCAATGTCGACTGTCGGCGCGGAACCGATGGGCACCTGCGGGGAAGGGAGTCGCTCCTTGGACCCGGACGCAGAATCGGGGTGGACATGAGGATGGACGGGGTTCGAGGACTTGTAGTAGATGGTTGCGACAATCTTGGGCGTGCCTCCGGGGAGAGGGTTCGCTACATGGCCAAAAAGGCTGTGGACAATGCCACTGTCCTTGACCTTCTCCGGATCCGGACTGATCGGATTCGAATTGAGAACCAGCGGGGAGATCAATTTATCGCGGGGGCCCCGGAGGACGTCTCCGATATTTTGGCTCACGGGAGCCGAAGGTTTGTACTGCTGGTGATCCTGAATGAAGGAGCCGCCAGAGAGAGAGCTATGGCGCAGCACAGGCCGCTCAGGACGCACAGCGGTTTTGGAGGTAGTCATTCTGGGCGGCAGGAGGGACGACAGCGATGGGGTTGGCAGTGACGCGAGGGCAGCAGGAAACCGATCGCGCCCGGATCTCTCTTCTGAGCTGGTCAGCGTCGCCCTGAAAAGCTGGAGAAGATGCGCTCGAATCGCCCAAAGCCTGTGGGAGGGGTGGCCCCACGTGACCGCGGGGCGGATATCAGGATAACGCGTCGTTCGTCCATGGATCAAGGAACCTGCGGGCTTCTCGACGGCATGTCTCAGCCTCCTGATAATTCGCGATGAAGACCGGATCAGGATCTAATAATAATGTTAGACGGCTGCTGCTGTGGTCTTTGTCTCCGTGCCTTCATTCGGGTTGCCCTTGACTGGGACGGACAACTGCCGATCCTCACTTCACCATCACAGAGACGGATGAAGCCCTGGTGTTCATTATTTGAAAGAGACCAACGTGTCAAAGCATGATGAGACGGTTTCATTAATTAATTGAGAATGCTGCAGGCTGCAATACGGCAAGATCCATCCTCTGGGCCTGTTGTTGTTATTCCTGACTTGAACTGCTGCTAAGCTCTCCTAGACTCCTCCAGCTTTCATCTCCAGCCGGCGGGGCCACTGCGGGAATGGTCTCTGGCGACCGCCGCAGTATTTGTGCCTGAGTCATCACTGCTGAATCATCACAGCTGACTCAGCTGTGCGGCAGCGCAGAGACACCACTGGCGCAAGTATTGCGTGATTTCGAAATGGCATGAGCACATCAGGATTTTTCAGCAAAGCCGGCCCGAACGGGTAGGCGGTCGGCGGTGCCTGGCATACTCCGGGGATCCAGCCAGTCGGCAGCCAACGAGATGCAAGAGCCGCTTTGCCGCGATGATGTGCTCGCAGAGTCTTGGTGCTTGACCCCCCATGATGTTGTGATTTCGCCAGGTCTCCGTGGATCGGAGTATTTCTCGCCTGGTTCTTCTTCTCTTCTCTTACCATCTTCAATCTGTTCATTGGATTCAACCCGGTCGTTCCTCTGGAGTGGTTCTATATCTCCTCTTAGTTCTATATAGACTATTACTTGACTTGTGTGCAAAGAATCTGCAATTGTCTCTACTCTACTCCTCTCCATTGGAAGCCGTTGTTCAAGATGCCTTCTAAGATCCCTTCCAACTACCCCTCGGACACGGAGACCGTGGACAGAGAGACCCTGACGGAGTCTGGCTATGTTAGCGGCAGTTCGAGTGACGATGCTCTGCCTGAGGTCTACTTCACCAAGCCGCACTTGACGTTCCTCAACAGGCAATTACAGTTTCTGGAGCCTCAAGGTCAGCATGCTTCTCCCCTAATAATAATGCGGGGTATATAGTTATGATTAGGAACCAATGCTGACCTGCCTCCAGAGGTTCTGAGATGGGCTATTACCACTCTTCCCAACCTGTATCAGACGACTGCCTTTGGTCTCACGGGTCTCGTGACCCTGGACATGCTCTCCAAGCTCGAGGTTCCTCGCCCGCAGCTGGTTGATCTCATCTTCCTCGACACCCTGCACCATTTCCCGGAGACGCTCGCTCTTGTCGACAAGATCCGCAAGCGCTACCCGTTGGTCAACATCCACGTCTACAAGCCCCTTGGGGTTGAGACGGCCGATGAGTTTGCCAAAAAGTACGGGGACCGTCTCTGGGAAACCGACGACCAGATGTACGACTGGACCGCCAAGGTTGAGCCCGCTCAGCGTGCGTACCGGGAACTCAATGTCAGCGCTGTCCTGACCGGCCGCCGTCGCAGCCAGGGCGGCAAGCGGGGTGACCTGGACATCATCGAAGTCGACGAGGCCGGTCTGATCAAGATCAACCCGTTGGCCAACTGGTCGTTCGACCAGGTCAAGCAGTACATCAAGGAGCACGATGTGCCTTACAACGATCTGCTGGACCGCGGCTACAAGAGCATTGGTGACTGGCACTCCACGCAGCCTGTTGCTGAGAACGAGGACGAGCGGTCGGGTCGATGGAAGGGCCAGGCCAAGACCGAGTGCGGGATTCACAACCCCCGATCCAAGTACGCCCAGTACCTGATGGAGCTGGAGCGGAAGCGACAAGAGGAAGCTCTTGCACAGGCTCTGCAGCAATCCTCTGTCTCGGCCACGCAATGAGGCGTCGACCTTGACGAGAAAAGAGTCCACGACTTGCTTTCCAGGGAGAGACAGTCATAATGATCCAGGACTGCTCTTGATTATTTTGCATGACGTACGGCGTTTCGACAAATCATGGGTTACATTGCTCGGTGGAAAATATTTTCTTTTGGATTTAGCCTTCTTGTACATACTTCGTATCTATCATTATATATATGCTGCGAGATGTCTTGCAGCCATTCCGGCCAGGATTGCTTTCGGAATTATACGCGGCTCACATGAGGCTTATATTTTGGCATAGAACATCCTCAATAGAAGCACATGCAAGGATTAATAAAAAGCTTCTGAAAAAAAAATCCAAATAAATTTTTAATAATCACTTCCGATGTAACATAATTGCAGTCGACCACTTTCATTCACCCTATGGCATGCAAATCTATCTCATCGAATCTAAACCAATGTACGGAGTACATCGATATACATACTATTAGATAGTTATCAAGAGTGATGTGCCATTAACATTCACGAGTGATCAGCCCTAAGGGGAGATCGCGATCACGTCATTCTGTAGGGATATGCGTGATCAACGAACATACACCCCGGATTCCTGTCGACCCACGAGCTTATTATTAAGTAGTACATGTCATCGATATAATGTTAATGGGCGTTATTTCAGCCTGGCTTTATGACTTGTATGTATTTCTGAAGTTGTGGGAGATAGATAGATAGATAGATTATTATCGAGTCGAGGGTATAGAAATAGAGTTATGTAATAAGTAGATTGCATGGTGTTGTTGGATGAGTATGTAACAAACTAACTATATAACTATGGTACTTTGTGCAGGAGTTGACTCTTTGACTCTTTTCTGACTATGAGAATGTACCTAGGTAGTATATAGTATATTAAAATGGTTAACTTGTGATCTTTAAATAATAATAATAATAATAATACATAAATGTATCCTAATAATAATGACAAGTTAGGGCACCGGGCGCTAAACCGCAACGGGCGAGAAATCAATCACGCAAGCCGCCCGGGTCGATGTCGTGATTTTGATCTGACTCAGCCAACCAATCTCGCTTTTTTTTTCTATTTTTTTTTTTCTGGAAAGAATTTTTAGATACTCTCTAGATAATTATTATTATTATTACTGAGGCTGATTATCGGGGGCCGGATGTCAGATCGTGCTAAGGTAACTACAGTACTACTATTATCTCCGGATTCTCCGCGGAGTACCAGTACATGGTAATCAAGTAGTGATTTGCTCCAAGGAATTATTGGCACTGTTTGGGGGGCAGAAAAAAAGACGAACGAAAGCGATTACGAGTACAAATAATAATAATAACCAGGTTCAATGCGTTTCGTTCTTTTAAGTATTATTACTTATTGTTTCCACGTGGTAAAAAGAACCAGACGGCATGGTTACCCCGTAAAATATCATCTCCATCCCCCGACTCAAGTACTAATATAATATAACTTATAGCCAGACAGAGGGGTTTATCATGGAATATCCATTATTTTCCCGGAATGTCACCGTCGGATCGACAGGCCAGGAACCCAATCAATTATCAATGAACCTTCCAGCCGGGGATGTGATATTCATGAAACGGTTGATCGCATTTCCAGCACGATGCCAAGACTGTTCAACGCGGAAGCTGACGTCTCCATGGCTCAGGGGGCGTCCCAGTTTAGCGTGTCTAGTCTATCTTGAAGTTGGAGTTGGACTGGGACTTGGAGGAGGGCTGAAGGTGAGATAATAGTATGTAGTTAGTTAACCAGTACCAGTAAGTAGTATTGATGATTCGTAGCAGTGCCATGGCAAAGGAACGGATGGTTAACCAATTCTCGGGCCACCCGAGTGGATCAATAATCAAGTCAATTGGCCTGGATTCGGGGGCGAAAGAGAAACGAGACTGACTGAAATAATAGGATGCTGGATGGCGGAGCAAGAAAAAAAGTAACTTGGTTACTCTAGAGTACGTATCGCGACATCGCTCCCCGCTCGCTCCACCGTGTAGTTAACTTATCTTTTCTACTTCTTCTTCTTCTCTTCTTCTCTTCTTCTTTCTCTTTATTCTCTTCTTTCTCTTTTCCCCTCTGCCATCCAAACGGTGCCTGGCAGCATTAGCATCCCTCCCGCTCCCCCCCGCTCCGATCTCGCCTTTGCGCTCTCTACACCCAGTCGACGTCGCCGGGACCAGGTCGTTCCAGCGTCCAGTCGAGCATTTCAGTGTCCATCGTTGAAAGAGACGACGTTCTACTATCGCAGCAATGGCCAACCCACCCCACGGAGGTGTCCTCAAGGACCTTCTCGCCCGCGATGCTCCTCGCCATGACCAGCTCGTCGCCGAGGCCGAGAAGCTGCCCGCTATCACCCTGACGGAGCGCCAGCTCTGCGATCTGGAGCTGATCATGAACGGAGGCTTCAGTCCTCTTGAGGGTAAGTCCCAATGCGCCTTTCGTTTCTTTTTCGCTCTTTTCTTTTTTTGTCTCTTTTCTGCCAATGCGGGGTCGAATGGATTGATGGCGCACGGTGCCAATGCTGGAACACCCCCGCTACGGTGGCCATTGTGAATACCAAACCAGACAATTGACACTGTCTTTGCATAGGTTTCATGACCGAGAAGGATTACGATGGGTACGTGCATTCGCAATCGCGGGTTTAAATCCCTCCCCAGACCAAGCTGCGATACTGCTTAGGCGGGCAATTGGCTCTACACATTGCTGGAGTACAGACATTTAGGGAACATACAAGCTGACTCTGATCTTTTTTTTTTCTCTGCTCTCCAGAGTTGTCGAGAAGGAACGTCTTGCGGATGGCAACGTCTTCTCCATGCCCATCACCCTGGATGTTTCCAAGCAGGTGATCAACGACGCTGGCTTGAAGCCCGGCGCTCGCGTTACCCTGCGCGACTTCCGTGACGACCGCAACCTGGCCATCCTGACGGTCGAGGATATCTACCAGCCCGATAAGTAAGTCGCCTTGTTATCCCCCCCAAATGGCGCCCCCTGCGTGTCATTCCTCGACTCCGTGTCTGCGCGTCCCGCGATGGACAAGGGGGATCGTTTTCTTGGCAGGAGACGGCGTCCGTCGCTCGTTGCGCAGATGCCAGCGGTGGTGGGTCAGGCTGACGCGGTTGCTATCGTTCTAGGGCCAAGGAAGCGAAGCTTGTCTTCGGCGGTGATGAGGAGCATCCCGCTATCAAGTACCTGTACACCAAGGTCCAGGAGTACTACATCGGAGGAAAGATCGATGCCGTCAACAAGCTGGACCACTACGACTATGTCGGTCTGCGATGTGAGTTCTCGCGAGCATCCATGTATTAAAAACGATTCAATGGCTGACAAGCGCTGTAGTCACTCCCGCAGAGCTGCGCACGCACTTCGACAAGCTCGGCTGGTCCCGAGTTGTCGCGTTCCAGACCCGGTAAGTATTATTGGGGAGATTGCGTCGCAGAAATTGTACGGAGTGCTTGCTAACTAACCCTCGCAGTAACCCCATGCACCGCGCTCACCGTGAGCTGACCGTCCGTGCTGCTCGTGCCCGCCAGGCCAACGTCCTGATCCACCCCGTCGTCGGTCTGACGAAGCCCGGTGATATCGACCACTTCACCCGTGTCCGCGTCTACCAGGCGCTGCTCCCCCGCTACCCCAATGGAATGGCCGCGCTCGCCCTCCTGCCCCTGGCCATGCGTATGGGAGGTCCCCGTGAGGCCATCTGGCACGCCATTATCCGGAAGAACCACGGTGCCACTCACTTCATTGTTGGCCGTGACCACGCCGGTCCCGGTAAGAACTCCAAGGGTCAAGAGTTCTACGGCCCGTACGACGCCCAGCACGCGGTTGAGAAGTACCGCGACGAGCTGGGCATTGAGGTCGTCGAGTTCCAGCAGGTCACCTACCTGCCCGACACCGACGAGTACAGACCCGTCGATGAGGTCCCCAAGGGTGTCAAGACCCTCGATATCTCCGGTACTGAGCTGCGGAGACGCCTGCGTACCGGTGGCCACATTCCCGAGTGGTTCTCCTACCCCGAGGTCGTCAAGGTCCTCCGCGAGTCCAACCCTCCCCGCGCCAACCAGGGTTTCACTGTCTTCCTGACCGGTTACCACTCCTCCGGCAAGGACGCCATTGCCCGTGCCCTGCAGGTGACCCTCAACCAGCAGGGTGGCCGCTCCGTGTCTCTCCTGCTCGGTGACACCGTCCGCTCCGAGCTCTCCTCCGAGCTGGGCTTCTCCCGGGAGGACCGCCACAAGAACATCCAGCGCATTGCTTTCGTCGCCGCCGAGCTCACCAAGGCCGGTGCTGCCGTCATTGCCGCTCCCATTGCTCCCTACGAGCACTCGCGCCAGGCCGCCCGTGAGACCATCTCTCAGGTCGGATCTTTCTTCCTCGTTCACGTCGCTACTCCTCTCGAGTACTGCGAGCGCAACGACAAGCGCGGTGTCTACGCCAAGGCTCGTCGCGGCGAGATCAAGGGCTTCACCGGTGTCGACGACCCCTATGAGGCTCCTGCCAAGGCTGACCTCGTCGTGGACGTCGAGAAGCAGAGCGTCCGCAGCATTGTCCACGAGATCGTTTTGATCCTGGAGGCGGAGGGCTTCCTGGACCCCAAGCCATAAATACCCAACCGATTGCGATACCTAGTACCTAAAACTGCATGCTATTGTTTGCTTTAGAATTAGTTAGATATATCTAGAGCCATAATCTGGCGGCACGAGAGGCTGAACCTCTGGACCGGAGAATATACTTATGATGACACTCCAAGAGTCGAAGCATGTTCATTGTTCCGTAGCTGTACATTATTATCCGGGCTCATCACCCATTCAACTGTTCAATTAGAACTTACCAAGCAGATACAGGAGCTTAGTTAATTAATTACACGGCGTGAACAAGAAGAGCATACATAAGTATACATACTCTAGGCTTTTTGAAGCGGAAACTGCAAACGAGACAAACACTTCCACTTCCACCACGCCAAAGTTGATATAGTGATAGAGCTCGCTCAAAACGATCATCTACACCATCAGCAACACTGCACCATGCTTGTTGCCAGAGGTAGTAGTGTCCGGCGAATATCGCCGTTCGCACGGCCTTTGGGCCATCCACGGCCACCCAGCAGCCACATCCCTCCACGACCTCGACCGTTTACCACCAAATTTCCACTCCTCCTCGTCTCTCCACCTCTCACTCGCCCTCAGCTACCCTTTCTCTCACCGATTTCGTCCAGTCGCTCTCTTCCACCGCTGTCAACTCACCTCCGACAGCATTTTGCGCGGCTGATCTCCACCGAGACGCGCGACTACTACAAGCGCCGTCTCGGCCGTGGTCTCCGAATCGGATTGACGTTCTACGCCATCCTCCTCTTATTCCACCTGGTTAAACTGGGCATCTACCAAGAGACGATCGAGCACAAATGGCCTACTCCGCCAGAATGGAGTCTCAAGAGCCGATGGTGTTTACGAACGGCCCAGGCGCTCCAACACCCTGAAGAGATCGGAAAGTTAATCACCGATTGGCCCCTGGTGTATGGATATCTCCGGGAATTGCTCGGACGGCTAGAAAACACGGAGGGAGAAGGTCAAGGGATTCGCGAACAGGGAGACGGTGGGATTCTCGTCGATGGGGTGGGGAAGACCGGATACGACATCTCGGACAAGACCGAGCCCTGGAGAAGAGGGTATTTCCAGGCGCTCATGGGCTTGGCTCGAGCTGCGGAAAACCTGGAGGGTTGGGTGACGGATTGGAATCTACACATTTCGGCCCCTGCGGAGTATGTGGTCGGTCCGTCGAATCCGCGACCAAAGCCGCTTCCGCCTGGTCGCAAGGGAGTTGTCCTGCGTGAAGAGGACTGCGAGCCGGCGGCGGAGAGCCCGGCGGTGTTTTATATGAAGATCTTGACGACAAAGGGGTTCGATACGAGGCAGAGACTGGATGCTGCGCTGGCTTATGCCGACTGGTTGGATTACAAGGGACTGACTGACACGGCCAAGGATATGTATAACTGGGCAATGGATATTGCTGCTGCTGGACTGCCTTTTGATGCGGCAAAGGTAGTGGATACAAAGAGCGGAGTGCTGAAGAACGGCAAGGACGTCCCATCGGAGAATATCCTCCGAGTGTCGAATGCGCTTGCGGTGCATTATGCAAAGACTGGAGACCTCTCCAAGGCGCTGTCCATCTTTACGTCGATCTTGAAAACTCGCCGCGAGTTACCAGCGCCTCCTGGTGGGATTCCACGAAAGGTCGCCAAAGCAAAGGCCACACCTTTCGATGCGGCGTTCGAGTGGATCAACAACGTCCTGATTCCCGTCGAATACCCCCCTCCAGCGCCATCTGGCAATGAGCCGCCTGCTCGCACCCGAGCCTCTGCTTGCGAAGAGGCCGGCCTCATGGCTTATATCGGCGAGATCATCTACGCATCCTCCTCCAAGGAGTCTGGATTAGCATGGACTCGAGACGCCGTCGACTTGGCCGAGTCCACTCTTATCGACATCAACGACACCACCACCACCGACCGCGAAGCCAAGGAGCGTTGCACACAATGCCTCCAAGTCGGCCTAGATAACTGGAAAACCATGGTCCAAAACCTCGTCGCCAAATCGACCCGAGAGGAACAAGAAAGCATCGAAAAGGCCAAAACAGCCTGGTTCGGCGGGGAGAGAAACGCGCGGAAAAAGACCCAGGAACGCAAGCGATGGGAGGCCGAGAAGATGATCGTCGATGACCGTACGAGACAGTCTCGACGGCTTCTGGAAAGTGACGTGGACTATAGTTCTTTTGGAAAACGTTCCATATTCGCATGATATGATGTCTATGCCCTTGTATTTCTATTGAGGAAAAATCTTTTTTGACCACGGTCGGTATCGGTGTTAGTGAGGTCCTGTTTTTGTTATGTATGTTAGTGATATCCATATCATATCATGTCCGCATCTATCTTATGTGCAAAAATGGTATTTTCATCAAAAAATCAATGCATATAATATTCTCCAAATTCCCATTCTCGCAAGTGAGCGACGTCTCCTGGGCCTACCGTACTGTACAGTACATTAATAATTAGATAGATGAGCAATGCGGAAGTTGCATCCTCGCTGATCCTACAGATAACCCCCTTACGTACCTACAATACAATACAATACTTCCTAGAAACGCAATCGATAGATAGATAGATATCTAGATAGATAGAGAAGTCCCTAGATAGTCTATCTATCTGTCCAGCTAGCTAAAGCGACGGCCCATCTGATTTAACTGAACTACACTCAAAAGACCGAACAAATGTATACGCGCGGAATATTAACTAGGAGCTCATACTTGAGATGTAATTCACTTATTTACTATGATTTTTCCCCTTCCCGCCTCCTGGTCAAGTATCATATTGGTGACGAAACTCCCTATGTTAACTAAGTGAATAAACCCCAAGACCCTCAAATTGGACGAATCGAACCTAGATGTCTCTATTTATTTATCTATCTATCTATCTATATATGTGCAAGATTGAATAGTGAGTATAACTTAGATAGTATAGTATATCTTTTGTTGAATTGAATTGAACTACACTAAGCCTACCTATCTTCAGATCTGATCCCATCTGCCGGGAGTTAGTTTAGGATGTTAAATATTGTTGTTCATCGGGATAACAATCCCATTCCCTCTTCTGCCTGTCATAGCTAAAGAGAGAAATAAATAACTAGAGGAGAAAAAAAGATAGGTGGATAGTGTTTATTTTTAATTTCGTTATGTTATTTTCGATTTCTAGTTTTAGATATAGCTCCCATGTATAGAGTACCATAATAATAATAATATAGATCGCAACAGAAAAAGAAAATCATACGAAGCGAGCGGAGTTACTTTTTCTTTCTGCAAAGATCAACGACAGTGTGAGGAAAAGGAGAAGAGGCGAAAAGTCATATGTACTAGTTGTTTTGGTTATGGTAACTGTACATGGAAACTTTTGAACGCTGACAACAACAATAGTAGAAAAATAACGGTTCTCGAACCGAGACAACAACAGGAAAAAAAAAAGAGAAGATAAAAAGGTGCGTCAAGAAGGTATAATGAAAAGAAATGGAAAAAATGAAACAAGGTATCCCGAATAGTCACATAGGTGAGGTTCAGAAGGCGGAGAAGGGAAAGGGTCATCGAGGAAGATGCTAGGTAGTAGTAGTAAAGTAACAAAGAGAATGTCGCCTCGGAGGTAGAGAGGAGGAAGGAAAACGTAAGCAATGATATGATATACAGATAATCGTCACATGGCAACGTAGAATAGTCACAAACAGGCCAAAGGAATAACAAGAATCTCTTGTCGCATTATATATGCATCGATATTAGACTTTAGCAGAAAGCAGTCAAGTCGGGAGTGCTCTCTTTTTAACTATTACCCCCCGTGTCAGTCCCCGTGCCACCACCAACCACTGTCCCGTTCGCCAGCGTGATCGTAAATTTCTCAAAATCTAAAACGAAACCCGGCGCCATTTTTGCCCCGTCAAGGCCCATGGTATTGTTTGAAGTGGGCATGCCAGTCAGGAACGCCTGGATATCCTCCTGGGCCTCAATGGCCGCGCCTATCGTGGTAGTCGTCTCGAAGATATACAGGATGGCAATCCGAGAGAAATCGAGAATATGCTGGATCTGGGCCGCGGGTAATGTGGTCGTTCCCGGTGCAGCGCTTGTCGTTGATGTAGCTGCCGTGTCGGTTTCCGACTTGCTCGGCTTTGCACTCGGATCCACCATTATATCGCCAACGTCTGAACTTGGAGAATCAGGAGAGTTGGTCCTCGGGCGCAGAAAGACTGATTCTTCCAGTTGGCTGTCGAATGATCGGCGTTTCTGGCTAGACATGCCAAACGTCACCAGAGCGTTTTCAGTTGTACAAGAAACATTGTTCGAGCTGAACAAGCTCAGGATCCGCGTGCTATCAAGAGGAATGCTGAAATTGGATTCTGATTGCCGGAGAAGCCGCGGTAGGTCACTACCTAGTGTAGCTTTCTGTGAGCCTCCCACTGCCGCGGTGATACAGCTGCCGTCCCCAGCGACTGTACAATGTGTGCCAGTAAACCCATTGGCGCAAACACAACTGAAGTTCCCACCGTTATGAATGGTGACACCTCCATTGGAGCACTCGAAAGTCTGCGGAGCAGGAGTCGTAGTCGGTGTTACCGTAGGGGCTGGCTGAGTCGTATCCTTCTGGCGAGTAAGTACAACGACGACTGGGATAACAACGGCAGCCGCAATCAGCAAGAACACGACAACACTGATGACCAGAAAGACCCGACGAGAAATCCCACAGCAGCGTCGCTTTTTCGAAGCAGAGTCCTGTCCAGTCAACCCCTGATCAGAACCACTCGTCTGAATATTCCGCGAGTCGGACATGGTTTGAGGAAGTGGCCAGGAGCTGCGCTGGGTTGCATTCGGTGTGGCCCCCTCTGTAAATCTCGGTGTAGCTTTCGGCGTGATTCCTGGGGGAGGAAAAGCAGATAGGATACCGGAGATGGCTTCTGATGCACGGCGATCGCTAGCTGCTGCTGCTGCAAGTCTGTCTCAGCATGTCATTTGAACGATCTTGATCAGGTCTTACTTACGAGAACGGGTAATGTCAAACTTCTCCTGGCTATTATTTAGGAAGTCCATTATTCCCAGCCTACTTGCCGTCTTTCCGCGCTCGAGATTCGATGCGACCCTAGTGGCACGTCTGATGAGATCAGGCAGACTAGTCAAACTCCCTCGTGCTTCCGCGTCTCGCACAGCGTTGATATTGAGGCGAGGTGGCCTACGGACCTCCGGCCTCTTCGAACTCATTCCTTCTCCAGGGCTTCGCATATCGGCCATATCTGCGTCTCTGGTAGCGTCCGGTCTGCGAATGGATGCAGACAATGTCCGCCGCGACTGATCTAGCATGAAGGGCGCATCAAATCCAGATACGTCTGATGGATATCTAGAGACGTCTGGGACACCCAGGCCCGAGCGCGAATATGAAGACATATCAGCGGGGCTGATAGCCCTGACCCCTGGAGCATCCGCATCTGAAGGCGAATATGGAAATCTGTTGTCACCAGAGCTGGCGGTATCTGAAGAATCCAGGTCTAGCCGCGTATCGCCGGGTGTGTCAGGCTGGGCGATCTGAACACCTGGACTAGGACGTGCATACGAGACTCTGGCACCAGGTGTGATAGCCGGGCTGCCATCCACAGAAGGACTTCCGAGAGCAATGCCGGTCTGTCTGACCTGTGGCATAGATTCACCGCTTCCGGATCGATTTATTGTACGCAAGAAGGGCTTTCCTCTCTTGCCAATACTTGCCTGGCGTACCAGTCCGGATTCTCCTTCAATGTTGGACGTGGGGGTCCTCAAGTCAAGCGAATCTGTTGCTGTTGATGCAGGTGAAGTCACTCCCAGAACGTCTGACTCAGGACGCTCAGAGCCCCAACTAGGTGGGATGGCCATGCTAGAAGCAAAAGAATTTGCGTTCCTCGTGGAGGCCTCTGATTCCTCCGGGATTGTTGAGATATAAGATGTTGTGGAGAATGGAAAGGATGGACCCCGTAGTGACCGTTCTGACAACGACTCTTCGAGCCGCTGAGAAGGCGCAGGAGGCAATTTCATTCCGGGGAGAGGAAAGTCAGGAATCGGACCGACTGGTGGAAGAGCCCCTAACGTATCAGACTCGGCAGATACACGGGGGGTCTTGCCAGTACTGGGAGGACTGAGGTAGGCCTCCATGGGCTCCACTTCCAATTCTTGACCACGGCTGTCATACTGGGGAGAACGAATGGCTTGGGGTTCGCGGTAGGCAAAATTTGGCGTAGTTCCCTGAACTTTAGAAGAATCGAGCAGAGACGGTACGTCGCTCGGCCGTCGCGGTCGTTGAGGCGGCGGTCCCTTGGATGTGAACGCACTTCCTGAGAAATTTGCCGCTCCCTGCTGCGAATCCGCCTCATCTCGGAGCGGCCATTGCGGAATTGGCGTTGGTTTTGATATCGTAAGTGACGGCTTCTGATTACCTCGAAGGGCGGCGACGATATTGCGCTTCGAGTTTCCTCTTGTGATCCCCCAATTTCCTTGCTCTCCTTCCGGCTCGACTGCCTGTATTCGAGCTTCTCTAATCATTCCACTCTCTAGCATCTCCCTCGCCCGCCGAACAGATCCTGGTCCCCCATAGCCCTGTCCGCCGGGACCACCACCAAAGCCTGGCGGTCCCCGTTGAGGTTGGCTCATTGAAAATCCGAATCACCTGATTCGTAAATGTAATAAAAGTCCTCCAAAATGTTGACTAGGTGCAATAAGCTTGTTTCAATGGCGTTGAAAATATGTCAAAGCATAAAGCTCGAATGACTGTCCTTGCAGATATTGGTAGATGAGTAGACATTCGTCGTGAATGCCTCGCCAAGGAACAGAAAGAAGACAATCGCAAGTTGCGATTTATATCGAAGATCTCGGTTAGTCGTCTGGAGACAAGTCAAAAGCCCAATATACATGAGCTTTGCCTAGGTCTTCCGTAATCGTTGCCCAACCTGTTCCCCCGATGGCAGTTGGCGAATTAAAAGGGGGTTAGCTCGGCAACCCGCAGGTCTCGAAGGTTGCAGATTAGAATGTAAAGCGCAAATATTGTATATCGCGGATAGGTTTATCGAGAAAGCCGAGCATAAACGAGTGGTACGGCATGCAATGCTCGTGGAATAAAAACAGTAAACCCAGGTCGTTTGAGCTGGTCGATAAGAACAGAAGAGTGCCGCCCAAAGGTCAGCACTGGGATGCAGAAGAAACGAGTGACTATCTGCCCAGGAGTTCGCGAGTGTCAAACTTGAAGCGTCTCAGTCTGGATGAGAGGCCGGCTCTCTGAATAGAAGGCCTTCGGAGTAAAATAAGATCTCTTGACTTGTCTTTTTGCAACACAAGCCTGACTCCAAAGGAACTGAGTGACGTCGCGAGCCTAAGCTCGCAGGGCAGAAGAAGAACAGAGGAAGAAAGAAGAGAAAATTCCGCCAACTCAGATGATAGTTAGATGACACGAAGGGGAAACGTCCGGACTCTCGGGACTGGGCTGCAACGGTTTAGCACCAAAACCCCCGACAACACGGGATAGCTGCGACGGCGTTGCAGCATGTCCGTGATCGTATGAAGAAGCGCATAGGCTCGCCTCGAGGGCTGGCTATGGCTTATTCCATAGAGTCGACGGAGAGCTCCGTAGTGGAGATCGCCAGGGACAGAACTCTAACTTCTTCTGACTGTCTCTTGAGTGCCTAGATCTTAAGAGTCAGTCTTGCCCAAGATTCGAGAGTACCGCTTAGGCTGTACTTCACGAGATACACTAACCACAGGAGTGCTGCGTGATCGTATAAGGTGAGGATTAGAATAGGCTGGTAGGAGCACGCACATCATCCTGAAGCCTACTGTATATCACGGCTTAGGAGTTCCTCTTCGATCTTCTCTGTCGAGCAGGTCGCATCTGCCATGACTTTGGCCGATCGCGCAGATACTGACCGTTATTGGAGTATGCAGTCTGTTCTTGACCGGGGGACGTCAGGACGGCCTGTTTCGCGATCGATCCGGGATGAGAGTGTCTCTGCTCGATTGGCTAGACCAAGAAGCGGATCCTAAATCGACGAGTCTGTGGAAATTGAGGCCAGCCATCCTGGTATGATTTCCGACGGCTTGTGTTTCAGTGTCTCAGGAGCCGAGCCTGGCGTTGCGTTTTATCTTATTGTGGCCGGGAACTCGAGGCCCGGGCGTCGCATCGGAGATTTAATTAGAAAACTGCTGAGATTGAGTTTTCAACTTTCCGTGAGAGGAATCATCAACACTGCCTCGTCTTTCTCGAGAAAGGTCAGAGAGTTGGTCGCGATAGTTGCGCATTGCCCAGCCACGCGATTGTGGCTGTTGATGTTCGCGTCTGGCGGGAAGCAGCGGAAGACCAAGAGACACCGTGAGTGGAATCGAGCAATGGACCCTTGGGCAGTGTGGTCTACTATTTCCATTTCTTTGATTCTAGAACATCAGCCTCCTCTTGTCATAATCCACAGTCGTGGTTCCAAGCAGAGCAGCTTTGCCCCGTCAACCTCTTGCGAGTGAACGATTCCCCTATCTCTCGATGATCAGGACAGGCATTACGGAGATTATGGAATATACCCCGTAGGTATAACAATAATAACGGGCGCTAGACCAGTTCTTTGGCAGAAAACCATTCAAGAGACCCATTAACTGTCAATCAGATTCATACGAATATCAAAGCTTCAGGTGCTTATCAGTCTAACTACCTAACCTAGCCACATTTTCATAATCTCTAATAAACAAATAAAAATATCCCTTATCATTTGTTGTCTAAACGGTCGAAAGAACCAAATTATCTCACAGCGGACATGAAGTTTGACTATTTACATATGCTGCTGGCCTGCGGTCCTCATTGCGGATAGGACGAAAACGATCACCCCTGGGCGTCTCTAATCACCCGGGAAAATGCTCCTGGACGACACTCTAGATATTTCCTTTGATGATGTCTGCGGCACGTTCGGCCACCGCGTACACGGTGCTGGACAGATGACCGCTAACCTGCATTGGCAGGACGGAAGCGTCAACCACGCGCACATTGGAGGTTCCATAGACCTTCAGAGATTCATCAACAACACCACCTGCTTCCTTAGGAAGCATAGCTGCTGTGCTGATGGGATGGTAGTTCGACCGATCTACTCGTATATTAGCTCTGGTTACCGGGGAATAGGTACAAGGAAACAACGGGAACTGGCTGAGCACTTACAGTTGGCCTTGAGGTAGGGAGCCCACTCTGAGTCTGTGGCGTTGCTAGGGACACTGGAGTATCCAGGAGAAGTCTCTGCTCCTGCCATCGGGGCGAATGGTTCCGTCTTGAATAACTCGCGGATAAACCGAGCAACTTGCGCCTGTGCGTGAAGGTCAAAGTCCAGCATGAAGTATTTCGGGTCAATACGAGCTGTCGCAGAGGGGTCCGCAGATTGGATGTGGACGCTTCCACGGCTGAAGGGGACTGAGGCCCAGTATTCCATGTCGTAGATGAGGCCAGACGGCTCTACCAGAACCTCCGCCACAGGGATGTGAGACTTGAAGATCAGGTCCCATTGAACCTTGAAGAAGCGTTCGAGGTCACTCGCCTTCGTGACGTTGCCATTGGCCTTCGCAACCTGGGCTGCATAGGCTGGCAGTTTGCGCAGAACGTCATTGGCGACAGCAGTGGTAGAGTTCCCAAACAGCTCGGGGGCAGATGGATACGAGACATAGTCAGTCTGTCTGCTATAATTCGTCTTGGACTGATACTTAAGTCCGTTGTTAATTTGATCTTGCAGGTTCTCGCCAACAGTTGGTAGGTTGATCTTGGTCTCGATACCGTACTTGGAGAGAATACTACAGGTTCAACCATTAGCTTGGAAGTATACCAAAAAAAAAGGGTCTGGATCACTTACGCAGGATTGCCCACTCCAGAGAGCTCAAGCAGAACAGGAGATTTCAGGGCACCCGCAGCCAAGATCACTTCACGAGAGGCCTTCAGAACGCCAATCGTGCCATTCGCGAAAGTGACCTCGACGCCATCCGCGGTGGCCTCTTCTCCTTCTTTCCAGATGAGCTTGTTTGCATTGGTGTAGGGCAAGATGTGAAGGTTGGTCCGGTTCTGGTAGGGCCAGTAGTATGCACGAGCAGCGTCCTCGCGGATATTCTTCTCGGAGTCGACTGTCTTGGGATAGAGTGCGTATCCGACCATATAACCTCCATTGGGGTCCTTGTTGTAAGGAACAGGCGCAGCAAGGTTTTGATAGGTGGTGTTCAACGTCTGGGCAAGCCCATCGTTCAGCTGTTCCGAATCCCAACCAACCTTCAAAGGTCCAGTGTAGCCGTGGTAGGAGGGAGTGTATTCAATACCGGCTCCTCGTAGCGAAGAATAGACGGATGGGACCTGGAAATGCTCACTCTTCTTGTAGTAAGGGAACAAGGTACTCCAGTTCCAACCCTTGTTACCTATGGCTTCCCATGCGTCGACCTGAGAGGTTTGAGCCCGAAGATACACCATGCCGTTGATGGTGGATGTTCCACCGATTGCCTTTCCGGCTCGCATAGTCGTGGTATGTCCTCCACCATATTCCTGGTCTACCGTTGAGTAGGCCCAGTCAATCTCAGTGCCAAATGCCTTTCCATATCCACTGGTGTCTGTCACGTTGGGGTTGTTGTATACCGAGCCACCGGCTTCGATGACGAGAACGTTTATATCTTTCTGCTCAGAAAGGCGGTTGGCCACGACCAGACCACTGGTTCCTCCTCCAACAACGATGTAGTCGTAAGTGGAGTCCGAAGGCCGTGCTGGAAGGGCTGCTGCCAGAGAGAGCAGCCCAAGACCAACGAAGCTACGCATAGCGGGATGTAGATATCTGGAAATGCACAGATAACAGGAAACGAAGGAAGGGATTTTCTAAAGAGAGACAACCCTGATCCAGGGAAAACCTAACAGATGGGGTTGATCTAGTGGAAACATCTGGCAATGGCAATCTATTTAATCCTTTTCTCTTTTCTTTTTTTAGTACTATACTGTAAACACAATGTAACAATCCCCGTCCCGCACTTTCCCGCCGTGTGAGTTTCAATATCATGCTGAAAAAAGTTAGCCGAAAGGACGATAGAGGAAAGAGAAGTCATTCATGTGTGATCCCATTCGTGTATATTGCAGAGAATACTCTAGATGAATTTAATAATACAGTAATAACGGCTCCAGATATTTAGTTTTATTGGTATGAATAATCTGACCCACTGTAACAGGTACATGTGTTTTGACATCGTGTTCGCATTGGTCCCGATATCGGGCCGTCATTAGATCCAATGAGAAACTTGAAACAAATGAGAGAAACATCCTTAATTATATTGCGGATCGACCGGGTGAATAATGCTTCAAAAAGCTTGACTGATATGTAATAGAAACCGTCGGCCTCTTAGCTTTTAGTTAGGCCCGGGATTTCAACTTAGTAAGTACAGCCTAAGCAGGAGCGTGGGATCGGATAGCCCCAACATGAAAGTAAAATAATGGATAATATCTCATAGCTTTTCCTAAACCTGACCTGACCCAGGGTCTGAGCGACTGATCCTTCATCGGATGTCCGGTGGTACACGGGAGAACGTAAGTAACAGGGAGTGGACAATGCTGATCTTATCTCGGGATCTGATCTCGGACGGGATAATTCTCCCCAACAAGTTAACTTAACGGGCTGTCATCAACAACCTCCAGGCTAATATCGGCATCCCAATCGTGCGGTTTGCCCGGACACGGCCCGATATCCTTCGCCGAGAGACGGGATCAGAAATACGCACAATACATAGCCTCACTTGTACTACTGACCCCTGGACAATAATAAATACATGGAGGGGAATGGGATGCATAAGTTCTCTCCTCGCCAAGCTTTCGACGGCATGATCTGATAAGATAAAAAAGAAATCACACGCGATCAAGGCCATGAGGGCCCCCAAGAAAGTTTATGCAATGAGAAATTTTCCTAGAGACCCTCCGACGCGGGTGATAGTATCGCAACTGTCAGGACACTAACGTATAGTGTAACTGAGTGCATTAGCGTGGATTAACGGTGGGCAGTGCCAGGCAACACAGCACTAGTAACTTTACAAAACTACATACAAAGAAAAGCAAAGAGTAGGTAGCAGTTGGGCGAACCAAGTGGTCAATACTGGTTGAACCGAAATGGAATAGAACAATAAAAAATCCTGATAAATGCCCTGAAATCTGCAGAACAGCCCAACACTGCTTGTCACAAAAAGAAAATAAAAACCATAAGACTGCCTGTAAGGACTAGAGAGACACGCGCTGAAGTATAGAAGAGGCATTGGCCAACCCTGGCTCGTGATCACTCAGGTGAGGTCTTTTGAGTTCCTTTTTTGTTGATACCTATGGTCGTAGACATCATCTGCTAACTTAGTGTAGGCTCCATAATATGGCCAGTAGAAGGTATGTATTCGACTATCTTTCCGTCACGCCCGTAAAAAAGAGATAGGATCATATCAAGGAGTATAGTTTTCTAGATTATCCGTCTCAAAACCAGGAACACAGGCCTTTCCCAAATAAAAGAGTTGATTTCTGTACCATAGGCTTCTTAGTAACCCCCCACCGCTGCAAGTTACCTTGACTGGAGCGAATGGGCGCAGTTTGCCCAATATATTGCTGAGCGCGATAGCCGGACAGGCCAAGATCATCAGATAAGATTGGCCGTTTGATCTTACTGATACCGAAGATCGCAATTAGAATCCGTACGATGGCGGGACTGGTCTATTAGTCCGTGTCTTGATTCCATTAAGACTCGAACTACGAGAGATCTACGAATCTTACGTAGCGGGAGGAGAAAGACCCGATAGATAGTCTCTATCGAAACTCGCCGATTTTTCGGATGTATGGCAGTCTAGGATCAGGTGGTGTTCATACATACATAAATTATTTCCCGTAGTCCGATTTACCGATTGAGTTGTTCTGTTCTGTTCCTTGTTCTAGTCTGTCTGTTCAGAGCCCTTTCGGAAGCACTGTATACTCATCTCGCTGTATCACCTTCCCAATATGACTATAGTCCACTTGACCAATGGCGATGGCCACCATGGCGAGCCAGAGCCAGTCATTTCGACAGACGTTCTCATCATCGGAACAGGGCCAGCGGGTGCATCTCTAGCGGGTTTTCTTGCTATGCATGGTGAGTGTGAAGTCTCACGTAGTTCCTCTCAAAAAATATTGATATTCATAATGCTAATCGTCCAGGCATCCGTGGGATAATGGTCAGCTCAGCTCCGGGGAGTGCTGATACTCCCAGAGCACATTTTACGAATATGGCCGCTATGGGTAAGTCAACTTCTCAAAGGAAAAAAACTTGATACTGACGTTGATTTACCAGAGTGTCTCCGGGATATTGGTCTAGAGAAAGAATGTAAACGCCTGGGAACAAATGGATCACACATGATAAATACTCGCTGGGCATACAGTATGGCTGGGGAGGAGTATATGCGCAGTTACTCCTGGGGGAACGATCCCAAGAGAAAGGTTTGTCATTTTTTGGAATCCGGGTATTATCCGTAACAAGAACTGAGAACATCCCAACAGGGTGACTACGAAACCGCAAGTCCCTGCGAACCACTCGACCTGCCCCAGACTCTCCTTGAGCCAATTCTCGTACGACATGCTACGCTAAATGGCTTCACTTGCCGCTTTGATACCACCTTCGTCCATTTTACAGAGAACGCAAACGGTACAATCTCCACACTTCGAGATAATGTCTCTGGTTTGGAATACAAGGTTCGATCAAAATACCTTTTCGGAGCGGATGGTGCTCGAAGTCAAGTCTTTCGGCAGCTAGGTCTCGAGCTAGATGTTAAGCCTGATCAGGGAACTGCATTCAACGTTCTTATCAGAGCAGATCTCTCCCGCTATATGGAACATCGCGAGGGCACCCTCCACTGGCTCTTGCAGCCAGATAAGGAGCATCCGGTGTTTGGATGGGCAGGAATTGCCAGAATGGTCAAGCCATGGAACGAATGGTTGTTCATTGTGATCCCCGATCGTCAAAATGGGTTGACCCGCATGCCCACTGAAGAAGAATGGGTTCAGCGGATGAAAGAGTGGATCGGGGACGACTCGATCCCGGTAGAGCTCATAAATGTGTCGAAATGGCGACTGAATGAGGTTGTGGCCAAGACCTATCCAAAGGAAGAGTGTATGAGATACTTTCAATTCTTCCACGCAACGATTCTGTTGCTGATTCTATCGCAGGTTCTGTCTAGGGGACGCAGTTCACAGACATCCTCCTTCGAACGGACTCGGCTCGAATACATGTATCCAGGATGCGTACAACTTGGCCTGGAAGATCGCCTATGTCCTGAAAGGTTTGTGTACACAACCTTCTAGCTCCTGTCTATATCGAGTAACCAATTAATTACCAAAAATGGAAACAGGCCAGGCATCGTCTTCTCTCCTCGACACATACTCGGTTGAACGACAACCCGTAGGCAGTGGAATTGTTGCTCGTGCTAATCAGTCGTTCCGTCATCACGGCCCAATCTGGGAAGCATTCGGGGTATCCTTGCCAACCCCCGAAGAGAAAATGCAAGCACTCCATCAGCTTACCTTGCCTACCGAAGAAGGCCGTACCCGACGCAAGAATCTTCAAGCCGCTCTTGAGGAGGCACAACATGAATATCACGCCCTCGGACGGGAAATGGGCCAGTTTTACCAGAGTAAAGCGATCTACTCGGATGATGAAACGGAGCCCTACTACACCCCTGAACTTCTAGCTCAGGACCAGGATTTAATATACCACCGGAGTACGTATCCAGGCCGCCGTCTACCACATGTGTGGCTGAACAAGCGTATCCCTGGTGAGCCCATTTCCACAGTCGACCTAGCGGGACACGGTGCATTTACCATTCTCACTGGCATTGGCGGTGATGCTTGGAAAATAGCCGCCTCCCAGGTTGGAGAAAGTCTCGGGGTGCCGATCAATGCATATTCCATCGGTTTCCGCCAGGACTATGAAGATTTCTACTTTGATTGGGCTCGTATTCGCCAGGTTGATGAAACGGGCTGTATTCTCGTCCGACCTGACCGGATGGTGGGTTGGAGGTGCCAGGAAATACTGGGAGATGAGGTGCAATGCACAGACAAGCTTCGCCATGTTGTGCTGTCTATCTTGGGGCGTGACTCGTGAGAGTCAAGCTTTTTCTTAGTTTCATTTAGTTAACTACGTATGATCATGTGTAGAATAAACACTTAGGGAATGAATGTACATGCCTGTCTAACTTTGGAAGAGATCCATGTAGTTACTGTTACATTTTCCAACTGATAGCGTTATTATAGCAGAATAGCATTTCTTCATCCATAGAAGCAGATGGATTCTCTGCATCCTTCCACCACGTAAGTGCCTATCCTGGTTAGTTTCCCCCGGTATGCGTAGTGTTCCTTGCTGCTCTAGTTTGGCTGCATTATGATATCCACTAAGTATCTATTTAGCCGTTATACCACCCTTCAATCCCTCAGAAGCCATCCAAGGAAAACCCCTGAACCCAAAACCCTTCTTCTGCTCCGATTCTCGCCTGCTGTGTGAGAACGATGGTCGACGAAAAGAAAAGAAACCTGTAGAAAGTGGACTCAAGTCATTCCCCATATGCGTATATGATGATCGACTCAAAAGAAACACGGCAACGAAAATACGACATTAAACCCACTGAGGGACTGACCCATATTACCTACTTAGCGGGGTGAACTAAACCTGCCCGCATTGCTTGTTTCTTGCCGCCTAAGTAGTGTAACTAAGTCTCTCTCTGACAAACAAGCTGCGGCAATTGAGCACGATCCAACTCCCTTTCGTGCGGGATGTTGATCCGGTCTATGTTGGTTTTCTGCCGAGTTCGGAGGATATGGATATGTAACTAGCTAGTTAGTTAAGTTGGTAGTTAAATAATGACCTGATGTCGGCACGGCAGAAGATAATAATGCAGGTGGAGGGGATCTTCAATGCGATGTCCACATCTGATCAGCACGGACACGAGGCATAAGACCTGCCTTGACACTTGTATGATTATTGTACGCTAGTAGTGATCCCTTCGGTGGGTTTACTTGGGAACTGATGGGGAATAGACTTTTATCAGATTAGATCGTGAACTAACTGGTATATTATTATTATTATACTACTACGTACTCCGTACTTTAGGCCGGTTGAAATGTTTTGTACTACTAGTAAAACACGGTAATTTTCAATATTGCACGCCGATTTGCCGGGTTCCCGTTATCAATCAGTCGGACCCTGGTTTCATCTCTTTCTCTAGTTTATGCGGCTTTCGACCGTTGAACGCACAGAGTAGTTTCAAGTCAGAGACAACGTGCACATTCCGAGTGCGACGGTAACGTTACTACCGGTGCGATGAGTGTTGCTCTCGCGGTGGTTCTGCTCTGGGTCGCATTGTCTCTGTAACTTTCTTTTCCTCGCAAAACAACAGCAGGCTACTCTTTCATTGGCGCAAGTCTATGCAGGATTCTTCAGCTTACTCGTCTACCTGATTCATGGGGTTGAGATGGCTCAGGTATTCCTGATTATTATTATAGCATACGGCGATGCTCTTGTCCACATCTGAGTTTCTCCAAATGGACGGCAATGAGCTCTCCGTGCGTCTTCCTCTGGTCATATCTCGGTGCTCCCATGTCCCTGCCAGACCCTTTCCACATGATAGACAGCGCTTCAGCCCCATCTGAACAAAAGACCTGGGGATAATGATTCAGAGACCACATCTCGTCTTGGGTCCATCAATACTGATAAGAACCTCTGGCACATCAACCTGCTGCAACCTACAGCCGCACAACGCCGGCAGTTGGCATATACTAGACGCCTTTCTCGTGGCGCTCATTAGAATCTAAATATGAGAAATCGTCTCAAAGGCAGGCAGATGAGACCTTAAGGTCGATAGCGTGCCGATTAGACGATTCCTCCACTGCTCCCGGTTATGACAGTCCAAGTCTGTATCTCAGCTTAGACACGCGCTCCTCCACGTTTCGAATCTCTGTCATTATACTAGCCAGCTCCGACATGCTCTCCGTTGCGGTGACGAATGATCTCTGAGCACTTCGAAGCGACGGCGGGACGAGAACACCATACCACCTGAGAGGATCAGGGGAAGGTAATGCCCTCTTTGGGGCTGTTGAGATCGACGAATTCTTTGAAGGAGCCCCTTCTTCTGATTCCCCGGGCGTTGAAGGAGTCTCCGTTCGGTCCTCAGCCGTTTCGCCTGATCTTGGATTCAAGGCTGACTCTGAACTTTCCGCATTCTCTCCTGAGACTGCTGTTTCGGATTTAGGCTTTTCCTCCTCTGTTTCGTACTCTGCTAACGTGGTTTTGATCTTGAAGGTATAGCTCTGGCTGGATGATCCGGTGTCTTCAGTCTCTTCGGGCTCTGAAGACTTGTCCTCACGATTGGCAGGCGGCTCTACTGATCTTCAGGTACCTGACAGTCAGTCTTCCGTCTACCCGTAGAACACATGAGAGGCAAGCATCGCTCTTACATCCTCCGTGTAGCTTTCATGCGCTCGTCATAGTAGTCCTGACCGTAGCGTCGGCCCGGAGAAGAATAGTTGGCCTGCGCGAGAGAGAAGAAGCCCTGAAGACAGAGACATGATCAGATCACCATTCAAAGAGGTTCAAGAGGGAAATGTCCCGTATAGCAGAGACTAGCTCAGGAGATGAGCGCACCGATGAGAGTTGTTTCCCCAGCTGCGCATGCAACGTCTGGTGACGGTGAAGCAGCTGCAGGTATTGCTCCAACAAGCTATCCAGTGATTCTAGGAGCTTGGAAGATGACTCTGGCTTCCCTAGAGGCTTTTCTCGGGCTTCTGAGAGCTGCGCAAATGCGCCAGACTCCGAAACCTGGGCCATTGTACGTCTGGTCCTTAGGACCGATCAGATGAAAGCAAGATGACGACAATGGCTGACAGGGATCAATTCGAGGGGGATAGATAGGATCAATGGCAAAGGATAGTTAATACATCGAGCAATAACTATTAACTCGTCCAGCGTGCAGGACTGAATGGTCCAAGAGAGTCGAGCCAGAAAGTAAAGTCGGTTAAGGCCGAGGCGGAAGAGGCTCCGCTCGTATCTCCGTCATCGTCTCTCCGAGCTAACAGAAAAAGAGAACGCCGTCCGTTATCCCTCACAAGACGTGCGGTTTGATTGCACCACAACCCGAAGCATCTATCGCTGCTTCACCCGTATATCATCTGTTCACTATAATCCAATTTCCATCGAGGAGAGAACTACAGTGCTCTCCGCGTTTTGCGGCGACGACGATCCCCGGTCGAGCCATCAAATCCCGAATGCGCCACATTGGTTACTGCTGCTATGACAGATATTCTCAACAATAGCACACGCTGAATCTCGTTTCTCTTGACGATACGATCCATTTGGCGATTGACTGAATCGACGCCCAAGTCCTTTCCGGGCTATCCGCTAAGTTTCCGTGCAGCATCAAGACGGAGAATCTGCAGACGTCCGAAGCTCGAACAGTTCAGGCTGGTTGATTTCAATCCTTCCTTCCATATAACAATACTCCACTCTCCACTCAGGACGATATAAATAAGCAATCATGTCTGTTTCTACGTTACAGCGTGATACCGCGTTCCAGGTTCGCTCTCTGGTATGTTCTGCTGAAACCCTTGCCCGAAGAGAGATGTCCTGGATGACCTTGAAGAAGCATGGTCGTAGCTAACTGCAATGCTTCGCGCCATACAGTTCCGCTCTCTGCTCCGACAATCTTCGCAGTTTGCGAACTACAACTTCCGAGAGTACGCTCGACGAAGGACGAGGGATGCGTTCCACGAGCATCAGCATGAGACGGAGGATCGGAAGATTCAAGAACTGATCCAGGAGGGTCTGCGAAACCTGCAGATGCTGAAGGTTGGTGGACATACTGTTCAAAAGATGATGGCTATAAAAATTTTGCGACGATGCTAACCGTTTGCTGCAGAGACAAACCACCATCAGTCAGTTCTACCAACTGGACAGGCTGGTCGTTGAAGGACAGAAGACGGTATGTTTGAGTCTGAACTCGATCTGAGATCACCTCATGCAGGATACCTGCTGATACAGTATGTCTAGGGAAAGCAAACAGGGAATAAAGGCGATATTGTTCGCCAGAAGGATACCGGGTAAGGCAACCTGGTTTCGAACTCATTATTTTTATCGAGACTGAGACTAACGCCTATTGCAGCTGGGACTAAGCAGTTGGGTCTAGAAGGGAATGCGATATGGCTCTGTAGGCCATGAGACAGCGCTGTATAAACTAAATGCACAACTGTACTACCTCATGTTGTTTGGGGGAAGATGGAAGAGATAATGCTAGGCACATGTAATGGCGCTCCTGTGTAATTTACATAACTCATCTCCTTTCTCTACTCTCCAATGTTCTGTTGACGCGTACGGATGAATCAGCTGTTTATTTTCGGCAGTCTACTTATCTAGTATTACTTTTTAAATAAACACTATCTTGTATTCTGGGCGCATTATGTGGTTGTAGCCATTATCTCCCTTGAAGCGCTACTCCGTCATACAAAATAATTGTCACGTGACCCTCGACTCTCCGCAAACGCTCCGTGACAGCGCCATCGCAAAGCATCAGGACGCGCCGCCGTTCTTCCTCCACTCACTGCGCCCATTGCTTTCTTCAACATTGAGTGGGGATCTCAGGCTAGTGGCATTCACTTGAGCTGCGCGTGATACAGCTAGTCTGCTAGCTTTCATCATGGCGCCCACGGTAAGTGCAGTCAATGTCACCGTTTCGTCAGATACCTGTTTCGAGTGAAGTCGTCCACCGGCCTGCTCCTTTGGTGTGTCGCAACTGTGCTACTTGTTCATAAGGAGTACAAGCGATACATCGCGACCCGTTATTACTGCATGTCAACATGTTGGCCGTTGCCAGCGTTGCAGAACAGCCACCTCTCCTCCGGACTCTCACGACTGGTTCCGTGCAAGATATTCAAGACGCTGACATTAAGTAGTTCAGGTCCTCGCGTTCGGGGAGGCAGCTTATCGACAACAGTGCTGCGAGTCGGAGTCGGACAGTCGATCATGATGTATTCGAGGGTTTACCCGTCCGGCGCTGGACGCGCCAGCCTCACATCTTCTCTCAGGCGGAGAAGATGGATGAGCCTGATTCTGGTATTGGAGGGGCTGCAGGTGGCCAACCTCTCCCTGAGCTTCCCATGCCCAAGGACAGTCATCTCTTGACACCCTCGAGTAGGGCTCTGCTTCGTGCTGCCCGTGCAGGCTGTATCTACATCCGCCATGTGAACAAGGATACGAATGGGGAGCAAAAGGAGACTACGGATATCGACGATACTCCCGCTGCTGTTCCCAGGACCGAGCGGAGTTTTACGGCCAAGAAGTGGACCGCTGTTCCTAGACATATGGAGCCTCCCGAAGTAGAATTCCTCGCCAGGCGCAGACCTGGCTTGCCATCACTATATGGTGCGTCTGCGCTCAATGCATTGGGAAGCACTGGAATTACCCCTGCACCGCCGATGAGAAAGACAAAGTTCAAGAAAGTCGACCCTGCCACTGGAAATGTTTCGATCTACGAAGCGTGGATTCCGGAGGGTCATACCCTCGAGGGAGAGATCAAAGAGACTGGCGAAGTTGTACCGGAGCAACCCGACGCTACGGTTATCAAGGAAACACCCGCTCCTGGAACAGTGGTCGAAGGTGTAGGCATTGTCAACGCAGAGGGAGTGGTTGTCGCCAGCGCCGAAGCGGATGCTGCCCCTAAGAGACGTCCCCCGCCTCCGAAACGCAAGGCGAAGGGCGTCGGGAAAGGCAGAAAGAAGAAGGTTATGTTTGCTCCTGGAGAGGGCGGAGACGCAGGCGCGGTACACGCCGCTGGGGCCGACGGAGCAGCTGCAAAGCAGGAAGGGCTACGTATGTCGATCGATGGTGCAGCTGGCGAACCCATAGAGGGATCAGATGAGGAAGAGGAGGAAGGCGAAGAAGGGAAGGAGAGTGATGAGGATGCCGGTTCAGCACCAGCAACCAAATCTCCAAGTGCCGCGCCCCAGGAAGCTGGCGCAACGCCTGCCACTGAGGCGAATGTCCCTCCTACGTCGGAGTCTAATACTGAAGCCCAGAATCCGGCTTCAGCTACTGCAAATGAAGATAGTACTACTACCGAGCGACCCATGCAGCAGGAGAAGCAGCCGAGCCCGCAAGTCCCATCAGACACGAGGCCCGCCGACGTAGACATGAAACTCAGCGAGCCTGACAGTGAGAAAGCTGCTACGCAACCACCGGTCGCAGAGCAACCTTCTACAGACGAGACTCCAGCTCCAGCTCCCCCAGTTGCGGAACCAGTTGCAGCGCTGCAACCCGTCGAGTCCGAACCAATGGAGGGAGTCTCACAGGAGCAGCCTATTTCGGCACCACAGGAGCCGCAGGAGACGAGACCAGAGCCACAGCCAGAAGAGATGGCAGGTGTGGAACATACGCAGGCGGGAAACACAACAGCGCCAGCCGAGCCTGAGAAGGCTGAGGAGGCCAAACCGGAGAGTACTACAGAAGAAGCTACGGCTCCTCAGGAAGCAGAGGCGCCCGCGCCCACTGAGTCCAGCGTGGCTGTTGAGACGAACACAGAGTCTACAGGACCTAAAGAACCTGCTCCAGAGCCTGCTCCTGCTCCCTCCAACAATGCCGAGGTTGATTTGCTAGGCACCCTCGAAGCCAGCTTAGGTGATAAACCGAGTGAGCAACAAGAACAACCAGCACAGCCAGCTCCATCTTCATCATCACCGAAACCGGCACCCTCAGAGCCTGCCCCAGAACCATCAGCGCCTGAACCTACCCAGCCTGAGCCCGCTGAGACAGCACCAGCGGAAGCCCCCGTTGAACCTGCACCTGATGCCGCCGAAGAAAAGAAAGAAACCAAAGAAGAGTAAAGCATCCAAGCTCGTCGACCATAGGACTTCCATCCAATCTTCCTACAAAATCTTATACCCACTATATTACCTCTTCCTATCTTACCCCCATCGACCCTTTCAGACGGCGTCTCTGGTACTTACTCTCTGGTTTGCGGTCTCTTCTCCAGTTCCTTTTATGCGGGCGTTCATCAAGCATGTTTATAGGGAAATTGGCTCGGTCTATTATTATAACTCTGTACTGTAGAATATTATTTAACCTCGTTGTTTCAGGAAAAGACGGGTAATTATCATACGTGATAACTTTTTCTTGTTCTCGTTCTACCTGCTATCCCACGTAAAGAAGGAATATATATATACATATGGATGATATTATCATCCCTAGATGGATTCTATTTTGAAAATATCTGAACTGGGTTCGCTATCTTTGTATCATGGTGGGGGCAGGCAGGTTTATATATATAGAAACCCGACTAGTATCTATTATTCCGAGCGTCTCAGTAAGACAGTCATAGAATACCCATATCCTGAAACATATATTCGGTCATTAATTTTCTTTTCTTTTCACCATCTGTTTCATATCAAGTTACTGCTGTTATGCAATACTAGTTACTAACTACTCGTACGCACACGCATTAATTAACCAGCTAGCTCAACATCACCAAGTTGTCCTATCCCTCAACGCATGAAGATAAAGTAGAAAAAAAGCAAAAGCAAAATAGTAATTCGATAACCAGAGAGAAACAAAAGTACAGTACAAGGAAAACAATAATAATAAACATGAAGTCAGACCATTGTTCGAAACCGGATAGATAAATGTTGCCATTTCCTGCAGAATCCTCATCCTCATCCTCATCCTATCCTATCCTATCCTAATTCCTGTTCCTGTTCCGTAGTAGACCGTTGCATCCCGTTTGCATACCAGAGCATAAAAGCATACCGTACCATACCGTACTTGACATTGGGGAAAAAATTAACTTTGAAGACGAGAGAAGGAAAAAAAGAAGCGAAAAACTAATAGCTCAGCTAGAAGAAAGATACATAATCCTTTATGAATGTATGAGGAGAAGAAGGATAGAAAAACAAGGTAAAAAAAAAAAAGGCCGAAGATATCCATAACTGTCAACCCCGTAATGTTGTAGGACAAGAGGAATATTGATAGTGGTACTGAAGAAAAGAATCACTAAATCCAGTGGTACAAGATCGAGGTTCGAACGCCGTAGGACCCAGCCGGAACTCCTGTTGCACACCCTCCTGAGACGTACGTGGTAGATGAAGAACGCAGAAACGAGACTAAATCGAGGACAGTAGGAGCTACGTAAGCAATAATTATGCGTAACATGCAGCGTGTGAGCAAAGCGTCCAGTCGGCGCTGAGAGGAAGGAGAAATGCGAAGTTGAGCCTGATTAGGACGCGAGAAGTATCAGCCTCGATATCGAGTTGCTTTAGACAATCTTCGCGCTCTTAGTCGACGCCTTGCTGGCCCTCTTCACCGTCCGAACAACACTCTTAGCGGCATCCTTGACTGAGCCTCGACGGCTGACCGTCTTGGTTGGGCTTTTCTTGGTTTCTTTCGTGGCTTTGGTCGCCCGTTTTGGGCTGGCTTTAGCACCTTTAGTTGGTGTTGACCTCTTGTTTGGACTAGCCTTTGCTTTCGATGTGCTGGCCGATTTGTTGCTAGAGTTGCTCGCTTTTCTGACGGAGGGAGCGCGCGAGGTCGCCTTCGAATTCAATCGGTATACAGTGGCCTTGGCCTTTGGTTTTGCCACGGTTTTCGCTCCGGTCTTCGTCGTCTTCATCTTCGGCTTGAGTTTGGATCTCGCACTCTTCGCAGCCACCTTCTTGACTGTCTTTTTTGTGGTAGTGCTTTTAGCCTGTGTAGTGGCCCGACCTTTACCGGAGACTGAAGTGCGCGCCTTGGAGACTGCCTTTTTGACACCGGCTTTGATCGACTTTGGGGTCAGAAGTTTACGTTTCTTGTTCAGACGTGAAGTTGATTCGTCTAGCACACTTTCCAGCTTGCGCTTGGTCCCTGCCAGCGTCGACTTGCCTCCCTTACGAGCCTTGGTCTTGGATTTCTTCTTGTCGTCCATCTTGGGCTCTTTAGGACGTTGGTCCTTGGGCCGGGGTCCCAACACGCCGCGGCAGGTTGATGCGCCGCAACGGCACTCTTGGACGTTCTTCTGCGAGAAAGGACTGTAGAATGTCAGCATATGCATGTCTCAAGAAGAAGCTTTACAGCATACTCAAAGTTATAGTCGTAGGTTAACTCCTCCCCAGTCATGATGCCCCGGTCACCGGCGAAGAGAGCCATGCGAGGCTTTCCAGCCACAGTCCACTTCTCCATTCTGCAATTCGGCTCACACGAATGATTCACGAAGCGGGCAATCGAGCCGCGCGTGGCATCGATAATCATGTTTTGATCGAAGTACATAAGATAGTAGCACTGAAGTCGGGTTAGCAAAGAGATGCCTAATAAACTCGATAGGAGTAGGTTCCCACCTCATTATTCTTGTAGATCGTCCTCATCCGATTCTCGCATTCCGACTGGGTAATAATCTCGCCGGTATATTCAACGATGATCTGGTTAGGCTCGAAGGACCGGTTGCTGCGCACTCCATATCCGCGGTCCATGGTCTTGATCACTTCAACACCAATGTTGTACTTTCCTCCTGCTTTGGTGCGATGCTTGAGCTCCTCGAAATTGCGGTTTCCACAGCCCAGTCCCAACCGGCAATTGCTGTCGTCGCATTCGTAGAACATATACCGGTTCTGACAGTTCTCGTCGCAACCCGTTTCCGGCGTACACATGCAAGTTGAAAGCTCTACGTGCTTATTTGCCTTCCAGATACTGGCTGCCTCGCCCACGAACACATCTACGTGTAATCAGTAAAACAATATAAGAGCAATAGATGCAACCCAGGACTCACTCTTGTTGGTCTTGCGCCATTCATCCGGCTTGGGCTGACCAGGAGGAAGCGGAGAGAAGATATCAAACGGCAACTTGAAGTCCCTGCCATTCTTCAGGAGCCTATCGCCCGCAAACATCGGCATTGGGAGGAGCTTCCGCTGTTGTTTCTGCGCATTCCCGTTGCTCTTTCTGCGCGCATTATTCGCTCTCGAGTTGCTGACTCGTGGAGGCTCTGTCGTTGGTTCTTGACCGGTGTAGAGACCATGGAGAAGCCAGCGCTTCGGCTTGTAGCGAGGTGGTGTCTCCGGCGTAGGCGGTTCCTTTGAAGCAGATAGCTCGTCGGAAGCAGCCTTGGAGGGAAGGTCACTCTCTGACACGCGCCTCTTCTTTGCTGCGGGTGCGTCCCTGCTGGTAGAATCTGCAGGCTCTTCCTTGGCTGTTCGCGGGCGCAAGCTTGCGCGGCGACCAATTTCCTTTCCTTTATCCATCATATCTCTCGACCGCTTGCCCAGCAGGCTGCTGGCGCGGTCGACAAGATTGGTGGCCTTGCCCAGAAGACTCAGCCGTGACGACCGCCTAGTCGGCGTCTGCTTCTCGCTATTGGAAGAATTGCCATTGACCTTTCCTGTCTGGTCCCTCTTTCTCAGTGTCCGCACCGAACTGGTATCCTCTTCCTGTTTGCGATCCGGAGTCTGCGACTTCGACACATCTGGTCCTGCATCGACCTCTGCCGCATCTTCGCCGCTTTCGCGCTCAAGTGTAGTCTGGCTCCAGGAAGTTGTCTCCATAACCGCGAGACTATGTCTGAGAAGCGTCGTGCGCGAGGAATGGCCCTCCAAAATACTATTAACCAGCGTCTCACCAGAGACACTCCGACTCTGCACGTCCGACGCAGGCTCCGTCGCGCGTGGATACTGTTGTGGTTCCTCCTTCATATCCTCCATACTCTCAATGGCTCGGAGAGAAGCGCGTTTCGCGCGTGTCGACCTCCGCCGCCCTGCTGGGTTTTCCTCGCCTTCACCTAGCGGTTGTTCATGGTTGCTCGATGTTTCGGAGCGGCTGTTCTCAGGCGTGAGGAGCTGGCCGGAGAAATCGACGGTGCTGGCGTCTTCGGGGAGTTCGTGAGTGTGTTCGGGCTGCTCTGGGCCGGGAAGAGGGCCGGCAGACGCGACGGACGATCGAGTTCGACGTGCCATCACGTTTTCTCCCCGGTGGGGTGGTGTACGCGAGCGAGAGTTGCTAGCAGCAGGCAGCAGGAACCCTCAATTGCTGCTGGAGGTTCAGACGATGAGGACGGCCGTGAGCATGGGAAGTTCGGAGAGAGAGAGAACGGAGTACAGGGGACAAGGACGGCCAGTGGAGACGGTGGACCCTTCAGCGTTACTGATATCGGGATAGAAAGACAGTAACTAGTAGCAGATAATAGGAGAGAGCGCGGGAGAGAGAGTTCGCACGCGTCTTGGCCCGTAGGAAAAAAGAGCCTGCCCCAAAGTACAAAGCGGATAGATCAGCCGGACCTCCTCCAGGAGACAAGGAGAATGTCCAGCTGGGATAGCGTTGGTGAGGAGAGAATGCGTGGAGTGGGAGGAGGAGAGAGAGAGAGAGCGAGCGGAGGTGGTGAGAGACTAAATAATAAGCAGCTCATCTTCTCTCTCCTTGCAGCCGCCCGTCCAGTATGCAGCATTCCACTCCCCCGCTTGAGCTCAACGGGTTTTCTGGCTTATGATCTTTATTTTATTTCATTTATGCACATGATAGACTGTAAAGATGTTCAGTCAGGAAGAAGTCAGGCGCAGGTATTCTTATTTGACGATCCTGCAACAGAGGATATCTGATAAACTAACTACTACCTAGTACTAACTATATTCTAGCCAACCGACAATATCATACAGCCAAACCCCTCACGGTTCACTAATCCCGTATAACCATAGATTGTCCCGCCAAACCTTCCAGTATAGAATATCTACCAGCATATAACACACGGCCTTTACAGATAAGGCAAATATCACACAGAAAAAGAATCTCCAGAAATGGACAGTCGAAGAAGAAAACTAAGCGCCGAGCTTGCACAGGTTGTGGGCGTCAAACGTCGTCATGGAAGAAGGCAGATAGATGATAAGAAGGGAGACAGTAAATGAGGGCAACGAAGATAAACGGATAGGAACCGATCCGACAATTATCGGCATTAGAAATAGAGTAATTGCAAAAAGGAGTCTCGAAAGTGTCGAAAAAGAGACGAATATGACAGTAAGAATCGTGATGATAATAGCGGTAACGAAATAGACGAGATCGGGGGCTTCCCAGGCAAGCAGATGATAGCATTCATGTTGGAGGTCGTGAGCCAGAAGTAGCCCCATGGGAGCTGGGAGGCACTTCCTGCATCTCCATGCCCATCTGTGCTTCCAGGTCATTGATGCGATCCTTGCGTTTCCGCGTTGCAAAGCGCTGATCGCCCTCCTGATATGGCCGCTTGAACTGAAGATACGTCGGGGGACGAGGCCGCCCCAGCACAGCAATCCAGTTGCGGAAGATATTTCCTTGATCGAACGGCCGGTAGCGATCAGCCTTCTGAAACTTGTGCGAGCTGAGATACTCTCGGGTTGTCTCGCCCCGACCCATGAGGAAGAGATGATAAGCCCACAGAGATCCGGGGTAGGGTGCAGCCAGGGCGCCGTATATGACCATCGCCCAGGGAACACGCCAGTGATCAATGGCCTTTCCGAAGGTGATGCCATGCTGATGGCGATAGACTAGGATATGCGCCAGACTCGCGCCAATCAAAAACAGGGCCAGGAGAGTGGCCGAGCTCACAAAAGTGAAGAAGTAGCGATAGTTGCGCCGGCCCACACAGTTGTTCAGCCAGACACAGTGATGGTCGAGAGTTTCCACGCAATTATCGCACACTCGGCAGTGGTAGCAGCGCGGCGGCCGCCAGATGTTGCAAGTTTTGCAGTATTTGACTGGGACATCCATCGCAGCCACGTCGGACGTAGCCAGCTTGATCATGACCCAGTCGGTAGTGGGAGGGCCTACAGCCAGAGGATCGGATCCCGCATCTGGTGGTGGCATAACATGGAGATTTCGGGGAATAATCTGCAAGAAGCCGTTAATATCATACGATCGCGCGAATCTATTTGATAAAGGATAGCCACTTACACCAGGGTCCACCACAGACGCATGGATAAAGGACGACATGCACACGTAGAAGAGATAGGCGAAGAGGATAGGAATTGCAGGCGAGATATGGTGCCACAGCCATGGTGCCCTGTCGCCGTCCGTTAGTACAAAGGGGTCAAAAGATCGATGATCAAGATACGTACGAGAACCCGAAAAACAATCCCGCTGGAAGAGCGACCAGAATACCTGTCGCGATATTGACGGGCTTGTCTCTTGCATTCTGAAATCGCCCGCTGCCCCAGAAGACCGTGTTACCGGTGAAATACTCATAATTCTTGCCCATTTTCTTCTGGGGAGCGGCGGCATGCTGTGCCTTGGCCTCGAGAGTTCTTGGAGTCGACACCGTCGATGATAGCCGCTCATGACCTTCTGGATTCTCGTTCTTGCTCTGCAGAGAGAGCAACCCAGATCTGAAGGACAGAGGGGACCGCTGCGGGGGGTCGTTCTGTCCCCCGGGGTTCCTGTAGTTCACACTCAGATTCAGCGTCTGCGGCACTGATTTCTTCTCCCGGTCTTGCAGCAGCCGGACGCTCTCCCCCAGGCTTCTGACGGTAGTGTTTCCAACCGGACTGGCATTGGAGGTGCCGCGATCGGGGATGATGGGATCCGTGAACTCGGTGCCCCGCGAAGGAGGAACATCTTCCAGCTGAGTGCCTTGACGCAGCGTACTATTGGAAATCAAGCTCCGCCGTTTGTTATCGCCTTCTTCAGTTTCGCCTGTCGGACTGGAGGCGCCGCCCCTTGCGAGCGGACGGGTGCCGCGATGCGCCTGGAGTCGCTGGGAGCTCATGGGCCGAAAGAAACCCTGCGCAGCCAGCGAAGGCGCATGCGAGCGACTCATCCTGCTTCCGGAACTGGTCGGACGACTGGCCGCCTGACTGGAGGTTAGGGAGTTCCTGGCGGGCGGCGGTCCTCGTCGCGAGGAGGGCATCTGGGCCCATGGCTGCGAGGATCGCCGAGTGTTTGGCCGGGAGGACTCATCACCGTCCTCAGACGCGATGTCGGTCATGCGCGACGAGATATCACCCACGGAAGGCGGACGCGGTACATCCAGTGGTTCTTGCGTCGTCGTTGGTGTCGAGGGGGTCGGCTCTGTGGCCTCAGACGAGTCGCCTGGGACGGTCATGGTTTCGATATCGTCTCGACACCCGGGCAGTTTCTATCGCGCAGCGTCACTTCTCATGGTGTTGCAATATAACCCCGACAATCGAGATATAGTTCGTATTCTGGATGAGGCGAGAGCAGTGCGCTTAGGAAAGGGGATGGCCGATGGACGATGGAGCAACAAAGGAGCGACGAGCGAACCACCGCGCGGGACTAGGATGCAGCCGATCTCAGGGACCCGAACCGTGGATAGAAAGGGAGTGTGTGAGAGGTTATGAAAGACAGAGAGAGAGAGAGAGAGACAAAAAGAAAGCAATCCAAAGGAACGAGAGACGAGTGGATGGGAAGTAGTGAAGAAATGAGCGTGGAGGATCCCTAGACAAGGGGGGGTTTGGCTTTCTTTTTTCCTGTCGAGTGAAGAGAGAGACGAGACGCCAGGGGAGCGAAACCGGGACAGTCTGAGTTGATCGACGGCAGTCAGGAACAACTCTGATCGCCTCTCCCAGCTTCACTGGCCTGGAACATAGGACCCAGGGAAAACAAAACAAAACAGACACAGCTGAAGCCAGCCACCTCTGGAGATTTAATCTCGACCTGGGCGATTGACGTCGATGGAGGCTTGCAAAGGGATGGTTTGTTTTGCCCGATGTGGCTGATGGCGATCACAGACCATCAACCAGTATGGTAATTAATTGGTTCAGTTGGGGGCGGAGTTGAGCAGGATGGAGTAGGTACTAGTAAGTAAGGAAGAAAGAAAGTAATCAATTAATTAATGATTAACCAATCAGTTAATTGATTAATTACAGTCTAAAGTGAGAATACTATTTACTACCAACACCACTTCTATCAGTATATCTCGAATAGTTAGTTGTATTACCGGCCAACTGCTCCTGACTCCTGCATCGATACAAAAATCAACGCTTGAAAAAAATAAAATACTGGCTATAACCCATCGCTACTGAACTCATTATATCTGCGGAAACTTTTAGTTCTAAATAATTTTCCATTTTCAGCCCGAGGCAGCATCGCTTTTGGCTCAATACTTTATCAATACTTTACCCCTAGATTGTTAGGTCAATAACTACGAACTAGCTAAGACGACTATTGCTCCAACCGCGGATCGACTGAACAGCCAGCCTATCTCTGCAATTAGTAGGATATAGTAGAATATTCAACAGCCTCTCAATACTCTCAATAAGCCATATCTGCCGCTGTGTAAAATTACCACTGTTCTGCCAGAAAAATACACTGCTGACTAACCCACCCGCACGCACTGGGCCACCTAAGTTACCTAACCAGCTACCACGTGACAAACCAGCGACGGGCGAATCCCGTGATCTCGGAACTCTCGTTCCACCGCAAAAGAACATCACGACATCACTCGGATCCCCCGATCTCTCCCTCCTCGAGTTCTCGCTTCCTCAATTGCCCACGTCCACCACCAGCGGAGTTTTCGTCTCTCAGTTGGCCGTGTCCCTCACACGATCCCATTCACAATGTCTTCAATCGCTGCTTTCCAGCTCCGTCGGGCCTTTGCCCGCCCCGCCGCCTTCCGCACGCCCGCTACCCGTCGCTTCGCCAGCACCTCCAAGGTCGAGGAGGCCGGTCTCGACAAGGGTCCTAAGCGGGATCCCGAGCTTTACGTATGCGATGCGCCGTTGTTCTTTTTCTTAGCTGTTTCGTTGTTGGAGGAGGAAGTTCATGGTGGAATTGGCTAACGCGATGGGGTTGATTCGGTTTAGGTCCTGCTCGGTGTTATGTCTGGTGCTTTCCTGATTGCTGGATGGTAAATATTCCCTCTATTTTTTTCTGGCTCTGGTGATGCAAATGCTGTTCCATGCGTCGGAGGATAACGGCCTATCGAATTGGAGTTCGAAACGAGAGAGAAAGCGACATGGGGACCAGATGCAAGAGAAGAAAGGACAAGAGACGGAGAAAGACGAATTGAAACATGAATCAATGGGCTAACGGATCTCCTCGATTTTCTCGCAAAATAGGTACTTCGGCCGCAAGCCCACCACCGTCACCTCCGAGAGCAACGTCCGTATCGGCGAGTCCGCCATGCCCTGGGACCGCCCCTCTGAGGACGGCAAGGTCTACAAGTACCAGTACCACCCCCACGGTGACAAGAACCAGCCTCTTCGTGACGCCCCCAGCGCCCTTAACACTGTCATCGTTCCCAACGTGACTCTGCCCGCGGTGCGTGATCTCCCTCTTATCTTGAATCCCAATCTTGGGATTCTTCAGGGAGTGTTTCGAACTGACCGGATATATGTATAGGACCTCCACGAGCGCTTCAACAAGTACGGCAAGGAGGAGTATGACTACTAGAGTCGGGGAAACGTTTCACGCTTTTTCCTCGTCGCGTCATGTTGTACTCTAGCTGGGATATCAAGGGGCATTAGAGGGTTCTTTTTCAGGAACTCTTGTATGTGTGCATAGTTGTTGTTAGCATCATTCAATGGCAGATCGCTTTGACTGTTTCTTTTGTCATTTGCTTTCTTTTTTTTATTTTCTCCGCTTATCTCAATCGCTATCTGCATAGAAAAGGCATCATTGATTATATATCATATCAGATGAGAAGTATTCCTCATCCACGTGATCCCTGATATCGACCAGAGCGGAAAGAAATGAAAAAATATAAAAAGCAAACAAGAACTGATATTGATACAGCTCGAATTTATATTTTATTTCTTCTCCGAGACGTCCATAAATCCATGGGCAAAAGAAAAAGGAGAAAAGAAAAGAGAAGATAAAAAGAAAAAAAAAAAGGTTCCCCCAAAATAATGAAGAGCTACGTGTACAATTGTTCTGCCGTTCAGATCCTGTAGATCAAACGATGACTTTCTCAGTCCAAAAAAAGATGCAGTTTACATGACTTCCCCCTAAGTTTTCTTTGTGGCCTCCTTGCCTTCGCTGGCCGGCTTGGGCTCACGCACATCGGCGGCCTCAACTGACTTCTCTTCCCCCACTGCTGACGCGGGTTGCTGAGGCGCCGGCACCTCGTCACCACGACCCGCCGTCTCCGGATTCTGGCCTTCGACGTCAGGGTGTGGCGGCGCATGATGCCGGTCCTTCGATTCCTCGCCGTAGAGGTCCTGGCCCTGCTGGTCGATCACCTTTGTCCGCGTCTCGTATCGCGTCTCAAACGTTACTTTACCCTCTTTCTCGAGTGACAACACAAGCTCCTCGTCTAGAATGTTGCCCTTTTCGTCTCGGTACTCCACGCGCTTCCCATGACCGACCACCTGCTGCCGCGCAGGCTGCGGCGTTACGTTGGCATGCGCATCATCCTGTAGTACTTGCTGTTGTTGTTGCTGCTGCTGCTGCTGGGGAGGCGGTTGATAGTGCTGTACAGGGGGCTCGTACTCGGTGTTCGTCGGGACGGCTTGGCCTAGGTTGACAAACTGGGTTCGGTACTGACTCAACTAAAAGGTAACAATCACCTCCGTCAGCGCCAGTTGGCCATCATCGTTTTTAGAAACCACGGCGGGGTGGTTTCCACTGAGGAGGACTTACGTCAGTATAGAAGGTGTTGCAGTCAAAATCCCACGATTCGAGAAGCTTGACTTTGCGGCAAGCGTCCTGCGTCCAGGGGTTGCCGTACACGAGCGGAGAATATAGAGTAAAGGTGAAGATGCTGAGGCCGAGAAAGATCGCCATGAGCACATGGCCGATGGCGGGTCGAGACTTCAACTTGCCCACTCGGCCGGTGATGAAGTCGTATACCTGGCAAAGTGCCATAATGGCGAAGTAAAGCGCGGGGAAATAGTGGTGTAGGAAAAGCTGACGAGCCATGAGATAGAAAGGGAAGTAATGGAAAGCCCATCCCAGCACGCTCGTTCCGATTTCGTAGTCGAAGCGCTTGAAATTCACCTGATCATAATCACGGTATCCGCGCTGCCAACGGAGGACAGCAATACCCTTGAAGAGCACGTAAACACCGATGGCTGCAGTCGAGGACCACCAGATCACCGGATTGCCCAATAGATATATCTGGCGGTGGTCCTTGCCCCAGAAGTTGATACCGCGCAGCAACGTCGGCCACGAAGGAGGACGAGAATCCCACGCGTGAGACTCGACCAAGCCCGCATTCGTCTTCCACATGACCTTCTGCAGCTCCCAGAACTTACCCAAGAAGCCGGGATCACGGTAGTTGACCTTTTCGGCATCTTCCGCCAGCATAGGGTGCTGGTTTGTCTCAATGAACCAGACACTGTTGGGGAGCGTTGCGCCTTTGGCACACGTCACTTCCTGCTGGTCCCAAGCCCACTCGGGCAGTTTTACCTTGTGCGAGAATAGTACACAACCGGTCATGAGGTGGATCAATCGGAACTTGGTTTGGATCGTCCGCACCCTCTTCTTAGCCTCGTCACCGTCGGACAAGGATTTAACAATCTCCACGCGAAATAGGTCGTTTGCATCACCGGCAAACCCTTCGTAGCCATAGGCAGAAACTTCATTCTGCCATTCTGCCTCGGTGATCGGGGGGCGGATATCGTGCGAGTGGATTCTGCGGTGGGTCATGATGTGATACAATCTAATCGTAGCACCATCTTCAATAAACTCGGTCGTTATGTTGTCCCAAGCAAACGGTCCCGGGACTTCGCCGTACGGTCCAAGGGGCTGAGTCTGATTCTCGAGAAGGAAGACGTTGTTCTCATCCTTGTGGGGATAGAGGGTGACCTGCTGCTGCTTGCTGCCATCGGGGTACATGTGGGGGTGCGAATGCAGATACCCTCCCTGGGTATTCCAGTGCCGGAGGCTCACTCTGGAACCAAACGCGACATCGGCAGGGACGTCCTGCATGCTCTTCGAGTTGAGTGTCGCCTGGAACTCGGCAGACATGAAGCCATCACCTTCTCCGGGATTGACCAAACACAGGAAGTGGATGTAGAACATTCCGACGTAAAATCCAATGGGTATGATGATCAGACAGAAGAAACGCGCGAAAAAGTGTTTGAACCACAGACGCTAATTTCTCTCAAGTCAGTCAGGCTTTAAATATATGGAGAAGAGGGATACGCACCGGAGTAACGGTCTCTGGATCGCCCAGCAGAACCCACAGCTGGAGAACAGTGAGGGATCCAACCCAGGCAGTGGTAAAAAGCCCGACCCATTTCACACTGAGTGTAGCACCCAAGCAGAGACCAGTAGCAGCTAGCCAGAACCACCACTGGGGTCGGAACGCTTTGGCCGGCCCCTGTTCATGTTGGTTGGTGAAGCAAGTAAACGACAACGCCGTGAGAGCGGTGAAAAAGATGAGAGGCGAATCGAGGAGAATGAAACGAGACTGAGTGATGAAGCCGTTTTCTGCGCACACAGGATCATCAGTACTAGTCCCACTGGGAAGCTGGGAGGAGGCGCATACCAAAAGTTAGGACGGCAGCACCCAGCGCAGAGGTCGATGTGCGACAGCCAGATGCTCTCAGCGTCAGGAACATGAGCGGGACGGTCAGAACGCCCATAATAGCGGGGAGCATTCGCATCGCCACATATGGCACTCCGGGCTCGAGGTAGTCCTTGCCAATATCCTTGAAGTCAAAGTCGCCATTGAAACCAGCCAGCCATCCGGCCAGGGTGATCAGGAGCTTAGCCAGCGGGGGGTGAACGTCCATGAAAAATCTCCCCTTGATATATTTCGAAGCAAACCCACCGAAGCTATGAGAAATTATCATCAGTTGAAGCTCTTTTCGCGGAATCGCAAGCTAGCAAGCAAGGACGTACTGGACTTCATCGAACACGACACTGGATGGCTGGTAGATCCTGAACAAGCGGACAATTGCAGCCAGAGCCGTCAGGACAAGCACCAGCTTATAGTCCGATTTGGGCAACCGGAAGATATTATTGTCTTTGACCCCGTCTGATCCATAATGGTTGGACTTCGTTGTCACGCCGCCCTTCTTACCCTTGGGGTTGGGAGAACGGCTGCGAGAGCGCCCCGTTCGAGGGAGGGGCTTCACCTCCAGCACATCTGCCGCCTTCGGGGGCATTGTGACAGTCTGGATGGAGCACCGTGAAGCAGAAACGCCGTGTCGAGGTGAAATCGTTCTCTGATCTCAGATCTCAATGGCTCAAGGGGAAGTGATGGGGGAACCCCCAGCCGAGAACACGCGGTCCCCGCGTCAAAGGGAAGTAAGTATGGAAAGAAAAATCAATCGGGACTCAACGAGAGTAGTGACAGGCAGAGATGTGCCCCATGACAATTAAAGGACAGAGGAATGTAGGACGGGATATATTGCAATCAGACAAATGAAGCTCCCGGTGCGGAAGACGAAGGTCGGAGTCGTAAGCGTTGTCAGTAGAGGCCAGATCGTCGGCGCCTGCGGAGGCGGAAGGGGGAATTAAAAAGGACGAGCTACTACTGCGCCCTGCGTTTTCACAGCTATTCAAGGCCCGCGCAAGAGAATCCCAGAAATGTGATAGCAGCGATGGCCTTCTCTACGTGCTCACTATAAATTCCTCGCGTCAGATGCTCTTTTGGATGCATTGTTTCACGGCTGCCGCGAGAGCAAGCTACTTACTACTCTCTCGATGGGGTACTTTGTTTCCACTGTAATTTACCTGGGATTACAGGTACCGGCGCACGTACCAGGCGGGCTGGCGGTTACGCGCGCGGGTAAAAGCGAAAGTTAGCGCCAGCCGCCATCCATGAGGTCAAATGTCGGCAGCTTTGAGCTCGTCGAGATACGACAGTTCGACCTGTTAGACCGTTGCCCCCTCCATCTTCCCTCGCTTCTTACGACCCGCGCGTGCAGGGTACGACAAGATGGCGGCTTCAACTGCAAACGGGACCCCCGCGACGCCAACGCTGCCCGAGGAGGTCAGCAAACCTCCCGAGGGAGTGGTTTTGCCGCCCAAGGATATTCGAGGTAAGTCACTTTGCGCCCTGCTCGTGTTCGCGTTTTGTGCAAGGCTAACTCATCTCTAGCTATCGTCGAGAAGACGGCTGGTTATGTGGCTCGTAACGGTGCCATTTTCGAGGGTAAGTCCATCCGTTGATGCTATCTCTCTGGTCGTGATAAGATGCTGATACACTGGATCCAGACCGTGTCCGCGAAAAGGAAAAAAATAACCCCAAATTTTCCTTCCTGAGTCCCAACGATGCATACGCACCATTCTATCGATGGCGACTCAGCGAGATCAAGGAAGGACGAGGGACTGCTGTCTCAGCAGGACGGCCAGGAGAGGCGGCGGCGGCGCCCGAACCAGAAAAGCCTCAAGGACCTGCGCAACCGCCAGAGTTCCATTTCTCAGCACGAATGCCGATTATCAACGCTCAGGATCTGGAAGTGGTCAAATTGACAGCCCTCTTTGTCGCCAAGAGAGGCAAATCCTTCATGACGGCGTTATCGCAGCGCGAGACGAGAAATTTCCAGTTCGACTTTCTACGACCGCAACACAGTCTCTACCAGTTCTTCAGCCGATTGGTAGATCAGTACACGATATTGCTACGACCGGACCATACCGAACTTCCTGAGACGAAGCGGATAGGCGAGCTGGAGCAGAACGTGAAGAACAAGTACCACATCCTGGAACGCGCAAAGCAGCGAGCAGAGTGGGTCAAGTACCAGGAGCAGCAGAAGCAGAAGAAAGAAGAAGAGGAGGAGCAGGAACGGATAGAGTACGCTCAGATCGACTGGCACGATTTCGTGGTCGTCGAGACGGTCCTCTTTACCGAGGCCGATGACCAGGCAGAGCTACCACCGCCAACATCCCTCAACGACATCCAGTCTGCATCGCTCGAGCAGAAGGCAATGATGTCTCTCAATCCCCTGCGCATCGAGGAGGCCATGCCCACAGATACAGACGACCATGTCTACTACAACGCCTACCCTGCCGAACCTACACCTCAATACACTCCCTCCCCTGGCCCACAAGTGCAGCCTCCAGCTCAACCTCAACAACCACTCCCCGCAGCTGCTCCTACCCCGTACAACGTACCACAGCCCGCGCCCGTCGCGCCCGTGGGCGCATCTCGCGAGGAGGAAGAGCGCGCCGCTGCAGCTCAAACGACCGGCCGACCCCCCACCGTCCCAGGCCAACCGCCCATGCGCATCCGATCCGACTACGTCCCTCGCGCCCAGGCTCGTCGTCTCAACAACGCCGGCGCCACAGCCCTCTGCCCGAACTGCAAACAGCAAATCCCCGTCTCCGAACTCGAGCACCACATGCGTATCGAACTGCTCGACCCCCGCTGGAAGGAACAACGAGCCAAGGCCGAATCCCGCAGCGCAACCACCAACCTCTCCACCGTCGACGTGGTCAACAACCTCAAACGTCTCGCCAGTCAGCGCAGCGACGTCTTCGACTCCACGCCCATCGTTCCGGGCGAAAACGTCCCCGAGAGCGAAGAAGAAGCCCGTCGAAAGAGAATGGCCATGGGTGCGCAGATGCCTGCATACCCTGGTGCTCCTCCCCCTCCCCCCGGTGCTGTCCTGGCGTTGGCCCTACCGTCGGACCGCCTGGCACGAATCCGCAAAATATGGACATTAATGAACAGATCAGACATATCCATCAGAGATATGGACAATAGAAATGCCAAAAGAATATGCAGGAACAAAAGTCGTGTCGTTGCAGTGGTGTGGAGTATGCAGATATTCTTCTAATCGCGGTTTAAACGGAGTTCTTCTCATTATTATCGGTGGGGGGTTATTTTTCTTCTTCTTTGAAACAGGAAGATACGTCATGTTGTATAAGTAGTTCTCTCAAATACTTCGCCTCACTTCTTCAGATATCTCAGATTGAGCGAGCACGAATCGAACTTGACTATGATTCAATCTACTTGAAACCCAATAAGCTCGAGTATCTACCTGATATCTCCCTCACAGGGAAAACGTAACGATTAAAACTATATAAGATCTATTTCCATGCGGCATTAACAGCGTTTAGTAGTTTTTGTCTCCCAAGCAGAAAGGGGAGCAATAAATAGTAACGAAAGACAAGAAAAGAGAAGCTCCGCATAAGTAAACAGGGAAAAAGACAATATGCACGAGTCAAAATAGTGTGATATCGCGATAATATGTATGGGGGATGCTGACATTCGCATTCACCGAGAAAAAATCACAGAAACAAGCAACAAGATATACTCCAGCGGTAGACGCCTCGAACGGCCAAAAAAGACAGATCAGGATGACGTCCGTCTGGAGAAGGAGGCTCCTTTCCCGGCAGAACCAGTGAGAGAAGCCTCAATCGAACAACTTCGCTGATTTGAGAAAAACAAAACGCGACAGTAAGACCATCCATAAACATCACAAAAGACGGTGCGGGTATTATTATATAGTAGTGACGCAAAATGTCGGGGTAATAATACAGACGAGCAAAGTGCTCTGGAAGTGAAAGGAACCCGAGTATCCTGCGGAACCATGCCATGATAATTACAACAGAAGTTATATGCAATAAAGAAGGGTAAAGACGCATGAAGCGTCCCGTTTCGGCGGACCCTTCGGAAACGGGTATCGATGATGATATTCATGACACGTGTTCATGAATCGGTTAGACATGGAACGTGGTTCTCTGTCAGTCGAATGATCCAGGGATACTAACTGTGAGCCTGGGTGCGGTCTCCGCATCACCCTTGAGTGGTGGAGTAGAGGGACGATCCTGAGATGCTTCTGGCTCTGTTTCAGAGACGGGAATCCGCGCTGAATGCACCTCTGTGTGTTTCTCATCCGAAGCAAGATGATTCGGTTGTGTATCCGCTTCCTGAACTTGTTCAGCTTGAGAGTCGACCTTCTCTGAAACCTGAATATCGTCCTTCACGTCTTCCTCCTTCATGTCCTCATGTCGGACCTCTTCAATCTCGACCTGCGAGATGATTGTGGTGCCGATGGAGGCTCTCTTGGCGCCAGAATGGAAAGGATCTTCAGACTCATCGGAGGTCTCCTTGCTGTCTTTCACTATTACGCTTTCGGAGATGGAGCATCGCCGAAGCCTCATAGATGAATGGTCTCCGGATTCACCATTGTCCTCAGCCGGGGCCAAGGAGTCCTGATCCGGAGAAGTCTTCTCAGGACTCGACGCCGCGGTGGTAAACGTCGGTACCACGCCTCCGCCGATCCTCGACCAGAACATCCTTTCCCTTAAGCGGATGGTCTCTTCCCAAGCTTCCTTCTCATCCTCCGCGTCACTTACGCGGATATGCCCGTCAAGGATGAGACGCAGATAGCCGGTGAAGTCACAGCATGAGCGCACCTTCTCGAGACAGAGCACGCACAGTGGATACCGCTGAGCGGTCTCACTGTCAGAAGTTCGGAATCGATGAGTTCTCTCATTCTCAGTACCCTTCCTCCGTTCGCCGCAGAGAGAACAGGGAAATGCATACTTCAAAGATGCGGGCGGCATGGGCTCCACGACCAGTGAACCTTCGCAAATACTACTGAGAACACTGCGGCGTGTAAGCCAGGAGATGCCAGGAGCCATATCGAGCCTCAAAGTCGGCTCAATGTCTTCCGTTAGAGCTCGCTTGTAGAATCTGGTCTCCTTCAGTGGGATATGAGCACTGGAAGGTTGTGGGGAAGAAGCACTTGAATTCGGTGAGTGACTTTGGGATATTGACCCCTGCAATCCGAAAGAAGGGTTTGGAGAAATGCTATGGCCGGCTAAGCTGGCCAACCCCATCACATTCAGGCCAGCGTACGATCCACTGGCAGCCCGGCTGGGAGGTTTCGAGTTCGTGGAGTGATTCAGCAGATCGCGGAAGTCATCGTACGCTTGCACGTCCGTACGGCACACGGTCTTGATCAGGTTAGGGAAGCTGGTGGAGGGGCCCGGTGAGAGGTCCATAGAGACTGGAGTAATAGGCGAAAAGCTCGGGGTTTCACGCAGTCGACTGATACCGGCGAGGGATTGCTGGGTGACGCACGGCGAAGATGGAGCGGTAGAGGCAATGGTAAGAGTATCGGCTTCATCACGAACACTGCCCATTCCTTGCATCACGCTCTTCAACTCTGCGAGTTGTTGTTGTTGAGAGGCCATGAGATTCTCCATGTCCTTTATCTGTGATCGTAACTGCTCATTTTTCTTTTCCACAGCTTCCCGTTCCTGCTTGGCTGCAGACACCATCTAAATAGTCCTCGTCAGCCTAGGCCTAGACTGGACGTTGGTGCTTATCAGTTGAAAACTCACCTTGTTGGCCTCTTCGAAGAGGGCCGCTGTCAGAGTCTCGAGTTCTTGCTCGATGTTCTTCTTGGCTCTGTCGGCCAGAGCACGCTGGGCACGCTCCTCCGCCAAGGAGGCTTTCAGGCGTAGAATCTCATAGTCGACGTCGGACTTTTTGACCAGCACTTCGTCCGTGATGTCTTTGCGGTATTTATCGTTCGCCGTCTGGAGCTCTGTAATCTTGCTCTGTGCATTCTCTAGTTGCTGGCGGGTTTCCGCCAGCGTGTCGTCCAACGTGGTCTGGTTGTTGATCGCCTGGATAAGCTTGACACTCAAAGCGGCGACTTCATTGCTCAGGTCCGGGTGATGGGGAGCCGACGTTGATGTCTCCGACAGATCCGAAGTACTCGCGAGGCGTGGATCTCTCAGCGTGTTCAAGTTGCTCTCTGGAAACTCCTCGATCTTTGGGTTTGAGGTCGACCTCGTGAACTTGCTGCTGAGGTCGGATAGGGCGTTGGTCGATTTGGCTTTGGTAACTGATTTCCCCGGGGACACGGATCTGGTGCCGGACGAGGCTGATCTCTGGTGACTAGGACGAGACGTCATCCTGGAAGGTGATATGAAGCGATAGTGTGAATGAGAGTATAGAGAAATAAGACTATTGCGATGATATCAGCACTCAAGACCCCAAGCGCTCGTCCTGACCCGCGTATAGGAAGGACGAGCGACAACGGAAATGGGGGGGAAGATGTTGACGACTCACTCCGCCATGATGGGGGGGACAACCGTCGTCCGCGGTGGAAGCAACCGTTCTACTGAGCTGCGTCTGCGGGCGTATATCACGCAATTGGGGTCGAGGAGTCGTCACGGTGGTCAAGCGAGACCCGTCAACTGGTAAACCTCACAGAACAAGGCGGTTGGTGCATTGGGTCAGAAGGAAGAGGCCATGTGCGTCGTACCCGCGAACGGGTGTTGGCGTTGAGGTCACAGATCACAGCGAATGAGACGCATTCGCAGATAGGCGAGATAGGCAGAATGAAAGACAGATACCTCGACGGAGAGAGAGGGTGAACTTCCAGCGTCAATGGAGCCGTTCAGCCGTCGACCTCTCGTTCTGGTGGGTGAGGGGAACAGGGAGATGACAGAGAGAGAGAGGGGAGAGAGAGAGGAAGTAAGAGTAAGGATCGTGATGAAGTGAGGAGATGGCCTCGGTGACTTTGGCGGTTGCCTTTTGCTGGCAGCTCGTTCTTTCCTGGCCAGATCGGGATCCGGTTGGCCCGCTTGCCGCCCTGGGAGGTCACATGATGCCCGGGGTGGAGAGCCATCGACGTAAGAGGACGGCAGAATTGATCAATTAATTAATTGGATTAATTGGATTCTTGGATTACCAGATAGATAATAATAATAATAATCAGAGTACCATAAGAATCAATTCATCCTCGAGATTCCGTCGCAAACAGTATATTCATCAATGGTGATCTCATCCCACGTGTCGTCACATTCCTCTCGCGGGTGGCTGACGCAGATTAGGCTTCATAACGGCCGCGCCCAGCTTTGGATCATGCAAGGACTCTCTCCGGCAGTTTCTTCACGCTGCTAATCTTAGACAGAACTCGAAACAAGTCGACGGATAGTGCCGGTGAGTTATCAGGAAACTTGATCGTCCCAGCTTCTCTGGTGTGCTCAAAGCCCGGCGCGGTAGAAGCCAAGCTTCTCGATGCGTATGGAAACCATCGACCAGGAAGGGATACACACTACTACCTCTTCTGAGAGCTGCTTCTGCTCTAGATACACTACTATCTAAGATCGTCACAAAGTCGCAGAGTAACACCAGGGCAACCAATGCTCGTTACTACTGGGCCGCAATGGCTCGTATACCGCGCAGCTGATGAAGCCAGGAGGATCGACGCGTAGCATTCGCTGACGCCATGCCAGAGGATCATCGTTGGTCTTGAAACTACTGTACGATTTACCTGTTTCTCCCCGTGTCACTAGCAACTAGCATATTATTACGAGTATAACTGTTAGTATTTTTTTTTCCTTGGAATATTCTTAGAAACACTGCCCATGCGCAGACTAAGTCGCGTACCCCTGAAAGATCAGATCCCATCGTTCTCGGGCACAGGTCAACTGCCGTCTTGAGCGGTGGTCAAGGCGTCGGACTGTCGCCCCGCACATTGAGAGCCATTGTCGCCTCAGGCTGCCAAGTGGGGGAAACCGTCTTTTTGGGTAAAATTGGCCGATGGTGTCTGTAGACTGTAGAGTACTACATTGATCGCTATAGGTATCTTCTTGTTCTGTGATTCTTTTTCTCAATATCCTAGATTTCCTTGCAGCAAGGATCAGGTGATATACACGGTCAACCAGTTCCTAGAGAATCCGGACTTGGTACTCCGCACACTAGTTAATACTTCGAACGCCAAAAGTCATCGAACAAGACCACGCGATCTGGAGAAAATTAGCCAACAATGGCGGACGCTGAGCTTGAGGAGGTGAGTTCTCCTCCCTTCGATCGCGCTAGCGGTGATTAACGGTTTGGAATTTGGTATAGATCAGAAGAGCCCGTCTGGCGCAGCTGCAACAGCAGGCCGGTGCACGAGGAAGTCCAGCTGGAGGATCCGGTCAAGATGAGCAGAGACAGTGAGTTTGCCCTCTTTCAGGCTGAATAAACTGTCCTCGTCCATTATTCTCTTGATTCGGGATTACTATAACAAGATAGCAAGGAGCTAACCCCGACACTCTCCAACAGACAAGCCGCCGAAGGTACCTACCTACCTATTCTCCCTTCAACATCCCCTCCACCTCCCTACATATCCCTTTCTCTCAACATCCACCACTCTAACCACCACTACCAGAACGTCGCGCCGCCATCCTAAACCAGATCCTCGAACCCGCCGCTGCCGACCGGCTCGGTCGAATCCGCCTCGTCAAGGAATCGCGCGCCACCGACGTCGAAAATCGACTCATCATGCTCGCCCAGACCGGCCAGCTACGGCAGAAAGTCACCGAAGACCAGCTCAAGGAACTTCTGAATGCGGTCGCGGAGAACCAGCGTGAAGAGGAACAGAAGATTGTGATTAATCGTCGGAAGGGCGGTTGGGATGATGACGACGATCTGTTGGATTTGTGAGCGCCGGCTTGCAGATTTGCTATTTGTGATTTCGACTGGAGGGTTGAGTTCTATGGAGGGCTATTCATGCTATGGATGATGATCAAAAATTTTACTCTAGCGTCCGTTTTATGTATGTGCTCTATATTCTTCTATATTATATTTTTTTTTGACCCACGAGGGATTTCTCCGCTGTACGGATTGTTGCATTCACGAGGCTAAAGAAAAAAAGGGAAACAAAAGAAATAATGAACCAACAAAAAACAGTACTAGTTCATTTCTTAATCCGTTATAATGTATAAAATGTTACAATCCCTCTTCCTACAAGGAACCAGTCCCTCAACTCCATCCCGCAGCCTTCTTCTTTTCCTGCATCTCCTTCTCCCTCTTCTGCTGCTGTCGCATCATCTTCCGAATCTGCCTCAGATCCGGCGGCTTCTCGATATTCAGTTCCGCCCGCAACTCATCCACATCCTTCTCCAGCACCTCTTCCCAATACACATTGATGAGCTCCTCACTCGCCAATCCACTCCGCACCGCCCACGGCAAATGCAGCGCGAAGAACCTCTCCCGCTCTGCAGGCTTCAGCCGCATCAGCGCAAACAGACTTAACCCGGTCATCGGGATGAGAGTATTGAGGAACTCGAACGCCTTCAGCGCCAACTCGCCCTCCACCATAGTCGGTAGACCCGTGACGGCGTGGTAGAAGTCATGACTCTCGCGATATCGCTGCATGACGTATGCGCATTCTTCGTCATCGATGTACTGTACGCTGCTGCGGGTGTCTGGCGAGACGCCCTCGCGATCCAGCCACGCGGCGTAGGTCCGGCCGACGGTGTTCTCGGGTAGGGTGCGGAGGTGGGCAAGAGAAAGGGTTTCGGAGGTGAGGCGCGGACGGTCACGGAGGATGCGTCGTCCGGTTGGGTTCGAGAGCATGGCGTCGCGGAGACGGTAGATGAAGTAGGGTGTTGCGGTGGCTTCGCCTAGGGCTGCGATCAGGTCTGTAGATAGAGTAGTGGAGTGGAATCAGCCATTTTATTCAGTTCGGACTTTCAATTGATGAATAGATAAAGCTAGCATAGTTAATACCTCCTCGATATGGGTTCAGCAATGATCCCACGGCCGAACCGACCGCGAGAGCGCTCCGCTCAACGAACGTCAACGGGACATGACCCGGATAGTTGGGCGGCGGACGGTTGAGGACGGAAAACGATCGGAGGGCGATAGGAGCTGCAATTGAAGGAGTCGAGGCGGTCAATGCCCGGAGCGGGACGTGCCTTAGTAGCACCGGCATTGCGAATGTATCCCGGTGCCAATGCTGAGCATGGCTTTGGGAGAATAATGCGGTGGATGTAGAAGTACGTCCAGGCGGAGTGGATGGTCTGTCGCGGAAGCTCTGGGGCTCCGGAGCTTGGAGTACTTAACTAAATCCAGTAGGAAGCTCTGTTGCGTAGGCGGTCTTTATGGGCACACAGAGTCAAGTATGCATAACTATGCCCAGCCCTGGAGGTAGATGGATGATACTCATTCAAGTTAGTGAAGTTGACTAGTTAACTAGTTAGTGAACTACGCTGCTTACCTAATGTCTGTCGGTCAAGTAGAAAGAATACCTTTTACATTTTATTATATCAATTATTTCATCCAATTTTGGTCATCTATAGATTCGCGGAAAGTGGATCTCATATACAATTTAAGCTCCTTTTAAGACGAGAAGAGTTGGATATCATCAGCACATGTTCTGACTGCAGTACGAAACATCGTGCTAAGCAGAGACACGAATTAGATCCCGCAGTTTGAAGGCATAATTGGCCCATTAAGAAGCCTACAAGCCAGCTGGAAACATGTCAGCTCCAGGGGACAATCACCTTGCGTTCACAGAATGGGTTATATCCCAAGGAGCCAAAATCAACGGCGTGGCACCAGCTCGATTTCCCGGACGAGGCCTGGGGATGATAGCCACCAGAGATATCGAAGTACGCAATACTTAAATCTCTCAATCAATCCCAATCCATTCTTTGATTTTTGAACGCCAACGCTAACATACTCCCCCGATTCGAACGTAAAAAGGAGGGAGAAATCATGGTCCAAGTCCCCCTAAAGGCTATGTATACCATTGACTCCATCCCTCCATCATTCGTCAACAAATTCCTCGACGGCATCTCCGTCCATGGCCTCCTCGCTGCCTTTCTCACACACGGAGACCCCAACCTCCTAGAGAAATACACCCTTTGGCAAGCCGTCTGGCCCACCCGACAGGACTTTGCAGATAGCATGCCCCTACTCTGGCCAGAGCATCTACGCTCCCCATCCGCTAACACGCTATCCCCAACCCCAGAAGTGCTCCTACCACCCTCTATTTCAGGCCAATGGAACACAATCCGCAAGAAAACCCTAGACGAACCGTACAAGACGAATCATCAGAACCTCCTCCCGGAAATGGAGAAAAGGTTCCAAGATGCATGGGATAGTGTGCGTGCCGTCTTTCCAGATACGGATCGGGAAACATACTTGTATTTCTGGCTCATTGTCAATACGAGGAGTTTTTACTATCTTATGCCGGATGAGGATCCGCCGGAAGATAATAATGATGCTATGGCGTTGGTGCCTTTTGCGGATTATTTTAATCATTCGGATGAGGCGGTGAGTTGTTCTCTTTCTCTCCTTTGTTTTTAATTCATTTCTGATGTTTCTGGGAAGTGTGATGTTGTATTCGATGGCGAGGCGTACACATTCAGAGCTACAAAACATTATGGTACGTAATCATTCAACTCTAGACTTCTTCTTCATCATCATCATCCAGGAACAAAACTAAGTCAAGACCGGATAATACAGACAAAGGAGAAGAAATATACATGAGCTACGGTCCTCATCCAAATGACTTTCTCCTAACAGAATGTAAGCCCATTAAACCAAACCAAACCTACATTTCATCTCAGTCTGATGATTAACTAACATGAAAAATAATAGACGGCTTCTATCTCCCCACCAACAACTCTGACGCTATATATCTCGACGACATCATTTTCAGAGACCTCAACGCATCAAGTATCGAACAGTTGAAACTTCATCAGTATTATGGGTTCGTGATTCCCTTCCGCAACCCCTCCCCACCCTTTGGCATCAATTTAAAGGAACTAGATTTATTACTAACATAAACCCCTCTCCCAAACAGCAACTACCAACTAACACCCACCGGCCCATGTTTCCGAACCGAAGTCGCTGCCTGTCTGAAGTACCTTCCCGCAAAGGACTGGCGGAGCTATGTCCAGGGCCAGTCGACGCGGGGAGTGAGTCCCAAGAAGACGAGTACGGTGGTCAGGGCGTGGATAGGACGGTATCGGAAAGAGGCTGAGGAGACGATTGGGATTTTGGAGAGAAGCATTGAAAATGAGAAGAAGGAGGGAGAAATTAAGGAAGACAGAGAGAAGTTGGATGTGGTGTTGGGGAGATGGAGGCAGATTAGGGGGTTGTGTGAGAGTGCGTTGGAGAGTATGAGGTAGGGGCTTTTTTTTTTTTCCTTTTGTTTCTTTTTGGTGGATGGTTGGCGTCAGATTATTTCCAGGTTGGAAAGGAAATATAGATAGATGGGAGGTAGCACAGAAAAGAGTAAGGTAAGGTATACCATCTGTTGACTGTGTATTTCTAACCGAACATGAAGAAAAATGATCATGTATGTATATACAAGATATCAAACTAGAAAGGGAGCCTGACCAATGGAGATTAGAAAAACTATTCAATCCTCGTTCTCCAACCCCGAAAGATCAAACGGAACGGCGCCCGCCTGTCGCAGATTATCAATATCGTTCTTCGCAATGACCAGCTGCTTGATCATATAATTCACCGCACACTTGATGCCTAACTCCTCTCCGCGCCGGATGATATATCCATTGATGTACTCGATCTCAGTCTCCTGGCCCCTTCGTACGTCCTGCAACATCGAGCTTGTGTTCTTGGCTGTTTTCTGCGCCAGTTGCACAGCCATATGCCGCAGACGGTCAGGAGCGAACCTGTTCTGAACGCCTGGTACTCCTTGCAGCTCGGGTAGACTGCAGATGACAGTTGAAATCTCGATAAGTAACAAACGCATAGCACGTGTGATAGCATAGTTGTAGAGGAGTTCGCCATTCTCGCAGTCCATGAGGACAGTGAGCGGATTGATTACCGCATTCATGGCAAGCTTCTCGAGCTGATATTGCAAGAGCGCGGTGGGAGTCTCAGCCACAGCGACCAGAGGCGGAGTCAAGGTGAGTGTACGGAGGAGATATTTCGTCGACGGAGCCCAATCATGACCTTGCTTCTCCGCTGCGGTGAGCGCGCGGGAGGGGACTGGACTGAGGATGGTGGTCCCGATCCCAGCATGGGCGACTTTGAAAGGCACCTGGCGGAAGAGTCCGTGGGAGATGATGCCCAGCATGTAATTAGGCCGTTCGTACGGATGCGGAAAGACTTTCTCGTTGACCTCGTCGATTATTCCCATGCCGTTCTGAAGGAATAATACGGTTGACTCTGGCGTCAAGCGGTGGCTGACAGACTTCAGAGCCTTGACTGTCTGAGGAGCCTTGACTGTCACGATCAGACATTCGATCTTCTCGTCATCTTGCGCAGACTGGGTGATTTGTTCTTCGATCTCCTTCTCTGAAGCCGTGTCACTGTTGCTCGGAAGCTCTCGTGGTCGAGACTCGTCCCAGTACGGGAGCGAGTACCACGTATCGTCGTGAAGGACGTTGATATCAAAACCCGTTCGAATATCGTCCAAACCATTGGAGCTGACCGATAAGCATCCTTTCATTTCCAACCACAGCCGGTAGAAATCTGTGTTATGCAATAGCAGTGTGATCGGGGGCGGCGATGTTCCTCGTGCTAGGGAATGTGCGACAAATGTACCGATGTTTCCCATTCCAATGATATGTATTCGTCCGGACAGCCGCCGCTTCTCTGTTTCTCGTGCTATCTCGTCCACATCTTGCATCCATGATTTGCGCACTGGGCCACTGGATATGGATCGACTGGCGGCCCAGCAGCCAAGTCTAAAGCTGCGGAAGGTACATGTCTCACGCTCTGGCGTGAATATCAGTCCAATCCGCAATAGCGGACGGCCGAACCGTGTGTGAGACACTTTGGACGGTGGTGAGGAAGGATCCCAGGGAAAGAGGTTCAGTGATCGAGCAATGCAGCCGGAAGCTTGACGGTGAGCAATGACGAACTTAAGTTTGCATTATGTAGTGATTATGAGCTTCTCTGAGAGAGCTCCCTGTAATCCTGCCAATGCTCTGAGGGGCTTGAGATGGACCGTTAGTAGCTCCCGAGCTCTATCGCATCAGCTTGTTGGAAAGATGATGTCGAAGCTCGGCGATACGTAATTTGGATACCGGATACGATACCAGAAGAATTACCAGCACTGATTCGCCATGCTCACTCACCGCCCGCAAAAAGATCGACAAGCAGAAAGATTGTCACGCTTCGCAACTTCATCATTTTCCTCGCGCCTGCAACCAGCCCAGCATGGAGTCCGCTGATTTAATCCCGCTGCTCGACCGACTCGAGGAAAATGTTGACGACCTGGAGGAGGTCCTCCAACCTCTCCTCAAGCGTCCGTTGGCCGACACCTCCAGGAAGTTGCCTGTCATGGACCGGGCCAAACTCCATGTGCTGATCACCTACACGCTCGAATCATTGATTTTCTGTACGTCTGTCGGCCGCTGTTGAGAAGAAGGTCGCGTACTAACTTTACTACAGCTTACTTACGTCTTCATGGAGTCAATGCTAAGGAGCACCCAGTGTTCCGCGAACTGACCAGAGTAAAACAGTATTTCGAGAAGATCAAGGCGCTGGAGACGGAGCCGGAAGAGCGCACCATGACTCTTGACAAGCAGGCCGCCGGGCGTTTTATCAAGCATGGTTTGGTGAGTCTTTATCTCTCTCTTCCTGTTTTACGCGACACTCGCTAACTTGGCACAGGCCGGAAACGACAAATACGATCTGGAACGCGCCGAAAGAGAAGCCAAAGAGAAGGCACTCGCGCAACTCAAGGCTAAGCTACTGGCCAAGAAGAGCGCGTCCGCTGATAAGAAGCCATCGGATGAGGCAGAAGAGGACTCGAGCAGCTCCGAATCCAACTCTGACAAAGACGACCTTGACGATGATGAGGATGTCATTGAAGGTTTGGAACCGGCTGAGCCTGCACAACCGCAGAAATCTACCAAGGGCGCGACAAGTAGTGACGGAAAGTCTGGAAAGGGAAAGGCAGCCAAGCCAAAGAAACAACAGGATAAGGAGGAGCGCCGAGAGGCTCAAAAGGAGCGACGGCGGAAGAAGAATGAGAAGCGGAAAGCCCGGAGAACGGCAGCGCAGAAGGGATGATCGACGCGTGGTCGCTACGGACTAAGATTGTGGATGTCCTGGACCATGCCCAGATCGCCTTTCTCCTGAATACCAGATGTCACCATGGAGCGTGACGTCGAACGTCTTCACCGTCTAGAAGGGAAGACTTGCTACCGGATAGTCCGCACTGTTTACTCGATGTTCCCCTCGTCTTTATTCAGGACAAGTGGGAAGGCATCTGGAAGCGGTCATTTTGACCAGTTCATTCCCACGCGGTCCCTCATGGCAAACTCGACGCCTCGGGCTGAGCAGGTCAAATCAACTCTGCAATGTCGTGTCGCTCAGATGGGGCCAACAGAGGATTGGCCTCGTGCTAAGGGTTGTCAGCCATGATTTGCCCGAGAGAGATGCAAGCTGGGTCCGCGTTGTGCCATGAGTCAACCTTCGAGCTATCTCGAAGGTCCGCCACCGCGTCTGATGACTACTGTTTCAACAGCAAAGCTCGATCGAAATAGCAGTCAATGAATGAGACTAGACTTGATTCCCTCGTATCGGTACTTAAGATATTATTCTAGAATGCCCGTAGTCCAGCTCAGCCACAGATAGTAGAAAGACCTCCAGCCAATCAGGGCTGCCGTAGTCAGCACCCGCGCTGGCGGCCGGAACAATGTCCGGCCCGAATTGCATCCGCGGGACTAAGCGGAGTTTCCAGCGCCTCGGACTTTGAGCTTCTTTCTTTGCCTTCTAATTATAAGAATTGCTTGTTATCCTTTACTCCGTTCGTCCTTCGATTGTCCACCTCAGTCTCTCCATCTCGATCCCCTTCCACAACCACCTCTCACAACCGATTCAACATGCCTCGTCAACGCCGTGGTGCCGCTACCCCAGCGCGCAGCGCTCCTACCAGACCTACTGCTGCTCCCGCCGCCAGACCGGCTCCTGCGCAGCAGCAGTACCAGCCTCATTCGACCTCTGCGACCGCTCACCCTCCTCAGGCTCAGCAGGCTCCTCCTCCCCCGGTTGTCCAGCAGAGCTCCGGTCCCGGTCTCTTCGGCCAGATGGCCTCGACTGCTGCGTAAGTGGCCTCTCCACTCGATTCAAACAGCCCTATGTATATCTCGGAGAATCGGGACATGGAGGAATACATATGCCCCCTTTCTCTCTTTCCGTGCCACAAGATTTATCAGACAAAAACAAAAACTAATATTTTCAACCTTAGTGGTGTCGCCGTCGGCTCTTCCATCGGCCACGCCATCGGTGGCTTCTTCTCTGGCGGCTCCAGCGCCCCCGCCGAAGCCCAGCAGGCTCCTCCCGCCCAGGCTCAGCCCATGGACAACGGTCTGTACCAGAGCGCCGCCTCTACCAACGCATGGGAGAACCCTGCCTGCGCCTCCGACGTCCAGAACTTCCGCAAGTGCATGGATGACAACCAGGGTAACCTGAGCATCTGTGGTTGGTATTTGGACCAGCTGGTACGTTGAATATCATGAATCCATTTGGACCTTTTATCAGTGGCGAAATGAAGACGGATTTGCTAATTCCCTCTATAGAAGGCTTGCCAGGCTGCCGCTAAGCAGTACTAAGCTCTCTTTTTCCGAGATATATGTGGCGTGGCGTTATCTGATGGACTGAACTTGAACCCTTCTCCTGTTGTTTATATCTAATCGAAAGGAAAAGAAGACGATAGAGAATCTCCGGCTGTCTTTTTGGACTACCCAAAGATGGCTAATGTCAACAACTTATTTGTACGAATAACTACGTGCATATCCAGCGAGTATGCCATTTACATAGTCGTCCTGGAGTGCCTCTAGTGGCCCTCCTCGAGCAGACCTAAATCAGAGATATTCAAAGAAAAGAAAGAGAAGCCTCAAATAAAAAAAATGAAATAATGATATCGAATTGTCACTTCCAGTATCCCGTATCCCATAGAAACAAACTCCCCGGTAATTAATATACAAGGAAAAGAAGCACTCCAAAAAAAAAGAATAATTCGGCCCTCTGCCGTATCAGGTGGAAGGAGAGGGTAATGTCCTCTTTCTCGCTCCGTGTGGCAAAAGTTTCATTGAATGGCGGAAAGACAATCTTAGGCAATAGATATCATCCCGTACGAACGAGCTTATCGTTGGTCATTATCCCGTCGGGGCTCAAAGTTTAGCTATATCATTAAAAAAAAAAAAGTCAGTGATGTTATCCCTTGGTATTGCTCCAGTGGGTTATGGTTCGGTATACCTGATTTCCATTGTAGAATTGATTATCGCGCCGCTCATCTCTTTGGTCTCTCAACGTTCGGACATTAAGACCAACACCGTTTCTCGGTCTCGCAGCGCCATTTCCTGGTCGTTGAGATGGAGGTGGAGATGTGTTGTTGGAATCACTGCCAGGAGCGGTTTGGTTTCCGCCGTAACCCAAGATCGAACCGATTGTGCCGGTTACAGCGCCCACCGCGCCAGATACTAGGTTGTAGCCTGCATATAGTCCTCTGACTGGGAAGCTAGCTACTGAGGCGTAGGCCTCAGTGTACGACTGTACCGGGACCATGACGAGGTTAGCAGTCGGGCCAAGGCCAAGTTCCTGTAGCGTTTGCTCCTCCTCGGACACGGAGATGGTATGGTTGGGAAGAGGGGTTAGGACGTGCTTCAGCGTGTAAGGACGATCGCCATCGGTGCGCTTCTCTTCCAGCCAAGGACGAACATTGGCGCGGATAGTATCGGTTGGGGAGAAACTAGAGCGCACGGAGCTGCCGTCGAAAAGACGGACCTGTAGGCGGTACTGTGTTGGTGCTCGAGGCTGTGGGCGCTCTACTGCCGGTGTGGCGGCTTCGTTGATTGTTCTCGAAGAGGTGGGCTTTGATTGCGCTTCTTTGCGCTTGACTTCCTCCTGATCCTGCTTGGCCTGCTTGGACGCTCGTTCCCGCTCCTCTCGATGCCGTTGTGCTCTGCTTTCTGCTTGTTCATTCGAAACTTTGTGCCCGGGCCTCTTCGATGGCCCCATATGTCCCGTTTCCGTTTCCTTCTTCTCGGGTTTCGATTCCGTCTTGGATTCCTGCGCTACAGGCTGCGCAGGTGGTGTAGACTGCGCAGGTTGCGCGGGCTGCGGAGCGCTAGCAGCAGTGGATGGAGCTGATGGTAGCTGGGCGGCGGCAGCATTATCCTCTCCAGCGCTGCGTGCCGACGAAGCAGGGGCGGATATTGCCGTTTCAGGGTTTCCTACAAGGACTGCCTTGAGGCGGTTGCGGAAGGCATCCTTCGACGTCCCCGCCACTATGTATTCATTGAGCATGCCATTTCTAACCGTCGATTAGCTCCGATTTCTCTATAATCCCAGTTTCTGTCCCACATACTTGACGACTACCACAGTAGGGTATTTGCTGATCGAGCAGAAAGACGACAGGAAGCCAGCTTCCTGGGTGCCTTCTTTCAGTCGCAGAGTCACAGACTTGTCCTTCAATAATTGGGTTATCTGCTTCACTGTTAGCTTAACATGTCCGTCGTGAATGTATGACCGAATCAAGGGACCATACCTCTTCATCTGCGAAATACTCATTCTCCCATTCGGAGCTCTCTTGCGAATCATCTGTACGACCACATCGATTAGTGACGACGCACACGAGTCATCCAAGATAGAATAAGGAAATGCGAACCTCGAACGAAACAGACGACTAGCTTTGACTCTCGGACAGCAAGCTCGATGCCATCCTGCAGCGGCCCCTCGTAGAACATCGTGGGCGATAATTGTCCCAACACATGCTCTCTTCTCGATAGCGACGTACTGATATGACATGATCCAGAGGCGGAGGATCGTCGGGCCGCACGGGCCAAGCTAAGTAAGTAACCTTTGCTTTGCTCCGTCTGCGTCCGCGAAAAGAACATTTGATAACCCATACATACATACATCTTGGCTTCCTGTTCCAGCTCGCTCGTTTCTTTTTTTTGCTTTTGCTGGTTCTCGAAGCCGCAATTGAACCATGCAGTCTTTTAATAATTCAATCATGCGCAGAGCCGCCTCCGCATCATGGCGGGCGTCGTCTCGCATCGTGCCCCGTCCGGGCTTGTCTCCGAGCCATAATGTTCAACCAATGCATTTGCGAAGTCGACAACCGCAGATCCGCCAATCTAGCGGTCCCCGTCAGCTGGCAGATGACCCCAGATGGATTTCAGTCGTCGATAACCCATCTAGGATTGTTCGCACGGGTCGGAAACATGGACCTGGTCTCATTATTTTGGGTACAAATTGCCATTGTCCATAAGCAAGCGCATAATAAGAGCTAATAGGTTGGGTATCGTATAGCTTTAATTCCTGTTACGGCCTTTATTCTGGGCACCTGGCAGGTTCAGCGTCTGGACTGGAAGACCAAGTTGATTGCGAAATACGAGGACCGTCTCGTCAAGCCTCCGCTGCCGCTCCCGCCGCGGATTGACCCTGAAGCGATCTCCGAGTTTGATTACCGCCGTGTCTACGCTAGGGGCCACTTCCGACATGATCAAGAGATGCTGGTCGGTCCGCGCATGTATGAGGGCGAAGATGGATACTTTGTCGTGACCCCGCTCGAGCGGGGAGAGGGCGAAAGCACCATCTTGGTGAACAGAGGCTGGATCTCAAAGACTATGGCCGATCAGAAGGATAGAGAGCTAGGCTTGCCCAAGGGGGAGGTTGTTGTCGAGGGCCTGCTACGGGAACCGTGGAAGAAGAACATGTTTACGCCAGACAACAAGCCCGAGGAGGGGAAGTTCTATTTCCCTGATGTGTACCAGATGGCAGAGTTTACTGGAAGTCAACCTGTCTGGATTGAAGAGACTATGAGTGAGATCCCCCATAAGATATCCCTATACAGTACACCCTTTCCCATGCTAATCAACGTGGCATTCTATAGCGCCGGGTCTGATCGAATCGTGGGATAGAGCGGCCAAGGGCATACCAATTGGTCGTGCGCCCGAAGTCAACCTAAGGAACAACCACATGCAGTATATCTTCACCTGGTAAGTGCTGCCCGTGAAGGATGCTATGGCCGATCAGCATTGGCGCTCGTGCACTGCGAAGCTCGATGAATCCCATTACTGATGCCCATCAGGTACGGCTTGTCTGCCGCCACCGCAATCATGTTCTGGATGATTGTCCGGAAGCGACCGAACGAGGCGGTTCGGAGAGTCCGTCATAATACGACTTGGTAATTCTGCAGTGTGAGACATACAGCTCTGCGACTTTCATGGCGGCATAGCTAGTCGCATGTCCTGCAACAGTTCCTTCGGGAGGTGTTTCTGCGCCAGGGAAAATACTGTAGTCGCATTGTTGGTGTGACGCTGTCTGTGCATTTGTTAGCGGCGCTGGGGTTAATATGGGCGGCGTTCTTGGATATATTACCGTCTCATTAGAGTCATGACATCTCCCTCGTCAATGGTCTTCCGTCCCGCGTGTTTGGCATAGGCCGCAAGGTCATCGCTGGCCTGTTCGAAGTACCACTCGGACGCTTGCTCGATCGCGGCCAACGTCTCTTTACTGAGCTTTGTCTTCGCTCCAGCGCTTGTCCGTGCAAATCTGGTAGCCAGTTTCTTCACCATAGCAGCCGGCAAGTTTGGAACTGGGTGGCCGTGCCGTGAGATCTTCTTCTCTTTCCGTCCTTGTCGCAGGGGTTCGTCGCGCAGCCCTCCTCCAATGGGTGCTTGTTGGGTTGATCCAGCCTCCGATGCTTGATCACCCATGTAGACCTCCATCCCAAAGCCGCCTGTCACATCATCGTCGTCCTCATCATCATTGTCGCCGCGCTCTGACAATGGCTGGAGCTCTGGCTCATGCTGCATGTCGGCGGTGTCCAGCATAAACCCGTCATCGTCATCCTGCGCAAGGTCCGGACCAGTGGCAGCTGCGGCGTTGGGACTCGGAAAGTTGAAGTCGAAGTTAAACCGTCCGAGATCATCAGTCTCCCCACTTTGTATTATATCAGCTGTGCTTGTCCTGTATATAGAGACTCACTACTTACCCTGCATCAAATCCAGCAGAAATACCCGTAACATCGCCTCTCTCCTCAGCTTCATCTTGTTGTAGCCCAGTGTAGTCCCCAGCGTCGGACAAGTCGTCAAGATTTTCTAACCTGCTCAAATCGCCAAAGTTCTCACTCAACCTGACGTCGCCGAAACTCATTCTCTCAAGCCTCGCGCGATCCGCCTCCGCCATTGCTCTTCGTGGGTATTCAATGGACGCCTGTGTTATATCCTCTTCTTCAAACGCCAATGACAGCCGCGGAGGCGGAATATCCGGGCCATCTTCGTCTTCTTCGTCCATCTCTATCGGTAATGACAATCTCGGCTTCGGTATCTCCGGCTCATTGTCGAGTTCATCAATCTCATCTTTCTTCGGCGGTTCTGGCTCTTCCTGCGGTGACGAACGAATCAGCGCCGACACAGGAGCAAGAGCTACAAATATCTAATCAGCAAATCACGCAGACATTTCACAGCTGACAGACTTCCTCAAGCAGGAAGTGATTACCTCTCCCCAGATTCCTCAAAATATCGAACGGTGTCTCCCTCTGCGGGCGTCCACTCTTTCTCCGGTCTCGTCCGGGTGTATTAGCCGCGCGACGCTGGATAGCTCGAAGCCCAAATGGTGTAGACGGTGCACCGGTTCGCGGTGTCCGTCGAGTGGCCGAACGGTTTGCGGATGGTGTTGCGAGACCCGTAAACCGGCCGGGTGTGGTGGGAAGTCTGGATATATCTGCGAACTGTATATGCCGATAAAATATATCATATTAGCTCCCTGCATTCTCTTAACAAAACAAATCTATCCATCGACTTACAGCTGGTGATGCTGCTGCTCTGCGTCCGGTCTCCTGGCCGGGAGTTCCAGAGCCGGGAGGTGACCGCCTCCCACGAGGATTGGGTGTCGACATTTATACTGTCAATGCGATTATCGAATCGTAAAACCCATCAGATGAAAAATTCAGCGCATTTGCATTGAGAGAATCCGCAATATAACGCCCTGATTCCAAGAGTTTTGGTCCGACTTCTCATCCGACTGCAAGCGCGTCGCGTGTTGTGGAGGGTCTTGGTCCGTGCGTCCTTATCGATAAGTATGATGACTAAGCGTATCAAGACCGGACGGTCAAAATTTCTTTGGAAGACAGCAACAAGACATAGATTACCCAGTCTGTCGTGCAGGGAGATCGCTTAACTATATCTGGTTATCCAGAGAAGTTACTGCTGAAGCTTCTCATTGACAGGAACAAAATGGCCGAGCATAATCCCGCAACGGCGCTCTCCGCCAAGGTGGATAAGAAGCGGAAGAGACATGCTGAAGAGCAGTCGTCCAAGACAGACAAGGCTGATGGCGCTACTGCTACTACGGTGGGAAATGCCTCGTCAGATGGGTCGAACAAGAAGAGGAAGAAGAATAAGGACAAGTATAACAAGAACAAGGGAAAGAAGGACAAATCAGAGAATAAAGACAAGCAGGATAAGCCCGCAAAGCCTGCAGAACCCCCTAAGGAGAGAGAGGGCAAGGACGGTATCAATGAGTCTATTCGCATGATGGATGGAGCGCTGTTGGCAGATCACTTTGCGCAGAGGACTAAGAAATTTAATAAGGAGATGACTCCTGTGGAGTTGAATGATCTACATGTTCCAGGTGAGTGGAAATCAATTCTATATTCTCTCTCTCTCCACCATTTCCCGCTCGACAATCCCCAGTGCACCATTCAGGAAATATATACTGATTAATTACTGCAGAACAAGCTTTCCTCGACACGACATCATTCGAATCGAGAAAACTGGAAAGCCTCCCTGAGTTTTTGAAGACGTTCAAAGGAAAGGATGAAGATCTCGCCAAGGCATCGGAAGAGAAGGGTTCCCCGCATACTCTTGTAGTGGCTGCTGCGGGACTTCGAGCTGCTGATCTCGTCAGGTCAGTCAATTCACTCGTTAGGATCTCGATCCAGACACTGACATCTCTCCATAGGGCTCTACGGCCATTCCAGAACAAGGAATCTATGGTCGGTAAGCTTTTCGCAAAGCACATCAAGCTGGATGAAGCCAAACAGTTTTGTGAAAGAGCAAGGTAAGTGCTGAAGCCCACACATAATGACAATATCATCGACTACGCAAATACTCACGCCTTTCTAGAATGGGCTTTGGTGTGGGAACACCCGTGCGGTTGATCGACCTGATTGACTCCGGTAAGCTGAAACACAATCCCCTACCCCATATGCGACGTAATACTAATATCTCAACTCCAGGAGCCCTCAAACTTACAGAAGTGAAGCGTATCGTGATCGATGCTTCGCACATCGACCAGAAACAGCGCGGCATCTTCGACATGAAAGAAATCTATCTCCCATTACTGAAACTCCTCACGAAACCTGAACTCCGTGAGCGGTATGGGGCGAAAAAAGCCAAGATTCAGATTTTGGCGTTTTAGAGCATGCATGAGCTCTTTTTTTTTTTTGAACGTTACTTGGAGATCGGAGGAGCATCTGTCTACATACTTAAAAGTTATGGGAATGGCGTCGATAGCATTTTGTTTCATGGACAGTTTAGAACTTGATTCCGCGGGATTGCATAGCTGAATCGAATTTACCCGAACGTGCATATATATAAATGTTTCATCTATCATTATTCCAGGAATAGAATCATATCCCATATTGATATTTCAACACCATCCATCACGGCATGGCAGTTTTCTATTTAGATCTGTCGAGTCCAGCGACGGGAGTATGAAATGCTTACATAACAACCCCGATAAACTCCCAACTAGCTAGCTACTCACCGCTCAGAAATGCGCCCGGCAGAATTTATTTTTCGATTAAAAAAAAAGCAAATCAATCGGAGATACGACATTATCGAATAATCCATTCTCTTCGATACCGGAATTTAGTCTGAAAAAAAGAAACTCAGCAATCCCACAGCACATCGTCAAACTCGCACTCAACAACCCCCCGAAGAACCATCACAATGGGCGAAAAAGCCGACAAGAAGCGCAAGCGTTCCCAGGCCACTTCCGAGGAAGTCGGCGAAACCGATGCGAAGATCGAGCAAGTCGACGTTGACAAGGAGGCGAGGAAGAAGTTGAAGCGCGAAGAGAAGCAAAAGAAGAAAGAATCGAAGAAGATTGAAGCTGAGGCGGAAGAATCGCAAGTGAAGGAAGATACGGAGGCGCAGGCGAAGAAAGAGAAGAAGAAGGAAAAGAAAAAGGCCGATAAGGAGGCTGAAAAGAAGAATGAGGAGAAGGAAGAGTCGAAAGATGTAGAGATGGAGGATGCTACGGAGGAGAAGCAGGATGAGAAGAAAGATAAAAAGAAGAAGACGAAGAAGGACAAGAAAAAGGAAAAGAAAGAGAATGGAGATGCTGCCAATGACGAACAAGCCGAAGCTGCGGAAGCGAACGAGCAGCAACAAGAGCAGGAGGAACAGCAGTATCACCAGCAGAAAAAAGTCCGATTCATCGTCTTCGTCGGTACGTTATACCTATATCCAGGACCAAGCCAAGCACTCTCCGTCATACCGTCATCTCTCGCAATGGTGCTAACTCCCAGTTTCGCAGGAAACCTCCCCTATACAGCAACCGTCGAATCGATCAAAAAGCACTTCGAAAAGAACCCTCCAGCCTCCGTGCGTGTCGCCACAGAGAAGGGCAGCAGCAAATGCCGCGGATTCGCCTTTATCGAATTCGACCACTACGACCGTATGAAGACCTGCTTGAAACTATACCACCACTCGCAATTCGACGATGGCAAGTCCCCCGCGCGGAGGATCAATGTCGAATTGACGTAAGTCAACACCCTATGCCCCCTCCCCATGGTACTAGTATGGAACACGTTTTCTGATCATATTTCATGGTTTCTAGCGCCGGCGGTGGAGGTAAATCCGAAAACCGCAAAGAGAAGCTAAAGCAGAAGAACAAGAAGCTCGAAGAGGAGCGGAAACGCGCCTTGCAGGAGCAGAAGAAGCAGCCGTCGAAAGAGAATAAATCTTACAACAATAACAACGGCGGCCAAGAAGATTGGCAAGGTGGTATCCACCCCAGTCGAAGGGGAAGAGTTTCTGGTTCTTACTAGGAGGTTTGCTAGATGATTTGATAACATTTGTTTCGAGGCGACCATGCATGTCTTCTTTTCTGTTATTGATTATCTTGACATTACCGCGATGATGGTGAATCACTAATTCCCTTCGCCTTTCTGAATATATCCCGCATATGGCTTCATATGTATAAAAATTTACGAGGACATTGTTATGAAAATGCTTTGGCATGAGAAAGCCTTCTTCTATACATCGACTTTGAAAACCAGCTCTCAGTCCCAGAATCCGTCGAGTCTCAAGGAAGCAAGAGTGCAACCTTCGGCGAACTACGAGTAGTTAACCCCCTTTGATCTGCCAATAGGCGACAAGAAGTCTGATAGTCAAGGAAGAGGTTCATTTACTAATTATATCAATGCTTGATGAAACAGAAATACAAGCAATTTCGGAAATTAACAGATCAACAAACTGTCAACAACCAAAGACAAGTCGATCATGGAGATTTGTTTGAGTCTATTAGGTTTAGAAAGAAAAGGAAAGATGCAATGCAGCGAGCTTCATGTTCTCTGTATCTCTTGGATGTGATTGTAAGTAGTAATAAGTGACAGGGTTGGGTGGGTGATGAGAAATCAGCAAAAGTCAACCGTCAATATCACGTTTGCAGCATGACCTAAACTGCCCGGACGCCTTGGAATAAATATCAAGAAAATAAAGAAATTAACTACTGGTAAATGTATGAAATGGACACTTTCGATGCTTTACAGAATGAGACACTTCTTACTCTTCGGTTTCGGGGCAGGGCGCGGATTAAGAACAGCACTGCGGGAGTTAGCATTCGTCGGTCCCAGACTTCCAACTTTGAATCGGGATGCGCATACCGGATAGCCTCATCGAACACGCTCTTCAGATTACGCTGAGTCAGCGCAGAGCATTCAAGGTACTTGTGAGCTTTGATCTCCTTGGCCACCGCGAGCGCCTGCTCATATGAGACAGGCTCCATTCTCTTTGCGCGGAGAGCCTCGGTGGTGGCCTTGTCTTCTCGTAGATCCAGCTTGGTGCCGACCAGGATCTTCGGAACGTTTGGCGCGTGGTGCTCGATTTCAGGGTACCACTGTGGTGATTGTCAGCTACTTCATACCCAAACCGCATTATCCAATCACATACCTTGGCCTTGACGTTGTCGAAAGAGGGCGGGCTGACGATCGAGAAGCAGATCAAGAAAACATCGGTCTGTGGATACGACAAGGGGCGCAGTCGATCGTAATCCTCCTGTCCTGCAGTATCCCACAATCCCAAGCTGATGGGCCGGCCATCGACCATCACACTTGCTGAGTAGTTGTCAAACCTATCCAGTCATCAGCAAAGACCATGATTGTTATCGACTTTGAACAGGAAACTAACACGGTGGGAATATATTCTCCAGGGAAGGCATTGGTTGTATAAGAGATTAGAAGACATGTCTGTCTCACTGGTTAATTGCCATTCCAGCTTCCAGAAGGAATCGATAAGCAGGGATTACCTTGCCGACAGCACCGTCTCCGGTCACCACACACTTGTTCGCGCCGTGTCAGCCACGAGTCCCAAGTCTCTTTCAATATCGCAGTATATAAGCCAAGCTCACCTTCAATGACTGAGTCGCAGGGCCCGACGCCATTTTATGCAGATGTTCTTATAAGAATTAAAGTAACTTTTTTATATGCAGACGATGATAGGGTATCGAGTAGGTCGAAATCGACGATATAGTGCGAAAGGGGTCGTCAGATGCGAAGCAGAATCCAAGGGTATCTGGTAGAGATGCGTTAGTCGTCGTTCGAGCGGACATGGCGACGGGGCGAGGGATGGAGACGGACGGACCTTCAAAAAACGTCGCTCAACAGGCTAGAAGAACGCTTTGCAGATAGATAGAATGCAGGTCCAAGAAGAACGGTGCGGAGAGTTCGAGCTGTCTGACTGAACGTATATCTCCACGATCAAGGACCGCGAGTTGATATTGCCAGCGGGGTCCGGACCACGCAGCGCAGATATTATAATAATACTCTCACGGTAGAATCGATGTCGATGTCGAAGTCGAAGTCGGGGAACTGTACTGGATGGAGCTTTGGGGGAGGCGGGGAAACCGTGGGCTAAGGCGTGCGCGACCGTAGTGAGATAACAGCTGTTCAATGGAATCCAGCGAGATGGCAGAGGCAGAGGCGAGGATGGCTGTAGGTGACGATCCCCAAGAGCAGGATGGGAGAGACCGCGAAGGCACACAGTGCGTCGTTGACCTGGAGCTTTTGGGGGGAGGGGGAGGAGAGAATCAGGGGCTGGAGAAGGCTGGAGAGGTTCGCGGCAAGTCAACGGGCTGCCGACCAACTGCCACAGCGCCGAAACGAACAATCAACTAGCTAACTAACAATCTCTCGCGATGGGCTGTCAGAGAGCAATGCAGAAGCAATAATGCAGAAGCAGGGGAATGTGTCTAACGGACAGCCACCAGATGCTTTTTTGCCTTCGTTCGAGAAGCTTACTCTAAGCCTGGAACGTTTCCTTTCGTGCTTGACCTCCTCCTGTTGCTGCTACAGCTACACCAACTACTAGATTGCCCCCTTAGGGCGGGACGAGGCCAGTCTGTCTGAGCGTGTTAGTTAGGGTCTTTGGGAGGCTCCAAAGTGGTGGATCTTGACGATGGTGGAGCGAAGGCCATCAGTTAGTGAGTCTGGAGGGCTGGAAAGGTCTTAACCCATCCGCTAACCTCGCTCCCAGCTCCACGATGATATCCAAACTCCAAGCTGTTGTTCAGTCTGACTGCCAGTTTGGATACGTATTCGCTGAACCCCAGGGCGCCCGTCCATGGTTCCGGCCCGGTAAGGGGTTTTTTCCAAAAATAAGCCATTGACCATGTTGAGCAGTTCACTCTCCAGAAGAAGTCAAAAACACTCTCCGTGTTACTACGATTCACCACCTTCTCTCCCCTATTCTTCAACGGTTCAACTTCAACCGTCTCGTTCGTGTCAAAGCTTTCTAAACTTCCGAACGGCTTAACCCAGGTTGTCTCTCGCCTCCGCCACCCGGGGCCCACGATGGCTGGACGCTTCGTCCGTCACAAAGTGCGCCAGTCCTGATTGGCCTCCCGTGTCATCGACCCGGTTGAACTATCGAGGCGTCGGCTAAGCTGTCAGGGACTGGAAGGGACCATCGCTTCTCGCCTGATTAGACGACACAATTCGGTACATCCGATGGACGCGGCAGCTGTGCACTTGTACCATACTCATGGAATTCAACACCAAGCAAGAGCAAGTAGTTCCACGGTGCAGGAGCCAGGCGCAACTGATCCTCCGGGCCAAGGTAGCATCGCCGTTCCAGTGCGCGACAGAGGCCGTTATCGAGGGCTTCGGATGCCTCAGACATCTCTGAAACTCGCGTGACGCAGAACACTAGCAGTCATCCAATACACGCAACCGATGGCGATAAATCAGATAAGACTCCTGGATGGATTTTCCTTGGCTATGATAGATTCAAACGTCTCACCACCTGGATCTATCTCTATCCGTCACCAACGACTCCCATCTTGACACAACGTCTTACCCGATCTGAATTCGTATAACCCGGATTAGCATGCCTATTCGAGCAGTAGTAAATATTATTACAGAGCATCTCCAACTTGATTATTATTCTGGGCATATAGTTCCAGCTCGACCCGAGAGATCTTGGTGAACCGACACCTCCCCGCATATCTGATCCTCTAGTGGCGGACTAGCCGGCTCGGAACTTATCTCAGTTTGCGGCGCGCTACAAGGGCTGCGTGGTAGTTACTGCAGCTTTCCGAACTGTCACATATGGTATGTTCTAGAGGACAGCTCCGTACAGGAGAGCGTACGTGTGGGATTTTCCGAGCCACCACCACGTGGGTTGGTGAGACGTACTACGGCCTTAAAGTGATTCTGCAGGGGTGCTCTAGTTAGTCGTTTCCGGTGTTTTTATTTTCTTAATTCTAACAGCAGAGACAGATTACAATTCGAGGTCTCATAGTTAACCTTAGCCACTGTTTCCAACTATCCTTCTGGCTAGTGAACAAACATCTAGAACAGACTATCCAATTACAAAGAACCCCAGTACAGATTCAAATATATCTCATGACTAGACTCATAGATATATACATATATATACCCAGCCACGGACACATGAAGAAAAAGATGCCCCCCTGAAAGAACCAGATTTACATCTTCGACCGTCCCTCGTATCCAAACAGGAAAGACCCGATCTTAATATCGAACGGCTTCGTTGTCAAATCAGGCACCTTGGCGGCCAACTGCTGGAAATGCTCCGTCTTGAGATGCGCGTCTACGGTTGCTTGGTTCTTGTACCTGTGATTTATCACGGTTAATCAATGCCCCAGAGAAAAATTATATATAATAAAAGAGAGAGAGAGAGAGAGAGAGAGAAACTCGGAGAAGAAATTCGGAGCCAACGGGTAATAACTAGCTAACAGCAGAAGGAACAGTTCCCGGAGAAAAAAGTTATTGTTGGGTGTTGGGGGACAACGCATAACTTACTTCTCAACAAAAATGACCTCATCCTTATCCTGCACTTTCAAAGCATAATAAATCAACGTATCGGGCTCGGTCGCGTGGACTTTTTCAGCGCATTCCTTGCCGATGGCGATGAGCTATTTTCGATTTCAGCATGTTAGATAGATAGATAATTATGTAGTTTATTTGGTTTCGTTCGTTCGATTTTTGGCCGAGAACCAAATCGAGACAGAGATAGAGATAGAGAGATGAATCATTCGAGTTATGGGCTGGGAAAAGGAAAAGGTCAGGCTTTTTGAATTGATTAGCAACGAACCTCGTCAGCTTTCCCGGGCTTCGGGTAAAAAGTAGCCACGATATGAATCTCTCCGGAGGACATGATGGTGGGAAGTCTGGTCGGTTGGGGATAGTTATATATATAGGAGATGATATCAATTGATGGAATGACTTCCTGTAATGATAGAGCGGGAGGAAAAAAAAATCTTATCTCAAACGATTGATCCGGCGGCTTCCTTGTAGGTTTAAATACTGTACGTCGTCAAGTTAGGTATATTCATACATTTATAATCAGAATCCAAGCCTAACCTAGAAAGCGGATATCCCCCCCTCCCCCGCTGCACGTGATGTTGAGAACATTAGTAAGCTACTTATTTGAGTCGGATTTAGTTAACTAACTTATTATTGTTACTATTCATCACTACTCCGTGTTACTATCTTTCGGGGATGATCTTGTCTAGTCACTACGCTTCATACAGTTCGGTGCTGTCGTGAACGTGTTAAAAGATCAGTAGGTTAGATATCCTGACGGATCTGAACACTTGTGCTGTCATAGCAACCAGGCGAGTTCGAACAATTGAATCGCATTATATATATATATCTCTATATGAATCAATGACTCTCCCCGGGAACTGAGAACCCTAACTGGGAGACCGACTAGTCTATCATGTGCTATGACCAACCCAACACAACACCGTCCATGGCTATACCACGGACAGCCCCTGCCCAATGCCTTCCTTATAATGCCGATGCAAACTGGCATATCCTGGACATATACGCGTGTTTAGACACGGTGCTAAAGAAGCTGAAAAAGAGAATTCGTCATCCGTAGCGAACTCGTCCCTCAGTATTCCTCGGAACAAGAGCTGCTGTTCAACATGGCGACACAGGAAATCACATCAGCAGGCTCCAGCAGGTGCCAGTTCGCATCCGTCTGCTTGGAGCTGGCGCCAACCGTCACGGTATAAACGTGGTCGGAAGGAAGATGACAGTCGCGGAGAGCCCGGAACATATCTATCAAGCGTCAGTACATGTACACGTTGAAATTGAAGAACAAAAAAAGAAAACTTACCCTCGTCGGTAAAGTCGTCTCCCAGGCACAGGATGAATTCCGGTGCGGATTCTGGGAGCGGCCCGTACTCCTTGACCAACCTGGCCGCAATAAAGCCCTTGTTGACAAAGGTCGGTCTCACTTCGAGATTGGCCTTGCCAGCCATGACCTCCACGTCCCATTTCTTGCCCACTGTCTCCTCGAGCTGCCTCCGGCACTCCTTCGCCTGGAAAGCACCATACTCGGGATCCGCACGGCGATAGTGCCATGTCAGAGCGACCTTCTTCTTCTCAATGAACGATCCCTGCGTCCGTTCGGTGAAGTGCTGGAAGACCTCCATCACCTCCTTCTGCCATCCCATATCCGTCCGCTCGGCCAGGTTCTCCCAATCATCCGAGCGTGGCTTGCGGATGAAGCATCCGTGCTCGGCGCTCAGCCCGAGCTCTGGGATATGGCCCATCCACTCGTCCAGGAAGGCTTGATCTCGCCCACTGATGATCCACACTGCGTTCCTGGGGTCCGCTGCAAGAGTCTTGATCGTCCGCAGGACCCGGTCGGACGGGATGGCCGCCTGCGGGTCCTTGACAATGGGCGTCAAGGTGCCGTCATAGTCGAACATGAACAGTCTCTTCCGGGCAATGCGGTACTGTTTGAGTAACTTTGACCTATCCAAGGCGGGTGTAGCGATCGACTGGTCAAAGGAGGTCAGGTTGGTCAGGAGGCGGTGCAGGTACTGCGTTGACCAGGCTGCAATGTTATTTGATGTGACGTGCTTGTAGAGCTTCGTGTGCTGTTCCAGTCTCTGCTCCGGAGACATGGTCAGCGCCTGGTTGATGGCGGCTGCCACTCCCCCTTGGTCCCACGGGTTGATGTGAATCGCGCTGGGCAGTGACCCTGCCGTTCCGGAGAATTCGGACAGGATCAGGGGGCTGTGGTTGTTCTGCTGGCACACCACGTACTCCAGACTGGTTGAGTTCATGCCGTCTCGAACAGTGGTGATCAGACCGACGTCGGCAACTCGCAATAGGGCAAAATATTCCACTTTCGAGAGGTACTGCGGGTAGTACTGAACAGGAGAAAAGCTGAGCGAGCCGAAACGACCATTGATGGTAGATACGAGATTGGATATTTGGCTCGCGACCTTGGTATCCGCATCCTCCTTCTCCTCCTCGAGACTCGTCGGAGTGGTCACCTGGATCAAAACCACCTTGTCGCGCCACTCAGGGTACCGCTCCAGGAACGTCTCGAACGCCTGTAACTTCTGGGCCACTCCACGAACGCTGTCCAGCCGGTCACGACCGACGATAATTTTCTTCCCTGCATATAGTTGGCGGATACCGGCCACTGCGTCCTCAATCTCCTGGCTACCGAAGGCTACTCTCTGGACATTCTGCACGTCAATTCCAATGGGGAACACATCGACAGCGACGTGTGCGCCATAGGCATCGACTCCCGCAGAATTGGAGTCAAAGCCCAATACTCGCGTGCAGCACGAAGAAAAGTGCCTTGAGTAAGAGAAAGTCTGGAAACCGATCATGTTGGAACCGAGGACGCCCGTCAGGACTTCCTTGCGCTTGGCCAGACAGCGCATGTACTCACTGCTGGGAAAGGGGGCGTGCAGGAAGAAACCAACGTAGATGTTCGGAAGTCGCTGTCTCAACATCCCGGGCACAAGGAACAGGTGGTAATCATGGACCCAGACGATGTCGCCCGGCTGATACGCCTTCGCAATGCGATCCGCAAATAGACGATTCAGGCGGACATAATCAGCCCACCATTTGCGTTCTGATCTGCCATCGGTTGGGCCGTTCTGCTTGTAGTGGAGTAGAGGATAGAGCTCACGCTCCGCATAGCGCCTCCATCTACCTTGATCCTTCAGGACAATATCGTCTTGCGGCTCGTCCGATTCGTCGAACAACCAGAGCGGAAGGATCCTTCCGTACCGGCTGTCTTGAAGCTGGGTTTCGAGACGCTGGCGATCTTCTTTCGTCACTCTGATGCCCTCCACCAGCGGGTTCGCAGGTGGCTTCTGACGAGCATCCACCGGAATGGGCGCGGCAGCTTTGTTGAGTGCAGGACGGACGCCGCTGGCAGCTGCGGGGAGATTCCCCTCGATATTGACCGAGAGAGGCTGTAGAGGCGTCTTTCCATCTGGAATTGGTTCCACCTCCCCGGTCCAGCCGACCAGCGTATGGGACCATGTGGACTCGGGTGATGCTAAATACGCGAATGAATCGAACAAAGACAACGTTCCGGGGCGTTGCTTGAGATCCTTTTGAGAGAAACCATCAGCCGAGAGAATAAGACAAGACAGACACAGACTGGAGAGAGAGAATGAGGTCATACCCAGTCTGCCCCGGACCGGAAGCCCAGTTTGTATGGAATGCAGAACGCCGCGTTGATGATCCTCCCCGTCAACTTCAGCCCCGGATGGGCCGCTCGAAGGTCTGTCCCGGGCGTCTTGGGGGTTGACTCCCCGACCAGGCTCAACCGTCGTAGGAGCTCTGGACCGGATCTGGCTCCCTCCATCGCTTCAGCGGGAGTGGATGGCGATTTGGCAGCGGTTTCCTTGCTGCTTTGGACCTTATCAAAGTACGACGGACCGTCGCTGGACGGTTGATCTACCTTATCGACACTCATGCTCGGTGTTGCGGTCGATGCCTTCCGGTAGGCATCCTCCCCCAGTGTCTTCAAGCCGGGTCCCACGATAACGGGTTCAGGCTGCCCGTCGGGCAGCTTGCCAGGGCTCTCTGGTACCGGAGATGCCATGGCTGGGAGATGCGCGCGATGTGAAAGGGAGAGATCAATGGCTGCCAGAAAGAGAAGGAAAAAGTCAGCAGGTGGCCATTCCGAAATGATGTAACGCTGAGTGGTGGTACGGTGGTTCGTTGGCTACCTTGCACAAGAACGAGCCCGACGGTCGCAATCGATCAATTCAGAGATTCTTCTAAGCGAGAAATACACCAGCCATGGATGTCGCCGTCAAGGTCACCAGAGAGAGGAACTAGTAACTAGAAAATCAAGAGTGACCAAGGCTGATCGTGCCAGGAACGTCACTGGGATCACGATGTCGGAATTGGCCAGCACAGATGATTCACCGGAGGGGAGGGAGAAAGCCGGATCAACCTGGAGAACAGTGAGGGGTTCCGTGAAGGAGAGATGAGGAGAAAAAACAGGTACAGCCAGCGGGGAGACTGCCAAGGACAGAATTGAGTGATAATAAAGTGTCGGGGGAGCAGTCGTGCTTCTTGATGTCGGGGCTCACCTCCTAAGTTAGTCGTGCTGGTCGCTTCTAGAAATAGCAGATGGGAATTAATTAGTTCGTTAGCTGGCGTGGAGGGGCTCTGGTTCTTTTGGCGCGAGATGGTCTCTGCTCTGCCTTAGCCGTTGGCGGAGTGAAAGGGCCCGTCTGGACTCGACTCTAAGAATGCTAGTCGGACGATGATTATTATGGTATATTATTATTGAGTGCCTTTACTAGATAGAGTGATCGATAATAATATCAGCAGTGGCGGGTTGGATGCATCCAGCCAGGAGAACAGCAGCGATGGAAATATAATAACAAAACTGATCTCTAATGGATTATAATAATCATATCCGAAATCCTCCTCAGAATTAATTAATGAATTAATCAATTAATTGATTCACTTCCAGGATTTGCAGGCCAAAAACCCCCCACCATCTACCTACGTCATGCGCAACTTCGCAGGCAAAATCCGGCTCGACCGACGTTCCTGGCGCTTCACGTCTCAAGCCACATCATTATTGCCCTTCGTTTCCTACTCTAGACTCAGTCTTTGACTGCCAGCCAGCCATGGTCTCCCTCGCACATATTCGTGGTTGACTTCCCCGATCGACGCATCTCGACGGTTTGCCAGCCCATGCACTCGATCAGTCGGACTGGCCTGTATCGCCATGAGAAAGTGACGGAATGGCGGCGAAGTGCGCGGAAGCATCGCGCCGCAACTCTCAGGTGGAATGCTGAAGCTTGTTGGGCGATCGAGCATTTGCCGCTAGTCCCCCTGACTCAATTCTTAATTGGAAAAAGGAGGAATGGGCTAACTAACTTGTAGACGGGGTAACTAGAGTACCGTATCTACTCTAGATAGGGGCTAACTACGGGGACGATGTCGAACACGGGGCAATAATAGTCAACCCAGAATACGAATCAGGGAGACACAAAGGAGACTAGAGTACTCTCGTGATCAAGAGTGGAAATAGTAATAGTAAAAATAGTAATAATAATCACAATAATAATAATAATAATAATAATAATAATAATAATAATAATAATAATAATAATAGGAATAATAATAAGAAGAAGAAGAAGAAACATGATGAGGATCAATTCTGCTGTGATTGGCCCGCATGTGACCGCCGACTCCGATCGCAGCGCGACGATCACGTGCCAGGAGATCTTATCGGCCATCTTATCTATCGCTGAAAATCGCTTTCTCTCCGTCGTTGCTCGATCGAGATCCGGGTTGACAACCGGACTCTGCCCCGTCGAAGCCCCTCATGGGCACTCCTTCAGGCCAACCATGGCTGTCCTGCACAAGGATCACCAATATCTGCATCCTGCAGCGATCGTCTGCACGACTATTCCCCCGATGGACACGTTCCCGTTCAGAGAGAGTCCTGGACCGCCTCCGCGTCCCGTCTACTGCTGCTACCGACAAGGAAGGCCGGATTCTTCCAGACAGTCTGGAAAAGACCCTGCATGTCCACAGAGCCGCTAATCGGGCTCGTCTGCTCCGCAAGGTCGCTTACGATCGAACGAGTCCGGATGTCTTTCGTCCGCTGTTGTCAAAAAAGTCATCGCCAGACGAGCAGCGGGATGCTTTGAAGCAAAATACGCGGAATCCTTCCACCGTGGACTCTACGCCGGACGAACAGAAAACATCTCCGTCCGATTGGGACTCAAACCAGATACCTGCATCTGCGTCGAAATCGTCGGTACCGAATCGCCCCGCGGAAAGCGCCCGGAAGCAGGAGTCTGTCGAGGATGGCCAGTCTCGTGATGCGGGCCAGGGCTGAGCCAGGGTGTTATCTAGAAGACCGGCATTATAGAATACGATAGGCAGACGATAAAGAGGATGTTCAATCCGAGGATGGCCTGGATCGAACACGACAACTCAGGCCGTTGTCGCCAACTAGGACTGACGGAATAATCAACCGTTCTGTTCCTGAACCACTCAGTCCATGATTCGCGCGATGAACCCGATTCCCCCGATTCAGATATCGTGTCATCCGTTACGATGAAAGAATATGTGCTATTCAGGACATCGCACACTACCGGCTATCCCCAACGGATTTAGAATCAAAGCCATGGGAGCGATCATCCGTGTCTCTTACAGAAAAGTAATCGAGGATGAGTTAGTTCTGTCTAACCCAGTCGGACAGCCCTATATCACGCGACCACCTGCGTCGAGATTTCTCCGATCGGCAGACCGACAAAAGCTGCGGTTCACATATCAACATCTTGCAGGAGAATTGGCACACCGCCTAATTGTTATGCCTGCCCACCAGCATGGCTTTGACGCCTCAGGCCTGTTCCACAACACGGCGAGATATGGCAAGATCTCGAACTATCTCATGCATCCTCTCGTGGATTCTCCACTCAACGCATCTAGGTATCATAGAATATCCAAGGACAAGACCGAGACTGTTCTACAGCTGGTTCATTAGAGCACAGAGATGCCATCTCCAAGCCCTTTCCTGATTACCTGTGATATAGATAGGAATTGGATATTGTCTAGATATCAGTTTATTTTACATCAACGTATACTATACATGTAACCCTGAATATAACCCACGGCCTTTTTCATCTCTTGCCCAGTAGTCAACCAAAACATGAGAATAGATATCAGCTTCAGTTTCAGCTCAATCCACACGTCTCCGTTCAAACCATTTCTCCAACCACTTCCGCTCCTCCATCTCCGCTTTCCAATCATTCCTCCCATCCCCTCCAGCACCGACTCCGCCGCGCTCCTCGACCGCAATCCTGACTTCATCCGCACTCATCGCCTTGACACCACCACCCTGCTTGATCAACCTATCATCCAGCTCCAGATACTGCACCCACCGCCTCAACCTCGGCCGATACACCACCGGCACCAGAGCCGACGGCCTCGTATGCGTCTTCGCCAGCCCAAACACCGCACACGCCCGCAACACCTCCTCCGCAGACGCGGTATTCGCAAAGCCCACATCCGCATACTGATCCACCAAAATCGCCAATTCCTCCTTCGACCCCACAGCCACAGGAGCCATGGAGCCCTGCACAGCAGCCTGATGCGCCGCGATCGCCGCGTTTTTCCGCTTCAATTTCGCCTCTCTCTCCTTCTCCACCTGTCTCGGCACCCGACACGTCGCTGGCGTCACCGCATTGCCCAGCGCAAGCACAATAAACGGCGTCGTTTCCCCGCAAATCAGCAGAATCAGCGTAAACGGAATCATCCGTCGAACATCATACGCGGCGCGTCGCACGAGTTGGATATCCGCCCGAGTGAACCCCAGTCCTCGAGCGGCGGAAAAGAACGACGGCGTCTTGTCATCCTGTGACGATGAAGTTTGCGTCGCAGGCGGATATGATGTGGGGAGGTAAGTTGGGAGACCGAGCGAGCGTCGGAGAGGAATCGACGCTTTGTAATTATGGTAGACGTTCTTTAGGCCGGTTTTGTAGAATGAATAATACGCTCGACCGAGAGCGATGTAGCGCTTGAATTGGTCGATGGGCGTCGCGTCAGATGCGGCTGGGGCGGGCACGTCGAGTTTTACGGGGAGGGTGCTTAGTGGTGCGTTCACTTCTGATGTTGATGATGGAGTGGTAGTAGTAGTTGTTGTTGTTGATGTTGTTGGGTCTGATTTCTGTACTGGTTGCGACGATGCTCGGACGCTTCGTTTCTCATTCGCTGGCGAGGCGTAGTTTCTTGTCGGGATACTCTTCCATGATATGAAGATAGCAGGTTGATTTGGGCCGAAGCTGGAGGAGATTCTGAGATCGCAATTGACTTTTCGTCCAGACTGGCATCGTGGGCGTAGACTGGAGGATAATGCGGAGGAGAGATATGAGCGTGCGGACATGGCGCAATGGTTGGGGGGGAGGGGGTGGAAATAAATAGATTAATCACTAAAATTGCATTGTAGTTATACAGGTATCAAGAAAAGCAAGAGAATCCTGAAGTAACAAGGGAGATTGGGGGAGTGGTTACGATGCTGGGGTAAATTAATTGCTTGCTGACTTGACATGATTTCCGATACTTGGGAGAACAAACAGGGCAAACATATCCAAGTGCTGGATTTAGGGAGTATTACATGACCAGCCAACATGGTTCGTGGATTAGAAAGAAATAAAAATGGATTTGGTTTAAGGTCTAGATTGGTCGAGTTCTATGCATTCGAAGTTATTATATCTTGGAAGAAAGTTGTTCGAGTTGCGCAATCTCCCTAATGTTGTTCCCTTATCCTTGGGGGCGTTTGGAGAATGTATTCTCTTTTTGCTTATTCTATGGGTATCTCGACCAGGTTCCAGGAGATAAAATACAGATGATTCATGCCAGAAGATAATCTTCTATTGGGAGACAATCTCCGCTAGCCTCCTGGCCTTCTCGCCGCCAAGGTAGGCACTTCCCTCGTCAGCCTCGTCATCGGCCATCTCCAAATCAACCTGAAGACTAGCTTCATATGCACGCATGACGGTCTCTTCATCAATTCTGATTCCTGACTCGACCAGAACACAGATACACTGTGCTAGCCTGGCGATCTCGCGCCTCGTCTGCGGTGGGATTTCATCGTTCTGACTTGAGTAGATGGAGCTGGACACCATCTCTTCCATCTTCGTGATCGAGACACTTTCCGTCGTCGATGACGCAGACTCGGTGCCTTCTGCATGTTTCGAGATCCAGATGTATCCATTCACGCCCAGGATAACGTCGACATCACCACCTCCATTGGCCGTGGTGATAATCCAGACCTGTCTTCTCGAACGAACAACTCCTCCCGCTGCTTTTCCCGCTGCAGAGCCCGAGCCTCCTTTCGTAGTAAACCCCGATGAGCCGCTTCCACCGGTACCCGTGACGGCGAGGAAAATACCATTCCGTAGCTTGCCATACTTCAAAGATCGTGTATGCAATGACGCTCCTCCGTCTGAATGTACGCTCTGAACCTCCGCAACGACTAGATCTCCCTCGCTGAAAAACGTTCTCATCTGTAGTTCATCGGCGCTGGTACGTCGTCGCAAAATTCCACCCGGCAAGTTGATCGCAGAAAGCGGCAGCTGAGCAAGTAGCGGTGCTGCGACATCGACTTTCCATCGTCGCGACTGGACTTCGACAATACGACCGACTACTAGATCTCCGATCTCTGGTGTGTACCGTGCTCGTAGTGGCGCGACAGAGAGCAGCTTATTGGTTTTCTGGACCGTACCAGCGACTGTAGCGATGATCGAACTGGAAAGGGGCGTTGTGTATGTGCCATGTCCTCTTCAACGTCTGTCAGCGTCGGAATACCAAATGTACATACGAAATATTCTTCAACGGAAGCGCGCTGTAATGCGCCAAGAAAGCAGGAAGCAGGAATACCAACCTCATCCACTGTGGATCATCTGTAACAATTTCTCCTGGCGTAACAACTTCCGAACCCTTCTCTAGTAGACGTAACCGCTTGCTAGGGCGTGCGATATCACTCGATTCCATGATTTCATCTTCTGAATCCGACTCGTCGTACTGCGGTTGGACCTGAGGTTCCGCTGGAGCCGGGGGCAAGATAGTGATTGCCATCCCTGAGGGTTATGCGACTGGGGATCTATGATATTAGAGAAAAAAGAATGATCCTGGACTAGATGGCCGTAGCAAGTCAATGGGGCTGTGTTAAGTTGTTCCTTGTAAGTGAAATTGACGAACCTTAGCGGGGATCTTTAACAAAAAGAAAGTAATCTGGTTGTGGTCCGTGCGTACATATAGCATCTCGAGAGTCAAAGACTTTATGAACATTCTCCAGTTTTGCAGCCAATGTAAAACGCAGATATTAATATATATGGATAGTCATGTTTTAAGCGCTTTTGGAGCTCTCTTACAATATAGTTAGAGATTGCGATTATGTATCTGTAGTTAGAATATCGCCTAGATAACCGGTTTAAGAGCAGTAATTGCTGGACTGGACTAGACTCACTAATATGTAATACACTATCGGACCATGACTTCGACAAGACCAAAAGAGAGGCCTGTGAAATGCAGTCATTTTTTCCAACAGAGTATGCCTCTACTGAGGTCTACCTTTAACGCCCTATAATAGAACTCTTATTACTTGATGTATATTCACTTTTGACTAAGGTGGACGGGAACCCGCAAATGATTATATGCTTGTTTCATTTCCTGCTACGCCCTCATAATCGAGGCCTGTCGGATGAAACATTTTGTAACTTGGGATGATAGGACATTCCTGTTTTGGGCGGATGTACCTCCTACCTAGTTTCTCCTGCCAAAACATTTTCCGTTCCGAATTCAAAGAGCCATGCATAGTAACACAAGTTAGAGAAAATATCACAAATAGTACAAGGGACTTGTAGCGGTCAAGCGCCCACGCCAGATGACCTTTTCGAGGTACGTCTTCCACCGTAGGAGCCGTCGTCCTTTTTCTTTCGACTTCCACGACCGCCGCTGCTCCCGCCTTTGGGGCGGTATCCTGTATCATCGTCACGCTTCCGTTTGCCTCTGCTGCTTCCGGGAGCGGGTGCGACATCCATGAGAATACCATCCTCATCGTACACGTCTTCTTCTTTCCGGGGCTGAGTTGCTCGCTTGGACGTTCGTAGATTGGCCGGTCGCGAGACAGACTTCTCAGATGTAATCTCATTGTCCTGCAGAAACACCTGGGGTTGGTTCCTGCGTAGCCAATTGTAGACTGAAACAGGGTTGCGAAGTGCTGCTTCCCTTTCCCTTTCCGCGAGAGATGGTTTCTCTGGAGCACGACTAAGCTGCTCGGCGGCCTGCGCATCGCCCAGCCGTGCATCCATCATCAAGAAGTATTCGGCCTCGTGTTCCGGTGTGAGATAGCCCAGATTATCGCCGTCGAGCTCATGTGAAAATTGTTCTGTGGTTGTATGCGGAACTTGCAACAAAGAAGGGTATTTATTGCTCGGTTCGAATGCCTTACTCCGCTTTACAGCTTCTTCCAGCCGACGGTAAGTATCAGGGGTGATCTCGCCAGAGGCCAATTCGGAGCGCGCTTCATCTAAAGTCGCTTTTGCAGTTGCGACATCGTAGGACGGCGGCGGCTGGGCTTCTTCGTCCACGGGATTCAAAGCAGGAGACTCGCCCGGAACATTCAAGTCATAGCGTAGATGAGTAGGTACGTGAAGACTCTCATTGAACTCGAGCAGGACTTCTAGAAGTTGGCTAACAGGAATGTCAATTCAGTAGCTCGCGTAAATCCTGAAGGAAACCCAGACATACTCGTTCTGTTCTTGTATTCTGTTTGAGAGGTCCTGTATGCGCATCTGTTCGCGAAAGAGCGCTTCGCTCTCCCTCATGCCAAGTTCAAACTGGACCTTGAGCTTCGCATACTTCTTTCTTTAAAAACGAATCAGAGAATGTGTTACTACCATCATTGGGTTGCTCTTACTTGAACGATTTGTACGTCTGCTTCGTAGGGGCTGCAGCCGGCTGCGCATCAGGTAAGCTGTCGCTCATTGACGTCTGCCCACTGTGTTCTTGAGGCATGATAGGTGGGATGCGCAAACAGGGTCAAATGTAGAGAGGAAGAGTGGAAATAGAAGCACGAAACTGGAGATGAAGGAGTTAGGTTCAGCTCTCCAGCTCACGACTTAGAAAGGATCGCGGTCTTCGATCTAGCCAAGAATGGAACAAAGCGAGCCGCTCGGCGGATTCGAGATTTGCGCCTGCAGGTGTTTTAGACCGCCGTAAAACTTTCACTGGGAAGAATTGCGGCGGATGCAATTCAGAAAAAAATTATTCACTTGACACTTTTTTATCTTTTTTGACTCGTGTTTCAATAGGAGAAAAGTATTCTATTTTATTCACTCCTATTCCCGGTGAAATCCACGCCTGACCCTATTCGAAATGGCAGGGCTGGGAGAAGGGAAAGAGAAGAAGCGGAAGTTGCAGGATGTGCCCGAAATCGAGATTGATGTCGCTGCACCAGAACCTCCGTCCAAAAAGGCTCTACGCAAAGCAAAAAAGAAGGGCACCGCCAGTGATCATGAGGCAGTAACGGGCCCTACATCACAGCATTCCGAAGCCCCTCAAAAAATCGCAGATCAAGATTCGTCCAACCACCGTTCGTCACACGGCGTCTGGATCGGAAACCTTGCATTCTCCGTCACGAAAGACGACCTTCGCAAGTTCATCATAAGCAATTGTACCTTTCCCGATAGCACGATTACGCGACTGCATCTTCCAAGTGGCCCGGAGAAGTACGGGAAGGCACAGAACAAAGGATTTGCTTATGTCGATTTCTCGAACGCTAAGGCTGTGAAAGAGGCTATTGCGCTCAGTGAGCAGCTTCTATCGGGACGCCCCGTTTTGATTAAAGATGCACATGATTTCAAGGGCCGACCAGAGAAGCACCAGGAAGGACCTGGAGGGTCAACCCCGGGCGACTCTGGAAAACTGCCCTCGAAGCGTATCTTCGTTGGTAACCTAGGTTTCGACGCCACAAAGGAGATCATCGAAGAGCACTTTGAAAGATGCGGTACTATCACAAACATTCACCTAGCAACTTTCGAGGACAGTGGAAAATGCAAGGGATACGGTTGGGTTGAATTTGAGGATATTGAAGCCGCAACGGCAGCAGTCCGCGGTTTCGTCAACATCGCGGAGGAGGAGGAGGAGGAGGAAGACATCAAAGAAGAAGATGCTGAAGACTCTGCTGCTGGGAATAAAGCGAAGCCCAAGAAACCGAAGTTCCGGAAAGTATGGGTTAACAGACTGCTCGGTCGGCATCTGAGGACAGAATTCGCAGAGGACCCGGCTACTAGATATAAAAAGCGCTTCGGAAAAGAGAGCAAGAATAAGGACGGTCCGGTCGAGCATTACGGCGATGTAACAGCGTCCGACAACCATACGAGACACTCCAATCCTAAACCGCGTTTTACGAAACCCAAGGGAGACAGCCATGACAATTCCCGCTATTCGAAAGAGACTGTGCAGAGGCTGAGTGGTGCAATTGTCGCGTCCCAGGGAAAGAAAGTTACGTTCGATTGAGAAAGCAGCGCGCTTTCCCGACAGATCTCACACTGACAGCCATGTTGGCTCTGGGGGACACCGTCATTAGTTCTCTTAAGGGCCCCGTTGTCAGCGGCCTCTCTTGGCCGCTTGCATACCGAGGAGCAGCTGGTTGAGCATTCCCAAGGGAAGTTGAAGGTGAATGTCCAGCGACCCAGACTCTTTCCCGGTAGTTCATCTGTCTCAACACCTTGAATCCAGGGTGGAGGATCAACGGATAGGAAGTGGTGTCGATGCCACATTTCTGATAACCTCAGATGTGATGGCGCTGTACAGCTAAAAAAGTGTTTCATGATGCTTGTTGCTATTCCTGCTCTTGGGGTGCTATTCTTCCTTCTTTCATGTATATACGGTGGTTATACCAGGCGCAGGTCCCGTAACGATGTCTATATATTTCTTGCGATCCGAATGCCATATCTGGAGGCTGCTCCTCATTGCGAAAATCACCTGCTAGCGTACCCGGGGATAGCTACCTACCTACTTGGGTAGATGCTCCGTACCTAGAAGAGTTAAAATGTACGAGATGGAGAGCACGGCCGCAAACGACGCTTAAGAAGTTTAGAGTAACTACGCCCTGTTCTAGTTATTATTGGTTAGATAAAAAAAGAGGTATCTGTCGCATTCGCAACCCAGCACCGTCTATATTAAGTGTGTTCTCGTCTGCTGGCCAGACTTCGGGAGCTTGCCTGCAGGTGAGCTGGGGAAGTGATGGACACTAAACCCGATCGGGCAGATTCACATTTCGGGCGTGTTGAGAGATGGATGTCATGGCTGATGCTCCAACTCTTGAATCATACCGGCACCGTCAACGTCCATTCGCCGCATCGAACGTTTAACGCAGTGTGAAACTGTAGGGTCGGCCCATCCGGTTGTGCTTGCTTGGGCTAATCAATCAAAGAAACTCGCTGCCCGCCAGATTTGTCTCTTCGAGGACCACACTCATTCCTCCATCCGCCCTCTCTGTCCATCTACACCTGACTCTTCGCAGCCTCTCAACCGCTGGGCGACTTCGCCCCTGTTCCTCTGACGCACCGCCTGAGCTCGTCCTTATCCGCTCTTACCGTTTTCACTACTACATTTTAATCGATTAGATGGCTCCTCACCGTCGACAAATTGGCGCCAGTCGAAGAAGACGGCAAGATGAGGGAGAGGATGAAGGCTCGACGGACGGATTCATAGATGACTCTCTGAGCGAAACTTCTATAGTCAGCAACCAAGACGATGACGATGCGGACGGAGAGGGCAGCGATGTGAGTGACGATGAGACGCCGGGGTCGCCGAAGGCGGACCCGAATAACAACCTGAGCAACGGTCGTGCCTCAGAGGCGAAGGATGCGCAGTTGGAACAAATGTCCGGTTCACCGGGGAAGCCGCTATTTGCATCTACTATGTCGGACACGGAGGCAATGCTAAACGGCATGAAGATATCGCACGGTGCAAGCAAGGTGGCGGAGATACAGTTCGATGACATGAAGGAGCGTGGTACCCAGGTGTCCAGAACTCCTTCAGCGCCACCTACGGAACCTAGGTCTGGGAGCTTTACGGACAGAAGGCGTCGGGATCAGGATCAGAGTAAGGAGCGCGGCGATAGTCGGGCAACGTCGACGTCTGGCGGATTCTCTCATGGCAAACGTTCGGCGGAGTCGAGTACGAATGGTTACAAGCCGTTTAATAAATCAAAATCAAGGCCCTATGGCCTTATCGTGGACGGAAACATCGGAAGGTAGGTTGAGTCGTTCTCCTCTTCTGCTAATTTCATGTCTTACCTATTTTACTTACATTCGTCAGGCGCCCGCCCAATCCGGATCGTAGCGAAGGACAATGGACTCACGACCTCCACGAGACTGTGGCTACAGATGCACCCCCAGCTCCTAGATCCCACCTTGCAGCGCCAAACCATGACATACACAATACATCCAGACCCGTGCCTACTGCACCCAGATCATCCCCGCCGAATAGGTCCTTCTCCAGTACGGTCCTTATCGGAAATGTGCCCGCGGTAGTGTTTCTACCGGGGATGGAAAGCCCCATTCAGTGCTCTCCTGTTCAGAAGAGACAGCACACCCGTCTTCCGCAGCATCGGCCGCCTCTGCGCCGAGACAAACCGGTCCGTATATCTGTGCCTGGCCAGCCGCCCAGGTACATTTTCCCTGCCACAGAAAGATCTTTCATCTTCATTCCTCGTGCACTTCGACCCAACCAGCAGGCCTTCCGTGCTCGGGGGCGCGGTGGATTCCACACCGGACAGAGGTCTAGCTTCTATGGAGCATATTCACCGAGTCATGGCATGTCTATGAGTCGAAGATCGTCTCTAGGACGAGCAGCGTCTCGGGAAGGTGTACACTCTCCAGCCGGTTCAGTTCGATCTAGACAGACTGTGATCACGACTGAGAATGGTAAACCTGTCGTTCGCTTGCCCCCGACTCGGCCTCCTGCTGCATTTCCATCACCAAGCGTCTCAAATGCCGCGCCTCCTGGCACGATTCCGCCTCCACCATATGTTCCGCATGCGAATCCCGCTTACCGTGAGAGTCGCCCCGCGCCGATTCCAATGCACCAGCCTCGTCCGCAGAAGACTGTGTCCGTGGCTGATATCGAGAGTCCTGCAAGCTTTCCATTCAATCCTCCTCAGCCGCAGAAGGAGCAGCCATTCCATCAACAGGTCCCCTTGCCTGTTGGTGGTGGCCTTTACGGAGCGGATGCGTCTGGTTTCCCCCCTCATAGCCGACACACCTCCCATCATAGTCAAGCCTCGGGGACACCTCTGTCACAAATCCCTGAGCGCGCTATCCACGCCGTACCATTTCAGCCATATGGCTTTCAGCAATCCCAACCATATTATCCTGCTGCCTACCAGCCAGGTGCCGTTTTCTATCCACCGCCAAATGCAGAGTATCCTCCTTTCAGCGCTCCAGTTGGTCCTGCGGGCGCTGCTCCTGCCTTTGTGCCAGCTGGACAGCAGGTCCCATACGTTGTGCCGGCTACTTCCTCAGCGAACGAGCAGCAGCCTGCGCCAACCGGGACAGTAGCACACGAGGCAGGTGGTACGGTGTACTTCTACGATACGACGCAGATGTATTCCAACCCTCCCTACGCTGTACCTGCACCGGGTCCTGGAGGCGTCGTTGGTATGGGTGGGATGATGACTCCTCCAACCGCTACTTACTACTACCCTCAACCCCCACCAGGTGTATACTATCCCCCTCAATAAGTCAGGATTGACGAAGATCATATTTACCGTCTACCCCATCTTAGGGGGGCATTCTCTCCTTCGTGCAGGTGCTATATCTTGCCACATATTTTATGCCATTCTCGTTCTTCTGAAGTTGTGGGGGAACCGGCTGTTAGATTCCGCCTCCTTATATCGCGTCTAGTTGCCGGGCTGCGCTTATCACCTTTATCATGCCTATTTATCTTCGTCACGTCATGCTTCTCTATACATTTCAGCGCTTACTCTCTTCCTTTCCTTGGACGCGTATTGTGTGTAGTCGACTGAGGAGCCGGTTGTCCCATCTTTTCCTTCCTTTATCTATCTCGTCACCCAGTTCTTCAACCGGTTCCTGATGGGCTACTCCCCCCTCCCCTTCCTACTCCATCCTGCTATGGGGTTATTTCTTGTCTCTCCAAATGTTGTTTTAGTACTGCTGGATGAGCTGAGTTCGTGCACCTTTTTTTTTGCACATGCGGAGCGAAGGTGAATAAAAGTCATTCATGCTTCTTTATGCATCTGTGACGTAGTAATGATAGCCAGTTTGGTCGTGCACAAAGTTTTCTTCTGGCGTCCAAAAACTCAAAACATGAGTTTCAGGAGCAGAATAGAATGTCAGGCTGTACTGTAGACGGTTCCGTAGAACTGTACTGTAACTAGTTGTCATCAGCCGCGTTTTCCTGATTTGAGGTCTGTGTCTGAAATTACCTCCGGATAGTTGCATCTCAAGGGGCCTTATCAGATCGTAAATTTCCCATCGAATATGCCGCTACCCCAGGTCTAGATGTGAAGTATTAAGTTGAAGCAGATCTGACGGCTTACTCCGTCCTCTTCGCAATTCGCCACGGAATGATGCGCCGAAGGCGGAAGGCGGTCACCTCATCCCATGGGCGCTGCCTAGCCCTTATAATACGCAGCAGTAACCTAACTGCCAGACACTCACTCTCCTACCTCATCGTCTCCTCATCCTCCCTTCGTCCATCCTCTGCCGTTCATCACCTTTACCATCTTTTCTCTTTGCTTCATCCGCGTTCTGGTATTTCTGTTGATTAATCCCCTCTCTCCGGCTAGTCCGGAGTGCTCTTGTCGCGTGGAACCTTCTCCATCTTATCTGGTGTAGCACCCTTATCTATAAGGAGCTGTACACCGCCGTCCGCAGCATACTACGCAACATAAACGACGATTCACATCATGGCTACTCCCCTGCCTACAACGACCCCTGTGGGGCCGGACACTTTGATTACGGTCAAAGTTCTCTATAGTCTCACCAGTAGGCGTTTTAAGATCCCTCTACGAGACCTCGGAGCTCGTGTATTCCCGCAGAAGGTGCGTTCGAGTCACAGCTCCGGCTGAAGCTCCAGTCTCGTATACTGACGTATTCGACCCGATAGATGCGCGAACTTCTTTCGATCCCGTCGGACGTGGACGTCGCTTTCGAACGCTATTCCGATAGTGCCGCCTGTTATGTCCGCCTCGATAGCGAGGATCCTGCAGTATATAAGCAGCTCTACCGTGCTGCTAAAGCTAAACTCAAGCTCCGTATTAGAACTGTCTTTGTCAATGGATCAGAAACCGCTGCTGCTACGCCCCAGGTCGCTGAAATAAGCAGCCTTGTGCAGCACAAAGACGCGGAGAATATCCCTTCGGGGCCGGACCTGATTTCCCAGGTGAAGTCTGAAATTCTGCCTCCCGTGGCAGCCAATCCGAGGTTTCTTCCTGCGACCACAGGCGACTTGAACAAGAGCGAGGCCCTCATCGGTCCATCTGCACAGTTATTCCATAAAGGATCTGATCAGCCACAGTTGCGCTATCGGGTTTTTACACTTGGCCAGGATACACGCAGCCATCCGGTTCTAGTGCCCTCTCACAATTCCGCCAATGGGGCCTTCTGTATCGATTGTAACAGCTGCGGCCAGTCCATTCCAAATGAACACTACCACTGTAGCATCTGTGACGACGGTGACTATGATATATGCCAGCAGTGTGTCGACGCGGGCGTTTCCTGCAACGGAGATGACCATTGGTTGATTAAGCGCTTTGTCAAGGATGGTATCGTGACCAACAGTACGACCGAGACCATAGCTCCTCGCAAGACCGAAGTTGAGGTGGAACCGAAAGAAGAGAGCTCCGAGTCTGTCTCAGCTCCGGCACCAGAGTTTACTTCGAGGGCGACTGAGCCTATCCTTGCTTCGTCGGAGACGCTGCAAGATACGAGTGCCCGTACTTGCAATGCGTGTTTCAAAGGTTAGCCTTGCATCCAGTGGCAGTGAAAATTCCAATTACTGACTCTACCGCAGAATTTGACGAGGCTAAGATGGTGTCTTGTGAAGATTGCGAAGATTATGATCTTTGCCTGACATGTCTACTCAAAGATTCTCACGGCCATAACCCTGCTCACATTTTCTCTCTGATCCGTGAGCAGAAGTTCTGCTTGAAGAATTTGGTTCTGGCCAAGTGTCGCCCAGGCCGTCAGCATGCCCATGCAGCCATCTGTGATGGTTGTGACAAGGTAAGGTCTATGTACTACGTTTAGGTGTTACGGGCTAACATATCGCAGCGCATTATGGGCGTCCGCCATAAGTGCCTAACATGCCCCGACTGGGACTACTGTTGGGAGTGTGCCAGGGATGCTCCCCTGAATCACCCTGGCCATCGGTTTGTTCCCATATACGGAGAAATTGCTGAGCCATCAACAAGCCAGGAAGTTCATTACGGCATTTTCTGTGATGGTCCACTTTGCAAGGACAAGCCTTCTGCAACATACATTACAGGTGTCCGCTACAAATGTGCAGTGTGCCACGACACCGATTTCTGCGCTGCTTGTGAGGCTCTTCCGACAAACAGCCATAACCGGACCCATCCTTTGATTAAATTCAGGACGCCTGTACGCAGTGTTACTGTCAGTACATTTGGTGATGACGGAGCCTGTGGAAACGTTCTTAAGATGGGCGACGACATTAAACCGACAGTACCAGTTTTCAGTATGGATGCCGATCGGAGCCATGCCATCTCCGAGGTACAGACTGAACTACACGCGAAGGAGAAGCTCAGTGTAGCCGAACATGACGAAAATGCAACGGTTGAACCCAAAAATTCAACTCACGAGGAGCAGATTACATCTACCCCAGAGCCTTCACCAGGGGATGCCGAATTTCATGCCTTATTCATTCGGGACACAGTGTCCGACGGCAGCAAGGTTGCACCTAACCAAGTCATTCAGCAAACGTGGACATTGCATAACCCTGGGCCCCTCGCATGGCCTTCCGGTTGCAGCGTTCACTTTGTCGGTGGTGACTCCATGTTCAACGTGGATACCAATGCCCCCTCCGGTCTCGGGTCCATTAAGGATGCCATGGAGAGCAACCAGATCTCCGACCAAGTCATGCCAGGGTCTTCAGCTGACTTCACTGTGACACTTAGAGCACCCCGCCGTGAGGGTACTGCTATCTCTTATTGGCGTCTCAAGCTTCCTGACGGCACACCCTTCGGACATAGACTCTGGTGTGATATTAGCGTGAGCTCTGAAGTTTCCCGATCTGCTCCGGTGGAAACTGCAGAAACTGGAGAGACGAAGCGAGAGGAACAGTCTGAGGATACTTCCAGAAAAGAAAATGACATTCATGAGAGTGCCATGATCTTTCCAAGGCTCGACAAGGAATCCCCTGTGACGAGCTCTCATGAAGCCATGGCTTCTGGTCCGGCAGCTCCGGTAGCCCCGTCCCTGTCTAATATGGATGAGCACGATCTTGTTGAAGACGTGGAGCATTTGACCCTCGATGGCGATGATAGTGACAATGGTTATTTTACTGACGAGGAGTATGACATTCTCTGCGCTAGCGACCAAGAATACGAGAACGAAAAGCAATCAGGAGTGATGGCTTTATCCTGAAGTGTCCTGTCTTCTTTGCCCGATCAGATTGTCCTCTGCGGTTCAATGGGGTCTGCTATTGGCGATCTTTCACTAAGAGCGTCGCCTGAGCTGATGCAAGCCAGCGCGGTTCGGTGTTGTTATTGGGCTTGATGCACCATCTTTCCGGGGTTCGTAATTTCTACTATTTCTGATCATGATTCGACGGCGTGTCGTCAGCTCTGTGGTTGCAGTCTCCCTTCGCTTTCACTTTTAGTATGAACACTAGTTACATTATCGCTCTCCGGTGATTCGAGGCGAGACTCGAACTCCGTAGGCAACAAATTTGAGTATGTCCTGGTGGATCTTCGCTCCTCTCCCTTTGTCTTTTCAGCTATCTACATCAATAGAATGGTCGATTATATCCCCACTGAGCGACTGACCATTGGTCCACAACTACATACGAGTGCTAGAAATTCCTTCACTGAGCGTTTTGCCCGTGCATGGCCCACACGTTCTGTTATGCAGTCATTATTTGATTGGAACGCCTATGGCGTTATCGAGTGTCTTCGACTGTATTTGCCAAGGGTGTAGTAGACGCGAGCGGAGATTCCCGGCCTCGAACCGATGCCCCTAGCAAGTTGCCCAACGGACACCCTGTCTGGAACATCACATGGATTTGATCATAATTAATTGTGACCAATGTGGGCAATCAACTTGATGGGCTGCTGATAATAATATCGCCTGAGTGGGAGACCGTAAGCGCCGACTAACTCACTAGTAGTTGCTGGCCTCGTGCAGTGCTGGATTTGCCGCTCACCACGCGGGGTCAGACACGACATCTTCCAATGACAAGGTGAAGACTCCTTTAAGACAGGGGGCATTCATCGTGATGCTCGAGTAGTGCAATGTCAGGGCTCATTCAGAATTTCAGATCCTTCTGTTCGTGAACAAAACCAAAAATCCTGACCGTTCTTACTTTTCTTCACGGACCAAGCTGAATAGAAATTAATGGACAGAGATCACATTATCCCAATGATGCAGATCTACATTTCCGTGGATCTTCCATCTACGAAGTGCTGCCGGTACTTTTGACGACGATGACGACGACGCCAGCGCACTAATTCCTCTAGAGCAAGCCGACAGTAACATCCATCAAGACAGAATATTTTCAAGTCATGGAGAAGATCCAGATCGTCTCATCGTTACTATCGTCCATACCGATGGTAGAAGGTGGCTTCGGACGAGCCAGGTGTTGCTGCAGCTGTTCTTATATGGTGTGCTCAGTGGGCGAGCTTAAACTGACATGGGCCTAGTCCGACATGCAAGCACCGGCTTTGGGGGCTTTATTCAAAGGAGCTATCTGAGCACATCACACGATGTTGGCAATAATATCGCTCCTAGCTTCACTAAAGTTACCGAGGACCGATGTGCCTCCTCCTTACGGTTTCTCTGCCGACGCATCGTCGAGTTCAATCATAAGCTATCTGTCACTACGCAGCAGTGCACAAACCAGGCTAAAGGCCCTGCAGATCTTGGACGCCTGCGTGCACCGGTGTCGAGAGTCTCAATTCTGAGACATTATCCGTCTTTAGGAGGCTGCATCTTCGGACTTCGAAGGCTCTCCGGCCTCTGCTCTGCACAATACTAGTCAACTCATCTAGACTGTCTTCGAACCAACGGTTCCTCGATAGGATCCTCCACAACCAGATCCACAACTCCAGAAACAAAGGCCCTCTTTGTTCGCCTGGTTTTACTAAACTCACCGAAATGTAACCACGGCAGTCACTAGCATGTTCGCATCTCCACGACTCTGGGGCGGCATCTCCGTCGCCAATGACAATACCGCCCTGTCATTTAGGCAGATGGCATTAATGGGTCATAGTGCGATCAAGAGCCGGGGAAATCAAAGTCTCTACGGCTATCTATCAAGAGAACTAGAAAGTGGGGGACGTCTGAAAGAAACAATACTTCTTGATTTCTGAGGCCGTCTCCAACGGCGTATCCAACCCTTGTCGGCCGAGTTCCTCTTTCTGCGGCATGCTTCCACACAAGAATGCTCGAGTCAGGTTTTTATATATATCGAATTATGAGATCATCTTTTCCCGAAGGCGCAGGTATACCCTGCTGCTTCCCGCTTCTCAGATGGTCTGGAAGGGGATACTACAGCAGTACGCTACCGAAACAAGAACCTTGCTCCACACGCCCATGCATCAGATAGGAACTGCGCCGCAGAATTGTTCTCGCCAGATGCACGCACGCTGCATTTACAGCCGGACGCGGCGGCCGGAATTCCCTGCCATTCTTCCGTGCGTCCTATCACTGGCTAGTTAGATCAAGCGCGCTGTCTGTTTTCTTTTCTTTTCTAGTGATCATGTAGATCACATTGACACTTTTTATCAGTATCATCAACGACTACTGGTCTATTTTCCTAGTGCAGAGCGTCTGCTGGTTCTATATAGCCTCGTCAGTTCTTTTGCGTCGGGTCCAGGTTCAGTGGTTTTTCTGTTCTCATAACCCTCGTCCTAGCGGTCCCTGCATCGTATCTATTTTCTCAGGTTGCACTTTTGGAGAGCTTTATACTATTCCTCCCCTCCCTGTCCAATTGCAAAGTCTAGAAGAGTGCCTTTGCGCATCGTGAGAGAGATGGCTACATCTCCCAGAGCTACGCCTGCCAGGGCCACGTCTCCCAGGGCTACGTCTCCCAGGGCTACATCTCCCAGGCCTGCCAACCCAGCACCTACAACGGTTAATGTCGAGGTTGATGACAGGGTTTGTGTTACTCCTAGCCCTTGTGATAGCCACCATGATTTCTAATTGATTCGCTACAGGCTACTGAAAATGACTCTACTTATGGAGACGAACTGTCGGAGAGCTTTATCTATGTCTAAAATATTAAGACGCTAACATATGTCCTAGGACTACTTTCACCGCGTCCGTCACGTCGTCCATTCTGAACTACCGCAACGAAAACGGTAGACGCTACCATGCATATCATGATGGCAGTGAGTGCCAAATAAAAACTTAATTTATATTGTGGTACACCACTAACATGGAGCAAAGCCTACCAACTTCCAAATGACGAAGACGAAAAAGAACGGCTCGATATAATGCACGAAATGATGTTGACAATGCTGGACCGGAAACTTTTTCTGGCACCGATAGGCGATTCAGCGGATAAGGTTCTGGATCTGGGTACCGGGACTGGCGTGTGGGCCATAGATTTTGGTAAGATCCAAAGAGCGATAAAGTATTTCCCGTATCTGACCCGGTGCAATATGTGATATGTAGCCGATATGTTCCCTTCCACAGAGGTGATTTGTCCCCATGAAACTTTATGGTAATCGTTTTACTTACTTGGCGACAGGTCTGGGGAAATGATCTAAGCCCTATCCAACCAAGCTAGTAAGTGGACAGTCCTCGCAAAGGTCTCTAAAAACCCACCTAATTGATAAACGAAGTGTCCCTCCAAATGTCAAGTTCATCATAGATGACTTTGAAGATGATTGGGCGTACGGAGACCAAAAGTTTGACTACATTCATGCACGTTATATGGCAACGACTGTCAAGGATTTTCCTAGACTACTGCGACAGTGCTACAGGTTAGAGTAACAGTCCTCGCTAGGTTTTATGCCGCTAAACCGTGTAGCAACGTTACTCCAGGAGGGTGGGTCGAGTTTCAAGATTGGGACACCAGATTACATTCAGAGGACCGGTCGACTCATGGAACGTCGCTTCAACAATACTACGACCTCACCATCCCAGCTTTCAATAGACTAGGAGTTGAACCAGCTCCTGGACCACACCTGGAAGGATGGTTTCGCGAAGCCGGATTTGTGGATATTCATGTTGAGAAGTTTCTTGTCCCGTTGGGAGCGTGGCCCAAGGACAAGCGTCTTGTGTGTATACTTTCTTATTCTTGATGCAGATTCGCCAAATGTTTACTGACTTATGTCATTAACAAGAAAACACTCGGACTCTGGAACATGCTGCAAGCAGACACAGGATTCGAGGCAGCTGCCATGGCGGTATTGACGCGGTACGAAGGGTGGTCGAAGGAAGAGGTGAAAATCCTCGCATCTAAGACTCGAAGCGATGCACGGAATCCCGACATCCATGGCTTATTTGACTTGTGAGTGCAGCCCGCCAAGAACTCCCTCATAACAATGAGCTTACCATAATTAAAAGCTATGTCGTCTACGGGAGAAGACCTGTATGAGGTTTGAAATACCATTGTATTTGCTCCGGAGGCATAATTGTTGATTCCCTAATCTTCATAAATAGCATAACTAATGGCTAATGAAGCGAAGGCAGTAGGAGACAAAGTACTTAACTAAATTTGAGATGTCTCGGTGTTCACTATCGTCACGTGATCTAGACCTCCCTAAGTATATTCAAGCTTATCTCAGCAAGCTCAGACCCCCCTGCGGGTGGGCTTTTTGCTGTGACGGCCTGTATTAGCGCATGTACTAAAGACCTGGGCCAATAACATGATGTAAAAAAGCCCCCACTGACTCCTGGACCAATGGCAGGCCGTGTAGCAAAAAACCTCGCCAAAGAAATTTTCATCACTGCCGTATTGGGTTTAGTGTAGCCGCCCCAATATTATTGGCTCAGATTTTCGAGCTAGTTTGCACTAGTTTCTAAATAGTATAGTTGAAGCACTCGGAACTGGTAGATAATAGCATATTGAGAGCTTATTATCAAAGTAGGAGAAATCTCTAAGCGAGTATTGATGTCTGGCTGTCATCTATCAACAGCATGATGTGTCCCTTAACAGTGGCACATCCTGCTAGAAAAGGGGGTACTGAAAACAGGGGTTGATTTTGTGCTTTCACATCTAGTTTTAATATGGATCTAGAGGGGAATATGTGGGCTTATGGCTGTATTTTTTTTTCTTAGTACAGTTGCAGGACCACGCACCAACTACAGGCGGAGGCCAAGACTAGGGGAAATATATCGCTTGTGCATCAGGATGTAAAGCTTTCGATAAGGATTTATTTGATCGTAAAATGCTCGTTTTTAGATAATCTGTACGAAAACCCAGGCTCCTCCCACATTTCCCCTTCCATCCTCCATATATAAGTTACCGTGGATTACAAGACTCAGCCAGCAAAAACTACTGCATGAGAGGACCTCCACGATGCCCACACACATATAAATAGACATTTACGTTGCGAATCCAGCTGATATACTACCGAAAGGCAAGTACAGAATCATGTGATGAGCGACAAAAAGACTGGTATCTGGGAAGTATGGCAAGAAGTCTAGGAATCAATATGCCAAATGAACACGGGACAGACATTCGATGGGCGCCTTGCGATGCTCATATCCTAAGGGAAATGGTCATAAGTGCTAAGTCATCTGAGAGCAAGGCCTTTAAGCCAAGGATGATTGTAAAGGGATGGGGGAAAAACGCCCCAACGTCAAATAATAGAAGGTAGTGCCATCAAACACGCCGCCTAGGGTGTATCACCAACAAATGACAGCTCATAAGGCGAAAAAATCCGGACAAGTCAATTCAGAATAAAAATAACATGAGCGCCGTATCAAACCAAGGATAGACCAGTTATATGCACGTTTAGCTCACCTTCCGTACGGTGTATCGTCACTACATCCTGCGTGTCGATGAACACATTGTTTATAAACTATGCTTAGCGATGACTAGGGTTTAAGCCGCGTTTTCACCACGGGTACGCCCTGAATGGTCTCTCAGCGATCCGCCTGTGGATGCCAGGGGCACGGGAAATGATGCGTTCTGCGCAGCTCGCGTCGGGAGCATCGCAGCGTGCAATCCCGACGATGCAGATGGGCTATGAGAGCTTGATGATCGAGAACCCAGATTAGGACGCGAAGGGGATTCAGCAGAAAGAGCATCACCCCGATAGGAGCGAGATGAACGACCGGTGTGACTGCCGTGGCTATCACGAGTTTCGAGCGACAAGTGTTCCAGAGCAGCACGAGTTGACTTCATCGAATTAGGAGCGGACGCGGGATCGGAATTGTAGTATCCATTTGCAGAAGACTCGCTCGCAATGTTGAGCGGGATGTCGCCAGAGGTGGGGGTAGGATGTGACGGTGGATGGGAAGATGTGCCGGTCGTTGCACCTGGAGGCTTCGGTGTAGAGCTTGAATTTCTAGACCCATCCCGGTTGAGTGACTTCGGTGCAGGTGGAGCAAGATAAGACTTCCTGTTATGTTTTTCCATCATACTGACAGCCCATTCCTGGAGGTCAACCGGGGTCCGCTTTGCTGCCTGCAGAAAAGCATCCTTATCCTGTTCACATATGTTAGGGACATGGGCCAGTAGAGTATGCATACGGTAAACTTACATAGAGTTCCCGGGGAGTCGGTCTCTCCTCGGGTTTCTTCAATAGGCATTTGGCGACAAAATCATGTAGAATCTGGGGGAAGGCGTCGCTCTTCGGCAGCTTGGGCGCGGGCTCATGGACGATCTGCTGAAGCAGATCCAATATACCCATCGGGCCAGCACTTGCTCTGTCTCCAGCAGACGAGTCGCTTGCATCGAACGGAAAACGTCCCACAGCCAGCTCCATTACAGTCAAACCAACGCTCCACACGTCAGAACGCACTGTATAAGCACCTCCCTGGATCCGTTCCGGCGCCATGTAAGTCGATGTGCCGACAAAGGTATCAGCAATCGAGTTAACTGTCTCCGTAGCAACTCCGAAGTCGCAGAGTTTGATGTTCCCGCGGGAATTGACCAGTACGTTGGACGGCTTGATGTCTCTATGCATGATGCGGTGTGTCTCGTAAAGGTAGACTAAGCCTGCTAATATGGACTCCGTGATCTTGCCCAGGACATCAACGCGGACAGGCCCGAAGTCCTTGGAAATCCGGTCTAGAGAGCTTGTCAAAGTCAGCGTCAGCCGCACTGTATCAAGGTCTCTTGAGAGACCAGAGGTCGCCAACCTACCCACAGTCCATATATTCCATACATAAGACGATATCCCTGGCCTCGTTCTGGAAAGCGCCGTAGAATGTGACAATATATGGCGAGTTACAGTCGTGGCCCACTTGAAGTTCTCGCAAAATCTGTTTCCGCACGTTCTCTTTCGCATCGACGCGGATGATCTACATCGAGAACATCACAGGTCAGCCACTTGAAAAGCCATAAACCATCCGCAAGATCCAGGTCCAAGGGAGCTAGCTACCTTTCTGGCCATTACGACCTTGGTGGAAGCGTGCATCACTTTCGAGACCGTGCCACCATTTCCCGCACCCACTTCCTTCAGGGGGACCAAGTCCTCGCTGCGCAGATCCAATTTGAATTCCAGTCCGATCTCGAGAGTATCTGTCCGGTGACTATCCAGATTTCCGATGGCGCCCGGAATCTGCGCATCACCGTCTGACGGTTTGGAGGCGGCTTTGGGAGTTGCATTCAGGGCCAGACCCTTCACATTCTTACGCTTCAGCGTTCGCGCTTTGAATGGGTCCGTCATAGTGACCAGCTGAGGGAATACAACCCCGAGAGGTAGTGGGATGAGACCGATATAAGGAGGATGGAAGAGGTCAATGTGCAGCAGGCAAGAGACAGCTCTGGATTCCGGCTACAAACTCCCTATAGATGGTCAGACTTCGGCGGGCGGAGAATCGTAGATCACCACCGCGGTCTCTGGTAATCTTCCTCTGCTTTTCCCTGGGCTGTTGCAAAGAGAGCCCGATTCACAGAGGACTCAGGGAGGGGGAGGGGGATGAGAGAAAGAAGGAACAGAAACGGAGGAGGCGTCGATAATCCTGGCAGTGAGCACAGATACTAACGGTGCCACGGAGGACGGCCAGGGGCGGAGAAGTCGAGAGCCGAACGGGAACTGGACGACCAGGATGGAAGTACGGTCAACAGTCGAGCTCAGCTCAATCGTCCTGGCATGGGACAGAGAGGAGGGCACATCAAGAGAGATGGTTGTCTGGCAGCTCGGGGAAAGTGAAGTTGCGTAGTCTCTGGCGCTGTCCTGAAACTTGGATGGGGTGCTGCGGACAAGGACAGTGGCCGTGACTTTGCTGGTGGGGTTTTGGTGTAGCAGAACGTCGTTTGGACCGAGCGTAGAGGGAGGCGACAGCAAAGAAGATTAATAGGGCACGGCTGATATATTATAATTATTATTATTATTGTATGATCTGTATCTGGTAACTAGCATTTAGTTAGAAGAAAAGAAAATGACTTGCCAGCTACCTAGGTACCTAGTTAACTAACCGTTGAAGCTGGACTCCCCTCGTGGTGAATTAACTACTGCTGATGATTATTCTATCATAACTAACTAACAGGCTGCCAAGAGACATTATTAAACAGGAAACAAGGCCATGATTAATTCAGTACAGGAGTAACTAATCATAATAATAATGTATGTACATGTACATACATAGTAAAGTACTTCTCCTGAGCACCAGCCACACACAGCACCAGCCACCGCCCAGCCTCCGGTCTCGCCACGGGAAAGCGCGCCTCTGCAAAAGACCAGAGCAGCTTCAAACTAATAATTAGAACTGTCCGGACGCGCCTCTTCATTTCAACCTCGTCCTGCCTCCATCCAGCCACTGCCGACTCTCCATCATATCTCATTTGATTTCTCTCGTTCCCCCTTTGGTTTCATTCTCTTTTATCCCTTGGTTTCCCCTTCCTTGCCCGTTACCATGAGTACGCACGACCTCATAGAAGGCGAAGCCTTGCTGGACGAGGAGGACAACGAAGAGTCCTTCGATGAAGAGGTCAAAGAGGGTGCCGGAACGAACGGCCGCTACGATGATTCCAGTGATGAAGAAGAGGACGAGGATGATGAAGAAGCCGCCCGCGCAGTACCGCCCCTGAAACCCTCCACTGCATGTTCATCCTGCTAATGAGCTACTGCTCAAGGTCCGCGAAGGTTTCATTGTCGACGAGGATGAAGAGATCGAGGAACGTACCCGCAGCAGACGGGAGAAAAGGAAACGTCGACGAGAAGAACGGGAGCGAGAAGACGAGCATCTGGACGAGGAAGATCTGTACCTGATCGGAGAGCACAACCCCGAGTTCCAGGCTCCAGCCGCGACAGAGGTAGGCCTATGTGCGAATGCTTCGATTCTATCTGAACAGAGCTGATTTATACGGGGTCTCCCTGCTATAGTCTAAATTCAAACGTCTGAAACGCGGCCACAAGGATCGGGATCGTCAGCCCTCCCAGGGAATAGACGATATCTTCAAGTCCGACGAAGAGGAAGAGGTAGACTACGGAAGGCCTGGCCATGGTCGGAGGGGCATGCATGATGACATGGGTGACTTCATCGAGGAGGATGTCTTCTCCGACGAAGAAGGTCAGGTTGGACGTGAAGATGAGGAGGTGGCGCGTCCTGCGAGGAGGGGTGTGTCCGGACCCGGTGTTACCGACGCAACAGGATTAGACGAAAATGCTCTTGAGGACATGCGCATGGCCTTCGGCGATGGAAACGAGTATCAATTCGCGCTCGAGATGGAAGAGGAGGAGGAAGAGCAAGAGGAAGACGAGGAAAAGCATCTCGACCTGAAAGACGTCTTCGAGCCGTCGCAGCTAGCGGAGAAGATGTTGACGGAGGAAGACAATGAGATCCGTCTGCAGGATGAGCCCGAACGGCATCAACTCGCACGGAAGCCGTATCGCCACGTGGTCCTCAGCGAAGAGCAATTCCGGGAGGAGGCAGTCTGGATCTCAAATCTGATGCTGCTTAAAAAACGTATCGAACCCGAGTTGCGAGAGCCGTTTCAGCGTTCTATTGCTAAAGTTCTGGAGTTTATGACGACCGATGACTGGGAGGTTCCGTTCATCTTTCAACACCGCAAAGACTATCTGATTCATGCTGCCAAGGTACCAGTAACACCAGATCCGTCCAATCCAGACGCTCCTCAATATACGATCAAGGCCGAGAAGCTGTTGAATATGACGGATCTATGGGACATCTTTGACTACGACTTGAAATTCAAAGCTCTGATCGACAAGCGAAATGCTGTGCAGAAGACGTATGATAATCTCCAGAGTCTGTTTAACGTGCAGGATAGTGTCTTTGAGGAGATGCTTCCGGCGGCAGTGACCATGGAAGAGCTCCAGGATCTACAAGATCATATCCATTTTCAGTACTCGTCGCAGCTGAAGGACATGGCCGTGACGGAGAATGGAACGCGGGCGAACGGTGAAGGTGCCCAGCGGCGGAAGACTACAGCCAAGACCTTTTTCGAACGTGTTAGGAACAGTAAGGCCTACGGGCTGGTTCGAGCGTTCGGTATCTCAGCGGATGCCTTCGCTCAGAATGCACTCAAGGAAGGCCGACGGCAGTACACCGAAGACCCTAGCGAGCGCCCCGAGGAAATGGCTGACAGTATGCTTGATTCTGACTTCACCAATTCGTCCCATGCTCTAAAAGCTGCAAAGACTATGTTCGCCGAGGAACTGGTGATGAGCCCAAAGATGCGCAAGGTGATCAGGCAGGCCTACTATATGAATGGAGTCGTTGAGTGTTTCCGCACCGAGAAAGGTCTCCGTCGGATTGATGAGCAACATCCGTACTACGAGTTCAAATACCTGCGGAACCAGCAACTTAGTGATATTGCCCGGCGTCCAGAACTGTACCTGCGAATGCTCAAAGCCGAAGAGGAGGGTCTGGTTGAGGTGAAGGTTCGTTTTGAGAACTTCGACAACTTCCGGCGACGCCTCTACTCCGATATCGAATCTGATAACTTCAGCGAGATCGCCGATGCCTGGAACAGGGAGCGACGGAGCGTGCTTGATGCAGCCCTGTCCAAGTTAGAGAAGCTGATGAGCCGTAGCGTGAAGGAGAATATTCGGCAGGAATGCGAGATTCACGTTGCGAAGGAATGCCGAGAAGCTTTCTCGTTGCGGTTGGACCAGGCCCCATATAAACCCAAGGGTATGGTACTTGGTACGGTGCCTCGCGTTCTGGCCTTGTCAAATGGATCTGGTATCATCGGTAAGGATCCAATTAACTGGGCTTGGGTTGAGGAAGACGGCCGTGTACTCGAAAATGGGAAGTTCACCGACCTCTCTGTTGGCGACAAAGACCGCAACATTTCCGACGGGAAAGATGTGGAGGCCTTTGTGGAGCTCGTTCAAAGAAGGAAGCCTGACGTTATTGGAATCTCAGGTTTCTCGCCAGAGACACGGAAGTTGTACAGACAACTTACCGATCTCATCGACAAAAGTGATCTCCGTGGGGCTTCCTACACTGACGACCGCGACGAAGAAGTGAGTGATCGCTTGGAGGTTGTTATTGTCAATGATGAGGTCGCCCGATTGTATCAACACAGTGATCGAGCGAGATTAGAGCATCCTGGATTCACCCCCCTAACACATTACTGCGTCGCGCTGGCGCATTATCTCCAGAGTCCTCTGAAGGAATATGCTTCCCTGGGTCGGGATATCATCTCCATCCAGTTTAAACCCGGCCAACAGCTTGTATCTCAGGAGCTTCTGATCAAGCAACTGGAAAGTGCTCTGATTGACATGGTTAATCTCGTGGGCGTCGATATCAATGAAGCGGTTAGCGATACGTCCGCCGCCAACCTGCTTCCGTACATTTGTGGTCTCGGCCCTCGAAAAGCTGAGCATCTGTTGAAGATCATTAACATGAACGGTGGGGTTGTGAACGGGCGCGTAGAGCTTCTCGGCGTCAACGCGCAGTACCCAGCAATGGGGGTTAAAGTTTGGAATAACTGTGCCAGCTTCCTTTACATCGACTACGAAAATGCCGACAACGATGCGGATCCACTAGACAACACGCGTGTACACCCAGAAGACTACGATATCGCCCGGAAGATGGCTGCGGATGCTCTCGAGCTTGACGAAGAGGATATCAAGGCGGAAACAGACGAGAACGGTCCCGGAGCTATTGTTCGGAAATTGTTCAAGGAAGAGGCCCAGGACCGAGTCAACGATCTTATTCTCGAGGAGTATGCGGAGCAACTCGAGAAAAATCTCAATCAGCGAAAGCGGGCTACCTTGGAGACTATCAGGGCTGAGTTGCAACAACCGTACGAAGAACTGCGAAAACAGTTCGTTTTCTTAAGCACCGATGATATCTTCACCATGTTTACCGGCGAGACCTCGAGCACGCTTGCTGAGGGGATGGTGGTGCCTATATCCATTAAGAGGATCACAGACGATCATATCGACGGGAAGCTAGACTGTGGCATTGACGCATTGGTTCCAGAGATGGAGCTCACGGATCGATATGATGTGCCGGTTAAGAGCTTATTCTCAGTTCACCAGACAGTGCAGGCGAAGATTCTGTATCTCAACCGGAAGAACTTCACAGCCAATGTATCGCTTCGTGAAGAGCAAGTCAGCCGGCCCTACCGCAAGCCCATGGATCATATGCGAGGGGAGTGGGACGACCGCCAGGAACAGCAGGATAAGGAACTGATGGAGGAGAAGACCCAGGTCGGCGGCCGGGTGATGCGTGTCATCAAACATCCACTTTTTCGCCCATTCAATGCAGCGCAGGCGGAGGAGTTCCTGGGTACCCAGAGTCGCGGGGATGTTGTGATCCGGCCCTCGTCCAAGGGCCCAGACCATTTGGCTGTCACCTGGAAGGTTTCTGATGGAATCTACCAACATATAGATGTCCTGGAACTGGACAAAGAAAACGAGTTCTCAGTCGGCCGGACGCTCAAGATTGGTGGTCGCTATACCTACAGTGATCTCGATGAGTTGATCGTGAACCATGTCAAGGCTATGGCGAAGAAGGTTGACGAGATGATGCTGCACGAAAAGTACCAGAGTGGGAGCAAGAGCGACACTGGTGAGTCATCCACAGTGTTCTATCCAGGGAGTCTCCAAATACTAACGTGTGAGCGACAGAGCGCTGGTTGACCACGTATACTGAAGCGAACCCAAAGCGATCCGTCTACGCCTTCTGCATCAACCCGAAATATCCCGGCTACTTCTATCTCTGCTTCAAGGCCGGCCAGAATGCGATGCTACACAGCTGGCCCGTCAAGGTGATCCCGCAGGGCTATGAGCTGCAGCGGAACCCTTATCCAGATATGCGAGCGTTGTGTAATGGCTTCAAGTTGTTGTTCACGAACATGCAGGCCGGGAAACGACGGTAGATGTTTGTGAAACCCTACACCGAGCGGTGAAGGAGACTGACACGAGCTGTCCTGTACTCTAACCTGTTTTGTTTTGCTTTTGCTATTTCTAATTCTCTTGATGGTATTTCATGGAAGGGCATATACCGTGTTCTCTCTTTAGGCGCAGCTCCTTTTCAGCAACTGGCGATGTATGAGTGCTCTGAGGCCTTTCCCCACTTTCATGTGATTGCAGATAGTCTTGTTCCAGTGTTTGGGACGCATTGCTATTGAGCCTGGAAAAAAAAAAGGGATCAGAACAGTTCATGATTCTCTTAAAAACACCATCTGTCGATGTGCGTATGACAATCATGTATCCTGGGCGGACGAGGACGAGGTATAGCCAAACACCGTCTTGAGCTAGAGATCTGGATGACTCGCGCGAGACGATCGCAAGCAAGGGCATGCATGTGCCATGCAGTCCATAGTCCATAGTCCACAGTCCATAATCATATACTCTTAAGATAGTCCGTGATTTTAGCCTCCGTCACGGGCCGAGGTTTGTCGCCGTTAGTTACCGCCCGGAGTCAGTCAGGCTTACCAGTTCAGCTTCGTATCACGATCCCCGCCATCTGCGACAGTGGCACTACCAGGAATCCCATTGCGTTCATCTCTATCCATGACCCTCGTCGCTAGCCTCAGCGCTTCGTGGACAGTCAGCCCTGCATCCACCGCGTTGGTCCAGCGACGACGTTTACTAGTTGGTACGTGAACTCCCCCTAAGCTTGCCAGCTGCTCCTCGGAGGACAGCTGCTGCCAATTCAGCAACGGCATCTTCAAAGAACGTGACGGCCGATTTGCGCCATGGCTGGCATGGAAGAGCTCGAGATACACAGCAAGGTACGTCAACGAGAGTAGCTGCGTGGCCGGAGAGGGCGATTCTGACCGCGGGGATAGTCCTACCTGGTACGCTGGGTTCACGTCAAGGCGGAGCATACAATTTCCTGGAGTATCCAGCCTCATAAGAAGTCGCTCAACTTCGGCATCTTCAAGCATCCTGGCCATGCTGCTGGTCAGACGCCGCACCTCCCCGTTTCCGGTGCACACAGCAGCGACGGAAACGAAACGCCTGCCATGTCCAGCGCAGGTCCGCGCCAGAACGTGTCGTCAGTGGTGGAAAAGCTCACAGCTATTGGATTAAAACCCATTCAATGGATTGGAAAATGCGAAGCGGATAAAATATCTCAAGGGACTTATGATGTGCCAACGGACGAAGGAGGGAACTATGCCCTGGTGTTCGACAACACCTTCTCCAAACAGATCTCCAAGACGGCCACCTTCGTCTTGCTCACGTATCCAACGGCGACACCACCTCAATCCGCCCACCATGTGCATCATTCACAAGCTCTAGCCGGTGCTAGTTCCAACGGGCCGCCAGGGGCCAAATCGGTGGCGGGTGAATCGATAGAGTCCTTGAGACATACCCGGTCCTGGGGCCGCTCGGTGCCAGGGGGAAATACTAAACGCCCACCCCAGAGTGCAGATTCCGACAATCCCTTCCCCGCCACAGTTCATACTGGAATCCTTCATAAGCGGCGACGGAAGCGACATCAGGGCTGGGCTAGGAGGTTCTTCTCCCTGGACTTCGCAACTTCTACGTTGTCCTACTACCATAACCGTAACTCGTCCGCTTTGCGCGGCGCTATTCCACTTACTTTAGCAGCAGTGGCTGCGAACGCAGAGACACGGGAGATCTCTATTGACTCTGGAGCTGAGATCTGGCATCTCCGTGCTAGTAACGACCAGGACTTCTCCTCCTGGAAACGTGCTCTGGAAAAAGCGTCCAAGCCAGCAAGTGAAGAAAGACAATCTGATCACCTGCTTCGTGTGCCTTCCCGCGCATCGTACAAGGCGCCGATTAGTGCCGCTGAGGAACGCGAATGGATGCAGGCGGAGAATCTGGTGAGCAAGCTATCAGGAACAAGGGATGCTGTGAGACGGTTGGCAAAAGACACCGACCCCAAGTATTCGAATACGGCAGTGGTTTCCCCCGGTGAGCGACCCCGGAATCGCTCGCCCAGCCCGCATCCTGGATCTTCGGAGACGAACGGCGGCGAAGACTACCTTGATTCAAAGGAGAGGCGGTCATTCTGGAAACGCAAACCTAGCAACAATGCTCAGGTGGCACCTAAGCGCAATGTAGCGACGTCCCAGCTCGCTGTCCCGACGCCAGTGTCTGATTCTGCTTCCGTCACCGGCGAGAGAAAGCCCAGGAGCATTGCCAGTCAATCTGACCATGAGAACCCGATCCATGACAATCTCATGGCCGTGCTTCGAGACCTCGACGACGTGGTTGCGGAGTTTACGGTTCTGTTGGAGCAGAGCAAACAGCGACGAAACCCTGCCAGTCTCGTGGCGCAGTCACGGATGAGTATGGAGTCGGATATCTCACAGGAATTTTTTGACGCCACGGACGGTGGTGAAGTCTCTCCTCTTCTAACCATACAGCGAGACAGTGAAGACGAGGCAGGAAAGAGCGGAGACGAGAACATGGCCGATAACGACTCACTGTCTGGTAGCGAAGTGGACGATATCGATGCTCCAAATGGCTCCAAACTTGACCATCTGTCATCCCTGTTCCCTGCAAAGCCAAAGTCCCTTGCACCTTTACCTCTGAATAGCGTGAAACGAAGGACAAATATACCAGCACCTACAGTCCTTCCTCCGAGTCTCATTGGCTTTCTGCGGAAAAATGTAGGGAAGGATTTGTCACAGATTTCGATGCCGGTTTCTGCCAACGAGCCCTTATCATTGCTCCAGCGTGCTGCGGAAAATCTCGAATATTCGAACCTATTGGACACGGCTGCTAATTGTAGCGATGGACTCGAACGCCTACTATACGTGACCGCCTTTGCCCTGGCCTCATTATCGAATAATCGAGTGAAGGAGCGCGCGATTCGCAAGCCCTTCAATCCCATGTTGGGAGAGACATATGAGCTTATCCGTGAGGATCGCGGCTTCCGCTTCATTGCTGAGAAAGTGTCTCACCGTCCTGTGCAGCTCGCCTACCAAGCAGAGACAAAAGACTGGAGTCTTGCACAGTCACCAATGCCGACGCAGAAGTTCTGGGGTAAATCAGCCGAAATAATCACTGAGGGCAAGATCAGACTAATACTGCATTCGAGCGGCGACCGTTTCAGCTGGACTCCGGCAACCTGCTTCCTCCGTAACATTATTGCAGGTGAAAAGTACGTAGAACCAGTTGGTGAAATGTCTGTCGTCAATGAGACCACCGGTCAAAAAACCGTGTCGACATTCAAAGCGGGTGGCATGTTCTCAGGTCGCAGCGAGGAAGTCAGTGTGAAAGCTTTATCTCCTCACGGCGAGGAGCTCCCTCTCGGCCTGACTGGCTCCTGGCCTTCTAGCCTTGTATTGACAGAGCGTGGTGCTACCACCAAGAAGGCCATATGGTCGGCCGGTCCACTTGTCGAACATGCCCCTAAACACTATGGCCTCACGGCGTTTGCTGCCTCGCTCAACGAAATAACGCCGATCGAGAAGGGAAGGCTCCCGGCAACAGATTCCCGCCTCCGCCCAGATCAACGTGCACTTGAAGAAGGGGATCTGGATAGAGCAGAGGAGCTGAAAGTTCGCTTGGAAGACAAACAGCGCGCACGGAGACGCGATATGGAAGATCGTGGCGATGAGTGGAAGCCCAGATGGTTCACCCGAGTTGATGGGCTGGACGGCAACGAAGCGGTCTGGAGGCTGAAGACCGGCAGGGACGGATACTGGGACGAAAGGGCCAGGAATGAGTGGAAGGGAGTAGTCCCAGTGTTCGAGGTCTGAATGTAATGTCTGATGCTCACTTTGCTTGTACTGTACCTGCAGTTGGCAGGCTAATTGGTGTTATACATATAAGAGCGGCTAAGGCCATAGATATGTTCTTCACTTCTAGATTCAGCTCCGAATCTAGGAAGACGCCTATACTCTCCACGAGATCTCGATTTTGGACACGGAAAGATAAGAAATGAAGATATCTAAAGACATTGTCTTATATGTTTCTTTCTCCTATACTGTATTGCCATCTGATAGAAGTGGCTGGTATGTTTTGCGAATTCCTGGGACTGATCTGCGTAACTCACTTCGAATCTTTGTCGGTTCGATGTAGAAAGTGACCTGGCCGTCTCTTCGTGAGCAGAAGGTTTATTGTTACGCCAGCACGTCACATAGAAGTAAACGTTTTGCGACCGATCTTAAAACCCTCGCCTAAAGTCTCTCCAGTTACTCATGGCCCTCTTCACAGGTCAACCTTGACAGCAATTATATTCTCCGACAGGAATCCCGTTACGAAAAGCCAGCCTCTTTTTCTTCCCCCTTCTCGTTTTGGATCAATAGGCACCAATACAGCGGCACTGGCTGTACGGATTATAGATCCGTCATCTTCGAACAGGATCCGTGCTTCCCATCCTGTACCAGATGAGATGCTGGCATTCGTGAGAGCACCAGAGGACGGTTTTACATGCCATACCAGAGCGCCATCTTGAGCTGAGGGGTCCCTTTTATGAAGAGGCAGGTCCACTGCTCTTGGAAGTCCCGGGACGATATAGCCGCTTGCGTCACTGCTGCCATCAGAGAGCGAGACAAATGGATCCGAGAAATAACTCGGGTTGTCAACCACAGAGTCGAGAGGAATCACTTCTCGGATAGTTATTTGGCCGTTCAAGGCCTGACCGAGGTATAGCAGGCCTCCCGCGGCACTCGTGACAAGGCATTCATCATGCGTTTGGCCATGCCCTAGCCCATTGTTGTTGAATATGTCTGTTAGAGCTATGCCTGCTTTCACATCGGGGGCCTGGTCACACGACTGGGCCGAGACAGTCTCGTGTTCGATCTGTACATGAATTGCCGTGGACCATCTAGCTAGAGGGAGTACATCTTCAATGTGCCGAAGGAGTCCGTCTCGGTAGAAGTGGTCGTTTGTGACGTAGAAAGAGGTTGCATTTTCAGCATAGATGTCGTTAGGCGTCCTGATCAGCGGATGCCATATTGAACGCACATGTCTGACTGACTTCGAGCCGAGAACGTGGTAGAAGAGTTCTATTTGGGACCGCGCCTTGGGGGTAGTCGTATCCTGACGACTCCGGAAAAGGTCAGGATTTGGAAGGTGATTAACCGCGAAGATATAGACGGAGTGATCCGGCCGACTGGGATCAGCTGCCACGACATCAATGCCATGGGTTACAAGGGGGCCTGAGAAGTTTTCAAATTCGAGACGAGCGGAAACCTTGGTCTGTAGGCCAATATTGCAGTTCGGTTTTGCATTTCCGTTAGCCTGGGTTCAATCTTCTGAGCTGCAAAGCTACCGTATATAGGCAATCCGTGCCGCTCGAATCACAGTGACCGTTTCATTCAAACGCCAGCATGACCATCCCTCCTCCGAGAACATACCTCAGGATCGATGATATGGATAGAACCACCCCCTTCTGTTGACTGAGGTGGATTCTCGAAGTTACCCAGAGGGGGAAACCAACCAAATCTCCGGTGGAAGTCATCCTCACACGCGGAAAACAGCGTGTTGGTCGGATGATAGAGATGCAGATCTTCACAGATGATGGTATCCTCGATTTTGACTAGATCACTGTCTGTTGCAAGCACCCTGCGCGACGGATGTCTCCAGGCGCCAATGACAGTCAGATAATGGCTTACTGGTCCGTACGTTACTGCAAGCAGGACGGTGAGCAGGGCCAGGAGCAAGGCGTTCAGAGCCATGCCACTCTTGTTACCAGGAAGCGCCCCGGTAGCTCGTCTTGTTTTCACGACGGAATTAATGCGTAGATCTGTCGATGCTCTGAACCGATGCCAACAGTGGCTGCGATGGCTGAAAGGAGGGGAGGGAATGAGACTGGAAGGCCCTCCAGAGCTTCGCAGGTAGCTAAATAGCGGGGTATGGAGAATCCGGGGTAACAGCTCAGGAGGTAACGGGGTAGCTCACTCCAGGGCCTCATTACAGCCGAACACGTACGAATTGGCGGTAGTTATCTCAGCCGTGGATCTGCATGGCCATCGTGTAGGTCCATCGGGAAGGTCGTCGTCGTCCTGTGCTCGGCTATTCCAGTAAGTACCGGTTGTTGAATTATCCGCAACTGACTTTCTGCATTCATTGTGCTAAGATCACACTCGTCTGGAAGTGATACTGCTGAATCTGCCAGAACGAAGGTTAAAACATATTCCCATGTCGGCTTATCTAACATATAAAGAATGTAAAGTAGGTTAAAGTAGCGCCTTGAGAGGAATAAAGCACATTTAATCCACGGGCTGCAGCTGCAATAGAGCTATAATAACCATCCTATATCATCTGCAGGGCCAGCTGAATTCTAAGCCCTATATTATGACATGGCCTTTACAACACGGTGGTCGATAAAAATACATTGTATTGTGAAATTGTGGAGAAAAAAGAAAGAGAAATGAAAAGTAATGTAAGAAAGAAAAAGAAAGAAAATTGCGTTGAGCAGGTTTTCCTTTTGAGGGCGTCCTCTTGGGAGACACTTAGTAAAATTGTATGCGACATATGCCCCGCTGGATTTATGATTATTCTTCCTCAGCTTCCCACGTGCGCAAACGGCCCCTATCCTTGTTAGTTCTCTTGGTGCTATGACGTTCCAGCTGCGTGGTGACCCGCATTATGACCGGCAAGCTATCGAGAACGGCACGGTTCCCCTGGTAGTAATGTTCAGTAAAGCCGCCCTGGAATATACGGCGAAGCGTGGCGAGACGAATCCACTTCCACCAGCGATCGATGCTCATAATACCCTCGCGACCAATTTTAATGGTGCGTTTACTACCGTAATGTCGGTTCGTATCTTGATCGATTGCTGTGCTATACATCGGCCCGCGACGTGGGTTCTCCACAGTGGTGAGGATAGAAGTGAAATTATTGTGCAGACTCTTTCTATCCTTTTTGTTTATACGCTTGCTAGACACCGAGGCCAAAGACTGGAGCTGACGTTCAAGCTCGGGGGTGTTGTGATAGGCATTGTAGCGCTTGACCAGTTTCGGTTCGTCGACGTTGTCGTTGTTGTCGTTGGAAGGCAGGCCGGAGTCGCTCTGCGAGTCCTCCTCTTCGTCATCGTCATCCTCCTGCGGTGTATAGCTCTTCTCGTAAAGCAGAGCAATGTTCTCTCCGGCGGCGATCTGAACCCCTGGTTCGCTACTGCCCAACTGATCGATGAAGATACTAACAGCTTCCTCACTTTCTTCCTCCAAGTCTTCGATCTCTGTTGCAAGGAAGCCCCACTCTTGAAGTGCAGCAGTGACACTGGTTGCATCATCAATGGCACCGATGGACTGACCATCGGACGCAACGATATCCAAGAAGAACGTCATCTGTTCTAGATGACCGTCCTCTCCAGCACCACCAAAGAACGTGCATGTTCCGAGACAGTGTATAGCAGCAGCCTTGACAGAGTTAGACGTTGAGTCCCGAATGGTGCGCGTGAGCAATGGCTCAACATTCTCGTAGATGGTCTCATCCAAAGAAGTGACCGTGAGCAACTCAATAGCTCTGAGCGCAAGAGTCGTCTCCCGAACACTGGACTCGTATTTCACGCTGCGACTAAAGGCGGCCAGCAAATCAGAAATGTTGCCTCTGATTTCTTCCGCGGCAAAGTGGTACTTTAAGAGGCGACAGTAGGCCGACAATGCTTCTTCCCGACCCTGGACACTGCTCCGCTTGCGGTCTAGGATCTCCTGAATGCGATCCGCGAGCTCTTCGGCCCACTGCTCATTACCACTGTCTGGATTATCTGCCAGATCATCCAGGGAGGCGGTGCTGTAAACCGACTCGTTAGACTCTGACGCGAGGACGATGACATCATCTTATTGCAAGTCGCAGGAACATAGATGAGGAGTGTCGATTGGGGAAACCTACCTCCAGGCAGTATCATCACTTTGGCTGCCGATATCATCGTCATCTGATGGTTGTCTGCTCGCGTTGCGAGATGACGAGGGCGAATTATGCGCGGAGCTCGCGCGGGAAGTGGTACGGGAGGCTTCTCTAGACATCGCCTTTCGCGAGACTGTTTTGCCGCTCGAAAGCGCTTGGCGACGTAGATCATGCATGGTGGGATATGGAGCCTCTGCGCGAGAGGTGAACAGCAATGAGAGAAAGGAGGCAGTTGACTGTGCGCCTCAAGGAATAGGATTTCGGAGAAGAAAGAAAAAGAGGGGTAAAAAGGGAGACCCGTTCGAGTTGTTGCGTGCTGTCTGATAGTAACCACCACAGGCACGTATGATCGGTGCTATCCGACAGGTATGGTAACTCCGTATATCTTCTGAAAATAAGAAAGGATACAGCTTTCCATCAGGAGAGACATGAATGAGCCTTGTTGACGCGATGAAATCAAAAGAGATCGTTGAAGGGGATGATGGAGAAAGACGGGAAGAACGAGAATAATCAGGTAACCAGGAGGATAATCTCTTGGGTGGACGGAAAATGGTCCTTTCTGGTTGGCTGCGGAGGATCACGGGGCGGTGAGGGGTTATGTCATCGATAATAATTAGGTATGATATGATATGATATGATAGTTAACTTGGATAGTTAACTACTATACCAGAGAGTGAAAACTTTTCCAGCTCCACCAAGTAACATTCGTTCTAGATCACTAGATAGCTAGTTGGGGCATATAGCATATAAACATCTTGTATTCAGTGCTCGTTCCACTAATAGAGAGGAACCCTTTCGTTCCCGTCTCCTTGCGTAGTAACCACATGGCCAATCAAACATAAACCGCAGGCTTTATCGCAATGACACAGATGCTAACAGCAGAACTCCGCCAGGTACCTATAATAACAAACTGCAATCCAGACATTTTTGTGATACTGAGACAAAAGAGACAATGGTGGCAACACAAGCACCTTCTATCCGTGGGCTCAGATGTAAAACGACACGGACAACTAACCGGCTACTGCCAGCTGCTGAACCTGTGCGGCATCTCTTGGATGAAATGACCCCACAGCATGGATAAAGAAAAACAACTCCGGTGCGCCATGACACCCAACGGCATAGGGATCAGGGATCAGACCCCTGGGTATCATCCCACCGCTCAGTTTCAAGTGGAAAAAGAAAGGTGTGCGACTCAAGTATTAAAGGCTTCTCCAGAAGCGTATACAAATGAGGGTGTTATCTCATCTCATGATAATCCCTTGCCCCGGAGGAAATGCGGGTGGTGGCCCAGGCGTGGTTCCCGGAGCCGGTGCAGGAGCAAGACCAACCATCCCAGCGGCGGCGTTCGAACCACCCCGTCCACCTCGGCTACTAGAACCGCCGCCTCGATTGTAGCCTCCACGGCCTCTTCCCTCGTGGGAGACAGCGAGGCCCATCCGTTCGCGCTCTTGCTTCTCCTGCTCCATTTGAATGCGAGCAGCCTTTGTGACGCGAGGCTTCCTGGTTGTGGTGCCGCCACGAGACCCCGGCCCTCGTACTGGGAGCCCGGTCTCTTGAGAGATGGGTATTGCAGATGCAAGAGGCGGCTGGTGATGACTTGAGCTTCGACCACGGCCCGACCCACGACCTCGACCTCGACCTCGTCTGATTGTCCCGTCGGCTCTGTTGTTAAGTTAGCAAGGAGAACTTTGTTAGACAGGCGGAAGACGCAAAAACCGCAATACCTTTCCACTTGAATCTTCTCTCCTTCTGGGACGAGAGGCCCACTGTAAACAAAAAATCCGTCCTTGCTTGCCGCGGCATGTTCCTGCCAGGCCAGCTCGCTGTCGTCGACAAAAGGATCGTCCCTATCATAATCCTCGATCTTCTTCTTGCGGGTGCGCTTCTTCTTGCCGTCCGCTGTCATACCGAGGGCTGTTTCACTACCTGCAGTATTTCCCCCTGCTGTGAGCCCAACACCCGTCTCCATAGAGACATCAGCATCCAAGTCACTGTCTGGCTCAGCGTCCACGCTGAGGTCCTCCTCCGCACTCTCACCAGCCGAGATACCCTTGGCAACCTTTTCTGTTTTCTCTAGCGCAGCACTGGCGGCCGCAACGCGCGCCAGACGCTCACGCTGGGCCGCGAGTCGCGGATGGAGCGCAGCAAAGCCGTACTGTTCTTCGGCCATACGAGCAAAATTAATCACCTTATTGCTCTGGCCATGTAGGGGTATGTGTAAAATAATATTCGGCGCCGTCTTCAGTGAACCTGAGGCAGCAGTACTACCGTCGACTCCGAAGAGCGCACCTGAAATGAGCCCAGAGCCCTGAGGAAGAGGCGGCGGCGCATCTTTGGTCGTGCGTGATGGCTTTGGCGACTGTGCGTTGGACGGTAGTCCATTGGATGCCCCCTTCTCTTTTTTAGACGGCGCTGTAAATTTGGACGCAGCCGACTGAGTAGTATCGTTCATTTCAATATCAACGGTGACTGGTTGCTGTAGTAAAGGAGATTCCTGCGGCTGTGATTTCTGAAGGGATGACTGCTGTGGTTGCTGTTGAGATTGATACTGATGTTGTTGCTGGAGGTGCTGCTGCTCTTGTTGAGGGTGGACTAGGTTCGGGGAGGAAACCGGTAGAGAAGATGGCGCCGAAGAGACATGCGCGGTGCGTGGAGAGGGCATAGTAGATGGCTTTTGCATGGGGGACGTTTTAGACACCTGTGGGTATATGGGTTGCGATTGCTGTTGGACTGAGGCTGCCGGGACCGGGGGGTCGATGATGCTGGAGATTGCGGGTGACGCGCTCGCCCTGAAGGCCGTCCCAGGCGACATGGTATGGGCAGGAGGACTGAAGGAACTATGCGAGGGGATAGCAGGAGTGTGACTGGGAGTCGGGGTCATGGCCGGAGGGGGAGCGGGAGAAGGATTCTCGAAGGCGGACCGGATGGGATCATAATTCTGTCCACTCGAGCGCTGTGGTGGCAGCGGTGGTTGAGGCGGCGGAAGAGACTGCGCCATGGGATACGACGGAGGATCGAAGGTGGGAACAGGAGCGGGAGCGGGAGCGGAAACATTGGGCGGACGGTCGGGAATAGCTTCATGATTTCCTCTTTGGGGAGACTCCGCGTGCGACGAAAGCTGCGGCGGCTGCGGCGGCTGGGCGTCGGGTGGGGGAGCTGGAGTCACGAGATCGGGCCCTGTCGACTGCCGGTCTGGAGGATGCTCCAGCTTAGGCTTCTTGCGCGAACTCGAGTTGGACGTAGCGGCAGTCGACTTCTCACGCGGTCGCCGGCTTCTGGGCTTGGATTCCTTCCCTGGCTCTGCTTTCTTGTCGTCGTCGTCCTTCTTCCTGCGTGTTCGTCGCGCGGACGCAGGCGTCGTGGCCGAAGCGCGCCGGGCACGGGTGTCTCTGCCTTCCAACGCCGGGGTGCTGCTGGCCTTGGGCGCATCGTCCTCCGCTTCACGAGAGTCGGCCGACACAAGAGACGTCTCTTCCTCCTCTTTCGCGGCCAAGGCAGGTCCAGGAGGATCCGTCGACATGATGGAAGTCTCGAGACCGTCACATCGACTGAGTCGATGTCCCAGCAGCACGGTCACCGCAACCTGCAGACCAACTCGTCAAGTAGGCCAGCTCGCTCTGCTCCTCCCTTGCCGGTCGCGTCAACAGCAGTGCAACAGGCCCAGATCGCAGATTTCGTTTACCACTCGTTTCTCTACGTCAAGGGTTGAGTTCGTAGGAGCGCACGGCTGACAGAGCAGGTGTTGACGTGGTCCCCAAGTGGTTATCGCGAAATGGGCGGGGAGGGCGAGGGAAAAGGGGAGAAAGCGAATGCTGGGAAAAAATGAGTTGACGATTATACGTATAGCATGTAGGTATTTATTAGACACGGACGGGAAACCGGGATGAGAGGGGGAAAAGAGAAAAAGGGAAACGGCGGGAGTACCGCTACGGCGACCGGCTTTTGGGAGACAAGCAGCCAGAGGGAAGTCAGATAAGAGAGTAAGAAAGAAAGAAAGGAAGAGAAAACCGAGAACAAGAAAAGAAGGGAAAAGGCGGTAGTCCAAGAAGTATGAGACAAAGGGGGGGCGAACAGAAAATCTTATCCGTCCAAACCAAAGACAAACATTGCAGATGCTTGCTGATAGTTATTCCAGGTCATAGTAGGCAGTGATGCTAGTCGGGATCTAACTAATGATCTAGTTACTACTCATCTAATCGAATTCCATACTCTGGCGTCATGTACTATGTATGTACTTAACTGATTGATGACCGTCTGTCTGCTCAAGAAAGTCGACTGTTCAGCATCTAACAGGTTCTTCTGTCTATGCCAACAATAATAAGTCTGCATCGTCTCAAGTAGTAGTAGTAGTTAGTCTAGTCTGCGTGTCGTCTTGCTGGATTTCTTGATCTGTCGTATTTCATCCCTTGAGTCTCCCGGCCAATGATGGATTGACTGGCAGGCCTTACGTGATACACTCAGTTAACTAACTAACAGGTAGTTAGTTAGAGCACTTAGTTGACTGCTCTATGGTACTCTGCATTTCCACTCGACCTTTCGTTACTATGGTATTATCTATCCTATCCTTAATGACAGAGAACGCACCTTGTCATCAGGCCGGCTATAGAATGATACACTATCTTAGGTACCTAACAGGTGTCGAGTGTCCAGCCATGGACTAGGTTACATTTGATTAACACCTCGAGAACATGGAGTGCGTGCTTCATTACCCCACCTGTAACATTGACTTCGTACAGGCTAAAGTATTCGTAATTATTTTGACTGGCAGGCTAACGTCGCTGAACCAATTCCCCAAGATCTTCACCACCACTACCACCATTATCATCATCATTGTGATCTTCTTTATAGATATACTCGTAATACGGCCGAGGGTACCCGATTTCCCCCGCGGGCTGCAACCCCCTTTGCTTCTTTTGTTTAGTCTTATGTCCACGGTACTATACTGCAGTCTTCATGTTGCCTACAAAAAGCTACTTTCAAATCGTACGAGCCAGGTGAAATCAGGTAATATAGAATAATGATGTCTCTACCTAGGTACTCGTAAATAATAATATACCATATGGTAATTGACTTACCGAGGAATTAAGAAGTTACCACTAGTCCAAGATAAGACTAGTACCGATTTCTCAGACTAGGCCCAAATAAGTTAGTAAAGCACTGCAATGCACGTTTAGTCTTTTGAGCCGCATCGCCCCATTCAAAGTCCCATCTTCCTCTCGTCTTCCATCATCCTTCTTTTTTTTTCTTCTTCTTCTTTTTTCTTCTTCCATTCTTTGCAGTTGGGAAATCGTCATGGCGTTTCGCGGCGAACGTTTCGTCATCGACCTCCCTGATGATGGAGATGGCGATCCTGCCGTCGTTCAGCCCCCGGCCGGGCCATCGCTCGATCTTATCGGCGACATCATGGAGCGTACGCCTACTGCCGCACCGCCAGCGCCTAAACCCCCATCAGCCTCCAATGGGTTTCCTGCCCATAGGAGGCGCACGAAGCCATCTGCGTTCAAACAGAGGATGACTGCACAGGCTGATGTGGCTAGTCAGGGTTCAGCACGGCCTGTTGGTGATGGCGAGTTGAAGACAACACATACTGATCGCTCTTCGATAGCTGAGGAAAAGAGGTCGATTGATGAGGAGAATAGACGGAAGTTGGCGTCCATGAGCCCCGCGCAAATTGAAAAGGAACGCTCAGAGCTTCTCTCAGGGCTTAGCCCCTCGCTCATTGAAAGGCTACTCAAAAGGGCGAATCTCGATGAACAATCGGCTGCTGAAGATGCCCCTCGTGAACTGACCGCTACCGACAAGCTGCATCCAGAGAAAGGGCTGGAGATATCGGGGCATCCCTCTAGATCGGCGGAGCTTAGTGGCTCTGACGCTTCCAGGAAACCTACAGAAGAATCCTCTACAGAATTTCTGCCTCCGAGGCCATCTACGTCGTCAGGTTTCGATGGATCACCGTCTGCTGTGAAGGATGGTACCTTAAACGAAGACTTGCCGCCTCCACGTCTGCCAGACGACTTGCATGCTGCATCTGAGTTGCCGTCTGTGAATATCCATTTTCCCGCTCCGCCGCCACGCCAAAGCCCAATGCCGAACCTCGACCCGTCTTCTCCATCCTTCCTCGCCGATCTCCAATCTCACTATTTCCCTGATACCCCTCACGATCCTTCAGCGCTCTCCTGGATGCAGCCTCCGTCGATGGATCCCGAGGATCCGGAGGCTGCTTCTGCCTATCACCCTGCCAGTACCGCAACGTCAGTTTCCCCTTCCGCTCTTCGATTCTCCCTGCTAGGAACTGTCCTCTCCCCATCCACATCCTTGTCTCTTCCAACGTCTCTGGGGCTACACCACCATTCTTTGGATCCTCAAGCAGCAGGTTACACGATACCAGAACTTGGGATCCTCAGTCGCTCCACCGTCCCTGCGCAGCGCTGTATTGCCTGGCAAGTTATCGGACGTATTCTGTTCAGGTTAGGCAAGGGCGAGTTTGGTGAGAGGGGCAGCACCCTTGTTGAGGGATTGTGGGATGTCATAGAGAAGGAGGCTGTCGTAGCTGGTATGCTCACCGAGGCCGATGGGTGCGAGTCTGGCTCGGGAGCAACGGACAAGGGGCTTAGCAGCAATGGAGGTATTGGAAGGCATGCTAGCGCCAAGGCATGGGCCCTTGAAGGTGTCTGGCTGTGGCGACTAGGGGGTGGGGGAGACCGTGGGCTGCCTAGAGAAGGTAGCGTTCGCTCTCGGTAGGTTACAGACATGCTCATAATGGACATTCAACCCATGCATGGTCATGTCGGGCGGTTGGTTATATTTAACGAGCTTAATGACTTCTCCCGGTTAGCTACATAGAAAAACAAGGCCCAACGTGGTGCCATGAAACTCACTTTTGCCACGATTGGCAGAGCCTTTGCTACTTCATGTGGCATGACTCTGCGCATTAAGATGGGCCTGAGATTGCTTACTGATCCCTTCCATGAGTGTGCACATAATTTGATTTGAATGGCGATATGGGGGATCCTTGCACTGGCTATGAAGTTATGATGCGAAGGATGGCCTTCAAAGACTTGAGAGGCAATGAGTATAGAACAACCCTCTTTTAGTATAATTGTAAGAGCAATAGTATCACAGAGTGAATTATAATGAGCCCTTTACTCGTGTAAAAAGGCAAATACGCATCGAGGTCCATTATTGAACGCCTTCTTGAGGCTTTTGTTGTTGTCGTCTTCGGAAGGCGGAACAATGTTGTTCCATGGAGAGAGATGATCGGCGAACCATCGTCATGTTACGATATGGAGACATTCTGGATAGCAGCGACCCTTTGGAGATACCGCCTTATTAATAGATAGACCGCTAGGCTATGATCTCTTTTCTGTGACCAACGCACATGCGTATCTTCTTCTCTGTATGTTGGATTGAGACCGTATTGTCACGTTCTTTCACTGCCACACACCGCAACTGCCCATGGAGCACTCGTCGAGGTTCCAATGATCTGCGTCACGCAGTAGATGGCCCTCCATGGGTTCGCTTAGCAGCTTTCTTTTCGTATATCTCCTTGGCGGACTTACCTTTATACCACTCCTTTTTGCTTTGATTGCTCTACACGCATATCTTACGCTCCCATGCCCAGCACAGTCGACACAGGATGCGAATGACCGGAGAAACGATGGCCTGGAGTTCCCCGGGGACGACGAAAACAGTCTGAGGACTGTTACTGACAGCCTGGAGGAGAAGTTTCGACGGTCTCATGAATCTGATGTTGCTGCTGGATACTTTACTGTGTGTCGAGAGTACACACCCACTTGGTTCAATGCAAAGGCCCCCGTGCGGCCAGCGCCCGCAGGAGAGCCAACAGCCGCAGAAAGTGCGAGTGTTTATCAGACAATGTACAGTACTCTCTTCAGTCGGAGTCAGAACTCGAATTTGAAACGGGCGAAGACCACAGACAAAATCGAGAAGAGGGCAAACGACTTGTTCTTCGTCGTCTTGAGGTGAGTGCAGCTACCATCCCGCCGATCAGAGACAATATTCATATTTGAACAGGCACGGCCATCTTATGCTTTATGACGATACCCAGCAGATAGATGTTCGATATATCATATCTCTGGCTCATCATAATGTCAGTATCTATTCCGGTGGAGCGGATATACCTGAGGAGGAGCTTTGGGCGAAGAGAAATGCAATACGTCTGACTCGCAGGCCTGATCCCACATCGGCTTCGCACACGCCATCGCGCCCATTCTACATTTTCTCGGAGAATCTCTCGGAAAAAGAGGACCTCTATTTTGCCATGCTGAGGAACAAAGAAAAGATGCCAGGTTCAGCAGGCCTCTCGCCTTCGTATCTGAGCTATGACGCTAGGCATATCATCGATCTACTTCAGCGTCTATATTCGTCAGAGGAACAGCAATCAACGCGCTGGATTAATGCCATTTTGGGAAGACTATTCCTTGCGTTATATAGAACGCCAGAAATGGAGGAATCAGTGAAGAGGAAGATAGCCAAGAAGATCTCGCGAGCCAAGACTCCTAATTTCATCACAAAGCTTGCCGTAAGGAAAGTGAATATGGGAGATGGAGCTCCGTTCATCAATAATCCAAGGCTGCGAGAGCTGACCTTGGACGGGGATTGTATCGTGGGAGTGGACTTTAGCTACACGGGCAATTTCCGCTTAGAAGTATCAGCAACCGTTCACATTGACTTGGGCACTAGATTCAAGTCAAGAGAAGTCGACCTCGTTCTCGCGGTAGTACTTAACCGTGTCGATGGTCACTGCCTTCTGAGGCTGAAACCACCCCCGAGTAATCGCATCTGGTTTGCATTCGAAACGATGCCAACGGTGATAATGTCTATTGAGCCAATATTTGGCACAAGACAAATCACCTACGGAGTCGTTCTTCGCGCCATTGAGAACAGGATAAGAGAAGTCATCTCCGAGACCATTGTACTTCCTTTCTGGGAGGATATACCGTTCTTCGACACTAGTTCTTGTCCATTCCGCGGAGGGATATGGCAAACTAGAAACTTTCAGACAGATAAGGAGACTAATGCCCAGGGGAGCATGGGAGCTGTCACCGATGATAAACGTTTTGACTCCGAGAGTACTCCTGCCGGTAGTCTCGATATTGGACACGCTCTGGTGGCGAATACATCCGGACCTACCGACCCTTTGAACGACCCATCAGGTACGCAAAGTGGTCTGGTGTCAACGCATCTAGAACCTCGGGACAACAGCGACATACGTTCTTCTACTGCAAGTATGATGGACAACCCCCCTTCGCAACTTCCCGGTCCCTCCGTTTTCTTCTATAAGCCAGATTCACCAGGCACCACTGATGCTGCTGCTGCTGCTGCTGATGCTGAACACACCGGGATACCTGATGTTTCTCGAAGAGAAGGATTCGCGAAGCAAGGATGCAAAGAGACTACAGTTACACAACAGGTTCTATCTATGAATACACCTGTTTCACCTGACCCTCCATGCCAGCGTGACACGCCGAACGACGATGACGTTCCTCGAGTTACTTCAGTGCTATCCGGAGATAAGGGGGATAAAAGCGGGCTGTCGGCGCGCTCACAGACTTCCAGACAACATAGATTAAGCCTCTCAACGTCCGAGGTTGAGACCACCTTTGCAACACCTGCAGCCGGCGAACTATCCAGGCGACGTAACACATTTGAGTTCCTGCCATCACGCTCTTCCACCTCCTTGCGAGAAAGGTACCAGGGCATAAGATTTCTGAGATCAGCTACTAGCACGCCTCGAAGTTGGAGTTGGAAAGGGCTGGTGGCAAAAGAAAACATAAGAAAAGCAGACATGCCTGACAATACCGCCTCTGGAGATAAACAACCTATACCACAGCCACGCAAGGGATCTGAACCTGCCGATGAAAGACCTATGCTGGGATGTGATCTTCCGATGCCAGGAACAGAGTCCTCACCGGTCTTTCTGACCTCTGGTGGAAATGCAGCCGAAGAAGATCAAGATGACGATCACTAACTGCTCTAGGATGAGAGTCATCTCGAATGGGAGCATAACGCTCGATCAGATATTCGACATAATTAAGTCGAGACCTTTGGTTCGTGAAAAGCCTTGAGAAACATGGGGATTAGGTACTTAGGTACCTAGGTACCTAGTTACCACGTACATACTGTGGAACAAGTCCTTCGATATGGTATCTCCGACCCTTGCTATTCCAGCTAATACTGCTTATTCTCATCCCAACGTAAGAAGAAACGCGTCATTTCTATGCTAGAGAACTGTCAATACCTTTTTATGACTATGCGAGTAGTCCATCGGTATTCAATCGATACTATTTGGAGAATATCCCGTAACAGCTATAGTTTTATAAACAAATGGCCTGTGAACTGTGGAGCTGTGATGTAGGATTATCGCAGACGCTGATATTTTGTTTTCTTTTTCTTTTTTCGAACCGTGGCAATTTCGCAAAACACCTGCTACTTGAGCATTAGACGGTGCCGAAGTTCCTACGAATGCTGTCTGACCGCCTTAGCATCTACATACTTCGGCAGAATTAAATGCCAAGACCAGATGTAAAAGCGGTGAGTTAGGGAGACGCAATGCGACAGGCACCGACGCCAACCACATCGCTCCAGGTCACCTATGGTATAAGTATCACCATAGGACATCGTGGCGTCCAAATCTCCAGATCAATTATCTTCACCCTCTGCTTTCAACTGAGATAGATAGTATCGTGCATCTTCTGGCAGTACCGCTTGACTCGTGGGGCTTCTCCCACTTCGATGTTGCCCGGGCTTTCACGGGAAGCTTGAACACACAAGATGTCTTACGGATACAACGCTGCAGTAACACGCAACGTCGATATGAGCAGGTGAAATACGATCGAGTTCTTTCATTCGGCTGCCTGACTAACCCTATTTCGCAGAACGGAGGCGGATCTTGCTATCAATATTCGCAAAGCCACCAGTATCGGTAAGATATCTATCTCAAACGCTTAGCCAACGGAGGCTCTGTTAACCAAGCGATATAACAGAGGAGACTGCTCCAAAAAGTATGTATTACTTATCTTCAGATGAAATAAGTATTGAGAATTAACCGACTCGTTCAGGGAAACATGTCCGGAGTTGTATCGTCTATACATGGGACCATAAATCGTCAGCGTCTTTCTGGGCGGGTATGAAAGTGTAAGCTCTTTGGTGTTCCCTGATTTACTTTTCCACAACCCACTGATTGTTCTTTTCATCCTTTAGACAGCCCATTCTTGCCGACGAAGTTCAGACATTCAAAGCCCTGATAACCATACATAAAGTGCTGCAAGAGGGGCATCCTATAGTCGTTCGAGAGGCGCAAAGCCATGTGAACTGGCTCGACAGTCTAACAAGGGGTGTGGCTGGTGAGGGCATTAGAGGTGTGTACTTCATAGCTGAATCCCTCCCCTGCCAGCTTGGGACTGACTCGTTGGTAATAACTATGGTGAACAGGCTATGGACCATTGATCAGAGAATATGTTTTCTTCCTGGAGTCAAAACTGGCATTTCACCGCCATCATCCGGAATTCAACGGTAGGTTAAAATCCCATCAACTGTGACATTGTATTCTCACTCAAATCTCACTTTCGACCCATTTCTTGAGTATTGCTAACGTACCCAGGGCTCTTTGAGTATGAGGAGTATATCAGTTTGAAGACAATCAACGATCCCAATGAAGGGTTAGTTGGCGCGATCCTCTCTCGACTTACATTTTTGCTTATAGCTGACCTCCTCCTAGTTACGAGACAATCACTGATCTCATGACCTTACAAGATCAGATCGATGCTTTCCAAAAATTGATATTCTCTCACTTCCAAAGCGGTACCAATAATGAATGCAGGATATCTGCACTTGTCCCACTTGTACAGGAAAGCTATGGCATCTACAAGTTTATAACAAGCATGTTAAGGGCTATGCATACTAGTATGAAGCTGACCCCTTGGCTCGTCATGCTCGGCACTAACTCATCAACAGCTACGGGAGATGACGAGGCACTCGAACCACTGCGTAACCGTTACAACGCTCAACATTATCGACTCGTCCGATTCTATTACGAATGCTCTAACTTGCGTTATCTTACCAGCTTAATAACCATACCTAAACTTCCTCAGGATCCCCCAAATCTGTTGGCCGAAGACGACGAACGTCCTGCCCTCCCAAAGAGACCAACGAAAGAAGTCGAGCGTGAACAATCTCCGCCACCGAAGCTATCCGCGGCTGATCCGGAACCGATTAACGATTTCTGGACAAATGAAGCCAAGCGTCAACAAGAAGAGTACGAAGCTGAGCAACGACGATTGCAACAGCAATGGGAGGAACAGCAACGGCAACAGCTCCTGGCTCAGCAACAAGCTCAGCGCGATTTCGAAGAACAACAACGTTTGCAGGCTGAGCAGCAGCGCTTAGCGCAGGAACAGCTACTACGAGACCAGTACCAGGCGCAGACCCAGGGTGCGCTGGCTGAATTGGAACGTGAAAACCTCAATGCGCGAGCGCAATATGAACGGGATCAATTGATGTTACAGCAGTACGATAAGCGCATGAAGGATTTGGAGGAGCAGTTGAACCAGTTCAACTCCAACTTCAATTTACAAATGGCATCCAAAGATGATCAGATAAGAGCTCTGCAGGAACAAGTGAATACTTGGCGTACGAAATACGAAGCTCTAGCCAAGCTGTACTCCAAACTACGCCAGGAGCACCTTGATCTTCTACAAACAACAAAGAACCTGAAACTGAAAGCAGCCTCTGCACAAGAAGCCATTGACAGGCGCGAGAAGCTTGAGCGAGAGATGAAGACTAAGAACCTCGAACTGGCAGATATGATCAGAGAGAGAGACCGTGCTTTACATGAGAGGGATCGGCTCAGTGGAAACAACAAAGAAGAGGTTGAGAAGCTGAAGCGAGAATTAAGGTTCGCTATCGAGCGAGCAGAGAATGCAGAACGTGCAAAGGGCTCGGAACTATCTTCTATGTTGGCGAAATACAACAGGGAAATGGCTGACCTGGAAGAGGCTCTACGCGTAAGCCTATGTTCCGATTTTTGTTTTACTACATATGCTTACAAGGGTGTCTATTAGAACAAAACTCGTGCTCTTGAAGAGCTATCAGCGCGACACGGGGAACAAGACACTGACCGTGAGATTGCTTTGCGCGAGAAAGACGAAGAGATAGAGGTTTACAAGTCTGGAATGGAACAAGCTCTGATGGAGTTGGAGGAACTGAAATTGGTCTGTTCTACGGTCAAGGATCGACTCAAAAGAACGCAACTGACAGTCAATAGAGCCAGGGAGACGCCGATCATGCACTTGATACGCAAATTGACAGCGTATTACTGAGTACTGTTTCTAAGGTCAATGACATGATTGATTCAGTCCTTCAGAGTGGTGTGCAGCGTGTAGATGACGCTCTCTATGAGCTGGACTCTACAATGCAGGCCGGTAACCAGAACGCGTCTGCACCATACGTACTGTCTCAAATCGAGAAGGCATCTGCATCGGCTACTGAGTTCTCCACCGCTTTCAACAACTTCATAGCAGACGGCCCGAACAGTGCTCACTCTGAGATCATCCGCACGGTGTCTATATTTTCCGGTTCAGTTGCGGATGTCCTCAGCAACACCAAAGGTCTGACTCGTTTCGCGACGGATGAGAAAAGCGCGGATCAACTTATTGGTGCTGCTCGCAAAGCTGCTCAAGCTACTGTGCGGTTCTTCCGTGGCTTGCAATCCTTCCGCCTCGAAGGAATGGAGCCTCTACAGAAAACCGATGTGGTCATCAACAACAACTTAGAAGTCCAGAAGGACCTTCAAGCACTTTCTAAGTTAGCCGACACTTTCACTCCGAAGAGCAGCAAGATCAGCACATCTGGTGATCTAGGCGATCTGGTAGACAAGGAGCTTACGAAGGCCGCGGATGCTATTGACGCTGCTGCAGAGCGCTTGGCTAAACTAAAGAAAAAGCCGCGCGATGGATACTCGACATACGAACTACGGATCAACGATGTTATCCTCGAAGCTGCCATCGCTGTCACCAATGCAATCGCCGAACTTATCAAAGCTGCCACAGCATCACAACAGGAGATCGTCAAAGAAGGCCGCGGGAGCTCGTCAAGGACAGCATTCTATAAGAAGAATAACAGATGGACGGAGGGTCTCATATCAGCTGCGAAAGCTGTGGCGTCCTCCACAAATACCCTCATCGAAACTGCCGATGGTGTTATTTCAGGACGCAATTCACCAGAACAGCTGATTGTTGCCAGTAACGATGTGGCAGCGAGCACGGCGCAGCTTGTTGCTGCTAGCCGAGTCAAGGCTACGTTTATGAGTAAGACTCAGGACCGTCTGGAGACCGCAAGCAAGGCTGTCGGGGCTGCCTGCAGAAGTCTGGTTCGACAAGTTCAGGACATAATAGCTGAAAAGAGCCGAGACGAGACTGAAGTTGTCGATTACACGAAGCTCAGCAGTCACGAATTCAAAGTACGAGAAATGGAGCAGCAGGTACGTACCTTGATCTCTACTGCAGATCCTTTGTGTATTATTTCCGAGTGTTCACGGCCAGAGCTGGTTTGTTCTCATTTGAGACCAAACCTGTAATTCCTCAATCGGCAGCCACTAGGTTTGCTGTACAGCTAGAGCTAATATCCTCTGCAGGTCGAAATTCTCCAGCTCGAAAACAATTTGGCCAGGGCCCGACAGAGGCTGGGAGAAATGCGCAAGATCTCTTACCAGGAGGAGTAAAATAAACGTTCAGATCACGTTATCTGTATTGTGCACAACGCACAGTCCGGTCCTTGTCTGGTCCTGTGAATCTCTAGCTTAGTTTGAGTAGAACGGTTCTAGCGACGCAGTATATATTTTCCTTCCGTACGTGGTTCAGTTCCCGATGCCATCTCCTTATTCTGTTCATCTTGTTTTCTTATCACATTCCTCGGTCACTCAGTCCGTGATCGCCGTAGTATCGGTCCACGGTTCTCATAAGGCTGCCTACATCTGATTGGCAAAGTACCATTATATCTCAATAATGAAATACTTAGCTTTGCAAGTCGTTATATTTTGATTCAAGCCTCTTGATTAAACTTGACGATTGCCGGCGCAGGATCACACCCAGAGTGGCACACAAGACTAGTAGAGAAAGAATGGTGTTAGAACAGTTCAAATCACGAATCGAACTCATCTCTACCCTAACATAAGGACATCCACATTCTAGTTATGGACAGAACTGTTGTTTCAGAACCATACACGTGTGATGTAGACTCGATAGAAATATCTATATTTATCTATCTATCTTACTTTTCCTTCCATTCGGAGGTTCAGAGCGCTTTCATCATGTTCCTCCATCCCTGAAAGATGTCAACTACTTAAAGTTCGGCCGTTGTGCATGAAAATGACGGCTCGGAGCATCTGCATTGGAATTTGTTTGCGTGCATGTGAACATAATAATGTAAATCACCGAGGTGATCGTTGCCTATCAGAGAAGGCCTTCTGTTGGCGTATTTCCTTCAACATGATCAAGAATATGGTAACAGAGTGCTTATTAGGACGAAAAGGATATTAGACATCGGTATCTCCCCGGCATGCAACATGTATATGCATAACCAGAGAAATATAGGCACACGAGAAAAGGAATGCGCTTTGTATTGACAAAAAATAATAGACTTGACACCCTCGTGGTGTCAGTTCAAGTGAGATGAAAACCTTGGCCAGAGGACAGTGGACCGTATGCCAGCGAAATAGCGTCGGGAGAAAAACCACAACTGATTGAGAGCTTCTAGAAATGCTCAGAGATTCATAAACTCATGAATGTCGAACGCATCGAACGGCTCACTGGCCAGAGGGTCGTAATGGACGATTGGAGTCTCGATGGCCGGGTTGAAGGGAGCGAACAGGTCGTCGTCATCAGGATTAGGCCCGCGCAGATCATTGAGAGCGTCGTCAAGTTCAGTCATAAACTCATGTTGATTGCGTGGTCCGTCTCTGAGCTCAAGCAACTGAGAGATGGAGGATACGTCTTCATTGACAGCGCTTCCCTCGACATGAAAATCATCCAGTGGCATTGGCGGAGGGCAAATATCAATGCTGGCTTTTACTCCCATGTTCCCACTGAAGTTTGCTGTAGTGATCTCAGGACTGGCGGTATTGACTTCGAGCCCACTGCTTGCCATGGTGGGCTGACTTGAAAAAGACATCAGAGAGCCTTCGTTGAGTTTTCCAATAGTACGATGGCCAGGATCGCCTTTGACGTAGCCTGTCTCATAACAGTGATCCAGGATATCGTTGACAGAGTAGTCAATGGTGGTCTCAGTTTCCATAGGAAGAGTGGCGCCAGTCCTCACCATGCTATGCTGGTGGTTCTCATCCATTGCGAGCTCCCAGCCCATGGCCGCAAGATACTTTTCTGGCATGATAATTCCGACGAAATGACAGTTCAGGGCCAGAAAAGTATCAAGTGAGACTTGCCCAACATGATTATCACGGATAATCGAGTACGCTTTGGCCAGAATTGCCCATTTAGCCTTGAACGGATCGTTCTCCCACAGAAACCTGAGGATCCCGGATTTGGCCTTCTGCGTAAATTGCGGAAAGGCTGCAGAGTAGAAACCTAAAAAAAACTTTTGTTAGGAAGTTTTAGGTGATTTAGTGACTTCGTAACGTACTTCTGAAAGCAATGAAACTATTGAGAGGTCTCAACTTCCCTTCACGGAAGCGCTTTCCACGGGCAGCTGTGACTCTGTTCCGAGTACCGTTCTTATCAGTGCCATCGGCGACTGGAGCAGCAGCTATAGGAGCAACTTCAGTGGCCTGTGCTGCTCGACCAGCGGTGGAAGTGTTGTGGTCATGAAGATAGCGGAGCAACTCTTCCAGCTCACCAGGAGGCATAGCCATGAGAAAGGCGTTGAATGCACGCTGAAGAGGGGTGAAATCGACAGCCATGGTGATGAATAGCTTTCTCTTGATATTTCTTCGTTTTCAGTGAAGCCTTCGTAGAGGTTTGATCGATCTTCTATCTCCTAAGTGAAAAGGAAATGCAATTAGGACAATGAGAACTGTCTGGCTCGAGAAAGGAGCTTTTTTTCAGGAAGAAAGGAAGACGGAGAAGACAAGACAAGAAAAGAGCTCAAGTAGAAGTGTTCCTACTTGACACTACTGTCATGTCGCTGTGGCCTTGGTGGCTGGCAAGACTTTGTACAAAACAAAGAATTGTGTTGTATTCACTTGGACGGGAGTCCTTCACTCTGGGGCCGATATGCACACCACAGATGTAACCTCTTGATTCCCTAATCCCCTACACAAACTTGTGGATATGAGATGCGCTTTATGTACCAAGCACATGTCAGATATTTCTCGGCCATCTTCAATTTTCGAGCCTTTTAGAAATTCCTAATCTCCAGCAGCACGGCATCATCGATAATGGAGAGCATTCAGGAATCACCAATGGAGCCAAAGAAGCCTAGCTACTGTCATACATGGAAACATGACAGAGGACAGTTAGATGGTATGACATCAAAGCGTTTGAAACGCCCGGGTGCTGACTTTACTCAGAGAATGGTCAGGTGCTCCGGAAAAGTTCTGAACAATTCATTTGCGAACTGGAAGAAGCCGTGGAAGAAGCCTATGCACAGGTTTTCCAGTTTGTCTTCTTGAGCATCCAGGAATCTGACAGGCCGATCCACAAAACTAATCCTCAGCCATCACTTTTTGACCTTATTTTGGAGGACGTGTATCTTTCTATCGAGGAAGCTACATCTACTCTTTTAGTTGTGGTTCCCGAGCTCCGTCGACTTCAACGCCAGCAAAATCTGTATCCATCCTCAGACTCAGCAAAGAGATTTCTCTGTTCTATTAAAAACAGAATCAGCATCAACCATAAAAGAACCCTCTCGGCCGCAAAAAAGATGCACCAAAGTCTCTGCTGGGAAAGAATTCATAGCGCGGAACAACAGATAATTCTGGCTATTCAGCATCCTACTTATGATCCACGCTTGAATTCGTGGCAGCAGTTTCTAATGGATGGCGCCCCTGGAAGCGGTCTCGATGCTCGAGGTATCTTCTACGACAAAAAGCCGGACTCACTTGCCACCCCTTCCGGGAGTTCATCCTTTCGCATACTTCCTCCTGGGGCTGTGTGTATCCTAAGAGAATGGCATTCAAAGGCAAGAGAGACGGAGAAAAAGTGCAGAGAGGTAAGCTTCTCATGGAAACAGGAAGCAATAATGTGACACCAATGCGTTGGGGAAGACCGCAATCCCAGGGAGCCTCTCGTCTGATCCTTCGCAAGCATATACAACTCAGGTAAGTCATTAGATATACTCCTACTTAGTGCTATTGATGATTTTAACTCACTTTAAGGAGATTCCGACAATGAAAGATCAGGTGCCTTCTTTCGGTTTACGACACGAAATGGTCCGAGTATGGATGCTAAGTTTTCCTAAAGTCTATTATTCTCGACTGACTGACCCCAGTTCACAAGTTCCCCAAACATATGGTTTCCGGTAAGTTAACTGAAATGGTTCAAAGCTTGATCATTTTTGCTTGTCGATCTCATCTAAGAAGTTACAGCATCAGCCAGATTTCCGTGGTTTCGCAGACGTTGCGGAACCAGCACAGCTTTCCTTGATGATAGGTATTTATTCTGATATCGTCCCTACCTTTTGGCTATCTAGGAGGCAGTTATTAGTGGTGAAACGCGATTGATAATCTTTTCCTGCAGATACCCTGGAGGGATATGACGAACAACGCTTATACACTGCACCTCAGACGTTTGGTACCGTTATAAGAACCGAGCATGCATTTTAAACGAGCCACGTCCGGGTCAAGCCTAATCAGGACAATCCGAGAATTACCAGGTCATACAGTTCCTAATGACTGGATAAGTCTATCATATAAACCTAGTCATTCCGGTCCAGCCTGAACTTTAAGCTCTGTGCATTACGGCCTATGCGGGGCTTGCAACGATTGTGGATGGTTAGATGGATAATGAGTCAGCTGGGACAGCAGTTCTCTTCTCTTCTCTTCTTCTTCTTTTTAGAGACGTTTCTGTTTATTTGTACTGGGATGTGGATCGCATTAATCTCCGATGATGTGAGAAAATGCAGATCTACCCACCAATGGCGACATGCCTTTCAGAGATGGAGTCTTTACCCAGGGATGGATACAGATTTTGCTGGCGTTGATGTACTCGGCTAATAAGTACTCGCAACAAATGATTCTTTCGGGTTATATGTCAAGAATTCGATGTCTCCATGAGAACCGAATGTAAATATGCGAGTCTGCAATTTGTCTGTCTATTTCAGTACGTTGCTCAAAGGAAACCCCTACTCGTTAACCCGTCTAGCAAGGGGGCCCAGTCTGATTTAGCTGCGTCTGAAGTTTTTACCAACAAGTTCACTGTCTCACGTATTTGATCAAATTCCCATTTATTGTATTTTAATCTCCGATGGAAGGTCGATTGGTCTCTTACGTGTTTCTCCCTTTGCGCCACCATCTTATGTCAAGCTATCAGAAGTGCTCCCAAAACCATGGTTTCCTGGTATAGAAACTAATCTGTGCCCGTGGCACCAACGATGTGGGCTTCCATGTAATGTAAACTGCATATTTCTTCAAGCAGAATCCAAATACAAGACAATGGAAGAGACATGTAAATATTCTCCCTTGCGGTTGGAAACTCTTTTAAATACTCATCTTCATCGAGGCTAGTCAGTGAGAATGAAAGCATATTGGCAGCTTCACGTGAGACACACACCAGAATGACTATACTCAAATAAATTGTTTATGTGGGATTTAAGAATTATCCCATTCATTCGTTCAACTAACAACCAAAATTCAAATACACACCGGGTGTATTCGTAGCCCAGTCTATTCCATGCGTCGAATTCTGGAATGTTTTGAGATCACAGCCCCGAGGGCAGGAAGAAAAGATCGCAGGCGCATTTGCGTTCTAATATTCACGAAATTGCGAAGAATATTCTCAACAGTATCATTATGTCAGGGAATTATTACTATAAGTCCCAAGGGGACTAACATTATCAAATGACTCTGCACATATACATGTGTCTAATAAATCTTTTATGCCATTTTAAGCGAGATGGATAGCGTACTACAAATTAAATAAGCACGAAGGACGAATATGATCTAAACATTTGGTATCTTATTGTCCCTCGGGTCGTTGACTTTAAGTCTTGTCTACGGAGGTAACAATAGCTTTTGACAGAGTCCGCAAGCTTCAGTGAGATATCTTACCGTCACAAAGATTCACAGGTGTCAATGACGGAGACTTTATGACCGCTAAATGTGGCCACCAGCCCAAAAAATCGATTGCTCGACTTGATGTTCAAATACTAGGACACATAGGGAGACAAGCACCCTTTAGCAAGTAATGATTTCGTACGCTGATTCTAACAAACGGCATAGCATCAGATATATTTTGTTTAGGGAAACGGATCATCTAGACACTCGGAACCAGCACCGTGTTAAAAGATGTCGGGCTTCTAGCGAATCACTTCGTGTTGTCTGCGCAGGAACCTATATCCAAGAGGCATTAACGTCCCATCCCATTCACTGTGGTTTAAGGCTCGTATGCTGTTACTTACACTGTTGTGCTGTTTTCCGAAGTAAATCTTCATAGTTAATATCCCTGTATGTAAAATCGTGTTTCTGTTGCGATAAAGTCAAGCTATGCATTCTTTCCAGAAGAGGTTTCAATTATCGGTACATTATCATTGTAATATTGGTATACTGTCATATGCAAATGCAGTTGGAGAGTAGAACGCAGACTGATTTAGCTGTGATTTATTAGCGCCTCTAGTGTCTATCTATTATGCCGTTTTTCTTGAGACTCAAAGTGATATATCCTATGCGCAACTGAACCTGGCGAGCGCGCGCGGAATGCACTGATGTCATGAGATACCATAGAGATTGTTAGTAATTATGCGAGGGATTTTTTCTGTTCCGTATCAACAATGTCGAAGATGACAATTCTGGTATTTGTCAAAATAGGTGTTCTGCTGGAGCCGTGACTGCTCACTGAAGAATGCCAAGATAGTCTGACTTCCTCTCATAGAAGTCGGCCCTTATTCCACAAGCCCGTTACCGATGCCAGCAAACACGATACCGCATGTCTCTAATTAAAATACGTTTATCCATGCCGTACAGCTTTCTGGATTAGTCTGGAGAGTTCCAGTCGCTCGCCCAAATGAAAGTCGAGCAACGCCACTGTGTCCCCTTTTCCTTGGTCCCGCTAGGTCCAAGCGGCCTAGGACACATCCAGAACATCCTACCACGGTTAATACCTGGCTTCTTGGTAACCATACTGATGCAGGGCTCTTGGTGATCCTCGCATTTAGGTGGAGGCTTTTTGTTGAATAACTTTGCCCAACACTCTTTGCTGACGATGGGATCAATAATAGCGGTGGCCTCTGAAGATGTCTTATCGGAACTCGTGGCACATGTACTCTTTTCAAGAGGGGCGGCAGACGTTTTTGTTGACGGGCCGTCCTTTAGCTCTACAGAATTTGCTATACCGGTCGATGCTCGCAATAAGGATGGCCGCGTCACTGCATATAGACACCGAGGTCAGCTATCGGTACACTTTCCTGCGGGCCTCATGAACCACCTGTTGCTTCAGTTTCATCCCGCCTGGACTTGAAATAGCCCCTTAAACTCTGCTGGCTTTTAGTAGATGCCCCAGGAGCAGCACCAGTGGCAGATTTAGATCTCTTGACCGGACGGAATCCAGCAGTATCAACATTCCCAGCTGGAGGGCTAGCATCACGCTTGGGTAGCCTTTGAGAACTAGAGCTTGTGATCCAATCTTTTGGAACCCCTGCGCTATCTAGGTTGTGCTGTGCCGCTGGTGGTGGCACCGTCTTGTTTATTGGGTCCTGGCTCGGCTGTGGCGGGAGAGAGACCGGAGACCGTCCCCCAGACGCAGGTGCTCTACGGGAAAACATGTCCTTGATACTCCTTCGTCTATCAAATTCTGGAATTAATCGTCCCGACAGCGGCAGTTGGTCCCTCGTCGAATATTCTCGTTGGCGTTTTCCGTTCACAAATGTCCCAGGTGGGTTCATGATGTCCCGAATATCCACGTCGGTTCCGCCAAATGGAACAACATCTTTGAGTACTGCATACACAGGGCAATGATCAGAGCCCTCCAGAAACGTTAGCAATATATCACTGGATCCCGAGAGAAGCGTACCATAAGTCCTGGTTGTATATCTGCACTGAAGAACCAGTCCTTCATGTCCAGGCTACAAAGAACGTAATCAATTCTTGAGCCATAGTTTCCCGGTCTAGCATTGATCTTCTGTTCCCAGCACGTATACATGCCCCGACGGTCAGGATGGAAAGCCCTGCATATATCGTAAAGCACAGGTTTCTCCCTACCCTCGTCTCTAGGGCCAATGACTTTCCCATCCAACACCAGTTGATTAAAGATACGTCGCGCTGGTGATGAAACGAATTCGTCTTCGGTCAGTTTCTGTTTCCGAACAGCTTCTGTGGCGTGCGCCGCGTCAATCTCAGCTCTCGAAATGTTGATATCACCAGTCAAAACCACTCTCTTCCCGCTAGCCACAAGATTCCGTATACGAGAATCTAAGGCATTTAAGAAGCTCAGACGAAATCCATCGCGGGTCTCATCCCGGTTGGCAGGACAGTAAACACCCAGCAGGACAAACGCAGGAAACTCGAGAACCACGCAACGACCTTCCGAGTCAAGTGAAGCGGCATCGACCTCGTATTCACTCAGTTGCTCTGCAGTTGGATAGCCTCCGATCTGTTGATCCTCAGGAAGATCACGATAAGGGGTGGAAGAGCCCGGTCTATTGAGGATCCCGGTCACGCCTTCTTCTGCGCGTACAGGTGTACATGTCGCATTGCGAGTGTATATTACCACACCAGAATAGCCTGCACTATGTCACTTTCAGATCATTCTGCGGCTTCGGCATGACTGACCTTTCTTGATTTTCGGGAGACTAAAATAGCAGTCCCATCCCGACACTAATACCATATCATCCCGCAGGTCCTTTCTCTGTATTTTGGTCTCCTCAAACACGACGACATCTGCTTCGAGGACATCGAACATAGCCTTCACACTTGACGATTAGCGTACTGTTGCGCATTAACAAGATTAGGCACTCGCCTCGAATGTACGTTTATCGCGCCAAGGTTGGTATCCGAACGGGTTTCTACGTAGGAGTTAGAGCAATACTTCGGCCAGAATCACAGTGGTAACAAGTGTGTGCGGTGCTTCTTACCGGATACCATTGACTAAAGCCATAGTTAGCATGTATGATTAGACGAGAAATGCATCTCGATACGTAATGCACTCAGAAAGGACATGTATACGACTTACCATTCCAGGTGACAATACGGAACCCCATCTTCACCGTCTGCGGCCCCAGGACTGCATATCTCCCCCATATACGGCAACAAGCCGCGTCCCAGTGGTAATGAAGAAGGATGCCACTCTTTAAAGCTTTGTCTTGGGCAACAGCCAGTGACGCGCAGATGTCGAGGTTGGTATATCTTTCGCGTGCCAAGATGCACGTGATGCTGGAGAGCGGTGACATCAGGCCACTCCGATTATGTAAGCAGAAGTCGCCCTTTCCGGCCCTCCGGCGAATCACGGGAACGCTAAACGGCTCACTTCGAGTTCGTCAAACATTGAAACCTCCAGCGATCCCGACGACGCTTCACTTCACACTTCGACTGACCGTAACCATGCTTTCTCAACGCAGTGTCCTCCGTCTATCCCAGCGCGCTGCTCAGCAGCTGCGGGCATCTCCTGCTCGCAATGCTGTCCAGAGACGCTTCAACAGCTCCGAGCCCAAGCTTCCGTGGGTGGTCGACAATGAGTTCAACCGTGAGCGTGCAGCCGTCAAGGAACACGCTGCTGCCACTAGTGGTGAGTTGCGCAATATCTCTTATGGTTCCCGGCGGCTTCATATGTATCACAATGCCTCATTACTAATTCAATGCTTGCCAGACCTCTGGAGAAAGCTCTCTATCTAGTATGTCACCTAGCCAAAGCAGGAGCCGGAGGCCCGAAAACTATTGAAGTTAGCAATAGGCTCACAATGAAATAGCGCTGTCGTTCCCTGCCTGATCCTCGGTGGCATCAATGCCTACAACCTTTGGAATGAGCACTGGGAGCACTGGGAGCACATGCCCCCACTTGAGGAGCGTACCGAGTATGCTTATCAAAACATCCGCACCAAGAACTTCCCCTGGGGCGATGGCGACAAGGTAAGTGACCAGCCTCGTATAAGCATAATCGTATAATGATGCTGTCGCTGACTTCGTGGAACCCCTAGACGTTCTTGTAAGTATTGTTGTTTTTTTCGCATAGTTGATTTTTGATCACACACAACGCTCGCTGCTGTCGACGATGATGTGCAGATGTGCATTATATGCGTCGCAACTTTCTCGACAAAAATTGTGCGCTTGATAGATTTTGGGCTTCAATTTGCTAACGATGGTATAGCTGGAACCCCTCTGTCAACTACCACAACAAGGACAAGGCCGCTTAAGTGCCTCCAGCCTCCAACTTTCAACGATTACCCAGATGTCGAATCTTTCGGGTATGAAGCTGAATGTGAATTCTGACGCACTCAAATCAGAGTAGAGGTAGCGTGGATGACGCAGGGGAAAGTAGAGTACCGGACGATGAATTTCATCTGCACACACTTTCCGTCTTTCCTATGTAATTTGTCAGTGGACCAAGCAATGTACAAGAAGAGTCATTCACATCCATCTTTTGTAGAATCCTAGAAGTTCCCAACCGCCGGAACTCGATGTAGATATCTCACGTTCGTCTGCAGCGCTAGATGAGAGCCCGAATCACAAGTTGTTAGCAGAACTAGTAAGAGGTCATTCATAGGTGACAATAATCAATCTCACGTTCAGACGCCAATTTCGCTTCTGTTGTGTCCACGGTGTGGTACTAATCCGGAGTAATAAGTTAATTACCTTAGCCAGAAGGGGTAGTAACCAAGCAGACCAGTCAACCGAGATGATACTGCAAATTTCGTAGAGGGTGGATGTTATAATATCCAACAAAAAACCGACGCAAGACAATTTGTTTCCGTACGCACGAGCGGATCTTGGAGTTTTGAATAATCAAGAAAGAGCAGGAGGCCTCGAAGGCAAGAAGTAGCGGGAAGAGCCATAGTAGATTTAGTGAGTCAAGAGCTGTCTGTTCAAAGCCTCAGCTCCATAACGTGTCTTATTTTGATATTAGAGAGGTCATTTGTGTGTGTGTGTGTGTGTGTGAGAGTGTGAGAGAGAGAGAAGCCAAGAAGAAACATATCTGAAATGCATTTCATTCTCCTATATGACGAGGTGAATGGCTTGGATAAATGTACATAAAGAGAGGGGGAAGAGATTCTGACGACAGTCACCCTGGCTCTTGAGCGATAAGTGAGATCGAAGATGAAGAGTCAGTGGAGGCAACCAGGCATTGAATACTGGGGTTCAGAAAGATTTAATGAAAGAAGAAGCTGTGGGTGATTCTTAAAATAGTTGAACTTGAGAAAATTGGAAAGACATTATCCAGGACTGACTTGGTATCGGGTGATATAGGAATATGATAAATCTGAGAAACGTTTCGCGTTATTTAAGCTGAATCACATTAGAGCTGCGATATAGAATCGCATTTGTAGCATTTGTAGCAATTGCTAGCAATGAAGTCTGTTATGCTGTATCACCGCTTTGCTTTCTAAGATCCAGATACTTCGCAGCGTAATCATTCGCCAACAAGAGATCTCCAGACAGGTGCATGATTGTCGCTTTCTTCGCCACCGTCTCGCATTGCCCAGTCAGGTTCTCGATATCCTCGAAGCCATCACAAGCGCTGTGGAGATATTCGAGGGCACGGGTCATATAATCTTTCCCAGCTGGGTCTCCGTTTCCATCTTTCAACAGTTTTCCTGCAAGTCCCATGTTCGCGTCTGCTAGGAGCGAATAGGAACGCGCGGCTAGATCACTATCTTCAACTTCAAGGATCTGTGGCATAATGCTTTCCACTATTTCAGCGCATGCTTCGAATTCCTCCAGGTGGAGGAGTACGCTTGCGAGAGCACAAAGCGCTTCCCAGAGGCCAGCCAACACTCTCGATCGGTGTGCGATGCTGGTCGCTCTAACGGCTAACGATAACCCACGATGCGGCTGGCCCATTTTGATCAGAAATTGGACTTTCAGGCATAGCAACTTGACTTGCGAAACTATGTCGAAATTTTCCTCTTGTGAAGGCTGCGCAGCATCTTCAACTAACTGTAAGGTGTGTCCGTATTCTCCCTTCCGGCCGCTGAGTTCGATTTCGAGAAGAGTAAGATTGCTGGATATGTCCACATCGGGGAGCTGGATGGATTGAAGTTGTGACAACAAACTCTCAGCAGATTCTATGTTGTTTCTAGGAATGGTCAGGTAAGCATGCCCGAATATAGAATAGACCGTCTTACCTATGTAGTTGTCTCTTCAATTCTAGGATACCTGAGAGATATATCCAATGCTGGTTTGCTTTCATTGAGCGAAGTATCTCTGGCGAGATCTCATTGACGCGTGCTATGGCCTCCTTATAACAACCTTTTTGTGCGAGCTTCAGATATGTTAGTGATTGTTTTGCTCTGGTGGAAGTTTGATACTTACTATCTGACAGCTTCGGAAGATGCTCCTAAGCAAGTCCTCAAGTAAAGCCTTATCCGCGTAACATTCACGGAAAACCTCACACTGTATCCACGATAGATGTGTGAGACCTACAAGTAGTCAGCTTAGTCTATTATAGAAAGCACCTGCGGCTTTCATACCTATCCTAGCGAACAGTGAAATCTGGAGCAACAATAAAGGACCCATCGAGTTCTTCAAGTGCTTCGTTACGTTAAGATGGGAGGCCTTGACAATATTCTCAAAAGCCAATGCAAGCCCTTCGCCCTGTATATGTAGTCAGCTGGCTGAAGAGCATAAGCAAATATCGAGATAAATACCCGTTGAGCCTGCAGTTTTGCTTCACTCAGAAGTGTTGTGCTCAAAAGGCTCCACATTTCCGTCTCCTTTGCCTTCGCCTTCAGGAAGGCTAGGCCCTCTTTTTCTGTCCCAAGGCGGCCGGCATTCTGGACACCCGCCATCTCCTGCGGGAATGCTTTTCCAAAGTGATAAAGCCAGCTCATGCAGAAATTTAAACAGTTCATGTCGTGCGATTCTCGCGCAATGGAGATAGCCTCCTGCATCGCAGATATAGCTTCGCTGTAACAAGAGAAGTCTGCCTGTAGGATAGCAAGGTTTAGCAATGCGTACTGATAAAAGCTGCGATCATGACTGTGCATTGTATAGTCGAAGTAACGGTGAAGATTGTCGAAAGCAGATAAATAGTCCCCTGCCCTCCAGGAGTCGAGAAATCTAGACTGTCAGCCGCTTGAATGGCCAAGGATATGGTAGAGTAACATACCGGAGGTAATGAGATAGACTTGGAATGGTAACCCCGGACGAGATTATACGTTCAAGTTGAACTTTCACTTCGTCAGGCACTCGTCCTCCAAGTCCTGTGTCCCATTAGCAAAGCCCTTGCAGAAAAGAGATACGGCCGTACTTTGCAATTCCCCAACTTGGAACTCTAACAGTCTTTCTACATCTTTCGTACTGACAATTATATCATCTTCCGATCCTTCCATGATGTTATCGTACATCACCTGCGCCAGTGGGCTGCTGGGAGCAAGTCCTAGCTCCAGAAGATTGATATCAACAGCCGTCTGCTCAGCTGACGGGTTCTTCCTAGCCCACGCGCGGTATGTTTCCAGGCGATACTTGATAAACCCCTTCCATAAATTCACTGAGTCATGGAATTGAAGCCTTGTGAATTCCAATTGAGCTCTTCTCACAAATACGCCTAGAGGCGATGACCGTGAGAGCAGCATCCGGCCCGTTTCTGGAGCGATACCATCATCTCTATCGCGAAGCTGCTCCTCTCGCGTCTTGACGAGCATCGAAGATATATTTTCGAAATAGCTCTGTAGAGCATCGCAGCTGTCTATTGACCATATCTTCTTGAGGAAAATATCCCAGACTGAGCGACCAGGTATCGAAGATACATGGGCTGATAACGCCTCGTAGAATTGATCGATCGACACAGCATGATGCATATCCCATTTGAATGGACCATTTTCTGTATGGTCTGGAGGAAACAGGTTGGAGACAACAAATGAGAGAACTGGTATAGCGGAGGAATTGGGGACGGTTCCTTCAACATAGACCGAGATCACGCACAACAGCGCGACCTTTGAGGGGGTCAGGTAGCGACTCATTTTCAAGGTAAGGTCATAGGCTGTTGGCTTATTCTTCCCTTAGGGAGAGAGGGCAAGTGCCTACATTCCCTAGTAAATACGTACCTTGCACTTAAAGCCGCGAAAGAGTCTGTTTCAATGGAAGTGCGCCAGCTCGTAATGTTAATGTAAGGAAAAGCAATACCGAGTCAGCTTCGCAAAGAGATATGGCTAATCACTCCTGTATCGATCACGGCTGAAAGCTCGATACGCGTCTGGTACTTAAACAATTTAGATAATATGGATGTCTCAATACGCGCCTAGTTTGGCTGTGGATCAGCGGAAATGTATGTGCCTTAAAAGCTAGGCTACAGATGTGGGGCACACCCCGCCGAAAGGGCAGAGCGAAAAAAAGCGCTTTGCCATTTCTATCGTCAAAGAATCCCAAGATACAACTTTGGTATACAGTGGTGAAAAAAAAGAGAATCCATTTATTCAAGTTCTAGGGATCCAGGTCATCTTATCGTCTGTCAATTTGATTCTATTAACCTCCCAGGTCTTAGTCCAAAATGAGCCAGGTGCTCACGACGACAGATCTCGGGGGCGTATTGCCCTTAATTGCTCGAGGAAAGGTGCGAGATTTATACGAAGTTAATGACAAGACACTTCTTTTCATTGCAACAGATCGTATTTCTGCGTACGATGTCATTATGGAAAACGTATGTTCACGATACAGTTATCTTCCGATGCCAGTCTGATTACATACTGACGCCTTCATCCTCTGCAGGGTATTCCTTCTAAGGGTGTTCTTCTGACTCTCTGCACCAAAACATGGTTCAAGGTTCTTACAGACGCCATTCCCTCTCTGCGTACCCACTTCATTACTCTCGATCTTCCCCCTCAGATTCCGGAGTCACTCCGGCCGACGCTGCAGAATCGTAGTATGCAGGTTCGCAAACTGAAGGTCTTTCCCATCGAAGCGATTGTCCGTGGCTACATCACTGGATCAGCGTGGAAAGAATACCAGACGTCTGGAACCGTGCATGGGATCAAAGTCCCAGCTGGATTGCAGGAGAGCCAGGAATTCCCAAACGGTCCGATCTACACTCCCAGCACGAAGGCGGAGTTGGGAGGCCACGATGAAAACATTCATCCTGACCAAGGTTTGAAGCTTGTACCTTTATTACAAATAATATATGCTAATAGTTGTTTGCGAACAACAGCCGCTAAGATAGTTGGAGAGCCTTACGCCTCTAAGATCGAATCACTTGCCCTTCAACTATACAAAACCGCACACGCATACGCTCTGTCTCGTGGTCTTATCATTGCGGACACAAAATTTGAATTTGGTCATGACGAGGAAACGGACGAGGTCGTCCTGGTGGATGAGGTTCTGACCCCCGACTCGTCGCGATTCTGGCCTGCGAGCTCCTATCAAGTTGGACGCGGCCAAGATAGCTTTGATAAGCAGTTCCTTCGCGACTGGCTAGTCAAGGAAGGGCTGAAGGGTAAGGAAGGGGTGTGTATGCCCGAAGAGATCGTGAAGAGGACAGAGGAAAAGTACCGGGAAGCGTGGGAGAAGATAACTGGAGGTCAATGAAAAACTATTGTCAACGGGCATTGAACAGCAAGATTTCGTGCAACAATGCCGTTTGAATATATGCATGAAAATCACCAGTCTCCTATGACATAGTATCCATCATAAGCGTGTAGGTATACAGCTCCTTACAAGCTGCGGACTGGGCACGTGGACATTGGTTCACGCCACTCGTTCTAATATGTGAGCTCTACGAGTGTTTTAATATGTGAGCTCTACGAGTGTTTATATTATTGTCCGCTTAGCATCTTGAGCATTAAAGCCATGAACAAGGCTTGGGCGCTAGCTCTCCCACTCGTCTCTCAGTCCCTTGAGGCCCTTAGCCTTACGCCGTTGTCCAACAAGCTCTTTCCCCTCCAAGCTCCTTTCATGTGGTTTTTCTGACATCCAGCCCGTTCTGACTCCCTCGTCGACGGGCAGCGCGTATGGACCGCATATCCTTCTCTCTTCCTCGGCATCCTCTTCACTTATACCATTTGTGGCCCATATTTTGTGTATGCGAAGGTCATAAGGTCCCTCCACACGATCCGTCAACCCGATACCCACACTTCTCACACGCTGTCGAAGGAGGGAAGTTTGGGGCTCGACGACAAAGCCGTGGTTGGTGCGGACAAAGGCATTGAACGGTAGAAGAACAGTCTCCCACCCTGTAGAACCCGATGTAGTCACCGAATTGGAGGAAGATAGTATTGTAGATTCTGGAGGGATATCTGAGAGAGCTGCCGGTGCAGCGCCTCTCTCAGAGGCTTCAGTGGCGGCAGAAAGCGGCGATGGTAGATGTGCTTGACGTATATGATGTCTCGTATAAAGTCTATGTTGATGGATATCGGTCTCGACAATAGAATCTGTTTGGATATTGACTGTATAACGCCGTCCGTCTGACTTCACACGGAGAGCCAGGTAGGCATAAGGGTCGATGTCCCAGAAAAGGCGACCGAAGAGCCAGAGCCCGCGATCCTTGTTGCGGAACGCAGCATATCCTACACAGTAAAACCTCGTAATTAGCTTTATACATCACAGCCAGAACAAATATAATTTCATGGTAAAAAACGTGCCTGTTCTCTCGACTCGCCAATTCGGAGGGAGCTTTGTTGAAATACTGCCGTGAAAGCGTGCATGTGCAGGTGTATTTGTAGAAGGGTTCGCAGGCACGTAGTCGAGGTTCGCCGTACTGTAACCACCTACAGCTCGATCGGCAAACGTCTTGCAGCCTGCGACGGTGGTTTCGTCTTCGAAGTCGAGGAGATCGTATGGTTTCGTGGGTGTGGTAAGGGCTTCGGTATTCCATGCTATAGAGGTGAGTACGGCCGCATAAGAAGCACTCGACAAGACTATATCGACAGATCGAACATCGTACCTATCCTTGTCAATCGACTCAACTCCTGTGTGCTCCGCTTTAGGAATCCAGCGGGTTTTGCGGCCAGGCACCTTGGCGTGGGAAACATGGTATGGGAATGGTCGCAGTTAATGTCAGATACAAGGTCACAGTTCGTATTGTATTCGTTTAGTCCAGCCTTTTAATCAATACAGAATACTTTGAATTGCGAAACAGACGAGAAGTGCCAACTTGGTGTGATGTCAACAGCCATACTCTGAGAGTGATCCGAGAAAGGAGCAGATTGATCGCTAGCGCCAAGAATTTACTGATTAGATAAGATAATCAGCGACCATGCAGCCTAGCGAGAGTCGAGACAAAATAACAGCCACAGTAGCACAAGAGAAAGTACTTACAAGGGCAAAAGATAGATAAATCTCTATTGTGGAACTCGCACAGAATAATGCTCTCCGGTACGTAGTACATCCAGGCTACTTACAGTATAGTGTGCTTAATCCCCTAACCTACCTACATAAGTAAATCAACTTTTCTATAGAATGGCTCCTAGTCTCTGTGTCACTCATTCATTTTGTTAGTAATTTCTTCTAAGGTAGCCCAGTAAGCAGCATCTGTCACCTATAGCAAAGCGAGAGGTATAGTATTTAAAAAATATAAAAACTAGTTATTGTAACTTAGCTAGCTTCATTACTCTCTATTCCCTTTGCATAACATAATAGCGCAGAATATCTAAGTGAGTATTGCTAGTCTGCAGATATTATTTATATCGAAGAATTTACTGCTCGAGCTTAAGTTCAAAAGAGACTCTTAGCGCACAAAAGCCGTGTGCAGCTAGTCTATCTGTATCATATCATCCGTTTACAGCGGGTTCTACGGAATAGAAGGTACCTCCCTTCTTTGTAATTTGTAGATTTAGGAGGTAAATATAGGATAGACTTCTCTTTAGAGCCCAAGACAAGCAAGCATCTTAGCTGTATCGCTAGAATGTTCAAGTTATACCGTTGCTTTTGTGCCGTTTAGGATTAGCTGATCGCTAGGTTGCTTGCTTGACTCGAGATCTAGGGGAGTTAATCCCGTATTGATCTCCTATAGCATGCAAAGAATCTAGATCATAATAGTCTATACTATATACTATGATCAGGATAATCAAGTAATCAAAGGACCTGCTGAAACCCGATGATACGACAGGCTACCTGCACGCGGCTTTTCTGCGCTGACAAAATTTATATATATAGAGCCAGAAAACTTTGTTTTATTCTTGAGCTTTAGTTGCTATATTGTGTTATAACTTAGTAGAAACTCGACCCAAAAGGCGAACTCTCCAGTCTTGCCTCCTCAAATAGAATATATTGCTAAAACTGCTTTTGATACATATTAATTATTCAAGACAATTTTGACCGAAAAACATTTCCTTTGCATGTGTACATTCGGTACTATGAATAATAGCCTTATCATATTTCTATACCTAGTTCTGTTCGCATTCCATCTTGGCGAATGGAGGGCTGGGGAGAATTGTAGCCTAACATGTTACTAATGTCATTGGAACCATGAATCATGTTCGGTAGACGTCGACTAACATGGATATACTATGCCTAGAACGTTTTAATGTAACATACAGTAAGAATCGGGTTTCGTGGGTTGCTAATCAAGTAATAGTTATAATAGTATAAGGTAAGTCATCATCCGGATAGGCATAGTTTATCTATGGTACCAGACTATGGGATGGTTGTTTGGTTTTGCCTACCGAAAGCCTTGCCTCTGGTGCCTATTAGCCTCTATATTAACACTTCTATCTTCTCCCTTGATGGCAACTACACTATTCCTTCTACTAACACTCTGTATAGTATCTATATTGTGCATATAGCGCATCATTCTGCACATTTAGATCCATTCTCAATTGCCTTACATACTAATACCATCTGAAGCATTCATTGGAACATCAGTCTACAACGAAGCAATGTTCGAAACTCAACCCGCACCTGTTTACTCAGAAATGACAGTGTTTGAGGGTCCGCCTCCTCCTATCTATCCTCCTGTGGAAAGCCGCGTCATCTATCCTCGACGTGTTGACAGAGTCCACGAGAGACCATGTGCGATGAATGCGCAAGGTCTCTTTCCACCAAGTGCGTGCCTATTCATCGGCAAGTAAGTATACACCATCTCTGTACCTCTCATCTCCATCTATATGGTATAATTGTATCCATCCCATGACATCTCTTACTAAATGATTCTGGTTTTCTAGCCTCTCAACTCAAGTTTCCAGGCACCAACTTGCCAGAGATCTGGAAGCCAGGTTTGCGATGTTTGGTAACTGCCATGTTAAGATCAAATATGATAAAAAGAATCAGTTGCCAACGGCATTCCTGCAATTCGAGGTATGGGTGACTATCTCACTCCAGTCTCCCTGCTTGAAGATCCCCAGTCTGACTTGGGCCTTTTTCCCCGCACAAAAGAGAACACAGGATGCTGAAGCTGCTCTGCAATATAATAACGCCCCTGTGCTTCACGGGCGTGTATTGAGGATCGAGAGGGCCAAAGCGAGAAGTAAGCAAGCTTCCCTTGATTTCCTGCGATGCTCTTTCTCGGAATGGGCATTCAATTAAAAGAAACCTGAGTCAATATGTGGCTGATAGCACTTTCCTAGGAACGGCGTCCTTGGGTCATCGTAACGGCTTCCCCATGACCGAAGCTGATGTCTATGAAGCCCTCTATGATCGAGGACCTCTCGAAGCATTCTGCATCCAACCGGTATTATTTCACGGGTACTATCCTACTCAAGTTGCCACGGTCACATTCGCTTATATTGATGATTGTATTGATGCCATAAAGGTGAGTCCTCAATCGTAATTCTCTTTGAACACTTTTAAATGACTAAATACCGCCTTTGAATAGGTTCTCGAACATTCTTTCAAGTATTTTATGCAATTACTTCCCATAGACGGAAGCCCACTGCTTGCCTGGGCGCCTCCGACACTCTTTTTACCTCCTTGCCCACCGTTACTACATCCACCGCTTGCACACCTAATGCTGCCACACGCATCTCAAGTGAGCTCAAATGCCACCCATGAGTCTGGACCACGGTCTAGATCGAAGTATACAGTGGCCCCATCATCAGCCAAAGATGGAGTTGTCGCTCACGCAGAGACGGAGAGCGCCTCAGCGGTCCAATGTGGCACAGAAACCACCAACACAGACACAGAAAGTCAGTCTACCATTAAAAATGGGGAAGAAGCCACACAGGAAGCTGGGCAGGCTGCCAAAAAAGCGGGGCCTGCTGTGCAGAACCGTAAAACGACCACTACACATGAAGATGGCGAGCAAGACTCCCACTCAAGTTCAATCGCAACTCCAGAATCTCGATCTAGGTCAGGTTCCAGGACCACAGAAACCACTCTTGTGGATGGATATGGAGGATCCAATAAGACAAGTCCATCTCCTGCCCGGGACACGGAGGGTAATACTGGACAAGGCAATGAACAATCTATCCTTCATGAGTTCAAACAATCACTCAATATCGGGTCCACCATTATTCCTAAAATTCGACCTTGGGTTTACCAAGAAATGCTGGAGAGGAATATTGATCTATCCGTCGAAGACGTCGAAGAGGTTATCAGAGATCTCGAAGAAGAACAACGGGCCAAGGAACACCAGCGAGACGAAAAGAAAGCAGCCAAATCAAAGAAGAGAATGTGAATGGAATGGACACATGATGGTATCTTGCCTAGGTCGTCCTCCTCTAGAAACCTTATCCTTAACTGCAGTATTGATCGGTATTTTGATCTGTCAAGTGAGTAGCAGTGGCTCATTGTCATACAGTTATCCATAATGCGTCTTTGGGTTTACTCCATTATACGCAACTTGGTTAGATAGTTCTAGCGTGTGACCATGATAGTCAGGGATTGATCCTACTTGGTGTTATTTGGGTTTTCTGTCCGTTGTTATTGGTTGTACTGGTTTTAATGGCCGATTGATTGTTATTAGTCAATTTATATCTGTAAGGTTTGCAACAATGTGGTCCTGAACTCAGGATGGTAGCACTTTGATGACACAGAATGGGAATCTATGAGTTCATAAGAGTAGTCCGCACTGGTTGATTCCCACTGGCTTCAATAACTCAGAGCCACATGTATTTATATGCTAATCGAGTCACTATGACCGTTACGCCAATGAACCAACCTATGCCTGATGCAATCATGACTGAACATACAGAAAAGACCTCCTCCCCCAATAGTCAAAACATAGATGTATGTGCAAATGGCACTACAATGTAAACAAGATGCAGGTGGGATTTATTCATAATCATGACAGCACGCCAAGGAAGAAGGGGTGATATACGTGGTAAACTTGCGATATATATATCTTGCGATAGGATATAGAAATGACGTGGAGAGGAGGGAAAGCGGTTCGTATCGTTCTCTTTTTGACGAAGAACAGTCCCCTGGCCTTTGAAAAGAGGGAATGAGGGGAAAAGGAGGCAAGTTAATGACAGTATAGGATATATAGAAACCTGGAATTTTCCTGCTTACTGAAGCTCAGTCGTCTTTCTGGCGCTGAAGAAACCAAGAGCCACGGCAGTGTCATTTACGCCCAAGACAGGTGCGGCTCCTTCCAGCATCTCCCACGGCCTGAAAGGATAAGCCCCGACCACGCGCCCACGATTCTGAATCCGAAGACGATTTGCAGGGTGGCTTGGGTCTTCAAATGGCCCGGCAAAGGCCATAGCTGGCGAACTAGACTGCAGGCCTGCGGGTGTTCCGGTGCCTAGATTCGACGACGACGATGGCGTAGATGCAGGGCCAGACGTAGCGGGTGGCGATCCAGCTGCAGCTTGGGATTGAGTAAACGTCCCGAGATCCGCTACAGGGCCAAGGAGGTAGAGTAGACGGGGGTTATTCCGCACGTGGAGAGATGATGGACATCGTTCCTTCAGAAAGCGAGCACAGTGTTGACGAACATCTTCAGGAAGGACATCCACAAGACAAGCAGCAACATCGAAAGCATAGGCCTGTAGACCTTTGAGAGACTGCCCTCGTTGCTGTCCGGGAAGGCAGGCCGCGGCCTGAGACTCGGAAACTGGACCTGAAGGGGGCTGCGATGTAGCAATAATACAGATGGCGATCAGCAAGCGAGTCTGGTCCAGGATACTAGGCTTGCCTGCTGCAGAAGAGCCCGTAAATGCGGAACAATGGATGATAGTCATCCTTAGGAGAGCAGTGATCCAGAAAGCACTGTGCCTTCCGAAAGTAGAAAGCGTTGGTTCTATTTGGTCGGTTTCCAGAGCGCCCTCATTTCGAGAGAGATTCCTTACACTGTTCTGCAGAGCAACGATCTTATTCAGCAAGATACTCGTCTTTTCAGTAAGCAACGGGGCAATAGAAGGAACGCCAGTGTCTGGAATACTGTATGCGAGTTCTTCGACAATGGTGAGATACACCCTTGCGATGTCTTGTGCGCTGTGCTCGTCAACCTGAGGCTCGCCGACAGAGCAATCAGATAATGCAACCGAGAAAAAGCCTCTTTCAGCTCGTTGTCGAATCTAGGTGACAATTTAGTTTAAGGGTTACGCCAATTCTGGAGGCATATTCATACCTGCTGTACCGCCTCTATACTCATTGTTACTACCAAGTCAACCCAGTTTGATCTTCTTGCCTGGATGTCTGCCACTGCTGCCCTGAAAATGACATCTATGATGCCATTTTTCATTCCTTCTCCCGATTCTGCGTTGAACAAAAGCTGAAGTTTCATCTGACAGAACGGCAGCGAGAAGTCGTTTGCTGCTTTTAAGGCGTCCTCTGCCTCGATAAGGGCTGAATCTATGCCTCGACTGAAGTCAGAATAAATACATATGTGATGAATAAAGAGAAACGCACCTGACTTGTCGTTAAACCCAAGGAGCAGATTCAAAGCCTTTTGTACAGCATTCGTGGTAGACCGACTCTCGCCACGGAGCTTTTGAACGCAGCGCTCGACTACAGATTGAGGATTGCGAACAAGCAAGTGGCAGAGCAGAGGTATTGAACAAGCATGGAATGACAGCAGAGTGCCTTTCATGCTGTCCGAGTTAGCGTACGCGACAAAACTGTCTCCAGTGTCCCGGATCAAATCAAGTATCTCATCAGCGTTTTTGGTGAGGAACTCTTGTTGAGCTATTGCAAAGCGATAAGCGACCTGGCCAGAATCAGAATTCGTCCTGCAAACTAATTGAAAAAAAAGCCTTACCAAGTTCAATGTATCTCGCTGCGTGGGAGACAATGGACAAAGAAGTTCAAGAAGCTCCAGCCGCAGCTCGACAGCGTCTGGAATGGCAGCACTGGATTCAAGCTGCAGCATTTTTCTTGCCAGAGCAAAGAAGCCCTTTAAGCTCACGCACCCGACCCCGACCAATGGGACCAGGACCTTTGAGAGTCTTGGCCGAGGCGTGGATTTGAGGACTTGTCCAATCCATCTGATCAACAAAGTATCGAAGAGTTTGGAATTAAAAGATCTCAGCTGCACTAAGTGGCGGCATGTGTCGTCCAAGGGCAGATGCCCGTCTGCAGATCCAATGAATTCTAGACGCCTGCAGAGATTTCCGAAAATTGTAGCTAGCATGGATTCTTCCATGCCTGTCGCAGATGACAGAAGTTGATCCAAGTCCTCGTTGGATGTCCACTTCTCAGAGCTTATCGTATCTACCATGTGATCAGATACCGGCGACGACGCAGCTAGTGTTGATCTGCAATCTAGCCGGAATAGCTCATGACGGAGAATAGCCACCGTACTAGCTTCAGTAGGAAGGCGGAGTCCCAGTTCCACAAGAGAATAGACCAATTCTCGTGTAGACAGACCAGCACTTTTTACACGAGACCAAGCATCAACAGACGCTCTCCAAAGATCCATCATGGCGCCGATGACAGTAAAAGAGTCAAAATGATAGTTGAGAGTGTCCACAACCGAAGCCAGAACGATGATATTATCCGAGTTGGCAGCGTCGTTCAGTATGTCGGCTAATATCGAGAGGTCCCCGAAGATTTCCATGATGCCCCGAATAGTATAGAATTCATCTGGAGTTAGGAATGTCACCTCGTCGGGGTGGGATGAACGATGCCCGTGGTACCCCCTTGAACTTCTCAGCTCTGGATCAAAGACGGACGGAAAGTATAGGATCTTACCTTGCTGTAGTATTTCTAGAACGCCTTGACACACCGGATCGTATCCACTGGCCAATTTCAGACCTCACAGCGTGTGTCTGATTGAACAACATTTTGTTGTCAGTGGAGTCAGTATTGGTCCTGGTATCTGACCCAAAAATCTCCGGAAGCAGCCGCCTGATAAGTGATCTGAGCGCGTCGATGATAGAGCCTTCTTCAGAAGGTGGGAAGCCAGCACGGAGCATAAGCGTGTTACGAAGGCTGCAAACGTGTTCCGGAAGACGCCCCACAGGGATGTGACGGAGCAGTTCGATATAGAGACACACCTCCTGTTCATTGTTTGAGCATTGTACCATTCTCCATGTAGATGCGGTACTCACCTTGTGCTCATTCTCCTGGTGAGAGTCGACGATGCCTTTGGCGATGAGCCATTGCAGATATCTGCCAACAGAGAACGTCTGCGACCTGACAAGCTCAGAAACGACATGGTACACATTGTCCATATGCAACCCGACTTTACCCTTGGCGTTTGAGAGGAAGGAGAAGATGTGATGATCCGTATCCACTCCTGATCGTCTCCACTTCCGCAGCAAGCGTATGGCAATATACACCCTAACAAGACCCTGACGGAAGGAGGTGGAACACCATTCGAGAACCCTAGCGATTAAAGCTTCCTTGTCGTCGATGACACTTAAGCACGCCTCAGAAGCGGTGTTTATATCATAAGTGGAGCAAGCAGAATCAAGAGATGTAATTATTTGGCGTAGAGGGGAGCGTTGAGAGACATTGCCCGGACCCTTGCAACATTGCAGGTAAGAATTACGATCGACCAGAGCCTGAAATACGGCCTCGTCTCCGGAATTAGTTGCCAGACAGGAGGACAGGATGTTTCTGTATTTGTCCCATGATCTAGGAATAACCGCGGAGGAGCTTTGCTCATAGACCAGCTTCCTGATAAGATGCGACAATCGATGAGACATTGGTTCCAGAAGTATTTCCTGCCCTGTTTGAGAGATCTAGATAATTCCATAAGTTGATGAAAGAAGACTGCGTAGCGGAAATGGAAATCACATACATGTCGAAGTTTTTCCAGTAGAATCTCCATAAGCTTTCTTCCGCGGCGTCTGAATGGCACAATACTACCCCAATACACGCCAAGGACCATAAGCCATATCGGAAGGCGATCAAGTGATGCCATCTCTAAGGAAGACAGGAACCAGTCGAGATGCTGGTCTTGGTCGAGTAGGTGTTCGAAATACAAGCGAGCCGTGAGTCTCACACTGCAATCCTTCAGTAAGTCTGGTTAAATCGCCGGCATATCATGGATACTTACGCATATGCTATCTTCGCTTTCCACTCCGGCTCCCGGCAACCGGAAATGACTCCTTCGATGAACAGATGGACGTTCATTGTCCAATCTCTGATCCATTTAACCTCGAGCCCCAGAGCTAGCGTACCGCTTGTGCCCTTGCGCTTGAAGGCACGGATTTCGTTTGCCCCGACGCACTTAGCCAGCCATACAGCTCTTCCAATGGGGATTGACTTGCTGAGGCACTGATCCAGAAGCAGCTTTCCTCTCACGCCATGCGGTATGGTCCGGCTGAGCCTGCGTAGCGGAACATTGGGATTGGCGAGATCGCGCAGCCAAGCCTCCCGTTTGTTATCAGTGAGTGTTACTCGGGGAGGCGGTTTGAACGTCGATGCTGCAGAAAGTTTGCTGCTCGTCTGTCGCTTTTCAAGAGCAGCTGCGAAAACGGACGACAGCACCTGTAGACCGGAGCGGTGTCGAAGCTGCGCGTACAGTGACGGTCTCGCAGTATTGGACTCATTCTGAGAAACCTGTGTACGGTCGTAATGTCCTTGCTTGGCGGCTTGCTCATTTAGCACGTCTTCCGGGTGATTCCCGGTCCACGGGGAGAAATCGGCAACTTCTGTATCGCATTAGTCAGTATCAACCTCATGTATCACGAACAAGTGTACGGAAATAACGCACTTTCTCCTTTGAGTACTGGGGCAACCGAGGGTGTCTCGAGGTGATACGGTGTTGTCTGAACTTGTCTCTCGGGCGAGGCCTCCCTCGAACCCCCGGTATTGCTGCCCTGGCGCAGAGGCGTATACTTCCATGGTCGAACTGGAAAGGGAAGAGGGGAGGAAGAATTCCGAGCATCATTACCGGTCGCTGGGTTCCCTGCATATGTCTCCGACACCAGCTCCTGAAACGACCATGCTGGACGAGCGCGGTGTGCGAGAGGGGCACTTCTCCAGGCCGCTGGGCTAGACACACCTTTGCCCTCTGCGCTTCTGACGTTGGGACCAGTGGCAACATCTAGTTTCTGTCTTTTCGTCGGACGCTCATTCTCTTGCACTGCCGACTCGCCAGATGTCAGGTCGATAACAGTCTGGTCGTTCTGAGGCATGGAGACGGCCCCTGGCAACTTCTCAGCAGCAGACACGGCGCGATCTGCGGCATTTACGCCATCCGGCCCCCCAGCGTTATGACTGCCTAGAGTGCGAATCTGATGGGCCCACGGTTGAACACCAGCGGAAGTATGAGGAATCATCTCAGGCACATGGTGTCGATCCGGATATCAAATATGAAGCATCGAGCAGGTTATAGGAAGAGGGAATAGTCCAACCGTCGACTTCTGCGCAGCGTAGATCTAGAATATGTACTCGTAGCTCGGGGAGGCCTCATGCGCTGTTTTCTCTTTCCCTCGTGAATCGGTGGAAGACCTGAGCGCAATGAGACTGCTCAATCAGCAAACGGATAGCAGCAGCCGTGACAAGCGGGATTCCGTACCTGGAGTAGTCCCCTTTCCTCCGAATATGGCAGCCCAACAGAGGGGTCAAGACCGTTGATAGTTAGTTACGATGAAAGAAGCAGACCAGAGGGTCAGCAGAGGGCAGCAAGATGTCGATTAGGATTAGATGAGTAGTAATCGGGAGTTGATGAAAGCCGAATGAGCACGACCGATGGGGTAAGTGACCGTACGGTAACGGTACGGGCCTCGGATGGCGTGGTTGCAGTGGAGCAGTCACCACACCAGACTAACTAGGTATCAGCCAGATAGTTATGGCTCGCTCTCGCTTTCTCACTCACTACTTCCGCGATGGAGATTGTAGTTAGTTAACTGGCTAGTTAGTTAGTTAGTTAGTCGTCTTATATTATTATTATTAACCTGACCATTGTGTGATCCGGAAGTTGTCCCCCGTATTATGTTGCTTATCATCGCCCTTCCCACTCACCGAGTCACCGACATTGGGGCGATCTGGTGGATTACTGAAGCATGAACTCTTTTTAACTAACTACTGCGCAGTAATAGACATATATGCGACCGTGATCTGAGATGGTTGGCAACTGACGAATTGGAATGCTGAGATATGCTATCTATTTCTTGCCCCAGATATCTCACCTCAATTCGCTACGTGGTCCGAACATGGGATTGCCCCATATCAATAATTTCGATGACCGGTACTTCCGAACTATTGATGCTCTCTCGACTTTGCCCTTGCCTGCGTCGCTGCAAGCCATTCTTGTGTAACGTTCTGGAGACATAACTACTCTATGTACTCCGTACTGTACATATCGTATATGCATGGCTAGCGGCTTTGGTGAGGACAAGGATGCGGCTCATCCCTCAATTCTCTGGAGATAAGTGATGAATAGGAATCACAAAACGTTATAGCACGTAGCACGCAAGTAGATCAAATGATAGATATAGGCTGAGAGTACAATATCTCGCTTGCAGACCTGGTACGATTCGTTATTGTCATGTTGTCTGTTGGAACTTGGAGGATCTCTTCTTCCGGGGGTGGGCCCGGCAGCAGTACCGAACTGGCGGCCGCCGAGCGGACTCTTTTCGATCTAGAAGCTCGCGCGCTACCTGTCCATTCAGCACACCGCGCGCGCAACTGAGAGAGCGACTCTTTTCTACTCTGGGAGAATCTTTCCGTGCAATTTAAATCCAAGATGGCTTCGAAGAAGGACATGCGGAGGCCGGACCTGGGTAAGCTCGAAACCTACAGTTGCTGCATTTTATGGCTATGGTTCTAACAGCATTCTACCTCTAGTCATCCCCTATGTTGATCCGCCCAAGGACAAGAACGAGGCCGATATGTCGGGTACGGAACCAGTCGCGGTGGCCACAGCATAACTTATAACTACGTGGAGTGATGACTAACTGTCTGCGCAAAGGTGCCATGTCGAGCACGATGCCTATGGCTGCGGTGGGTTCCTCTTATCTCCAGTGCTCTACAGGTTGGTATGCTAATATCGCCCTAGATGTTCACTAGAAATAGGTGAGAACCCTTACTGGACCCAGTGGTCGATCGAGTTTCTTACAAGATGTGATGCATGCAGGATGATCGGATGGTAGGCTGGAACTCTCGCTATCCTTTATCTAAGATGAAATGAAATCCAACCAGATTGTTAGGGTTTCCCTTGTCTTTTCTCTCCAGACCTGGCTAGCCGAGTCCCCCGAGCAGAGGAAGACGGCGAGTACACCAGCCTATATGTCCGTCTTCATGTCGCGTAAGTCGATCTTGCTATGTCGATTGGTTTGAGTATACGTGGACGTTCATAGCTGACCTGCCTTTGTTTCTTGTTTTAGTGATGGCCCTCGTTGTCGTACGTTCCCAGCTATGGCTGCTCTATTGTGCACTCCGAATTAATTCCTTTCTGACCTGCTACTCAGACATACTTCCCTCTGTTCCTGCCTCCTGCCGCACCTCGCAACGCTGCTGCGACTCCAATTCCCGTCCCGTCAGCATAGGTGATCTACAGTTACAGAGCGATATCTCGCCGGATAATCTGAAGGAGGCTGGTTAGTAGCCAGGTGAATACTAGCGATTGTATTGTACAATATGGGTCGAAGCCAGATACAGCCGACCATAGGGACGAACGCGTTGATACCCTGCTGCTTCGGAAGCAATATGTTCCAATAGGCTGTGTCTATTATCAACTTCACTTCTGGTGTACTGGATCACGATGATGGTTGCATTGACCAACGACTAATCATGACCGATGTGCATCTTGGTATGATCCTTACATCCGAGCATGTGATGGGTATGCAATAAGCAGACCATAATTGTGTTTGAAAATCACATATCAGAGGATTATTAGAAAGTCTTGTCGAATAATAGGAATAATGACATCGCAAAACCGGATACTATATCTCAACAATCATAGGGACATTCGCACTCGAATGTGACTTTTCGATCCCGCCCACAGGACAGAGAGAAATTCGCACGATAGAATGGATTCCTCCATGATATACCACATACACATGCCCCCGGCTTTTCGATCCATGTACCGTAGTACTGATACCGCCTGATACGTGTAGAAAGTACGAGATCTTGCGGGCAACCAGTCAGGGCCTTGGCCACCCGTGATGACTCAGCCAAAACGCCTGATCCGTGGGTCTGATTGGCCCAGAGCGGCGTTCGCCTCCGTCGGCAGAGTCTTCTCGTCTGTGACTGGCTCCCGCCGGTCTTGTGCCCGCCCACCTGCCCACCTGCTAAGAAAGCCCTCCCCCGACTTTCTCTCTTCCCAACTCTCTTGGTTCCCGACACCATCATCAGACAACTGTTCTTCAACGACACGCTCTCATCGCAGCCTTACGAGACAAACGCTCTCGATCCCCCAGTCTTTATTCCCTCAAACCCTTTTTAGTCGATTTCGGGCAAAGGACGAGTTTATGTCCATCGAAAACCTCAAGACCTTCGGTGAGTGTGACTTTGTACCCCTCCCTCGACCGGGCCATCCACCATGGGGAACGAGGACTTTCTGTCTCCGATAGTTCGATCGCTTCCTGCCTACACGAGTCAAAACGCGGTAGATGGCAGCTGGTCAACTTGTTCTTCGATGAAACTGCAGGCTGCTCAATCTTATCGTGTTGCGCTACCCTTTGTGGATGATGGTGGGGTAATCTTGAGACGTGGCTTGGTGGCTAACGAGCACGACAATAGACCCCTTCGCCGAAGCTGACGAAGACACCGGCGAGACTAAACAGTCTCAAAATTACATTCATATACGAATCCAACGTACGTGTCCTCTTGACTGTTGCTGATCTTGGCTGTCGTCGGGTGGTGCGCGACAAAAGACGCTAATGGTGGTTGTAACTTGCAGAGCGCAATGGTCGAAAGACCTTGACCACTGTCCAGGGTCTCCCCAAGAAGTTCGATCAGAAGAAGATCTTGAAGGTCATCAAGAAGAAGTTCGGTATGTTGTTGCAGCCTTTGTTGTGGCATTGTCTCTCTGCAGGGATGACCATGATGCTGATTCCGGATTAGCCTGCAATGGCACCATTGTCAATGACACCGAGATGGGTGAGGTGATTCAGTTGCAAGGAGACCAGCGTAAGGACGTCCAGGAATTCTTGACCGACAAGAAGGAAGGTCTCGAACTTGATGCCAAGACCATCAAGGTACGTCTCAGTCGACGGGTCTCTCTCTCACCATGTCAAGAGTCAGTTACTGACCCCCAACTAAGGTGCACGGGTTCTAATCGTATGGCGCATCCGTCCCGGTCCCGGTCCCGGTCCCTCAGCGCAGGGAATCCGTGCCGGAGGATCGATCAAGGCTTCGGTTCATGGATACCTGGCCTTGTACACGTGCCTCTCCCTTGAGGTTTCCGGATCACTTCAATCGTCCTCTTTGCGTCCTATTCATATCCCAGCGCTAGAAGTGCTGGGTCAGAACTTATTAACCCAAACGGAATAGCCGCTTTAGGGCATGAGTGAAGGATATATAGGGAGCGGTAGTTTCTGGCTGGGTTTACTCTGAACTTTCATTATGGCAGGGACGACGGGACGATGCGTTATTAGATACCCATAGATGATTTGTGCCTTTTGCTCTTGTCTGCTGCTTTTGCTGGTGGATGTTGAGCCGATTTTGTGACCCATCTTTTGCGGTTACTTGGGCAGGTGGGTTAGGAGTGTTCGCTGGATGGGATTTGAGACCGGTGTTCGGCGAGGCTTATGCCTTTTAATTCACTCTGTTTCCATCTCATTCTATTATCTTCTTTCGTATTGCAGTATTTCAAGCCGGTCTGCGAGGTCGGCGTCCTAGCGCGTATTGTGGTTGCACCTTTCGACACGCATGAAGCATCAAAAATGTCTTGCGTGATGATTATCGTGGTCTGTCTTGCCGGCCATGGGGTATCGGGGGAGCCTGCACATATGTACCACCTGGATGCACTATAATCAAATATGAACACATAAAATCGGTACGAAAAGTCCAGACTTGCCCTCTCCCCCTATTTACATAGCACAGAAATTGATCAGACAAGAAAAAAAAAATCATAACTCCACTCCCCCGCTTCCCCCGTTGCCTATACCACCCACACCGGGATCGCCGTGGATATCTCGTACCGCGTACATCTGCAGGGCCTGGCAGAACCACTCCCATAGCTTCTTCGCAATGACGAAAGCTGGAACTTCAGGCTCGTTCTCCCGTGTGAGGTGGAGCTGGAGTAGAAGGGAAGACATACTGATAAAGCTGGCGACGGAGAGGACGGAGATGGATGCGGTGGTCTCGCGTTTGATAGTGGCGTGATTTTGAGTTGCATGGTAAAGGAAGGTCAATGTCTGTAGATCGCGCTTCTAAGCACACAGTTTGCTTGGCCGGTGGCATCCTAGAGATTCGATGATAAAGGGGAAAGGGAAGGTAAAGGGCACGTACGGTGGTGATTGATATCCAGGCCGGGAGGAGGAGTCGTGGGTCAGAGGACGCCCCGGACAAATAGAGAACCCAGGATGTCATATAAGAAATGAGGCCATTGATAGTGAGAAGGCGAATCACGACAGCAGGAGGACTGTAATTGAGGAGCCTGTTGAAGTTAGATATTCCAGTTCGACTGGATCAATCGACAAATAATCGTATCGACACCCACCATCGAGACATCATGCAATCAGCAAAGAAATAGGACAGATATGCAGAAGCACAGCACTGGAAATTGATTAGAGTTCAGTATACTTGCAGCATCTGGGCGAGATATATTATAGATCTTCACATACCCACATAATCGCCAAAGCTACTTCCGTCACCCTGAATCTCCGCTCCACGTCCCAATCCGCTATCGTACTCCCTACTATCGCGGCCGCCCAACCTTCCCGCCACATGCCCGGCCTGATACGCAGCAGCTCCGCCAGGAAAGTGAAAGCACATCGCAGACCCCACCATAGTGCCGGTGCAGTGCTCAGTGCCCGACACACCAGTAGCGGTATGTACCATTTGCGGTCCACGCCCAGAATGACAGCCACACGGGGATGCAACGCCGACGGGACGGGAGCATTGGCCTCACTGACACTGGCAGCATTGAACGGTGATTCGGAGTGGGAAGAGACCGGAGAAGGAGGGACAATAGTCGACGCGGGCGACGGCGATCGTCTTCCATCGCTGGGAATGGCGCTCGCAGAGAAGGCCGGGCGAGATGTCAGGCTCGATTCCGGATGAGAGAGAATCACTTGAGGCTCCGCAGAGGCCGAAGGAGGGAAGGGCGGAGTAGGAGCATCGCGCCGGATGGAAGCCAGCCTTGTTTCACGGCATATACAGCCGCAAGATGTACAGTTATAATTCGATGGGGAGGTATTAGGATACTCTGGATACCGGAATGATAGGTAAGTGAGGAGAAGGTCGAAACTGCCGTTGTCCGGGTGCTGTTAATGCCGTTAAAGCAGAGAGGTAGAGTGGAATGGTAAGTGTATAGTAGAGAAAAAGGGATGAGCCGTCAAGCGGGAAAAGAGAACTTGCAGAGACTCTATGTCACCGCAGCAATTCTTTAGACAGGCTAGCCAGCTAATACCTATGTATTGGCTAGCAATGACAGCATTTCATGAAGTCCAAGAGGCAAGGATTGACCACGAACGTAGGTTTAAGCGTCATTTCTCATAACTAGGTAACTAACTGATGGCACGTAGTTGAGTATTGTTACTCTCTTGACCGGTGGGAGCATCACGTGACCTCGAAGCATCGGGTAGACCGCGGGCAAAAGCCATCGCCGATTTATTTTCCTCTGGAGTAGCCAGGAACGCCGACATACCGCTGGTCGTGCTGTATCCAGCTCTGTTCGTTCAACGGTGGCCATGGCGTCCTCAATGCGACTCTCTGATTTCCTGTTTTCTACCGCACGGTCACCCGGAGCTGTCTCGCAATTCCGCTCGCAGTCGAAGCGATCTCCGGTGCTATCATCACAATGCAGGCTATTTTCGAAGTCCTTAGAAAGACGCTCACGGGGCGTTAGCCAGAACGTGCCTGTTCGAACACCAGCTCAACCTAGTATCAGGACACGGACGAGAGAAATCTCGAGAGCAGACCTGCCGCAAGATATCGGTCTTCTTCCAGGAACCTTTATTCGGCCTCTATGGCGGGATATGCCTTCGATTTTTGAACAGCCGCGAGAGAGACTGCAGATGGAATGGCTCTGGCTAAAATCCGCCTTCCAAAATTTTGTGGGGTATGTTCTGTTCCCAAACTTCTTCTCAGACAGCGTGAAGAGGCACCAAGACCGGTCTTAAAAGGCCGAGGGTGATCCTTCTTTCACTTGACCACCGTCTTGAAGAGCACTGCTAACTGGGCAGCAGTCTCCTAGCATACAGCAAATGGATCAATAAAGGACTTCCGCTCCGGCTAAAGGAGCGAAGACAGGTTGCTCGGGAGCTTCACAAAGCCATGTATTCAGCATTTGCGGCGTATGTTTACTCCAGTGGTGGTGCTTACATTTCATTTCCATACGTAACTAACCATATATGCTGAACACCTTAGGGGCGATGCCGATACCCTCCGCAAGATCTGTTGCACAGGCCTCGCAAATGACTTCGGCTCGCGTATCACTAAACGCGCTCGAGACGAGAGGGTTAGCTGGAAATTGGAGAAGTACCTGCGGACTCCAGCGACCTTCTTCACTGGACTCCGCGTTGTTTCGGATCGTGCCACCCAGATTCCAGAGCTACCTAATTCCGGCGTTCGACAGGTTATCGTACGGATCACCAGCCGGCAATCTACAGGCCGTTCCAAACGTGGGGTCAGACCCGCTTCCGACAATAGGGACGTTGAAAAGGTCAAGCAGCAGGATTGTACTGAATACATCGTCCTGCAGAAATTGAGGTGGACTGGTGAAGACGATGACTGGCGCATTTGGGGTCACGCTGCCCCTACGACAGTGGATGATCTTGACAGCCCATTCTTTGCCTCAGGGTTGACTCTTAGCGAACGTCTAACAGCCATGAGGGAGACGATGCAGGGCAACAAGAGGCCGTAATCCGTCACGAATTGGATATGAAAACAGGACACTTCTATTAGCAGTAGCCGCACTAGGAATGTTCCTGCATTGTCAGGTCTGTTATCGAGAGCACAATACAGTGTGTGGAGTTCCAAAGAACGCCATTAGGGCAGCGGACGAATATTCTCCAGAAACGTCTTCGTCAATCCTCGGCGCTGTCTTCTCATTTCAGCGATTTTACATGTCCAGAAAGCAGTCCTCTGCCCTTTTCTCTATCTCCGACACTCCAAATCGAACCTGGCCACCGGTTCAGTGTACAGTATTATTATTATCATGTATCAATTATATTCTACAGTTATGACCTGGCATATAAAAGCCCGTTGTGTTTCAGGAATCCGTATTAGCTGCCAAGTGCTCGCCCCTGACAAGTTTAGAGAGCTACAAGGAGCGTCTGGACAAGAAATTATAAGCGACATTTGTATACAATCTGACACTGTGCTTGGATATAACTACAAAAAGGCATTGTAACCGCCCCTCGAATCTTTGGAATGGATCCTGTTAGTTATATATATTCTTTCTTAGTAGCCATCATTCCATCATGAAAGTTTGGAAGGAGAACGAAAAGAAGTCACATTTATCGTCTCCTCGGGACTAGATCACAAACGAGTCCCTCCTGCTGAACGAACCATACGTTTCTCGTCTTCCAGTTTTCCTTGGGATTATGCAGAATGATATCAAACTCTCTCAGCAGCTGTGGAATGACCTTGTGCATTTCCATCAGAGAGATATTCTTCCCGATGCATGTGCGCGATCCAGATCCGAAGACGAAGTAACTCTGTTCCATAATCTTGAGTCGCTCTTCAGAACTTTCAATCCACCGTTCGGGAATGAATGATTCCGGATCCGGGAAGATATTAGCATCATGATGGATCACCCAGGCATTGATGCCAACCACTGTTCCGCCGGGAATGTGCTTGCCACAGAGTGTAACTCCCTGCTTGGGAACGTGGCGCTCGAGGATAAGGCCAACAGAAGGATGCAGACGCATGGCTTCTTTGATCACAGCGCCCACATACGGGAGGCTTGACAACGACTCGCGGTATGAAATGAAGTTGCTGAGTTTCCCTTCGCGGTCTGCCCTGTCGATCTCGTCGCGGACCTTGGCCAGCTTCTCAGGGTGGCGGAGGAGCAGGTATAAAATTGCGCGCATGGCAATAGCCGTGGTATCGGAGCCGGCAAAGACGTTCGTGGATAAATGGACAATGACGTCTCGCGTGGACAGCTTCTCAGGATCCGTTTGGTGAATTGCCATCCACCGCGAGAGCATATCTTTCCCACCATCCTGGTGACCTTCCTCGAGCTCTCCATCTCGTTGCAATGATGCTCGAGAGTTAACCGCCTTCAAAGTGAACTGCAGCACCTGGTTCCATGTTTCCATACTAGGTACAAGAATGGGGAATAGAGGGTTACCCAGGAGAAAAGGATGCAGTTCTGGCACCTGTCCACAAATACTGGCATACAATAACATGCCTTCGATGGCCTTGATCATGTCATCGACATCACGACCCTCCTGGAGGAAGCCAAGCTTCTTCGAGAAGGTAAATTCACCGACGACATCGAAAGCGTAATATTGCAGCCACATTCCCAGATCCACAGGGGTCTTGGAATCCGCAAGCCGATGTAGTTGCGAAAGGAAGATCTCAGTGCATGAATCCACAGCAGGTTCCAGTTCCAAGAGTGAGGTCATGCTATATGCGTTGGCTACGGACCTCTTTTGATCGCGGTGATACTGCTCATCCCGGGATGAGAAAAGGTTCATTTGCGGCTTTTTGTTCCATGATATGCATTGGATTGGGTAGAAGGCCGTCTATAGTATTCCATGTCAGCATGCTTGGTATATCTCAAGCTCCAATATCTGGCTGTCTCCATCTACCTTAGTAAATCCCTTGTTCAAGCCATAAATCACCGGGATCGCCTTGGGATCTCCCACTGAGATATGATTTGGCCCAATCCTCACTAGGGGCCCATATTTGCGATGTAGGCGTATCTCAGTATTATGGTGATCACCCTTCCAGACACTATACAGCTTCCACAGCGCCGTGAAGCTCGCAAGCTTCGGGCCCGGGATCCCAGCAAGTCCTCGTCTGAATCTGTTGGTAACGAGTCTCAGAACGAGTAACACGAGTATAATGTAGCCGGTATAGGCCTTGAAGAAGGAAATGACTGTTGTCTCTGCCATTTTCCCTTGCTAATTAGTTTGCAATAAGACGGCGTACATCGATAAGACGGGAGATGAGCGCAAACTCTTTGACCGAGGGGGTGGGGGAAGCAGACTGGCTAATTTACTCCTGCCACGACTTCAATTTCAAATTGAGCTGATCTATTCTCTTTTATACATAAACCCTGTCATCATAACAGGGCTCCTTGTCACCCTCAGCCCTTACGCATATCGGGCGATGAACCAAACACAGCACTACGGACTGTACCGTATCCGACGTTTGATAACAGCCATTGTGTCGGATACTGCACTTGTCGATAAGTACAGTGACTCTAGACCTCGGACCGATGAAACCACTTGACCATCTTGAGCATTAAAGAAGGAATGCTGGGCTGCGGGGAGATGTGGAGAGGGCCAAATCCGGGGAGATCTGAATAGTATGGAGTAAATCGATGCGGGGAAAGCTTGGCATGGAATCTTATTAGGGCAGCTATTTGTGAATAGAGTAATCGATGCTTCACAATTGGTTGTTAAGATATATAGACTGTCTATCATTCTCCTAGTTATTGCGTAGTTCGGTTTGGGGAGAGTCAAATTCTTGGAGAAGGGCCTCCCTGAGCCAAATTTGAAAACCCGAAGGTTCGGATACTGAACTCACACGATCATCTTGGTGAATCTTGTCAAAGGGGCTGACTTTCCGAAACCTCATTTATCTGCTACGTAAAGGACAATTGCATATCTTGGAGTTCATGATGCGGTGTGTGCGGCTTCGACTTCGTATAGCTAGACCATGCGGGATGTAGAATGTCGGGGAGTCGGTACGCGTAAAGGGGTTTCTCCATTTGCCGTACTGTGCCTCGGCTATACCGCCCTGTGTAACGTCCTATGTGTATTGTTCGGACCAGTCATTGTATTTGACGGACTCAGCTAATTATGTTCTCGATAGGAGTGCTACGGCTTCAGTATGTCCCCTTGTATGAACCTAATAGCTAGCCACTTGAAGACCAGTGGCACAGAGTATAAAATCGATGACATTCCCGGCTTCCAGCTAACGGGTGCCTTGTGGAAGCCGTTATATAGAGGACAAACGCCAATCCCGTCCTTGGATTCGAATTCCTTGATTAGGCTAAGTCTGGTAATACTACGGAGACGTGGAAGCGTTTATTAGCCGACAAGTGGGACGGAGTGAACTTTCTGAAGCGAAGACTTACAGCAGAAAGTGAACAGTGGCGGATTCCATAAAATAGATAGCTTTGACCAGGTAATGCTGTGAGCGGATAGTTGGCTGGCTGAAAACATTATGTTTTCTCTAGGTGCTGGTGTAGAGTCTATAGCAGCGAGAAGCCATGCGTATTAAGAATGATAACAGTGTATAATGACAATATCATACCAACGGTGCCGGAAGAGCAAGGTACTTGTGAGAACTAAGGTATTAAACAGGTAAAGATGAAGAAGCATCAAAGCGATATTCCAAGGTATTGCAAGAGATACGCGAAATAGAATTACAAAGTTAAATCACGCTTGCTCGACGTAAATGCTATGTCGAAGCCAAAGACTTAGCTAATCGTCATCGAAGATCTGGAAGGTGTTCAAGAGGATTGTTTCGATGACTCGGGCTTGCCAGCCCGCGTCCGCAATATTGCCGCCTGAATTAGCACCCAAAAGAGTAGGACTAATGCATGTTAGCAATCCCAAAATATGAATATACCTATGGCAATGGAGCTTACCCAAAACAGATGGCAAGGTTACCAGCATTCATCCTGTTCGTCGCATAGTGTTCCTGGACCTTATTAAGATGCTGCATAACCCTCGTTAGTAAGTCTTTAGTAAGTCTCATCCGACCAGACAACCTGCTGGCTTGATTTCTCCAAATACGTACCAAGATCAAGGCTCTCAACGTAGCATAGTGAGGGTCGGGCAAATTGTTGATGATAGCGTGCAACGAGTCGCGTCGCTGTATGTCATCGTCGATCCCTAGAGCTTGATTAGAGACACCATAAGCACCATTGAAAGTGGCCAAACTCACGAGCCGCATTGATAAAATCAGAATAATATGCAGTGGTGAAAAGGGGCTCTGGGAGCTCCCGGAGGAATTGCTTCAACAGTCCAGCAACGCTGTTCACGTCGTGATGGAAGCTATCAGGGTTTGTAAAGTCCACTTGAGTCGAATCTGTAGTTCGCCGCTATTTTAGCACCCTGCGTTTGAACGAGCTAGTGACAAATTCTTACCATTGTCAAAGAGTGCTTTCATGTGATTTATGTGGTTGGCACTTCCTGAAAGACGATAGATCCCTTCCACATCAAGCCCAAATAGTTCTACAGCCTGGAAGCACTGATACACGATCATAGGTACTGCGGTTCCGTCCCTCCGGTAGAGGTCCTCGAGCGAAACGCCGAACACAGGCTTCACGGGTGGCAGGCTGGGCGGCTGATATCCATTGCCATGCTGCGCGGGTAGTCGATCCTGCGGAGATAAGGGCTGAGAGACTGGATACGGCGGTTGAGACGGCCCTGGCGGAAGATAGCGTTGACTGTACTGCTGCGGTGACGGAAGGGAGTCGGGCTGTTGCTGAAATGCTAGCGGAGGTATTGGGCTGAGATTTTGCGAGGGCTGTGGTCCAGGCTTAGGAGAGCTCGCAGGCGGTTGCGAGGTAGTGGGAGAAGAGAGCATCAGCGTTGACTGTCTTTTGCTCAGAGGACTCTGCTGCGAGGCTGGAGGAGCGGCTGGAGGTGGATTCGGAGCTAGAGTCTAGCAGGAAGTCAGAAATAAAAGCCTAGCAAGATGGACGCCTGGGTTAATATTACCGGGTGAGGCTCATATTTGACTTCTGGCGCAGTCACCGCGCCAGGATTTCCGGAATGACTCAAGACATAGTCGTTAAAATCTTTCTGGTTGTCGATTTGATGAATAACTTCGCGTAGACTCTTGGGTCCGGCTGCTGCATCCTTCAGCGGACTCACACAGAGACCAGTACCAAGAAGCAGTTTCTCGTTGAATGAAGCTACCCAACCTGTCAGCCAATCTTCTCTCTACCAGCGGCTATGATGGACATACCAAATTTCTGCAACTGTAATGTAAGACCAGAGTCGCATTCGGTAGTCAATTGACGGATATTCTGCACCGCCTGAGGTCGCAAAGTCGATACCAATTCCTGCCTGGCCGCCTGGGCAGCACTGACTTTGGAAGAATAGTCATTGTCTGCATTCTGCACCTTGCGAAGAAGTTCTTCCTCATGCTGGGCCGCAGACTTATGGCCTTTCAATCCAAATTTCCCAGACTGTTTATCGCCCGTTCTCACGCGATCGTACTGCTCTGCGAGCGTGTCGTACTTGGCCTTGGCCTTCTCTGCCGCATTCTCGGCTTCCTGGACCTTCTTTTCCGCGCTCAGCGCTGTCTGCTTCCAATGCTTGCGGCCCTTTTCGATGTTCGTTGCCAGCTCTTGCAAGTCCTCCGACATCTGCTGTAAGGAAACAGCAAATTGTTGGCCGTGATCCGCCATGCGTTCATGGATTCTGTTGACTTCCTCGTAACTGCGACTGTAGCTTCCCTGTCGGTGTTCAGGTTTGTGCGCGGAGTCCAGGCCGGCTCGAGCCAGCTTTCGAAGACCTTGAGCATGCTCTTCTTCCAACGCAGCTCGTTTCTTCAAGAATGTCGCGAAGTCCTGGAGATACCCGTCAGATCCACATCGCAGCCAAGCCGTTATTCAATGTCTACCTACCCTTGCAGAAGCAATGCTTTGCTTCAGTCTCGTCAGGAGAGTTGTGGCACCAATCTATCGAGGCATCTGTGAGTTACAATTCCGCATCCAATTTGGTGGGACATACCTCAGAATGCATGACTTTCTGCAGACGCGCTGCTGTCTCTTCTGAGACACCCGCCGTATCCGTCACTCCCCCATCTCCACCAAACAGGGGACGGGCACTTGGAGGTGCAATATCACCGCCATGTTGAGAGGGCGCACCAGGCGACTGAGCGCCATCTGCGGAGTCCGACATGGAACGAGGGGAAGCTTAGAATGACTCTATCCCCGCGTAGTGTGTGACTGCTCTGGGATAGGGTATCGTATTGTCGACAAGACCAGAAGTCATTAAACCATGGCGACAGTGAGCTATACAGTAAATAATAGTTATTTATGTACGGGGTAGATAGCCTACGCAATAGCAACGCGGACCCCTTTCAGCCACGTACTGGAGCTCTCGGGAGCCGCACGAGCCGGTTAGCGGGGAAGCTCCGCCACGCTCTCGCAAAGCCGCATTGGGCGTCAAGGTCCACAGGGCAGCAGCTGTCATAATTAAACGGAAATTATATGGTTATAGACTATTATTAATTCTAGAGTGTGCTCTCATCTAGGTGTATGTATTGGACTTCACACAAGAGTCGACAATCGAGTGCAGAACATACTCTATATGGAATATGGATGCACGTGTCTGAGAATTATGGTAGTCGATCTATGGGCGACCGTGCGAATCATCTAAATAGATAAGCAAGGTTCCTTTGACGCTCTATGCGAGTGACGCTACTCTAGTATTACTAGTAACTACAGTAAATCCCCGCTATAACGAATTGAATGAGGCACGGAAAAAAATTCGTTATAGCGTGGTATTCGTAATAGCGAATATTAGCAAAAAGTGATTTGCATTATGTAATCACAGTAAGGGACAGAAAATTTACAATATTATGTAATAAATCTCAAGAAATTATGGATTTTTATTGGTTATTAGCTATGACTAATCCCTCGCTATAACGAATCCCCCATATAAAATCAGTGGTAAGCTAGAGTATTGTAACGAATTTCGTTATACCGAGGAATTAACGAATTTTATATGGGGGATTAAATCAGGCACTGAAAAAAATTCGTTATAGCGGAAAATTCGTAATAAGGGGGTTCGTTATAGCGGGGATTTACTGTAGTAGTGTTATCTACCTAGTAATTGTCAGCCCTATAACTATTACTGCTGGGCCCGCATGCATCCAGGAGCTTAGACTGACGATGCGGTGAGAATCACCATTAATCCTTATGGGAATATACAGATACCACGTGACATCGACGAAGAACCGAAAATCGGAGATAACCACGTTAACAAAAAGCAGAGTTGCTCTGCTAGTTATCTGTAGCGAAGTACGAACCACATATCTACCTGTAGACTAGCCATTGGGCGATATATTCTATAGTGCATAGATATAAGGATATTTCCCCTCAAAAAATAAAGAAAAGTTTGTACATGTGGCTTTCGCCGCGGGCATAACTTCGAAAGTTGAATGTATATAGTTAGCATGAGCACGTGCTGTGCCTGAAGTACCGACTCTTAAGGGTGCAATGCCTTTTTACCTTTCAAGTTGGCAATAAATGTAATCTCAATTGCACAGAAACCACAAAGCGTGTAACAACCTCAATTATGTCAAATATAAAATCACAGTCAGTTCCCAGGGGGAATAATACTGTTATTAGAACACGCCATCTCGGTGCAGGTTGATGCCGCTTAATAAGCATCCGAAATGAAAAACTGCCGAGTTTCGCCATAGCAACTTTTCTGCCGGTTCCCGCTACCATGTCACTCTCCTCGTCGAAGTTCCCCTGTGTCATTATCGATATTGAAAGATCATACATTGTCTTTTGAGAAACATTATATCGTCATTTGCTATTCATCGGGCATCAGCTGGTGCGGATGGAACTCGGGTTCAGGGGCGCCATGGGAGCGAATGGACTTGCCGCACCCGGCACCTTGGTCTCACCTACGATACCTCAGAGCGACATTCGGAGCAACCCGGGGAATAATCGCCCCATGACAGCTTCCGATATATCATCCAGTGGAAGTGTGGGAAACTGCCAAGCAGACAAGCTTCAGCCCGTTATTCGCAAACGTCGAGGAGGGAGTAGAAGAGCTTGTAATGAGTGTAAACAGCAAAAAGTGAGCCGTCATATGTCGTTGTTGTTATGCTGTTGTTGTTCGTCTTATAGCTGTGAGATGATAGAAATATGGCTGAATCAACTTAATCTCTGTAGTTGCGGTGTGATATTGTTCAAGTGCCCTCCGCAACATGTTCGCGTTGCAGAAGATTGGGCATCGACTGCAAGGTCGAGCCTACCTTCAAGCGGATATCAAAAAGAAGGTAAAGCAGATACCCGGAAAGAAGACGCGACTGTTGTCCACCATGGATGTACATCTGACACGTCTATTACTATTTTTTTCATCACAGACGGAACGCCGAAATGGAGAGAGAAATTGCAGATCTTCGACAACGGCTAGAAAATGGCGAACATCGGCCGCAGCCGTCTTTTGACATTAATCCGACTGAAAGGATAGATCAACCTTCAGAGGTCATATTTCGTGGAACAGCTAGTCCTCCGACCAGGGTTCCACCACTGCATGCATCAGTCGAAACACAACAAGCTCTCCAGACGCCCTTGTCCTTACGGGCAACGGAACCACCAATCCTCTTGGACGATGATAATGCCTGGTCATTGGAGGATATTACTATATCCAAAGCAACAGTGGCACGACTATTTCAACAGTAAGCATACTTATACCCATCCAGGGCCACTGGCTGATATCGATAAAGATACTTCAAATACTACCACCCTTTTCTCCCTCTGTTGGATCCTATGAAAGGAGCAGATGAATATATGCGCAGTTCGCTTCTTCTGGCATGGACCATCATCTTTGTGGCTAGTCGTCGTGCTCCATCGGAGCCTGGCCTCCTTGGTTCCCTTACTCAGCCGTTTAGCAGGCTGTTATGGTCGACTATAACGACTGTCCCGCAGAACTATCATGTCGTCAAGGCACTTTGCCTCCTCTGCACATGGCCATTGCCCACTACAAGTCAGAGGTCGGACCCTACCTTTATGCTCAGCGGTCTGATGATGCAGGTGGCTATGCAACTTGGTTTGCATCGTCCCGTTCAAGCGGAAGAATTCACCACTTTCAGAATCGAGGTCCGAGGCGAAGAGCTGAAGGATAGACTGCAGACCTGGATAATATGCAACATAGTTGCTCAGCAGTAAGTGCTATAGCCTTTTTCACTGTCAGGATCACATAGAGCTTATACTGGTTTGGCAGCGTTGCAACTGGCTATGGACAGCCACCTGGAACTATCTACGACTGGGCTATAGAACCGACCTCTCTGAAGGTGGCGGACTATCGTATTCCAGAAGAGATACGCATTCGGCTCCGAATCGAGAAATTCTGTGACAGAGTCACCAAAGGACTGTATAGCAGCAAACCCGATCCAGCTGACTTTGCAACAGCAGAGAAGCTGCTCATAGTGCGCATTTTGGAGGGAGAACTGAAAGAAATGGAGTTGGAATTTGGACAGGATATATCACGTACGAAATATTTTAACCTTCATCCGGCCCGTTCTCACTGACCCTCTGCAGAGATCAATATGATCCACCTCCGCGCTGCGGACCTTCATTTGCGATACTTTGTGTTCCTTGGCACTAATGCCAGGATTGAAGACCTAACAAACCTGTTCGTCGCGACAACATCATTCCTTGGACGAGTCTTGGACCTAGAGACATCTCCGGGAAACTTACTCAGTCATGCCACCAATTATATACTGCAGATGGTGGTCTCGGCTGCATTTGCCCTCATGAAACTACTCAAGAGCTCCTTTTCTCGACAAATCGACCTAGACCAAGGAAAGTTCCTCTTCAACGGCGCCATTTCCGCTATAAGACGCATCAGCGTGATGGACCATGACCGACCAGTCCGCCTTGCGGATGTCCTCTCTCAGATGTGGAACGCGAGTGGCTCCGGGTCATCAGCCTCGGGAGATGACGCTCTACAGCTCAAAGTCCGCTGTAGGATGAGCATGAGTCACGTATACGATACCGTCTGGCGCTGGCGTCAAAGATTCCGACCGGCCAAGCCAACAGACGATACGCAATGTGGGTTTACCCAGATTTTTCTGGGGGAGGACATACCAGCTAACATGGAGAAACCAGCTTCTTCCGTATCGAACCAGAACCCCGACCTATCGGCCAGCGGACCTGTCACTCAACCGCAAGATAACTCTCTGAACGATCCCACTTTATTCCTCTCGCCCTTCGATCATAACGGTGGCATCATCAGCGAGGCGAGTTTCTCCGACGTATTCGATTCGTTAAATTGGGTTTTTGACGGCATTCCTGATTCCTTTGCTGCTCCGCCTGCTGTCTGATTTGGATGTTTCCTTGGCGTAATCGTTGTGATACCAGTTCGCACGTAAAAATCATTTATGACAGAGTTTTGGATGACAAAGTAGCCCATCATAATCTCACTTAAGAAATGCTAACACATCGTAATGTGATCGAACGTCTTGGCTAGCTTATAGTTCATCAGGCAATAATTGGTGACGTGCTCCCAACTTTAGGTAGGTGGTATACGAACAATGGGACATGTTCATCAAAGAAGACCTGAAGAATAATATACCTCGATCGTAGCATCTCGAGCGATATGAAACATCTCGCGAGACGAGCTGACAGTGATCCCCAGCGCCTTTCAAAGCAAAACACGAGATATCGTAATTCAAGCTCCACGGTTGGTTCTGGGGTTAAATAGTCATAAGTAATGGAGGGGTCCAGTGTGGTTTACTTACCGCCCGCCACCCCGCCTATCTCCGCTTTCACCAGCACTCGACGTGTCAGGTCGACCTTTTAACTAAACAACAGAAGAACCGCTCTCGTGCTTTGTTTCTTTATCTTGGGGCCTATCCCATCTCCGACGCGCTCTGTTGTCCTGGTTGAAATCTGCCATAAGGACATTCCAATCTTTCCACCTTTTTTTTTGGTCGCGTCTTAAGTATCTCTACGGAGCCTCACCCCGCAAATTCAAATTCTCCGAGCGTCTTCTGTTCTGTTCAGAGACGAGTCATAGGTATGATCATATACCCAATGCGAGAAGTTTGATGATAGGGATACCTTCCTAACAGATTTCATTTTTCCAGGAGGAACTATATCTAGACTCCGCGTTTCTCATATTCACTCATAGATAGCCCAGCATGGCGCCCCGCGGTCGTGGAGGGAAATTTTCCAAGCCGTCGAGAGGAGGTAGGGGTTTCTCTTTCTCTTTCTCTTTCTTTCTTGGAACAGATAATGTTGCCAGAAAATATATTATGAATATTGAGTCTGACGTGATGTGCTACAATTACAGGCGGAAAACACTTCAGTCGAGATGTACAACCGATCGATAAGGACGGTAATGCTGTGAGCTTATGGCGGGTATGTAACGTTCTTACGCTTCTTAGCTATATCTTCTCCATCAACCTAGAAGGAAAGAAAAAAAGAAGGAAAGAAAAGATACTAATCAATATACCCATACATTAGGAACCCGACGCTGACATCCAATCCTCATCCGACGAAGAAGAGGACGAAGAATCCGGCTCCGAAGAATCATCCGACGAAGACGGCCCCTCCGCACAGGGAGGAAACCAACAAGAAATGACCCGCGAACAACGTCGAGCTCTAGCCAAAGCTAAGAAAGAAGCCGCCCTCGCAAAGAAACGCCAAGTTGCCGCTGCGCCAGGTGACTTGCCTCCCTCCGACTCCGAGTCCGAGGAAGAATCAGACGGCGATATGCCCGCGAACCCGAACCATACTGCGAAATCGCGCTCGCAGGCCGCGAAGGGACCAGCTACTGAAGAAGAACCGGCGAAGGCCAAAGCGAAGAGTAGCAAGGATCTCTCGCAGCTTTCTCGTCGCGAACGTGAGGCTATTCAGGCGCAGCAGGCGCGCGAGCGGTATATGAAACTCCACGCGGAGGGCAAGACGGACGAGGCGCGGGCGGACCTTGCTCGGTTGGCTATTATCCGTGAGCAGAGAGAAGCAGAAAGGGCCCGTAAGCAGGCGGAGAAGGAGGAAGAAGAGGAGCGTAAGAAAGCGCGCGCTGAAGTGCTTGAGAGAGAGAGGAAATTGCGCGAAGCTGCTATGGGACCTGGTGCGAAGAAGGGAACTAAGAAAGCGCAGAAGAAATAAAGGCCGCCCAACTATAAAATAAATAGCATTGGAGCCTCCTTTTTTTCCCTCCCTGTCTTTCATTCTTGCCGTTATCCACCACCAGCAACAGCACGATGGGATTGTGATAGGGATTTCATGTGGTTTATGACATTTGGCGGTCTCTCTGTGGGTTTCTGTGAGGGGTACATATTGGGATATTCAGAAATATATTCTGATCCGTTAGCAAAACATTGCCTTGGATTCAACTCTGCACACATTCTTATCTGTTGTGTTTGGTGATATGAACTATACAAGATTCTGGATACCTTTCCGAACAAGGTAGACATAGAAATAAATCAATACTGTTGTCCTAAACGAATATTGAATGCATAGCCTCTTGCAGAAAATCAGAGTACAAATGGAGGAAATACTGCATTACAATAGTCCCTAAGAACTGTGGTAAATGATATATACTAGAGGGCCTAGACCTAGAGATTGGGAATAGGGGATCGCCACGAAAAGATGCATTAGGACATGACATGAGCAACACACATTAACAGTGACCAGATAGCTCTCTATCTTGAACGCCGGAAATTAAAACCAAAAAAAAAGATATCACAAGCAACAGAATAAAAAATAAAGATATAGAAAATGTCACGTTCTTTTGTCATACAAATGTTCTCTTGGAACTATGCAACATGGGCCTTTCGAGGAAATGACATTCATCGCTAGGCATATCATATTAATGATGCAATGCATTGCTATTCCGTGCAGCAATCAAAATCAGACACCGAGAAATAGCCCCTCCACTGCGTGGCCGGGCATGATCACGCCCCAACGTGCGATGAGACTCACCAGCCACAGTACAGCGAAAACGACGATCGGGAGGAGAAGAAGCTCGGTGTTATGGAGAAAAGGTAGGGCATTGTAGCCAAGGAAGGTGATGTAGGTGTAATATGTGAAGGCGGAGAGATAGAGTGTGTTTCCGACGAAGACGGCGAAGAAGTTCGTCGGGTTCAATGTCAAGAGGGGCAGCAGGAGGAACTGCACGACATATAGGTGGAGATAGAGTGGGAAGAAGGCGCGGTTAGCGACCTATTCAATAGGTTAGTTACCAAGAGTGGATGGGAAACGATATCTTGCCCGAGAATAATCATGAAGGGTCGAGGAGAAACATACATCGAAACAGTAGCCAAATTCAATCTGTTCTTTCTCTCCCGGCTGCGCAAATAAACCCTGCGCTGCTCCTCGCCTGCGGTATCTGTTACCCCGGAGCCCGGTGAAGCTGCCGGCAGCTCCATTAGGTCCAAACAGCCGTCCCACACAGAGATATGCCACGGTCGAAATGAGTAATGACGACCCTATAAAGTGGACGAAGACGAAGAGCAGCGACATGCGGACAATGGCGCCGAAGGACGGCGCATATGCGAGTCCCCAGGCCAGAGCGGTCAAGACGAGCAGGAAGGAGAGCAGGTAGGTGAAGGACGGGTCTGGTCGGTGCCATGTGTTTTTCGTTTCTGTATATAATCCAAATCCAGTATCAGCTTTGTGATTGTTTTATGTCTGGTGACCTTAACAAGGTCGTAGACGATACAACGAGATAGATTCGGAGGAGGCCGTACGTTTCTAGAGGGCCGAAAGCCGTTAGCATGGGGTCCTATAGCGAGAAAGAGAGAGACAGAGAGTACGCGTATAGGAAGATTGAAACTCACATGATAATACATGGATTTGAAGACCTTCTTTGGCGCGATGATTAGCGACGTCATCTCCCAGATAGCCATCTCGAAGTCCATCTGGGGGAACTTGAAGAGCCTGCAGGACACCCACACGCGTTAGAGACCGTTCCCAATCTCGCATAGCCGTCTGCAAGAACAATGAAGGCCGGGGACTGCCAGTGCGCACCTCTTGAAGAACCGTGGCATTCGTACAGCGGATCCTCTCGACGGCGTGGTACCACCGAAGCTCGTGGCGCCATGTTGTCGCGGGACTGAAATGTGAGGGTTCATCGCCTGCGACGAAGGTAGAATAAGTTTATGGCTCAGTATATAGGAGAGTGAGGAGGAGAAAATGGAGTTGAATGGGTCCTGAGCGATCTGTACAACGGTTCGGGTTGCCTGTATGCTAGTTTGGCCGATGAGCTGAGGTCCGTTAGGCAGGTTGTCCGCGGAGGCTAACTGGTTCATCACTTAGTCGGTCGATCCAGCACCGCGTTCATCACAGTGAGTGTAACTGTAGTAGGTTTTTGGCTGCCATTTCACTCAGGACGAGCAATGGGATATCTGTATCCATAAGCACTGCTTATTTTTGTTTAGAGGTTTGTCAAGGGTATAGTTAATAGATATGATGATCCATGTGATCTATTTGTATTGTACAGTAACAGCATTTGCGTGTACAGCTGCAGCATCGCAACTTGAGGCTATCAATCAACATCGCTGAGAAATCCTATGCCAAAGGGACTTTACTCGCAAGATACAACTTATAGAGAACTTGAATCTTATCAGCAGTCAGGTCTATATCGTCCTTCCTGCTCCTTTGAGTTTGTTATTATTGGTCCAGGAGTACTCTTCCATCCGGGATCTTAATGATGCGCAGTTATTTGAGTAAAGGAATTAGTTGATAACGCTATCGAACTCAAGTCTCCAATGTCCTGCTTGGACGAGATTCTATTGTCATCATAATTGCTTTTCTTGTTTGCTTTTCACGCCTAAGACAGATCAGAAAGTCAGTGTCCCGAGTGTGTTGTTCATAAGCTTTCTTCTAATCCAGAGACGCTGATGATTTGCGCTGTCAGTTCTTACGGGAAGACAATCGGAGACTGACAAGTGTTTCCTATCATCCGTCATGATTATAATATAAGAATAACTACTGCACTGCGAGAGACAAAATGAAAATGTGAGGCTGTTTATTGATTGGCCTTTCACATCTCAAGTACACAAAAAGTCTCTTCATCGCATCATTTATTATTATTATTCTTCTTCTCGTTGAGAATGTTAATAATGTACCATAACTACTCTAAAGCAAACCGTTCTTAATCCAGGCGATCCACCGACAAGAGCGCCACCAAGTGCGCATCCTGGCCAGACTGAAGCAGACTAGATAGATAGAGCAGAAAGTAGAGCCTGGTTGGAGTGTTGCAAAAAGCAATTATATAGGAGTCGTCAATTATGGTTGTTATTAAATACCATAATAATTATTATTATTCTCGATGCACCAAGATCTTGGACACGGTCGTGTCTTGGTGAACTTGGGAAACTGGGAAACTCAGTTGTGAAACATCCAGACTTGATTATTATTATCTCGAGAGCGACTATGATTCTTCCGGTCTGTTGTACAGCAGCAGTAGTTCGGATGGGTGTTCTTCAGTGCTGCAACGATAGTGGCAGATATGGACCCCCCTTGATCTCCGAACGATAACTAGTTACCCTTTGGAAGACGGGGTTCCTCACTGCAGCCAGCATCATCCTGGCTGGAACAAGACATTCTTTCTTGAAAGTTGATGCTAGCAAACAACGCTGACAGGCGGACAAGCCGTCGATAGATAGTGTCCAGCAGCTAAACCCAGCTAGTTTTGCGCCGAGGCGGCTGGCAACCCAGTCGAGAGCATCGCTGCCCCTGAAGGAGGAACAACGTGGATATCGCCCCCTTGCGCCTATCCTCCACTGATCGCTCAACGACGGCCTAAACACTCCCCCAGTAGTGGGCTCCCTATCGACTGGAATCGCTCGCGTCTCAGAGTTCAAGCCGGCAAGGAAGGCCAACCGCTTCGACTATCATCGCCGCACGGGCTGCGCTCGTCCAACTTCCGATCTCACATCGACAAGACGACCCTTTATTATTTCCGTCTTGGGTTTCCTCACAAGCGCATCCTCAATGGGCCTGGCCAACCCTCACACGAGGAGTTTAACTCTGTCTCCGATATCCCAGTGATCGTCGTGCACACTGCCCGGCGTTCGTACTGTACAACGGGAAACCTCTCAACTGCCAATTGAGCTTCATCAAACAGCCCTTGAACACGCCCAGGAGACCGATTGCGGATTGTTGCTGGCTACCGTTGGGTTGCTTTGCTTGGTTCTGTTGGTTCTGCGGTCTTCTGTTCTAACTCTGGATGGCCATCTTTCGCAGACTGCATCGGGATCTGTCGATACTGACCATCAATGGCTGAGTACTCCCGGAGGCCATCCACCACCCGGACAAGTCGAAGCGTCAAGATGTACCAGCAACAGCAGCAGGACGATTCCCCCCCTCGAACCCCTCGCTACAAGTCCTCCAGTCGAGGCCATACGAGACGACCGTCCCTACGAGATGCTTTCCCAGAGGCTGCAATGTACGATAGCCGGAGGGACAGTGATTCGGACGATGAGCGCGATCCCCACGACTTGGCGTTATCGCCAAAGCACGTCACCAGAACTTCCATAGTCGACAACATGCTTCTTTCCCTCGATCAATTCAGCTCGGGTTTCTTAGATGACTCCCGCTTCTTCGGGTCCACTGCCGAACCATATAATCTGGGACTACAATTTGCCTTGGGGGAGGGGCGGCATCGAGGTCATACGTTCTCGTCGTCCATGTCGTCCGATGCGGACGTGCCCCCGGACGATGGCCCGGGACGGCGGTCGAGCCAGTCGACGAGAGGGCATAGGAGCAATAGCAGCTCAAATTACCAGCCGGGATTGAAAAGAATCGATAGCCTTGGGGATGGAGATGGCACCAACAGTCGAGGTCGAGTCTACGATTCGCAACGTGTTGCATTGCCTGGGGAAAGAACTCAGACCAGCCGGTCTCATCTTGCGAGGAAAAGTAGTACGAAAAGTAATGCTTCATCCAACATTGACTTTGCGCAGATGATTGCCGGTAGCCGAATTGGACAAAGGAGATCCGCAAGCTTCGATTTCGGTTCGAGGCTACCGTTCATCCCATTATCGGAATCAATGCCTGGGGAGAGGATGTTAGCAGACGATCTGGAGGCCGCTCCTACTCCGACAGTGCCCGCCGGTCCGCGGAGGAATCATGATATTCCTGGCAATGATATTGCGCCTTTTCAGCCGCCACAGGCTCCGCGAACACCTGCAATGTCTCGTAGAAACAGCATCAAATCAGCCAAGAGCAACAACACCAAGAAGGGCCGCGCGGAAGCTGTGGGGACCCCCAGTGTGAAAGCCCGTGATAACGACTTCAAGTCTTTCCAGGAGGCTTTACGAGAGCCTCCGCCGCCTATACCTGATGCTTACGCCAACCCGCCTGCTCCTAGTCCAACAATCTCGTATAACAAGCCGTGTATACCGCCTGTAGATCCGGCTCCAACCAAGGAACGACCGGGTTTCTTCCGGCGTGTTTTCGGGTCGTCCAAGAATCTAATCTCGGCACAGTATGACAACCCATACACGGTCGAGAGTCCGGGATCTCAGCAGGAGAGCGAGCCAAGGGATCTCAACCCCGCTGCTGCGGTCAACAAAGGATGGAAACAGAACTCGAAACAACCCTCTACGGGAAACACCCCCACTCGCGAGACCGGCCAACAGGTGATTAACAAGAAGCCATCATTCTTCCGTCGCCGGAAGAAGTCAGTGGCCGATGTCCCTCTACCGGCTGGCTCTCTCCCGCAGAATGCATTGAAACTTTCGGAACAAAGTCGAGGGGAACCAAGCGTGGCGAACGATCTGCGGAAGACGCTGGATCCTTACTTGATCGACGGTTCGTCGGCCGTACCTGGTGGTAAGACTGATTCCGAGGAAGAGTTTCTTGCGGACAGTACAGGCGGTGACGTTGCAACTGATATGCGGACGCAAAACGCTCGTGGTGCTCAGCGAGCCAGTGCTTCTGCTACCAAGGGCCCTGTGTTGAGAACGAAATATAGTCTAAATCTTGACTTCCAAAATCGCGAACCTCTCGACTCGTTCCTCCATGAGAGCAGTGGAAACGAGGACTTGAATGATAAGTCCGGATGTACTGGTGAAGACAAGCCCCGGAGACCCAGCACAAGCCCCGTGGCTCCTGGGCATATGTTCAATGCCTCGGTGGATGTCCCTCTACCTCCAAACATGTTGCAAAGCCGGGAGAGCTTCCTGAATGGGGTATCCGTTGGGAAAACAGTCTCCGTGGCCAAACAGCCGACTGTCGCTCCTGCGGACGACGAGGAAAGGCGCTCTTCGGTACAGCATGATCTTGGCTCCTTTGCGGAAAGACCAGACGAGCCCACCGGAGCTCCTCTATCCATTGATGTGCTTGGCGACTCTTCTAGGGCGTCCATGTCAGACGTATCAAACTATGTCACGGCATCAAACACTCCTGTGATTTCGGAGGACCCCAAGTCCAAACCAACTTCCCCTCTTGATGCAACGGCAGAAGAGAGCACACCCGACGGCAAACCATCTCCGGCAGATTATGAAATTGCCCAGAAGGTGTTCGATAACCAAGACAGGATCACGGGTAATGAGCCTGCCGCAGCTTGGTTAGGACACCCTGACCGTTCTATGGTCCGGAAGGCCTATATGGAGCTCTATGATTGGTCCGACATGAATATTCTCTCGGCCCTGCGCAGCTTGTGCACGCGGACGACACTGAAAGGTGAAACCCAGCAAGTTGATAGAGTCCTGGACGCATTTTCTTCTAGGTGGTGCGAATGTAACCCGTACCACGGCTTTAAGGCCCCTGGTAAGTGCAGCCTACTACTTCTTACCTGGGTGCATACTGACGCAGAGCAGATGTTGTTCACACTATCTGTTATTCTCTGCTTCTTTTGAATACGGATCTCCATGTTGCGGACATCGAGCAGAAAATGACCAAAGCCCAGTTTGTTAGAAATACTATGCCCACTATTCATCGAGTGGCGATGGATGCAGCGCCAGATAGTTTCGATACCATTCGTGCCAGCACCAAGAGCAGAGTCCCACTTCCCTTTTCTGAGTCAGGTCTATCAACCAAATCCGATGCGGGATCCGACATGGACATCTCGGACAAGAGAGCTTCGAAAGTAATGCTGACGTTGCGGCCGAGTGCTTCCACAACGTCAAACATTGATCCCGGCCCACTGGTCAATGTGCCTTTTACCGGCACCATGAGAGCATGGGAAGTGCAGGTCGAGGCTGTCTTGAAGGACTTCTACAGCTCCATCCAGAAGCACAGGCTCCCGCTGTATGGCGCAGATCCTGAGAGTGATCAATCCAATAACTTCCTAGGACCGAATAGCCAAGGACTTCGCAGGACTCCTAGCACGCTGAGCAAGAGCGGATCTGACATTTACCCTTCCTCGCGGGGGCGTTCCGTAGACTCGCGCTCTGCAACTGCCCGCTGGCCGTCGTCGAAACCGCGCTCGGGGCGGAGGGGACTGTACCCCAACTCTGCGATGGGTAGTCGCACTAGTCTGGATGACCAGTCTTCCTTCTGGAGCCCTTCTGCATCAAGTACGTGGAGTAAGTATTCTTTGGGCAAGACGTTGACCTCCATGTCTGTTGATTCCCTCGGTTCAGATTATCCGCGAGGCGAGTATCAGCAGTCGATCGGATTCGCAAATGCCCTCAGTCAAGCAATAATCCGCGAAGACTCTTCGAAGTCTATAACTAGCATTGAAGAATTCCCTCGAACGACGCCTCTGCTGGAGGATGAGACACTGGAACTCGCAGGCGCTCCATGGGCCAAGGAAGGCAGCCTCAAGCACAAGCACCATTTGGACGCTGTCGACAAGAAGGCCAAGGATCGCAACTGGAACGAGTGTTTCGCCGTCATCCAGCAAGGATGGATGCGCCTGTTCTCGTTCAATGCTTCTACAAAGTCCATGAGGCAGAAGAAGACGAGGAACGGTGGTGGCATCGTTGGCGGGGGCAACTGGATGGAAAATGCGGAGGAAGTATGGAAGTTTCTTCTTCGGCAGACCATTGCCAGTGCCTTGCCTCCGCCTGGGTATTCAAAGTCGAGACCACATGTATGGGCTCTGAGCTTGCCGACTGGTGCGGTGCACTTGTTCCAGGCCGGCACGCCCGAGATTGTGAAAGAGTTTGTCACAACGGCCAACTATTGGAGCGCGAGACTGTCTAAGGAACCGCTCATTGGAGGAGTCAGTAACATCGAGTACGGCTGGAGTGATTCGGTCATCAACAGTGCTGTGATCCACGCAGATACGAGGTCACCACCAGGCTCGGCTGGAGCCGCGCGCCCGAGTCTCCAAAGCTCTATTCGGAGCTCCATCGACCAGCAAGGTGTGCGACCGAAGCTCCCTGCTGATCGAGTAATGATCAGCGATTGGGCGCCTCCTCAGCAAAGCATGGTTGCCTCGAATCTTCCGGAGGAAGAACAGCTCAAGGCTCTTCAGAATTATGTCAAGAATGTGGAAGCCGAGTTGCAGAAACACAACGAGCTAAGGCCGGCGATGATCCTGGCCTTCTCTCCCAAACATCCCAACGCGGCCAAAGCCATGGCTAACTGGGAGCGGAAGTCTTCTTATCTATTGCGGGAGATTGTCAAATTCCGGACGTATATCGATTGTTTGCGATACGCGCAGGCTCAAAAAGCGAAGATCTATGCAGAGCGAGAAGACCCCAAAGAAGAGGAAGTCGCTTCTGCTGAAGCGCCCGAGGAGGTCTCTGTCGCTGCTTAGCTGCAAAATAACCATCTTTCTGCACCTCTAAACGACTGCCTCTTTAACCATAGGTCCCTTCGTCGGATATATGCTCAGCCTGTCAGCGTTATACTAGCCCCAGGGCTCACCTGCATTTCTTTTTCATATGGATACCTTTCCTGTTTATGTTACAGTGTCGGGCGTTTTCAGATATCCCTCATCCATTTTAATCATTGTCCATGAGCTCTGCTATGTCTGCGTCGTCGCACGATCTGTTCAGAAAAAGCCTTTTCTCCATCCCTCCTTTTCTCTTATTCTTTTCTAGTCCGACTTATCACCGTCAGATCGTCTAGCTAGGCGGCTGTGGCCTGTGACGGGTCTTCTGCTCTATACTTGTTGGTTCTCTGATTACTTGTGGGCTTCTGGGACTGGGGCTACAGGAGTCTCGTGTCTGTTTCTCTGTTTGTGCGGGATGGGACTTGATGAAATCGTATGACGGGTTAACGATAGCTTTTCATATAATATATACGACTAATTTCAAGCTCAGCGCCTTTCTGTCTACACTCCCTGTAGTATTAATACACATAGACCATGGTTAGGCCCGTTTGTTGATGTAGGCTGTGGCATTGTGATGATGCGACAGGGAAGGCGTGGTAGTAAAGTCTTTCTGCGGAGCCATGGCCGTGGGGATAAGCGCTGCCCGATCGGGGAAGAACCACGGGACCCGGACCGAATGTAAATAATAATCCTACTCTCTAGTTAACCATCAAGAGACTGTCGAATGCACAACACATCAGAGACTGGATTCTCCCATCCATGCATGCATCTCTGCTCTCTTTCCCCATCTCTTATCAGGCCAGAAAGAAGATCTGCAATAATAACAGTCGATCTCCCGTTCAACTCAGACCGCACCGACACTGTTTTCTTATGCTTCTCTTCCCACCCCTGCCCTCATCAATAACTGATCGATCAATCAATCCATAATAATTGAACAATGATCTCCCCGTCTACAGCTATCGTCAGATGAATATACGGACTTTCTTTCCCGCCGGTCCTGAACTCTACTGAAGTCATTTCTCTCCCAAACACACCGTCGCCATTATTCTGCCACACTAGACCAGCTCGGTCCTCCTGCAGGTGGGAACAAAGTTGGCTAGGCTAGGGGTGTGGAGAAACAAAACAATAATCTCGGGGTGCCGTCACCATATCGACGGAGTCCGAGCAGTGTCTGCGCCAAACCAAAACCAGGGTGATCAAACCGAAGCAGGGCTAAAACAATAATAGCGAATTTACATGGACTACTAGAGGCTCTCCGATTATTACGTTTCCTACACAACGCAAAAGAAGGTCCTCGTGTTACCTTGCGGTTTCAACGCGGACAGGACTCGTCGCCGTTTTCTCCCCGCGCGAGACGAAATAGTACTCGAAACGACGACGACGAACGGCTCAAATTCCTACTAGATGGCGGAGGAGCCGCGAGGGGAGGACCATGGTCAGGATCCCACCGACGCTGCGGCCAAAGGGGAAACCGGCGACGTCAGGGAATCCAACACCGCTAACGAGCATACAGACGACCGTGTGACAGCGGAGTATGCGACGCATGATGATAGCACAACCTCTCTCCCGCTTCCCTCGCTCACGATGGATCACGACGACAGCAGCAGTGTCTTCTCTCCGTCGCGGGACGATGACCACGATCACCAGAACAATCAGACATTGATGGAGGAGAGGGAGATGCGAAGAAAACTCATGGAGATGGAATCGAGCTTTCTACCAGAGCCCTCGACGGTGGGAATGGCTGCGCCGGGATCCAGTGTCGGCGCGGATGATACCTACCTGGTTGGAGTGACGGGCGATGCTGGAACGAGCCCTTTAGATACGAGCCGGGTGCACTCGTCACCTGCGGCCAGGGTCGAATTACACGAAGGAAATGGTGCGGAGCAGGGATGGGCAGCATCTGAAGAACATGATGGACATGAGACTACAGATCTGGAGGCTACACCCAGCCCTTATGAAGGCAATACTACATCCTTGGAGACGATCACGTCGTCACCTACAACGGCTGCCGCCAGCAGAGCTGTTGCTAGGGTCCTGTCTACCGCTTCGAAGAACACTGAGACCAACGATGATGCGCCAGATCGATCGGCCATTGGATCGCCCCTCCTGAGTCCCGAAGATCATCTAGACCCAACAGCGAGGAACAGATCATTAGGGAGGAGCTTGTCGCCTGGGCCCCGATTATTCAGTAATAAAAGCGGCGACGAAGGGGATAGTCTCAGTGCATCAGGCTCCGTGGTTGATAGGAGGCGCAACAGACCCAAGTTCTTGACAAGTCGTCAATCTACGCATCGATTCTCCTATTCGTCTGTTACCAGCACCAATACCGACACGAACAGCGATGCAACAATGGGAATGGACTATGCGCTTCAGTCAGGAGGCGCCGTACCTGGCCATAACGACGATCTACAAGCTCGAGGAAGAAAGGACTTGGCTCGAACCGTTAGCTTAGGCAGCATGGCCTCTGGAGTCTCAGGATACAGTGAGGAAAACTCGTTGTTGGAAAAGAGAGCTGCCAGCGGCGTATCGGATGGCGGTCTACACACTCTCGAGGAAGAGAATCCATCACCGCAATCCTCTGTAAAAGATCCCAAGAATGAGATATCGGAACCGGTGACACCCAAGGCCGCACCTCAGGACTTTGGTCCGGACACTGCCTTTGCAGAGTCTAGAGATCTACGACCACCGAGCACTGCAGTGAGGCAATTTCGTGAAAGTAAAGGGGGCAGAGTGTCTCCGGATAAGAACCCTGGTGCCCCTACGCCTGCTTTTGGAAGAAGCGGTAGGGGCATGACTTTGAAAGAGCAGAGCAGCACGATCGACAGGCTCTCGAAGGAGAATTTTGATCTCAAGATGCGGATTCACTTCCTCAATGAGGCTCTCAATAAGCGCTCCGAGGAGGGCATCAAGGAGATGATTTCTGAGAACGTTGAGCTTAAGTCTGACAAATTGAAGCTACAAAAAGATAATCAGAGTCTGCGAAGGAGAATCCGTGACTTGGAGAAGGAAATTAAGGACCGCGAGCACACTTCTGACAAAGACTCGGTCGTCAACAATGATCCTGAGGTGTCCGATGATGAGAACCGTGCGCCGGCTGAGGAAGAGATCATCTACCTCAGAGAAAGGATGGAAACGTATGAGCTCGAGATCGAGAGGCTTAGAGCCGAGAGCATTGCAAGGGAAAGCGAGAAGAGACGGCTGGCAGAAATAGTTAAGTCTCTGGGTGAGGGCAGACAAGTCGATTCAGATGCTGGTGCTCGAGAGGAAAGGGTCAGTTGCCATTACTATAACGATATCGTATATACTCTGATGCTGACCCTGCTATCCAGGACATGTGGAAAGATATGCTTGATGCCGAAACGGCTGCACGTGAACAGGCCGAGGATGAAAATAGGAGGCTCAGAGACGAAGTCTTACGCATGAAAGCCGACGCTATTTCTGGACGACCGGCTCGGGGACTTCGACGCACCGGAACTGGTTCCGTCATTTCTTACTCCACAGGCTCTGAACGCGATGTCGAGCGCAGTGCCGGTTCGACAACTAACGCCCTTGCGGAGCTGGAGTTGCTGAGGCAAGAAAATGCAGAGTTACGGAGAGAAGTCAGCGCACAGACATCGATGCTGACCTCACGGAACCGGGAGAAAGAACGTCTCTATCAGGAAATTGAAGAGCTGAAGCTAGGGTCGCGCCGTGATGGTCGGTCCATTGCTGGAGACAGTATATTTGAACGCTCGGCGTCCCGAGCCCAGGGGAGATCTTCGTCGCACCCTAGTGACAATGATATTCCAGGCGGTGATACGGAAACGTTGGAAATAAAAAACGGTGAACTCCGCGATCAGGTTTCTGCATTGAAACTCGAAAACCAGAACGTCAGGGCTCAGCTGGATGATGCAGAGGCTGAGCTGGAGGCTCTCGATAAAGGGTATCAAATCGATATGGAGCAGGCTGAGGAGGAAATCCAAACTCTCCAGCAGGAGCGCGATCAGGCCTACCAGATTGCGGAGCAGCGCGAAGCTGATTTGGAAGATCTGCGGGCAGAGGCACAGGAGGAGTTGGATGCCTTGGGAGAAGAGTTGGAGCAACGGATCGACGAGTGTCAGCGCCTTGAGGTCGAACTGAGGAACCAGGAGGAGAATTTGAATGCACTGCAAGCTGAGATGCGGTCAGCGAGCGAAGGCATTATCAGGCTTGAAGAAGACGCGCAGAACAACCTCCAGAAGTACAAGGCGGTTCAGCGGGAGCTGGATGATGCCAACAGGGAGATTGAGTCTCTTGAGAAGAGTCTATTCGAGTCGAATGACAAGGTGCAGAGACTGACTGTCCAGATCGAGTCGAGCCAGAACGAGATTGCTTTCCTCCGTGAAGAGCAGGACGGCGACAAGATCAGGATCAGTGATCTCGAATCCGAGCTGAAGACATGCCAAATAAGCCTGCACAGCGAGAAGGACAAGGCCAGGGAGCTCGAACAACGCCTGGCGGAGGAGAGACATCAACGTGAAGTTGTCGGAAGCAAGGAGAAGCAGGAGGAACAGAGAATCATGAACGAACTGAACCAGGAGGTGTCAACTTCCAAGGAGGAGATTCGGAAGCTCAGGAAGAATCTCTCCGCGCGCGAAGTCGAGGCGAACACATGGAAGGATCGCCTCATGGAGTTGGAGAATAATCTTCGCGAAGCCCTCGGCGACCTTGACGGAACCAGGTCGAGTCTGATCAACAACATCTTCAAGCTGCAGAAAGAGCTGGATTCGACCACTCTTGAACTGGAGAGTATCCGGACGAAGCTCGACGAGAAGGAGACGCTCCTTAAACACCGCGATGCTCTCCTGGAGAGTCAGGGACTCGAGTCCCGCAAGCTTGCAGACCTCTTGGAGCGTGAGCGGCACGCTCGTCGTGCTGACAAGCATTCTTGGGAGCAATCTCTCAAGTCTCATCAGCAAGCTTCGCGCACGATATCTCAGAGCAATTCGCGGATCTCGGAGCTTGAAGCCGCACGGAGCCAGGATCGCAAACGCTTCGCCGCCATTGAGCATTCGTTCAAGGAGCAGTTAAATGAACGCAACACCGTGTTCTTGACTCTGTGGAAACAACTCTCTTCGATGTGTGGTCCCGACTGGTCACATTCGCACAGCCTCATCAATGGCAATCTACCTAGCCAGGAGGTAATTGGTAACATCCTCTTCTGGCCTGGATTCAGCAAGAATCTGCTCATGGCTGCCAAGACGCTCGAGATCAACATTGCTGGATTCAAGAACCGCATTAAGTCCATTGACCGCGATCTTACGAAGCAGTACCAGACCCTCGAGCACAATTTTGTGCAGAAGATGAAGAGGCTCGAGCGGCTGGAAGAATCGGTGAGGGGTATGCGCAGTCGTCAGCACCAAAGGTCCAATTCAGGAAGTGCCTCTCCCGAGGTATCTAAGCTCAGAGGCGAGAACCGACTGCTTAAGGCAGAGCTCAACCTCCTTCAGTCACACTCCAAGTCCCGCACGTCAACTTCTGCTGCGGCCGTTGCTACGACTGCTGGGGCAGGACAAGGCTCGGACCGATCCAGTCCTCGCGATACCAGCAGGAACCATATTCAGTCCTCGTTGGTCCGCCATCATTCCACTACTGACGTAGAGGCTCTTGCGCCGCCGCGGTTCGACAGGCCTCTGACTAGGAGTTCGACAGGCATCCCTCAGCCATCGAATTTTTCATCAGCCACGACATTGGTCAACAAGGACTCCGGAGGCCAAAGTCAGGGTTTGAGCGAACCTGGTCTGGAGAAATGGATCCAAAGACTTCGCGAGCTGGAACGAAGGCTTAAGGCTGAAAGAGAGGCACGTCTGCTCGACCGTGAGGGGGCCCGCAAGCGCCTTGAGGAGCGCAACGCAGAGAACGAAGAGCTTCGAGCTCGTCTGGAGAAAGAGCGGATGCGAAGAGAAGCCTCACGGATCCGCGCGTCTTCCGAAGAGGATATCCGTCGAACTCGCAGTTCGACTCGCAGTAGGACCCGCCGTGAAATCACACCGCGGGCGAGGACTCATACGGACGAAGACGATGACTCCGAGGATATCCTCCACGGGAGCGACGACCACAGCGAGTCTGAAGGGACCGGCATATGCGTCGACATTGAGGTTTAAGTTGCTGGTTCTGGTCTGAATGTTGATGCCTCTCTGTTCATCCCAGCGGGTTTCGGGTTACGATATCTCAGTATCAGATTCTAATTTTCCATATATATATATCCCTCGAGCGTGTGTTTATCAGCATTCTATGGTTTTAAATGTACCTGGCATGGTTGCTTTATCATGGGTTCGGGCTTTGTTATTTGTTGTATTATAAATGACTTCGATATTCCCCCTTTATTCAATATTGATCATTGAAGCTGGTGTTACGGTTTGCTGTGATATCTTTTGGCATTGTTCTATCTTTCGGGGTATGCTTTTTATGGCAAGGGTCGGGGTAGAGAATTACACGGTGATTCAGAAGATACGATGGATAGGATGATACGGTATATTAATATATGCATCACATTCAATACTTTTGATTTGTAAAGTTAAAATTCAAATCCTAGGCTCGTTTTCCATCTGCATTTTCAGGTTTATCCTTTCCTACTAGCCCGTGGTTACTGCGATATATCTGATAACTTTGTTCTACATATTAGAGAGACATGGGCGGGGACGCGGGAACGCCCAAGACTCCAAATATCTTCAACCACGTTGACACTAGAGTGGAGAGAGCGAGAGAGGGAGATAGAGAGAGAGAAAGAACTGCTCCATACTAACACCCAGACTAATCTTGGGATGCCTTCCGATTCCCACGATGCGGGAGACTTTCTTGGCGTATAAAGTTCCGCCGCGAGAAGCGGAGTATCCAGCGGAACATCCAGCGGAACACTATTCTATAGTAGAATATATCGATAATGGGGTTGATAGATATTAATAATGTCCCCAGCAATTATGACGAAAAGTATTGGGATATAATACCCATGAGAGAGTGTGAGAGATTCTGTGAGATGGCCTGGTATCATTTCTGAGTTGATATGGTGGGGAGAGAGATGTGCGACGGATGTAGACGTGCAGCATTGCTGTAAATATTTACTCTACACCAGAGAAACTTCGAATTATTATAGAAAAGTCAGAAGTTAGAAAGATTAGACTCTCTGTCTTGATTTGTAATGTAGGGAATGAGCGCGAGGTGAAATCAGCAATAGACTCATGAATGTTCTGCAATGAATAGTTCTTTTTCATAGTTAGTATTTACATCTTTGCTTAGACTTGCTGCTCTTTATATATGGCCAGTTGTTCCTCTTTGGCTACACCATGGCTGCACGAATTTCGTACTCTTGGTAAGCATAGCTTGTTCCAGTTTATTCGCAGAGATCCTTTCCCTAGGTATTGCGTGCGAAAAGAAAGATGATGATATGACCGTAGACCATCTGAACCTATCGCAAGGAAACCTTCAATGAGAAGTCCACGATTCCTGTGCCCTGGTGAATCGAGCTAGTGGACAGAATATCAACATCGTCAGAAGCATATGTGGCTGCGTTGCTCTCAGTCAACCCGCCGCTGACTTCGATCAGGAACGTTCCCGGGGGCTTGCCCTTGCTGGCCCATTCGGTCTTCAGTTGTTTCGCGACTTCACGCACGCCTTCGGGTGTGAAGTTGTCTAGCATGATCACGTCGGCGCCAGCGCCAATGGCGGCATTGGCTTCCTCGATACTGCGGCACTCAACCTCGACTTTGGTCGCGAAGCCACCTGCGGCTTTGGCCGCGTCGACGGCAACAGGAATGGCGCTTGCGATAGACTCGATCGACTTTGTGGAGCCGCTCTTGTTGGCGCAAGCCCAGACATGGTTGTCCTTCAGCATAGTCATGGAGCTGAGGTCATGACGGTGCGGATCGGCACCTCCGACAAGAATGCCATACTTCTCGACGACGCGGAAACCCGGGGTAGTTTTGCGCGTACCGGCCAACGTTCCCTTCCAGCCATGGGATCGGAGGGCGTTAACCAGAGAAGAGCTCTTGGTCGCGATGCCAGAGCAGCGGGCGAGGATGTTCAGCGCGACTCGCTCACCGAGGAGGATCTTGCGGATTGGTCCTCGGACGGTGGCGCATTGTCTGATCGGTTCGATGGTCTCACCTTCTTTGACGTGCCATTCGACGCTGATATTGGGCAATCTTAGCATGTGTGCAAGAGATAAACGATATACATCCCCTCATGACCCGGCTGGATGGGCTTGACTCACGTGCAGCCCAACTGCTTAAAGACCTCCTCGAAAAAGGGCACACCGGCGACGACGCCCTACGTTCCGGATTGCCAGATCAGCAGGGTACACGAGACAGGTAGAAAAAATCTCATGCAGCGTGTGAAAATAACGTTAAACAAATACTGTGTTGTTCATGCATATCCAAGGGAGCCGCGATAGTATTATTCAAACGTCAAGCGGGGTAGATTGCGGGAGGAGGGGTAACAGCTCTGAGAAAGAGACATTATATTGTATGCGACAGTGCACTCGCCAATTGAATCTCTTGAATGTTATCAATGCAAGTGTAGACTGGATGTCCTGCTAATAAAAGCTCATCGAATAGAATAAATCAACTCAACTCATCAAATCGTACCTTACTCTTCCCCAAAAGTCGAGCCTCACCCTCCGACTCGCCAACGACGAAACCACCATAGTCGAAGCTGGGACAATCCTCCTCGAGCCAAGAAGCAATGAGACGCTTGTAAGACTCGGGCAGCAGATGTCGGAGCTCCCCGTGGGATGACGCCATGGTACCTGATAGCTTAAAATCGGATTTTTTTCTTCTTTGGTTCTCTTTTCTTCAACTTCGTGTCAGGGGAAAACGAGCACAAGAGGGTCCCCAGAAGGGGGTCGGAGAGTATAACTGGAAAGGGAAACCGAGAGCGTTCGTCTGGGGTCTTGGGACGTTCCAGAAGTTCTCACTGTTTTTCTGTGTTTCAATCTAGAGGAGATCGTCCGTGAGATCGAAACGCGGAGCGAGATATCGCCGGGCAAAGGGAGGGAAAAGTGATCTGACGGTGGGCTCACTAGGAGACGTGCACTGCCGGACAACAATCGGTTTGTTTTTGAATCTTGATGGACTATCACGACAAGAGTGAAGTTGAAAATGATTATTGTCTATGGTATGTCTTTTTTTCCTTGATTTGACTTAATTTCCTAAGTAATTAATTAATTACTGAACTTTCTGCCCGTCATGTGAGTCGTTCGGCTTTCCGGCCAAGAGACACCGCCATTATTTTATCCGAAGCTACAAACAAACCAGTTCAACTCTCTCTCCCAACAATCATCTTCATCACACTCTGGCTGCTAATTAAATACTATAACCCAACATGGTATACCACACGGGCCACAACCGTGCCCCTCCCGTTAAGGCTTGAGTCAATGATGCGACATACCATAGTTTCATCCCCGCATCGAATAACGACAGCCAAAGCAGATCACGCGGGTCCAACTACCGGTGTGGATGTGAAATATTAATGTGAACTCCCGAGTTGAGTTAGCTGACACGCCTAGATACACGATACACAGGAACGCTCGCAGGCATCAGCTCGGAATATTGATCAGAAAAAGGTTGCGAAGGCTGCACGACTTGCGCGAGCGCCATGCCCGGCTTGCATGACAGGGAGTCTGATGATCATAATTCACGATCCATCCAAAGATTCCAAACTACGCAGTTAAACCGGGGAGAAACTATTACTCCTGAGGCTAGAAGCAGCTGGAACAGGCACAGAGCGTCGAAGAAAAAGCTTAAATGGCTGATGTTTGAGAAGAACATCTCCACCGACAAAACCCCGAGTCCTCTCCGAGATGCAAAGTCGATAGATCTGGTCCTGAGCGCCAAGCATGGCGGAATGAGTAACTTATTATTATTGAAGACTCAATAATTCAGGGCCCAAGTGACTGCGGTGCTCGGCACACTTGGCGCCAGCGCGGAAGAGACTCTCCATCATTGGACCTTTCCGTACGGTGAATGTTCAATAACAACGTTGGTGATCGCTATACACGGCAGTCTTAGGAGCAATATGGAATCTTCAGGCCCGAGTCCTTCAGCTACGCTCCACAGCCGTACTAGCTCGAGTGGTCTACAGATCGTGGTTCCAAGCAGGGGCCATGGGCTGACGACGAGAATCTATGATCTACAACATCACGGTGGACATAGCTTTGCTGCACCGAGGAATCTCCATGTTCTGCAAAATAGCCCTGAAGGCCAACTCGTGAATGCAGTTCTAATAATAATGTAGTCAGACTGATGAATACAGCCATTATCGGGTCGCCATCTGAACGGCAGGCTGCCCTGGCAGATAGAATCCAGCCTTATCATCGCGCCACGAGAGTTGACCAGCCTCCCTGCACCGCCAGATAAGTGCCAGCCTCGTCCACACGTGCGGAGAGATATCGCAAACAGAACTTGAAACCTGTTTTGACAAGGAGCGACGGGCATCTTTGCGTCAAGAAGGACGCGAGTGAAGGCCAACGGCGCGTGTTCGTCATATCCACATGACTCCGCCTAGTAGCTTCGGCCGACGATCCTCGATTCTAGAAACTCGCAGTTCGTCTTTCGGTCTTATGTAAGGAGTGAAGACTGCTTTCTCCAACATGACCTAAGCATAACGGTGAGGAGAGAAGACGCAGGGCTAGCAGGGGCAGTAATACACGTCCGTACTGTATGTACGATACTGGAGACCGGTATGTATGTACTCTAGGGTATTTACCGTAAATACCATACGCAGCGTCACTTTGCCGCTTTAGCAGCATCGTACTGTACGCAGTACATACATTACGGGAACGGGCTTGGTCGAGTCTAGTCGAAGACTGAATGATGGCTGATGATGATGATTAGACTATGTGGCCATCAAAGCCCCCAAGCCTCAAAAGTCGCCGAGATACGGTCACGGCGGCCTTGGATCTTGGTGAGCTGGTCGACTCAGAGACCGATTGAATAATAATGGGATCTGATCTCGCATCGGGTTGGCTTTGGGATTCCGTTCTTTTGGGTCGGCCATCTCCGTTATTCATCTTGGCCGTACTGATTTGTAGGATTGGTCTTACGGTTGCTGAGCCTTGCACCTTCGTGGCTCCCTTCCATTTGATGTCCAATCTCAGTGTCAGTGGCTGACAGTACTACCATAGGAAAAGAACGTTTGTCGAGGTTGGTCAGCTTATCCCATATGGAGCTGCGTAAACGTGGACATGTTCCCTCCATTGCTGTGGTCTCAACTTATGATCGTTGATCCCAACGTCTTTCCGCTAGTTGCTCGTATCCGGGAGTACAATCACCTAACTGGGCGTGGAGTCCTTATCCGCATTTGACATCTTGGCACGAAGCTGAGAGATAGAGACGAGGAAGATGGAAAAACACGATTGATGAAGGCTGACTCGGCTCTCATTCGAACATCTGGACAACAAGCAATTTTAAGATCAAGTAACTACCGGATCATGATCTCTACAGTAAGTACTCTACACTGTCCGCTCGTGGCTTTCAGCCTTTGCACAAAAATTACAGTACACACACCAATAGTCATGAATACGACGCTAGCTTGATTATATGTAGATCCGGTTCCCGCAGTAATATTAATGATAATTATGTCCGCACTACAGTACTCCGTATTAACTAATAATACTTATGCCGCCCCTGGCAAACACTAGAAATGTGAGTTCAGAAAATAAGCGTCTATCTATGCTTCAAGCTAAAGGCAAGCGGAAACGGCACATTCCTTTCATTAATTCTTGTGTCTCAAGAGACCCTGCACAGCGGTAAAAATGCCATCCTGGAAGAAATAAGATAGAGAGAAAATAAAAAGCGGGGTGCAGGATTCTCGACAGGGATCGGAGGTATTATGCTATTCATGTCGGTATACGGAGTAGAGTAGGTAAGCCAGCCTCGGCTGAGCTCTATCCCAACAGAGAAAGACAAAAAAAAACAAAGAAAAATAGGAAGTGCGGGGAAACAACAACCAGGTAGCAAAACGCCCTAGTGGGAAAATATTATAGTCAGACGATTGATTGTGTGGATTTACATAGGCTGACTCCCTTGTCCAGACTCCAGACCGCTGGTACGATCCCGCCTTTTTTTTTTTCACGCAGGAAATATTGTTATTCATTATTACATACCAATAATAATAATAATAATAATAATAATAGCGAACAACAACAGCATGTCTGGAGTAGTAGTAGGTAAGTAAATGCTAGAAAAGTCGCCGTCGGACATTCATCTAACACCGACCGACTCCTTTCGGACCGTTTTTGCCGGTTCAGGCGACGGTTACTCTGACACTTCTGCGGGTCCGACGGCTAGAACGGACGGACCGTACAGTACAAGGATCACTCGATCATTCAGGAATCAGTGGTGATTATGGACTGTTATTATTGTCGAATAGAATAGGAAAATAAATACATATTGAATAAGTTGTTGGTCCTATAGTATAATCGTTAGATTAATCGCGGGATTCTGCGCTGGGTTTTAGTTGAGCTTTGACGTTGAAAATGCGGTCTGTGTTGAATGAATGAAACTATCATATCTGTACCATATGCATCAGCGGTGTAACAGACAAAGTATCCATTATCAGTAATGAGCGGGTATTAAATCTTCAATTAGAACTCTACTCTGTTAAATCTACTACTACTAGATTAAAGCAATAATTCATCTCTATACTGAAAACTGATATACAGTATCTAGTTACTTAACTACTATCACAATATATCCTCTATAATCAAATATAGTGTTCCAACGCCATCTAAACTACTTACCCCAGCTCAGCTTAGCCTAGCCCCCCTTCATTATTTAAGCAATACGAAAGGGGAACGAATAATAATAATAATTACCATAATTCAGCTAAGAAAACCAAGAATCTCGCCAAGACAGGGGAGTTGCATGTTCCGTCTTCCGACAGAGCAAAATGTCCAAGCGTCGGATACCGCTTCGTAACAGCTCCGGTGTCCGAGGCTCGAGCAGGCAGCCGAGTTTATTAGAATGGATAGAAGACAACAGTACATAGATTATTCACTGACAGAAATTGATAATTATCACTTGTTGGAAGAGGATTAGTTGATAATATATGGAATAAATGAGATAACTAGCAGTTAGTATATATGTAAAGGATTAAGAGATAGATTAGGATTTTTTTAATTAGATTATATAACTAATTATACAGTAAGTACTTCATATTAGTTTACAACCTCCTATAAGAGATCAGAATAAATTTCTTTTCTGACATAAGACGGAGCAAAGCTCAAAGAGAAAAAAGAAAGAACATAAACAGTAAGCTTCTCCTTACTATCATTTCGAATATCCATGCACTCAGCTATTAGCTAAGGTCTAAACTGTGGGAGAAATGCAAAGTGCCTATTTAGAGTAAACCTTCTCGCACTATTAATTATTATTATTATTGATATTACCCGCGGAAGAAAAAGTACTACATGTCTCGTGATGCTGCTGCCCAGCTTTAGTATCTAGACTGTACGGTGGTCTACCTAACGTTAAGATGCTCTACTTTCTCCGGATCGTATCGAAACACTTACCGGTATTATTGAAGAATTATATCGAATTAGTTAACTAACTACGTAACCAGACCCTAGAATTGTTATTATTATTAATACCAGATAGATAACTAGTTAAGTAGGCGCGCTCGTGGACCCTGGATAAGTCCATACATTATTACATACGCTGGTACATACGTTGGTAGACTAGAGAATAAATACGCATTACCAATCTGCACGTCGCCTCGCTGGAGTCTGCTTACTCTATTCTACTCTGGTTGGGATCTAGAGCAGGCCGTCGTCGGTTTTTAGGACATACAAAGTGGAGACAGACGCGTGAGGCGAAAAAGAAAAGAATCTATCTGATAGCGGGAACCCGTTCGTGTGTCTGCGCGACGGGATTTGTTGGGGATATGCATTAAAATACATCTGTAAGGATTGTATTTTTTTTTTCTTCCTGGCTATCGTTTAACTTAACTGACTATCTGGTTAAGACGGCGCCTTTTTTTTTTTTCTTTTTCAAGCCGGCGTCAATAATTCAGTTTGCGGATATGCGGGTATACGGGTATACGGGCGGAGATAAAACTTGGTAACTACTGTATCTGCGGCGATAAGAATTTTAGATCTGCATTATTGCCGAGATGGAATACTATGTGAGATCGCTTTTGTGGCTGCGTGGAAAAGAAATTCTGATTTCATTTTCATCTGCCTAGATACATGCCCAGACACGCGGGATTGACTGGCAGAGATGGAGTAGAGTCAACTAAGAAAAGAAGAGAATTGATTAAGTCAACTTATCCATATCCAGTTGAGATTCATTAAACGCTGATTCAGCGGAACTGCGCAACCGCCAAGACGGACCGCCCATTTACCTTAGTTAACCGCGTGCCCGGAATGGGAAAGTTGTTTTGAGCTTGTAGCCGCATTCCGTAGCCGCGGAACCATTAGGTCTCTGTAATAATCATACTGAATTGAATTGAATTGAATTACTGCTTCCAGGCCCGGTACAAGTTCTTAGCTCCCCAGATCTGTCCCTTCTTGAGAGCCACCATTGGCTTCCACTCTGGGCGGTTGACCGCGTCAATGAAGCGGCTAGGCTCGACGCAGAATCCCGCCCCCGGACCGCGGGCGGGAACTCCCTCGGACGCGGCGACATCGACACCGCTGCCAGTGTAGAACTGGAACGCGGGCTCCGTGCTCTCTACCTCAAGGCGCAGTCCCGTAGCCGGGTGGCTGAACTGGGCTAGACGTCTCAGCGGACGTCCGCGGGTGTCGAGGGGAACATTGGATGGATCAGTGTCCATCACGAAACAGTTGTCAATGGCTGGCTCCGTTGCCTGCAGATCGAAGGGCTCCGTGACATTGACAGCATCGTACTTCTCGATCTTCCCCGTGGGGATAAGGGTGGAGTCGACTGGGAGATACTTGTCCGTGAACAACTGGGCCCGGGTGCCAGCAATGGTTGGGCCACCTGAGATGTTGAAGTAACTATGCTTCCATGTCAGCGATCTCTCGTTTACAACCGACAATCCTTCTGCTAAAGGATATACAGACCTGTGGTTGGTAACGCTGACAGCAGTCTCCTCGCATTCGTCACCGACAAACTCGACCTCATACTCGACCACGAGAACGGTCTTCGGGGTCGGCGTATCGACGTCCTCCTTGCTGGCCATATACCACACCCTCAATTCCACCGTGCCAGGGTATCCCTCCTCGCCATCCTTGCTGAGGTACTTGAAGAGCAGTGCCTCCTTGCCATTGTGGTTCACAGCCTGGGGGCCTTCGAAGATCTTCTTGTCCCATCCAACCTCACCGCCGTGCAACGAATTCGGTCCATTGTTCTTCGCGAGACTGTACGTCTTCCCGTTCAGGTCCTTGAGGAGCCCGTCTTTCGTCCTGTTGCACGTACGGCCGATGGTCGCGCCAAAGTACGGATTTTTGACCTCGACGTACTGTTGCTGCGTGGGGAAGCCTTGGACGATGTTGTGGCCGGCCACGCGGAATTCCTGGATGATACCTCCGAGGGGGAGGAAAGTGAATGCAGATTCTTGAGGGTCAGACATTGTCAAGAAGATGTTGAAGCTTTAGGGGAGATAATTGTGAGATGACGTCGTAAGTGAATAACCCCGCAACGCAGCACGTCAGTTTGTTATCTCGAGGGGCAAACCTGGGGATGAGGGTGAAATTATAGAGGGGGAACTGGTTCCTGAGGAGCTATTGCAGCCGTGAAGCTGTTCACCGTGGCACTATACTCGGTTAAAATGATGAAGCTTGTAGAAAGCTGTCCATATCAACCGCGGGGTCTTTGCCTGCCATTGTCCCTGGCTTCTGATTAGGCTAAACTAGAACTTCCCCGCGACGCGTTGACACCTGATTCTGAAGGCAGAAACGGGGATCGATACAACACAACAATGTTGTGCAGCTTCATGATGGCTATCCAGGACATGTCACTCAATAAGGAAATAATAATAGTAGGCACAGAAATTTAGAACAACAAAAACTTAGAACCTGACCTCTACAATCCCCTAAAATGAGCAAAACACGCGACGCAGGCAAAAAAGTCCTACTAGTTAGCAATCAACCTTATGATCCCCTTGAGCCTTGAGGGATATCGTATGACAACCATATGATTTTAATGATAATCGATGTCGCATGGGTCTTTTGGAGATCATGGAACCATCCCCTCTTATCCTATATCCTTCCAGCCAGGGTAAAAGGCTGAGAATGATGGGCTGATCTCGGATCGTGGACGCGGGGTATTATTATCACGGACATATGTTATTAAAAACAAAGGTAGAACTAGCGCGAGAGAAGAAGAAGATCCTCAAACGCGTTGTATTGTAGCAGTACTAAGTTCAGATTCCTGCATAGAGATGATCGAAAGAGATCCCCCTGTGCGGAGAAGATCTCCTACCACCGCTATTCATTACTCTAGATAGTAGATACTATTTACTAGCAGCGAAAGGCGGCAGCTGATTTCTGCCGCCGGCCCATTCTGCCTTTTACGGACGAAACAACAATCTTCCTCTTAGCAGTTTTCTTTGAACTGGGAGAGGGTCCCTTTTTTTGAAGTCGTTGGAATTATTCCATATTATGAAAGCGATCCATGATCCATCTCTACTGAGATCTCAGATATCGTTATTCATTTTTGAATAGCATCTTAATGCATCGAGTAAGTAACTAACTATGTAACTAACTAACTACCGCACTATATACTACTATCCCGCGTCCTTCTCAGCCTACCTAGTTAGATATCTAGTCTAAGTAAGTAAGCTTTTCGACGATTCTGCGGTAATTAATATGCACTCGTGCCATGTCATGAACCTTGCAACGTTGTAGTGACTAGTCTACTAAGTATATGTAGGTCATGCCCTACTTCGAGTCTTGTCGGAGAAAAATCGAGACTAGGATTTAATGTCGATTTTGGTCTCGGGGCTATAATAATACATTATTATAATTTAGTTACATGTAGATATATAGCTTTTGCTTCGCTTCGCTATACTATAATTACTAGATAGAGTAGATGGGACTGTGCGACTTTTATGTATTATGCATTATTATTATGTGGTAATGATAAGCATAGTAGTTAACTAAATAATAATAGCTAGTATTGTAATAACTACAGTATGCTCTCAAAGCATGCGCTAACGCACATTTTCTTGAATAATATCCTTAGTCGGTAGTGGCACATTTAGTAGTACTAGTAACAACTACTAAGTTAACTATATGCACATCTTCTCAGTCGTTAATAAATTACACAGACAACAAAAACTAACATTTCATCTCATCTCATCTTATCTTTCCTCCCCCTCATGAGGAGAAAAGGTGGACCACTAAAGGAAGGGGGAGGGGGGAGGGAATAGGGAGTATTTCGAACAAAAGCAGACCCTCCCTAGTAGTGGAATTACTCAGAATAAAGTAGACCGCCCACAGCCAGCCAAAAAAAAAAATAAAAGGGAACCAGTTAAAATCATTCATGGCCATCTATGCCAAGTTCTAGATAATAGTACAAGTTAGTTAGTTGTGGACGGACGATCGGCACATCGGGACTCGGGACTCGGACTCGGATAAAAAAAGCGCGCAAAAAGAAAAAGAGAGAAAAATAGGTTGATTACCTAAATAACCTAAGTTTCGACTCTAGTTATTCTGACTATGACAGTATGATTAGTTAACTACAGTTAAACTAACTAACTCGAGTATAACCTTTGGGTCGGCATCGGCGTTGACCCGCAACCGCAGCTCGGGGGTGGATCCTGTTTTTGGGCGGGCTTTTTTTTTCTTCTTCTATTAGTTATTCTAGGTACTCTACGCAGAGTACGGAGTAAGTAAGTAAGTAAAGCTGAGCTGGGCTGTGCTGGACTTTGATATGAATAATAATAAAGAAGAAATAATAATGGATAATTTAAACGCTTCTCGGTTCTTAAGTCCTGGAATGAGTTAAGTAAGTACTGTAGTACATTTTCTCGCTGACTTGCTTGCTTTCTCGGTTGCGAAACTTTATCGGCTGAGAAAGGTCAATTACATCATCCATTCACTCATTTATTGCTATTGTTCTTTTCTCATTCTCTAGAAAGAAACAGGGATCAGGATTGACATGTCACAGTGGAAAAATTCACTTTCTCCATCTTTACTGTAGGGAATGTTAAAGGGAAATAATAGAAACGAGCTGAGCTCACCCTCCAGGATAGCTTTTTCTGCGGGTCTCTCTCAGTGATCGGCTCGTAGCAGAAAAGCTTGGCTCTCTCTCACTACATATTGTCATGGTGAAGTAGTTAGCAAAACTGATTAATTTTTTAAGGCTGGACGCAAGGTCTAAGGGTTATGGTATGTATGTGATGTGGAATAGTTAGTTAAATTAATTAATACGATTGATTGGTTTCTCTTGAGTCATCCATGCGTCGATGAGAATGCAGTGCCTGTCTATCTAAAAGTTTAAACAGAAAAGGTCACATAGTTTTTTTTCGATCGCAATGAAGTGCAGAAGATACCGTCGTACATGAATGTAAATGATAACAGTGATAAATGATGATGATAATAATATGTTGCATGGATGCAAAGTATTAAAGCCCAGGCCCTAATAGCATGAATGATAATAATGAATAGATAACTCCCATCACAGTGGCATGCCCTAAACCGAATAATTCCACAAAAAAAGAAGCCCCGTCCCGAGTCCGAGTGTCAGGCCGCGGCCTTTCTTTTCCAGAACGCCTGAAAACACCCATAGATCCATTCGTAAATTCACCCCGGGTCGATGGCCGTAACATAGAACGAATGGACGGTGACCTAACCTAACCAAAAGCCCAAGAGGAAAAAACTGTACAAGAGAAGTAGTAATAAAAGAGGCCTTCCCGAACCCGCAGTATTAGAACAGACTAGACTCGCATCGAGCGAGGTCAGAGTAATCTCGAATACATGTATAGCTAATTATACATGCCATGACGTCGTAGGAGCGCGCGCTAAATGAATGAAAGTCCGGCAAGAGGGCGTCATAAAACGGGTCTAGATCGAGGTGATCTCCGTCGGGTTCGGATTCAGGAATTGGTTGAAGTCGTCGTTCGTGTCCATAAATGATGTCGATGGCATGCAGCTGAGGGGCATCTGGCGGTTGAACATGGGCGACGACACCTGCGGGTCGTCAAACGGCAGACTGCTGTAGTCGGTCGATCCCATGAAATCCATCTCGTCGAACGGGCCAAAGCCGTTCTGGGGCCATTGTTGCGAACCCTGGAGAGCGATCGGGTTGACGACTCCCTGCATCGATAGAGGGGTGGAAAAGGCTGTATTGTTCTGGGGCGCCGGCTCTGCCTTGGCAGACAACGGTTGCGATCGTGACGCAGGGCTGTAGTTCGGAGGTGTGGGCGGCAGCTGGTGTCGCGCGAAGGTGTTCTCTGGGAATCGCGACTGGGTGACGGGCGAGTGCGCGGTGTCTGAGCTGCCATCGGACGACTCCTGGCGCTGCATGTGGCCAGCGTTCTGTTGCCATAGCTCCTGCTGCAGGGCTTCCGTGTTCTCTTCGAAATGTTCTCCTTTCGTCTGATCCAGGGCGCCCAAGGCAGTAAGCATATCGTGTGTCAGCGGGTGGCCGTTGGCCTCGACCTTCAACGGCTCCCCGGGCCAGCCTTCTCCATCGTGCGTTCGTCGGTAGAGTTCTTGTAGACCGTATACGAGCCAGGCCTGTTGCTGCTCAAGCATCTCGACGTATCTGTTTTGAGATATATATCAGTACACGAGGTTCTCTTTTCCGGAATGTTCGAGTGAAACGCACCCCTTCGGATACACCTTGTCGTGAGCCTTCTTGCGCTCACCAAAGACACAGATGGCATTGTCTGCGCGACACCGGCCGCATGGGTTGGCGCCATCACACTGCGATTGTCAGCGCATTGTCTTACAAATCCAGAATTTTATTGGCAGCGGTTATTAAAAATATAGAATAAAAAATGAAAATCACATAATCCATACCTTTGACTTCTTCAGTCGACATCGATCACACGCCTTACACACCCTCTTTCGGACGTTGCCGTCAGAATGGGAGTTGTTATCGGACGGTGGTGTGGACTGTCGGGCGGTCATTGTATATGTATGGATGTATGTATGATGTGGGTTGTTTTGTTAGGAAGATTAAGTCGGAACCGAGTACGGTTCACGTCTGGTTGATATTCTAATATGGAGGAATGAACAGTCGCAAACAAGAGAACCCTTTTTCTTTCAAGGATCTGATCTGATCTGATCTGACGGGTTGGTTCAATGATATAGGATCGATGGCATCAGCCGGCGAGGAGAAGTATGGTAATGATGGATATAGAGTAGTAGTAGTAGGTATAGATAGGGATGGATCAGGATAGGGATCTGCAACCGACTGCAAACGTATGTATGTGCTAGTCGGAAAGGCAAAAAAATAAAACAGGAGAACGGTTCAGAAGATGCGAATTCTGGTTCCCTTGGGTATGTGGAACTGGAGGGAGGATGGTTGCTTTAGTACTAAATGGCTTGTCGTTGACGACAGCCACACATCAGAGCAAGCACAGGTAAGCAGCCCGATCGCTTTCCTGATCACAGGGACATGGCAGTGGACTGTGGGACCTTGGAATCAATAATAATGCTTCCGGCACCGACAAGTCCCAAGTAAGTAATACGAGTAACTTTCCTTACTCCTGCTCGATCCAGGCATGGGCGGCGCTAGATCCTACACTAACTCGCTGGAACGGCTCACGGAAGAAGATGCGTCTTTTTCGGCGAAGCGACGGAGCTACAAAGGCCGAGCGTAACGCCGGAGTGGCTGACCGTACGTGACAGACCGTCGATCATCTGGACTCGGTATTATTAGTTAATAATCGGATAGAGTACCTTAAGTAACTAGATAGTTATCTGATTCCGGTCGTCTTGACGACTTGACTTGAGTTGACTTAATTGACTTGACTTGACTGAGTTGATTGACTTGAATAATTGACTTCACTTCATGCCAGCATCGACTCGGCCAGGGGTTGACAGGCCGCTTTCCACGGGATGATTGCTCGTAAAGCTGTTGCAGGGTTTCCCTCTGAAGTCATTATTGATCGATAGCTAACTAATTAGTTAGTTAGTTAGCAGCTATAGGGGGATTTGGATGCTTCTTTTTGATGAACCGGTGATGATTCGAATCATCACAGCAATTCTCTTCCAGCCAATAAGTCATGATGTGTACTGTAGTGTAGATACTTCGATAATGAATAATAACTTCATGCCGCCTTTTCCATCGATACACTCAAGTTATGTATACATACTGTATCTACAACTTACCGCCCGAGCGGTCTTTGCCTGCCGTTGTTGTAACTGACTGACTAACTGACTAACGCATCCGGTCACGGTCATGTAACATACGGACGGAGTACATGACAACCCGTCATCAATAATACAAATAATACAACATAATACAACATAATACAGAATAATACCACTGCACAACCCGGGGACTGTGCATATTGTGCACATAACTCGCTCGGCAAGGCTGCCGACCCAAAATGTTCCCAGTCCAGCTATTCGGTACGGCAGCCCGTGCTGGCCTATCGTCGTGTTCGGATGCGATGCCACCACAGCTGACTCAGAATGCTAGAAGAAAGAGAAAAAAAAAGAAAAACAATGTTCGGCTGCTTTCTGTTTCTTCCCTCGTTCATGATTAATCAGAAGCAACAAACAGCTCACTCAACAGTCTCGAAGAATCTCTGCATCCAATGATCTTGTCTCGACTGATCTTCCTTGCCAGGGGCTCTCTCTCTCTCCATGACGTGGTCATACCATACTCATGTCACCCCCCTAAGTTACTAACCTAACTTATCTATCTTATCCCTAGGACCCTTACCCAGTCTAGCCCATCCCCTTTTTTCTATTTTCTGTTTCTTTTGTTTTCTTAAGTTATCTAGCTACCATGCGGGATACTGCTCCTCTCGGATCTAATTTGCGCACACAACCCGCGCGGAGAGTTGTACTACTATCAGAGTTGATGATCTTTCGCGTCTAGAAATCGTGGTTTTGACTTCATCGTTGCGCCACCCTGACCAAACTCCTCTCCCATTTCCTCTAGCGAACCAGTTAAAAGAACCACGGTCATGTCGCGACAAGCGCGTTCGCAATCCACCCCCAGAAGTTGGGAGGGGGTCTAGATCTTTGCCATGTCCAGAAACGGCCGTTCCTTGTTTTGGAGATGTAGTCTTTCGAAGCGATTACTACTGCTGTTGGCAGATAGATAGATGCAACACGAACGGATGCGGATGCGGAATCACAATAATACAATACAATATAGCCGCCCAGCCAGTCCCCTTCAATCACTTCATCATCGATTGATTGATTCATCGATTCATCGATTCGTTGATTTCATTTTCATTTTATTTTTATATATTTTTTCGCCTCCCCTTTCGGTTAATGTTTCGATATCGAGGACATAACTAGTAGTAGTGGTAGTAGTAGTAGTAGTAGCGATAATGACGATGCACGTACACATCACACCAGGGACTAACTAACAGTAACGCTATTCTATCCTCTAGAAATTACTACTCGACTCGATATGTCGCGATAGCGTCACAGCCTCTGCGTTGGTCCCCTGTAAGTAGAAAACAAAACTGATCAATCCGTTCGTTGGAGCTCGCCCCCGGCCCTGAGAAGAACATGTCGTCAATGTTTTCAACCGTGCCGTGATTACAAAACTGTCCGATTTGTCCGAGAGGGAAAAAGGAAAAGAAAAGAATCTCGGAGATTTCGGCCCCGAAAAGCAAGAATAACAAAAGGTCTATTTCTGGGAACTAATCGAATCGAAAGAACTTTTTTTTTTCAATAATCATAGGTTGAGTAGTTAGTTAGTTAGTTGGTAGTTACCTCTCTTTGACGGAGTATCAACTCAGATCTTCTAAGAGTATGGTAAGATTAAGAATGATAACGTAGTTCATAAATTGGTAGTATCCATACCGTAGTTAACTAGAACTTAGGGCATGTCAGTTGGTAGCGCCGGCGGTGCGTCGATCCCGTTCATTGTAAGCGCGTCATGACAGTTTTTTGCTCCACTGTCTTTTTACTACGACATCATTATTCATGACTCCATGCGAATTCAACTGGGGTTTTTCTTACAGAAACAGGCGTAATGTATTGATCAAAACGCGTTTTCAAAAGGAGACATCTACTCTTCAATCGTGTGGAGCGATTGATACATGTGTCTACGGAAAGAAGCAGTGATGACCTCACTTCCGTTTTCGTGAGTGGATGGATAACGACTCTTCAAGGAAAACACCCGACGGGCACACCATAGTCAGTGATCATCATTGAAGATGCTGTCTTCTAGAACACCCACATAGGTTCTAGGAATAGGGCCAGAATCAGGTCAGGTAACTCTGCGATGAGTATGTACATCAAATCCATGACCATGTCTATCCTGCCCTTCTTTCTTTGATCCAGATTACTCACCTATCCCGAGTAATCTACGAATTTAGATAGATAAGGACTGTTCCTCCTACACTATTATTTTCTTCCCTCCCTCTACCACACTGATAGCAACTGAAGCAGAAAGAAAATCGTGTGATAATTCTAGAACCATTGATAGTCATGTCTAACTGACACCAACATTCCCCATCCAAGCGCCGAGACAAAGCACCACGGAGAAGTTTCCCCTCCCCCCCACCTTGACATGCTCCATCTAGCTAATCTCTCATTCTCTCTCTTTCTCTCTCTCGCATTCTCGCTTACCTCACCAACGAACCCCAGTCACTGCATTGCTGACTACTCTTCTGGATGGCGGGTAACGAACTGACTAAGGTAACAAGTTAGTTATCAAATACGCAAGCCCACGTCAATCATAGACATTCACGTCAAGTTACCTACCTACTGTAGAAAGAGTGAAATACTATTTGCTGAAAGGGAAACAGTATCGAGACTTTCAGGATTAGTTACATAGTCTATCTAGCCTGATTATGAATCATTCTATTGCAAATGTTATTGGTGAATATGTAACTTGTCTCACTACTTCGATTGATATGTGGGATTACATCAACAGGATCTGATAATAGAGGTATGTAGTATAGTATAGTATAGTATAGTATTGTTATGATATAACTATATCGCCGTGACGGAGCATCGAAATCAGCTTTTGCGTATCACAACCCGTTGAGCTCGTCTTGTTCTCATCCCTAGGAATTGGCCCGGCGAGTAGTCTGCTGGGCTTCGTGTTCGTGGTATTGGTGCCTGTGTGTTGCATAGTATTGAAGAAGGATCAGGGCTCATAGTCAGTATATTACTGAGAGGAGGCTGTGTCACCAAACTGATTAGGGAAGGTTGCTGATCAGTGAGAGAAAGACGGGAATCTAGATGAGGTTAGAGTATTAGCTCTCACGGAATAAATCGACATAACAGGACACATAAAAAGTAATTATGGAGGCTCTCGTTCCATTTTCGTCGAGTTCTCCTTTACTGTCTTCTGCCGCTGCGATCTTGGGATACGAGAGTAGGACTAGCACGCAGTGATGGAGCCAAAGAACGTGGCTCATGCTCGTGAGCTGGATCTACTCTAGGCCATATTCGTTTGCTTGCTTTCTTAGAACGAGCTTACCTCCTTGACTTTAACTATGTCTAGTTAATAAACGGCCTGACTTGCTGTGGCAAAAGGATGCTCGACGTCGTAGTCTTGGTTGCATGTCTTTTCCTTTCTACTTCTCCGACTGTCACTGTAGTGCAATGTGAGGTCTGGATCGAGTCAATGATGTGTCATCAAGTATCTAGAGGATTGTACTGTGTTGATATTAGAGGATCAAATCGGGATAAAGGAATAAAGAGGTGTTGAGATATCGCTTAATCGAGTCAGACACCTATTTATGTTTTATCTAATCTGACTATTGTTTCTTCCTTCAAACTCCAGAGTTTATAGTGCATGTTCTATTTGATTTCGTATGTTACTATATGCTAACGGTTGCGAGTCTACTTCTAAAAATGTACTTCTCAGCTATTGACTTCTCAATGGCACTATTTCTTATTCTCTAACGATTCTTCATCCAATCAATCGCGGGACTTTTTTCTTAGAACAGCAGCAAAGTAAACAGAAACAGCGTGGGGGTCTGTCTGTCAAGAAAAATATACAATGAACACATACAAGAAATATATGTATAGACAGACATATCAACAGAATATCACACTAAAAGAAACCAAATCCTGGTCTAGGTACGGTATCGAACGGCGTGTCATCGCTGAAGAAGAACAGAACAGAGCAGACGCGAAATAGCAGAACATGGGGATATCAAACAAGTAGCCAGACTTTGGGGAACTTTTCGCAATGGCGAAGGATCTTCAAATAGGAATAAAAAAAAAAGGACATATAAGCCAAATAAAGAGGCTGGTAATAATTCACAGAGAAACGAAGTTGTGTCCAGAGGGAGGATAGCAGAGAAAGATGATCGTAAGTATTGATGGAAACTCTAGGCTTTCTGCTAGGGTTACCAACACCTTAAGCGTTCCCACCAGCTTTCTCGTGTCTGTTGACCCCCAGACTTACGTTCGTCTTCGCCAGAGGAGAATCTCTTGCTGACTCGTTTCGTAAGCGTGCCAGTCCTTCGTAGAAACCTACGTCGGCGCCCACCGTCACCGGTTGCTTTTTCCTTCGCAGTCAAGGCTGGCGTCCGTGAGGTCGAAGTACCCATCTTCTCAGAAGGTTGCTCCTTTTGGATTTGCTTCGGTGGTTGCTGCTGCTCCTTGTGTAACCGGCGCGCTTCGATGACACGTCGGACTATCACTGTAGAACCGTCAGTCAGCTCATGAAATACACTCCCGTAACGCTCTACTCCCGCACCCGGGGGAAAGAGCAAGTCTCGAGAATAATCGCAGTGGGGAGCAGAGTGTTATACGTACAAGCAAATGTCTCTTCAATATTAACCATTTCTCGCGCGCTCGTTTCCATAAAACCGCAGCCATGCTTCCGCGCATACTCTAGACCGTCTCTTGCTGATACAACTCTCGAGTCCTTCAAGTCGCATTTGTTTCCAGCAATAATCTTAACGGGTGGAGCCATTCCGACCACGATGTCTCCGTCGCTAGGTCCCAGCTCTCTCATCAAGCGTTCATTGTCTTCTAGCCGTTGCTCCGCCTCGATATCGATCATATCCATGAAATAGTCCAATGCCTCCAAGCTCTGCGCATTTGTGATGTCGTATACGAGGAGGAAAGCATCTGATTTCAAGTTCGTTGCCGCCCAGAGACCGCGGTATTCTTCTTGCCCGGCAGTGTCTGTGAGGGCAAGGAAGTAAGGAAGACCGTCAACGGTCCGCGTGACCGAATATGAATCTTCTGTATATCGCAAACGACACAATCAGAACATGGTTGCTATGAAGAAAATGCCAATTTCGTGACTGGACTGGGAATAGGAGAATAGCAAGGTGAGTTGGTTTACCTATCGTGGGATCATATCTAACACGCAAGAAAGTCAGCCAACCAACCATCCACGGCGCATTTCATCGGTTTGAGGGAAATCAAGGCAAAGCATACTCATGTGTCCATTGACTGCGTACCAATCGCAGGGTGATGGAGGATTTACCTGCCAGAACGCCAGAGTAAGTTTCTCTGGTTGAGTTTCGTCTTTGTTTCCAAGGATGGCACTGAACGCATTGTTCGCTGCCGATCGCCGTCGATATATTATTATTGCGGACGACATCGACATCATTCCGCACTTCCAATATCGAGGGAATCCTGGACGATATGACCTACCGCATCCACCATCCCCGCATATGGTGATCGAAATCTTGTCCGCCTCCATCGTCACATGTACAGTATATTTCAGTCTTCGTCAACCCTTCCCCATCAGATAGCGTCGTTCTTTCGCTCGTCGCGAATTATTTGTTGCGCCCCGCGTTCGGATAAGAAACGAATTGGTACGACCCAAGATCAGACGAAGATCGAGGGAATAATTAATAGCTTAGAAAAAGAGGCGTCCTGGGCGCGGGCGACGCAAACGCAGGATAGCGGGATATCAAAGGGTCGCGACAGCGAAAAAGAAAGGACAGAAAAGACAGGGGGGAAAAGAAAGAAAAGAAAGATTGCCAGGTAATAGTAATAACCTCCCCTGCCCTCTCGTTAGGATGCGCGCGTGAGGTTCATATAAGGCAAGTGAACGACTGTCGAGGATCGAGGAATCAAGGGCCCCTGAGCGATGAAGTTATGCGCCGCAGTTGGACTTGGGACGGCCGATCGAGCATCCCCTTTCGGCTGCCGGCCTCAGGCGTCACTCCCCACACCCACAGGTAATAATAATAATAATAATATTGTACATACTATTAAGTTAGTTATCTACTATGTTTCGTCTTCTCTGCATTTGATTCTGAACCCTTGCGTGCGCTATATGTTCGGGATCTAGTATAGTCAAGATGCCATCAGCCGGTCCGTCTCATCTTCTCAGGCTCTTCAGGCCTAGTTCCATCTGATCTTGCGCTTCAACACCCTTAAATATCGTTTCGAACGCCATGTTATTAGCCCTTATCTCTCTATCGCTCATTCAGGATACGATTGTTATGGAGCCCTCCACTTCTACAGAGTCCAGTCCAGACCCACTGTGGGCGTCTGGCCAGGCTTTAAATTCTAGTTAACCGATCTCAGTCTAGGGACTTTGCAAGTATACGCCTCCAACCTATGATAATGATAAAAATAATAATTACAACATAGAGAACAGTTATCAGGTACATCGGAGTCGAACCCAATTCACAAATTTCCAAATTACCTTCACATTTGATTGCACTCGGAGTTGTATCATTTTGTTTAGTTTACGTTGATAAACTAACCACAACAAGCGCCCTGGCTTCAAACAATCAGGCTAGTGTTACGACTCGAGGTAGCCCCTAGATAGTACTCTAAGACTATTGCAGGACCACCATGATAAGCGGTATCAAATACCGTCTATATGCGCTCAGAATAACATTACATTCTCACTAGAGAGCCCGAGAAGCATGTCCTAGTCAAAATGCCGATTCTCTTCTCGAGTACGGAGTAATATATTGCTCAGGTTGTGGTAGGCATTATAATCGATGGTGATGTATTGGTTTTCTATTATTGGGTAGATATTGACCTTCTTTCTCCACCATGCTGGATCTATAATACTGACTGACTCCTCTCTTCAATATCATTTGAATAAACTAACATAACCATCAAACGATCTATTCCATGTTTTCTGGGTAAAATAGCATTTATCTATTGAGTTCAACAAAACAAGACACTGAAACCCATCCGAATAACTGGAACTGCGCTCTAGGAATCGTCGCTCAGAAGACGATTGTATGCCAGATATGTATGTACATAGATCGATCGAAGCCAACGTCAACTGCGCAGGGACCATCCTATGATGGTTGCGGCTGTCAAGTCTCTGATGCGACGATAGTCACACCTGCTATCAGCGGTGCCATGGCACGATTATTAAATTAAAGCATGAAAAATAGATAACGAGTGCCATCGCCAAAGCACCACTGCAGTCCACGAAGGGGTTTGATGAGCATGATTGTTTAACATCCAAATAATCGGAGATGAGGAGACAGCCGTAAGGGCTATGTAGCAACAAGTGATGACTAGAGGAACGGCATTCCAGCGAAGCTGACAGGATATGCTAGCAACTCGAGCGACAGAATCAGTTGCTAGACGCGGGTTAGCTAGATATTCGTTGTCATGTTCGCAGAGGGAAACTTACTAGATTTCGAGAGGCGATATCTGGTCCAGCGTGTATAGCCAATTACCGCCTTGTTCCTCTCGCTCCAACCTGCCCCAAGTTGTTAGTACAAATACTAGCACCTCTAAATTCCGCAAGACGTACCATTCATAAGGCCAGAGAACAAGGTGACCTTGCACCATGTTCAATAACTCTTCTGCCTGCTCTTTGCTCATGATATCATCAGAGGCATGGAACTCCCTCTTTGAGCCAAGCGTGGTGGCTCTCCGTCTTCGCCTTCGGGGCTGGGAAGACGCATTCATGTTGACCGCCTCTGAATAGCCAACGAATTGAGACCCGGAGCGCTGCTTCTCGGCCTCCTCGGACGGTGCAACATTCTCGTTGCTCTGCGTGTTGGGCGTCGTACGTGACGATTGCGTATCCGATACCTTCAAAGCTGCCTTCTCGTCCTGAGATGAATGTGTTTCCTCTTTTGATAGCTCCCTCTGTTGCCGTTCAATTTGTGCTCTGTTTGCTTCCAAAGCCCACTGTCTGAGCTTTTCATCTGTCGAGGATCCACCGGTCTTGACTTCATTGAGTGTAACCGCAGATTTGGGTTCGTCTTCAGAACCACCGACCTCTTGAGCAGCCTGCTGGGCCTCCGCCTTGCCTCCAGCGAGGGCGGAAGAAACTGTTGTGCCTGCTCCCGGCGGGCCGCTCTGGGGTTTAGACTGGGGATGCATCTGCGCGTTGGAACCATAGTGATTTTGCATATCTGAGAAGCGTTCGCCGTATGCAGCGTATTCCTTGTACTCCTTCCAGGACTTCACCTCGCTATCGGGCATGCAGCGGAACACAGCACGGAATAGCTTTGTGTTGTTCTCGGCAACAGTTTGCCATGTGTCGAGATAGAAGGCATCGTTGACAGGGTCTCTCATGCAGTCCTTGTCTACGAAGGGGCGTCTCATCTCAGAAATACCGTTCTGTGACCGCAGCGCAGGAGCAACATCCCTTGATGGCGGAGGGCGCCCGCTAATGTCATTGTCATTTGTGCCTGGGAGAGGTGGGAGTTGAGAGGTGAGCGGCTCGGTGTCCGTTCCATTAGGCACCGGAGGAAGCTGGTTTTCCTTGGGATCAATCACATCACTAGGGCTGGACTTTGATTCGTTCTTCAGAACGCGAGGCTGTTTCAGTGTCCCTTTGCCCTCGGGCGCAACGGGCGCGACAAGAACTTCCTTTTTGTTTTCAATGAATCCAGAATCTCGACCCTCGCCGAAGCCAGTCTGCAGGGCTATGTTCATGACGTCTGCGCCCTCACCGTCCACATCTTTCCTGTGCTCCATATTGCGGGTCACTCTGGAATCGGCCGTCAACTTCTTGTTCGACTTGAGGTTGGGGTTGTTCTCCTGCTCCCAGTCGACGTCGTGGTTGAAACTGTGCATTTCCTCTGAACGAGAAAGGAATTCGTCCTGAATCCGATGCCTACGTTCAACCATCTCACGCTCATCCTGCTGGGCCATCCGTGCGGACTCGTCTTCACATCCCGGGTTCTGGGCGCCTTCGTCCTCCTGCTGTAGTTCCGCCTCTGCTGCAATTTCCTGCTCCAGCAGCTCGTCCACATCAATGCCAAGATGTTCTCTCATCAGGCGCATACGAAGGGTATGAGGGAAGCGTCCGACCATGTACGGCTCTCCATTCATCGTCGACTTTATCATATCGGTGTCACGGACGACAGCAGCAACTTCGGAGTCTCGAGAGCCGAGCATGGATCGTTCATTGATATTAGCAGACCCAATAATTGCTGCACGGTCATCGACAATCATACACTTTGCGTGGATGTAAAGTTGTTCGGTGACAAGTTGCTTCTGAGGTCCAATTTTACCCCACGCTCTGAGACTGAAGAACTGAATATAGTCTTCTGGGTCGATACCCGCAGCCCTGAGTCGCCCGAATATGGAAGATTCGCCGCGGCAGATGCTGCGATACTGGCACATCATGATCAGTCGGACGCTAGTTCCACCCTCGCTGTCGACGGTATTCTGGAAACCAGGCATGAGGGGGATAACAATGACCGCGCGCCAAGTCTCTCCATTCTTAGCTGCTCGAATTATACGTTCGACCAACGCATCACCGATATGATTTTCGATCCTCTTCCCATCAACCTCGGAGGAACTTATAAAGAACTGATTCTCGATGTAAACGAAATGGTCAGACTGTTCGATCAACTTGACGTAGGCGTTCATGATACTGTGTTCCGTGACCTCAGGTGTCCCTGTAGACCACATACTACTAGAACGGAGGATCTGGACCTCGCAGGTTCCGTCGAGACCAAGGGCCTCCATGTCTCCAGGGTTAAAGTCAGGAGGAGGAAGCAAGAAAGGAGTTGGTCGTGTGGGCTTTCTTTGGCGTAAGATATAGTTCCATCGCTGTACGAAGTGCCGCGTCAGGTCCCGAGCCGGCTGGCCAATTACATGCATAGAGATGTCGTGCCAGGGCATTCTGGGTATGACGCTGCGGTCATACATCTCTTCATATGGCTTGTCAAGATCAAAGAAATCTTGCACACGAGGGTTGGAGTAGTCCTTGCCGGGCCAGAGCTGGCAATGATCAGCGTCCTTCGGCATGTCTGCAGACTCAAAACCGGTCGGCTTGTCGTCCGTGACAAGATGCTGGGGCGTGTCCCATCTTCCAAAACAGAGATCAATTCCTCCAACGAAAGCCAAGGTATGGTCAACAATGCAGAGTTTCTCGTGATGTGCCCAGAAGAAAGTATTCTGTCTGAACTGATTGGGGGATCTCTGAACGAAGACGTTCGGATGCAGATCGAGCAGAGAAAACTTCGAATACTCGGAATCAATGGGAATGGCGGAGTTAATGTTCCGATACATGATAACAAACACCTTCACTCCTTCACGGGCCTTGCGTTGTAACAAGCGATCCAATCTCCACTTTTGACTAATAGCTGGTGGTCGCCGCATGTATAATTCAGGACTTAGCCACCAGTCATGGATGTAGATAACATCCTTGGCTTGGTTGATTGCTCGAGATACTAGCCACATATGATCACGCCCATCGACCAGCCACTGCGCAAAACAATTTGGTCGGACGGGAGCGAAGCTATCGAAACGGTTTGTCTTCGACCATGGTGTATTCTGGACCATGAACCGGATCGAATCCTCGAACTGACATAGTTGGCGTTCGTTCCTGGCCAACAGTCTTAATTTACGCTCGGAGTTTTCTATCTTCAATGTGTGGTGCTGTGGGTGAGCAGCTGATTCTTTGGCAGACTTTGCCATTTCCTTCGCTTTCTGTTCTCTCAACCGTACCTTCTGGGCCTGAACCTTGAAGGACGAATCCACCAGAAAGACATCATAGATATGCATATCCTCCGGAGAATCCACGCAGACGACATAGCTATGTCTGACCAAAAACCACTTGGGCGTGTGCCGTTTCTTGACCATCGAAGGGTTCAAGGCTTTCCTGAAATCAAGGCCTTTGGATGACTGCATAATCAGAAACCCTTCCTTGCCATGATAACTGCCTTCAGCAGCCAGACGGACACCGAGAGCTGACAGCTCGAAGAACTTGCACAGGCGATTGCTATCGGGTCGGAAGATCAAGAAGCTGATCATTTTTTGTAGGTAGGCCTCTAGTTTCTTCCTTTGTCTCTCAGGATATGACTCTTTCTTCGTAGTCACGGCTCCTTCAGTTCCAGAAGCGATCTCCCTATCTTGCGTACCAGAACGCCTGCGGAGGCCACCAATGGAGGAGCGCCGTGCCTTCTTCTTTTTCCCTTTCTCATTTCCACTTGTGGCTTCGGCACCAGTCTCATATCCGCCATCGTCCTCCTCATCGTCGCCGTCACTATCTAGACCCCGGACGCCTCGGAGGTAAGGGAATGCGCTCCTTGGGAACCGAGGCAGTTTCTGACTTTGCTCCTGGCCTTTTAGTTGGATATACTTCTGCGTGCCGATGTGTAACTTGTATTTGAGATGAAGGTTCGCGAAATCCCTCAATGTGCGATGGATAATCCATTTCATCCGTGTCATGCCACTGCCGTACTCCAGCTCGACCTTGAAGACCAAGTGACGATCACCGGAATGAGAATCGAAGCGGCTATCTGTCACTTGCACCTTCAACTGTTCTAGCAGGATAGGGATACGCCGACTGCCATGCTCATCCCGTTGGAACATGCTTGCTAGGATCAACGCAGCTGGAACACCGGAAGTTAGTTCGGCCAGTAACTCGGCGGATTTCATGTGGTCAACAGCGTTCTCGGCTTTGCGGCGCTGTCCGATCGCCTTCAGGCCAGCTTTGATCTGCTTCCACTTCTGAGCACTGAGACTCGACCCTCGATCGGGTCGATGGCGTCTCCAAGACGTTGTGGTACCTTCCGCATTCTCTGATGGTCCCGCAAAACCAGTCAGTTTCTTCAGGTGACTTGGCCGCTTGTCCTCCCGGTTATTCTCCTGCGTGTCTTGTCGGTGGCCCAGAGCACGAGCACCGGACAACCATGCATCACGTCGTCTCCTGGTTGCAGCTCTAGTGAGCCTGTCCCGACCTTCGTCTTCGGAGACTCCCTCGCGCTGTTGTGGCGTGAAATCAGTTGTGCTCGCCCGCCGCGGGAAGAAGTTATGCCGGAAGGATTCTGAGGGAGAGATAAACGAATTCGAGGAGTAGAAGGGTGGTCTGGACGCAGCCCGGGGAGTTGTGGGTGCCGTCGGAGGGTTGCTATCTGGTGGTCTTCTCGACTTCTTCTTTTTTCTTCCCAGGCGGGAGCGTTGTTGTTCCCCGGCGCTCTCCTCCGCATCGGCATCAATCTCGCTTCCTTCTTCTTGGAGGGCATTGGCGAAACGGAACTCTCCTCTCTCTGACCCTGGAGTCCCAATGTAATCATTCGAGGCAGGACCGACGGTCGCCCCGCTGGGTGAGCGGGAATGCGTAGGAAACGATGGAGCAGCCGCAAATGCCCGTAGCTTAGTGAAGAGGGATTGCTTCTTCGAGTCACTTTCTTCTCCCCACAGCGAAGATGCCCTTGATCGGGGTTGTTCGTTGGGGGGTTCGTGGTGCCCCTCATTGTCCGACGCGTTTCGGGCAAAGGAGACGCTGCGGCGACCGGGCGATACGGCGTTTTCTGGAATCGATGGCTGTTTCCTATGACTAGGAGCCTGTTTCCTGGTCTCGGACAGCTGACCTGAGGCCTGTCCTGCGGATGCCCTTCCTTCGTCTTGCCTGGGGGATGAGGCCGGGGTCTGATTTGCCATTAGTTCTGCGTTTTCTTTCCCCCCATGATCCTTCACAGACGCCGCCTTTTCGTCCAGTTTGTTGGACGGGGTGACTCCGACGTCAGCCATGTCGGCGGTGTCAACAGGGGAGAGGACCTCCCCAGGGTCCCCTTAATGCTATACCGTAACGTGAGCGGGCCAATGTCGATTGCGTATCATGCCAAATCGAACACTATCACAGGATCCGAACCGCTCACTGGACAGCCATGGTTGACATCAGACACAGGCAAAGGGGATACGACTGGAGAAAAGAAGATAAGCAGTCGGTGATATGAGAGCCCGCAGCGGTAACAACGAACCCCCGGAAAGATGTTTTGCGGTCTCCGGGCACAAGTGGAGCGGCCAGGGCGGTTGAACACACTAAAATCACTTAAAGAACGGGAGACCACTTGGCAGGACCACTGGTGAAGGCATTATTGGCGGGTGATTCTGACAGAGAGCGACAGAGGCAACCAGGCGCCCCAAGCGCGTTGACAAACCACGGGCTGCTGTGGCTCGTGAAGTTCGCTAGTCTAGACTCCAAGGCTGGAATGTCGACGGAGGTGGGCGATCATCAGAGGGAGAGACCAGGGAAAAGGAGAAAGGAACATGGATCTATTATTGAGTTATGTATCCTGTCTCGATCTCGACTCAGGACGATTGTTCACCGTTGACATTGATCCCTTTCAGTTAGTTACCTAGTTATGATGATAATTGATGGATTGATGGATTGATTGTTGATGAATGAATGAATTGATTAAATTAAACAACCCGAGGACAACGGCTTATCTAATCTATCACGTGGCCATAGATCAGGCGGCGGGGAAATAATGGACAGGAATTAATAAATAATAAATAATAATAGAGAGCATTCCTCCATAGGAAGAATATAACTATAACTCTAGATATACTTGATATATCATATATCATCCATACAAAAGGTATCTGTCGTCCAGAGAACTCACTGAGCATCCTGCAATTGGAGTGGATCGAAACCTAAGACACCGTCTCAGCCGGAACTTCAACCTACTCCGTACTCTACTTTACTCTACTCTACTCTTATCTTACTCTAGACAAAGAAGTACAGTATCTACATGGCAAACCCTCTGGACCCAATGGCGAACACACACGCTTCAGAGCCTCCACAGGTCTCCAAGAAGACCTTCCCCATCGCGGGGATCGCCACGACCGTTTTTGGTCTTGACGAGCTCCCCTCGCAGGCTTCGACGGTCGCTTGTCTCTGGCTGCTGCATCCGCGGCTGGCCACCCAGGAACGGATGACAGGTATCGCAGCCACCATCATCACGGACTGGAATAAGAAACTCGCAGAGGGCCAAACCGGCTCGAACCAGGGACTCATTGCTGTCTCGTTTGATCAGAGAAACCATGGGACGAGACTAGTCGAGCCGCTTGCCAATGAGGCCTGGAAGCAAGGCAATCCTCGGCATGCGCAGGATATGTTTTCTATCTTCCGTAAGTGGTCTCCTGGGGCTTGTAGGTCTCATTCCATGTATGGAGTAAATTTTTTTAAGAGTATAGACTATCGTTACTGGTGGCATTTCTCCATAGATTGGAAATTTGCCCATCATTGGTCAATTGGTCCTTTTTCTTTCTTTTTACATTTTTGGTTTACTTACTGGCAAGCAAACCTCATTCAGCGTCTTCCAACTAACCCATTCAAACAGAGGGTACCGCTCGCGACACCTCGCTTCTACTCGACTATCTCCCGTCCTACATCTTCCCCAAATCCGACCGCACCATCACAACCAATCTGGTCCTCGGCGTCTCCCTAGGCGGCCATGCCTCGTGGAGCTGTATCCTCCACGAACCCCGCATCACGGCCGCCGTGGTCATCATAGGCTGTCCTGACTATGTCAACCTGATGGCAGATCGCGCGAGGCTCTCCAAGCTTCCTTCATGGACGAGCACAGATCCACAGGGTTCAAAGTTTTTGGGCTCCGAGGACTTTCCTCGTTCTCTCCTCGACACGGTGCGGAAATTCGACTTGGCTAGTCTTATACTAAACCATATGAAATCAGACGCTAAGGACAAGCCTTTGCATGATGACCCCATTCCGGAGCCTTCTGAAGAAGAGAAGGCGGTCCTACGACCGCTCTTGACCCGCTGTTTGGCTGGGAAGAGGATCCTGAACCTCTCCGGCGGTGCTGATAAGCTCGTGCCGTATAAGCGTGGAGAGGCCGTGCTGACCTGGCTGAAAAAGGCCGTTGGGCCACAAGGCTGGTTCGCTGACGGTGGTGTCCATTTCGAGGATATCATTTTCGAGACGGCAGGTCATGAGGTCACGCCGGGAATGGTCCAGGAGGCTACTAGATTCGTTGCGGAGACTCTGTCGGCTAGCGGTAGCGTTTCGAAGACGGGGTTTGTTCGCGAATCGAAAATCTAGATGACGTGCATAGCGATAGATCTTTAGATCCATTATGAGTTTGAGTGGTTGATATTAAACTCAGCTGATGATTTAGATCCAGCTCTTGATGAACATTTCGACACGCTATTAAACAGGTTATGTCTCTATACATAACGTCTCAAGAACCCGAGTCTCGTCAATAACAAAAAGATATGTACAGCTCATTGACTAGTTCCTCGGTTTGCGAAAGAATTCCGTGAGCGCTTGCACTGTTCGTCCGGCTGAATTGGCAGCATCACCAGTGGCCAGACCCTGCTTGATCCACGCAGGTAATTTGGCCTGTATCCGAGCGCTCTCGTATCTCCTATCAATCATGATGATAGATGCGTAATCATTCCGGTGCCTTATGGCTCTTCCGATGGATTGATTCACCGCCCTCATACACGCATTCTCGTAGAAATCTCGCCCAGCAGCTTTGGCTTTTGCCCTCCTGTTCTCCTCAGAGCCGGTAGTGTGTTGGTAAACCTTCTGCTCCACGTGGCCGAGTTTGGCCTTCCAGACAGCACTGTGGAGATTGGGGAACGGTAGACCGACGACGAGGACTCCTCTTCCCAGTTTATCGGAAAAGTTTATGCCTTCGGACAGTTTACCTCCAATAACGGACAAAAGCAGCGCACCGGAACCGGTTGCTACTGCATTGGAATACTCCTGCAGCAGTTGCTCTGTTGAGTTGGACCTGTCTTGCGACTCGTAGAAGAGAGGCTTCTTGCCCTGGATCAGATCAAGGACGGTCTTCCCCTTTTCTCCCGCAGGTGTTTTCTTCCACTTTGCAACAACTTGATTCAAATAATCGTAGCTGGGGAAGAATGCGACGAGACCGTCTGGTATCACTTGACAAAGTTCAGCTATAGTTCTTCCGAGATCATTTATCTAGAGAGTAAAATAGAAACTCTTGTAAGCATATATGGACAACCCTACTGAGGCATGGCAGAGAAGAAAGAAAGATCATACCATCTTATCAGAGTCTCGGGCTTTGTATGTAAAGTCAAACTCTGTGCCCAGGACGCCCCTGGAGAGGGTCCGAGCTGCTAGATTATCTGCTGGGATGACATGACCATAACTGAATGTGTCAAGGCGCTCTCCCGTCACGTAAGAAAATAGGTAGTCTGCGTAATCCGTCATCTATGCCGTTATATCTTCGTCAATGACTGTCTATCAGAACATGACATGGGACAGACTTACAGGAGACATTGTCCCTCCGGCCAGGATCACTGCCCTGGCATCTTCCACTATCTCACGGAAATGGTTTGTAGGGTCGAGAAGCATATACCTAAGCTGTATATCATCCGGTGTTTTGACGAAAAAGAGCTGGCCTTCGGCGGAGGGATTCATCAACGATAAGAGGAAACTCTGGACTTGGAACAGGACCGGGGTGGCCGCCCTCTCATCGGAACGGCGTGTTTCCGTCTTCTGGAGATGTTCTGTTAATCCGTCGACTTTTCTTGCCAGTTTACTTTCCTGGAGATAGCGCGACAACTTATGCGGGTTGATCTGGTCAACTCCCTTGCCAGCCATGAGATCCGAAGGCAACAGAGAGCTTTCTGTTTCCTGCCTTGTCTTTGCTATCGACTGGAGTTGGTTATGTATCGAATCAATTAATCGGATGAGCTGGGTAATGTAGACGCGATTTTTGCCCTTCAACCGCAGTTTGTACTTCCGGGCATAGGTAGTGAGTTGTGAGAGAGCGGTATGTAACTGCTTGAGCGTAACACTGGCCGAATTGATTTCAGAAATCGCGTCCATAAGATTATGGGCCTCATCGATGATAACAACATGATTTTTCACAGAAAGCCCAAGAGCGTCTCGAGCCGAGCGCTGCAGAAGCAGTGGATATGGGAGCGTAACAATCTACCAGAATTCAGTACAAGCACAAGCACCAGTACCATAAAAATCTACTGACCTCGCTTTGTTTAATGACAGAACGCGATGCATAGTACGGGCATATACCGACTTTCTTCCCCACCTTCCCTATATCTTCGATGTCCTTGACTGTCGCAAGGGCATGATCGCGGAATTCCAGAACTAGCGCTTCATTCTCCTTCGAAGGCAGATATGGACACTTGTGCTCCGCACTCACGCCAGTCTGTTGAAGCTCCAGACAGCGTTCATTTATGGCCGTCGCGTTACCCAGAGCGGAAACCTTGGGATTAATACATAAATTCTTCCTCGACCCGAGAGACAAATGCTTCACAGCTTCGACCAAGTCTTTGCTTCCGCCAGTGCGATCTGCTGAACCCCCAATGGGAGATTCCTCAAGCGGAAGACTTGGCGGGAATGTCACCCGCCGCAACTCGTTGGCAAACTGACTGAGCTGAGAATGGGTTCTCGAGCAGTAAAATATCTTGATGTCCTCATCGTCACCTTCACCAAGTTTATCCTGTGCCAAGCCTGGACTTTTGAATCGTTCTAGTAATGCAAGCGTACTGGCTGAGAGACCAAGGGCATCGTCGGATTTACCACCGAAGGCCTTCTTATTTTCTTCGATGTCGCTGTCATAGTCGTCGAGTTCAAACTGGTCCCCATCATCGTCTGCTTGGGTCGCGGAAGAATCGAGTTTCTGTGCCGTCAGTCGCCCAGTCTGGTGTTTGTTGGGAAGCCTGTGATCTCGTACTTGTTTCTTTCTGGGCCTGCCTGGTCGCTCGAAATCCCTCTTTATTCGTTCTTCTTCCTCTCTGGCCTTTGCGAGACGCGCTTCCAAGTTCTTTCTTTTCTCTGCGAGCTCGCGGGTCTTCTCTTTCTTGGCGAATTCCAGCATCCATTCCGGTTCATCATCACCTATGCTATGTTAGCTGCAGCGATGTAATGAGTACGGATAGGGATATGGACCTAATGAGCTCTCTAGAGTCTCCAAAAATTGCTTGCGCTTGTAATCTCGGAGCCACGTCAAGGAGCCACATATCAAACTCAGAGATTTGCCCTAAATATGAACGTGGTCAGCGAGGGAATCCTAGTCGCTGTCAAGGTGAAGTTAACAAGATTCCCAAGGAGGAAATGATCATCTCAACACATTGCTTAATTTATGCTGAGATATTCAACTCTATCCTCCTCAAAGAAAGTTCTTTCGCGATATGACCTGGGGACGACGTACAGTGCCTATAAAATGCTATAGTCAGATAATGCATAGAATATTCAACCGTAGAGATAGATTCCATGGCTCTTACCAGTAGGAGACTCGAAGATCCCGACTTTTCCCTCTTCGATGCATGTGTATAATGATCTCATAAAGTTCAGCTGGATGTCATACGGCGAATAGGGGTGATGGAAATATTCCGCCTGGAGCTCCATAACCTCTGATCCACTCTGGCGTCCGTCTTCGTAACTATAAGATCTATACCAAGCGTCTCCAAGTCGCCGTTAGATAGTAACGGTTAGGCGGTTACGGGCAATAATTTCTTAGGGCCGCAGAACCCTGACCATTGCAACCGTTGCACCGGTTCAGCTATTATTGTTATTAGTCTGTCCTGTCAGGTGGCACGCGTGTGCAAAACTCTCAGCATCGTCAGACTGTCAGCCAGAGAGGGGTCCAGGGGATCTGGGTGCAAAAATAGATTATTCTGCCAGATTTTGCGCAGCGGTTTCAGATCCTAGGCAGACGGTGCCTCACTAGTTAACTATGTACAACCCAGAAAGGCTGAGGAGGCCAAAGATAGTTCTTATTGAACCTTCCCCCCCGTTTGGTGGCTGAGATCGAGTTTGGTTTTAATTAGCAGTAGTGGAGGCCAAGAGTGCGTGGGTGGTTGATTCCTGGTAAGCGATTTGCTCTCCCTGAGAAGGGGGGGTTTTCTTAGTTTCTCGCGCAAAAGCCTCCGCAACACAGATAGAATAATAATGGGCTTGGGTGACCGTCACCGTGAAATAGTAATATTATTCTATTTCTCTTCCAGTAACTAATAGTTCGGGTCTAACCGTCCTACTACTACTACTACTACTACTAACTACTGATATCCCCTTCTCTAAGTCAACTTAACTAATTAGTTATTATTAACTCCTCCGTACAAACACGATACGCTGCAAAGTCCGGCGGCGCCCCTCCATTCCCCGTGAGGGACCAGCACCTATCACGCTCCCCACAGTTGCTCCACGAGATTCTCGCGTCCATCTTTTTCTTTTCTCGGTTTCAAATAATCCCTTTTAGGACACCCTCTATGAAAGACTAGCAGGCCTTGTCGTTCCTCTCCTGCGAGAGCTTCGTTGCCGCCAAACAGGAATAATACGCATACCCGGACAACGCGCCGCCCCAATAATGAGCCGGCCATATGGTCGAGGCCAGCCACGGCTAGGCGCGACATTCTATCCAGGGGGTCAGGATGATTACTACATGCCGGAGGTCATCTCTCCATCTCCCCAAAGGTTTGAGAGCTGTCTCTCTGTGCGGTTGCTGGGTTGCCGGGGCTCGTCACTGATCGACTCTGCAGGGTCATGCCGGAGGTGCCTGAGAACATGCAGGACAACATTGCCCACCTCGAGCAGGAGGCTCGTGGACAGTACCGAATGACCGGCCAACACGCCGTGCAATACGACCGGTCCCAATATCCAGCCCGAACCTCCTCTGCTGCCCCGCAAGCACCTGCACGAAAGCCAGTATCTGGGAATGGTTATGGCCCGTCGAGCTATCCTGTCGATTCATACGAGCAGAACACAATGGACCAGCCGAACTTCTCCCCTTTCCCGGTGCTGCGAAATCCTCCTCCCAATGTCCCTCCCACCGATGAACAGAGAGAAGCCAATCTGGAGAAGGGCCGCGTAGCGGTCCTGTCTTCAAATGATCCGGAGATGCAACTGGCATGGGCCCAAGATGCCCTTTCCTACGTCGAGGTAGCGATGCAGAATGAGCTTCGTGTATCGCTCATCCAGCCCCCGAGGCCACAGACACCCCAGGTTGAACGCCAGCTGCGGATGGATGCGATCAATATCGTCGGTTTTCTGGCAGAACAGCATCACCCCCGGGCAGAATTTATCAAGGGAATGTGGCTCGAGTTTGGCAAATTCGGTTTCAGAGTGGATAAGAAGGAGGCTTTCCGTTGCTACTCCAGAGCGGCAGAGAAAGGATATGCCAGAGCCGAGTATCGGATGGGAATGCAGTTTGAAGGTTCGAACGAGCCTGCCAAGGCCATCAGGCATTATGAAAAGGGTGTTGCGCTGGGAGATTCCGCTTCCTATTACGTGAGTGGTTTGAAATTCCGACATTTGTTGTGTAATCTAACACGAACGACAGCGTCTCGGTATGATGATTCTCCTTGGCCAGCACGGCCAACGTCAAGATTATCAAACTGGTCTCGATTACATCCGCCTGGCGGCGCAAACTTGTGATGAGAATGCGCCTCAGGGAGCTTATGTGAGTGTGGAGAGCCCCAATCTAAGGGAAATTTTTATGTGCTGACATTATATTATCAAGGTATACGGGATGCTACTTGCACGGGAGTTGCCTCAGGTCCAGATCCCCGATCAGTACCTTGCTTTGGATATAAACGGTGCGCGGATGAACATCGAGAAAGCCGCTTACCACGGATTCGCAAAGGCGCAAGTAAAGATGGGAGCCGCGTATGAACTTTGCCAGCTCGGTTGTGACTTCAATCCTGCTTTATCGTTGCATTATAACGCTCTGGCGGCGCGTCAAGGTGAACCAGAAGCAGAGATGGCAATCAGTAAGTGGTTCCTCTGCGGTCACGAGGGCGTGTTTGAGAAGAACGATGAATTGGCCTTCACCTACGCCCAAAGAGCCGCGCAGAGTGACCTACCGACTGCGCAGTTTGCTCTAGGCTACTTCTACGAGATTGGAATCTTTGTTCCCGTGGATATCAAAGAAGCCAAGAGTTGGTACGCCAAGGCTGCGTCAAGCGGCAATAAGGATGCCTTGACTCGGATCGAGAGTATATCGCGGTCAAAGACGTTGTCTAGGAAAGACCATGAAAAGGTCGCTATCGCCAGGATCAAGTCCCAGTACGGATCTCAGCGACAGAAGCCAGGGCCGGCAAGCTATGGTGCGAGAGCCAACACTATGCCAACTATCCAGGATAACATCGATATGCCAGATCCTTCGAGGATGAGGATATCGGACGACCAACGGCCTATGTCAGCCGCCCCATATCCTGAAGGACGTCCGGGTTACAACATGCCAGATCCACGTCCGAGCTCTGCATTTGGAATCAACCCCAATATCCGACCCGGTTCCTCTGGGACTTATGGCCCTCCGAATCCCTCGGGTCGTGTTGTTTCAGGAGGTTCCGGTAGGGGAGCATACCGCCAGCCGGGCTCCGCTCTGTCTTCTCCAGGACTTCCTCCGCCAGGTGCAGGCGAGTTCAGTGCTCCGGGAACACCGAAACTAGATATCGGTTACAGTGCTCCTCTGGATCCTGCTGGCAGAGGAGACCGCAGACGGCTGCAGAGACCTTCCAACCCGAATATGGCCAGGCCCCAAGGTCCGCAGGATATGAGCTACGCCATTCCCCCGGAGCGCAAATCAGCGAGGACTCCCGTCTCTCATAGCCCCGCGGGCAGTGCGCATGGCCTTCCGTCTAGCCCACGGCCGCCTGGTCCCCAATCTACTCAGTCTTATCCCTCTCGAATAGACTCCAAGCCTCCGTCAAGATCGTCTGCAGCATCCACGCCAGCTCCTCTTGAAGGCCCCCTCAACCCACCTCAGATGCCTGCGGCTCAGCAATCCGCACCTAGCTCCCCTAGTATGCCGCCGAGCAAAGGCCCGAAGACATTCGAGGAGATGGGAGTCCCACAAGGTAAAAATGAGAGAGATTGCGTAAGTGCCCTGCTGGTTTTATCAATTTTGTTTCGAAGTTAGGACTAACCACCGTCTAGATCGTTATGTGATACCCGAACCCTTGGTTTAATTGTTTTTAACCGTTTAGATCTTTTTTTTGCTTTTATCTAAAGTGGTCGATGGTGAATCTATTTTCTTCTTGGTCAAGGGAGGTTCATAATAATGCCAGTTCAACTCTTGTTTGCCGTATATGAGAAGCTTCATCTATCTCATCCCTGTGCCTATCATATGAACTGAGACGTAGTGCCCCTCCAGCTGGCTCTTGAATTTCATATTGGGGAGGAGTCCAAAAAAGTTGTAAACACGTGACTACTTCTGTCCAGCACATTACAGTTAGTTAGCATCTGCTCGAGGGAGAATCCCTCGAGCAAATCCATATCACATCCATCTAGCTCATGATCGATCTTCTTTGTGCACGCGTGCCACGCCTTATTATACTGAAATTCTCAATATATTCTCATCCTAGGCTGAATCTTCCGACCAATTTACGTATCCTCACTATGGCTCCGAAGAAAGGAGGGTCTGAGAAAGTCCCAGGAGAGAATGGTAATTGTTCCAAGTGGCCAGGTGTAGAAGCCTGTATAAGGTTCTTTATTGACTTGGGAAAAATCCAGGTTCCGTGATGATTTTAGATTATCTGCGTTAGTGGCTGGCTATATCTGTACTATTATCTGGATGGCAGCTAGCCGGACTGACGCGTTGGCAAATGTGGTATTATAGGGAAGCAAAAGTAAGTAGTATGCCATTGCTCACTTCTATATCTCATTTGGCTATGATTGTTGTTACTAACGATGTTTCAACTAGTCGCCCGTATTCAGTTCGTTGTGATCCAGCTTAAATGGGGAGGGCTATGTTTAATCTGGTCCGGCGGCTGATAGGGCATCACTGGATGATAGGCCATTGAGATCTCGACTAATCTCCAGAATAAAGTTACGAAAGGTGAGATATATATACTCAGTTGATGAAGATGACCTGTATGGGTGTTGAGTTGGTTGACATTTTGATTGATGCATATAGCAAACGCTGTGAAGATCTTAAAGGACATGCATGAGAAAGGACAGATTGAAGGACGCGCCGCTGGTCTGTAGACCTTGAATTGATATCCCATTCGTATTATTATTGTGGATGATGATATTCATGACTTTTTTGTTTTCTTGAATAGGCAAGCAGCTCGTGTATCACGCACTTCAAGATCCTACGGATGATGTCACGCCCGAGGCATTAGCTAGGATTTCCGATGAGATTGAGCAGTTGGAGAAACAGCTTGCAGATTACAAAAACAGGGAGAAGGGATTGAAATCAGAACTGTCCCGTATGGGCACCACCGTCTCGTTCGCTGACTTGGAACAGAATGTATCCAAGCTCGAAGACGAGACGAGGAGCATTCACCTCCGTCTCAAAGAGTTATGTAACGACGACACTGCAGAGGTGTCTATGGAGGAAAAGGCCCAAACTGAAAAGGAATGGAAGATGTGGCAGCGGCATGCTGCAGTTCGCGAAAGGATCTGCCGTCACCTGTGGGAGAGGTGCACGGAAGTTATGAGTGAAGATACCACCAAAGAGGAGCTATGGGTTAGTAGTACAGTGTAGTTAAGTCTCGCGCGGGCCGCGCTCCAGCTTCGGGTATACTAATATCTGACGTGACGCTAGGAATCTTTGGGACTCGGGGGGTCGATCTGACGGACACTTGTATCGGGAAGAATGCTCTATCCGGGGGGGTTGGCTGATATTTTTTCTGTCTGAACTTTCGAGAAGGTGAATAATTGATATTAATCATGGTTGTCTTGTGGGTTGACTGAAACATTCCTCTGATCAGCAAGCAACTCTTCATGTGCAACCGGATGGGGAATAATAAACGCTATTCTCCGTGATCCACGCGGAGGATTGACATGGGGACTATGTATGAGCCACGGGGCCAGCTGGAGCAGGGGAGACAGAGTGGAATTCGATCACTGGATCTAGGCTTGAGGGGTCTCGAGAACGCAATGTGGTGGATCAGATGGACACTCTTTTTGTTCGTCGAGGCCACACGGGGATAGGATCACAATACAATGGCAGTGAAGTTCATGATCAGGTGCGAGGCGGTCCTCATGGCAGATGCTGCTGCTGCAAGAGAGAGAGAGAGAGAGCTCCAGCCACTCCAGAGCAATCCAATCCAATCCAATCCAATCCAATTCACGCCTGACGATCCCACTCGCCCTTCGCCTTTCTTTCTTATTTCGTAGATCCGCAACGTCCTACAGTATCCGTCCTGTCCGACGGTGCTCGGGCGATCAGCTTTCTCCGACCACCATCTCTCCCACTAGCCCCTTGGGCGGTCATGGGAAGATCTAGTCTTCTTACTTACTCACGTCACTTTCTCTAATGTAGCTGGCTGCGCGTTCCAGTCCGGGGTGTGGACGAGGCAGAGCTAAGCACCATAATAATATGCAACAGACGAGGCGCAATTGACGCAAGAGATCATATCATGGCTTCGTTGCTTCAGGGCGCAAGCTTCACTAAGTAGAATCTGCATACCAGAATCATAACTAACTTAGCTTTCCTGCCGTTACAGCTTCCAGAGCTGGTGACTGGCTGGAAGGATGAGTGGCTAGCTAGCTGTGCTTGAGATTATTAGATCAACTGGAGCTGATCCTGGTCATCATCCCGGGAGTTGTAGAAGGTCCCCTGGTGTGTATTTGAGAGAGTAAAGCAAGCTCTAAGTAAGTACTGCTGGAAGTTGCCTTGCTCTCTGCCCCTCGCCCCGTATCTTTCTGACTCTCTATCTCTGCCACCCTCTTGCCTTCCCTCCCTCTCTCTCTCTCTCTCTCTCTATCTAAAATCTCAGTCTATCATGTCCTCCTCCACGCTGATCGGCCGTCATCGCGATCACGACAGTAATAATCCTCAGCCTCTGTTTCTCACTGCGGCGGGTGCCAGCACTACTACTACTACTACTGCTACTATCTCCGCTGCCACCAAAACGACCGCCTCAGAACCCCCACCAAACCTTCCCCAGTCAAAATCTCCCGGCCGGAACCCCTCCGGAGCCTCTTCTATCTCGACTCCTCTCGACTCTCTGGCGATGCAGCAGCAGCAACAGAATCCGCCGCCCGCAACGCGAACTCCGTCTGGTTCGTTTGCCAACGGCTCTCGTCCGCAGAATCGGCTATCCAGTGACATGAGAAACCGCGGTCCTCTGCCCGTTCCCTCCGGCCCGGGTGCTCATCTCCAAAACGGCCATTCCCGCAATATGTCCGGCTTCGAAATGGCGGCTCGCAGCCCTCCAAACCCAAGCAGTAAGAGTACAGTGTCTATTCTTTATCTCTCAGAGACGCTGCAGGCGTCAGTCTCTGGTGCGGAGCGCTGATTATTTCCCCGTTCGTGGTACAGATACCAAGCATGTTCCATGCAAATTCTTCCGTCAGGGAGCTTGTCAGGCAGGACCTGCTTGTCCCTTTTTACATTCCACCGATGCTGCAGTCGACTCTGCTCCGTGCAAATACTTCACCAAGGTACGCTAGATCGAGTTCTTTCCTTTTTTTCCCGATAGGGTTCCACGAGCACGACAGCGCCGTTGAACGGACGGGCCCCCGGTGGAATCTACAAGACACTGACGGGGACTCCAGGGTAATTGTAAATTCGGAGCAAAGTGTGCGCTGGCGCATATCTTGCCAGATGGACGACGGGTCAACCGCCCCAATATCGGCATGGGCATGGGTGGAGGTCATCTCAACCTGGGTGGCCGAGTCAACCCGCAGGCTTATCACAATCAGGATTCCGCCTTGACGAACTCAGTGTTATCACATCAGCGGATGAAGGGCCATGATTCTCGATACGCATATGGATTCCCTGCACAAGATGAATTCGCTTCTCTTCATGCGTCGCAGCAGCCACAACAAGGTCCCTACGAGGGTTTCCCCACGGTCGACACAGCATTCGTATCAGATGCTGGATCGAAATACGGATCACCTGTCGAGGACATCCGCCACCCCGCTTCTCCGAAACACCACCTCACAGCTCTCGATGCGCCGCTCCCAGCATCCTTTGATAGCCAGGGTATTTCTCATGTGGCTCGCTATGGCCCTGTTGCCGCTTCTATGCCCTCGAAATTCGGCCTTGAGTTGTCGCCGCCTGCGCAGAGAACACCTTCGGATGCACTTCGAAATCTTCGCGATGCCGCCTTCGGTACAGACCTGAGAAAGCAGCCGTCGAACCTAGGCTCCTCTCCTCCAGGATTCCCAGACGATTTTGTTGCCCCCCGGTTCCTGCATTCCCAGAGAATGGCGGGTAGACCTAAGATGCTCTCTGCCAGTGTCCCTCGTCCTATGGTATTGGACGACTGGGATGACAGCAATTTCACGATGGAGGAAGATTATCTGCCGGGCAGCTTGCACGACGACGTCCTTACTCCCCAGGAGAAGATGAGGAGGCTGTCCCGGACGGAGCACGAATTGAGTTCCAGCAACAGAGAATACGGTGGACTCGGCCTGATGGGAACAAGTGCAACAAAAGTCGGCTCGCCGTTGGCCTCCAGCCCTTCCCGATTCGGAGCGTTATTTGCCAAGCAGCGACAGAGGAAGGAAGAAGAAGCCCATGGTTCGTCCTTCTCGCACATCGGTTCTCCGCTGCGGGAGTCATCGTTGGGCTTTGGCTCAAGCCCCGGCTTGCGCCCGATTGGCAGCCGGCCAGTGTCCGGTGATGTCTCTCCATTTGTCTCTGGCTCTGCACAGCAGTCCTCGATGTCGACGCTCTCCCAGCAACTCAATGGCATGTCGCTCCATCCTAGCTCGGCACGCCAGGGCTCTGCTGGGCCCAGCAGCCGCCTTGACCGTACAGTTTCCTCCCCTGTCACCACGAGTCGAATCGATGAAGAACAGAGTGACCTCGTTTTCTCGATGGAAGAGGAAGAGGGCAACAAGCGGAGCAGTGTCGGCTGGGATGCGAACAAGCAGACGTCGAATGGGGAAGAGACAAACGCATCGCGGGATCTGGGTTTCCAACCATGATGTCGCCTAGAATCTCTCTAAACAAAGAACAAGGAGTTGCGGCCATCAGGCCGCTTACCTACTCCTGCGCTCTGACGCATGTATACTTGACGTGGCGCACACAAAGGCGCTCCTGTTCACTACTCGGCATCTTTCACTTAGCATATACAGCATAGAATGGCACAGCGCTCCCACGGTTCTCTTCACATCCGTTGATTCTCACCGTGGGTGGCCTGTGTCTTTTTTGGGTTGTTCTTTGCTTATTCTTTGCTTATTCCATTGGGAACCGGTGTTCCAGAGTATGGCATACTACTTTTTTTTCCCCTCTTCATTTCTTTATTCCAGCACCTGGTTCCCGAGGCTGCTTTTCTCATGTACGGGTAACACTTGCCCCATTTGCATCACAATCCGATGCCATTCTTCCTCTTTCCCTTTCTTCATCCTACTACATCATGCTCTTCCCGAGCCAGGGCCTTGTTCGCTCTCCTGTTTATGAATAAATGACGCTGTTATCAAGCTCCTTTCCTTTCCTTTCCTGGTTCAAAATCAATCTTGCTTGTCCGCTTTTGGGAGGAATTGTCTCTCCTTTACGTTTACAAAAATGCGAGTTTGAAAAAAATCAAGGGAGAATACAAGGCAAAAAATAAAAATTTCTACTACTTTTTTCTATTTCATGCTACTATCTATCTTTCTTCATTTTTTTCTTTTCTTTATGGAAGAAGAAATATCTGAGTCTGAGTCTTATAACATAGCAATCGTGGTGTAACGCACATATTGTTATTATGTTTATTAGCACTATTACATATTGAGATCCCAGAGATATACAATACAAATAAACCGATGAGTTTCTTTTTTATTACGGTGTCTCTATTCTGTAACATTGTAGTTAAATTAACTTAGTTATAGTTAGTTAACATCAGTAACTTAGTTAGTTGATGGCTAGTAACTACCGAAGAAAGAGTATTATATCATATATCACGTTTCAATTGTGGTATCTCTAGCTAAGCTAAACTAGTAAAGAAGAAGAAGAAGAAGAAGAAGAAGAAGAAGAAGAAGACAAAAAAAAAGGTAGAGAACAATTGGAAAACAAGCTGGACCGAATGTGTTATTAATATACACTAGTTACCTGCAGCCACTGCATGTGAAAAAAAAAAAAAAGGAACGAAGAGAAGTGAAGAACACCGCCAAAGATGCGCCTCCGAGCCCAGCCTAGCCTCCCCATTGTACGTATCTCCCTTTTATGTTCAGTTGGACTTCATTCGATCGTTTGGTTGGTAGGAGTTGTGGTGATAGGTAGAAATTCGTAGATATCGATGCTTGCTGCAGCAGGGGGGGGGGGGTAAGGAATCTCAAACTCGAGGGTCAATATCATCCAAATAGAAAGCAGAGCCCTTCAAGCTGATGAAAGAGCGTTTCTGAGCAGATTGCGCTAGGATTTGAGATGTCTGTTCCTGCGATAGTCGGTCCTTGAGGATCTGCTGCTGGCGCTTCTTCAGGTCGGCGAGTTTGGCTTCTTCGGCTTTGTCACCGTAGTGTTCTTTGTAGTATCCATCTGTGCCTGAGGAGATTTGTTCAGAGAGGATACGGATCGCGTCCTCGGTTAGACGTTGGACTTTGCGTGCAAGGGCGGTCTGTTCATCGGCCCGTTTGCGTTTGGCAGCTCGTTCGCGCTCTGCTTGCTCGTTGGCTTCTTTCCGCTTCTTCTCTTCGATCAGCTTCTGGCGCTCCTCCTTGGCGGCTAGGTACTTTAGCGAATGACCCAGTCGTTGTTCGACTGAAGGTACGATGTCCAGTGGGGGAGCGGAGAAGAATAGGACACGGCCCTGGTCGTCGCGGTGGAATTGTTCGCGGATGTCTGCTGGGATCGCGGCGTTCGCAGCATCGCTGAGATGGAATGTTTCGATCGGACGAGGCGCGTTGAAGTTGTAGACGGCTGGTGATCCAGCTGGAAGGCGCTGTCCAGCATAGGCTGGATACGGCGAATGCTGAGCTGCAGCGTATTGATGTGGTACCGCAGGCGCCTGGTAGACGGCCGCGTGAGGAGCCTGTGCCGAAAAGCTGCCCGAACGGTTGGGGAATGCAGGCTGGTAGGAGGGAGTAAGAGGCACTCGAGGCTGATGGTATACCGGCGGAGGCACAGGAGCTGGCGAGTGCTGCACCATAGGCAGCGGCGCTGCTGGCGAGCGAGCTACTGGCGGGGGCACCGTGGCAGCCATGGTGGTATCTCCTTGACTATCGACGCTCTGACGGCCCACGGGGTGACTGATAGAGGCTTGTCGAGATGGAGCGGGAGGCAGAGCAGGTTGAGGAGCAGGCTGCGGTGGAGGAGATGGTGTTGGTTCTGGAGGCGGGGATTCCTAGAAGATGAGGTGGTCAGTATGCTGAAAAGAATCAAACAAAGAAACGGCCTTTGCACATACATTGTCGTCTCTGGGTCGACGATGCACCGCACCGACAATGGGCGGCGCATTCTCAGCGCCCCAGGTCGGCTTGGGGAGATCATCTGTCTCCTTCGCATCTTCCTTCAGCAGGTGCTTGATCGGACTTGGGATCTTCTTGATCTTCCTGGGCATATCGAACAGATCCATCTCATAATCCTTCTCTCGCACCTCATCTGGAAGACAGCTAGCCCAGGTCTTGATTTTGTTCAATTTGTGCTTCTCCTCGTTGTAACGAGCTTCGCAGACATAGACCTCCTTGTCCGGAGGGAAACCTCGAGGACGACCTCGATTGTAACGAGTGAAGAACATCACGAAGCAGCGGTCGACCACCTCGCTGATATGGTGGTCTCGGTACTGACCCGTCTTCACGACCTCGTTGGGGTAGAAGTGCTTCTCGTAGTGGTGCACGGTCTGCTCAGGGCGGTAGTACCAGCACGCGTTCACCCACTTCTGGCCCTCCGCATCCTGCCAGGTCCGATAGATCTGTGCTACGATGGGTTTGGTCACGTCGTTCGGGTTCTGGATGTGCACCCAATCGCCTACTTTCCACAGCTCGCCGTTGTGCAGGATTCCATCCGGAAGAGGCAGACGACCGTCCTCCATCAGGTACTCACTATCGGGCTTCTTCTTCTCCTGTTCTGCCAGCTTGTGAGCCTCGACCTGCAGATCCTCGGCATCTTTGTACAGCTGACTATCGGGCTGGTTGTAGGATTTGGCGTTGTTGAACATGACGTCCATATCCCTCATGAAGTGGTCAACCGAGTTATACTTCTTCCGCTTCGACTTCCTCTTGATCAGATCAATCGCCATCGGCTCTTTGATCTCCATGTAGTAATCGGGATACGCTGCCTTGTCCGGCAGCTTTTCGAAGTGCCGGACCTTCAGCTGACCGCTGTTATCTTTGAACTTCCGGATCCCCTTCAACACAGCTTTGATCCTGGCCTCCATGGGTGTGTCAACGCGCGGTGGTCGTCCTCGCTTCTTACGGAGTTCAGGGTCGTTCTTGTGGGCGTCATCTTTGCCTCCCTCTCGCCTAACACGGCCACCACGCTTTCTCCGGCGGCGACCCTCATCGTCGGAGTCATCTGCGTCTTCGTCGTCTTCTTCGTCGTCCTCTTCTTCTTCCTCTTCGTTCTCGCTGGGCAGAGGATCCGCTTCCGGGATCTCACCCAGATCTGGCAGCTCAACCTCATCAGCGCTAACGAGACCCTGCTCGACCAGTTTCTTGAACTCGGAGACGAAGACATCCTAGATCGCAATCACTGTAAGTTTCTGCCCGTTGCGCCCAGTGGAGCTATGCCAACCACCTACCTTGATCACGAGCGCATCTTCGTAGGCCTGCGATTTGGGACGATTGTAGGTTTGCGCATTGTGTGGAATCTGTGAGCGAACGGTCAGTTGCACATGCGACGCTACAGGACTGCTGGCGGCGACTTACCAAGGCGCAGTCGCGCACGAACTCGCGGAAGTTCTTATACTCGCGCTTGTTGATCTTCTGCTTCAGGATACTCAGAGCCATAGGCTCCTTGATGATATCATAATAATCGGGAACATTGCGCTTATTGACACTGCGCTGGAAGAGTCTCGAGGGATCATGGCCACTGCGCGCGCAACTGTAGTTAGCTAGGTCGCGTCCGACGGATCTACAAAGGGAGCTTGCGGGAGCTCTCTCACTCTTCTTCTCTGTAGTTATAGATGGCCATCACCACATCCATCATCGCCCTCCATTGGTCTTCCGTAACATCTCCGGTGGCCTGTTCATTCTTGACCCCCTCTGCACCCTCCTGGGGCTCCTGAGAGTTGTCACCCTTGCCATCTTGCTCGATGGACTGGACGGGCTCTTCCGACGCGGGCGGGCGCTCCGACCCCGCGGACTCGGTAGGTGTCTTCGCCATGTCACGTCCGCTTCAGCGAGCGCAGCAGGAGCACAAGAGAAAGCTTCGTCCCAGGGCGATCAGCGTGGACAAGCGATGCCTGCATGCACTGGCTGTCCGGGCGGTTTCTGTCGCGTTTTGTCGGCCAGCGTGAGGAATTCCCTGGAGCGTCACGTGCAGACGTCCATGATGAGTCAGCAGAGTCTGTTCTGGGTAAGGCGGTAAGTAATCGGCAATATTTCCAGTATTGTATGGTAACATAACTCATGGTAACACTGCAACAGTGACTTTCATCTGATGATCTGATATAAGATCATATAATATTCTCCAGTGGATATCCAATCGAAGTAGATGATATTCCCCGGGATGTTACTTCATTTGTGTTCTTTATTTTATACATATATGAAGATAGGAGCTCTCACTAAACTTATCTAGAGCAGTTTCCATAGGAACCGTACCTTACCTCCGATGACGTCCGTGATGCCGGGGATGGTTATTACTCTGTTCAGTGAATCGTATACAGAAGCTAAGCTATCGAGAAGCAGAGCAATACAGAGCAAAACACATAGAGGATGCTAGTTGACAGGCAATACCACGGCAGAAATGAACCGATATAGCATCTCGTCCAGTTAGAAGCTGGAATACCTTAATAAGAATGATTTCTAAATTCCCCCGCCTCCGCATCCGAGTCGACGCCAACGCCGTCCGGTGCCACGTTCCACCACGCTCGATGTGCTTCCTGCACGGTTGATCATTCCGGGCTTTGCTCCAGCCCAGTAAACAATCCATTGTCGTGTGCGACTGACACAGTTCTCTTCATATCGTGTCTGCTACGCTATCTCGCTCATCCGACCTACCCCTCTTTTGCGGCGACAATATCAACCTTGAGAACGACCATTTCTCTTACCTGACGGTGTACCACCTAGACACAGCAGTCGCACTCCCTCTGCATAGTATACTCCTGAATCGACGTCTCCTTTGTTGTCACATACCCGGCTGGTGAGATGAGGATCAGAGTGCGCGGGCCATCTGGGCAATCCACCATCACCCTCGACAACAGTGCGACGGTGGATGACCTGCGCGGTCAGATCCAGGAGAAGACTGGGCTGGAGGCCTTTGATCTGAAATATGGGTTTCCTGATATAAAGCGGCTTGCCCTGGATCAGTTCTCGCCCACGCAGCAGCTGTCAGACATCGGCATCAACCTCAATGGAGAACAGCTCATCGCCACCAAGAAGGACGGAGCACCCACGCAACCAGAGGTCAATGCCAGCGCAGCAGCCGCAGCCGCAGATGCGCCGTTGTCGCTATCTCGAAAAGACCATGGCGACGTGGAAAAGGATCCGCCTGAGGTGCCATCCCCAGAGCATTCGGGGACATTCGTACTGCGGATAATGCCAGACGACAACTCGTGTCTCTTCAGAGCGGTTGGAAGCGCTGTAATTGGCGGCATGGATACGATGACGGAGCTCCGGTCGATTGTTGCGCAGGCGATCCAAGAGCAACCCGACATCTACTCCGAAGTTGTCCTTGAGAAGAAGCCCGACGACTATTGCCGGTGGATCCAGACCGAGAATGCCTGGGGCGGAGCGATCGAATTGAGCATCTTGAGCAAACACTTCGACATCGAGATCTGCTCGATCGACGTGCAGACGCTGCGGGTGGATCGGTTCAACGAGGGTCAACCGACGCGCTGTGTGCTGGTATACTCGGGCATCCACTACGACACGATTGCGCTCTCCCCATCCGATCCGCCTTTTACCCACGCGTACGCGCCTCCAGAATTCGATACCAATATCTTCGATGCGGCCGACCCGGTAGTGTTGGAGAAGTGTCTGGAACTGTGCAAGATCCTGCAAAACAAACACTACTACACAGACACGGCGGGGTTCCAGATCCGATGTAATACCTGCGGTGGGATGTTCGTGGGCGAGAAGGGCGCCACACAGCATGCGGCGCAAACTGGACACTACGATTTCGGAGAGGCGAGTTAAATTCAACGGATTGTTGGCGGTATGTATATATTATAACACCACTTTGACGATCCGGTCCCTTCCCTCTTTCCTTACGGCTTGGAGGGGCTCGAGGAGGAGCTCTTATCTCGTATGAACGTCTGTACTCTTTCTCTATATATACATATATAACATCACAATCATGGGAGCAAGAAGCTTTATCGACAGACAACCGGGTCGCTGGTGCGTTGAAACAAGGTACTGGGGCGGGGTCTACCATAATGCATTTCCCGGGAGTCGAGGATTGTTTGATGACGAGCGGGGAGGAGAGTTGATCTCAAGGGCAAAAGCATCGTGTCCGAGAGAGATCTGGGCCCTCGTGGTGGACCGATTGGACGGTATTTCATGTCAGATATTACTGTGGTTAGCCCGTTAGTATAGCTCTCTCTCTCTCTCTCTCGACTTGAGTGCTTTGGAGGTCAATCGAGAGTGCCATGGAGATGAAAACGAATCGACTATATCGATCTTATTTATTATTCTTCTGGACGATGAGCGGCGTAAGGGCGTCGTTGACGTACGCGAGATTCTAGATTGGATCTTGCCCCGAGCGTAGAATAGGGCGAAAACGTCACCGCCAGAGTCGAGTCGAGTCGGCGAACGACAAACCACTCTCCAAAAGCGTCTTCGACTTTCTCAAACAACCATCGACTCTTGTCTGGCGATCAACCCATCTCCCCTCCTCCTGAGTCTGTTCGATCTCATCCCTCCGTTCGTGTCTCTTTCATCGTCCCGCCCGCATCTGACTTCCCCCTCCGCCACTTTCGGGGTTCCGGGGGTGGCTTTATCTATCTCTCTGCCGCCGTCGTTACTGTATGGCGACCACAGCGTCCTTCTGCTAGGGATCATTTCAAATCGCGTCTTTCTGCAAGATCCATCATGTCAGAAGCCAGCTCAGTCACCTCTGCTACGGGCTCCAACGCCCCCGAGAAAGCCGCCGATGACTCCTCGAAGCTCAAGACGTTCCTTTCCATCCTCCGCAAGTATGTCTTCGTCGGTAACAATCTCGCTCGTGAACTCGCAGGACACTTCGCAGAAGAGGAGGACGGATGATACTCTGGTTGGAGACAGACGGTTAATCTCTATCTACACTACAGGTTTATCGGCGTGGCCGACATTGCCTCTGTTCGCTTCTCGCTGCCAGCCCAGCTGATGGAACCGATTCCCAACCTTGGTGAGTGCTAAGACTACGCATGGTGCATACGCAAGAAAGTCATAGTCTAACCTCTCTGTCATCAGAGTATTGGAACTATCTGGATAGGCCGGAGACCTTTGTCAGGTCTGGACTCCTTTGTACTTCCGTGAAACACTAGTCTGACGGCGAACTATAGCATCGGAAAATCGGATGAACCTCTTGGTCGAATGCTTGAAGTATTACGGTTCTGGTTCACCAAGGATCTGGTACGCCCATTTTGCGGACAACGCATCTCTCTGATGTTGAGGAGGAACCGTGCTGAACAACTACTGCAGAAATACATTAAGGGGAAACCATGCAAGCCCTACAATTCCACGCTTGGCGAGTTTTTTAGGGTTGGTCGTACAATTGGCTTGGGCTGCTGTCGGGGATTGTCAGACTTGGCTGATATTTTCCTTGTCGCAGTGTAATTGGGAAACAGAAGATACGGCGGGCCCCGTCATCACCTCCTCCAAGACCGATAAGACTAATGGCGCTACCACCGTCAAGGACGACAAGGGAGAGCGCGTCACAGTGTCCTACTTGACCGAACAGACGTCTCATCATCCCCCGGTGTCTGCCTTCTATGTCGACTGCCCCGAGCGCGGTGTGACCGCCCGCGGTTTTGACCAGATCAGCGCCAAATTCACCGGCACCAGCATCCGTGTTGCACCCGGGCAGCACAACCTGGGCATTTTCGTCAACCTGTCCAAATGGGACGACGAAGAGTATCAGCTGACTCACCCAGCTGCTCATCTCGGCGGCTTGTTGCGCGGTTCGCTGTCGATCAGCGTGTCGGATACCTGCTTTATAACATGCCCTAAGACCCGGATAAAGGCAATCCTGCAGTACCTAGAAGATGGATGGGTGAGCCGGGCTCAGAATAGAGTCGAGGGTATCATATTCCGCTACGACCCGGATAACGACAACAAGACCAGGATCAAGGACGTCCCTGAGGGTGATGTTCTGGCAAGGATCACCGGTTGTTGGCACGACCGGATATACTACACTCTTCCCGGTTCCACCGAACAAATCCTTCTGATAGACGTTTCCCCTCTCTTCCCCGCCTCCAAGATTGTCCCTCCCGAGCCAGAGCAGCTCCCGAACGAGTCACGCAAGCTATGGTCAGGCGTCACTGCCGCCATCCTCGAGAAGCGGTATAGTGAAGCCACCAAGTTTAAACAAGACCTCGAAGAACGCCAGCGTCAGAAAGCCGCCGAGCGCAAAGAAAAGAACGAGGAATGGACTCCACGGTTTTTCACCGGCGCCGTTACTCCTCTGGGAAAGCCAGAATTGACAGAAGAGGGGAAGAAAGCCCTCAAGGGCCTCCATGAACACAATTACAAACTGGAAGAAAGCAAGGTAACAGGCGTATAGACGGCTTGAATCGAATTCATATACGGTAAATCATAAATCGAGTGTACATGCCAGGACTCGACCTCTTTGTTTTTGTTTCCTTTCCCTATCTTCCTCTCTCTCTTCACCACAACAAATACGGCGAAATGTGAATGCAGTTTGATTCCGGGAAAAATCTACATAATTCGGCCCCGTCCTATCCTACCTTCTTCTTGGCAGTTTCTCGTCCCATCCTCTTGTCCTATTTCATATTACTTCTTTTCCCTTTTCCTTAGGTGTGGGCGCTGATACTACAATGTGCTAATTACATTCTTTTTTCTTTTCAACCTATCCTGCGCTGAACTTCCTTTCTATTATCAGAGGGAAGATTCCAGAATCCATGGTCTGTCTATGTCTATCTATCAAGGGGATAAACATGCATATACTTCTAGCCTTATTTCATTCCCCCCACCCCCGGCCAATTCCATCAGGAAATTCGAGCATGATCAATCATTCCTATTGATCTATCTACATATCTGTTATCTCTCACTTTCTCCCTCGTTTTTTTGCACATCCTTTCCAGAAATCGGATCCGATCTGGAATATCCATTATTAACACTTCCAATCTGATAGAATATCGTTATTTGTACTACTTGTGTTTGTCTAGGTAATCGAAATCTGGCGGGCGTTTATCCTGTCTGCACCTTTGGGCTATTCGTTCTTTTTTGGTCTTTGCACTCTGATACATTCTACTGTTTCTCCTTTGGGGTGATCTGCTGATCGGATATGTAAATTTTCTGCGTTAAGAATGTATAAAGTTGGCTCAAATGGTATTCGTTTTTAAACAGTTGAGCTGGCCAAACTTCTGGCACCAGACTTGCTAATCAGAACTGGCAAAATGATCAAACCTGAGATGATTCGTCGTAATTGAAGAAATCCCGGGGACCGTATATACGTGTTCGATGAATTATAACTTCCATAAATTCTCAAGATGAGATCTGCTTGGAATAAAAATGCGGAGTTCTTTCCTCCCCCTAGGATAAGGCAAAATCAAAATAATATATCCTCCCCATGCATATCAGAGTATATTCCCAGTTCATGACACATCCTTGTAACTCCAGACCAAAAAAAGAATCCCCATGCCAGAACCGAAGAACCCACAATGGAAACCAACTCCAACATCGCATTCTTATGCTATCTGGATGATCTACGAGGCCGCCGCGACAACCTTGAATCCGGTAGCCAAGGTCTTTTGGATCTCCTCATTCCTATGTTGAAGCAGTGACAAAGCGTATGCCACGTCGTTCCACTGTCTTTCGGTCTCGCATCTCGGCAGACGCGCCGCAAGTTTCTCTGAAAGTTGTCTGGCATGTTTGTCCTAAAATAGAGTGTCAGTCTGCCAGTTGCGAATGGGGGAGAACATGGTATTCAGCACAACGTACCTTTTCAATGAAACCAGCCAAGAACTTGATGATACGCTTCAGCGCACCCTCGTCAAGGTCCTTTTCAGCGCTCAATAAGCTGAACATATCCACAAAGTGGTTATAGACAGCATTGTCCTTGGTTGCCAGTTCAGTGAAGAACATGCGTGCCAGATCGGCAATCTTCTTGTCCTCATCCTCCAAGCATTTCGCCATCTCGCCCAGCTGTCCCTTGACCTTCACCTGACCGGCTAAGATCAGGAAGGTAAGGGTCATCAGACATGTTCGCTTTACGGAGGAATCTTTATCATTAAGTCTTCGATAAAGGAAGTCCGTGTTCTCGTCGATAAGATGGTTAAAGCATACTGCCATATCTCCCAAAGCAATAACAGCATTGCTACGAACAATAGGGTCTTCAGAGCGTTCCATGATGGTTATGAGAAGAGGAAGGTTCTTCTCGCAGTACTCGCCTGACACACACATCAGCTTAGCCATGCAGAGAGTCGCAGCGGCTTGAAGGTTGCGGTCAGGATAAGCATTGTTGTTTGCGCAGATCTCAGTCACCAGAGGCCCGAAGTTTGTCAGGAGGGAGTTCTCCCCGTAGAGAAGCTCACGTTCGCGAATATGAGCTATCGCTTCGGTGAAGTCATCTTCGGTGGTGCCGCCGATGAGATCAAGTTCGTCATCCTCGGTTACTTCATCCTTCTTCTTCTGGGCTTGATTGGCAGGCTTGTTCTTTTCTTGCTCAGCTTTGCGTCGTTTGAAGTCGAGTTCGCAAAGCTCGAGGTGGACGATCTGCTTTATGGCAACATGACCAACAATGAAGAGCAACTGTGAGAGCATTGAAGACGTATTATATTCCTTGGCCGCTTGATCGTTGCTTGATGCCGTTCCTGGTCGCTGTTCCTCGCCCTCGACAGTCGGATGCTCGGACGCAGCTCGTTGGGGATGAGGCTGGAAAACGAACTTCGTCTTCCGTCTGATGATGTCTGAACAGAGGCTATCTGGATGCTTGGCAAGAGCGTAGATAGCACCGATAGCTTGCTCTGCTACTCCGTACCATTCTTTGTTGTCTGTGACTATATCTGTCATGGCTGCAAGCTTAGTCAAAACCGCGTGGTCATTTGGCAGCTTTGAGACTCCTGTGTCCTTGGACTTCGCTTGTCGACCCGGAATCATCCTTCGCAGTGCAATACATGTGTACTTTGCAAGGACCAAATCCGCTCGTCCAAGGCTTCCCAGACCGATTCGGAGCATCGTTTCGATCTCCTTGACAACGATTTCTGGATCGGCTAGAGCAAGCATACCAAGGACAATAATTGCGCCCCGGCGCTGCGTTCGCGAGATTTCCTTTCTTTGGACACCATAGACCTGCCACAGCTTTGCGATGACCGCGTCAGATATGTGACCGGCTTTCATCATGGTACTGAGCAGCTGCTCAAGCGACGTAAGTTCTGCCGGAGTAGACCCGAACGTCAAACTGATCATGTTTCGGGCAATGTAGTTAGCAGCGTCATTTGTGCTGAACGAATCCGGTGCTTCGAAGAAGAGTCCCTTGTAGCAATCAATCAGATGTGTCTGGACGCCCTTGCCTTCGTCGCTGTTTCCCTTCGTCCAGATAAGTCGAAGCATTCGCCGGATTCCTGTGCGCGCAGTTTCTACTTTGTACGCATCGATGACCACGAAGAAGTCCATCGCTTCAATGACTTCGCTCTTGTTTCGAGCCGATAACAATTGCGAGACATTCCCTGATGCAGAATGAAGGACTTCAATGAATCGAAGAGCTTCAACATAGTACTTCCTAGTTAACTGCAAGCGTGCCAGCAGCTCGGATGTTGCTGCCTCCTCGGCAGCCTTTTTTATGGCAGCGGCCCTTTGCTCGTCGGTCATCCTTGGCGTTTTCGATGGGGAGTCCTCCGGCGAGTCATCTTGGAGGGTCGTGGCATCGTCCAAGAGCTCGCTATCGATATGTGCGGCTGCGGGATCATCCCCAAGACCGGGCGTCTCTGGAGGGGGTTTTAGCGCATCGAGCTCAGCTTCCACGGCCTCTAGTCTAGTAGTCCACTCTTTGTGCGAGAGTTGTCCGCCGTGCATGACACTGAAGGGATGGGTTGAGACCAGTTTGGTCAGCAGCTTGATTGCGTTCCTTCGGACATTGCTGCTCTTGTCTTCCAAGCTACGTGCAGCCAGTTCTGCCGCCTTCTGCCTCCTCTTGGGGAACTTCTGCTCCAAATCACAGAGTCTCATGTAGACCTGGATTGTTCGGGACCGACAGTAAGGGTTGATGTCCAGGAATCTCTCCTCCAGCACGTCGAAGAAGGCATTGATCTGCGTCTTGGAACTCTCGGTCCTTTCTTCCTCCTTAGTAAGGTCCGCGACAAGGTTCCCGCAGACTTCAATAATGGCACATCGTAAAGTGTATGACTAGTATGGGTGTTAATGAAGCTCGACAGTAGAGTTCTGTGTGAGATTTTACCTCGCTATCCAATTGCTTCGCGAGCAATGTCATCTGTTTAATGATCAGTCTGGGAGCAAGCTCCGACAGCCTCACGATGAACGCAGAGACCGACTTGGGTCCTCTGGTATCATTCGAGTTAAACTCCTTGTTTGCCAATTCCCTGTGACTTGTTAGTCTCCATGCTGTAGCGTTCTGGAGAGTAGATCGTACTTTAATATCTCGTCGGACAGCTGAGGATAATCGTATTGCTCCGCCAGAATGTGCAAGAATTCTGCCATCGGTTCCGACAAATGTTCAAAATAAGTCAAGTTCTGGACGATCGATGTCTGGGCACCTATATAGATGGTCAATCAAGGCCACGTCTTCCAGAGCAGGCCGTGGAACCTACCGAACGCGTGACCGTGATGTTTTACCGCGATGCACAATACCTTGAAGGCGTGCATCCGGATGGACATGCTTTTGACTCGCTGCTCGCTCTCCAGTATCAGATAGATCGATCGCGTGAAGAGACTGATGAAAGTGTCGCGGTCGGAAGTAGTTAGGAAAATCTTGCTGAGTTTGAGCTTCATGACTTTACACATGGTCTCCATAGCGATTTGAATCTGAGCTGTCCAGTCCCAGTGGCCATCTTTGTTGCTCTTCGATTTGGGCCCTTTTCGTGAACGCGCAGGAACTGCCTCTGTCGTTTTCTCTGCGGCTTTGACCTCCACTGCCGACAGCGCCCATTGCAGCAGGAAGCCATACATCTCCAGCAACTGCTTGTGGTGCTGTACGGCATCTTGTTCGTCGGCTTCGAGATCACCGTGGATGATATCGGCTTCAACGGCGAGACCGGATACGATGAGGTCGAGAATCTTGCTCAACGTCTTGGACGAGATCGCGGTGACACACCTGGATGTAAAAGACAGTTCAGAATCAGGGTCATTTGGGTTATCACAGCGAGACGGATCATAAGGAAAAGTCGAGGCGCACTTGAGCAGAAGTTGAAGCGAGTCAAAAAAGACTGCCCTCGTCAGGCCCTCCGGGCTCTCTGCGACGGCATCGACGATGGGGTTCAGTACCGCGTCTATCTGCGCGGACGACAAGGACTCTGGGTCATTTTCGCAGTCGAGAAGCTCGGAATCTGCTTCAGTGGTCGGGACGGTAGCCGGATCACTGAGATAGTGCTTTAGGGATTCGTTGAGATCAAAGTTTATCCTGTCCTCCATGGCGGACTGGTGCGAAATGTAAGATGGCCTTTGAAGGCGCCGTATCAATGCGAAAAGAAAAAAGTCACTGTCGTAGAGTCATGAGGCGGATAGTGGCGTGGCGACGATGGATGGCGATGTTGTCGATGAGGATCGGGGATGGTGGTGGACGGAGTCTTTGCGGTGTTGATCTCCGCAACTGAGGGGGAAGGAGCGTTAGTCTAAGGCCGAATTGGTGTGTTTGTATTTTTCCCTTTTGGTATTTTTCAGGCAGCACTGCAGCGTATCTGTTTTGGGAAAGCGCACACTGTGTGTCCCTTCCTGATCGAGCAGAATATCACGCCGCCCAGAGCACGCGCCGCGCCGAGAGCAAACAAGACAACACGCGACGACAAAGCATTTTCGCTCGTTCCGGATAGAGATGAATGCGAGCCAGCGACGATGAAGCACAGTTGTCGTTAATTGATTGATTGATTGATTGATTGATTGAATTGTGGCTCTCGCTCTCGAACTGCCAGTCGTGTACTCGCCATTCTCAGTTCAAGTCTCAGGCATTTGCCATTGCTAATCAATCCAACCGACAAGCTACGCTACCAGTACCATGTCGAACCCACCTCACATAGTCCCACCGGGCCATTTTGATATACACAGAGACGATCCGACCAGACAGAGCCAGGCACGGCGGCTACAGTCGATTGTGGCAGAGGGAATCCCGACGGACAGTGATCACTCGCGCGATGTTGAAGAAACCGAGGCACAGGATGAGGCTTTGGAAGAGGTTGATGAGTCCGTCAAAGAAGACATGCGAAAGTTGGAGGAGACATTCACTGGCATTTCTGAGCGATACCGTCTGATCAACAGAATTGGAGAAGGTGGGAACCTTGATCTTCCCTTTTCAAGCTCGTGCTGATCGTCATTCGTTAGGGACCTTTTCGACAGTGTACAAGGCGGAGGATCTGCTCTACGACCACTATGAGAATGACTGGGACTTGGATCTAGAGAATGATGATGGTAAATGGGCGGCGCCGCCGTCGAAACGACGAAGACTGGGTGACGAACAAAATTCCTCATGGCCGGAGAAGCGCAAGAAGCCCAAATACGTTGCTCTCAAGAAGATCTACGTGACCAGCAGCCCCCTCCGCATCCAAAACGAGTTGGAACTCTTGCACGATCTCCGCGGCTGCAAATCGGTGTGTCCGCTGATTACGGCGTTTCGACACCAAGATCAAGTCGTAGCGGTTCTGCCCTACTTTCCCCATACCGATTTCCGCATTCAATACCGCACCTTCTTGGTGGCCGATATGCGTCACTATTTCCGGTCATTGTTTTCGGCATTGCATGCGGTGCATAAGCATAACATTCTTCATCGAGATATCAAGCCCACGTATGCTGGACACATCTCAGTCTCACTTAGCAGATGCTAATGAATGAATTAGGAATTTCCTCTACAATCCTGAACGTCGACAGGGCGTCCTGGTGGATTTTGGATTGGCTGAGGTATGTCAATGACAATCCGCAGTATACGATGGCACCAAACGACTGACATTACGCTCTTCAGCGCGAGGGATCCGAGTACACCGGCACCTGTCTCTGTGCGAACTCGCCAGCGGTGCGACGTGCCAAGATTCTAGGGAGCTACTACTCGACGCACTGTTCATCTACGATATCGTCGGGGTATCCCAAAAATGATTCACGACCATCGCGGAGAGCGAATCGTGCCGGCACCCGTGGATTCCGTGCCCCAGAGGTCCTGTTCAAGTGCACCTCTCAGACGACGAAAATCGATATGTGGTCTGCAGGGGTCATTCTCCTGACTCTCCTCGGTCGCCGGTTTCCGTTCTTCAATTCAGCCGACGATGTCGACGCCATGATCGAGATGGCAAGTATTTTTGGAAACCGCCGCATGAAGGCGGCGGCTGCCCTGCACGGTCAGGTATTCGAGACGAATATCCCGACGATTGGGGAGAAGGGATATAGCTGGGAGAAGCTAGTGGTCTGGGCCAGTTGCGTGGAGGAACTGACAGAGAGCGAGAAGCAGGCCACACGGCTTCTGGCTGGATTGATGGAGCTCGATCCGCACAAGCGTCTCAGTGCCAAACAGGCCCTGGAGCACGAGTTCTTCACGGATCCAATTGATCACGACATGGAATGGGGCGGTCACCCCGAGAGCGAAGCTGGGGAGTCGGAGGCGGAGAACGAGGAGGACGGGGAGGGAGACAAGGACGAAGTGGCCATGCTGTAATGCTTTTCTGCAGCAGCATCCGACACGGGTGCAGGCGTGTACTATAACGATTTAACGAACTCTAGCTTTGGAGAAATGATATCCTCCGTACGTGAACTAGAATGTCACGTGGGTCTTCGTGACTCTGGCGTCATCCGAGTGTATCCCCGCGATTGCAATGCGATCAGTTGCTTGTCGGGATGTCCGGCGCTTAGAAGAGATAATAGCTCATGCTTCTCCTGTCTCGCATAAAGTCCAGGTCGTCTGGTCTATCCTATAATCGTATCCCGCTGCGCTGTGCTGCTCATCTTGCTCCATTTTCTTCCTCTGTAGCTGCTGATCATCTTATGACAATCAACCCCTCCACGTTTAACCGACCAGCATCTCTACTGTCGAGAACACTTTCCAAAAGCTGTCATCGTCATCAGATCAGGGTTCCAACAAGACTGCTATCAATGGCGTGGTATTGTTCTGGACAAACAAACAGCGAACTGATCGAGAACCTGTTCGAGGCAGGTCTCATCAAGAATGAACGAGTAAAGAATGCCATGCTAGGCGTAAGTATTTCTTTCACCGCTGTCATTATACTTTACATCCTTGGGCCCCAGTTCAGGTTGTAAAGCTATCACAGAACTTCACTTCCCAGTACCAATCAAGCTAATCGTCCAATTTCCAAGGTCGACCGCGCTCATTATGCGCCCTCCGCCCCATACTCCGACTCCCCTCAGCCGATCGGATACAGCGCCACCATCTCCGCTCCCCATATGCATGGCCATGCCTGCGAGTATCTCATCGATTTCCTCCATCCCGGCTCTCGTGTCCTGGACATTGGCTCCGGATCAGGCTACCTCACTCACGTATTCGCAAATCTGATCGATGGCCCATCTACCGGCAAGGACGGCTACGTCGTTGGAATCGATCACATCCAAGAACTCGTCGACCTCGCGAAGAAGAACATGAGCAAATCCCCCGAGGGCCGTAAAATGCTCGAGTCGGGAAAAGTCAAGTTCGTCACCGGAGACGGACGCAAAGGTTGGCCGGAAGACGCGCCTTACGATGCTATCCATGTTGGGGCCGCGGCTGATAAGCTCCATCCTGTTCTCGTGGAGCAGTTGCGTGCTCCGGGACGCCTGTTCATTCCTGTAGAGTCAGAGGAAGGTGGTGGAGCGGCGCTGAGTGCCCTCGGTTTGGGCGGTGGTCAGTATATCTGGGTCGTAGATAAGAAGGCTGATGGCTCCGTACATAAGGAGAAGGTCTTTGCGGTTAGCTATGTGCCACTTACTGATGCGCCTCCAAGATGAATGGGTCATGCTTTTTATTTATCCCGACTCCCATGTTTTCCGGGAGTTGATCGGCGTTTGTGTTTACATAGTCTTCTGCGATGGGTATTGAGTTGAGTCTCTCCTCGCTCGTCGAATGGGTAAAAGCATAATATCCTGAAGCATGAACGTCTTTACAACTCTAAATGCACACGAAAATCTTTGTCCTCACGCTGGAGGTACTATATTCGAGTAGAACTTACTTAGGTAAAATTGCAGGTTTGATAGCATTCTCCATTAGAATACCTATAAAGAAACGTTCTAAATTGATAATATCCTTCAAGTGAGCTTCTTCTCGAGGAAGAAGTTAGGAAGTACACTACGCCTCAGCACTCCTGATCCGATTTCACCTGGAAAATACCAATACCCCAAAAAGATACATCGAACCGAAACAGAAGATTACCAGCAAAAGAATGCTTGTGGGAGCATGGGTGAGAAAATGCACGAAAAAAGGACCAAAGCAGCATGTAAATAACTAGCCGAAGGGAAAACCTCCGGGGAAGTTGAACCCCTGGCCTGAGAACTTGAATTGGGGTCCACCATGCCCTTGCTGAAAGAAGAACTGCTGGCGTCCTCCTCCAGCAAAGGGATTTCCCTGTTGGAAGGGGTTTTGCCTTCCCGATTCGGGGTCGTTAGGATCGTCGCCGTTGTCGAACCGGGCTTTCAGTTCGGGGTTAGACAGCACTTCATACGCTTCGTTGATAGCAGCCATCTTCTTCTCCGCTTCCTCCTTGGTAACACCTTTAGACTTGGCCTTATCAGGGTGATGCTCCTTCGTCAGCTGGCGGTAGGCACGCTTGATAGTTCGCTCATCGGCATCTCGACTGACTCCGAGAACCTTGTAGTAGTCCTTTGACTTCGATCTCTTGAGCAGAGTATGTGCCTTCTGTAACAAGCTTTGTACCTCATTTGAACCTGGATGGTGTTCCTTGGCCTTGTTTAGCGTTCTAATCGCGTCTTCAAAGCTTTCCTCGTCCAGCTCCGTCTCAGCCTTGAACAACAGCCCGTGGAGAGATTGAGGATCAAGACCCAAAGATTCAGAGCAATAGGGCTTCGCTTTCTTGGTCTGGTGCATCTATAATAAAAAGGGTCAGTTAAATGCAAATCGGTATAGTTTGGAAAATCAAACGTTGGATAACATACCGCACGATAAGCTTCACAGGCACTTTGGACGAGCGACATGTAGAGATTGCTGGGAGCCTTGGGATGAATATGGCCAGCTTCCCTCGCTTCCTTGACATCCTCCTTTACGTCCTCAAGGAGACCGCTTTCACCACTAGTTCCGACGATCAGGTTCGCAGCATTGTTGAACTTCCGCTTCTCCATCGCATCCTGCAGCTTGTCTAGTCGTTTCACCAACTGCTTCTCTCTGCGGAATAGTCGCGAACATGGTTTCGAATCTGGATCAGAATGCAAACATTTCCGCACTTGGGAAACGCCAGGGTCTGTTTCTCCGAGAGCGTAGAATAACGTCTTCGAGATCTGGAGATGCGGTTCCACCGAGCCGGGAGCGAGCTGCAGATAATGACCAAGATCACTGAGAGCCTCTCGAATCTCCCCTCTTTCAAAGCGGCAGTGCGCTCGGGTCTGACGAAGACTGGGAGCCAAGCTCGCCTTCATGATAGCAACATTGGCCTGCTCCACACAGCTGTCCCAGTTGCTCTTTCTCTCAGCCTCCTCTGCTAGCAGTGTTGCCGCCTGTGCCTCCTCCAGTTCCTCATATTCCGGTGACTTTTTCTTTCCAGCTGTCTCCAGATCACGCTTGGCTCCAGTCCAGTCTGCTGTCTTGGTCTTGACACGAGCCCTCTGGATAAGGGCGCCCTCAAAGTCCGGCTTTAGTTTCAGTACACGATCGAAATCCTCCACAGCTTGTGAATTTCTTCCCAGGGAGAGATAGGTGGCTCCGCGCTGGAAAAGCGCCAAGTAGTTCGTTGGATCGCGCGCCACTGCAGCATCGAAATAAGTCAGTGCCTCCCGGGGAGAGCCATTACTGAGATGAGCCTTGGCCGAGGAGATTAGAGACGACAGCGGCGTGTCTGATGCGATAGGCTCTTGAAGGGCACTGGAAGTCGAAAGACAGGCCAGGAGGACCGTCAGAGAATACAGAGAGAGTATCATGGCGAGAGCTCGGTCGTAACGAATGAACTATAGCGACAGTGTAGGTATTAAGATTAGAAGGCGACTGACGAAGACCCAGCAGCCTGGGTGTCCGCGAAAACCGTCGACCAGTACTGAGACGATGTGTGCGAGAGTTCAAGAAGATGGCGCAGTTACATTACTGTTCTTGTTCAGAGCATGAAGCAGGAATAGAGTAAAGTAGACAAGATGAGCTCAAACGTCCCTCCGTGCTATGGCTCCTGCAAGTCTGGCCTTTACCGTTTTATTCCGTACCGTTACGCTCTGTCTTTGAGTGATTGGTTACCAAAATGCGTAATATTACGTATTTTACAATACTGGAACATCATCGATGTAAGCAGAACATATCTGCACGTGATGCGGTGTCGGATATCTCAAGATCTGAAAGAAATAGAACGCTTTGTGAATAGATACTGGCAGTGGGGTCCAAGAGCATTGGCAGCCCATATTCTCTCTGGAATATGTTCAATATCCCCTGGGTATGCTCAAGATGTCTCTCTCGATCTTTGAGAGCCTCATGGAGACAGGGCTTGCCCGTGCCCGTGCAGCGACGGAGTCAAACCACAGGTACGTTATCTCCTGCTTATTCGACCTCACTTCCAGCAAAAGCAGTTATTTACAGATAACATAGCTTCAAACGGACTCCTATCGTCGGCTCTTCTTAATCGTGCGCGATCGATCGCAGCCGAGCATGCATCTCTTTCTACCCGTCTCGCCGAGTCCTTCGATGCGAAAGTTGCGAAGCGCGTTGGCGAACTTACTCCGATCGTCAATGCTTTGGCAGAATGGGATAAAGCAAATGAGGTACGCCCAATGACACACGATTTCATCTCCTCTCAGACTCGCATTTACTGACTGATCGACTACCGCAGTCCATATCAGAGCTCAATTCACTTCTAAAAGACCCCCAGACAGACGAGGAATTACGATCCCTAGCCATTGAGGATCTCGAAAGTAGCAATACCAACCTACCCGCGATTTCGGATCAGTTAAAGAAATCACTTATTCCCCGTCACCCCTTTGCGGATCTTCCTTGTTTGATCGAAATCCGACCCGGTGCAGGCGGCGACGAGGCAGGCCTCTTCGCGTACGAACTGCTAAGAATGTACATCGCGTTCTGTTCTCGAAAGGGATTTCGCACGGGTATAATCAAGCTAGATGCGGAAGACGGAACTGCGGATGATCGTCTCACGGAGGCTGTCATGGAGGTCGAGACTGATGGCAGTTATAATGTTCTTAGGACGGAGGCCGGCGTGCATAGAGTCCAGAGGGTTCCAGCTACGGAGGCCAAGGGACGTATACATACAAGTGCTGTCAGCGTGATGGTCCTTCCTAGTTTCCCGGAGCCAGGGTTAGGTGAGGACAGTCCGCTGAATTTCGAGGATCCGAACAGCGACTACTATATCGATCCCCAGGATGTTCGCTCAGAGAAAATGAGAGCGAGCGGCGCCGGTGGACAGCACGTCAACAAGACTGAGTCGGCTATCCGCCTGACACATATCCCCACTGGAATTGTCGTCTCCATGCAAGAGTCACGGTCCCAGCACGCAAATCGCAAAAGAGCATGGCAAATTTTGCGAGCCAAGCTGGCAGACGCGAGACGAGAAGCTCGCGAAGAGGAGCTAGTGAAACTTCGACGAGGCGCAATGGGGGGTGTTGCGAAAATGGGTCGTGGTGACAAGATCCGCACGTATAACTACAATCAGAGTCGATGTACCGATCATCGTAGTGGTATCACAATCCACAACCTAGGGAATGTTCTCGATGGCGGTGATGGTCTCGAAGCGGTCATGGAGAGCGTACAAGGGTGGCTCGCTGACCGTGAGGTTGAGACAATGATTGCCGAAGATGAACTGAAGGAGGCAAAGGGGAAGGGCCAGAAGAAGGCATAGAAGGACAGCCCACTCTGGAAACAGCCGTTCCATGTTCGAGGGTCCTCTGCATGGCCCGCAATGTACCACGGGCAATAAACTTGCGGATATAATTCGAGTCGGAACACTCAGTATTCCCTTTACTGAACTGATGCATGTTGTATAGTATGTCATTGATGACAATAGCTCTCATGTCTAAGCTGGGGCACTTTAGATACCAGTAGTGTACAATACAGGCCGCAACCGTCACATCATATATATTTTCCTTGCGGGTCGAACTTATCCATTGCCTCGATCGTCTTCTCGTACCTGTTTAAAAGTCAGCTAGTCTTTTTTCGATATGATATTATGCAATCATTATACGCACATCGTAAACACAATTCCTCCACTCATGATCAGTCTTGCCAGACGTGGGACAGCGCCAGACCACAAGGTCAGAGGGCCTTCATCTTTGAAGATCTTCGCAGCACACACAAAGCTGTTCTTGTAATTCTTGCTCGCTTCCAATGATTGCATTCTGCTCGAGTTAGCATCTATTCCAGCATTATCTCTATAAACCAGCTTACCTAGTCTTCACCGTGTCGAGAGGTTGCGTAACGTAGCTAGAATAGTATGGGAAAGATCAGCCACACCGAATCATCCAAGATATCGTGCGCATGAGTTTCGATGTAGACATACACAGTGATTAAACCCGCCATGCCTCCAATAGCGAAAGTGCTCATTGTGCCCAGCTTCTCTCCCGGAGCGACGTAGCCTTGAACAAACTGCTTCAACGTCGTGTAGCTGCCAAATCTCGTCGCCGAGTTGGCTGCTTGTCTGGCCGTTGTCGGAACAAAGCCTTGGAAAAAGCCTCGAATACCTCTTTCCTGGAAGATGACTTTACTGCCGTGCAGGAATCCGTTCAAACGAGGTTTGGCAGACTTGCGATCATCGATCCTGGATGTAACAGAACGCCCCAGTCAGCATTCTTGTCTAAACGAAGACCAAATATAACGAGAAAAGCAGGTGTACTAACAGCTGCGTCTTAATACTCTCGAACGGAGTGACCGCCAAAAGAGATTCAGTGAAACCGGCACCAAATCCAGCAATGACTGTCCGGGGGCCAGAAATGTGCCCATTTTCATCCTGGAGCAACGATTTGTAGGTATCGAAGGCAACGAAGCCTGTCAAAGTCCGCAAACATCAGCGGGTATTCGGAAGACAGTATACGTCCATACATGGAGCTTTGAACGATATGACAGCGGCGAAGCGGGGCAGACAACTCACGGATTCCTGCTTTAAGGGAATTTCCCACGATCAGAGTCGTGCATCCGGCATACCACTGTTTACCGAAAGGTGGCCATGGGAGTTTCTTCCCGTCCGGTAACCTTCGGTTGAGCTGTGACCGGGTCTTTGCGACTGAGGTTTTGGCTGGTCAGTGGTCGCGGGATAGAACTGGAGAGGAGGAATTCTTGTCCGTACACTCTGCTGGGTATGTGATCGCTGTTGTTGGTTTTGGTCAGCCGCTGGTCATTGTTGCATCTCGTCCAGTTTCTATTGGGCCTGGATGATCATACCAATCTCGATAGCTCCGGCAGTAGAGCCAGCGATGATGGACCGCAAGCTGCTAGGCTGCGAAGACAATTAGAAGGGCACCAATCGATGTGTTCGAGATTGAAGCAAACCTTGGGTTTTGTCTCCCTTTTCTCAGCAGTGGCCATTGCTGTAGACGCCCTCCCTGCACTCGATGAGCGGGACGATGTTGTCTATGACAGAAGCTCGACAGTGGAAACGCCGATTGTCGGCAACAATTTATTACGGCAGTCGGCAACCCCTGCTTGTGCATCCAAACCCGCCGACAATTGAAATTCACAGGTTGTCAACATGTAGAATCCTACAAATCCTTATGCTAGGGAAATCAACATTCTTCTTCTTTTCCTCAAAGCCGTTCAATCTATATGATATTGTAACCGGCTCCTGCAGTGCTGATTGCTTAATATTTGGGACGGACGGAGATAGAGTGAGGCCATTTGCAACCCACATACCTACTTAACTGAAGATAACTACTAGTATATCTTGTAGTGGAATATAGTCCTGGGAGTTGGGAGTAGTGGCAGGGCACTGTATCTTCCCGACAGACAGCAATAACTGACCTGAGGACGTCCCTTTACATATTTACGATGAAAGCTAAGTTATCCGAAGTTCTTGTCCATATCTATTAGAAGTGAGTAAGCCAGCTGAGTTGATCCTCATCGATTATGCACCCTCCCTGTTCACGGGAGCTGGCTCTGGTAAACGAACATAACCTTCGGGCGGTTCCTTCATGGCTTGAAACACTTCCACCGGAACAGAATGGTCATTGACATAGTCAAGAAGTGCCTCGAAGTCCCGACAAACATGCCTGTTTTTAAAGTCTGGAAATGGCTGATTCCAGCCCTCGACCCAGTTGAACAAGATGACATCGACGCTACTTGAACACTTAATCGACTGTGCAAGCAAGTCTATGCAATGTCCGATATGAGCCTGGTGCTGAGCATCGGGATTGTTTCCGAACTTCGGGAAGTAATAATGTTCGTAGGAGATCTCCTTGCGAAGCATATCGAGACAATGGAGAAGGTGGAACACTTCAGTTTGCGCCAGGTACGCATCATCGCCGTATCCGTGTTCTGGTGGAATTTTCACAGCCACAGAGGGGTCTTTTCCCAGTTTGCGGATCTCAGTTGATGAGATTATGAGTGGGAAAACACCAGTTCCTATCCGAAACCATTCTGCGTCTGCCTCAGGTCCCTTGGGAACTCGCAGGATCGAGGGTGGGTATGTATCATATAGTGACCCGTTGGTCGTTTGGACTATGCGAGGGATCTCGAAACGGTCAAAAACGGGGGCTGAATCGTCGTTAGATGATTTTCTATTATTGAAGAATATATATAGATATATAATATTCAGTGGTCTTACCATAATAAGAGACGGCTTTCCATTTCTCTTGGTCACTCAGGTGTCGGAGGCAAGCACGGCTAGCAAACGGCGAGAAAATGAAGAAAATCGTTACCAGCCAGACCGAGATATTCAAGATAGTGAGCCAGAGTCCCCAGCTGCGCCTCTGCCATTGCACACAGCCTGTAGGGCCATGCTCTGTGTCGTGTACCGAATTGCCGGGGACAGTCAGTAAAGGTTGCTCTGGCTCCTTCTCATCCATACTCTCACGCCAATTACCAGATCTGTCATCCGGGGCCTGAGGATATTGAGATTCGCCCAGGGCCATCATCTTAAGCTCAGACGATTCACTTGAATAATCTGCAAAGAATAGTCTGGCAGAGAGCTTTTTTTATTCAAGGTTTCGCGGTTAGCAGGAAATGCCACGCTCCCAACGTCACCGGCTCAGGTAACGTATAATTAGTATTCAGTATTCACAGCATAGCTAGATTGAATTGATACCGATTGAGGGGTTGCTCGCCGAAAGCAAGGGGTATGAGAAAAGGCGGGGTGACAGACTTAGAAGAGAGGCCGCTTCCTGTCCCTATGTATATCAGAGCGACTGGTATCAGCTGAAGGGTTTCCCAACGTGCAGCCGGCTGTGGCTTGCTGTGAGGACCACTGAAGTAGATGAATAGATCTTTAGATAGTTCACAGATCGCCGCAGATCGTGCGCGGATGCATCATTGGCTTAAACTCTATGTATGTAGGCCAGATGGGGCGTAAACAAAAGCTGCTGGTCTTTCCACAGAACCTCAAATGGAGAACATCGTGGTTCTTGAATCCCAAACCCTCATAATTTAAGGCCAGTTCAAGTTTGCTTCCAGCCTCATATTTACCTTTATGGATCATTTCCTCACTCAATATCAAGCATCCGAGCATGGGCATGATACATATCAGTGTAGCTGATACAGCACAGTACTGTCTGGACATGAACACATTGGTAAATCGAGTGCTTCAACAGCAGCAGATCCACATCCTAGAGCATTCGATCTTCAATGAATATGCAGGTTTTGCACGAAATCCAAGTCTTGCCTGTTTCCCTTACAGATGGCGACACCGAGCGTGTTCCATAATTGCTATCATTGGACAGTTGTGAATGGAATCCAAGTTTGTACTACATATGCAGGATATGTAGGCACATTGACCAGAACTGGCTACGCCTCGTCGTTCACCGAGTTTTCTCAGCTAGCCGTCGCTGTGGGCATTTCCTAGTGTACCACCAATGGAGCCGTATGCTGACTTGGTCGATATGAAGAACTGAAAGAGTTGCATCTATACCTGTAGAACTATAAAATCAGCTACAGATCCTTGAACAGTAACACCATCACATTGTTCTTTTTGTCCATTCCGTACCTAAGCCCAGAACTACTTGACGCCGTATCTTTCAACATTTGAAAGTATTTAGTGCAAAATGCAGCTCAAATTTGTACTTTCCCTGCTGGCCGTTGGTCTTCCATTGATCTCGGCGGCTCCTATCGGTATGGCCAGCTCTGCTTCCAAGGACGTATTTGCTATGCCTGATACTGACAAAATAATATCGAATTTGTAGCTAGCGCAGACGACGAAGCCATCCCGTTCTACCCAAAGCGCAGCGCAGACGATGAAGCTATTCCATTCTATCCTAAGCGCAGTGCAGATGACGAGGCCATTCCGTTCTACCCAAAGCGCAGCGCTGACGACGAAGCTATTCCGTTCTACCCAAAGCGCAGTGCGGACGACGAAGCCATTCCGTTCTATCCTAAGCGCAGCGCAGACGATGAAGCTATTCCATTCTACCCAAAGCGCAGTGCGGACGACGAGGCCATTCCATTCTACCCAAAGCGCAGTGCTGACGATGAGGCCATTCCGTTCTATCCTAAGCGCAGCGCAGACGACGAAGCCATTCCGTTCTACCCAAAGCGCAGCGCTGACGACGAGGCCATTCCGTTCTACCCCTAAACGGATGGAGAGACAGATTGGCTCGAGCTGCATTTCTTCAAGGAATGCCTGTGCCGATGTGACTGATCGTGAAATTGGTGCTCTTGCTTTCTCCGCTTCCTAGTCTTATCTCTGCTTGACTTTAGCATATGGAGCTCTCAGCTTGTATGCCCTTCCTAGATGTGGGGTTCTCCATGGGAAAGCAGAGATAATCGAGTTGATCTTTTCAGATTATGACGAAGTATGCACATAGTTAGTCTACGATGACATACAAGAATAGGAAAACTCTGTTATAGTTACAATTACGGATCACGTACTAGCCATGAACGTCTCATTTTGTACTGAAATATGCGTAGTTTCAATTTGTATAACCCCGCACATACGAAAGGCCACTGAAACTTGGAGCTGTTGACTGAAGAAGCTGACCAACAATATTGCTGGTAACTTTCTCGGTGGCACCAGCTCATCGAGGGATTTTTAGCGTGAAGTAGGATAGAAATGATTTGCAGTGGGCACGCATTTACTGTCGCTAAATGATTTGAAGCTATACGTAATTTAGTTTAGTTCTTAGTATGCCAGATCCAGACATGACCAAACAGGAGGATTCTCCCCTCTGCTCGAATAGCCTCGCGCCAATAGTATATAACCGCTTTCCCCTCAATCCGGCCTGCACTCTATTAGGCATCGTAGTAGAGAGCTTATATATTGGGATCTGGGCGGCAATATTTCGGGGTTGGTTATTATAGTGTTTACATCTACGTAGTACGTACAGTAGTAGAGCCCTTGCCGACATGTATTATTAGTTGCATTAGCGTGAACAGCATTAGAGTAGGTATTTAACTAGCGTATTCTGCACGATATAGCTCTTCTGTATAGGAGCCACAACTCTCCACTCTCAGCCAGCCATGTTTGTGGTCACTACGTAGTACAATGAACTTTTGGGCTTTTGCATTATGGCTGCATGGCGTGCGGGATGCAGCATGAACCTGTTCATGCAAGGTATCATCATTATATCGGTGAAAAGATCAGCATGCGCATCTTGGTGAGTTTATTTTACATCAACCAGGTGAAACGAAGGGGAGGTGAGGCCTCAGCTAGCCAAAGGGCAAATCTATGCTGTGATAAATTTCTGCCGTAGGGTCGTTGTAGTAGCACCGAGTACTCCCATCTCAACTGTGATACACCAACCATCAAATAATAAGCAGCTATGTTGACAAAATGGCTCTTCCAAAAACAAGACACCATGAAGTATGAGCATCTTCACCAAAGGGACAGCATTGAGCTGAGCCTAGAATCTCACAAGACCGACTGCAATACTGAAATGGGGCACAATCAATTCAATCCTCCCAGAAAGTCCTTTGCTTCGCGGATCAAAATACTCCTGCTCGTTTCCCTCGCGACCTTCGGCTTCGTTGACCTGGGATTCAGAACATATACCTTGATCCAATCGCGAAGGACAGTCTCCTGCAATTGCGGCGACACCATAGTCGAGGCCCTCTCGAACAACTGCAAATACGACTCTATCGCTGCGGCGTGGCTACCTCCCGCTTGTCGAAACGACGATCTCATCGCCAAGTTCGAGAAATCAGGCCCAAATCCTGATGGAAGCTGGCCATATTACGCAGACAAGAATAAAACCAAGACGATGACTCTTCACGAAGTCGCCATGCTTCCCGAGACGGGAGGGCATTTCTTCACCACGCATCATTGGCATCTGGTTCATTGTGCTTATTATTGGAAAAAGATGTTTCTTGCTCCAGAAAAGGGGACGACCATTGAACATCGGTATAATAATCTGGCACATTTGGATCACTGCGAGATGATGTTTTTGAAGAGGGATCCGTTGGATAAGATCGTAACTGAGGCTGGGGTAGCGCTCCATTCTGATCGCACTGTGATTGCCAAAGCTCATGGGCACGATCATCATGATCATGGAACTATGATGGGGAAGGAGACTTACTAGGGGGGTTCCATTGAATCCTGCAGGAGTTGCTCAGTCTCGAATGATTCGAATGTCGACCGTAGAAGTTGTTCTCTTTTCCATTTCTGTCTTGAACCAGCTATTTTAGACATCTACAATCGACTCAGATATAGAATTAGCTTGATCGGCAGCTTATACGAAAGTATTACAGTAGGCTCTACCAATGGGCAGCAGCTGATCTACAGTTTTGATATAGCTCAGACGATATTTCCCAACCGCGTTGGAAAGGTATTTTTGGTCACATTTTTCATTCCTGCTTTCTCATACTAATTACTTGGACGCTGGCGGGTTTTTGGGAAGAAGAAAAGAGAAAAGAAAGCGATACAATGATCATATTGTCCGGGATGTTGCTGAAGTCCAGATTGAACTCCATATGGTCGTTCGAACACGATTTGCCATCCATCCTCCGCCACAAACAGATCTGCGCCAAATTTACGGAACGCTTGCGAGCAGATCTTTAATGCCTGCCATGGTTATACCCGACAGTCTGTTGGGGAAGTTGTTCAGGAGGGGCCAAGTAACTCCAACTCGCTCTAAGTCTGGACCTACCTTAGGTAGCGTACTACATGTCACAAAACCAGCACCGAGACTCTTCCAGGTGATGGTATGTTACTCGCACTAAAGTGCAGTGTGATGCCATTTTGCTCCACGTGGTGGCCCTGCAAGCTGCAATGCTTCGTATACCCTCAGCTAGCCACTCAATCCTTTGCACCACCTTCTACCACTCAAACGATAGCCCACGCTTTGACTTGATTGATATCTTCTCCAGTTTCGAACATCTGAGTTCCGCATACGAGCCGAACCTTTTAATGACCTCTTTCTTTAAGTCTTCAAGATACACCGAATCAGGGTGGATAAACGTGGCAAAATAGCGGTGAAGCTTGAAGCGAAAAATCGACGAGGAGTATCTTTAATCTACGTAGAGGCTGATGACGTCTTGCTATGGACATTCCGATTCCAGAAACCCGAATTTTGAACCCTTCTGATTGCAGGAGTAAACACCTGCTCGGTCGATCGTTTATTGTAAACCGAGCGAAGTCAGCAAAGCCGTGTGAATCATATATGTTCTAATGTGCAGTAGCTTCGCCCCAAGTACAAGCATCCTATATTTTCACGTCTTGAGACGTTTCGCCAGTACCCTAATTATTATAGCTAGAGCAATACCTAACAAGGACGCAGCGGCCAAGAAATGTGATCCCTTTGGCAGCGGAATATCGCCATCAAGAGTGGCATAAAATATAGTGGTCCAAATGGGACTTCCTACAAGGCCTGCCACTTCCTGCGCCAGACCTATCCCCATATACAGGCTCTGGATCGATCTCTCGTCCTCAAGCCCGCAGGTTGCCAACGAACGAAGGGCGTCTGGAAGTCCATATCCAAGGGCATATATCATCAATGACGTGAAGCAGGTCCATTGCGTCGGTGCAAGTCCAATACCAACCATCCCGATGATCTTTGCAACTGTACTCCATGACGCGGTCCACAGGTCTACCCGCTGTTTGGTAGAATGCAGTATTCTAACCAGCCAGTTGGACAGGACTGGCAGGGCAAAGAGGGCTGTGGTGCTCACTACCAAGTGGAAAGATGTAACAGCATTGACGTCCGCGAGACTCCAATGAGAGAGTGCTGATGCAAACTGAGTGAACGTGACCAGCACCGCCATACTGATATCGATTATGAGAAAAATAAGCATCATCACTCTTGCCAATGGGTCTTTTAGTGCTTCGGCGACTGGGGACAATGACAGTGGAAGGTCCACCGTCATAGCCCGAAATATGGTACTCCATAGCCCCGGAGACTTCTCGTCGTGTTCGTGTTCATCATTGTCCGGTTCATCAGGTGTTCCACTCACATCGTCCATAGGGAGTTCATCGTATTTTGGTTTCTCCCTCGCCTGTCTACGGAGGCAGAGGACACACGGAATGGTAAGGCTGCAGAGAAATGTGCCAATCATCAGGGGCAACCATGCGCTAGCTTTCATTGTTTGTGAACCGAAGAAAGATGCGAAGAACGACGTCCCCAGAAGTAGCACGCTGACAAAATACAACCGGTTGCTCCTATATCCCTTATATTAGTCATATATCAGATGACGAACAGAGCCAAAGATGTATACAGTAAGTCTTGATCGGTGCTTTGCGCAATATAAGTGTAGAGCAGGATTTTTTGCAGCGTCGTGCCTCCTCCGATCAGGTCGAACAGGTTGGTAAACAGAATCATCCAAATGTTGAAGACCCCGTAGAAGTAGCCTCAGTTAGGATTAGTCAATTGATCTCTTGTAGTTGATTGAGATTGACATACAGATTAAGTCAAAACAGCAGATTCCGAGCGTAAAACTACAGACACTCACAAGGAGGACTGTCCTACTACCAAGGATGGAGGCAAGACGTGTATACAGAGGTGCAGCAATCAACCCTAGATTTCTGTGAGAAACAACAAGACCAAACTGGCAAAACAGAAGAGCAATCTCACCTGGGACCAAACTGCTGACATGAAAGCATCCCGATAAAAGTGCGACATCTGCTTGAATTTGATCTAACTTACACTCTTGCTCAGGGACACTGCCGCTCGGTAATATCTTGTCAGGAGAAACAGTGGAGTAATATGTACGACATAATGCCTGCTCGATCATATATACTCGTGCCGTGCTCAACATTGACGTGCCTGCGACAACAAGGGCCAGCACCAGCACCGCTGGCCACGCAAACGCCCGGCGGGAGGCCATCATGATCTGCCGTTAAGAACCTGACCGAGTAAGTAGAAGGGTAAGTTAGTATTTATAGGAGCCATTTAGCCTCTAAGGTGGGGAGAGCGGTTAAACATGCTCGCAGGCACATTATTATTAAGTATGGGGAGGTTTAACTGGATCAGTAGCGAACTTTATGCTTAGTTTATGTAGGGGACGTACTCTACTACATATGTAGATCCACAGCCCCAATTTTGATCTAAACACAGCCTGTCCGGTTCAAACCGCAACAATTCTTAGGAACATGAATATCTGACTATCCCCCGTATTCGACCACTCTATATTGGGTTTGCAGGTCTTTGTACACCAAACCTTTGAAGATTTAGCGTAGGAATGGGTGATACAGGGTCCAGTGCGCTTATCCCATCCCAGTGGCTGCGCGCTTCGTTCAGTTTCTTTGTCTTTTCTTTTAGACATGAAAACAACAACTAGGATAAACCTAATTTCTTATCATGGTCATCCCATTCCCCCCATCACGGATCTTTCATTTACTCGTCCTTGCAGACCATCTTCCAGACTAACTAGAACTTCTGACTAAGTTCGAGGACTCGATCAGAAGGACATCATCATCTTGAGAATGACAGCTGCTAAAGAGTCGAGGACGACCTGCACCCCCGCAACAGGCGCAAGCATAACGCTTAGGCCATCAGCAACACATATTACCTATGACTTTATAGTCCGAGACGCAGTCCCTAGACTTGGCAATGAGCCTGTAACTAAACAATATGGAGAGAAAAAGGAATAACCGAAAGGGATTGAAGACGAAGCATGCATGTTATGAATTGCTCAGTCAGGCTGAAAACAGAGTGATATCACTGACTGCCAAAAATCTTTCTCACGCAGGATCCCCGTTCATACCCCTGCGCCATTTCCCAGTCCAGAGTTAATAATTCATGGAGGACATCCACAGAACTTATGGTGCGATGACAGATCCCCAACCTTTGGTGTCTGTAGGACAGTATCAGAAAAAGAAAAAAAGAAAAAGAAAAACAGAATCAAAAACCTTCCATAATATTAGAACATTCAACAGAAGGAAGGGTATTTCAGGCCTAGCCGGACTGACATGGGGCTCGGGCTCGTGTAGTGCACCATGACTTTCGAAAGCAAACGAACTTCGAACCGAGTATTCAACCCAAAGCAAATGAAACCGTCGCGTAAACGAATTATGATACATGGCTGGTAGCACTGTCATCGCACGGCTATCATAAGAACCACTAGGCAGAATACAAGGGAAACAACATAGCGCAAATAGAAAAGACTAGGTTGTCAGACTTCATGGATGCGCCGCACGATTCCGGGCACATCGAGAAAAGCGTGGGGAATTCCCAGGGAACAGGAAATGTGAACGTGAAGAAAGCATGCATACATCAATCTTAGGCGCATCGAGGAGGACAGAGATGCGCCTCTTCTGTCGTTTAGGAGACCTAGGACGCCGGCAAGGGCTGGGACTTTCCACCAGCCTGGGGCGGCACGCCAGACTTGTTTCCGTCATATTGTCCGCCGCGGCGCTGGCCTTGACCCCGACCTCCACGATAGGAACCACGCCCCCGGTTCGAGTTGTAGTGGCCGCCGTTCGTGTGGTGGTTGTTGCGACGTTGATGAGGTTCTCCGTTGCTCCCGGGCTGGCCCTGTGTGAGCTGCCGGGGCTGGTTTTGGGGCAAACTAGAAATAGGTCGTGGAATGGTATCCGGGGACTCGTAGACATAGAGTTTCTTGTCGATAGACTGAGGAATAGGCTGGATCTCTGTGCCGAGCTCCTGCTCAATCTTGTAGAGATTGAAACGGTCATCCCAGTTGATGAGGTTGATCGCCAGACCCAGATGTCCAAAACGTCCGGATCGGCCAATTCGGTGCAGGTAGGTCTCAGCGTTCTTTGGGAAGTCGAAGTTGATGACCACGTTAACCGCTTGGATATCGATACCTCTGGTGAGCAGGTCAGAGCAGACAAGGTTTCGACAGACTCCATTCCGGAAATCGTGGAAAACACGGTTACGGTTGTGCTGGAGCATGCGCGCATGTGAATAGAAGCAAGAGTATCCCAGCTCTGTGATCTTCTTGGCCAACAGCTCCACGCGGTTCGTGGAGTTACAGAAGATAATGGACTGGTTGATCTGCAGCTTGGAGAAGAGAGTGTTGAGACAGTGGACCTTCTGCTTTTCCTCGACAAAAGCATAATACTGCGTGATTCCTCTGAGCGTAAGTTCGTCCATCAGGTTGATTTCGTAAGGGTTGCGCATGTGCTTGTCCTATATCACTGGTTAATCACTAGTAAGCCAAGCTCAGGCGGTGCGCCCTACCTTAAAAGACTTCACAATTAGAGGGAATGTGGCGCTGAAAAGCATAATCTGGCGGTCCTTCGGGTGGAACGACAGCAGCTGCTCAATAACAGGGGTAAATTCAGGCGACAGGAGCTTATCGGCTTCATCCATGACAAACGTGTGGCACTCAGACAGGTCGGCGACTCCTTTGCTCGCAAGATCGAGGACTCGTCCTGGAGTACCAACAATGATGTGCACGGGATCATTCAGACGGATGATGTCGTCCATCAGGCCAGTACCACCTGTGGTAACCATGACATTGACGCCTAGGTGCTTGCCGAGAGTCTTGCAAACTTGGGAGGTCTGAAGCGCCAGCTCTCTTGTCGGGACCAGGATGAGTGCCTGGGTCTTGGTGCTCTTGGGGTTGATTCGTTCTAGTGTAGGGATGACAAAGGCAGCGGTCTTTCCTGTACCGTTCTTTGCTCGCGCGAGGATATCTCTGCCTGTAAGGGCAACAGGTATCGTCTCTTCTTGGATGGGAGAGGGCTTCTCAAATCCTGCCTCGAATATGCCCATCATCAACTCGCGCTTGATATAAAAGTCTTCAAATTCGAGTCCTTTAGTGGCCGTGACATCCTGTAATTCAAATCAGCATCTTCGCCGCTCATATCCTAGGACATAGTGTGATGTACCTCGGTCTGAGTTCTGTTGTCTTTAGGGGGAACATTTAATTTCTCTCTCCAAGCGGAGTCCATGTTGGAATCTCTGTAGAACGATGTGAGTCCATGGCTGATTCCACACTTCGCGGTGAGCGGAGTCCACAAACCCTAGCTTTGTGTTGCCGAGTTGTGAGGCAAGTGCGTCGGTCATTGTGAAAAGCTGGCTGGCAGCAAGACGAGTGAGGAAGGCAAGTTTCAAAAGGTCTTTATAGCGTTATATCGGATGGTTGCCGGGAGGCCAGTTGAGCTAGCTAGTGAATATCTGGACGAGGATATGTAAAAATACGTCCACAGAGACAAGTCGCGTAAAGGAGTATTCCGGTGGCGTTAGATGAGTAGAATTTCTGATATATATGTGAATAAATCGGCCTTGTCGCCTGGGTCGGGAAAAACGCTCACCCTCGACCGGTCAACCAGAGTCTGGTAGGAAGCAACCGAGTGAAACTTCAAAGAAATGATCCCGGTTTCCAGTGTAGTCCAAGTGGGTGCAGAGAAGACTCGAGAAGTCGAGAGATGCTCCAAGTATCAAGGGGTGAATAAGATAGAAGGGAGAGAGGACTTCGTTGCCAGTCTTGAGAGAAAAAGGCTGGGTGGAGTAGAAGGGTGGGAAAAGAGGTTTATGAAGATCGAGCGCTGTCGTAAAAACGTCGATTCGGATAATGTATCAGCGCGCAGCTGCTGGTTTGTGTGAGGATATGAGCGAGGCGAGCGTGAAAGACAATAATGGTCGATGGCAGGTCGTCGGGTTGGAATAACGAATAGTTACTGTGTAAGGTCGGATGGGTCCCAGTCGGGAACTCTTGCCGCTTTTACCTGCCCATGCGGCGTGACCCAGCGGGTCTGGCTGAGGTAATCCAGCAGGCTCCAGCTTGCCCTTAGGGCTTCATGGTGTGATCAAATAGTAATAATATCAATGTCTCAATAATAATATATCAGTTGATTAACAGTTTGCTAATATGGTAGCAATAGAAAGAGTGAACATGTAATTCAAAATCATTTTTTCAGCTGGCTGATCTGGCTGGCTTCGATTTCTATATACAGTACATACATATCTCAGCCGCCAACGCAGAGCCTCAACAACCCTCTCAAGTGCCTACCTACCTAGTCATAGAAGATTAGTGCCGCTTCTCCTTCTTCTTTGTTTCCTAGATATCCCTCTAAAGCATACATTCAATGACACTGGCATTGATGAACCCATAAATCATGAACATATGTTACATCGACTAAGTATTATCTTTGTACAGTACAATAAATTACTCAGTTCTGGCGAAACGACAAGGTCCTCTGGCCTCTCTGCGGTTCTGCGAGTCTATGACAACAGTTAGATAACAGACTCCTGGCTTATTAAGTGTCACTGGGGTAGGATTAAAGGCTTACTCTTTCACGCGTACATCGGGAGCAAGACTGATCTCAGCTCTTGAACCTGGTGTGATGAGGATAAACTGTCGTCCAATCGACCTTCTCGCGGCCAGCATCTAGTCACGCCTTCGTTAGCCAGTAGCACATTGCGGACTCAAGTTAGGAAGACATACAAGCATATCGATGGCCATTTTCCGGTTAACCGAATCCATGTACACGTCACTACCAGCAATTAGCATAAGGATACCATCGCCCGGTCCATTAGTACATACAACTCATCAAGGCAACGGATGGGTGATCCCATTGCTTCCCACAGCGATAGCAGAAGGCAGACCTGAGAAAATGATTTCTCACCGCCGGAAAGAGTCTTCGCGCCTCTTCCAGCGCTGTCTTTCGTGATATCTGGCTCGACCTATGAAGTTGTCAGAAACTGCATCCAGGATGGACAGGTTCTACAGCCCATATTGCTTACTTGGAGGTCCAGAAGCTTTCCTTCATGATCTGCCAAGAGCCGTCCACGGAAACTCCTCTCACTCAGAAGATATGTGAACTGCGCTTTAGCCCGCGATGAAATATGTGCCCGGAATAGCGCCCATCTCTTCTTACGATGTCGAAGGGTGTTCTTGAAGATCTAAACAAGGCTCTAAGTCAGTTGATTCGCATTGAAGATGCGCAGAATCATCTTCGCTTACATCTGCAAGTGTCCTGAATTCGGTAACCTGGCGCTTGGCTTGATCGTAGGCGTTGTTTGCCTTCATAGCTTCCGCAGCAATCTCCTCCCGGGAAGCGCCCATCCTAGACTATGTCAGAACAAGAAAAGCTGGTGATCATGATGGACTTACTGGTCATTAAAACGCTGGAGATCCTTGTAGAGTCGGTCAAGTTTCTCGTCAAGACTGTTCGGAGTCTCGCCTTCATCAACCGGAACTCGCGGAGACACCATACTGGCTTTCTCATTATAATCAATGATTCGAGCCTCGATTTGTTCTCTCTTGTGTTGAATCCTGGCTTTGTCTTGCTTTGCGTCCTCGACCCGTCCAATTGCAGCATTTTTATCCCCAAGAGCACGTCTGCGTTTGTCTTGCACCTTCGCCTCCTCACTCTGGGCAATGCGAAGCTGCTCTTCCAGGCTGGCGATTTCAGCGTCCTTGGCGTTTATCTCTCTCCTCGTCTTTTTTAGTTTGTCCATGATCGCATCCATAGCTTTGACACTATCAGCATACGACCCCTCGTTCAGTTGTTTCTCTTCCTCCGCCTCTTCAAGCTCGCCTTTAAGGACGTCCAGACGAGGAGCGTCGACCGCCTCCCTTTCGAGGTCATCTCGAAGCTCTTCAACCTGGTCCTCGAGTCTCTGAATAGCAATCTGAAGGTCTTTTTCCTTCCTCTCATGCCTCACCAGAGCCTGCTTGCAGCTTTCAAGATGAGACCGCGCAGCACGAGCATGGTTTTGGAGATCTGATAGCTGGCGCTTAAGATCATCAATGATTTCCTTTTGCATCCTACAGCTTGTTAATTAAAGTATGATCGACCGCGGGGGGCAAGGGTAATGAGAGCGCACCTGATTTGTGTCTCACTGTCTGTTCTCATTCGTGATCGTCCCGTATAGGCTGCAACGGGTGTCTGGCTGGGGTCTCCTGATCGACTATACGAGAGATGAATTCCACGTCTCCTGTCGTTTGGATCAATACAGTAACATCGCTTAACATTTTTTGGCCGCTGGCCATCGAAAAGCACTGAGGAAGCCTCCTCCAGCTTCTCAATGAGCAGCATTTGCTCTATACCGTGGTTGATAATCAGCTGTCTGCGGACCAGGTCGTTGTCAATCTAGTACTAACGTCAGTCGGCCCAGATACTATATGGACATCATGCACAACATACTTCAAGAACCCTAAGAGCCGTATCGAACTGCGCATCCGGTTCATGTTCTGAGGTGTCGATATAACCTTCACTCCCGATGAATATGGGAAGTTCACTGGACTCTCGTGAGAAAGAAGGAAGCTTTGTTGATGGAAACAAAAGGTGCACATACCATTTGACCCTCTTCATGATGTTCGAAAGGATATTCATGTCACGCTTGGACGTAACCACAAAACTAGTCAACGTAGCGCCAAAAGACGTTTCCAAGATCGATGACCATTTTGGCTTTAGTAGTCTCACATGGTGGCCAATTGGTCCCACTGGCTGTTTGCTAAAAGAATTGTCGTTCCGGATTGCTCTGAGAAGCATCGGCAACTTTGGATCGAATCCAGCGTCTTGTGTGCCGCGGTCCTTTGTTAGACTGCGCAGTACATTTTCTGCTTGCTCAATATCCGATTTTACCTTCTCAACGGGTGCGATCTTGGAATTGTGGTCTTCTTCAGCCTTTTTTATGTTATCTTTTACGCGATTTGTGTCTTTCTGGTGCTCCTCGTATTGCTTGCGGGCTTCGGAAGCCTCTTCCTGTTTCTGCTCCAGTTCAGTTTGCATGCGCGTGTAACTCCCTCCACTGATGTCCGCGAGTCGCTGATTCTCCTTGGCAATATCCTCGTTGAGCTGCTTTATTCTAGACTCTGTCGTCTTGACATATTCACGTATTGTGCGTTGTTGGGCCTAAGAGATCGTAGTTAGAGGTCTGACAACTATCACTTTAGGATGGGCAGAACAAACTTGTAAGTCATAGCGCTCCCTCATTTCTTCATCAAGGCGAGATTTTGTCTCCTTTTTCTCGTCCTGCACCCGCTCAACTTCGCCTTGGGCTTGTCTAACGACTTCGGCAGCAACTTCCGACTCTCTCTCTGCTTCTTGAAACAGAGCATCCGCGCGGGATACATCCGTCTCAGCTGCTGAGATCTTTTGGTCGGCTTGAACGAGCTGCTCGTCGATAGAATCCCGAATCTGCAATTGTGGTCAGGATTACGTTCATGAACAGACAGGTTGATCTGTGCCTCACCCTCTCTTGCTCCTCAACTTGGGCCCACGCCATCTGCCTTCGGAGCACCCTGACTCGATCCCTGAGAGAAGCATGTTGATCAGACATCTCTAGTCGCCGTTTCGCCACATCTCTCCTCTGCTCGAGAATTTTGATATCATCCAGGCGACTGCGCAGTTTATCCTCAATTTGATCGATCGATTCCTCGATCAGCCGATAGTCCTGATCCAGTTGTTGTAGCTGAACTCCCTTCACAAAGAACTTGTATTTATCAGCGGGGCTAGACGTGCTAAGGAACTGCCGAGCCATATCCTGAGACAGCACATTCATAGGATTATCGATCTGCAGATTGAAGAAGTCCGTTATTGCGTCTAGTTCGATCTTTTTCGTCGACACTATCCGTCCGCTGTCGCTCTTCAGCTTGAAGCCGCTTGTTCCACTTCGTGTGAAGTGCCGTTCGACTATGATAGACTTTCCATACTCTTGGGGCATATAGGCACCATCGCCCTGGTTTTTGATTCGAACGATGATGGTCGCTGATCTTTTATAGCATACTTGTCAGAACCCCAAAACTCCATCCTGAGGAAGACAGTCAGTGACACTCACTCCTTTCCTTCTTTTATGAAGCTCTTCAAGCTTTGACCTCGATTCGTGGCAGACGCTTTTCCTCCCAGACAAAGCGTGATGGCTGTAAGTACTGCGCTTTTGCCGCTTCCGTTTTTTCCGACAATGAAATTGATAAGGGGTCCAAGTTCGACATAGAAATGTTCATGACACATGAAATTATAGCACTCGACGCGTTCAAGTATGCCATGATCAGCGGGCACATTGGGCTCGTCGCTGGCGAAGGCATATTTCTCCTGGATGATCTGTGTCGCTCGTACTTCAAGTTCGTTTTCGTTGTCGAGGGCCTCGGTAATGTACGAATCGGTCTGCTCTTGCCAGCCTTGATCGCTTTCATCGGAGTCGACGCGCGCGGTATCACTGGTGTCTGAAATTCTGCTTCGTTTTCTCTGTATAAGTCAGAAAGTAGTATGCCACGTCGCATCGGTCGTACGCACTGATTCTATACCAGCGGGTGTGCTGGTTTCTTCATCTGACTCTGCAGAATCCGACAGGGCCCGTGAACGCTTGGTAGGAGCCATCGCATAATCGCATCGTCGATTTAACACGTGAGGGGAAATAGAACACTTTGAAAAAAGTAATATCTCATGTGTCGTTGAACCGCATCGACAGACACATTATTGTCGGCGCGTTGTAGCGCGTCGCCGGTAGGGCAAGCGACCCGAATCTTGGCGCGACTCCACCACCGCGAACAGTTTAATTATTGCCTATTACGGTAGTGATCTGGTAGTGAATAATTATTACATACTAGGTACTGTACTACCGCTATCGATCCTCTTCAGACCAGTAAGCAGAATACAGCTAACCCCCGTTACAATCATCATATCACGATGGAGCACGGATAGAGGTTTATTTTTCTCTGTTCATTGACATAGATAATACCATAACTACCCATATGAGAGTACCCAAGTGGATATTTGGCTAATTTCGTGCACCACATGATCCTTGATACACTCCTAGTGAACTCGACGTGTTTCTTCTCCGATATCCTTTTATGTATTACGAATATCTCTGTCTCCGATAATAAGTTCCACGACTTCTTAGGATGGAGAAGGAACAGCACTGAGAGAAATCATCAAAGCCGTGCTTGCAGTTGTACGACGCTGACTTGCTTGAAGCGCTTGAATAAACGCCCCTCTTCGAGATTCTCTTAGTTAACAATGGGCTCCTCCGCGACATAGTGAAGATAAGCTCCCAGCAGCTTCGTTCCCTCGATATAGTTTCGCTTGTCGAGCTTCTCGTTGATAGAGTGAGCAGCATCCGTGGAGCTGCCCATCGGCAAAAGCAACACGTTCTTGCCCGTTGCCTGCTCGAAAGTCAATGTGACAGGAATACTATCACCACAGTTAGCTTTCTTTAGTCCTTTGCACAAAGGATTCAGTAGGCTACAAACCTTCCACCCTCACGAGTCATATCGGGCTCGACTCCGAAAACTTGCTTCACAGCCTTACTGGCAGCTGTAAAGTTCCAGTGCTTCGGGCTAGCAACCCACCACTTGCCGTCGTGCTGGAGCCAGACATCCAGCTTGTTCTTCGTGTTCAGCTTGGCAAATTCTGCCTTGATATAATCGAACACCAATTTGTTCACATCCGCGCTCTCCATGTTGGGCACGGTTCTGATGGAAAACTTGCCGATAACCTTGGCCGGAATAACTGTTTTGGCACCAGGTGCGGAGTATGCACCTTCGATACCGTGAATAGACAGAGAAGGATATCTCCATCGAGCCATCAGAGTCCTCTCCTTGGTGGGATGAATGCTGGTTTCACTGCCCAGCGACTCGTGAAGGTCTTCCATTTTGTAGCTGATTCCACCGTAGAGCGTCTTCTCCTCCTCTGTCAGAGGGGCAACAAGATCCATGAGACCTGGAATCAAGATGTTTCCCTGAGAATCGACCAACTTTGACAGAATGTTGACCAGGTCTGTCATGGGTTCGTGTGCAGATCCACCGAATACACCGCTGTGCAAATCCTGAGCAGGACCAGAGACGCTGACAGAGTAGTAGTTGCAGCCTCGCAGACCATAGGTTAGGCAGGGCTTTTCAGTTCCCAGCCAGTAGTTGTCGGAGATACAGACGGCATCTGCGTCCTTGAAGAATCCCTTGCTCTCAGCCTGGATGAACTCGTCCAACCCTTCGGAGCCGTATTCCTCCATTCCCTCAAAGCAGCATAGCAAGTTCACAGGGAACTCGACGCCAGCCTTCTTGTGAGCTTCGATAACGTTCAACCAGCCCAGGACAGGTCCCTTGTCATCCGTAGCACCACGACCGTACATTCTTCCCTTATCGTCAATGCTAAGGGTGAAAGGCTCAGTAGCCCATCCATCTTCCTTCAAAGCCGGTTGGACGTCATAGTGGCCGTACACCAAGATCGTCCGCTTGTTCTTGTCGTTTCCATATCGGGCAATGACAACAGGCGGCAGATCGAGATGCTCCTTACCGGGCTGCTTTCCTAGTGGTCTTTTGTGCACTTCAGCTCCGAGAGCTTCCAGCTCAGAAGCGAGGAAATCGGCCATCTAAAGTAGCAACCACATCAGACGACTGCAGCTTAAAATCGGCAACCAGATGGAACTCACCTTGAAGACATCCTTTCGGTTCTCATCCTGAGCAGAGACGGATGGAATCGCAACAGCCTTGCGAAGACCTTGATCGCAGCAGAAGCTCAGTTTCACTCTTCAAAAGCCCAAAAGAGCACAAACAGGCCATGGAAAAGGTACATACGGTCAATAAAAGACTCAGACTGCTGGTCCACCCTAAACGAAAGCACACCAGGGTCAGTTTCTGAAGTTCTGACTGGCTCCCAGAAGCACAGAGAGCTTGCTTACTCCTTGAAAAAAGGCTCCAACTGCGGCGCCATTTTGCGGTCGTCAATATGTCCGTAGAAGAATCGACGAGGGGTTGTCTGAGACGATCTGGGAATGAAAGACTTCAACACGCAAGGAAGCCCAGGTGTAGGTGAAGACGAAGAAATTTGTCTGCACCTAGGAAACGATGCTGAAATGCGACGGAGGGACAGAGCGGGGAGCATTGGAATAGATACCGATAGAGGGGTCGCAGATTTGGGCGAATAAGAAGAGGGCCTTTTCTTTGGGCGACTACTTATTACGTTAATTCCTAGAGTTGCATCGCGATTCCCGACGGTTGCGCCGTACAACACGCGAGCCAGAGATACAACGTACCACTAGTTAGTTTAGTTGGTTGGTTACAATCCCACGTAATCATACTATAGTATTTGTTCTACATAAAATTTCGAGCAAGTCGGGTATTAACTATCAACGTATTCATAGACATGATTTGATTTTTTGTTTTTGGTTCTAAACACACAAGGCTCTTCTAATACAGTGAGAAAGAGGATGAGGAAATATAATAGTGTACAATGCTGTATAGCCATGAATTGATTCAGATACATGTCCATTCCATTCGCGTGTGCCGTGGTCCACCCCGTCCGGCCAGCGTAATCATGCAGAGAATCCAGGTCGACACATACGCCTTGGCAACCGTCTCGCATCCTGATGCACAGCACCGAAAATGAATTGGAGAAGACGCAACCAACATTGGTCATTTCACCGTTATTCATCCCTTCCCCAGGTTTCCTTGCGCAACTCTCGGTCTTCTCTTGCAATCCGCCGCTTCGTACCCCACCGCGACTGTACTGCTTGCAGTACCTGCTTCTGGATCTCCTTCTTCTGAGGGCTGGCTTCGCACACCATCGCAATGAAGAGCGGGGAGCAGTCGAAGCGTCGAGCAAGCTTCCATCTGCTCCACGTCATCGGGTCGCTAGCACGGAGTTTCCGAATCTCTTCGATGTCGGCGGGAGTGAGGTGGTACTTCTTCTCCGGGGTCTCCTTGAAGACCGGTGGTAGATCCGTCTCTCTGGTTTCTGCTACGGGAGAGGCAGCACGGAGAGTTCTGCGAATATCATCTGCGGGCAGAAATTTTGTAGGTGTTTGGTAGACCGATGGCGCGCTCGACGGGGGATTATAGATGACGTGCTCATGCAGCTGAGCCTGCGAAGGGCCAAAGGAGGCATCTGGCTTCACGCGGAGTCGCGCTTTAGTCCGCCTGTAGGAAGATTGATTCCGGCGGAACACCAGAGGGCTCGATTCGCTCCATGAAGGCAGAAGGAATGATAGTCTCAGAAAGGACCGCTTCGGGGCCGCAGCGCAGGTAGACATGATGAGAGAATTAAGATGCCGTTAATTGGAAAAGATCGAAAGGCTGTTAAAGAGATATGGCAGAGACGTCGCAAGAAGACCGGTTCGTCCTTCTGTCCTTGAGCTGGGAGAAAATATGGAAACAATGCAGGTGGTCAGATGGAAGGGTCGCAACAATGACTTTCCATCATCCGATTTCCTTACCAAAGAGGAGATCAGAGAAGATGATGGGTCCCAGAACTCCAATTCGGATCAGATTCGACGTTACCTGCGGACGTGCAAGTGACTTGTGTCGTCGAATCGGCGACTATGAGGCACTTCTGGACGAGCAAAGCCCAGGAGTTTTCCGCGAGACGGAGCACGGAAGCAAAAGGTCCGTTGACTGCCCAGACCGCCTTGTGATCACGTGCCCAATACGCGTCTCGCGGTAATGGATACAGTATTTATGTATTATTTGTTTGTTATCATTATTATTAGTGCAGGTTGCTGGCTAATAATAATCATGGATGTAATATATTACTGTATATTGTTATTACAGGCTGTTATTGACTGCCGCCAACCAGTAAGTTATGTACTACATCGTACTACTACTACTATTAACCAGTTCTTGTTTCGAGTTCCTCTCCTGATTTCTGGAGGATCTGCGCTGATCTTTAAGGCATTCGTTCCCAAGTGACGTACCTGCCGTTGTATCTAAACCGAGATCTTCTCTGGATAACCCACAGTGGCTTGCTTGGGCTCGTAGAACGTTCCGGTTGTCATCGCAGAGTTGGTTCCGCATGCAGTCGAAGCTCTCTTAGAAGTACGGCAGCCACTATTATTATTATTTATTTTTTTTAAGAAAATTAACTATAGCACGAACTGCGCAGATATCTCTGGAATCTCGATAAGCAGACCATCCCGTCTAGAGAGGAGAGCGCATGGTTTACCCCTGTCAGTTCGAATAATTGCGCTCCTGGTTGCCTGGATTTATCTACTTTTCCGTGGTCCCGCTTTGCCGCTCCCCATGATCACATCCGCGCTGCCTCCTTTTCGATCGGGCAGACACTCCGCCCTTCCCAGCTCGCTCAGAAACAGATTCCTATTAATATTGATCTTACCTGTATCATCATTGTTGTATTAGCAAACTGCAGTTTATCGGGTTTTGCGTCCCTTGTGGAATACCCTCAACCCCGCCTTATCTATTAGTCGGCTTAGGATCAGCCGAGTCTAAGCACTCGATCCAGTATCTTCATACAAGACCTAGCTGCTAACCAGCACCAGCCAGAGTTCAACAAGTAACCCCCTTTTTGCAGCGAATATTGGTAAATTGTCCCTTCAAGTCTTCGTGGCTGTCATTTTCGCCCTTGTACAAATATGGCTCCCATGCGACAATGTGGAAGAACAGCGTGATGCTGACAGGTTCACGAGGCAGGAAACTACAGGCCTTTTATCGCGAATCTCGAGTTAACCTCTCGGGAGCACGAATTCAGCATGTCAGCCGTTGAGGAGCAGCACGATACGCAGTCCTCGGCCCTTGCGACGGCCAGCCCCATGCACCCTTCAGAACGAGCACTTCCCAAACAATCACTATTGAGTCAGGGGATACTCTCTGCGGGAAACAAGCAAGCCAGTGACCGTGATACTGGCTCAAGAACAGAGTCGTATCCTCAAAGCCCTAGTGACACAGGCGATGAGAAGCGACCAGGTAGCGAGGGTCAATATACGACAGACACGAATTCATCGGTTCATAACATGATCCCTGCTTCACCTTCTGGCCGCTTGGATCCTGTCCGCTCATCTGCCTCGCCAAGTCGAGTTCGATATCCATATGCACACCCATCATCTCCGGGGCGCTCTATGGAACCAAAATCTCCCCGCCTTCGTTCACCTGCCTCGCAGATCTTTGAACGTAATGTTCAGGAAGACATAATGCCAGCTCAAACTTCTCCCGGGATCCCTTCACATATTATGACTGAGAACCATATACCGCCCATCCTGGAAGCCTCTTCCGTTGCAATTACGGACAAACGCCTCGATCCGGATTCCGTCGAGATTATTACACACAATGCTCACCAGCCAGCAGCTCTAGCTGTCGCAGGAGCATCTACTGCAGACCAATCTCTTGCTTCCTCCTGGCATGAAGATGCAGGCCAACGTCCCGGTGAAGCCGCAGATACCGCATCCATTTATGGAGCACTCGACTCTAGCGATGTTAAACGCCTGAGTTTCATTTCCTTTGCCGACGTTGTCAATGCTGAACAGGCTGAAAATAATGAGCAATTTGGCAATTCGGATGCATCGCGTATCGTAGGGTTGAGCAATGCATCAGCTGCCCTGGCCGCCCAGAATGGCTCTCCATCCCCTGCACGTTCTCCCGTCTCCTCTCGTGGGTTCGGTACATCGCCTCCAACTAGCTTATCGCCGTCACTCAAAGGTCAGGAAACATCACCTAACCGTGCAAGTCGCGGCATTACGAGTCCTTTACCGATTCCGCATAGTCCGCATAGTCCACTATCCGGGAATTTCGGGGGAGAGGTCAATGTTGAGACAATGCGACAAGCCTTGAGGAGAACCGGAAGCGGTGATCTGAGCGGGATCAGGAGTCGGGCTCTAAGTATGGCGGAGAATGACGAGGGAGGGTATGATCGTCCCATCAAATGATACCCTTGGGGAAGATCTACTTTAAACTACTTTCTCAGCACCATGTGACTCTATTGCCGACAGCTCTCTTCATTCTGGTCGTATATCTTTGGAGGTGGTGTTGTGCTCTCGATATGTGCACATTGTACCCTTGAAATCTAGTTCATTCTACTGTGAGCAGGTTACTGCATGGTACCACTCTCACTCTACACATCCAGGGTATCTAGCCTTCCACAGAGTGCATTAAGCACTCGTGTGCAAGTGTATGGTAAGATCCAACTTCCTCCTACACGTCTTGATATAGCGGCTTACTGATAGTTGTTGGCGACAGATGCATCTTCCGGGCGGGTTATTGTGTACAGGAGTAATTGACAACCACTCTGCACGACTGCTCGCGGGAATGGAATGCCAGCTCAATTCCCCAACCCATTTTGTGCCAGGTTCTTTTTGCGGGACTATTACGGACAGTGCGTTGGGCAAGAGCCTATAAGAGTCTCGAAATATAACAGCAGCTGAATCGCCTGCCTGTCAAACACAGCCTGATCTACCTTACTCCTGAGAGGACGCGTCTTGCGCCGCAGCTAGGGCTCGCTTAAATCTCTCACTGAGATCTGCAGAGTCCTCAAGCCCAACACTGATCCGCACCAAGTCAGGATCGACGTTAAAAGAGCGTGCCTATACTACAGTCAGTGACAAAGGTGCTAATGGCAAGCCTCGAAGAGCATCTTACCCAGTCCAGTTCTCCATAGTGGGCGATAAGCGTATAGGGGCAACTAGAAATTCGTCAGTGACATGGAGGCAGTGAATCAGTGGGTTCGACGTACCTGAGCGTGAAATTCGTTCCGAGACTTGGTCCTTTCAAAACTTCAAGCGTGTCAAAAAAAGCCACGGCCTGAGCAGTCGAATGAAATGTGACAGAAAATAGACCACCGTATCCACCGCGCGGATTTTTAAAGCTGTCATATAGCGGCTTCGTAGGGCTATACTTAGGGTAGTAAACTTCCTTCACTATACTCCGTATTAGACAAGCTAAGCCTTTCGCTTCGTTGCTAGAGATACGTACCGATAGGAGAGGATTTCAAAACATCGGTGACCGCTTCAGTTGTGGCGTTTATCTTCTCTATTCTCGAAATAAAGTCACGGCTGTTCCTTTCAAGGAAGACAGCATCTTCGGCCCAAACGATGTCTTCATATTCTGCCGCGAACGTGTCCTTGAGACTTCTGTAGAAGGGGCCATGCGGGTTGAGTACGGCGCTCCCACCCATGACATTGCTGTCTCCGCTGAAGACTTTGGTTAGACTGCTGACAACGACATCCGCGTAAGGAAGGACGTTGACATTGATGAAATTGCCGACGGTTTCGTCCACCACAACTGCAAAGTTGAATTCATCCGCAAGCGCGCGTATACGTCTCAGATCTGCTGACTTCAACAGTGGGTTCCCAGGGAACTCGGTGAAAAGCGCCAGGAATCTTTCACCTTCCCGTAACCGTCGCTCTATATCGTCGATGTCTTCGGCCGATCCATGACCATAAAACAAACAACCAGGTCCCCATTTCTCAAGGATCTTCAGGGTATCAATGTAGGGAAATCCGAAACAGATGCTCTTCCTTTGGCCAATGGTGTTCAGCAGGATCTGGTGAACGTTGAAAATGGAACTCATGCCGGTCGGGAACAGAAAAACGTCATCTTCGCTTAAGCCTGCGATTCGGCCATCAGACGAAGTCTTCTCGAGGGCCTCGGACAGATCAACGTCGGCAGTCAATGACCCAGCGATCCGCCTTCGAACGGCCAGTTTCGCTCTATCGGCCAAGGAAAGATTGAGATTACGGCCAAAGCGTTCTTCGATAAATTGGGCGTATTCTTTCCCGTCTCGGGCATCGTTTGTTGGCGGCGGCGAGCCTGCTTCTTTTGTAGATGTTCCATCGAACGAATCTTTCGTCTGGTATCTCCTTGGACCTTTGTGCACCCTTCTGGATTTCACCTCCTGCGCCTGCGCACTGGGCGCATGTTCCTCGACCAGATAGCCATCCTGCAGCGCGGTGAGGAGGAATTCGCTTCGACGACTGGAGATACCATTGCCTGAATGCTGCCAGACTTGCTTGGCGACCGGCGCATACTGCTTTGGGTAGAGGACGCAGGACAAGGAGGACACAAGCGAACTGGGATCCGCACCCCGCGCTGGCACGAAGTTCAGAACTCGCACTTTTGGCACATCCTCCTGAGGTATTTTGGCCGCCATAAAGGAGTAGCACACCTTTGCCGTCCTCTTGGTGGGAAAGAGTGTCGCTGAGTCAACCTCCACGTCCCCGTGGCGGCGTATAACCTCCTCCGCTAGTTTCTTGATGCTGGGATGCACGAAGAATCTGGGATAGCCACACTGCATCTTACTGACTACCCATTCTTGGCCCTCCTCGTAACCGATGTTGGCCTGCCATGTCGGCAGAGAGACACTGACTGCCTGTTCCAGAGGTTAGCTCTCCACTCTTCCTGGAGCATAGCGATTAAAGAGCTGAGTAGTCGTCATGAAGCCGGATCAAGCAGAGAACTCCTGTAACTATGTGCTACAGCCCCAGAGAAGGGGGACAGCGAAGAAGCATGCGACACACAAGTCACGCTCGGCATTGGGCACGTACATGGTCAGTGTTCGGAGGGACTGGCCCTCCCAGCGCTTGAAGCATTTGGGACGGACGAAGGAGAACAGGATGTGAGGGCCAATCTTCCTTGAAGCGATTGGGATAAGATCCAGCAAGTCCAGCACAGAATCACAAGATAGTTATTGACTGAATGTGAACAACACGAGCAGCAGTTGTCCCTGTCAGTGTAACTAGTTATCCTATCCTATCGATTATTAGTCATTTCCGGCCCTGCGATCTCGGAGCATCTACACTAGTAATGTATGATACTCTACCTTACTCCGCGATTGTTGAGGCTTCCCAGTACCATAATAATTTAGCGGGCCTAGCTGGAAGTGTTCAGCATGTAAGACAATGGTATATCAGTCTATCTATTCTATTGTCTATTTTGACTGCTACTGTTGTGCTCATACTCAGTTGCAAACTACACTATCATGATGAATCTCTTGCTTTGCTCTCCTCTTTTTGTCTGCCCCGCGTCTTTTTTCTTTTTCCCGCGCTAAACTGAAAAAAGACATTGGAACCCTGCTGAGTCAGACTGCAACTGCCATCCGCTTATGTCATCCTTGAAGCTCGAACCGAAATCGATCGATCGATCGACCATCGTTACTCGCGAGAGCGCGCCCAGTTCTGACCACCATAACTCAAGGCTCCTGAGATCTCCAAGCATGGAGAACGGTTCTTCATCCGAGGGCAAGGACCCCTCCGCTTTCCTGTCGGAGATTATCGGCGCTCCGGTAACAGTTAAGCTCAATTCCGGTGTCGTCTATAAAGGTACCAACTTACCCCGCGTGTCTGTCGTCGTCCTTGATGGATACTGATATATATCTCCTAGGGGAGCTCCAATCTGTCGACGGATATATGAACATTGCTCTCGAGAAGACTGAAGAGTACGTCGATGGAAAATTGAGGCGTAGCTATGGAGATGCCTTTGTACGAGGGAATAATGGTTAGTGTCAGGTCGCTTGGATTACTTGATAATATGATGCTGACCTGGAGAAAGTTCTCTACATTTCTGGAGACTAGGCGTCTGAACTTCTAACAACCTTCTCACGGGTCGCCAAGCGCATCAGCCTAACTGAAAACTGACCGCCCAAAAAGAAAACACTTTGTTATGTCGACATGGATGAATGCCTATATGAAACAGCCCGGTTGAGGATTATTGGCCTTGAGCAGGTCAGGCTGTCCGGACTTATGGCACCATTATCGGGCAAAATCAAGTCCCGTAAGCCAAGTTATCGTTCCAAATTTGATATCCAAATTCGAGAGAAATGAAAGAGGCTGTTCCTTTCACTCTTCCTCCTTACAACCAATTATTCAGAGGGAGTCAGTTGTCTCCATACTAGACACTCTCGGTGTCAGAATCTATCTCCTGTATTTTAACTCTGCACAAGGACAATTGCAACATATCTATTGACAATAACAATAATAATCAAATCAGAGCGAGCTGTCATGCATAGAGTAAGTGGTCACGTGACTCATTATGACCGGTTAAACTTCCCTAAGCTTTGATTCGTTTGTTAGTCCGATAATTATTACCGTCGGGTCCAGTACCGAATTTTTTTTGTAGCAGCAACGGTCGAGCAGAGCATTATCGCCGAAAATCAACAACCCTCACATTGATTGCTCGCCCGTGCTTCTCAACGGGCCTCTCAAGAAGCCAGAGGAACGCTGGACCAGCGTTCCATATACGATCACCATGTCGGCCCACAGCGCAAAGAGACGAAAGCTCAGTCCATCCGATAGCGATGAATCGGACTCCGGCGACAACAAAAATAGCCTCTCGAACGGTCGCAAGGCACAGCACAATGGCCCCTCTACGTCGTCGCATGCGGGTGTAAAACGGGTACAGAAGGATCGTTCAGCTGAGCTGGCTCTGTCCAGCGGGCTATACAAGTCCAATGTCTTCAAACTGCAAATGGACGATCTGCTTGCCGATCTCAGACTTGACTATGACAGAGAGGTGTCGCGGATGCAGGAAACACTCTCCAAGATCAAGAAGATCATCGAAGAGATCCCGGAACGCCCCGCGAAGTCTGTGAAGGAAGCTGAGAAAGAGATCAGAAGCTCCCATGGCGTCGTCGTTCCATTTCCCGAACCTCGTCCGGGGAAAGAGACCAAATATACGATGGCATATGCGAAGCCTGCCAATATCAATGTGGTAGGCAGCTTTGCCCTCCGAACCGGAGTGAAGACGGCAAACCCGTACACTATCGATCTCGCAGTTACAATGCCCGATGAGCTTTTTCAAGAAAAGGACTATGTGAACTACAGATATTTCCACAAGAGGGCTTATTATGTGGCGTGCATTGCAGCAGGGCTTCAATCCGCTAAGGGTTTGGATTTGTCTGTGAAGTTCGAGTATCAGGATGGAGATAGTCTGCGTCCTGTAATCGTTCTGGAACATCCTCACAAGGCGACCAACCAGGCTGTTGCCCCGACGCCGCGCATCCGAATTATAACTGCAATCAACCAGACAGTCTTTCCGATCTCGAAGACTCTGCCAGCTAAAAATAATATACGGAAAGGGGATACTAATCGCGAGTCGAACGAGAGCTCTGGAGAGCCTACACCGTACTATAATGCGGCCCTCCGTTCCGAAGCTACGGTGACGCCGTACCTGAAATATCTGCATGCGGCTATTCAAAAAAGTGACTCGTTCAGAGATGCCTGTATTCTCGGGCACACTTGGCTTCGACAGAGAGGTTTCGGTCCATCCCCTCAAGCAGGTGGTTTGGGAACGTTTGAATGGGCTGTGATCGTCGCTATACTGATGGAGAGCGGCGGACCCAACGGGAAACCCGTCCTACTGCCATCGTACAGTAGCTACCAGATCTTCAAGGCAATGATGCAGTTCTTCTCCAACAGGGACTTGACACAGCCCATCATACTGTCCGCTGCTCCTATGTCCATACCTTCGGAAGGCCCTGTGATTTACGACGGTAATAGAGGGCTCAATATTCTTTACAAGATGACACCCTGGTCCTATAACCTGCTCCGTCACGAAGCCCGTCTCACTCTGGCAATGTTGAATGAGTCACGCTACGACAACTTTGGTAATGTCTTTATCGTCAAAGTACACGAGCCCATGCTCAGATTCGACCGTGTCCTGTCTCTTCCATTGCCACCGAAGACAAGTGGAATCCTCGCGTCCCTCCAGTATCAATCGCTTCTCTTCCAGGTCCTGTCCAGAGCGCTCGGTGACAGAGCAAATCTCATAGCTCTGTCCAGCAGGGATTCGGAACCATGGGCTATTGGCTCTTCCCCAAAGAACAACTCCAAGAAGGTTGTCCAGGTTGGACTCCTGCTTGAGTCTAAAAATGCCAATAGAGTGATCGACCAAGGTCCCTCCGCTGAACAAAAGGACGAAGCTGCATCATTCCAGGCATTCTGGGGAGAAAAGTCCGAGCTAAGACGTTTCAAAGACGGCAGCATTGTCGAGACTTTGGTGTGGTCAGACCACCCATCAGCACCGTCCATTGTTCATCAGATATTGGCCTACATTCTGCAGCGTCACTTTGGAATATCTGAAGAATCCCTCACCTATATTGGGGATGAGTACGACAGGATACTTGACAATTGGGGAGGCAGTCTCACGTCTTCAAGCAAACTGTTCCAACTTGTTCTCGATGCTTTCAATTCTCTTGAACGATCTCTCAGGGATATGGTAGATGTTCCGCTCACGATAAAACAACTCTTACCAGCCAGTCCTCTACTTCGTCATACAGCGCTGGAAATGAGACCTGATGGTGGCGCGAACAGTGGAGTTGTCGATGTTGTTCTACAGTTCGAAAGCTCTACACGCTGGCCCGATGACCTCGCCGCTACTCAGATGACAAAGCTCGCTTTCCTTGTGAAAATAGGCGATTACCTGGAGTCTTCTGGGGAGGCCACCTCATGCCGGACAGGCTTGGAAAATGAATCCACCAAGCTCCTCAACAACGGATTCCTCGATATCGTCCACAAGTCTCACGTCACTTTCCGTCTTCGCATCCACCATGATCGCGAACAAGCACTGCTTGAGGGTCAACTGAAAAATAAGACTCTTTCTGCCCGCGTCAAGGAGGAAACTGCAGATGCACTAGCTGCATACAAGCGGTTATTCATCCAGGGCCCCCGACTCACACAAGCGCTCCATACTCTTTGCACCCGAATTCCTGCGCTTTCCCCTACCATTCGCGTCATGAAACATTGGTTCAGCTCTCACCTGCTCGTCCCTCACATAAACGAGGAATTCATCGAACTCCTGACCACACGGGCCTTCCTCCACCCGTATCCGTGGGAGACGCCCTCAAGCGTCATGGCCGGATTTCTACGAACGCTTCATTTCCTTTCTCGATGGAACTGGAAACAGGAACCGCTTATCGTGGATGTGAACGAATCCCTTACCGCGGAAACCTTGGAATCTATCAGAACTCGATTCGCTGCTTGGAGGAAGGTCGACCCTGCGATGAACTCGGTCGTCTTCTTTGCAGCTTCCGATATCGATCGCGATGGTATAACCTGGACGCAGTACGAAATGCCCTCGAAAGTCGTCGCGGCGCGCATATCAGCCCTTGCAAAGGCCGCAGTGACGTTAATCAGGGAAAAGGGGTCAGATCTCGATGTGACTGAGCTGTTTCGTCCATCCCTTGCACCGTATGATTTCGTTGTGGAGCTCGATCCCAAACGTGCCGCCAACGACCGGTCCGGCGGCTTGGTTAAGTTCAAGAATCTGCAGGAGCTTGGCAACAGTGAGAGTCATAAGTCGTCGGCGGCCATTATGTCTTTCGTGCAAGAGATCCGGGCATCTTTCGGGAATAATATGCTGTTGTTTCACGGCGATGGCCATTGCCGCCGTATAGCGGGCCTTTGGAATCCGCAGATGAAGAAACCGAGAGGCTTGGCATTGAAGCTGGCATATTCGACAATGCCAGATAAGTCAAACGATGATGATCCTGAAGGCAATGTGACGATTAACACTTCTGGCATTTTGAACGAGATTGCCAGGCTTGGCGAGGGTTTGGTACGGACGATCTATGTTCAAAACGGTGGTGCATAGACGGTGATTATTTCTTCGGATAATTGTAATCAATCATTCATCATAACGCCATGTACATGCTAGACAAAATAGATTTCAAAACAGGGAATTCTTTCTTTCCGCCTATTCCATTATTTCTTCGATTTCTGCAATTGTTTCCCTCCCCATCCGGGCTTCCCTGCCCCTTCTTGTTTAGAAAAGGAGCAGAACTTGTCCTTGATGGCCACAACCTCGTACGTGCCTTCGTCAGAGGCTTTGATTGTCTTTGTGTGTTCGTAGGAGATATCGTGTTTGATATCCAAGATTTGCGATTTCTTTCCTCTTTGAGGATTTGAACTCCTTGTATAACTGAGAGTAGAATGTCAGTATAAGAACACTTTGTCCACGAGCTCTGGAAGAAAACTTACGTGAATTCAAATGGCGGCGTTCCCCAAAACTCAAAGTTAAGATCGGCTTCTCCGCCTTCATGGATATCGATCACAGAAACTCGGCCCTTGCTTATCCTGACACTGGGCATTTCGTGTATGACCTTGGTGATATTCTTGTGTGCTTTGCACTTGCCGCTAGCCCCATCACTTACTGCAGTTACGGTGAATTGACCTGGCTTCTCAGCTATCCGACGGAAATTGGTCGAGTGAGAGGTGGCCTTCTTCTGAGCTCCGTCAAAGGTGTAAAACACCTCAAATGGTGCGTGGCCAGAGAGGGAGAAAGAGATGCGTTCTCCAACACAGTAATCAACTTGTGACTCGAGCGGGATAATCGTGGGTACATCAGACACGGCAACCCTAACTGAGGAGGCATCAAATTCGGTGATACGCTGACATCCACGTGCGTCCCGGACCTTGTGAATGCTGACAACATGCTGGCCCAGGTCAAGGTGGCGACGTGGTATAGGAAGATTGTGTCGGTTTGAGTTGATGTTAGCAATAGACACGACTTCCGGCTTCGCACTTGAATGGTGCTTGATCAAGATCTCCATCGAGAACGGAGGGGTGCCTTCCAGGATGACAGGGATTGATTCCTCCCCGTCTGCCTCTTCCTTACAGAAGCCATAAATATGACCAGGCGATTCAAAGCGCGCAGAAGGAAGAGGATTGACTCGCTGTGTGACAACAAGAGGGTCCCGTCCCTTTTTGCCCTGGTCATACAGGCTATCGCTGATCTCCGCGAATTTGTATGTATAAGATCCAGCTTCCTTAGTGTCTAGCTCCACGGTTGCCAGATTGAGAGCAGATCTTAATGTCTTAACACGGGCAGAGCTTCCGCCAGCTTGGCTCTTCCGTTGTTGTTCATAACGGAGACTGTATGGCGGTGAACCAGAAAACCTCAGTTCAAGAGCGTCAGTGTCACCCTCACAAACATCACGTTTTGCGATCGGACCATCATGCGCAGGAGAACCATCGACAGCGGTAATGCTAGGTCGAGGAATCCAAGACACGTCGAACACCTTTGCTGACTGTTCGACTGTACCGGTGCATGAAGCATCCATTACCTCAAGGAGTTCATAGCGACCTTCTTCCCGAACGGAAATGACGCTGTTCTCGTTCCACAGTGTCTTCTCAATGACCGGTGAGGACTCCGCGGCTATATTCTTGTATTTGATATGCCAGGGCCCTTCACCACCGAGTCTGACGGGAAGTTCGACAGTCGCGTCTTCTAGCGCTTGGACATTCCTCGCCCTATCGATCTGGCCAAAAGCAACGTGTGGTTTCTTCGAGCGAGCCTCGATTTTAATTTCGTCCTTGAGGACTCGCTTGCAATTGGACTTGTCCTTGACGCTTGTCAGCGCGAGAGTATAGGCTCCACCACTAACAAGCTTGTCGGTCACGATCGTCGCCATTTCACTTTCACTCTTGAGGACATGTTTTGTCTTTCGACCGTTGTGGACAACTTCATACTCGAGATTCCAGGGTGACTCGCCGATGAATGAGACGTCAACAGAGATCGGCTCTCCGAAACATGCCTTGCGCACTTGCTTTGATCCAACAATATGAGCAGACGCAGGAGGCTTCACGTCCTGTTCCAATACAGGAACTTTGTCTTTCAAGGATCGAGGCTCATAAACACTGTCTGCGATATCCAAAAAGCGGTACTTGTAATGGCCAGCTTCGGAGGGCGTAAGCTCGAGCCGACCCCTCAGTGAGTCGATAGTCTGCAAGCGCGTCTCTACTCCCTTTGAAGATTCGATATTATACCGAAGGCGGAATGGTGGAGATCCAACCAGATCCAAATCAGCGACTATTCCGACAGCATTATTCGCACATTTGTCAAAAACCTTCTCGTGTCTAACTGTTAGCTCTGGTTCAGGAGGGTTGTGCAGCAGACAGGACGACGGTTCGAGGACTTCTCCAGAGCAGAATTGGCTAGAAATTGCCTTGAGGCTGTACCAGCCCGGGTCCCTTATGCGAGGCTTGTGTGCAAGATTCCGCAATGATACCTGTCGACTTTTTGTAGGTTGTTCATCGTTTTCAGCATCAGCCTGATTGAAAGAATATGCCAGAGTGAAAGGCGCGTCCTGTCCATAGGCTTCGCCAGACGCATGAAACTGGATAGGAAGCTCTACGGTCTCATCCTTCGCGACCTCCAGAGGACGCTGCTCGTTGCACCCATGAAGTGAAATGCGTGGTCTCTCGTGGACAGAAAATTGATGCCACTGGGGGGCTGTCTTGGTCAGGGGTCTATCCGCTTCATCTAGATGCGAGTAATTCGCAACGTTTCCGTAGGCGTCGTGGACTTCTTCAATTGCGTAGAACCATTGACCGTACACATTGAGCGATTCATTCAGAGGCACCTCAATTTTCTGACTGTGAGCCCAGGACAAATCGAGCACAGGATGCTGCGTAGGGGTGTCTTCCGATTTGACCACTGACGAGTGTGAATTCTCCGGCTGGATACTTTGGAAAGAGAAACCGCGATCAAGTTGGTTCACTTTCCGACTATATTTGATTTTCAGCGGAGGAATCCCCTCCACCTCTAACATGAGGTCCGAGAGCTCTCCCCTGCACTTGTGTGTTTGCGTGTTTTTAATATGGGCTTTGGGACACGAGGCCACTAGAGAATTCAAAGACCGAGTTCGCACTTCGAGCTTTGATTCATCCACAACTTTCTGCAGGCGATAGATGCCGGTTTTCTTGACCGGAAGAAGGAGGTCGCGATGTGTTTCCGCATCCGAAGCAGTGCGCCTCTTGTCTGCCTGACGTTTTAGTTGCTTTAGTTGCTTCGACGGAATAACCACGGTCTCATTTTCGCCGGTTGAGAGGTCAAAACGCAAGAGCTCGATAGCAATGGGATTGGTCTGATTGATCCGGATGGGCAAGGTGACAGAGGATCGTGCAGAGTCAATGCACAGTGGAATTCGATCTGGATTTAGTGAAGCAGACCTGATGATATTAGCTAGGACCTAGACTACCGTTCCACCGGACTCACCCCTCAGGTAGAATGTGAACGATCTGCTTTCCCAGAATCAGAGATGCATTATGCAGAATGTCTGCTGGTTTGACTTTCCGCTCCGAGATCGATAATTCCCTGTCGTATGCCACTTTTACCATGCCAGCAATCCATGTTCCCAGCGGAAGCTGTTTGAGATCAAGTCAGATAATTGTAACACATGGCTAAGAGAAAGCAGCTGTCCAAACTTACCGGTATCCGAAACATCAGAAACACATTAGCAGCAGCATGGAGCAGAAAGACCGCTAACGTCGTCGGGAATGCCCATTCCAACCAAGGTATCCTCAGTATCTGAAGGCCGAAGAGGAAGAGTCCGTCAACGAAGATCCATTTCAAGAAGAGCCATGTCGAATCCAATTCATCGACTGCGCGACTGCCCTCGATCAGCCGCCAGGCATTCAATGCCACATAGATCGCTACCACATAAAGTCTCTGCGAAGGAGCATCGATGACCTCGAACGGTATTAGAGGAGCATCCTTATGTGAGGAGGGCGTTGGAAGCGATTTTAGCTCCTTCACCGGACGCGCCACAGCTTTAACCGGAGTGTCGTCATCTTGTCTCTTTCGACGCGTTTGGGGGGTCTGTGGAAAGGCAGACCTGAGTCGCGGGGTTGCGCTCATCGCATGCTTCGAGTCCCGGGTCTAGTCTGCGTGATTGTGTTGTATCAAGCTGCGAAGGGTCAGCTACTTTGGGCCTTTGAGAAACATTAACGCGTTGCGTTGAAGCGGTGCTGTGTAGGTTATGTACGCACCAGACTTTTTCATGGATAGCGGGCGGGAATAAGGGGGACTCCTGGAGTCGGCTTCGACTCTTGCACAAGGAGCCAGCGGATGCAGCAATTGCAACCTCTTTGTGCAATTAACGAATAGACAGAATCGTGGGAGAACAGGCGCTGCTTCAATTCGATACTGGACAAAAAGTCGCGCTAAGCGGCTAAACAAAACCTGTCTAGGCCGGGAGCTGCCCGTCGCCAAAGCTATCATAACATATTTCCCGACCGACCTGATCACCCGCCCGACCTGATCACCCCAAACATGTAGATGAAATACTGTCCGATTTTACTACCAAAATAGTAGTATAATTTAACAATATCCTATTGCTATATTAATTAGGATATCTAACTCTAGTATGGCCCCTAATATTATAATTTAAATATATTAGCAGCGCCCGCTGGCGCGGCTATATAATTAAATTGCCTATTTGCTCTATAGTGCTAGTAAGAGCTTTGCTGGCTTTATTATTCTTTTATATAAGAGTTTAATCTTCTTTAATATTTAAATCCTATATAGTACTTATTTAATAATTAGATTATTATTTTTTTTGCTAGAGTTCTTTATTAGCTAAGTATAGATTTTAATTCTTATATATTATAAAGATTTTCTCACTTATTAAGTATTTATATTATTAAATAAAATAATTTAGAACTAGCTAATTAGAAGATAGAGGATTTTAGATTTATTTTTTAAGTAAGCCTTAAAGTATAGTTCTATATTTCTCTAAATCTTTATAATTCTATAATATTTTAGATAAAGAAATTATAGAAGCAGTTAACCGGCTTTCTAATAATATAAGAGTATTTAATTAAATAATAAACTATTTAAGCACTTTGTCTAAGTTAAAAGAGATTAAACTAGTTGCTTTAAATCTGCTTTTAATTATATTTAAAATAAATATTTAGATATAAGCTTTAAGATAAATGCTTAGAAAGTTAAGCTTATTGATATAATTAAACCCTTACTAATGCTTATCTTAAACTAAATAATTATATGCTTCTTTTAAAGGTTTAAAGCAGCTAATATTTAAAGGTTAATAGAAAGCTAATAAGTATATTAATATATAGACTAAAATAATATTATATTTACTATATATCTTATTAAATTTTAAGATTAAATAACTGCTATACCTGTCTAGAATAAAAAGTAAATATTATCTAGTCTTCTAGCAAGCTACTTAAGGTATAAAAACTTTTTTAAGCTAGTATAATTTAATCTAGTCTATAGTCTAACTATTATTATTAACTTTAATTCTTTAGTTTTTTAATATATTAGGATCCTTATACTAGCCTTAAATATAGGTTTTATCTTTAAAGATAATATATAGCAGTATTACTTAGCCTATAGAGTTAATATATTTAATTAATATAATCTATTTATAATTCTCTAGTTAGATAACTTAATATCTTTTATAATATTTAGCTTATATTACTATCTTAGCAGTAGTAATAAAGCCTATTATATATCTAGTTTTATTAAAGTTATAGATATCTTTATCTGTAATCTTATATTTTATTTTAGTTATTTAAATACTATTAAAATAGAGTTTTATAATTTTTAGATTTTTATATTTAGCTTATTAATAGGTATATTATCTAAAATAAATATTTTTTAATTTAGGGCAATATTTAATAAATATAGATGCCTAGTTCTTCCTTAACTAAACCCCGCTATCTTAATCTATAAAAAAATTATCTATCTCTTAGATTTATATAGGCTAAAGACTTAATCTCTATAAATCTATAAATAATATTTATTATATAAGTAATTTCTATTATACTTTATTTAATTTAAATATATTATTAGGTATATTATAGCAAAATTAATATCCTTAAAGTCTTATTTAAAGGGTTATATATAAAATATTAAAAATTAACGCTGCCTTTTATATAGAGAGAATTTAATCTTTTTTTAAAGCTTTAATTGCTAATAAGATTCTCTCCTCCTATTTAATATGATTTTTTAATAAAATAAGCTTTTTTAGTAGTATAGTAAGTAGTTGAATAAAACTGATTTAATAATCGCGAAGGAAGCTCATAGGGTAATCAGGTCGGGCGGGTAATCAGGTCGGTCGGGAATTACGTTAAGTATAGCGCTAACTAAGCACGGCAGCCCGCCCGCTTGGCGCTTACCATTTCCTATTCTAATATGCAGTCTTTATCTGATTCTAGCTTCACTTATTAATCTAGTCATCTATTTTCCTGTTTAGATATAAATTTTAAGTGAGAAAGTATATTCTTTAGCTTCTCGATGGTTATAATTTAATATTTAAATGTTTTAATTATTTTTAGCTGTTTTTAGCTGTTTTTTATTTAAAAATTTGATACCCCCTTTTCTTTGCCTTAATATAAATATATATATATATATATATATATATATATATATATATATATGTTTTATTATTATGTTATTTTAACTTATCTTTTTAAGGAGAGGCCATTCAGATTAACTGATACACAAATATCAATTTCATATTGCCATTGGCAAACATCCAATTCATCGCTTGCGGTTGCTGCGCCAGTATCAGCCGACCAGCTGTCCAATAGCAAGCTACTTCTCAATACGGTCAACCAACACTCTATGTACAACATACAAATATAACCCCGGCCATTTTCAATTGTACCATAGAGAAGGAAGACGAGGATTTCCTTCATTCTTCGGTCTTCCTGTCAATCCGTCGCCACTCTTCGTCTTCGAACACTCATCACCATGGCTCCGCCGCGCGCTAAGAGAAGACGCGTGGGAGCTTCGTCGAAGACGACGTCTGGTCTCGATGAGAGGATCTATCCTAAAGATCCGCTTGTTCCTATTAGTGATGAGGTCAAGGATCGATGGAATGGGTTTTGTGAAATAGAATCTGAGCCGGTAGGGTGACCCCTTGCGAGTCTGATGGGGGTGGTGAGAGAGAGAGATATATATATATTCATGCGCAGGACAATGGATATGGATATGTATATGTCTATACTTCCTGCATCAACCCCAGAAGACACACCCACCAGATCTCATGCTTACACACATACAGGCTCTATTCAGTGTCATGCTCCGCGAGTTCGGAGTGTCAGGCATCAAAGTGCAAGAAGTCATCTCACTCGACGAAGAAATCATAGCGTCTCTACAGTGCGTCACGGGAGCCCCAACCCCCCTTGGTCAACCATATATCCCGATCTAACAACCGGTTCACAGCAAACCTGTTTACGGATTGATTTTTCTATTCCGCTGGCGAGAAGAGGAAGCAGATAAGCAAGAAGCAAGCTGTCCAGATGGTCTCTGGTTCGCGAATCAAGTTCGTTTTTTAACCCCCAAGTACCTTGGCCCCCTCACTGACATCTAGCAGACCACACACAATGCCTGTGCCAGTGTTGCTCTGCTAAACATCGTCAATAACATAGATTCTCTCGATCTGGGAGAGAAGTTGCAGAGATTCAAAGATTTTACGATGGATTTCACCCCAGCACTGCGAGGTGATGCCATAAATAACTTTGAGTTCGTTAAGAGGATACATAATTCTTTCGCACGGTGTGTTTCCTACCCATGTTGAATGCAAATAAAGAGTAACGAACACTGATGCCTAGATAGGAAGATGGATATGCTCAACTCTGACCTACAACTTAAAAATGAATCGACTTTCAAAAGATCGAGAGGGTCAAAGAAGGGTAATGCCTCTGCAGACTTCGAGGCTGGGTTCCACTTCATTGCCTTTGTACCGGCTATGGGGAAGGTGTGGAAACTCGACGGACTAGAACGGCAGCCGCAGGCATTGGGTATGTTTTGAATACCCTGCATGCATATCTCCCGGTGGCTAACATTCCCAAGGGCTATGCTCCGAAGAGGACTGGATGGACCTAGTAAAGCCGATGATCCTCTCCAGGATGTTAGAGTATGAGGAGGACCAAATCGAGTTCTCTATTCTCGGTGTCGTTCGGGATCCTCTGGTCGACTACATAGCTCAGTTAGCACAGAACGTGAAAGCCCTTCAGAGGATAGACACGAAGCTGGCCGAGCGCGGTTCAGAGCCAGGATCCCATGATAGCCAACCGAACGTTATCCTTGGACCTGACGCGTCTCTCCGCCTCACGGAAGCCGACATAGACAATGCCACAATACCCGCTGCGGAAGCTGAGGAGTATGAATTGGCCTCGGCAGAAAACCTCCTCCTCCATCGACAAACACTCGTCTCCCTGCAACAGAGCATAAGACAGTCTATCAACGGGGAACTACAGTCTCACCAAGAGGAAGATGACTATGCCAGTGGGAGGAGGCACGATTACGGTCCTGCGGTTCGTGCGTGGATTAAGAAACTGGCACACAGGCAAATAATCCAGGAATTGGTCAAGAAGTCGCACTAGATAGCCGTGAGAGTATAACAGGGGAAAGTTACCGAGTCGCTAATGAAAGGTCATGCGTGATACGAAGCTAGCAGGCTTATATTGGTCACATTGAAATATGCAGCGCTCTCACAGATAGAAGACAATATGACTCCCCTGAAATTGAATAATAGTCTACAGAAGAGGTAGTCCCTGGTGATGAAAACCGAACCGGCACCGAGAGACGGCAGATGTATGTCCAAACACTTAGACGCCAAGCAGCATCCTGCGAGGATCTTCAATGTATTCCTTGATCTGAATAGAAGGTTAGTGGGACGGATTCTGCGACCCAGGAATAAAAAACGAACCTTAACAAGGAAGGTAACGGCTTCCCGTCCGTCCAGAAGACGGTGGTCGTAGGTCAAAGCAAGGTACATCATCTGCCCAGAAGTTAGCGATGCCAATCTACTATAGTATACACCAGCGAGTATAGGACGTACAGGTCGGATTTCCACTTTTCCGTTGATGGCGACGGGCTTCTCCTTGATCGCATGGAGACCGAGAACAGCTAAACCGGGTCAATACAAATACTACCGGACGTACTATAAAGGATGCGATCTCACCTGTCTGGGGAAGGTTGATAATGGGGGTTCCCATGAGGGATCCGAAGACACCGCCATTGCTGATAGTGAAAGTACCACCGGCCATATCCTCAATGGTCAACTTGTTGTCGCGCGCCTACAACCAGAAGTCAGTGATCAATCACGGATGAAGCTGAGTACCTCTCATTACCTTTTTACCGAGGTTAGCAATAGCCTGCTCAATGCCCACAAGGTCCATTGTCTCAGCGTTGCGGACAACAGGTGTAACAAGACCCTTTTCCGTCGCAACTGCCACGCTGATATCAACATAGTCCCTGTACACAATGGTGTCACCTCCGTTCGGGCCCTCAATCGAGGCATTCACGGCAGGGATTTCCCTCATGGCGAGAACACTGGCACGAGAGAAGGCACTCATGAAGCCGAGCTTGACACCCGTCTTCTTCAGAACATCGTCCTTGTACAGCTTGCGGAATTCCATCAACGAAGACATATCGACCTCGTTGAAGGTGGTCAGAGAAGCGGCGGTGTTTTGGGACTGCTTGAGACGTTCGGCGATTCTCAGGCGCATGCGGTTCATTTTAACCTAAAGGTGCATTAGCAAGAAGCGGAGGGAAAATAAAAGAGCGATGCTCAATGGTCACTCACTCTACGCTCCTCACGGCTTCCGGGCTGGGGCTGCTGGGTAGTCTCAGGCTGCTGCTGCTGCTTCTGTGCAGGGGGCTCGGGCTTCGGTGCGGATGGGGCCTTGGGCTTCTCCTCAGCGGGCTTGGGAGCTTCGGTCTTCTGCTCTGGCTTGGGCTCCTCCTTGGGGGCCTTCGGTTCAGCTGGCTGCTTCTGGCCTTCCCCAGCCTCCTCCTTCTTTGGCGGCGCCGGCTCGCCTCCAAGTTCCAGTCTGATAATTTCCTGGCCAACCGTGACGGTGTCTTCCTCGTTCACCAAGAATTCCTTTATCGTACCCGACTCGGGAGCATTGACGGAAACATCGATCTAGAAGTGTATAAGTCTTCTATACGACCGTTTTGACCGCTCAATCCATGACTGCTCACCTTATCTGTTTCGATGGTAGCGATCTCCTCATCCCGCTCGACGTAATCGCCAATCTCTAGAACCACGTCAGGCTACCACCTCCAGATATATTTAAAAATGTGGGGAACGTACGCTTGGAGAATTGCTTCAGTGTGCCTTCCGTAATCGACTCAGCCATCGAGGGGACCTTGACAATGGTATCGGCTGTGTCCACTATGTCAGTCGCAGCGAACAGGCGTGTTTTTCTGTTTATCGGAAGATGGCTTTACCGTAGGTGCGGACCTGGGTGCCGCCCAGAGAGAACAAGTTCGACTCGAGGTTTGCTTTAGAACCGCTGTTTCCAGCATCAGTCAAGCACATCGACAGAGCTGCATTATCCATATATTCTTTCCTTACCTCAGCAGCGCAGAACGCATAGGCTTGGAGACCGGGCGGACAGCAGCACCGCGTCCCTGCAGGGCAAGGGACGACAGAGATCTCGAGGCTCCGACATGAAGACTGCGAGACCTCTGCGCCAGACGCGCAGCAGTCATTAATTGTTGCTCCTGCAAGCGGTAAAGCGGTAAACGAGACGCCATGGTGTTTTTATAGCTGGTGGAAGAAACTGGACCGTAGGCTCGACCAATGGAAACTGCAAGGCCTGATGAGATAATGTGATAAAGCTTCGCGTCCAATGGTCAGATTATATACTGCGAAAGTATATTAGAACCAGAGGAGTCTCCTCGCGCTTCAGGCTGGTTGTGATGAAAGAACGGTGGTGACCGGAATCTAAGAGAAGAGATCGAAGAGCTGGACTAAGTGACGAACGAGCTGGGGCGGGCCGAGCGAACCGGGACTTCCCTCAGAGAATGATGCTCTTCCATGCGCCCGGCAAATCACACGAATCCCGACTCAGCATTATTACGCGGGATTACATTTACCAGTACGCTACTCCGTAAACGACGCTCTACGGCGAACAAGATAACACTCCTGCGCACTTCTTCTCTTGTGCTCCTCATCGGACATCCAGCTTTCCCATCGACGGTTCTAACCGGCAAGGACAATTCGACGCCATACCCAATTCCCCAAGTCTACGGTCTGGGCGCCGGATATATCGTGCGCGGAAACGAACGAGAAGTGCTGTCCTGGTGGCTTCAGAAGATAAACTCGCATCCAAGCCCTGTCGTTCACACACTCCTTCCCATCATGTCATTCAACCAGGCAGCGTATGTGATCGTCTTGGCTTATAGTTTTGAGACCTATCTGTGCGCGATTGACGTCTAATGCGGTCAATTAGGTCTCTCTATCGACGGAGCTTGAAGCTGGCGCTTGATTGGGCTGTCCACAGACACATCTGGCGTGGCCAGGCCGTCTATATTCGATCCCTCTTCGAAGCCAACAGAAATGTTCGGGATCCGCGTCAGCAGAAGGTGCGCATCTTCCCCCCTGCTCTTATGCGACAACATGGCTGATACCCCTGGAATATAAAAGGTTCTTTTCAGAGAGACGGAGAAGTTGCTAGAGGGCTGGAAGCACCCTGACCCGTACAGAGCACCCACTGCACCTGGTGGTATGTACACCCAATCATCTGATATTCACAGCGTCTATTCTGTGCTGCTGACATTTCCTCCAGGTTCGAAATACGAGAGAAACCTTCCTGCTCGCGAATTGCCTTGTATGTTTAATTCGTCCCCGTTGCCCTATGTGGCTTCCCTGTTTTAACATGACCTATAGATGCGGAGAGACATGCCCATTAGATTTCCTGCGACGAGGAATTTACTCGATAGTAACCATCTGAAGAAAAAGGGTGTACATTGGCGGTTGAGCGTGGGAATTGAATGTTCAAATTATGTTTTCCTCGATAAAATCTATACCAAACGCTAGATTGAGGCGCGTTTACTCTGGTCGAGTTGGGGTGTTTAATAGCCAATCATACGAGACTATAAACTAAGCAGCGAAAGTAAAATAAACAGCTACAGATATATATATATATATATATATATATATATATGATTACGGAGTATAATATCAAGTATGATTCATAAAAAGGGTGACATTCCAGGCGTGAGCTATCCACCATAGATGCTCTAAAAGACACGAAGCAGAGAAATCCTTCTGCGAGTTTCTGGCATCATTCCATGTCCGTAGACATAATGTACAACCATTAAAAACAAAGTCAAAGAGCCATAAACGTGCCAAGCCCAAACCCCATTACCGCAAAGTAAACCTAACCACGCCGAACAAAAACACGAAGAGAAATTGCCTACAGCTCCTGGCTCGGGTTCTTTCCACTCTTGGGGGTCTTCTTGGGAAGAAGGTCTGAGAAAAGGATCGTTAGTATTCACTTCGAAAGTGAAAAGTAATGGATCTGAGATAAACTTACTCTGGTGGATGTTGGGCAGAACACCACCCTGGGCGATGGTGACGTGACCCAGAAGCTTGTTCAGCTCCTCATCGTTACGGATGGCGAGCTGAAGGTGACGAGGGATGATACGGGTCTTCTTGTTGTCACGGGCGGCGTTACCAGCCAACTCGAGAATTTCAGCAGCGAGATACTCGAGGACGGCAGCCAGGTAGACGGGGGCACCTGTCATTCAACATTAGTATCACACAATCTTGCGACAAACCGTGATCATCAGGGATACTCACCAGCACCGACACGCTGGGCGTAGTTACCCTTGCGGAGAAGACGGTGAACACGACCGACGGGGAAGGCGAGACCAGCCTTGGACGAACGCCTGGGAATGATGTTAGGATTTTTGGATCAATGAACGCGTCATGTATACAACACGATCGCGACTGGGGAAATGATGGGGAAAACATACGACTGCGCGTTCTTGCTGCCACTGGCCTTGCCACCAGACTTGCCTCCAGTCATTTTGATTTAGGGGATGGGTGAAAATGGGTTTTTGGTTTTGGTGATAGATGGTTGTCAGAGACAGTGCTAGACAGGCAGGCCGAAGAGTAATAGTCGGAGGAACAGAATGCAGGTGTGTGAGAGGGCAGTGTGGAGGCGTAGAGGACATTTATAAGACCAGCGCGAGGGTGACGTTGGGCCCAGGAGCATGCCTCCAGATCACCCTCTCGCTTAGTCGGGCGGGCCAATCAGCAGGCGGATCAGACGTTCTGGCGGGTGGGCAGAGGCTGGCGTCTCTGGGAGAATGTGCCAGGCTAGCCGTGTCGGCGGCGGCCAACGCGCGCTAGCCGGCTGGATTAGAGGATTCTTGCTGCTGCTGCCAGTGCAGGGTTGGCTCCCGATCAGGGTAGGCGCCGTATTGTAATCCGTTACCCGCCCTTTCGTCGCGCTTGTTGTGGTGCGCCGCCTGCCACACGTCGTCTGACGCGTCCGCGCATTGCTAATCATACAGATCATACCACCCTGTTACCGTATTGAAATTCCGTCGCTTTTGCACACCTAGGATCAACCGGCTCTTTCGCCGACCTCTATAAGTACGCCACCCCCCTCATCCACCGCGAGTTCTGTTTCTTCCACTTATCCATCCATCTTCCATCATCAACTCACGCTTCACCTCGACGTGATAACTCTCAGCTTTACATCCACTAATTTCGCCAAATTTAATCTCCCGTCAAATTTCAGACAAAATGCCCCCCAAGGCCGCTGAGAAGAAGCCCTCCACCGGCGGAAAGGCTCCCGCCGCTGGCAAGGCTCCTGCTGAGAAGAAGGAAGCTGGCAAGAAGACTGCCACCGCCGCCTCTGGCGACAAGAAGAAGCGTGGAAAGACCCGCAAGGAGACCTACTCTTCCTACATCTACAAGGGTGAGTTCCATCAACAATGGACGCGTCTTAACGCGTCCATCGTATCTGCACTTCGCGTTTCAGCATCGCTAACATGAATTCGAATTCCAGTCCTCAAGCAGGTCCACCCTGACACTGGTATCTCCACTCGTGCCATGTCCATCCTGAACTCTTTCGTCAACGGTATGTTTGTTTTTTCCATCTTAACCATCTGATGGTCGAGCCTTCGAATGCTAATGACGCGTCTTTTAGACATCTTCGAGCGTGTTGCGACCGAGGCTTCCAAGCTCGCTGCCTACAACAAGAAGTCCACCATTTCTTCCCGAGAGATCCAGACCTCTGTGAGGCTCATCCTCCCCGGTGAACTTGCCAAGCACGCTGTGTCGGAAGGCACCAAGGCTGTCACCAAGTACTCTTCTTCCGCCAAATAGGCTGCTTTGTCTTTTTATTCCCAGGGTTGTCTTGTTTTGTTCTTTTGCCTTTATGGTCTGCCGTGGCTATGCGGTTGGTTACCGGGTGTTAGTGGGATCTCTAATGTGTCATGGGACGGCTGTTATTTCATGGGCCGAATGTCTTTATGGGTGCAATTTTAAAGGTGGACAGGGTGTAACATAACTAGGGTCCTCTGTTCTGCCTTTCTAGAGCTCCAAATCAAACTCACTTTAGTGCACGATTTATGTATTCTGGACATGAAATCAATTGTTGAATTGGCTACTGCAAATATTTGGGTATTTCTGTTTTACTGCATTTCTTGATCCGCCTGCGCCTGATATCTAGCCCTTCAAGTTGGGACCGGATCTCCGTCTTGCGAATGATCCTCTTCATCCTCGTCATCCTCGTCGAGTGTCTCGACCTCGTCCAACGCGCCCTCTCGTTCATAGGGGTGATTCGACACTGCTTCACTATCGTAGATGTGAACTATGGGCTTTCCTTGGACAGATGAGACGCGTTTGGTCCAGTCAGCCCAGTCTTCCTCGTCCTTGATAAGGAATCCAATCAGCATGCTCGGGTCCATGTCTTTGATATGCAGTCTTCTCAATCGGCGGGTGTGGTAAGTGTCTAGTTCTTCTTTGTTGTAGGCTGTATCATTCCCATGATATGGAAGGGCAGGACGAGTATGATGGGGATCCAGGTAGAAGAAGTAATCCCCCTGGACTCCAACGAAGTAATGAGATGCTGAGGGTCGGCCCCTTTGGATAGTATGGTCAGTGAGTGGGTAATGGACGATCAGGAAATACTATCTTTGGAACCTACCCTGCTATGCCTACCGATTGCGGATATTGCAGGATGGCTTTGAGCCCTTCCCAATATGCAGGGGTAACGCGATCAATGCCCAGTCTAAGACCTAGTAGGATCAGTGTCGGGGTGATATTCCCAGAGTCCCCTCGTGCGATTGCTCTGAATTTATCTTCGTATACATCTGAGGTATCACTTGTGACATAGACGTTCAAGCCAGCGTCATGACATTCCCTTGACAATGCCCTGCTATCTGTGAGCTTCCATGCGGGATAGTATCGGGGTTTTTGGTGATCTCATACTGTATGCACCTCGCAGTTGCAGAGGGTCCGAACCACTCTCCTGGGTATTTGCCGCATGAGGAGGCGCCCTGCTGTACGAAGCGATGTATCGAGAAGGGTGCGCTGGGATGGTCTGCAAAGAGCGATAGTAGTCTACTCTCCTCTTGGGATCGAGAACCCCGACGCCAGTCTGGGTAATCGTTAGTATGTCAGTCAATGAGTATAATAGCAATAGTGAGTGTGTCTTTTACCGCGTCCCAGCCACAGGAGTGACAATGCGTTTGCGAGAAGGCTCTGGCCGGATCGTATCATGCAACCCCATCCAGTGTCAGATGTAAACCCCTGTGACTCCATGAGCTGGCTCCGCAGGCGCACGCCCAGTGTCAGCGAGGATAGGGCATTTGGATCCTCGGATTTCGGGATGATGGGAAAGTTGGAGCGGTACGTGAGCCAGATACGCGACTCCATGTCATCGAGAAAGGCATCTGGCCAGCCGTTGTCTCTTCCCTCGTCGGATCTTGCGCCGGTGTGAGCATCCTCGGGCCTGTCGCTGATCTTGCATACAGGGGCCGGGATTTCGGACTCTGTAGGATATTGAGGGCCGGACGTGGGTGCGGTACCGTTGCCCGTTGAGTCGTTCGCGATCACAGCTTTCTTGGCTGGAGGTGACGGTGAGGCATATTCCCGGCCGAGGCACCATATGGATGAACCGGTCTCATCGTCGTTTTTTGGCTCCGGGTCCCAGAAATATTGTACTATGCGCTTGTAGCTGCCCAGGTCGACGTTGTTCATGTCTGGAGTGTGTGGTGGATGGATGTTGGATACTCGTGAGGTTCACTGGGCATGCATACAGTACATGTAAATATATATATATATATATATTTGCGGATGCATGGTAGCGAGCACATGCTGCAGCATTGTCGCCCCAAGAAAATATAACTCACCAGAAACAGACCTCCAATACCAAACAATGTGAGCTAGACAAGAGATAGGAAACAAGATCACTTAAAACTGCCGCCTCAGAGGCACAGGAAGTCGCATGCAGTCATGCAAAGATAGCAAGGGTGATCAAATCAAGGGACAGGACGTCATTCCCGACCCCGCAAGAGCTGAGAGAGCGTATCAACAAACTGCCTCCAAAGCTCTTTTACAGAGAAAACGCGATCTATCTGTGCCAGGAGTACAAGTCCAGTATAGGAAAATAAAACAAATCAATAAATACAAGAAGTTGTATCTACAACTCACAGGAGCAAGTCATGCCGCCATGATCACGGGTGGGGGAGTGAATGGCTGCCTCAGCGCTGCCTTGGACCTTCGCCCCACCTGCGCCTGTCAGCCCCGATAATAATAATAATCAACCAACTTGAAGAATCACTTCCCGGCCATACCGACTTTCTTGACCCCCCGGTTTCTTCTGACCACTGTCAACAGCACCCAGACCACGCAGAACAGCACAACCAGGTCGAGCCTGGCACAACAGCAATGTCACTGTTCCCCGGAGCTGGACAAGTTTGACACGTCCCGGCTCCTGGCTGGACCGAGAGCACCTCGACGCAGTCGCCACATTGGGTCTGCTAGGGGGACAGATTTTTTGCTGCCACCCACTGCCGGACCTGGATTGTTCCCAAGCAAAAAAACCATGGCTCGTTCCGGGAAGGCAAAGGCACGCTCCAGACGCTCTGGGTTTGCTGCGATGACTTCTCGCGTCAATTCACACTGGGCTGGGTCACCGCACCCATCCACGCATAGTGAGCTGTGCCTTCCCGACTACAACCAACGAGATACTGACATGAGGGCTTGCGCAGACGATACCGAATCCCAACTTACCATGCAGCAGGAGGCACATAACACAGGAAGACACAGTGTTTCCTGGGAGACCTCCCAACTGCGCTTCAACAAAGTCAACTTTGTGAAGGCCGGCAGTATGTACTTGGACAAGCTTAACGAAGAAACAGCAGAACCACAGCAGGAGTCCCGGGAGACGGACGCAGAGACACAGCCTAAACACGAAACAGCAACAGATACCATCGATGGAGCAGAGGACACTGGGAACACGCTATTTTTCGTCGATAGTCTTGGTGATAAGCCTGCCACGACTGGGCTCCTCGACCCGGTCGCCCGGCTAGAACTCTCGAGTGCGGAGGATTCCAGTGAGGACGAGGTTGTCTTTCCCGGCAGAAATGCCCGTAGCGAAGGGCATCCTAGTTCTCGTGAGAAGTCTCGAGAGGGTGTCCGCAAGTATGACGACGATGTTGGCAATTTTTTGTCTCCAGCAGTCAGTGGAAATGTCAAGCCCGTGGATCAGAAGCAATTAGATACCGAGCGTGCTGATCCTGGCCACGGTACATCTTCCGCCATCGATACTGGATCAGATTCTGTCGGGCAGAGCTCACAACTCCATGCGCACAGCACGACCGGCGAACCTGGAATCACTTCAAAAAGAGCGGAAACAGGAATTATAGAATTCAAGCAGGTTGATATCCTTGCGGATTACATCGAGAATATAGATCCCGAATACCTGGGTGCTGGGTCCGATCAGGATCGCGAGGGATGGAACACAGATAATGCGCTTGATTCATCGGACTCGGATGATGAAGGTCAACTACCAGACGGCCAGGCTTCCGAGGTCATTGTTGGCAAACAAGAACGGAAATCCAAAGGAAGCAGGAAATCAGACATCGTGTCCTCCGGTGACGAGTCAATGAGTTACTCAAGTTCTGAACTCGAGGGCGACGACATGCCTTCTGAACGTGATGAGCAAAGTCTGGCTGGAGAAGAATCCGAGGATTACAGCGACGAACAACTCGCACGTGCCCTCCAGATGCAAGAAGGACTAGGAGTTACGCTCGATGAAATAGTACTGTTCGACTCGATATCGAACCCTAGGATGTCGCGAGTCTCAAACCCCAAACCCGGGAAATCTGATGGACGGTCAAGACAGAAGAACAAAGCCTCGAGAGAAAGCATGTTCGTGTCGGCGTCGGCTTTGGCGGATGCCCTCGACGAGGATCCTTACCATGGCTTTGATATCATGGATTTTGATAGGCCCAGTCTCAGGAAGAAGCCGAAGGGAAGGCGTCGGGGCATCAATTTTGAGCTATCCGACAGTGAAACCGAAGAACAACTAGAAAGGGCATGGCGAAACGACCGGGAAAGGAAGAAGATCAAGAAGCAGCAAAGGGAGGAACTTCGTTCCCAAGGGTTGCTAGGCCGCAAACCCGGGAAGCTCGATATGAAAGCCAAGTACTCCAAGGGCATCAGCATTGACAACGTAAGGTCGGAGATAAGGTCCTTTCTCCTGTCATCAGCGGAGAGGTATTGTTTTTACCCCCTCTAATTTGATTTCTACGTTCGTAACTAACTTATGTCACAGTCTTCCCCTGCCACCGATGGGTAAGGAATACAGAAAATTGGTACATGAGATCGCGAACGCAGTGTCACTGAAGTCTCAATCACGAGGAAATGGCCCCTCCAGATTTCCAGTGCTCTATAAGACGTCTCGGACGCCGAAATTCACGCAGAGGGATATTCCCAACATTGACAAGGCTTTCTCCAGAGGAGGACGCCCAAGAGGTCATGCGGGTGGCAAAGGCACTCAGCCATCGAGCAAAAGGGGTCGACCCAACGCAGCAGCCTCCTACGCGGATGGCGATATTGTGGGCGCGTCTGCGCCGGAAATCGGTGCGGAGAACAAGGGCAGGGCAATGCTCGAGAAAATGGGCTGGAGTAGCGGGACCGCCTTGGGGGCACAGAATAACAAGGGCATACTGCATCCCGTCGCCCATGTTGTTAAGAATTCTAGAACCGGGCTAGGATAATATGGCAAGTTATGCCTAATGTTACTAGAATATCCTGATAGAGTTAACTGTCAATGCATTGGACATATCCAAGACGTCGTTGTTGTGTATCCCTTGGCCGAACGATCGAAGCCGTCGGGCATCGAATCACGGAGATAGTAGGAATACAAGTAGGCACATACACTTCGATAAAAAAATTGATGTCAGAAGAGATCCAGGGACATTCATTTCTATTATCGAGCAGGGAGAAGTCGTCATACTTCCCTTGTACCAGAATATGATGGCAAGCTATCTTGCACGTTCATCGTTTTCGACCCTTTTTAGCAGTCTTAGAAGAGCTCTGCACAGGCTGTGCGTGGTTGAGTGCCCTGATATGATCGAATAACTGAGTCCTAGAGCTAAACGAAGCAGCGCAATTTGCGCATGTTAGCTTTAACTGCTCGTTCTCCTTCTGGGCAGCAGCTTTCTTTGCTCTCTTCAGTTTCGCCTTCCCGATCTTTGGGGGCGCTGATTTAGTTGAATCTTCCAGCCCGGCTTCTGCAAACTGCTTTGAAAGTGCCTCTGCCTCGTCTGCCTCGACCTCCTGGCTGGATAGGAGCTCTGACCGCAGGCGGTTTTCAACGGTCCGGCGAGGGGCATAATCTTCGTCAGTGCCAGAATCGTCTCCATGGTCATCATGTAATTCTGTATCCGTGAGTGGCTGAGTCTTGTCACTTGAAATATTGGTATCTCTATCACTAGTTTGATCATTGTCATCGATAGGATTATCGATTTTGGAATCGACCTCATCACTAGGAGACCCTGGATGTACATCCTCCACTGGCTCGTCTATGGCTTCAGTGGGCCCCAGTTCCAGTTCCCTGTCCTCGTTTCTCATCTCCCAGCGAAGTTGCTTGACAGCCTTGATGTGCTTCTTACTGCGCTCGTGGGCCTGGAACTGTTTTTCGCTCTTAAAACTTTTCCGACAGACCACGCACTCATACTGTTCCTCTTCGGAAAGTGACTGATCGCTATCGTCCTCTTCTTGTTCTTGCTCCTCTGTCATTGCCCAGTCGGGAACAATGTGATCCTTCAACCTAGCCTCATTCGCTGCCCGCGATCTGGCCGCTTGAGCGGCGGCGGATTCTCGAAGCATCTGTTGTCGTTGGGCTTCATTGACAGCGTTCGCTTTATAGCGAGGATCGCGTTTCTTTGCAAAAGCAACGAGTGACCTCACGGCATCATTAAATTCGCGGATACCTTCATCCCTGAGACGTCGATTCTCTTTCTCCATAAGCCTGCGAACCCGTCGGTCAGGTGCCTCACTGTATCGATAGACATCCTTCCATGCAAATGTTTTTTTGGTGGCAAATCCAGCCCATGCGGCATAGAAAGGGCGCACAACCGTATCGAAGTCATCATCTCGATTTCCAAATGACGGATAGTCAACAGGTTCGAGATTTTCCCAGCGACAGGCCATCTCCTCTTGACGAGAGATCCTCTCGAATATTTCTCGTAGACCGCCGTAGAATCCCGAGGACGCATCGGAAAACTCCATTCGCGGACTGAATTTTGAAAATAAAGCGAGCACATCGTCCGCGGTTGTCATTCGGGTATCATAATAGTATTGATTGTCAGATTCCGAGGCGTTCTCTCCCCTCAGGATCGCATCTCGATGTGAGTCGTACCATGCTCGCTCTTGGGGATCAGACAGGACTTCATAAGCCACCTGAACCTCCGCGAATAACTTGGTGGCAGTTTCGACATTTCCGTGATTGCGGTCCGGGTGAAGCTGAAGAGCCTTCTTTCTGTAAGCCTTTTTGATCCTGGCGAGATATTGTGTCAGTATATTTTAGCATAGGACGAATAATTATATGCCCTCTTACTCCTCGTCTGAAGCACTTTGTTCTACATCCAAGAGCTTGTAGTAATCCGTTTTACTCTCCGGAGCCTCATTGGTTGCACCCCCTTGTTGACTTGTCGACTGTCCCTGACCCATACCAGAATGTTCCCCCACAATACCCTGTAGTGACTCGACCGTGAAAACGTTCAAAAAAAAAAAAGAGAGAGAGAGAGAGAGATCGTGTCTTTGGATGCCCCGCATAGCAATGGCGGGCGGGATACAATAATATGGCAGCGAATCAGACTTCGACGCGGTGGCGGAGTTCTGGGCTGCCAAGCTTATCTCCGTCGCGTCATTATTGAGGCTGAGCTTCTATGTACTTATATGAATATTTAATTAACTGGTTGTTGTATCGAGTCCCAAACTAAAGGGAGGGGGGTTTTTTAAATATGAAGGATCTGATAAAGATGTTTTTTTCCTGTATCGATTATTTCAATCATATATAACTTGTGCCATTAGGCCTCAATACATTTCCCACAAGATGGTCACTTCCACCCTCGAATTACAGCCCGTTATCCTTGAGGACATCCCAGCCATCACCGACTTATGGTTCGCGGCCTTTACCGACCCGGACCTACAACGCGTGTTCCCAAACACGCCAGGCGTGCACAAATGGCTCGAAGATGCCAATGCCCACGATCTCCTCAATAAGCCTTTTCAGCGGTACATCAAAGTGATAGACACCGAAACGAAAGATGCCCAGGGCCGCCCGCGGATAGCCGCATATGCTAAATGGGATCTGTCCATGCCTGAAGAACGAGGGCGACGCTATCCCCCATGGCATGAAGAAATGCCCGCTGAGATTTGTGATGAATTTTTCAGCAAAGAGGAGGTTAATAGAAAGCGTGTCATGGGAGATACTAAGCATATTTGTATGGGCTATTCTATCCCGATTCTTTGTTGACTGAATAATAATAACTCATTGACTAATTGTCTGGAGACCTGGATACGGTCGCTACACACCCCGACTACCAGCGGCGAGGGGCCGGCTCCTTGCTTGTTAACTGGGGCTGTGAACTTGCCGATGCTGAGGGTGTCCAGGCGTATGTCGATGCTAGTAAGGACGGCGCAGCTTTATACGCGAAGTTTGGGTTTGTGGATTATAGCAATCCTGGCGAAGAGATTGCCTCGATGGCTCGCATTCGCAAATAGCTACTGTGTTTAGTTATCCCCTTAGCAAACCGTACCAGATTTTGCCGGGGCTAGATTACAGTAGATATACTGTATCTTTACTGTAATACAAACGAGTGCGTACTTTAAAAAGTTATTGTAACGGTCCTGAGGCAGTTTGTTCAACTAGCTAGGGGTCAAGTATAAATATACTAAATCTTAAGGAAAGAAAGAAGAAGAGGAAAGGAAGAGTATCTAGGAAAGTCCTTAAATAGTAATTAGTCCTATTAAAAGGCTTAAGATAAGTAATATTAAGTTTAAATAGATTTTACTTTAGTAAAATATTAAAATAAATTTATTATAATAATATTTAGCTAAAGATTATTAAAGCTTTTTAACTAAGTATAGCTTATTATATTATTCTTTTTTTCTAAGTATAAGTTTATAAGTAGCTTTATATATATTTAGTATTATAATTTCTTAAAAATTCTCTAATAATTTTTACTTAGATTATATATACTTTATTTATTTAATTAAAGCTTATTATTACTTAATAGTAAACCTAGGGTTTTAAAGCTAGAGATAACTTTAGAGAGAAAGAAGTTATTCTCTTATTTCTAAGAACTGCTCTTACTAAATATATAAAGATAATTAAGTATTTACTGTCTTATATTAACTAACTCTTTATACTATATGCTAAGCTAGATATAGATTTATATTAAGATGCTCTTTTTTTTTAAAGCAGATATTCTTATTTTATTTACTATATATCTCTATTAATATATATTATATATTTATTATTACTTAGTTTAGCGCTATCTTAACTTTAAGTAGAAGTATAATATTTAATATAGATAAGAAAATAGATATTAATATTATTTACTTTATTTTATTTATTATAGATAGTAAACTATATATTTATATTTAGATATTAAGAATATATCTCTAATACTATATTTCTGCTGCCTTAATATTATTAATAATATTTAAAAATTCTACTAATTATTCTATAAGAGTAGCTATTAATATTAATATTTAAAGTAAGGTTAAATAAGTATACTATTAGAGTAGTTTATATTTTATATTATTACTTCTATTAGTATCTATATATTATTTAAAGCTATTAATACTCTCTTTATTATTATTTAAATACTCTTAATATTACTTACTTTTATTATCCTTATTATTTTATTTTCTAATATCTTTTATATTCTTATTATTCTTAGTATTATTATTTATAATATTAATAGTTCTTTATAATAATAGCTATATATATTTAGTTTATAATATTAGCTACTCTTAGCCTTTCTCTTATTTCTATATTTTAAATAGTATATTAATATAAATATTATAGTTTTTTACCTTTTATTCTAGCTTATATTACTATAAATCTCTTTAATAAATAATATATAGTTTACTTAGAGCTATTATTAAAGGTATATATATTAATATTAAGATATTTATATATATAAACTAAGGGATAAATATAGAATTAAATAAGAAGATAAAGTTTTAAGCTATATATTATTCTAAGCTTAATAATTAAGTTCTTATATATTAATATAATAATCTATAGAGAGTATAATATATATTATAGACTAAAAAAAAGATTATATTATTTCTTATTAATTAAACTATTAAACTAGCTAAGATTTTAATATAATATATATACTCTTAGGCTATAAAGTTATATAGTTATTTAGTAATATATTTAGCTAATAATATAGTTTTAATAATAATATAAACCTATATATTATATAGCTTAATATATTCTAGTAAATAGCTATAAATAATTAAGTCTTAAAATATATTTACTAGCTTCTATATATTAAATATATTTATATTAAAATACTCTAATATAGAAATTAGCTTCTTACTTAGTTTATTATTATATTACTAGATTTTAAAGATAATAATACTCTTTATTATAGAAGAAGTTATAGTTATATTAATAAAATAATACTAGTATTAAATAGTATAATATAGTTAAGTAAATAAGTTTTAAATAATAATATATTATATATTATAATATTAATATAGTAATATAGCTTTATATATTAATTATATAGTAAGATATATAGAAACTAAATATTTACTAAAAAACCTAGATATAATAATTTTAAAGGGATAATTCTTTAAGTAATATATTTAAATACTACTTAGATTATTATTAAGAGATTATTTAAGTCTTTATCTATATTTATTTAAGCTATTAGTTATAACTTACTATTACTTATTTCTTATATTATTTCTTTAATATTATTAAGGACTTAGCTAGCTCTAGGTTATATAAACTAGATTCTTTAATTACTTAGCTAAAAAGACTATAATAACTATACTTAAGCGTAGTTAAGCTAGCACTAAACTATATAGCCTAATAGTTAGGGATTCCCGGGGGTTTATAGGGCACTGCTAAGGCTCTATATCTTATAATATCTCTCCCCTAAATTAAGCTCGCCCTTAAACTATTTAGCTAGTATACTACTATAGTATATACCTAGATCTATTTAACTCCCCTTAGCTAGGATTTTTTTACCCTAACTAATAATTAAGCTATAGGCTTTATTCTTGCTATAAGCTTATTAGGCCCTAAAATTACTAGAATTTTACTAGTTAACTTTACCCCTATACTAAGTGTAAATATTGCTTAAATCCTACTTATACTTAACTAAGCAGCCTATTTAAGCAGCTTAGCTAAGTACTCGCGAATTTAGCTTAAAAAGCTTATAGCCTCAGGCAGATTTAAACTTAGGGCTTTAACTAAAAGGCGTAGTTATTATAGTTTTTTTAGCTGAGTAGTTAAAAGATTTAGTTTATATAACCTAGAGCTAGCTAAGTCTTTAACAGAATAACTATACCTCCTAGTTAAAGCCCTAAGTTTAAATCCGCCTAAGGCTGTAAGCTTTTTAAGCTAGGTTTATAAGTGCTTAGCTAAGCTACTTAAATAAGCTGCTTAGTTAAGTATAGGCGAGATTTAAGTAATATTTACGCTTAGTATAAGAGTAAAGTTAACTAGTAAAATCTTAATAATTTTAGGGCTTAATAAGCTTATAATAAAAATAAAGCCTATAGCTTAATTATTAATTAAAATAAAAAAGTCTTAGCTAAGAGA